TTAGATGATGTAAAAGAATCAATATCAAACCGCCCAAAAGAAGAGTTGGTTAAATGTGCATCATGTCCAAACAAATGCACGATGAGCATAAGATGCAAAGCGTCCTCACTCACTCCAATCAAGGATAATTATCTGTACTTTTGCACATATTCTTGTTTCCAAAAATACTTTGGTTCATCATCAGGTAAAACCTGGTCTGCTTATATCGAATCTAGTATGTATTATAATTTTTATTACTACTTATAAAGTACATACAACTGATACCTTATTCTAGAACAACCTAAAAAAGACAAAAAGGAAAAGAAGGAAACGAATAAGGAAAAAGGAAAAGATGATGATTCAGACGAGGAATCCAGCCATGAAGAAGATGAAGAGGGATATGTAGTAGAAGATGAAGAACAACATACAGATAAGAAAAGAAAAGCATCTACACCACCAAAGCCGACAACTAAAAAGGCTCCAGCTAAAAAGGCTGCAGCCAAAGACAAAGATAAAAGTAAAAGTTCTGGCAAGAAATAAACTAACAACTATTAATTATTGACACATATCTTCTTCTCTAGAAATTAACAAGATTATAGAGTACTTGGAAGATGAAATAGTATCGTTCATTGGACTTAAATTTGAAGATTTCCAAGATTTATATCAAAACACTATACGATTGCAAAAGACAAAAACAGAAACCAGAGGCACTAAATCAAAGTATTCAATCAGGGGCCAGTTGTTTATTACACTTTGTTGGCTCCGTCACTACCCAAAGAGAATTGTTCTATCTGCATTTTTTAAAATATCGCAAACTACTGTAGAAGAATACACGTCTAACACTTTGGATTTGTTATATCCTCTCTGCCAAGAGAATTTCGATTACTATTTTTCAAAAAGAATGGACAAAGAGCACTATTCAATTTATGTTAAAGACACCAATGAATCTTGCATGGTTACATCAGTGGCAGATGGATCAGAACAAAGAATTTCAGTTCCCATGGATTCCGAAATTGCAATGAATTTTTATAGTGGAAAGAAAGGATATTTCTCAATAACCAAACTTGTCTTTTGTACTCCCACTGGAAAGATTATTTTCATGTCTAAATCAAGACCTGGATCAAGAAATGATATTAACCTCGCCAATGAATCAAGAGCTTTCTATTCTAAACTAGACGAAGTTCTCGAGTTTATTTTGGGAGACAAAGGATTCATAGGTTGTCATGGCATGTATAAACACTTTTTGGTTAACGATAGAAATCCTAAAGCTAGTTTTAATAGAGGTGAGGCTGACAAAAGATTTAAAGCCATTAGAATTATCATAGAAAATGTGTTTGCCCATATGAAAAAGTGGGAAGCATGCAAAGCGACTTTGAGGATCAAATTTTCCGATCCTTCAAAAATTCTTCAACAACATGATCAAATATGGTCAGTTGTAGGATATCTCACAAATAAATACAAAAACATTAGAGGATTATAGTAATAAACTTCTTGTTAAATGTGAAAAGTCAAAAAACATGCACTCAAAACCGAGTGATCATTGTAGTTAAAAACAGTAAAGATAAACCATTATCTTTACACTATTTATTTGTTCTATTTTGGAAGAAACTGTAACCAATGCATAGGTCTCACTGTTATACTACATATTCTTGACTTTACATATGTAAAGTAATATCATCCCCTCATAAAATACTTCTTGCTACGGAAGCGAGTGATATCATCATATCTAAGGATCTGATGCACTCTGCATTCTAATCATAAGGGTGATTCGGTTGAATGGTGTATGATACGCAGAGTACCATAGTGTTGACACACAATCTACTAAAATGGGGACCAAAGTAGTGTATATCGGAGGGTTTTGGAAGAAATAAGCTCAGGTGAGCGGCACGGGCGATGTTGTTAGCTAAATACATATATTTATAAACACCAACCTCATACACATTTATATGGTGCATGTGCTCTTCATGGGGGTTGCTTTTTGGTCTAATCAGGCTACTTACAAACATGATTAGCGGTGGCATAACCGGGGACTCTATAATAGGAGAAAATTGATAGAAATTGGTTAAAATATAGTCCATGTATGCCCTGGATAGGATGGATAGGTAGAGCATATGTTCTATTAGGGTAGCACACAAGCTGGGGATTTTTTGTGGTTGTTTTGATGGAAAATAAATTAATTTTTTCCATTTTTGTTACTATTATTTCCAGGTGTTATATTACAATTATTTTTTGCCTAAAATAAGAAAAAGTTAAATAAAAATGTTGGTTGTACACTGTACTTGTTATAAATATGAAAATATACCTTTCTTTTGATTATGTTTTGATGGAGTATATGTAGTTGGTGGTTTGATATTTGTTCTAGAAGAGGTAGCCCTATTTGTGGGGTTTTGATGATTATTTTTTGTTTCTTTTGTTGGAATTGGTGTGTTGTTGATTGGAATGTCTGGTAGTACTATATCTGTATCATTATTATTTGGTTTGTTATTTTTTTTCTTATTTTTTTTTTTGGTTTGTTTTGGTGAGTGTAATTTTGGAAGTTGAGGTGATTTTGGTGTCTCGTTCTCTTCTACATAGTCCGAAACAACTGCATCATGTATATTTGTCATTCTTACAACACGTGGTATTTCAATTGTAGTAGTTTTTGATGTTTCCTGTTGTTTTTTTGGCTTTGGACCCTTGTTGGCAGGTGTTTCATGTCCAATCTTTGTTTCTTTGTTTGGAGCTTGATTAACGATGATTTTTTTGATGAAAAACTTTATATTTGCCTTCTTTAAAGCCTGTTGTACATTATTATTATTTCTTGTTGGTTGTTTGGTTGAATTACTGGCATCATTATTCGATGTAACTTTGTTGTTTTCTTTTTCATTATTGTTGTTTGTTTCTGTTTGTCTGGAACTTTCTTCTTCTTCTGGTACCTCCTCAACGGGTTTATCATCTTGGATTGTAGGATCATTGTCGCATGGTCGATAAAAGATTGAGTATTCTCCATTTTCCATTTTTGTTTTAAAACTATAGGTCTTGTTTAAAAAAGCTGGTTTTTGTGGGGAAGGATAATATACTCTATATTCACTGTATGTATCTGATGGTTCTACTTCTTTATACGCATCTTGTAGTGCATTGAGAGTTCTTTGAAGTTTAGATTGTGAGGTTGAAAGTGTGTCTGGAAAAAATCGAATTTTTTGAGTAAAAAAAATTCACAAAAAAAATATTTTATATTAAAATCAAAAGAAATTAAAAGTTGCAAAATCCAAAATAACATACGTTCATTCTCTTCAACATCTTTTCCAAGGGCCACACCAATATTTTCATAAAAGGCGTCAAGAGTTTTAAAAGTATTGCAACTTTGGATAAACTCTTGAAATTCTGTGATGGAGGGGAAATTATAAACGGTGGCTCGATAATGTCCTTTTTTTCTAGTGTCCAAACCATACTCGGTTAGCCTTTTGTTTAATATATCAACCATATTTTGTGTTGTTCTATTATCTTGATGATTTGAGTCGGGATGGCTTTGAAATCTCTTTACTGTTTGAGAAATCAGTGCAAAAAAAATGTCACAATCTGATTTGCCGTGGCTCGGAGAAAAGAATTCCAAATCAATTGGAATGCAATTGATAGTTTTACCAAGTTGCCAAACCTTATAAATCCATTCAAAGTTTTTAAAAGTTGGTCCATTATCTGACCAAATAATAAATTTTTTAATTTTTCCATCCTTTCCAAATAAATCCTCTTTCCTTGTACAACCAAACAAATCCATGAATTCTTTTCTTTGAAATAAATTTCTAAAGCTAATGTCAGCAAAATTACAAGTTTTGTCCAAAACCCTAGAAATATTTCTATATAAACAATAGATAAAAAGTTGAGTAAAAAAAATGAAAAAATGAAAAATATGGGTTAGAAAATTGAAGGTAAATTTGTTGAAATTATAATCTTTTTTAAAAATCCAAAATATAAATATATAGTATTTGGTGTATACTATTTAATTTCCATAGTAATTTTTAAAAAGGATAATAATTGATTAAAAAATTTTAAATACTTACCCAAACACATATTTTTTATATTGATTGCCTTCCTTGTAGTGCATTACAATGCCATAAAAAGATCTATGGACAGCATTGTAAAACTGTTTGCCTACTTCAGTTTGTGACTTGTTAATGTTGATGTTTTGTTTAAAATCTATGGTAAACATAACTTCTCCATTATTGAGGTTTTTTTTTTGATATTTGTATAAATCTCTTCGTTCCCCAGCTGCTTTTTTGTGTTTATCTTTATCACCACTTGATATATTTGGATCTTCACATGTATTACACATGTCATTCCTGTTTTTTGCCCTCTTTATATGTGGAGGAAGGTACTTTTTAAAGGTATTTAAGCACATTGGAACAAATTGATATTCCTTGGCAAAATCTGAAACGGAATCCATCAATTCTTCACCTACAAACTGGCCACCTATATTATACATATAATGGTAGTTGTCTGAGCCAGATGTATAATTTTTTTTGAATGGATTGACTGGTTCTTTTCCAGGTCTTTTATTAGCCTTTTTTTCTGGTACTTTATACCCCTTTGTGTGCAGTAGGTAAAAGTAATATAGCTCCTTGATGCCCATCGAGTATGTTTTAACTACTCTCGTATCCGATTCCGGATTATTTACTGATTTTCTTTTAAGAACACAAACATCATGAGCTGATGACTTGAATACGCTGCTATATTCGGCAAAGTATTTAACCGATGCTTCTCTTTTTGCAGCGGTAATTGATTGCTTTTTCTTTAACAAATAATAGTTATTAACAGGAATGTTGGCATATTGAGACTGTAATGAAGGTTGGGGTGGGTTTGTGTTGGAGGTACTACTATTTTTATCTTTTTTGCCCTTTTTGTTATTATTTGTTGGAGGAGTAGAGCTTTCTCTGTTGTTGATATTATTGTTGTTTAGTGGAGTTGTATTTGGCATTGGAGGAGTTGAGTCAAGAACCATTCGGTCAGAGATATTAGATAATCTTTTTTTTGACATATTTGAAATGGCAGAGTCGTCACTCGTATCCATTGGATCTTGATTCGCATTTAGATTGGAATCACTTTGGTTCAAGATTGGCGTTGATTGGACGTCAGATTGCAATGGTATCGTATCACTTACTATAGCCATCATTGAATCACCACCATTGGGTGTTGTATTGTCTATATTTATGGGGGTTTTTGGGTCTCTATTACTTGGCAATGATGTTGTAGTACTTGATACGAGAGTTGGCTGCAATTGGATCAAATTATATAGAGAAAATCAAATTTTACTACTATTAATATATAAAACATAGATATTTGTACTATATGATATCATTATATATTACATTTGAGTTACTGGTTGTAGATACATCATTATCTTTTATCATTTCCTTCTCTATTTCCCTTGACGAATGCCAAATTCTTGAACCTATAATCATACCATAATCTTCGAAGTTACTCTTTTGATACTTTATTCCATTGTCTCTCATATATCTAAGTATACTATCGATATAGTTAGAAACTACACTCTATTGTCTATCTTTTGGTTATACTGTTACATACTGTGCGAGAATAAACTTTCGGTGGAGATCGTTTTGTTTGTGCTTATAATATTCTATGAATGCTTTGCAAAGATATCGCTCAAAACAACCTTCTAGAGGGTCTCCTTCTATTTTAAGATACTCCGCGATCTTCTTTATCATACTAGCATTCAATCTATGCCCAGCTAGAGCGCAAACACTTCGTAACTTTTCAATAAACCTTTTACCTACTAATTTGCTTTTACCTATTCTGAACTGATACACATCTTTGCGGATTTTAACCGCGAATTTAGGTAGTTGTATATCTTCTTCTGTTCTTTTCATTTATCTATTTATTATCAATAATTTTTTTTAAATGATGTTCAAAAAGTACAACGATCAAAAATCACAACAAAAAATCGATTTTTTTTATTTTTCATATTATAAAAAAGTCGCCCAGATTGAGTTCGCACAGATATGGTAAATTGAACAAAGTTTCTATTTACTTGTTATTGATTTAAAAGAATTAAAGTAATAATAATAATAATTTACAAGGAGTTGTCAAAGAAAAAATGGAGAGTTCAAGCAACTCTCACACACAACCAATCTCTCATGTTGTTGTCGAGACAGTTGGAGTATTACCATCATCATTACAATCATTGGTGTTTGGTAGAGACTATAATCAACGCCTATCAGTTGGAGTATTACCATCAACATTACAATCATTGGTGTTTGGTGGAGTATTACCAACATTATTTCAATCACCAATGCAATCATTGATGTTTGGTAGTGACTATAATCAACGTCTATCAGTTGGAGAGTTACCATCATCATTACAATCATTGGAGTTTGGTGACAGTTATAATCACCCAATTACTCTTGGAGTATTACCATCATCATTACAATCATTGAAATTAGGAAATGATTATAATCAACCGCTATCATTTACAGTATTACCATCATCATTACACTCATTGAAGGCTAGTAACTACGATATCGATCGATCAATATCAATTCAGATATTCCCGTCCTCTGAAACCCAATCTATTCTACATGGTTGGGAATATAATGATCCAATGACATTTAGAGTACTACCATCATCATTACAATCAATAACATTTGGTGATAGTCAATCTGGAGCTTCTAGAGTACATAATATTATAGATCTCAAACAACCAGTAGAATTACCATTATCATTACAAATTGATGATTGGGAATCACCAACATCATTTAAAAAATCGATATTTCGTAAAGGCTATAATCAACCAGTATCAATGAGAGTATTACCATCATCATTACAATCATTGACATTTGGTCATGCATATACTCTCCCCCTATCTCCCGGGGTATTACCAGAATCATTACAATCATTGGTGTTTGGTGATAGATATAATCAAGCACTATCAATTGGAGTATTACCACCATCATTACAATCATTGAAGTTTGGTAGAGACTATAATCAACCTCTATCAGTTGGAGTATTACCAACATCATTACAATCATTGGAGTTTGGTAGAGACTATAATCAAACACTACCAGTTGGAGTATTACCATCATCATTACAATCATTGACTTTTAGTGGTGATTCGAAGCCTATAGTATTTTTAGTTGATTTCAAGCAATCAATTACTGTTAGCAGATACTTCATTAAATTAGGGTCTCATGGAATTATAAAACTTCGTGATCGAAGATATCCTCTCATTCTTTCGGCATCACCATCAGAGCATCATATCGATATAATTCATATTTTGAGAAACAACACTCAACAACCTATCACTTACAATACAAATCCCAACTCAATTAACTATGACCCCAACTATATAATGAAATATCCTATCAAAGTCAGTGACTTTGTTTCAGTCAACAACAAGAAATATTTTGTACTGCACAGTTTTCCATACTCTTCCAACAAAGTATTATTTGTATCTTGCGAATCCTCTGGTGAATTGGTAAGTAAATCAATTATTGTCGATTGCCATGCCCAACTAATTATCTTTAATAGTTTGTTTATAAAGAAATAGATTACTTCAATAAGAAAGAGAATGAAATAGATCAAAAGATCTATGATAAAGTGCAATTTGAAATCTCAACAATGAAACTATTCATCAATGACGATATGTTTGTGCAATACAAAGATCACCAAGATGACAGTGATTCAAAAAAGATATATCTTTTGACACATTTCTGTGAAGGTGGTGATTTAGAACAATTATTTCAATCAATTTATAAATGGTAAATATTATTCATGAATTAATTCCATCTCCCAAACCTTTTAATTGAAGACCTAAATCTAACATGTCATAACATCCAATTACTATTTTTAGGAATGAATCCCAACAAGAGAAACAAAAAGTTGAAGAAAAACAAAGTCCTGAAGAATACAAGTATATTTCCGAATCAGAGATATGGCGATATATTCGTCGAATATTCCAAATACTTGAGAAACTATCGCAACACAATCTTGCACATCTTGATATCAAACCACTAAACATCTTTATTCGAAATGATGGTGAAATAGTTCTTGGTGATTTTGGATCTTGTCACTATTTCGTTGACCAAAATCATCAAGCCCCCAAAGACCAAACTTCAAACCCCACTGAAAATGTAGCAAAGTATTCAAATATGATAGCTTTAACACGTGCCTCTCGTGGAACATATGGATATTACTCGCCTGTATGTGTGGTTTGAAGGGTTTATTTATCTACCAATCTACTTATTTCAATTGTAATTTTTCTTGTTTTTAGGAAAAAAAAAAGAAATACTATGCTTCAAGTGATATATATTCAGTTGGATCAACTATTTTACATTTGCTTTCATGGTAAATATCATCAAACAACTAATTTATCGTTGATTATGATACTAATTTATGTTATAGTCATCCAGATGATAGTGGAAATAGAAAAGAATTTATCAACAACCACAAAAAGGACGACTTTAATGCAGATCATATCAAAATATCTCCGGTTAGATATTCTGAGGATTTAATTCAATTTGTCAAGAATCTATTAATTGAAACACCTCATGATCGTCTATCATTGGATGATTTGAATGGAGAAACAGTCAACCAACACACACAAAGAATCACATCATTTTTAATCAACCAAAGACAAATTCTATCAAGCACAACAACATTAATATTGGATGGTGAATTTAACAGTCCTCTCAATGGATTACTTCCACCAACACTTTTAAAATTAAAGTTTATGGGAAAGTTTAATCAACCAATCAAAGACGGTGACATTCCTGAAGGAGTTGAAACATTAATATTTGGACCATCATTCAACCAACCATTGACCTCGAGCAGTTTAAAGAAAAATACAAGAATTCATTTAATCATAGATAATGATAGTACTCTGGCAAATGTATTAAAATATTGGACCCCAGCAGATAAATTGAAACAGGTGAATGTCTACCACTGCAATGATTTAGAGCAGGAAACCATCAATTCATTTTTTAAATTCAATTCTATAGAATCTAATTTCATCCTAACAATCGGTAAAAATTCTTATGGAATTGGCAGAATCAAAAAGTAAGCATGCAAATCAGATCTGAATAGAATTAAAATGATTCACACAAACCATTTATTTTATTTTTTCAATAGGAATGGTGCAATGTTAGAGTGGAAGAATAATAATATCAGATTCTCAATCAATCTGGAAGATGTTAAAATGGTATCTGATGTTAAAACATCAATATATAGACATTTATTTTGTCAAATCGATAAATCAAAATTTGAGGAAATCAACTCGCTCTTTGGACAACACAACCCCAGTTCAGAATACCTCCTAATGGGAATGGAGAAGCTGTTTGAATTGGACCAAGACAATATCTACCAAGAGTCTGAACAAGGTCGCCAATATTTAAATATTAGATTGATTTTCAAACCTTTATAACAAAATAGATAATAAAAAAAATTATAATAATTCGAATATAAATTTATTATTTATTATTTATTTTTTGGGTAACATTTTTGTTGGCAAAATTTTTAATGATAAATTATCAATATATTGTAATATTTCACCTCCATAATCATGGTTTTGTTTTGCGCCTTCTCGTAAAAGATCATAACATGTTGCCATCTTTTCTATCTTTGTATATTTTAATAGGATCTCTTCGACCCATGCCACCGAACCATGCATACCGACTGTTTTCCAAGTCTGAGGGTCTTGGATGACAATATAATCTTGATATGTCTGTATCAATCTTTTAACATAACCAATATGTAACATTTGAATGGGTCTGTCAATATAAACATCAGTCTGTGTAATTTGAAATTTATAACGAGAATTTAACTTTTCTTCTACCCTAGGATCCATATCCTCATCTTGATATGTCTCTCTGTATTCTGTTGTTGTTGGCTCTTCTATGTTTGTTGGTTCTACTATTGTTGATGATAATAATTGAGGATCGACACTATAATTTGGGAAATGTAAACAATATGGTTTGATGGCTTGAACCACTTGAATTTCACTACGACGACTGGCACTTGCATGCAACTCTAGTGTTATGTTGAATACCTTTAATTCATCAATCACTGGCAATACTTTAATGGTCAAGTACTTGATGACATCCCATTCATCTCTTTCGAAAGCTTTGGAGACTGCAAGTGTAGACTCGGCGATTTCGTACACGACAAATTGTTGTCCAACACCTCCTGCAATACTCTTTAAAATAATGTCGAAACAAAACTCTAATACCTTGACATTACTCGATAGCAAATGAACTCGATGTTTACCAAAACCTGATTGATCCTTTTGTAACAAAGAGAATGATGTCTTTACCAATGCCAACGAACCAAACAAACAAATAAAACCAAACCCAACTCGATTTAATAAATATTGACATCGTTGTTGGAAATGTTCACTGTCATTATTATCCAATTGTTTGATCAAACATTGATAAATTGCTACCAAAGATTTATCCTTTTTCCATTCTGGTTGTGAAAAGTAATCTCTTTCCAATGTCTCTCTTGTCTTTTGATCGTGTTTTGAAAGTAAGAAAAATAATTCAGCACAATATAATATATTATTATTCTCGTTGATTGGTAGGTTATTATTATTAATATTATTTTTATGATTATTATTTTTTTTTGTTGTAATAGGAGAGGATAAAGTGGGAGGAGGAGTGAAAGAATTGATAGTATCAACAATATCTTTTAAATTAATTTGAATATGTTGTTTGAAATGATTGATAATAGTTGAAAGAAGTTGAAATGATGGAGGTGATGACATTGTACTCGTATTGGGATGACTCAATTTTGATTTAATTGAATCACAGAGTAATTGTAAAATTGAAATGTCATTGTTATAGGTGTTGATGGGAGAGGTGAGGTATTTTGCAATGACTCCTATATCTTTACTTCTAAAGATTATTACTTGTGGATCTTTAAATAATATATTAAAGTATTTAAAGGGTAGAACCGACGCTACATATGCAAGTGTCTCGCTATTATCGATGGTATCACCCAACAAATACTCTGACACTTGGGAATAGCCAGGTTGATCGGCCATGAGCTTGATGAATGCACATACACGATCGACACCAACCGTCTCAAAGATATTAGCCAATATCTCCTTTTTATTGGACGTAATACACAGCTTGATGATCATGTCGACGATCATATTTCTCGATTTGAGCATGCTTGGAGGCAACTGTGTGTTTTGGTGGAGGAGTAGATGCAAGATTGAGTGTTTGTGCGTGTCTGCGTCGTTGCTCGATACCGACTCGCTGTCTGCACCCGTTCCACTGACAAAGTAGCTGAATACGGCACTCAACGCGGATACTTGTGGGGGTGGAGGTGGACGAATCACCCGTTTGGCGAGTCCCTTGTTGACAAATGAAACGACGGCGGTCCACGACTCGAAACAGCCATTCTCGACAATTGACATCAGATACTGAGCCACAAAACGCAACGATGACGGTGCAGGCATCACATACGGGTTGGCACCGCTCTTTGACCGCTGATGAGGTGTCATGTGATCGGCAGCACACCCATCACTAGTGCTAAAGTAGGTTGTAAACTCGTTGGGCAGTGTTTCGAGTAGCATGCGAACTACACGACCGTCTTGTACGCACTCTCTAGTCAACTCGATCACACGAGTTGGTACTGTAGCCTCTTTACCATGTGCAGTCATAATATCACGAAACAGACTATAATAACGATTCTTGAGAACCCATTCCAAGTCATGCAATAGATGTTTGTAACGACGTCTGAGTGGAGAATAAGAGTTACTTTCATCACTTGGTACTTGTGGCCATCTCAGTACAGCTAGAAACGATGGGTCGTACTTGGGTACCTGTACACCCAACCATGTCACACAATGATAGTTTCTAGTTTGTTTTAATATCAATCTAAGTAGATATACATTTTTAAATACTCTTTGTATTAATTCTTTAGTATTATCATTATTATTATTATTATTATTATTATTATTACTATTATTACTATTATTATTATTACTATCCATCTAACTTTTTGTTTTGTAAAAATCTTTCTTTGTGCGATGAATCAATATCGCTCAGATTTTCTTTTTAATTTCCGAACCTCGTAAATAATTACTTATTTAATTCATCCATCTTGCGAGAGACTTTCCTTTGTATAGTAGTCCTATGACGAATACCTGTTGGTGGTAAATATAAATAATTCTTTTGGATTACTTTTATTATTTTTACCTTTCATATGAACTGGGATTGTGTTTGAGCCATTTTCATCGAAAAGACAAGAGCCACCAGCACTGAGCAAAGATTCATGATTATCTTTAGGAACTGGAGTCTGACCCCCTAATCTAACTATTAGTTGACCATTTACTTTACTTAAGAGAGTATCAGATGGCAAAAGTATTTCTTTTACTTTTTGTTTAGATATAATGTGAAATGTATCTAGAGCCTTTCCTTGTAAATATTCAATTGAATTGGAGGTAGAAATGAATTGTTTGATAGATACAAGATTTATTGTCACCTATAAACAAGGTTTCGTGACCTTTGTAATATACCCAAACTGAGATACCTATCAAAATTAATGAAAAAGAAAATTATTAAATAAAAGGAAATTAATTACCTTGTATCAACCTGGACTTACGTCCAGGTTTAATTATTTATATAATACACTATTACATGAAGCAAATAAATTGAATAAATAAAGTTAACTCAAAAATATATAGAGACACTGAGTCAACTTTATGTTTGTTTTTAAACTCCAAGAAATTTAAAATAGTTTATTTATTCTTTTTTAAAATACAATATTTTATTATTAAAATTTAATAAATTAATCTATTATCTCTTTTTTATACATCACTTTTAGATTGTTGTTGTCTAATTAGATTAATATAATTTAATATTTTGTCACCATGATCTTGATTTAATTTAGCACCTTGTTCAAGGTAAGGGAGAGATTCGTAAACCGACTTGAATGTTTGAGATGTCGTTGTGTATTGACCGTCGTTTGGATATGGTGGTTTCGAGTACCGACAAAGTATCTTTTCTATCCATTCAACCGAACCGTATAGACCGACCGTTTTCCAAGTCTCGACACAGTTGATGACCAGTGGGATACCCATTTGAATGACTTGTTTAACAAACAGGAAATTCATTGTTTGTATTGCTCGATCTATACTTAGTTCGGGAATGCTAGCCATCCCTTCTGGAATATGTGTCACCATATATTCAATCACTTCAAAGTAACAGTGAAATGCGTAATTTCTATACATACTAATCCAACATTGTATAATTCTATCTTGATTATTTCCTTCTTGTTTAATTGTTGTTTTAATTGAATCTATATGTTCTTTAAATTTCGTTGATTTTAATATATTATTATTTTGATTATTTTGATTATTATTATTATTAATTTGATTTTGATTTTGATTATGAATTACAGTTTCGGGTATAAAAGGTTTTAATGAATTGATTATAGTTGTATTTCCAATTAAACAAGCTTTAGAGTATAATGATAAATCAATATCAAATACTTTGTAGAGTGTTGGATGTGACATGACGCCAACTAGATATTCAATGACATCCCATTGAATTGGATTACGAGTCAATGCATTTGTGAGAGCTGGTGATGAATGGAGATGATTAAATTCCAATCTATGTGAATCATTGTCCCCGAGTTGCGTAATACAACCGGTACAATATTCCAATACTTTGATATCACTTGATAACAAATTAAATGATTGTATGTTATAGTTTCCATCACCACCAAACTGGGTGTCATGAATAAGTGAATGTGACATTGTTACCATATCCAATGATCCAAACTTACAAATAAATCCAAATCCAATTCTATCCAATAAATATTGACATCTAACTGGAAATATACCACCCGTACCACTAACACAGCTACCACCTTTACAATGACCAAGTATTGAAAAATACTCAATCACTGATTGATAGTGATTGCATAAAGGATTATAACTCGTTTCTTCTTTCTTATTATTAAAGTAGCAATTTTCAATTGACCTTCTAGTTTGATGATCATGTTTGGTCAATTCAAAATATAATTCCATAAAATATAAAATATTATTATTATTATTTTGATTATTATTATTTTGATTATTTTGATTATTATCATTATCTGATTGTTGTTGTTTATGATGAAGATGATGATTGATGAGTGTATCGATTTTTTCTATACTATATTCTATTTCACTGTTAAAAATTGCAAATGTACCAGTGAATGATAATAAATCAGTTATTGTAACATTGGCCAATGTTGTAGTTGTTGTTGTTGTTGATGATGATGTAATTGTTGGAGTTATTGAATTAATTAAATTTGTTTTAAATAAATAACTGATGTATTCAGTGAGATGTGATCGGATGTTGAATTGTGATAGTTTGATGTCTTTAGCGATTGAAAGGTGGTTGTTGATGATTGACATGTCATTGGTGAGGAGTAAAGCTGCTAATGTATTTTCCAACATTTGACTAATAGTTAGAAGGGGAAGTGTTTTAAAGAGATAACCGAGTGTGTCACAATGATTAATCACCTCCTCTTTTTTAAACTGATCAAGAGTCAGTTTAGGAATAATGTTTCGTGCATGATCGATAAACTTGCACACGGTATCCACACCAACCGTATCGATTATGTCAACCAACACTTGTTTTTTGTTTGTTGCAATACTTTGTTGAATCATTGTATAAAGTGTCTTGTTTCGGTGGTGTAGTACTTCAGACTCTAACAATTTGTTTTGGTCAAATAGTAGTGTCAAGATATTAACACTACTACCGATCGGGTTAATATCTTGATCAACTTTCTTAAAGAATCCAAACACTCTTTTTAATATTGGTTGCGGTGATGGCGATGGCGATGGTTTGGAGGTGGTCGGTGGTAGCGTGATTTGATTATTGGCAATATTCTCGTTGATAAACTTTAGTGCTGTCTTCCATGCGAGTGCGCTGTCCCCTGCTGCAGCACCGTCACCTTTGTCATTATCTCCATATACGACAGCATTGCAAAGATGTAAAGCAGATGCGTTCAATGATGACACTGGTGGTGATGGCAATGATGATTGGGTTTGGCCAAACCCAGTCATCTTGCCATAGTTGAGGTAATGAATTACTTTATCGTGGAGACTTGATAGAATGAGATTCATTGTCGAGGATGAATGTGATTTATACATGTCTGGTGTGAACAGTACTGATATCTTTTGTGAGCTCACTACCATATGACCATGAGCATAACTCGACCGAGTCAAGATATCTTTCAATAGACTATAGTACCTGTTCTTAATGACCCAACCCAGGTCATGTACAGCTTGAATATACCGTTTTCTTTCTGGTCGTGATTGATCGTGTGAGTGATCATACACAACGGCACCAAACAACTCTACATTAAAAGGATGATCTCTTGTTTGCTTCAATATCAACTTTAACAGATACCTGTTTTTAAATACTACTATTATATTATTATTATTATTATCTTCATTATTCATTTAAAACACAATTATTATACAATTATTATTATTATTACAAAGTATACTTCTCTATCTTTTCTTTTTTTTTTTTAACTTTAGTAACACAAACTTTTTTCTATTTTGTTTCTATTTTTGTGCAGAGAGTGGATGGTGACACCAATATTCAAGTATTTTTGTTCCAAGATATATTGATGGTTAAGAGAATGTATAAGTTGTCAAAACAACTTTGAGTAAATGAATTGTTCCATTCTTACCCTATTAATCAATCTTAACTTTGTAATACCTTGAAGAAGAATAATTGCGCCGATAGATGGCTGTAATGAAATACCTACCAACATGACACACTGCATTGTAAGGTTGGTAGGTTGTTTGATGGGACATGCAAAATTGTTTATGTGCCGTGAAAAGTCATCTGCAAGTGGTCTGACTTTAAGGTCTTCATAGGTGTCTTCCTCTTTAAGTGAGTAGCTATAGATCCTGACGTTTCTAAACAATGATGATTTGACGAGACTAAAGAATTGCTTGCATACCAATCCAAGTGACAGTGCCCATTTGTATCGGTCATCAAGTACACACCCTATACTTGTATCTACCAGTCATTGTATCCATCTCCCATGCTTTGGATTCGACGAATAGGTATCCCAAATGATACATAATGATATCATTATCTCTTTGAGTTCTTCATCACTCTTTTCATTCAAATCCATTTATCTATCTATTCTATGTTAGCATTCTTTATATCGCTCTTTGAATATCACTGTGAGTGACCGACTTTTGCCTCACTCAACTAAGTATTGCAGGAGAATTACAATTTTTTTATTAAAACATTTGTGGTGGATTATTATTTATTACTTTTCTTTCTTTTGTCTTTTTAATATTTGAGGATTGGGTTGGTATCCAATTCATTTATAATTTGAGTACCATGATGATAATTTAATTTAGCACCGAATCGAAGTGATTGTAATCTTGGAATGAGTTGTCTACCGGTACAATAGGGGTCATACTTTAAGAGTATCTTTTCAATCCATTCCAACGATCCGTACGTACCGACACACTGCCAAGTCTCAACCGCGACAACTGAAAGAGTAATCCTTACCAGATCCGATTCCACCAAATCTTTGACATACTGGAAATTCATCATTTGTATGGCTGCATCTAGACTAATAACTGGGATGATCGGTGTAGAAGGTGGATTTGTAACAAGATACTTTACAACTAGAAATTGTTGACGACTGGTAGCCATATCAAACAATTTGTTCCAATTACTTGTATAATTGTGTGGTTGTGCATTTTGTAGTATTGATTGTGCTCTATATAAACTATCTTGTGTTGATTGGTATTGTGATACTGCTGGTGTTGATGAATCTGGTGGATTAACAACTACCGAATAGTCACCACTGCTACCGTTACCGTTACCACCATTTGGTTGTAATGCAATTGCCAAATTTGAAAGTCCTTTTTGACAAAGCACAGAATATAATTCTGGTGGAATATTGAATATTGTTTTGAAGATTGGTATGGTTGTTGCTATATTACACAAATATTCTATAATATCCCAGGATTGACGACCGCGACCACTACTACCACTGGTATTGTCAAATGCTAATTTAATGGCTTGTGAAGAATCTTTTGCATTAAATGTCAATGTCAATTTGTTGTTGTTTTTGTTGTTGTTGGCAACAATGATATCAGTGCAAAATGACAATACTGATACATCTCTTGATAACAAATTAACAGATTGTTTACCAAATTTAATATTTGTATTGTCTTTTGGTGTTTGTTGTAATAATGTAAATGATGTCTTTACAATCTCTAATGTCCCATACTGACAAATAGAATAAAATCCAACTCTTTTTAATAAATATTCACATCTTTTGTTGAGGGTTGGTTCAGTATGGGTTGTATGTTGTTGAACCAAATATTGGAATGTATCTTCTATTTTTTGATTATGGACATCTTTGTCTTTGTCTTTGTTATTTGTCAATTCAAAATACAATTCTATTAAATAAGATAAATTGTATTTACAAACAATCTCTTTGTTTTGATTATTTTGTTTGGTTGGTGTTGTAAAAGTTGAATTGACTCTGTGAACCAATTCATCACATGTTGTGAGTGTCGAGACAAGAGGAAGAAAGTGATTTATAATGATTGTCAAGACAACAGGTGAAATGGAGGAGGATGAAGATTGAGTTGTATGGTTTCGAAGCAAGTAGTCCAAGAATGTAAAGTAATCGGATTTAGTTGGTTTTGGAAAAGAGGTGAGGTGAGACGTGATGAGTAAATGGTCGTTGGTGAGGAGGATCATTGGAAGAGGTGTTTTAAAGAGATTGCATAGTGTTTTGAAGGGCAGAGTTTTAGAGATATATTGGAGTGTCTCGGTGGCAGCGACATGTGTGTCGTTTAACATGTGTACTTGGAGTGGGTTGGCATTATTATTATTATTAATAGCCATGTCATCAATGAACGCACATACACGATCAACACCAACCATGTTGATTATATGAGCTAGCATTCTAAGTTGATTAGACTTTATGCATTGGTGGATCAGTTGCATCACCTTGATGTTACGCACATCTAATGTATCTTTAGACATTTGCACCTTTTGTTTAAATAGTATTGGAAGGATAGTATTGAAACGTGGATGATTATCATCACTTGTTTCAACAGTCCCAGTGTAGAATTGGAAGAATGCTATACCACCACCACCTCGAGGAGGAGGTATTGGTGGAGGAGCAGAGATAGTCTTGCTGGCAATCCCCTTGTTGATAAATGTAATGACAGCATTCCACACATCCACATTACCATTTTGTGCAATTAGTTGCAAGTAGCTTGCTACGGGACCGAGAGACGGCACATTTGTAGGGTCATCACGACCCGGTGCAAAGTAGTTGTAAAACTGGTCCGGTAGTGCCTTTAACAACAAGGTGATCATTGCAGTATCACCAACCAAGTGTTGCGTCAGCTGTATTGTTTTAGCAGTTGCAAACCTAGCAGCTTCCTCTGGACGTGTTGTCAAGATATCTCGTAACAGACTATAGTAATTCTGTTCGATCACCCAGTCCAAGTCACGTACCAACTCCAAGTACCGACGTCTCTTGCAATACTTCTTCTTGTCTCTAATATCATCTTGTGTTGGTTGATACACCGGTACACGTGCTCCAAACAACTCTACATTGTCATAGTCTCTCGTAAACCCAAGTATCGTCAGCAACAAATACCTGTTTTTAAATACGCTTGCTGCAGCAACTCCTCTACTACTATCTTTACTTGTACTTGTCATTCTACTACTAAAGAACTATCTATCTAATAGATATTGATGTTGATGTTGTTGTTGTTGTTGTTTGAGACTATAGTTCATCCTTCTTAACAAAAATAAATATGTAATGTATGTACACCCAAACGATGTCTCTTTCTTTTTTGTTTCTTTGTGACACAAACATTTTGTGCTATTTTTCGTGATTATTTCTTTGCTGAGTTGAAGGTATGAATAAAACACTTGAATGATCAATGGGATTTCCCAAACGACTATGTGACAATAATATGACCTTAATTGGGTTTAGTATGATTTGTGTTGGGATGAGGATATGAATAAAAGGGTCATACCGACCCAAGTTTGACTTTTTAGGACGAGAGGATGGTTTGGAATAGTGTAGGTTGGTGGGATGGGTCAGTGCGAACTTCACCAAAAATTTTAATGGTTTTTATTCTTCAATATCAGTGCCGTTCTGCTCACACGTAGTATTTACTTTTGATTAAATCATTCACAAAAGTATTTACATATATATATAAAATAACAAAGACATAGATAGATAGAGAGGAGAGTAGAGTGTTTGAATGATTAGTTAATAAAAAGAACAAACAGCGTATCTATCCTTGTGTGTGTGTTTTAATTTATTTAGTACTCTATAGAGTAGTATAGACAAAACAAACAAACAAGAATGTTTGAAGGATTTGTTGCAGATATACTCACAAGGTATCTTGGAAAGTATATTAAGACATTGAATACTGAAAACTTAAAGATTGGAATCTGGAGTGGTATGTATATCAATTTGAAGATTGTAGTATATGATACTGACAAATTATATTATTTGTTATTGTTATTTTGATTGATGTATGTATGTAGGTAATGTAACATTAGAGAACTTGGAATTGAAAAAGAGTGCATTACAGTCATTTAATAATCTACCGTTCACTGTCAAGGCTGGCTTTTTGGGAAAGTTGACTCTCAAGATACCATGGAATAATCTAAAGACTGAACCGGTGATTATATACATTGACAAGGTGTATTTGGTAGCTGTACCAAAATCACAAGACGAATGGGAAGAAGAAGATGAAGATATCAAAATCAAGAAAAAGATGGATCGTCTAAGAATTCATGAATCTTTAAAAGAGGAAAGACAAGCTGAATCATTATCATCTTCATTACCACAATCATCAACATCTTCTTCATCATCTTCATCTTCATCGTCATCATCATCATCATCACCAACATCTCAATCACCACCATTAGATTCAAGTACTGAAAGTACAACAACTAATAATAATAATAATAATAATAATAATAATAATAATAATAATAATAACCCAAGTAGTATGGGAGATACTTCATCATCAAATATTGGAACCAATTCAACATCATTTGCAGAGAGTCTTAGAAACAAGATAGTTGATAATATTCAATTATCCATTTCAAATGTACATGTTAGATTTGAGGATAGTGTGACTAATCCTTTGAACCCACCCTATTGTTTTGGTGTTACGTTGGAACATCTAAAGGCAGAGTCGACCAATGAAGAGTGGAAATCTACCTATATACATGCACCACATCAACTTGTTCACAAGTTGATCACTCTGAAGAATCTAGCAGTCTACTGGGACACTGGCATACAATCAGACATTTTACAATGTAAAGATATAAATGATCTTGAAAAGAAAATGACTCATTTAATTAAAGATGTCAAAGATCATAATTATTTATTACATCCAATTTGTGGTTCTTTAAAGGTAAACAAATCAAACAAATATAATATATTTAAAATATTAAATAATATTCCTCAGTTTATTAATTCTATTTTATTTTCTATTTATTTTCTAGCTATTAATTAACAAATCAATTATACCAAATAAATTGATACCTGCATATACATTGAATTTCGAATTTGATGATATTAAATTGGAACTAGAGTCTAATCAATATATGGGTATTATGGCATTGGTCGAATGGTTCTCTTTGCTGAAAAAAGGAGAGAAATACCGAAGACTAAAGAATGGACCACTGGCGAATGCAAAGGATCGTTGGAGATTTGCAATCCAGTGTATTCGTAGTGACATTTCCGAAAAGAGATCTAAATGGACCAGAGAATATATAGAAAAACGTCGTAGAGATCGATTAGAATATATTTCATTATATAAAATGAAAAAAAGAAAAGGAAAAAATGTATGTAGACGGAAATAATATTATTTTAATATTTATATCCATTTTCTAACAACTTTAATTTATTATTTAGTTTTCAGAGGCAAACAAACATAGATTAGAGAGTTTTGAAAGAGAATATGGATTTGAAGATTTAATTTATTTCAGATCGATTGCAGATGCAGAGATTAGAGGAGAAGAGGTGATTTCAAAGGAGAAATCTAGTATTGCATCTTCGTCATCGTCTTCACCAAGTTCATTGTCACCTACTTTAAAGTCAGTATTGAATGATTCGTCGAAAAAGTCAGTGGTTCATGATACCCATGATACATCGGCCAGTGGTGGAGGATGGTTTAGATGGTTTAGTTTTGGTGGTGAACAAACAAGCAAACATCAAGATGAAAAGGAAAAGGATATCCTACTAGACACACTCGAATTGACCAATGAACAAAGAAGAGAGTTTTATTCAACCATTGATTATAATGAACATCAAGCTTCAAAAAATATTGTATATCCTAAAGATGTAAGTTTATTATTATTGTTATTCAAGAAAGTTTATTTCATCTTCTAATCTTTTTTTTTAATTTTGATAGTATGTAAAAAATAGATTAAACTTTAATATTAAAAAAGTATCGGTTGCTTTGATTTTAGCAAGACCAAAGGACCAAAATAATACCAAAGACAAAGATGGAGGAGATGGTGTGAAAAAGGAGGAAGATTTGGTGATTGTAATGAGCAACATGTCATTGAAATTGGACAAGTTTGTAGAATCATTGTATTTACAAACTATTTTGGAAACGATTCATGTGTATGATCGTTATACTGATAATACTGTATATCCAATGTTAATGGGTCCACTTAAAAATTCACTCATTTATGAAAGTGTAGCTCAAAGAAATGTAAATAATAATAACAGTAATAGTAATAGTAGTAATAATAATAATCAACAACAACTATCCAAATCACAATCACAATCTCAATTATTACCATCTTTAATATCATCATCTTCATCCATTCATACGAGTGGTAGTGGAGTTGATATCTCAAACATACCATCATTGATTGATACTGAAGATGCAGTCTCGGAATATATAACAGCCGATGACACTGCATCGTCTATCAGTGGAGAATACCAAGATGCATTGACCGAAAAACAACCTCTTTTCGAAATGTCCATTCAAGAAAACCCTCTAAACTCTGATGCCAACTATGTAGTATTTATTGAAACTCTTCCATTGGAAATCATTTATAGTAAATTAATTTTAGATTCTGTTTGTAAGTTAAAAATAACAAATACCAAATAATAATATATATACATTTATTAAATATTAATTATCTTTATCTTATTATTTTAGTGGAATTCTTTGGTAATGCACCTAGTAATACATTAAAAGATATTGAAGAGGCAGCTAGAAACCAAATTAAAATATTCAAGGACAAGACTACACTTAGAATACAATATGAATTGCAGAATCACAAGACGGTGGATTTGGACATTAATATCAATGCCCCTCATATCTTGGTACCAGAGAGTTTCTCGTCACTGGCATCACCCGTTTTAGTTTTGGATTTGGGTTCGTTTAGTTTGATCAGTTCAAACAAACCATTCCAAGGCAAGGATTTTGAAGCTGTTCAACGTCAAGATCAAGATGATTTTAGAAAGAGTCAAGAAGCATCATTACTCAATGATCAAGATAGTGATTATGAACAAGAAAGAACTCTTTATATATTGGGTCAACCAAAGAAAGATGATGATGACGAAAATGATGAAAATAATGATGATGAAAGTAAACGTAAAACCAAACAACAACGTAAAAAAGATGATAAAAAGAAAAAGAAGAAAAAGGATTCTCGAAATATTTCTTCTACTTCTTCTTCTTCTCATCATCATCATAATCATACAACCAATCATACTCATACCCATCATCAAAATACAACTGATAATTCAAGAATGGAACATGAAACTTCAAGACTTTTAAAAACTAGTAATGGTGATGAAGAAGAAATAGTTCCAAGTAATTATCTTTATGATCTTTATGAATTACAACTTAAAAATATTCAATTATTTATTATTTCAAATGTATGTAGAAATCAAATCAAATCGCACAATATATATTTTTTTTATTTTTATTAACTTTATTCTTTTTTTTTTATTTATATTTAGAATACGGCACTTCCACTTGTAAATAAATTCGATATTAATTTTTCAATCTATAAATGTATAATACAATCTCAAACATTGTTAACAAAGTTAAAGTATGTAACGAATCAATCAAATATAAATATAAATTTAAATATTTACAAATTTTATTTAATTTTAGATTATTTGGAGATTTACCATTATTAAATATTCAATTATCAAAAGAAACTATTGAAATGTTGATAAGAATTATGGATTCGATTAAACCAAATGAATTACCACCAGTTTCAACTGTTTTATCTACTCCAACCACTCCAATCACCGATATAGAGGGATTGTATTCCTCTCCTCTACAATCACCTTCACAGCAACAAGAAGAGACTACAGAGGAAGGTAATTTCCAAGATATACCAGCATCTGACAATGAAAAGAATCCAGGACCAGGATTATTATTGGAAGAATTGGAATTAAATCCAGCTGATCAAGTACCCATTTTAATGTTATACAATACATTGTTGGAAGTTAATTTCTCGTTGCCTGCAATTAGTTTGGTCATTACTGAAAATGAAAAACCATTCATTCGATTGTTTATAAGTGGTATTGGTGCACAGGTTCACAAGAGAACGTACGATGTCTCTATATTGCTTACGTTGAAACATCTCTACATCGAAGATCTCTATCAAGTATTCCATGATCCAAATAGTCATCTTAGGTATTTGGCCAAGTCGTCGACGTCCATTAATACTAGCTCGAGTGGTGAGATGGTGGTGGAAGAGAATGAAAATTTAATAACCGTTTCAATATCATCGATTCAAAAGACGTCACCTCAATACAGTGGTATCTCTCAACAAATTGACATCACCTTTAATACTCTACAATTCAATTGTAACAAGTTGATCGTCACCAAATTAATTGGACTTACCAAAGACATTGAATCTATCATTATTGATACTGTATCTAAAAGACAACATCATCAACAAGTTCAACAACAACAACAAGCTCAACAACAGCAACAAGAATCAAGTCCTAATACCAATACTACTGGAGGAGGAGGATATAGTACACTTAAAAAACCAACTACATCACCTCCACAAGAAGCATTTAAAGCAGACAAGAATAATCCAAAGATTATTATTGCCATCACCATGAAATCATTGATTATCAATTTCAATGAGAATGATGAATCCTATTTTGCATTCTCTATTAAACAATTATCACTTAATTTTGATATTGATATTGAATCTTCAGTTATGAGAGTAAGCATATAAGCAATCAATCATCCTATTAAATATTAATATTAACATTATATTTTCTATCTAGTTTAAATTAGGAAATTTATTAATTCATGATATATCAAAAGATGCATCAAAAGATTTAGGACCATTATTTGGTACAGATGGTGAACACATGGTAGAGATTTATGTAATGTCTTATAACAAATCGAGTCAGAGTAGTGGTGATGGTGATAGTGAAGGGGGAGACAATACACCCAATGTTGGATCTCCTTCCTATTCAACTTCAACCAAATCAACTGCCACTGAACCACCCTATGACACTACTATTAGTGTTAGAATGAGTTCGGTAAAACTAATCGTCATTCGTAGTTTAATCGATCGTCTAACAGAATACTTTGAAGATTTTGATATTGATAACAAAAAAATCAAAGAAAGTGCAAAAGGTGCTGTTGAAATGATCACTGTTAAACATCAAAAGAAAAGTAAATATCAAACAAACAAACAAACAAACAAAAAATATATATATTAATATTTATATTGTTTTATTTTAATTGTTTTTAGAGGTATTATTTGAAGTTGATGTAAATGCACCAAGAATTATATTCCCAAAGAATTCATCATCACCTTATGTGATTATAGCAGATTTGGGACATATATCAATATTCAATTGTTATTCATATTGTTTGGATTCACCTAGTATTGTGTTGGAAGAGGTTTATATCTATGCGTCGTCTATTAATTTCCACTCTTGTAAATTTACCAATGGAAAGGTGGATGAGCAGACAATCGAGCAACTCTCAAACCAGGTCAATTTGTATATATGTGTTGAATCGTTTGACCCAGAACCCAACTCACCAAAGTACACACAGAAACAAAAGGTGTTGGGTGAGTTGTCGCCCATCTCGATTGGTATCACTGACAAGCAGTACACGCTGTTGATGGCCATCATCAAGTCGTTGGTCGAGCCAAACCTCAAAAAGAAGAAAAAGAAAAAGAGAACGATCCAACGACTCGACAAACACAACATGTTGCCATCGGAAGCCGACAAGAACGATATTCGTGACCAGATTTCATTTAGAATTCCACACATCTCTGTGGAAATCTTTAGAAAGAATAGAAGCGAGTCTGTAGTATCATTTGAAGTTGACAAGTTGGATTTCTCCATCATCGAGTATCTCTATGATTATGAATATACTCTTTTTACAATGAATTCAATTGAATTGATTGATACTAGAAAATCTGCAAATAATCAATTTAGAGTAAGCAAAGAATGAAGAAAGAAAGAAATATGATGGATGAATAATATTAATGTTAATATTTATTTATTTGTTTGTTTGTTTTTAGAAATTATTATATCATTCAAAAAATGATCAAAATGAAAAAGAATTGACAATTGATATTTGTGAAAAGAGAAATGGTGATATGGAGATGAAGATATCGTTGGATCATTGTAGAGTAGTGTTGGTACCTGAATCGATTTGTGCGATTATTGATTTTGTCATGCCGGGTGTCAAAGCACTCACGTCACTCTCGGATATCGAGTCACCTGTTTTGTCTCCTTTAATCATTCCACCTGGTTCACCAACCACTGGTTATGGAGAGGATGAAGAGGATGAGGAGGACGACGATCTAGAATCAAGTAGTGATAGTATTGCTCCTATTGTTAAACGAACACCTGTCAAAGCAATGCTAGAAGATAATAAGAAAATGGAAGATGGTGATAAACTCAACAACAACAACAAGTCTGGAACGACCATTTCATTGTATAATACAAAGGAAGGGTTACAACCACAAAAGAATATTCATATACAAGTGACAAAGGCAGAGATTTGTATGATTGAAAAGCCAGAGCGACTAGACAGCCGCGCACTCATTGTCAAAGCTTCGGCAATTGGTAAGCTGGCGACACAGACTGGCAACATTCTCACATACTCTGACTTTCAAATGTGTGTTGACAAGTTTGAATTGTTCAAGTGTCGATTGGACGACCTCATACACACGTCCGTCTCTATCATTGATCCGTTCAACTTGACCGTCAATATATCGCAGGTCGAGGGAGGTGACGATGAACTGCCAATCGATATACTCGTGTCGGTCAACCCTATCCACATCACCTTTTCATACCAAGATTTCCTGCTGTGTCACCAGATCTACCAAGACATTGCAGATACGGTCAACAAAATGATCGACGAGGAGATATTTGAAAAGTACAAACAACAAAAACAAAAACAACAACAAAATAATCTTCGACTCAGTCGGTCTAGTAGTTCAAAGTATTTAAGATACTCTACTTCATCTCAACATATTCCTCAACCGACGTCGGTACCTCCACCACTACCACCCAAATCCAAACCAAGAATCAATTTCCAATCACCACGTATCAAGATTACATTGATTAATGATCATGGTGGAAAGTATGCTGGTATAGCCGATTTCAAGATATCCAATATATCACTAGAGGTGTTGGACACTAAAGTGTTGATGGCCATGTTTATAGTTGCCAACTATTTTAATCCACAAAAATCAGCTTGGGAACCTGCCCTTGAAGATTGGGGATTCAAATTAGGTATTGAAACTATTGAAAATCAACAACCAAACCTACTTCAAAAGTCACAAGACATGACAGAAGCTATTGATCAAAAGAATGGTGTTGGTGAAAAGGATGTTTCAACCAATATAGTACTATCTTCAAGTCGTCAAATGAATCTAAATATCTCTAAAGCTCTCATTGATACTCTTTATTCATCATATCAAACTATCAAACAATTGGATCTCATTACTAAATTTAATGATATTAAAAAGAATGAAAAGAGAGGTTCATCATCAGCAGCAACAACATCAGTAGTAGAAGATAAACCAACAACAAAAGATGATAATAATAATAATAATAATAATGCTGGATCAACAGTATTTACACCAATTGAAATACCATCAAGATTTATTTCATCTTCTTCAACACTGCTGCACACATTTATCTTGAGAAATGGTACTGGTATGAAATTGGAATGGTGGATTAATAATGTTAGTGATAATAATAATAATAATAATCAACCTCAACCAGGACAAAAAAAAGAAGACGACTCTGAAGAAGAAGAGAATGAAGAAGATACAATTAAATATCATTCATATCAACATCCACATCATCATCATAATCATCATAATCAAAATCAACAAAAACAATATCTAAAGAAATCATTTGTTGAAAATGGTAGTGATATTACATTTAGTTTGGAGGAACCAAGAAGTAAATTTAGAGATGCAACTTCGATTTCAAACTATCGTATCAATTTGGCGATGCATGGGTGGCGGGAAATCACCTCTTTGCCAATCGACAAGAGTGGAACCTTTTTCTTTAACCTCACACCGTCCGACCCACAAATCCAACACCAACAGTCGAGTCTGACCTACAACTATCAACAATTGGTGTATGAGATTACAGTGTGTGATGGTAATCGTTTGTTGATCATCCGTTCCAACACTCTGATCACCAACAATACCGACGGTCCAATACAGTATTTTGACAAACCATTCTACAATCCAACCGTGCGTGATGAGGAGACTCTGCCCTACGGAACATTGTCGACAATCGGTCCGCACGAGTCAAAGTCATTGCCATTGGCACCTCTCCAAGTGCAGTATCAACACCAACCACACTTTAGAATATTTGACAAGTCGTCGGGCAAGCAGAGCACGCCCATCATGTGTGAGCAACCTGCATTCTTCCAACTGTGTATTCACAGACGTCTCTATTATAATGTGCAGATTGACACGCACTATATGGACAGTACCGAAGAGAATGATATGTACAATGAAGATGACTTGGACGAACAAGATGGTGAAGGAATAGGAGGAGGAGGAGACGACGACGAAGAGAGTAAACAGCAACGTCAAAGACAACTATTGATGGAACAACGCAACAACCACATCATTATCATTTCCGCACCACTGGTGATTGAGAATACGTTGTATTGTCCCATGTCTGCACGTATCTATGACGCACTATCCAATGAAATGTTGGAAGAGTTTACTTTGGAACCTGGCAAATCTATCCAGCTGCTATCAATCAACACGCAGTTGAAAACAATGATGCGTGTCAAGGTTGACCAGTTCAAGTGGAGCAACTTTTTCCAAATCACCAGTTCCACTGAACGAGATATTAACAACCAACTCATTAAAATGAATATGGACAATGCAACGTCGACAGCGGGTATGGTGACACTGAAAATTGAACAACGATCATTGTATGGTATCGCCAAGATATGCATTTACTCTGAATTCTGGGTGATCAACCGTACTGGATTAAATGCCAACTTTTCAATCAATAATGGTGAATACACCATGAAGTCACTCACCCAACCATCACTCGAAGAATGTATCGACCCATACAAAGATCCAAGAGAATGGTACGATATGAAGGCACTGATTCCACCACCTCTCATGATATCACCTGCCGATTCATTCGTCTCTTTCAAAGTTGACAATAGTAAATCATCTCAACCTGTTCGTCTATCAAAAATTAAAGCCGACGATGATATAACAATCAAAAAAATGAAATTTGATAAAGAATTATCTTTACAATTTAAAACTTTAATTTCTGTTGAAAAAGAGGTAAATAGAAAAAAAAAGAAAAAAAAAGAAAAAAGAAATAGATATTTATATATTAATAATTTTTGTTTTATTTAATTTATTTAGCATTTTAGAACAAAACAATTAACAATATCACCAAAATTTATTTTAATTAATAATTTACCATTTAAACTTTATTATTGTCAAAAGGATTCATTGGTTTATAAAGATTATCATGTTGTACCTGGTGAATCACTTCCGTTCCATTATTTGGATGATAATTTGGAACAATTCATGTGTGTTAGATTGGATACTGACAATCCTTGGAGCGGTGCATTTAAAACATCTGTCACCAAAGCAATTTATTTGTCATTAAAACTTCCAAAGAAACCACAACAACCACAACAGGTCAATAATAATAATAATAAGGATGAAGATGATGGATTATATATGCCATTGGTTCAAATATTACAAGAGAATGGATTATTCTTTATTATTTTCAATCCTCAATCAAAGAATTATCCACCATTCAAAATTGAAAATCTAACTCCATTCCCAGTTATCATTTCTCAACTTGTAAGAAATCAAATAATATATATATTTAGGAAATATTCTTATATTAATTTTTATTTTATTGTTATTTATTAGGAAACAAATATTAAACATACTATAAATAGTAAAAAGACAATTAGATATGTATTTGATGAACCATTATTGGAAGATGTATTAGAGATTACAATACCAAATACTCGATATTCGAGGACGATGAAATTGAACAAGTTGTATAGTTCAAGTTCACCGATTGTTATTAAAACACAGACTGGTTATTCTGCAAAGATAAAGACATTGGTCTATGCAAACGGTCCTACCAAAGTATTGTGTTTGGTGGATATCAATCAACCTGGTGCTGAAGCAAATCTACCCCTCCCACAACGTGAAGGTGATCCAACCAATACCAACAATCAACCTCCCAATAGATTATCGGTCGATGTGTATATGGGTGGTGTTAGTATATCACTGATTGATGGTCAACCTCAAGAACTATTATTCTTGACGCTGCGTGGTATCAATATCAAGTTTAGAGAATCCTACAACTATGAACAAGATATTCATCTATCAATCCACCAACTCAAAGTTGATAATCAACTATACAACACTCCATACCCTGAAATTGTTACTACTGATTCAAAGGAAACTCCTTCCTCCTCGGAATCAGATCTGGATCAAGATAGTAACCATTTCCTAACTGCAGTCTTTTCGAAATCAACCAAGTACCAACTGGAACAACAAGATAAACAAGTTGGTATAGATTACATCAAACAATTGAAATTCAAAATTCAACCATTGAAAGCTCAAATTGATGAAACTCTTATCTATTGTATCTATCAATTATTAATTCAATTGGATTTCTTTAAAGATAAACCAAAATCTAAATTAAATTTGTAAGTTAAAGAAAGGAAAAAAGAAAAAAAAAAAGAAAAATAATATTAATTAATATTATTCATTTTGTTTTTAGAACATTTTTACCAATACCAGAAACAGTTGATAGTAAAAGAATGTATTTTGAAGAATTGATAATACCACCAATCGATATTCGATTAAGTTATTGTTCATCATTTTATTCGAAAAAATTGATTGGATCGGTGGCATCGGCCATGGCCAATATCGACAATGCACCACTACACTTGGAAAGATGGCAACTGGAACATCAGTTTATCACGATTGCCGAGATGGGGACTGCACTGTTATCACATTTCAAGTGGGAGTTTGGCAAGATTATTCTCTACTCTGATATGTTTGGTGCACCCATGTCTCTGACAAACAGTCTGTCACGTGGTATAAACGACTTTATCAACGAGTCACGTGCCGGTATCAACCAGAATGTGGTGTTGGGTGGTATATTCAAGGGTACACGATCGTTGCTCAAAAACTCATTGTATGGTATATTCAACTCGACGAGTAGAATCACTGGCAGTATTGGTAAGGCAATGGCACCATTGTCGTTTGATTCGCGGTACCAGCAGATGCGTGAACGACAGCAAAACAGGGCAGCTGCACCAAAATACTTTGGTGAAGGGTTATCAATGGGTATCAAAGAGTTTACTAAAGGTGTGTCACATGGCTTGGCCGGTATATTCAATCAACCAGTAAAAGATTTCCAAGATAGTGGTAATATTGGGTTTTTGACGGGTCTTGGAAAAGGTGTGATTGGGTCGATTGTCAAACCGACTATTGGCGTCATTGACATGCTCAGTCACACGTCACAAGGTCTGCGAAATAAGTATCGTGAACCAATCGACTACCATCAAATCCGTACACGACCACCTCGATTCATCGACCCCGATGGCACCATCCAACCATACAACTATGAAAAGTCGTACTGGCAAGAGATACTATTTGCCATTGACCGCGGTCTCCATTACCATAATCGTGAAAGTCAAGTTGACCATATCATCTATTACAGTTATATTCATAATACTAAAACCAAAAAGAAACGACACACCAACAATTATAATGACCAAGATGATGGTTCTAGTTTAGATACAACAACAACAGATGATTCAAATTTGGACAACAACAAAAAACAATTATTTAAACATCATATATTGGTATCTACCAAATATTTGTTTTTAATTGATGAACCAGTCCCAAAATTACGATGTTCATTCCTACTCTCGACACTAAGGCTTCGTGTACTTTCATCCGAAAAGAGTCTGCTAATTGAAAACACCAAACAAGAAAGATTCTTTACAATTCAAACATTGGATAAACTAGGAAACGATATCTCACTACAACTATTTACAGAATTGAATGATATAATCTTGGATTTAAAATCTAAAAGTGGAATCTAAATAAAGCAATCTTTTATTTATTCATACCCTGCTCAGGAATTCAAATTATAAACAATAAAACATTGGTTTATTCTTGTCTTCTCCGTTTTAGGGTTTCTTGGCTGATTTGGTAGAGGGGGTTTTTGGAACTTGGTCCTTCTTTGATTTCTTTGTTGCGAGGATTCAACAATTTCTAAATCTTTCTCCTCTTCATCCAATTCATCAATTGCTCTCTTCTTGTCTGTAAGTCTGGCTGAACTTTTCTTGGATTCGACTGGTTGCACTTCCTTCTTTTTAGCTGTTCTTTGGGAGGTTTTTGTTTCGTTGATTTCTTCTATTATTTCTTGTTCCTCCTCTTGCTCCTCCTCCACTTGCACATTTTTAGCTTTTATTATGGGGTTTTTTGTTGCCTTGATTTCCTCCTTTGCTACTTCCTCTTCTGAGGTCTCAAACGATTGCAAATCAGATTGATTTACAAACACTGGGTTTGAGACTTGGCCATCCAAGTTGATACGACTCCAAAGCCCGGGAAAGAAGTGGTGAATGTTTTTAGAGTGATAAATGATAATGTCTTTTTTATATTTAAGCAATATGGAATCTGAAATCTTGAAATTAGTGACCATGACCGGTAAGACAAGATAGTTGGGATACCTTTGTTTGAGATGGGCGGTTGTTGATTGGATGTCACTGAGTGTTTTGTCTTCGATGTACTTTTGGGAGTTGGTGAACTTGGAATTAATGACGATCATGGCAAATTTTTTTGACAGACTTGGCACCTCGAATTGGTAAATGAGTCTGATATCGAAGCTTGTGTTGCCATCGGCCATGATGTGGATGTCATGATCAAACGAAACCGTCCTTACCTCGTCATTGCCATCTAAGATGTATGAGTCTATTTTAGAACTGTGGTTGATTTTGGTTTTTTGGTGAGATCTAAGGGGAGGTTAGTTTGGGAAATAAGGATGGTGAAGTTCAAAAATAACATACCCTTCAATCCATTGGTTTTTATCTTTGAAGATACAGTCAATATTTTTTGGAACAATCTTGAAAGATAAGATAATATTCTCTTCAATAGATGGGAAAATATCTTGAATTGTGAATGGTGTGGACAGATACGAGTTGCTACGCAACATGAGAGTGATTGCAGTGATTTCCTCAAATGGAGATCCACCGAAATTCGATGGCAATGGAAATTGGACTAATTTTTGCAGGTATGGAAGTTTCAAATTCTTGGCAATGAAATGCATTGATGCAGTCGGGATGAAGAGATAGAGAAATCTATTACGTTCCTCAAGAATGAGTTGACCATTATATGCAAATTGCTGAACAGTAGAGTCGGCGGTGATCTTGGTGTCCCACCCCAATGGTTTCTGACATAAACAATGATTGAGTAGAGTGATAGAGGTCGCATCATCAAATGGGAAGTTAAATCGATCCGAAAGTTTTTGATGAAGCACAAAAAGAAATCCATAAATGTCGATGTTGGCATCCATCCAGAGCGATTCATTCTTATTAATGTAATTGATTACTCTCATGAGAGATCGTGGAATAATACCAAGATCATTGATAAATGTTTTGAATTGTTGATCTTCCAAGATAGATTCTTTTTTTGATCGAAGAGGAGGAGGTTTCTTGCACATAGACTCGATCAACGAAAGCGAAGATTTGAGTGTGATAGGAAAAATATTGATGGGATGCATTTTCCATTTTGAGAGAACGAGGTTCGTTTCTGTACCTTTTGATGTGGTACCAGTGAGGAGCGGAATGAGGAATACTTTTTCATTGTTTGCATCAGACTCTGTCTCTCCATTGCATCTATAAGTACCAAGCCCCTCGATCATTGTATTGACAAATGAAGGGTGATTATTTTCGACAACAAAGTCGTGAGCCAATGGAAACTCATCAAGGTGCAAGAAGATTGTAATAGGTATATCATCATTGCTTATACCTGATTTCTTTCTAAGATATCTAAAAGTTGACCCAAACGAAAAGAGCTCATCGGGTACCTGAGTGAGATGCTTAGAGATGACATCAAAAGATTTGTGCATGATCGCACGGGCAAATATCCTTTTCTCCAGCGCTACAGAGATCGAGTCAGGCTTGGTGGATAGATCCGACTCTGTAAGTCGATCCCCACCTCCATTGAAATCGATAAATATGTAGAGAGATGACTTCATGGCTTGAGAGATCTTGTTGTCAGAGAAGTTGAACTCCCTCAAAAGTCGATGACACTCCCTACCAAATGTTGTCTTTCCCATTCCAGCACCAGTAAGACAAGTAAAAAAAGGGTGATCGTCTCGGGTGAGATTCTTAGAGTGGTATGACCAGTACATTTCTTCAATAATACGAGCAACTGACTCAACTGCATTTTCTCTGTCCATGAATGGTGATTTGTCTTTGACGGTTTCCTGACTAGTTATTCCTAATCCATTCAAATATGCCTCTAGTTGCTCCAAATTAGAGAAATTTGCTAGATCAAATAAAGAAATAAATTATAAGTAAGAAGAGGGAAGAAGAAAACAAATGTTTGATAAAACTATAATGATTATAACTTACATTGCTGTGCGAGCTGAGGTTGTTGAGTCGGAGAAGAAACATAGATGCGAAGAAGAGTGACATCAACTTCAACCTCTTGATCAAGAAGTGTTGTCAGGGTTTTATCCTTGTACAATAAGATTGGACCGCTTGGATTGCCCAGTTGTTCGGCTGCTCTAATTGTGGGGAAGAGGGAATCGTAGTTTGTGTGATTAGCAAAGGTGAGGTATGTCTTGTAGTTTCCAAACTCAACCCAACAAGCGAAAGGCATTATGATTTCATAGATAAATGTATAATGCAAGATAATGCAAGTTCTAATTAGAAGAGTCTAACACATTAACATAAAGTGAGAAACCACAGCTAGTTGTGTGTTCTTTTAAAAAAAAAAAAAAACAAAATTATTTTTATTGTAAAATTCCTAAAGTCATAGGTTATTTAAAATCATTGAATCATAAACTCCATTTCTTTAATTTTAGTACTATATTAAAATGGGCAATAAAGTTAGTAGTTTATTAGATAGATATGATACAAAGTAAGGTGATATATATATAGATATAATGAATGGATGTGGTACTAATTAATTGAATTGTTTATCTTTTATCTATCTATCTACTATCTCTATTAGGTTTCACGAACTTGATAAGAAAGGTGGAGAGAGATTCGTTAAACAATTTATAGTCAGTAGTATTGTGGTCAGTGCCATCTTTGGTATTCTTTTTTCTGTACTATTGGTATTACTAAACAAATTTGTCTACTAGTAGTAAGGACACACAATAATAATAATAATGAAGATCACAACCAAAAGAGAAAGAGAGAGAAAGAGAGACAACACCAACCCTTATTAATCACACGCAACAAATAATCATAATCAATCATCATCATAGCAACGCAACCAATAATATAATATTTATTTATTCTAAAATATAATGTACATAAAAGAACAACAACAACAACAACAACAACACAACACAACACAACATGAAGAACAACATAACAAGAAGAACAACATACGATACAAATAATATAATATAATTTATATATATAATATATACACAATCAACAAGACAATAGATGATAATAATTGATATCATCACCATCCATTAATATCAATAAACATCCAAGTGTCGTCATCATCATCATCATCGCATGCAGTAGTACATGTCAATAGTTATAGTAGTAATAATCATATGATTGATGATGCCAATTAAATTAGAAAGAAATAGAATAGATTCATTCATTGTCATATTGGATCCAACCAAATTTGATTGGTGACCAAAACCAAACAAACAAACATGTAACCAATATAGAGAGGAGGTTGTACATATAAATAGATCTAGAGTTGTTTTATTCTTCTTCTTACATCCACTCTGGTTTTCTCTTTCCAAGTGATACGATTAATCCTAATGTTGCTCCAACTGCACCTCCAACTGCTGCCTTGACTGCACCTCCTGTTTAATTATTGATAAGATTGATATGATAGATAAAGATGATGTGGTGAGTACACATTCTATTTTGAATATATATATATATAAATATATATATTGTTGTTGTTTAGTTTAGTTTTTGAACATACCTGGTGCCTTTACAACAGTACCAGTAATAAAACCAGACAAGATATTATTTGATATACTATATTCGTTCATTGGAGTGCCATAGTGTAAAAGCTTTCTGATACCACTAAAGCAGAGGATCATTGAAGCGGTTGTGTTTGCATACTTGGCAGTGTTCTTGCCCAAGCAATCCAATATGTGAGTTCTACGTGATTTACCAGGTGCTGGTTGATTGATTACTGATTCGGCGAGACCGATCGATACACCAAACAAACTACCACCGAGGTATCCCATACCTGTTAATTGTGCAAACTGTAGATCGGCATCGGGTGACTCGTTCAATGTTGTAAAGGTTACACCCTTGACTGGGTCTCCCACTATATTGACATCTAATGTTTGTTCGCTCATATCTTCTTAGTAGACTAACGAATATGTGTATGTAAGTATATATATATATATAGATGTAAAGTATTATTAAACTCTAACTAATGTAATAATGAAAGAGTGTGCACTCTCTAAATTGAGCACATCTCATCCTCGTTTTTTTTTATGTCAGAGTAAGTGTCGTTTTTTGCTCATCATCATGATATCACGCTGCTCATTATAATATTAAACTTTAATAAAAAAGAATACAACTCTGCTCCCAATCGATCGTTCATTCATCAGCAACTCAACTAAATAGAGATAAAGATAATAGGTAACTTGTATCTGTGTCTGTGTGAAGTGATACTAAATCTAATATGAAGGATACAAAAAAGTTAATGAGAGGATCGTGCCAGTTTACAGTTCACTTTGGTACAATCTTTTATAAACAAGAAGATCTTCTTTATGATCAACATGACAGAGAGATGATGAACAATGGATCATTCATTGATTCATCATTATCTAGATAGATAGAGATAGAAGATTAGAAGATATAGATAAAGATGAACAAGTTAAAAAAGTTATATTTAGTAGTGACAATCATCATTGCAAGTATCACAGGCTATATTAACATTGTGAGAGCAGCAAATTATGATCGAGGTTGTCTAAGTTATACAGTGTTTCCACCTTCAGAATCATTGATTCTTAGTAGATCATCCTTTGATGTTGAACTTGCTTTTGATAGAGTACCAATGTAAATATTATTATAAAAAGATAGATCTATCTTTTTAAACCAAATCAATCAAATCAAATCAACCTAATCAATTATCATTATCATCATTAGAAAAGCAGGATCAAGTGAAATCACAACAACTTCTCCCATTGTTTTATTAACAGAGTTGGCTGGCGATGTTGTATGTATCAACTAATATTAATATTAATATAGCTAGCTATAAATATATTTTAAAAAGAACAGGATTGTTGTTAATAATGAGATCTTTTTTTTTTTTTCTTTTTCTTTTTATTTAGATTCTATGGGATAAGATTGGTAATCAAAAGTATCGTCCAACGTCATTGATGGTGTTGGGTCAATTTAAAATACGATTTACATTTACCAATTTACCATTGTCACAAGAGATTTACTTTATTACAAACCCAATCTTTTCTTGGCAATCTGATATTTTAGCTGAATTTGAAGTATTGGGTGTATGTATTATATAGGTTAAAGTATACTTTAGATTATTTATTAATATTATTCATTATTATTTTAATTATCTTTTAAATTATTATTAATTATTAATAGCCAAGATCAATTGCATCGTATTCTACAACATTGATCATTCCACCTAAACCAATTACCAATCCATTCAAGAATTTCTGTACTTTACAAATCGATGAAAACAACAAGTGGTGGATCAATGACCGTCCGAGTCAAATGACTATCAACCCATACACAGGTATCACACCCAAACCTTGTTCTCCATCGGTCACTGCCTGTCAATCTAATCCTACTGATCCCTACTATTACCAACTCTACTTTGATTTTAATCTTGCCAGTGGTTCCATCTCAACTTCTTACAATCAATTTCAATTCAAAGGAAATACTTATTTCACAAATGATTTAAAGGTAAAAAATATCAATATAAATATATATAAATATATATAAATATATAAATATATATAAATATATTTAATTTACTTTTAATTAATTTATATTTATATTTAGGTTGAATTAAATGGAGATGATACAAGAGTAGATGTACCAGTAACGATTGATAGTGATTATTTAAGTTTTTATGAAGCTATGGATTTTGGTGTATCTAAATTGTCGGCTGGAGGGTTATCCAATTATTCACCGACTCCAATGTCCTATGTCCAAGGATTGGTTGATCAAGCCAAAACTGGGAAATACACAATCATTGAAGACGGTCAAACGGTCAACCCAAACAATATCAACCTCTTGTCAATGAAAATTAATAGAGAATCTCATTCCTATTTATTTAAACCAATACCTTGTATGTATACTAATATAATAATATTACAAAATGTACATTTATATTCAAATTTAATTTAATTTATTTATTTATTAATTTATTAATTTATTAATTTTAAAATTAGCTGGAGAAGATATAAATATTAATATTATAAAAGGAGTAATTTTAATTCAAAATCCAGTATTGTATGTAACTTGTGCTCCAACAAGTTATCGTAACTCTTTTTCAAATAATGTACCAGTTATAAACACAACTTACCATTATGTCGCTGCTGATAGTAATCTAGCAATGGTGTATGAATCATTCTTGATGAATCCTTCAAACACTGCTATTGTTAGAAACTTAAAGGCAACTATTGGTTCTGACATTTTTACCTTTACTTCCTCTTCAACTCAATCATCCAATGGAATAACATTTTCAACTTTATTTAATGATAATGATAAAATAATGAGTAAGCAACAAGACTATATAGTTATAGTTGACAACTTATTAATTATTTTTTTTTTTTTTTATTTATTTATTTTTTAGATACATTATCAACAAAAAAAATATTATTTCCAGTTTCAAACAATGTAAAAGATGTATTGATTATTGAAAAGACAATTACGGGAACAACAAAGGATAGGTTGGGAGGAAATATTACAACTTTGTTGGATATGACTAATCCATCCTTTTGTAATATGGCTCATGGTACAGGACTACGTAACCAAATTGCCGATATCATTCAGTCGGGTTTGGCGACACCCAATGTCGTCGTTCCCATCTGGAGTTCAGTGTCTGGTCAATCGAGATTCTATGTTGATCGTGTTGCTGGGTTGTTAAAGATGCATTCGAGAAATGACTATGCCGTGGCAACTATCAACATTCCAATGAGTCGTATGTCATTTTTAGAGCCAAAGATTACAGTCGCCGATTTTAGTAATCCTCGTACATCACCTGGTGTGTATGACCCGTGCGATGGCATCTTTACAGTTAATATCCAAAACTCGGGATTGGCACCTGGACTGTTTAGCTTTGACATTGAGTGTGACAAGCCTGACCTCTACATCTATGTGCAGTCACAGTATCAGACATTACAGGCCGGTCAGTCCAGTCCGTTTGTCACGTCGATCAAGGTAACATCGTATTACGCCACACCGATCCAGTGCAATGTGAGTGTATCCATCGCCGCACAAGAACTGTGGAGTAGTGTCAACAAGATGGCCAATGCATCGTTTACATTCCCAGTGTATGGTCAATGCTCGATTCCCAACCCCTGCGAGGGTATTGACACGACACCCGTCATCAAGACGGTCGGTCTGCCCAATCCAATCACCCTATTCCCTCCATCCAACATGCAAGACCTCAACAACATGCAAGTGTCTGTTAGATTGACCAATATTGGAACGGCCGACGCTGATTTCAAGGCAACGATCGATTGTCAAATGAATGACGGTGCATTTGCAAACTATTATTATCACAATGACCAGAAATCAATCGTTGCACTAGTTGGCAAGGATGCATTTAGGGATATCGTGTTTAATGTGGTTTTGGAGTCCAACAGTCTGCCCAATCTAACAATGTCGTGTAGTGTGGTTGCAATGGTCGCACGTCCCTCGATTTGTTGGGCCGGTAGTTTTACCAACAAAGCTATCTTTAATCTACCTTTGGTCGCCTTTCCATACGATCCGTGTGTATCACAACGTCAACAACCATATATAGAGGTATCAGAAGACAAGTGGAGAGAATCAAATGACAATACATTGTACTTTGGTTATCTATTTTCTCTAGATTTGGCTTGGAAGACTATTAGTGTGAATCCCGTGCCATCGGCGTACCCACTTGCACACGATGTGAGTGATCCCCATGCCATGTCCGAACCGTCGTATCCTGGAACAGACCTAGTGTACATCAACGAGATTGTAACCAATGTAACCAATGCCGGTACACTCGACTCGATGTTTAACATTACCCTACTATGTCCACCACAAATATTCTTTGATAATCTTGAAGTGTCACGTCCGTGGATGAGTATCATCGAAGCCAACACATACAAATCCATCCGGTTATTTGTATTGTCCAAAGCAACCAGTCTTGAGAGATCGGGTGTTCAATGTTCCATGACTATCGAAGTGACAGATCTAAATGCTTGTTGGAACGAGTATGGAAAGTCGTATAAACAAGACGTCATGTTGTATCCTCCATTTGACAAGACTGTCGGTAATTGGTATCAACCATCTTTATTTGAATCGATTGCCTATTGGAAGGATGGTAGTCATACTATTCCAAGTTTAACAAGTTCACTTGGGTCATGGACAATCGATACTTCCTCTCTATCAACTCGTAGATATGTAATTGGAGTACACTCAAATTATATTGTCAATATGGATTATGGTGTTGGTAATTTAACGAGTACTTTGCAATGCACGGGATATGCAACCATCATCCAAGGCAGTCCTCTTTTAACTACATGTCTGTTAGAGTACCAACAAGGATGTTATATCAACTACCAAGTACAAGCATTGCCAACAAGCACCCACCAGTCTATCCAATGTACTCTGACAGTTGCGTTCAAACCACTCTTTGGGACACAATACTTTTCCTCTGCCACACCACCCCTTTCACTGCAACAAAGTACAACAGTATCTTTGCAAACACCAATCGACCCATGTTTGGCTGGATCGTACCAAGAGGTGTTTATAGAGGCTGTCACCAACAATTCACAACTATCACCAACACTGCAAAACAACCAATGGACCTATGACAGTGCTTCACTAGTCGCCAAAACAGTCCGAAGAATTGGTTTGTACAACTCTGGTGGCGGGTCAGGTCTAATCAGTGCAAATGTATCGATTAGCGATAGTTTGGTCAGCTTGGTTGTAGGTGAGAGCACTACTAGTTGCATGGCACAAGCATACTCGTATTGCCTACTCGAGTTTGTACTATCAATGACCTCTTTGGATGTTCCTATCACCAGTCCCCCACAGTTTGTATTGATCGATGTAACGAGTGTCGTTCAACCACAAGAATGCTGGACACTCAACAACAAGGTGGTCAATCAACAATTTAATTTGGTCAAGGCTGTCACTCCATGCCAACAAAACTCTGAAGCATCCTTGACACCAATTGATGTACACAATGACTATATCAATTATTTCAAGTCGATCATTAATGCATACAATGTATTTATCAGTCCTTGGAACAAGACCGATAGTAATCAACCTTTGAATCAGCAGATATACCAAGCAGAGGTATCATCACAAATTCTAAATAGGGGTAATGCAACAGGTATCCTATTTGTCAGTGTATTCTGTAACAATAATCCAGTCAAGACCAATCTACGTGTATTGGATACATACAATGTGACAAACACTGCTCTACTAGTCCAACCATTGTCCAGTGTTACAGTCAACTTTACACTGGAAACTGACAAGATTGAACAACCTGATGGTCAGACAATCAGTTGTTTCATCACAGCCACACTCAACCGAGAAAGATGTTGGTCTGGTGCTGGAAAGAACCTCACCCAATCATTTAGTGTTCCCTACCAAAGAGTCGTAGATATTACTCCACCCGATGAAAAAGATGATAACCTCACTCACAAGATTATCATGGGTGTCACCATCCCACTTGGTTTGATTTGGCTGGTTCTACTATCAACCTTTTTCGTTGCCTATAGACATCAAATTGCCAGTATCTTTGATAAACTCAAACGACAACGTAAACTCAAAGCCATTACATCTGTACCATCAGCAGCTGTTGTAGGTACAGGCCTTGGTCAAAAACCAAATTGTAATTGTGGAAAACCATCTATTTTCATATGTTCATTCTGTCATCCACCCAACAATGTCTATTGTAGTGATGTAGAGTGTTGGAGTATCATTACATCTGGGTCAATGGCAAATATCAATGATTACGATCCAATACAAGCACAAGAATACCTCGACAATGGTAACAATCAAAACAAACAACATATTCATCCACATCCAACCAATCAAGATTTTGAAATCAATCATCTTCACAAACAATTCCATCAAAATGACGGTCCTGTAATAGATCTAGTTAATATTGGACTACAAGAAACGTTTAAATTAAATCAAATCAAATAAATCAAATAAAATATAATATTGTTAGTTAATTAATTATTTTGATTTATTTTTCTTTTCTTTTTAACCAATTACAACTCTTTGACTTTTAGATCTCTTTTTTAATTGTTGTTTGTGATCCTTTTCATCTCTCTTTCTTTGTTCTTCTGGAGTTAATTTTGAAATGGCTTCTCTTTCCTTTTTAGCCTTTTCGATTTTAGCTCTTTGAGCAGCCTCTACTCTTTCTTGTTGTTGGGCCTTGAACACTTCTTGACGTTCCTTTTCTCTTAATTTTTCAGCCTTGGCTTTAGATGCCTTTGGAAGCTCGCAGTTGGCAACAACATCAATAAAATCAATAGCCATAGCAATCAATTCCATAAGTTTATCCATATCTGAAATCTTTGGTAATCTAAATACAAATGATAATGTCTTGTTGCTAAAATAAAAAAATAAAATAGATTAGTAAATATTATTATTTTTGTTGTTATTGTTTACATACAATTTAGTTGGATTAATTGAAGAATGATCAGTAAGATGTAATGATTCAAATAGACGTTCGTTGCTATTCAAAATGTTGACAAATTCAGGCTTGAGGAAGACTGATGGCAAACAATCGGTATCACCCATGACGGCATAGGCCGATGATAAGGCACCTTGATTATCGATTTTCGATGCGAAAAGGTGTAAATCATTATTATCAGCCTTGAACTTTTTCAAAGCCTTTGCCTTTGTAATGGCAAAAATAACAGTATCACATTCACCTTTGGTTAATGCTACATCGATTTTCTACAAAGAAAGAAATAAATATAAAGTAAATAAGTTGATACTATAGTTTGTTTTGTTTGTTTTCTTTTTCTTTATATTTACAATTCTATCAGGTTCAGCAAAACTAGCCAAATCCATCAATTGAGTGAAAAGATCTTGACGCTTCTTCAAGTTGATCGATACTTGAGCACCGTAGCAGTTAACACGACCGCTGCATGTAAAGTTGTATGTGTTTGGATCGACCTTGATGATTGTGAATTGATTGGAATCACCGAGGAAGGAAAAGTTACGAACAAAGAGTGAACGAGCCTTTTGACCCCAAAGACTGACGAGTGCTTGATTAGTCTTTTTGCCAATAAAGTAGTTGACTACATAACCAGCGATAAAGATAACAAATGCAATCTCCATATACCAATTACTTTGAGTTCTCCATTTTGGTAATTTGTTTGTATTGTCTTGTGCTGCTTGTTCGCCCGATGACGAAGCAACTTCTTGTTCTCCTGATCCCGAACCTGCATCATCTGCCATATTGTTTTCATTTGTTTGATGGTTATGACTATGTGTATGTTCTACTCCTTCAAATTCATCTTCATCATATTCAACCTACATTACATATGATGAAACAACAAAAGTAAGTAACACTCTTTCTCTTAAGCAACTACTACAACTTCTAACTAACTAAACTACATACAGAATGTGAATAAGAAATGAAAAGAGTTGAAATGATAACAATCAATAGTAATATTAAAGTTGTGTACTTCATCTTTCCTCTCTCTTATATGTTAACTAAATATATGCGCGTTAATCAGTTAACTATCAACAATAAAAATGAAGATGATCAGCAGCGTCTTTGAACTTCCTCATCTTTTTTTTGACCATATTTTTTGAACTTCATTTTTGTGTTGATATGCAAATTTTGATTAAAAAGAATAGTTTTAGTAATAGTAGTTTCATTTTGTTTGTTTTATTTATTATTTATTATTATTGTATATTTGTGTATTTTATATTTATAGAGTCGAGGAGGAATGAGTTTAATTAGATCGATATCAGGAGTTAGAGGAGTAGTAGGGTCAACATTGACACCTCAAGTGATTGTCCAACATATAGTTGCTTTCACTAGATTGTTGGCATCGGATGCATACAAACAATCACACAACAAAAAGATTGTTGTCGGTAGAGACAGTCGTGTCTCTGGACCATGGGTTGAAATGATCGTCAATGGATGTCTCATTTCTACTGGTCATCAAGTCATTCATTTAGATATTGCTACTACTCCAACTGTACAGTATCAAACAAACAAACAAAGAGACAGAATGATATATATCTTACTTTTTTTTTTTTTGATTTGATTTGATTTGTAGGTTCAATTTATAGTTCAAAGTAGAGAAGCAAGTGGAGGAATTGTTATAACAAGTAGTCATAATCCAATTGAATGGAATGGACTCAAGTTTATAGGCCCAGATGGATTGTTTGTGTCACCGGATAATTGTGATCGATTGTTTGGTTTGGCCGACCAAGACCCGGTGCCTATTCAAGAGACATTTGTAAAGTACAATCAATTGGGCAGTATTGAACGTATGACAACCGCCAATCAACTGCATATCGACAGTGTGTTTAAACTACCCTACATCAACGTGGACAAGATCCGCGCTAAAAAGTTCAAGGTCTGTTTGGACAGTGTCAACGGTGCGGGTGGCCCTATCATGACATCGCTGCTCCAACAGATGGGTTGCGAGGTCATAGGCATCAACATTGAACCAAACGGCGTGTTTGCACATACTCCAGAACCTGTGCCTGCCAACCTAGGTGACTTGTGCAAGGCTGTGGTCGCGAATAAAGCTGATTTTGGTGTGGCTGTTGATCCAGATGTCGACAGATGCGTTTTGATTGACGAGACGGGACGTCCACTTGGTGAAGAGTATACACTTGCTTTTGCGGTTGAGTTTATCCTCGGTCCAGACGTAGGTAAACGCGGTACGGTGTGCAAGAACTTGTCGTCGTCACGTGTGACCGATGATATTGCCGCCAAGTATGGATCGCAAGTGTACTGTGCACCAGTCGGTGAGATTCAAGTCGCTCAAAAGATGATCGAGACCAAGGCGGTCATTGGAGGCGAAGGTAATGGCGGTGTGATGCTGCCAGACAGTCATATAGGCCGTGACGCCATTGTCGCAGCCGTACTCGCACTCCAACTACTCGCTAACCGCACCACCGACACTCCCATGACCATCGGTCAATTCAAACGTACCCTACCACAATACGAAATCGTTAAATTGAAAGCAGCAATTGAAGGATTGGACCCTGACGCAATCCTCGATGCCTACAAAGCACAATACAAGGACACACAAGGCATGAAAGTCAATATTGACGACGGCCTTAAAATAGATGCCCCCGAATGGTGGGTACACCTCCGTAAATCAAACACTGAACATATCATTCGTGTCATTGCAGAGGCCAAAACAGAACAAGAAGCTACTAAAATTGCTAATCAATTTATTCAAGAAATTGAATCAAAAAGAAAGAAATAGAAGAAATAGAATAAATCAAACAAATAATAATCAAACAAACAAACAGATAATTAATGAATTAACAAAGAGGGTGTGGTTGGTTGTTTGGATGATGAAAAAAAATAAAAATCGGAATTCGTGTCTTGCACTCGGGTTATTATATATTTATAAAATATAAAATATTAATACAGACAGCAACAGTCATTAGTATAGTATAGTTTTATCTTTTAAAATTTTATCATTGGCGGATTATAAAAAAAAATAGAGTAGAATCAGGTGTAGGACAAATCGTGACTCAGAATAATAAAATTTATTACTGAGATATTAAAAAAAAACGTATCTCTCTTTTCTCTTTTCTCTTCTTGAGGAGCGAAGACAACAAAGTCACAAAATAATTTCAAGTCAGTTTACAATATATCTTATCTCCATTTCATTAGTATTAGTCAAGTTTGTTATAAATATATATATATATATTTAGATATCGATCAATCTCATCTATCCCTCGCGTTTCTTATTACAAACAAGAGAGAAAAATAGCTTCACTAAGAGGATTAATTGGGAGAAGATCAACTTCATCTTCAAACTTGTCAACCGGTTCTTCTCCCTCTGACAATAACAATAACAATAACAACTTGAAAGACGAGGAAGAACTACAAACATTTAAAAGTAACCAACTAGACAATAGTTTTGAAGACTTGGATAGTATATCTTCATCATCAACATCATCATCTTTAAGCAACAACAACAACAACACAGCAGCACCAAGATATCGTAAGGGAAAGCTTATTACTTCCCCACAACCAAGTACCACAACGAGCAATTACAACAGCACCGGATCCGGTGGTGGAGGAGGAGACGGAGGAAGGAACTCTAACAACAACAATAATAACCTATCGTCATCCTTTAACAAACAGACTTTGTCATCACCAAATAACCTCTCATCCTCCATGTCTTCATTCTCATACCCTGCACAATCACCACCTCACTCTCAACTATTAGCCAATCAAGCTATCAATTCTTACAACGGAGACTCTTCACCAAATAATAATAATAATAATAATAACAGTAGCGGTAACAACAGCAACAACAATAGTAACAGCAACTATAGCACCAACAGTAACAACAGTAAAAACTACTCTATTGAAATACCCGAGATTAATAAAAGACCCGGCAGCAGCAACACCACTCAAAAACAACGATACAATAACAATAGTGGAGACGATATGGATTCAACATCACCACTCATTTCTCCAAGAGGTTCTGTTGACTCTTCATTTGTAGCTCCAATTGTAAGTACAAATATCTGTTTAATCTCAAAGTAGATTGATTACTAACCTACTTTATTATTATTTGTTGTAGGAGGTTGATACAAGAACATTTTTACAAAAAGTAAAGGATACATTGATGAGAAGACATATCTATCTATCACGTACCGTCAATCTTGAATTAGAAGAACAAACTACTCAATACCCACCCAACGTTGTTCGTAATCAAAAGTACAATGTCTACACCTTTTTGTTTGTCATTCTCTACGAACAATTCAAATATTTCTTTAATCTTTACTTTTTAATTGTTGCTCTTTCTCAATTTATACCACCACTTCAAACAGGTAAACTATAATAACATAATATAATATTATATTAATAACTTTTAATAATATAGTATAACTAACTTTGTACTATTCTTTTATTTTACTTTTTAGGATATTTATTTACATATATTTCACCGTTGGCATTTGTTTTATCAGTTACCATTTTAAAGGAAGCATATGATGATTTCCAAAGATTCCGTCGTGATAAAGAAGCCAATTCACAACATTACTCGAGATTGACAAGAAATGGATTCGTCTCTATTCCAAGTTCCGACATCAAGGTTGGTTATTTCATCAAGGTCGAAACCAATCAACGTGTGCCATGTGACATGGTACTTTTAAGAACCACTGAAAAGAATGGTGCATCATTCATTCGTACCGATCAATTGGATGGTGAAACGGATTGGAAGTTACGTCGTTCCATCAATATCACTCAAAAGTTACACAGTGATGAATCATTATTAGATATGCGTGCATCAATCTATGCTGAACAACCTAAAAAGGATATTTATTCTTTTATTGGTAATTTTTCAAAACATGATATTGTATGTTGAAAGATTAAAGTAAAAGTAAAAGTAAAATAGATTTATAAAAGCTTAACTAATTTATATTCTTTTATTTTAGAATGAAACTGAATCAATTAGTGTTGAAAATACATTATGGGCAAATACAGTTATTGCATCTGGTACAGTTATTGGATGTGCAGTTTATACTGGTAGAGAAACTAGATGTGTTATGAATACAAGTATTCCATCAACTAAAGTTGGACTTTTAGATAGTGAATTAAATAATCTTTCAAAGGTAATTTACTATAGTATAATAACAAATATTAATATTTTGATTTGATTATATTAACATATTATATTTATTTATTTTTAGGTATTATTTGGATTATTATGTATTTTAGCATTTGTAATGATTTCATTAAAGGGATTTAGAGGATTATGGTATATTTATCTTTTTAGATATATTTTATTATTCTCTTCCATCATTCCAATTAGTATGAGAGTTAATTTGGATCTTGGTAAAACAGTATACTCTTGGATGATGATGAAGGATGATCAAATCCCAGGCACCGTAGTTCGTAGTTCAACCATTCCAGAAGAATTGGGTAGAATTGAATATTTATTAACTGATAAAACTGGTACTTTAACTCAAAATGGTAAGACAAAATAATAATAGAAAGGATATTTGTACCATATATATAATTATCTAATTATTTTTGTTTCTATTTTTGTTTAGACATGGTATTTAAAAAATTACATCTTGGAACTATATCATTTACAAAGGATAGTTTGGCAGATTTGGAGAATGAATTAAAATCATCGTATCAATTGAATAGACAATCGACATCTGCAAGAAAGAAGAATATTTCATCAAAGGTGAGAGAGTCGATTACGGCCATTGCACTGTGTCACAATGTGACACCAGTGGCAGAGTCTGAACATGACGGACTCGAGATTAGAGAAGAAGAAAAGAAACCATTATCAACATCGATGAAATTCAACAAGTTCTTTAAAAAGGGTTACCAACGTATTGTTGATGACTCTGGCAAAAGAAAGAAAAAGGATGATAAGGAAGGAGGAGGAGGAAGTGACAAACGTCCCATGTTGTTGCCCGACAACCACAATGACAATCTTGACGAACATGTGTTCAAGAACCCACTCGATCTACACGAAGACGACGACGAGGAGGGTAGTAGTGGACAAGACGGACTAAAGAGAAGAACAGCACAAAACTACCAAGCCTCTAGTCCAGACGAGATTGCACTCGTCAAGTTTACAGAGTCGATTGGATTGGTATTGACGGGTCGTGAGTTGGCCAATATCACTCTGACCAACCCAATGGGCGACAATGAGACGTATGAAGTACTCAATATCTTCCCATTCACATCAGAGACCAAGCGTATGGGTATTATCGTGCGAGATGTTGATGGTGCCATCACCTTTTACATGAAGGGTGCCGACGCGATCATGGCCAAGCTAGTCCAATCCAACGACTGGCTCGATGAAGAGTGCGGAAATATGGCACGTGAAGGTCTGCGTACACTGGCCTTTGGCAAGCGTTCCATGACTGAAGACGAGTACAACCAATTCCTCCACCGATACAATCAAGCCAAGACATCCATCTCGGACCGTGCCGCACGTGTTCAAGAAGCCATTGGCACAATCGAGAATAACCTAGAGTTGATTGCATTGACTGGTGTCGAAGACAAGTTGCAACCAAATGTAAAGGTTACACTTGAACGTCTACGTAACGCAGCTGTCAAGGTGTGGATGTTGACTGGTGACAAGATTGAAACAGCCACCTGTATTGCCATCTCTACCAAGCTTGTCTCACGTACCCAATCACTCTTCCAAATATCAGTGTCTGACAAGAATAGGGCATTTGAAAAACTCACTCAATTCTCTCGTATGAGAGATGCCTGTTTGGTGATTGACGGTCCATCGCTACAATTGTGTCTGGATAATTATCGTGATCAGTTCCTCGAAATCTCCACCAAGGCACCGTCGGTCGTATGTTGCAGATGTTCACCCACTCAAAAGGCCGACATTGTAAGATTAATCAAGGAAAAGACAAAGAAGCGTACTTGTGCCATCGGTGACGGAGGTAACGACGTGTCGATGATCCAAGCTGCCGATGTAGGTGTTGGTATCGTCGGAAAGGAGGGTAAACAAGCCTCGTTGGCCGCCGATTTCTCTATCCTCCAATTCAGCTATCTCTGCAGACTCATTCTATGGCATGGTAGAAACTCGTACAAGAGATCTGCTCGTCTCTCTCAATTTGTCATTCATAGAGGTTTAATCATCAGTTTTATTCAATGTGTCTTTTCTGCTATTTATTATTTTGCTGCTCTTTCTATTTATAATGTAAGCCAAAAGAAAAAGAAAATAATAATAATATTTATTAATGTTTTTTAATTTATGTATTATTTTAGGGAATGTTATTAGTTGGATATGCAACACTTTACACAAATGCACCAGTATTTTCACTTGTACTTGATGAAGATGTGACAGAGGATATTGCATTTAGATATCCAGAACTGTATCATGAATTGCAAAAAGGAAGATCACTGTCTTATAAAACATTCTTTATCTGGGTACTGAAAAGTGCATATCAGGGTGGCATGATCATGTTACTCTCTATTATACTCTTTGAAAGCAGTCTCAACAACATCGTCTCTATTACCTTTACTTCACTCATTCTTTGCGAACTCTTAAATGTTGCAACCGAAATCCATACATGGCACAGGTATATGGTCATATCACTCTTGGTTACTTTACTAAGTTATATTGTCACAATGATGATCCCTCAAATTACTGCTTTTGGTATTGTATCAAAACAAAAAACAATTATAATTATTTCCACTTTTACTAATATTCTATTTTATTTATTTTATATCTAGAATTATCATTTATTTTATCATGGGAATTTGTTTGGAAGGTATTTGTTATTACACTTGTTAGTTGTCTTCCATTGTACCTTATTAGATTCATTAGCCGAAAGATAGATCCACCATCTTACACCAAGCTTAATTAAATAAATAAAATCCAACCCACATAATTATTAATAATAAATTGTCTTTATTAAAATTTTAATTTATTTTTTTTCATACTTTGACAGATAATGAAAACAAACATAGATACAGAACAAGTACCACCATTAGAGTTTATAGATTGTATATTAATGCTTTTACTTAACAAAATTTATGATTCTGATGATAATGATAAATCTTATAAAAATATTTAGGTGATCACTCCAAATTATCAATAATAATGTAAAAATAAAATACTTTAAACAAAAAATTAAATTATTTATTATAATTATTATTTATTATTATTATATTTTTTTATTTATTTATTTAATTTTTAATGATCCTGTAGTAAACTAAATTTTGATGGTTTCTTTTTTAAATTTGAAGGTTCAATAGGTGAGCTATTGGATCGTGATCGAGTAAGGTGATCGGGTAAAGCGCTTTTTGGTTTGAGTTGATCGAATTGACCTGTTCCAACGAGGGAGGGCGAAACTGCTGCAGTTGGAGGAGGATCGGGTTGTGGGTTTAATTGTTGGTCGGGGACGAATCTCTTGGCCTCCCACTCTGCGGCGTTTGGATTAAACTCCTTGTCTCTAATCTCCAACAATGCGTCATACAACTCTTGGGTGGTTGGTCTGAGTGTAGCATCCTTGAGAAGGGTCCTCGAGATGATCTCGATCAGCGAGGCTGGTGTTTCGGGTGGGAACGTTGGACGGAGATCCTTTTTGGCGCAGGCAATCAAAATTTGATAGTCAAACTTGAGATGTAGGTATTCGCCAAAGGGGAACTGATGGGCTCCCTTAAGACATCTGTACAACATCTCCCAAATGATCATTCCCATCGAGTAGACATCACTCTTGAGTGTGTACTTGTTGCCAAAGTAGACCTCTGGTGCGACATAGGCGTAGGTGCCTCTGAGCTTTCCAAGAGTCTCCAAGTTGGAACCAGTGTCAAAACGACTGAGTCCAAAATCACAAATCTTGACCGTCCAATTCTCGGTGATCAAAAGGTTGAGACTCTTGAGATCACGATGTAGAATTTGTGGTGACCAAGTATGAAGTGAATTCAAAGAGTTTACAGCTTGTAACGCAAGATGGAATAAATCCTTCCATGAAAATTGTACAGTTTCGTCTTTTAATATATGATACAATGATCCTCTTGAACAATATTCCATAACAATACATAATTTATCTTTAATACCTGCTCCGAAAAAATATACTACACCTGGTGATTTTAATGCACTAAAAAATTAAATAAAAAATTAATATAGGTAGAAAGAAGAGAACGATTGATATATATGTTGTTTATAATATATTTTACCTAACAATTTGAAATTCTTTTTTAAATTCTTCTATATCTTTTTTATCGGTAAAAGATTTCAAAACTTTGATTGCAACTTCTTCACCTTTGTAAAATCCTTTATAGACTTTACCACTTGCTCCTACACCCAAAAGAGTTGAATATTGTAAATTAGTTTCATCAATAATCCATGTTGTATCGTTGTGATCGAGATGGGTATGTTTGAGTTGTGCTAAATCTGAATATTCAATGTTTGGTTTTTCAGGTGATGTCGTTATCACAACAGTTGCTGCTGCTGTAGTTGTTGTTGTTGTAGTTGTAGTGGTGGTGGCAACTGGTACTACTGCTACTGCTGCTGCTGCAACTGGTGTTGTTGGTACTGCTACAATATTTGTGGTTGTGGTGGATGAAACGTTGGTACTAGTGATGACTGATGATGATGAAGATGATGATACCGCCGCTGCTGCTGCTGCCGTCGTTGCTGCTGCAAACAAGTTGGTACTCGATAGATTGTTGACACTACTACTGCTACCGGTATGGGACAATGATCTTGGAGTGGATGGTGATACTATATTATTGTGATTCGGTGAGGTTGGTATAACGATATCAGATGATCTACGTATACTATTATGATGACTATTATTACAATGAGATGATGCCAAAGAATCCAAACTATGAACAGATTCTGAACTAATTTGAAGTGATGATAAATTTAAACTTGATGAACTAAAATCTAATGGTTCTCCAGCTACAAAAAAGTAAGAAATAAATAAATAAAAATAAAAGTTGGTAAGTTTGATTGATTGATTGTTTTTTTTCTATTTTTTTTTGTTTTTTACCTTTTAATTTTTTAACAGCTTTTAATAATTTAGCTCTTTGACCTGCAACAGTTATTTTTAAACTATCAAGTGTAGTTTCATCGATATCAGTGACAACATCCATAAACATGTCGTTCATTAAAAATATTGGAATGAGAGAGTCCAATTGAAGATTTTGTAACCAATCACTAATCTCTTGTGTTTGTTGAATTCTATGTACAATTTGAGTGTGATTTAATTCCTTTGCCAAATCCAATGGTTTCTTTGGGGGATTACCTCCTGCCAATGTAAAATCTGCTCCTCTTTGAAGTAAACATCTTGCAAACTCTGGTCTTCCCATTTTAATTGCATAATGTAATGGTGTTTCTTCATTTTTTGTTTTACTAATAAAAAAAAAAAAATTAAATATATATATATATAAGTAATCATGAGATATAAATATATATATCTATTTTTTTTAAACATACTGATCAATTCCAGATCCTTTTGCAATTAATATTTCCATCATTTGAGTTTTTTGATTTTGAGAAAGACATGATTTGTGAAGTGGGATTTCTCCAACTGCATTTTCATGGTTTACTGAACACCCTCTTTCTATCAACTTGTTGATTGGTTCCTCTGAAAATGAAACAATACATTTTTGTGCAAATAAATGTAATGGTGTATTTCCTTGAATATCTCTTGATGTTATCTAAATAAATAAAAAGAATAAAAAGAATAAATATTAATATAACAATGTTCTATCTTTGTTATTAATAATATAATATTACCTTTAAATCTGAAGATTTTAAAAATATCATCAACATTTGAATATTATTTGATACGGCAATTAAATGGGTGGCAGGAACACCTTCAGTATCACAAACGTTGATATCAGTCTTTGGTTTTGCCAATAAATGTTCAAATGCAACCAAATCATGATCCTTGATAGCCTTGATAAAAGGATTCTTGTCCTTTTCGGCCTTTTCCTTGTCGAAACGTATCTTTAGTCGTAGATCACCTGTTACCTTGTCATCTGGTTTAATCGGGACAAGTGGATACCATTTAATAGTATCTAGTGTTGATTCCAAAAGTGATTGAATCGGTAATGAAACCATACCCATACGATCATCCGAACTAAATCTATCCCAATCATAAACTTCTACCAATAATGAATGAGTTGTTGGATCAATTGTACTAAAAGTATTAAATAAAAAAAAAGTTAGAAATAATAATAATAATAATAATAATAATAATAATAATAATAATAATAATAATAATAATGATATATAATGTATATCTATCTATATGTATTTGATAGGTACAATTCGTAATGTTCATTTTCCCATTTAGGATTAAGTTTATGTCTAACTGCTTTGGTTCTCTTTTTCTTTTCACCAACAATGACCACACAATAAGGGTCACTTTGTCCATCACTATCCATTGGTATTAAATTCCTACCCTCCATTACTATAGTAGTAGTAGAGTAGAGTAAATGACATTTAAATGTTACAAGTTAGTAAAGTGTTTTTAAGGGACTTCCTCTTCATCCTCTTCCCTCTGCAGATTTGTTGTTGTTGTTATTGTACATACCAGAGACATGTAGGGTACCCAATGTTGACTTTTTGGTCATTGTTTTCTTTTATTGTTTGTTGTATAGAGTACTGAATGAATCAACGAATGAATGATGCTCTTCTACTACTATTACTACTATTACAGTACTTGTGTGTGATATGTTGATAATAATGTACAGGCTATCCTAGATTCTTTTCTATCCTCTTTCTATATCTCTACACTCTCTCTTTCTTCTCTATCTATCTCTTAGTTTCTTCTTTCTTCTAGGATATATTTAATAAATAAATAATAAATAAACAATAATAAGAAGCTTCTTACTTATGTTTTTGAAAGGAGTTGGTTGCAGCTCCCTTCTAAGAGAAAAATTCAAAACTTGAAGTTTTTACTTTCTCACTCCATCTTTTTAAAACTTGGACTTGCAAAGTATAGTATAGTTTGCTTGATCAAGACTCAATACCGATTGTTTGTGTTATAATATATTAATAGTGCAACAATACAACAATCATGACAAGTACAACATCATCATCAACGACATCTGAAAAGAGAAGAAATAGAATTGGTACAAAGAATGGTGACTTGTATCAATGGACACATATACCCTACGACCAAATCAATAGCAACTATGCAACCCAAGAATACATACAAGATAAAATTAGTATGTTCAACAAACAGATAGATAGATAGATATATAGATAGAAGATACATCATGTACATTGTGTGTAGAGATAGAATCTAATCTAATCTAATGATAATATCTCTCTTTTTAAAACAAACCTTTAGGAGAGAATGAATCAGTTGAAGATATCATTGAACCACCTGAATCACATGATTTACATGTATGGCAATACGAACAAATAAGACAGTTTACATTAGAGTTGAATCACTTTGCCGTACATTTTAGTGATGTGTGTACGGCCAAGACATGTCCCAAGATGAAGGCGACAGAGGACTGGTTGTTCCTCTGCGCATCACACAAGGCAACACAAGAGTGTTCGGCCATCGACTACTTCTTTCATACACTAGACAACACATCGGCACTACTCAACAGTGAGAAACTATTCCCAAAGAGAATAGAAATCTCTACCTCTTCTCTCAAACAATTCCCATCCATCATGAGACGTTTATATAGATTATTTGCACATGCCTATTTCCATCATAGAGAGATTTATGATCAAATCGAGGTATTTATAAACAACATAAACATAACTATATAATATATTTGAACAACAACCCAAAATCAATTAACCATCATCTCTTAATTTCAATTCTCTATCTATAGGAACAAACTCATCTATGTGAAAGATTTGTTACATTTGCTTTAAAATATAGTTTAGTACCTCCTAGTTCTTTGATCATACCTTCACCGAAATAATAAAGATAATCATGGTTGTTTCCTGTATGAAACCTCACACAAGCATCATCATCATCATCATCAACAACAACAATATTAGACAAGAAATCAAACCTTCAATCAAGCAGTATCAATACGCAATACTCTTCTCATCGATCTTTTCACTGTACAGCGGTCACCACCGATCAGAATCTCTCAGATACACCAACAAGAGTAATTATTAATATTAATAAACACGGTATCCCTATCCAACGATTAGTAATGGTCAGTTGGACCATGATTTTAATAAATCAATATTTTATTATTATAACAATAAGTTTTATTTCTTTTTTGATAAAAACTCATACCAGCAAGGTCCTGACTTTTATTATTATTATTTATTTTTTCCCCTATCCTTTAAAGTTAAGTTATTTGTTATTCTTTATCACACCCATTTATTAATTTACGTTATCTATTCATTAATCTTTCCAGGTATCTCAGTTTGGGTCTATTACCTCCAATTCATTTAAAGATCTCCAAGGAAAGGCTCTGGATACATTTGAAATTATTTTGAAGCAACAAGAAAAAGATGTTCCCTTGAACGATTTTAGAACACATTGGGACTGTTGACCGATCAAATGGTGTAGCAACTTAGAAACGGATAAGCATAAGATATTTGTGTATTGTTGACGGATCTAATGTAACTAACTGATAAACGGTGTTTATCTTATTTGTCACGAAAAAAAAAAGATGTTTATTTAATAAAAGACTACACCATAACGGTCTAATTGAATATATACATAACACTATTAGATGTTTCCTCTGAATGTAAAAGATGTAAAGTTGTTGTTGTGTATAACATGAATGACTTTGACGTTGGTAAACGGAGAGGTAATGTTGACGTTTTGGTCGATTGTGAAATTGACCACCCACGCTTCATCGGAATTGATGACTGGTTGGTAGTATTTAGACACCCTTTCGATGTGTTCTTTGATTGCACCATCACTGGCATGGGCAACCAATTCAAGGCAACACAACCACGAGGCACCCTGAGAATTACGCTCCATGACAAGATCACATCTCTCTGTGTGGCTTCCAGCAATTGGGACGTTGGCGTTAGTGGACAAGGTGACAGAGTTGGGTTTCCATCTTTGAATGATAGAGTATAACTCTGTATGGTAAACTGCTTCACAGGGGAGAGTGTGACCATGATATACCTTTGATGAAGTTTGCATTGCAGCAACGAGAGAGCTTGGAGTTAAAACCGAAACCACCCCTCTGACGAGATCGGGGATTGAGATTCCGTATTCCAATAAAGGGAAAGGGATGGATGGCTTGGTGCACGAGGATAAGTAATCAATGTTCGCCAAAAGCAATTGTTTGATAGCTGGGTTTTTGATCGAGTATTGATCTTGATTAATCTTTGCCAGCCCTTCAGAAACAAGATAGTTCAAAACTGATACTTTGATAGTCTTGGAGATTGGATCTGGTGAGATGGAGGTGATACTTGATGAGTAAAGCATCATCATAACCAACTCGACCAATAATTGATGGTGCTCGTACTTTGTGTCTTTGACAACATCAATGACGCGATGGGTTGTACGGTATTCCTCCATGCGAATGACTAATGAGGAGGTGCTGCGACTCCACTGTTCATAGGTGAGAGTCTTGCCTACTGGTAAATTGTTGTCGATAAGCTCTCCAAAAAGGCAAACCAATCCTGGATGACCTTCTGTTCTTGTGTAAATATCCTCAATAACTTCATGCTCGACAATAGTCAATGAGTTTTGTTGGTACATTTGAAAAAGAGACTCAACGGCTTGAAGCGAGAAGTTTGACGAGGGCACTGCTTCTCTAACGTTGAATGGAGATCCAGCGCGAGGCGATGATGACAGCGACAAGATATTGAATGGACCAGCCACGATTGCAGACTGGAGAACTTGACGACCATCCTCTCGAATAACTCTAAACTTGCTAAGAATACCGTCAATGGTTGAGCTACTGCAATAGTGGTAGACTTGGTCAAATTCGTCAATGATGAGTACGATCTTTTTGCTAAATCGTTGTTGTGTGGTAAAGATGGTACTAAACTCTTGATCATTATTAATTGAGACGTTGGCAAAAAGAGGATAGCGAAGCTTGAGAATATCACCTATTCCTTTAAAGAATGATGATGGATTCTGGTATAAATCATGACCAAGTTCTTGAAGGGAAATACTGAGAAGATATGGTGTCAGATTTAACGAACATGACATCTATTTTATAACTTACGAAATTACGAAGTAGTGGTCATTGTATAACTGCTTGACACTCTGCAAAAGTGTCGACTTTCCAGATGAACGGGGACCATGAAGCATAATAAACTGTCCTTGATCGATTTTGGAGCAAAGAGACATACCACTTGGTTGAGTTATTGGGTCAATCCAATAGTACTTTCCTGTCTCCTCTGGTTTAATCTGACCATTAGTTGAGAAATGCTTTTTTGTGAATGAGTATCCTCTTGATAACCCTAAAACAAAAGTAAAAAGAAAAAGAAACAATAAATGATTAGTAAATGAACATTTTGTAAATGACTATGTGAGTGAGTGTTGTGACTTACCTTGTTGAGCGGGTTGGGGTTGTTGATCCACCTTTTTAATCTTCAAGTAGATGTCTTGCTGGTCAGGATAAACCGTCAACAATGTATTGGTGGGGATATCATTCCCAAAGGACCCATCTTGTTGCTCTTGTACCAAAGAGAAAGTGTTGAGAGGGAGATTAAAACTTGTTTGGATTCGTTGTTTAATATCGCCTATCTCTGTGATATCAATAGACTCTGTAACTTTGACAGCTTGATCTCTCTTTCCCTCCTCATAAACTCTAAATACTCTAACCATGATTATTTGATGAATAACTCTATGTCACAAAAAAGAAAAGAATAACAAGAACATAAATTTCCACCCTTTTTTGGCAATGATATAAAAATTAAATTCTTTTTTATTAATATAATTAAAATAAGCATCAGATGTCAAAGGTTGAGCAGTTAAAGAAACAACTATTTGAAGCACAAAGAGAAGAATCAATGAAAAAAGCAGCAGAAATATCGCAATTAGGTTACTATGGGTCATCAAACGACAACTTTTCATGCAGTTTATTAAAACAAATTATAAGTAAGTGCAACTCTCAGCAAGCAATAAATGATATCAAGAAATATATTCTAACCTACTTCCTCAAGTTAGCAGATTCACAGTGTGTATTGATGTGGGATCCAATGAGCAAGAAACACAAGTCATTTAAGTACAACGAGATTCAATCAATGTATTTCATCAAATCTTTGGTTGTAAAATATGAAGGTAATACATTTAATATCAGAAAATGGTTCTTTGAAGACTATGACTATTTCTTCACACCACAATGGAGACCCTCATCAACCACTCGTATTTAAACACAAGAATACTTACTATCTTAATTATTTCACAGGATATAACTACAGCGATAGAGATTCGTTTGATGAACAGATGAAGAAAGGTATTTTCAAAAGTAGTATGAAGAAAGCAATCGAAAACATTTGGGATCATATCTACATATCATGGTGCTCAAGAAACAAGAATCAGTTTTCATACGTTCGGATGTGGATATCAAATTTAATCAAAGGAAAGAAGATGAGAACTGCATTGTACTTAAAGAACTCAATGGAAGGAACAGGTAAAGGTATCATCACCATCTTTTTATTATCAGTGATAGGGTTATCATCAATTAGAGTACAATCAACTAACTTTCTCAAATCAGATGGATACAATAGTTTAATGCTTGGAAAGTTGTTTATTTTATTGGATGAAATGCCTTGTTCAAGTCAAGCAGCATGGAATGAAATTAGTGATTCACTCAAAGGATATATCACTGAAGCAAAGATAACGATCAGACAAAAGTATGTTGACGATTTTGAAACAAACAACTGTGCCAACTTTATGATCACAACTAACAATAATGCAATCAGAATACAATCACCAAAACAAAGAAGATATGTAATATTGGATCTATCAACAGAACTCGTAGGAAATAAAGAATACTTTACTAAATTAGCACAGATTGTTGAAGATTCATCGGTAATGGAGGCATTTTATTGGCATTGTATGGACATAGATACCTCCAAGTTTAACGAGGATAATATACCAGAATCATTGCTATCAGAGGGTATGATTTCTGATCACTTACCTCCAGTCATGAAATATATCAAGAACAATTATGTACTCAAAGGTAAAGGAATGGATAAGATAAAATATAAATCCTTTTACAATTCATTTAACACCTTGTTTACTGAGATCATCATGATTTCGGTTTTTATTTTTTGAAATTTTTTACTTTTCCAAATAAGGAAACAACATCTCTTGTGATAGAGGTATGAGAAGAGTCTGAATATTATAACATTTAATAAAAAAATTTTTTATGCATACATATACATATAAATATATATATAAATACAGATACAGAACAGATAGATGTGTATTACATTACAATGTCTATCAAACAAACGACGAATAGTTGTAATATAAATGTTTTCAAGAATCAAAAAGGTTGTCAAGACTGGTCTGTTGGGTTCCTTGTTCAATGGAGGACCCTTTGAAGACGAGATAGAGGAGGATATTGGTGATGATCAACTAGTGGATGACGAGGAGGTGGAGGTGGAAGAAGAAGTAGACGAGGAAGAGGAAGAGGAAGAGGAGGAGGAGGAGGAGGGCGAGGTAGACAGCAACAATAACAACAATAACAACAATAACAACAATAACAACAACAACACAGCCTCAAAACAATAGTTCATCTTCATCTACTGTCGTTGGAGGCACTAACCCATCTAAAAAAAGGAGAACAAAACTGGTTGTGAATCAACAAGCTTACAAGCAAGAAGAAGAATGGTTCAAAAGAGAGTTCAAAAGGGATTTGAATAAAGATTTGTTCAAAATGTTCGAGAGCCCTGAATCAATCTCTACCCTTGCAACTCCACAACATATATCCATGCACGAAAGATTCAATAGATTCCTCCAAATGAGGATGATAAATCGAAAGGTGAACGGAGGACCTGTCAATCCTTTCGATTTATCAGATTTGGATCCCAATGCTTCCAAGTCATATGCCTACACACAAATCATTGATCCAAATGCAAAAGGATATGTCGACTGTGCCTGTACAGGCAAGCAATGTGCCACCGACTATTGTCGTTGTCATTATGGGAACAAGGGATGTAACAAGACTTGCAAGTGCAAATGCTTTAAAGGTGTGTAACATTAAAAGCATCAAATATAAAATATTTATAATAACAACTGTTTCTTTTTATAGTCAACGATCTGGGTCAACAATGGGAAATGTTAGATAATGATAATTTTGATAAACTAAGAAGTCGTATCTCGTACAAAACGGACGAAAACAACAAGGCCTTTGCAAAAAATGTTCCACAAAACGCCACACCCCAAGATGTTATCAGTCTCATCCTCAGCCCCAGCTTAATCCGTTATATTCAAGAAGAATCAACACTATATATGATATATAGGGTTGAGTATAAAACAGATTACGCATTCTTATCAAGTTATTATACAAATTTACGTAAAGGAACAGGAGGAGGAGGAGGGGGTACTTCAACTCAAAACAAACGTAAACAGAAGAAGATTAAAAAAAATCAACAAGTTGTGGAACCAATTAGTGCAGAAGGGCCTATTGATATCAGTTGGTTTCAAGGCACCCCAATTGCTCATGCGACAAATATCTCAACAACAAATCCTTCATCTACTCCTTCAACCTCTTCCTCCACCCCAGAAGAAGAAGAAGAAGAAGTAGAAGTAGAAGCTGAAGAAGGAGAAGAGGAAGCTACAAAAACTTTCAATCAAATGACCAGTAGAGAAAGAAAAAATGAATATAAAAGGATATCAGATTCGATGCCAACATTTGAAGATAGGAAAAAAGGTTTCTTTGTGTGTCCATTTGAAGTTGCTCACACCAATGAAGCAAGAGCAGAATACATTCGTCGTATTGGAGCACATGCTATTGCCAAACCATTCACATTTCAAGAGATAGAATCTTTTATATATATGGGGTTTTTTATGGGAATAATCAAACTTCCTAGAGTATTCCAACATTGGTCCACAACTAACATGAATATGCCAACTCCCATCTCAGACAAGATGACAAGAAATAGATTTCAAGACATTCTCAAGTACCTTCGTTTTGATGAGGAAACTCTAGTATCAATGATAGAGGACAATTCGAATAGATACTACTCTCCCTCTCTGCGTCTCTCTGTGGACGAGTTCATGGCTCCCTTTAAAGGATTGGTCAGATTCAGACAATATGAACCGGACAAACCCCATAAGTTTGGACTCAAATACTTTGTCCTATCTGATAACAATGGATTTATCTTGACTCAATGGCTTTATAAAGGGTCAAGTGAAGAGACCACAAAGACTGCAAAGCTTGGTATGTTCATACATCATTTAGCATATATCATATGGCGGCTATATTTATTAACTTTTATTTATTTATTATTTCAAGATCAACCTGATCTATCTTTTAAGGGAAACAGTCCATTACGAATTCCTCTTGAATTTGCACAATGGGTAAAGGAAAACGTTGCCAATGAATCCAGACCACTTGAAAACTATCTATTTGCAATGGATAACTTCTATACATCATTAGAAGTTGCCACTAGACTATCCGACTTTAGATCCAACTATGGAGACGAAGTAGATGAAGAAGATTTGGATAGTGGTGGTGTTGGTAGCAGTAGCAGTAGTTTGACACATGACAAAGTACACTTTGTTATGACGGTCAGAGCAAATAGACCTTCATATCTATTCTAAAATGGTCTTAAGCCCCATGTAGAATCCAACACCAAAAAACTAGCAGCATGTGCTTTCCCAAAACAAGAGTCTGGACTTCCACAAGACATATGTGCCGTTGCAATCAATGATAGCAAAATCACGTACTTTTTGACCAATGCTGTCGAACCAACGGTTAGTGAAGGAGGCAAAAAGCTATCAGTCCAAAGCGAGTACAACAACACCACACATGGAGTTGACCTATCAGGTCAATTTGCCTCCTCTTGTAGATCATATCCTCACCGAAAGTTCAAATACACGCATGTCAACTTCTTTTCTCAGTTAGATAGGGCCATGATCAATGCCTACTGTATTTACAAGGCCCTTACAACCGAAATACGACTCCAGTTTTCAGAATTTGTATCACATGTTGTCCAAACCAAACTCAATCTACCTCTACCCGCAACTAGCAGGAAGAGGAAACCCATCCCCGATCAACAACAAGAACTATCATCTATCGTGGTTGAAGGAAGAATCGGCGGCGACGAGGGCGAACAAGAAAGACTACCTCCAATCATGGAGTTACTCCCACAAGATCCATCAGACAATCACAGAGTGGATCATATACTTTGTACAAGTGATTCCCGTTCTAAATGCTTTTGGTGTGAAGCAAATCAACCAGTGAATAATGGACCAAAGAAACGCGGTCGTGCTCCCACCTATAAAACAAAAACAAGAGTAAAAACTATGTGTAATTCCTGTGGTGTTCATATGCACACTCATTGTTATGTAGATTCACACCTGAGTCTAACACAAAATGGTGATTTTGACCGGCTAAAGGCATTAGTCAAGCGATACCACCTCCAACAACAAAAACAACAACAACAATAGCAAAAGTGTTACCTAAAATTGTAAATAAAAGAACAATAGCTTCATATAAACCTATCTTTATATATATATATAATATATATACCGTTAGATGCGGGATAATAGCGCAGCTCCTAATAGGTAGGAACCATTCAAGACCATTAAGCCTCTGCCCGGGTGATCGTTATCATCTTTTCAAGAAGAAAAAATCGATTCTTTTAATGACCCGCGAGACTATAAATATCATATTATCTGTTCCAAAAAGGAGAATGGGTATCTAATGTGTAGAACCAACAACAAACAAATGCAAGTTACTACCATGGGATAAGCTCGATCTAGGTCTCACGACTCGCTAGATAACTTATAACATTGGTGTAAACATCCCAACTGTCCTTTGTCTATTCTCCTATTTTGTAGCAAACTAAAGTACTATTCTATCCTTTATATATATATATATACATATATCAAATATAGGTAATATATTATCTCTTTAATAACTACAATGTTTGTTATTATTGACCTTGTACTCTGAAGACATTGAAACTTGAAATCTCCAACCGAAACCCTTATTTGGTAATTGATCAAAGATTATGGTATTGATCATCAAAAGATAATAAAATAGCAGCAGAGAATGAAACAAAACAAATGATCAAAGATTATGGTATTCAGTTAAAACCCTATGGCTCAGGTGCAACTCTTCACTTTATGATGCCAAAGGATGACTTGTTAAATTTATTTAAAACTAGAACGTTTATATCAGATATTGACGAGTTTGTTGATGATGATGATGCCGATAATGATGTTGATCGACTTAATAATCCAAACTACGATAAAATCACCTTGGAGAATATTGCATTGAAGAAACGTGTTGCCGAGTTGGAAAAAGTTTTAAAGACCCGACCAACTATTGAGGTTGATGATGATATTGTAGATGTCTCGTTTGATGATACAGTGGACAATGATGAAGATGATTTCGATATTGATGATTTATCTTTTGACGATTCAAGTGATGATGACAGTCATATCTTTCAAACCATCTCTTCATTTAAATCTAAAAATAAAAAGTAATAATAATAATAATGTCTATGAGATAATATTATTAATCATTGTACTTCTTATTTGGCTTACGTACCCTCTTTGTATATTAATTATTTACTGGTAAAAGAAAATGAAAGAATTGAAGTCACTGACGAAATTTAATTTATCAATATAGAGTATATTATGGAACAAGTCGTAAGCAACGAATTAGATTATAGACCATTGTTGGTTTCGGAACCAGAATACGAATATACAAGATTATTCCCACAATCAGGCACGACATACACAACAGTCTCTGCGGGAGGAAATGATGCCATCTTTGAAATCCCTCCATCCAAAGCATACAATTTTGGTAAGTCTTGGTTTCAATTTTCTTTTACTCTACCTGTTGTAGCAAACTTTGGGTATGCATTTGCTGACTTTACACAAGAGGTGGTTTATATTTAATGGATCACACTAATTTTCATTTGCACTCAAAGATGGTCACCAAAATCAATAAGCAATTAACAGAGGCAATGAATTCGTACAACAATGCTCCTGGCACTGGCACACAAACATATCTTCCATGTTATTCAAGTAATGCATTGGCTGGAACTGCGAATTCGTACAACAATGCTCCTGGCACTGGCACACAAACATATCTTCCATGTTATATGATAATAATCTCACTGATACTAATCTTGACCATTTCTACACAAATTTAAACAATAATAGGTGCATGCAATATGATTACTATCCTGCGTCACTTGATGATTACAAGGCACTTCGAAAAGTTCTCATTGATTCAACTATTCAAACACCAAACATTCACAATTACAACTGGGTATGGATTGAAGAGTTTGGAGATGGATGCTACAACTTTAATCAAGACAACGTCGTAACAGGTATTGATCTTAATCTAGGCGAACAGAAATGGGACTTTATTGGCTTTTTCGGTGTTGCCACCAATCTTACTCACCAATCGACTGTGGTATGCAAAAGAAAACTTGTTATTACTGCTAATGGTCTAACTTTAGTCTAAAGAAAACATTATTTTATTTATCTCTATTAAATAATATAATGAAATACAAACTATCGTCACAATCAATCATCAAGACAATACCAATTGGAGGTGTGATACCAGCAAATGGAAAGCTATATTCACCAATTAACTTGGACTTTATTCCAGATGTTGTTACTCTCAAATATTACTCTGTGAGTGGAAACCTGATGGACTTGTATATACTATCAGAACAACACTAATCAGTGATAATTGTATGTTAAATTTTATTACAAATGGATCGGAAAAATGTAGTTAATAAATCAAATATTAATATTCAAGGCAGTTATTCATTTGAATGTGTTGATCAAAACAATGCATATTTGAACAGCCAACTTGAAATAGCATTGGTCATCGAGTTTATCAAGTATTAATCTCATCTATTTGTATATAATATGATAAAGGTATCAAAGATTAACAATGTAGTAGTAGAACCGATCAAACTACCTCAACCACCGAAATATATTCTTGGCTCAGATATGTTTAATCAAGTCAGTGCAAATATCTTGTTGTGTGCACCGAAGAATAGTGGTAAGACAGTAGTGATTAAAAAGATATTAGATGAATGTGCTAACAGAGACACAAAAGTTATTATTTTTTGTGCAACAGTGAACAATGATGCAAGTTGGTTGGATACAAAAAGATTTAACAAGAAGAGAAATTCCTTTTCATTCCTTTACAAGTATCTATGAAGACAAGATTAACCTTTTGGATGCTTTGATATCAACACTTCAGAATCAACGACAGTACAAAAAAAGCACTCAACGCCAAGATGTTCCTCTCCGACAACCAGGAGCCCCTATTATTTTAACAAGTAATGATGATCTTGAATCGCATGGTGCTGAGCCTAAGAACAAGAACCAAGTATGTAGCGCCGGATTACATTATCATATTCGATGATATATCAAATGAACTAAAAGATGCATCTATTCCAAAGCTTATGAAAATACATCGTCACTTCTCATCAAAGATTATTATTAGTACTCAATCATGGAAAGACACATCGGCTAGTATTAGAAAAGGTAATTTAGATTATGTATTGTTATTTAAAAACATTAATGACGATACCTTAAAGATAATCTATGAAGAGCTATCACTAACCATTCCAATTGAATTATTTAAACAGATATATCAACACGCAACATTGGAAAAGTATCATTTCCTTTACATTAATAGAAATGGTGATTTTAGAAAGGATTTCGATCAAAAGTATCAGTTGTCAGATTAATATAATATTCTCTATTAGTATAATAATGTCAAGAGCAGCACCAGTATTACATGCACAAGCAGCAATGAGAGATGCATACGGAACAGGCAGGAGATATGGAGGAGCAATATCTAGCTATGGTGGACCATCAATGCAAACATCATTAGGCGGACAACAAGGAGAGGGATTCTTCGATTGGTTAAAGAAAGCACATGATTTTGTTAAAGATAACAAGCTAATATCAAGAGGAGCTAAAGCTTTAGGAGATGCTGGTGTACCATTTGTTGGCAAGGTTGGTGATGTAGCAGGTTCATTAGGATATGGTCAAAGAAGAGTGAGACCAAGAACAAGACGACAAGCCGGGGGGACCTCATACGGCATAAATGGAGGCCGAAAGGGCACTGGTAAGAAAAGAGGAACCAGAAAAAAGTAAATCACCCTAATTCTTTATTTTATATTTATTTTATCGTTAAAGAATCCAAACTATGAACAGATTCTGAACTAATTTGAAGTGATGATAAATTTAAACTTGATGAACTAAAATCTAATGGTTCTCCAGCTAAAAAAAATAAAAGAAATAAAATAGTTAATTTAATTTGTGCAAATAAATGTAATGGTGTATTTCCTTGAATATCTCTTGATGTTATCTAAATAAATAAAAAGAATAAAAAGAATAAATATTAATATAACAATGTTCTATCTTTGTTATTAATAATATAATATTACCTTTAAATCTGAAGATTTTAAAAATATCATCAACATTTGAATACGGCAATTAAATGGGTGGCAGGAACACCTTCAGTATCACAAACGTTGATATCAATCTTTGGTTTTGCCAATAAATGCTCAAATGCAACCAAATCATGATCCTTGATAGCCTTGATAAAAGGATTCTTGTCCTTTTCGGCCTTTTCCTTGTCGAAACGTATCTTTAGTCGTAGATCACCTGTTACCTTGTCATCTGGTTTAATCGGGACAAGTGGATACCATTTAATAGTATCTAGTGTTGATAAATTCCTACCCTCCATTACTATAGTAGTAGTAGAGTAGAGTAGAGTAAATGCTATCCTAGATTCTTTTCTATCCTCTTTCTATATCTCTACACTCTCTCTTTCTTCTCTATCTATCTCTTAGTTTCTTCTTTCTTCTAGGATATATTTAATAAATAAATAAATAATAAATAAACAATAATAAGAAGCTTCTCATCGATCTTTTCACTGTACAGCGGTCACCACCGATCAGAATCTCTCAGATACACCAACAATTACCATTGATATCATTTTGGATATTTTGAGTTGATAGAACGCGATTTGTGTCTTCAGAAGAGTTCTTGGCTGTGTATGTGTTGCCTTTTTCGTCTTGTACAAGGCTAGAGGCACGGAGAAGAGATTCAGGAACATGAAAAGATTTTAAAACAGTTCTGTACAGAAAAAGGATTAATATTAATATTAATCCTTTCAATACTTTTATGAAGAGAGATAGAAACAGTTGATGTACATACAAAATGAAATCCTCGTCATCATTCACCATAACTCGTTTTTGTTCACCTTGATACGTAACCCAAACAAATTGATTCACGTCTAAAGAAACTAGGTGGAGATTTAAGAATGTTTATATTAATAGTTATTAAATGAATTAAAAAAATGTGATTTAACATAGATAAAGAAAATTGGCATACCTTGTTGAGAATCTTCACTAGCAGCTGGGTCAGACAATCTAACAACCAATTTTCCAGAAGATACGATTTTAGAACACATTGTAGAATCGTTCAAGGGAACATCTTTTTCTTGTTGCTTCAAAATAATTTCAAATGTATCCAGAGCCTTTCCTTGGAGATCTTTAAATGAATTGGAGGTAGAAACAAATTTTTTGACATGATAGATCACCGATTGGTCGTCACCTTCGAACAAGGCTTGGCGACTTTTGTAATAGACCCAAACTGAGATAGAGATCCAAGTTGTTGCTTGGTCGTTGAGTTGTTTGTCCCAATACTTGTTGAATGTTGAGTAAATCGACTGATGTAACTCTTCCAAAGTAGTGGTTGAGATGCTTTGGTTTGAGGACAGACTCGAGAGTCTTTTTTAGAGGTGACAATGAATTTTTTATCAAATGATGTTAGCCCCCCCCTGAAAAAGAGATTGATCGGCAAAAAGAAAGAGTAGTTCATGTGTTTTAAAATAATGATTTGTGCTTTTTAAAAGGAAAGTTTCGTTTATTACTTAAACCATTTAAATTATTAGGATCTAAGTGTACACTTAACACTCTAACCAACTTGGGGGATTTACAATTTATCTGTACTTGTGGAATCCAATAGCGTTGGCGGACTCACGGAAGCAACGTCTGCACATGTTGAGACCATACTTTCTGATGAGACCGTGGTGGTTTCCGCACTTACGGCTAAAATTAAATAATAATAATAATATGATAGTAGTAGGTAGTAGGAGATAATGATGTTTATGTTAGAAAACCTTGATCTGTATTTATCGATAACTACGACATCTCTTTGGTAGAGAGAATGAATTGACATTTACCATTGTCTGGAACCTGGACCGTAGTTTCCTGGGTGAGTTAACCATAATTCTCTTGCCATTTTACTATTAGAATGTTAAGTAATGATAATGATAATAATAATGTTAGTTTTAAGTTTTTTTTTCATAGTCGAGCACCGAAACAGCAGAAATATATCATTTTTTTTTTTTGAACATAGATTCGAAAAAAAAAAAAGACCCTCCTCGTTGATTGATGATCATGATCGTCGTCTACGTATATATATATGTATGTGTTGTGTTGATATGTATGTGATTATGTAAGGAGTATTAATTATTAATGATTATTATTATTAATATAAAAGTTGAAGAATCACATGTGGCTGATGATCGTGATTGATGAGTGTCATAGCTGTTGTTGTTGTTGGTTTGATCTGTATATATGTGTGGTGTGTAGTATTGGTATGATCTATGTATTAAATATATTTCTGCTGTTTCGTTTTCTCTTGATTTATGATCTGCTGTGTAACATGATAACTCACTAATATTCCCTTTAGTATGTATATAAACAGAAACAGAAAAAGGATTTGTCAATTGACGAGAAGTCTCTTTTGTGCAGAGAGGCGAAAAAAAAATTGAAAAAAAAATGAAAAAAATCGATTCGAACTTTACGTTTGTTTGTAATTTTTTTTCTTTTTTTCAAAGCTCCTACAAATTTTGCCCATCGCTACAATCACCTCTCATTATAAAAATAAGGTGAAGACCCCCTCAACCCTTCATATATTAATATTAAATCCAAAAGAAGACAACAAACAATGATTAATTTAAATTATAATTTTATTTTATTAATATTAACATGAAATAAAGAGTAAGAGTAGGGAGTAGGGAGGTAAGGGTTGTTGGTTGGTTGGTGGGAGAAGAATAATAAATATATTTGGTTTGGTAAGTATAAGACATGATATATTTATGTTATTACTATGTGACAAATTGTGTGATTGGTTGAGAGGAGGAGGTTCTCTTTTGGTTGTTTGTGTTGACAAAGTTGGTTGGGGGATGGTAGTTTTTGTTTGTCAAATGCAAGCAAAGAGGGATGGTTGATTGATGGAGAGAGTGTTTGTTGAATACCATTCCTTTTTTTTAGTTGGTACTATTAATTTGTTATTTGTTATTGGTTAGAGATATAGAGATGGATTGTCTCTTTTCTTCATTTACTGGTTATCAAAGGTGGGAATTGAATAAGATATTTTTGAAATGTGAGAATGATGTGTAATGTAATGTAATGTAATGTATTATGCATATTGATTTGTTATTATTGTTATTGTTATTGTTGTTGGGAGAGAATGATATGAAATTACATATCATTAAATTTGGATAGAGTAAGTTGTTGATTGTGTAACGTATGAATGAATGAATGAATAAATGATGGAGATTCTAGAATAGCTTATGATGATTCTGTCGTGGTTGTGCTAGTACTTGTATTGCCGCCACTACCCGAGGATGATGAAGTTGTACCTTGAGGAGAAGATGCGTTTGTGACATTGTTATTGTTGTTATTATTGTTATTATTGTTATTGTTAGAGTTTGGTGATGGAGTGGGAGTGGTGGTAGAAGATGATAGGGTTTGATTGGGGAAGAGAGGTGATGGCTGCTCAATGGTGTGCATGGCATGGCTGGGGATGAGGACCTTGGCCAATTTGGCGCCCATGGCCAACTGCTCGGCAACAGTAAAGTTAAAAAGTTGTGGTAGTGGTTTGCCATCGGGTAGGGTGGTCTTTGGATCTCTCAACTCATCAAAGAATGGATGCGCACAAATTTCAGTTGGTTTGAGACGTGATGATGGATCATAATGAAGAATTTTTGATATTAAATCAATTGCTTCATTTGGTACCTAAAAATATAAATAAAAAAAAGGAAAGAAAAGGAAATACATTATTAATAACTCTTTTTGTTTACCTTTCTTTTTCTTTTTCTATTTCTATTTTACTTACATCTTTTGATTTAAATACTTTTGACCATGGATTTGCTTTAATTTCAGGGAATTTAAATGGTGAATAATATGGATTCATGACATGAATCTGTTCTTTTGTTGGAGTTCCCAACACCTTGATGATTTCAACCAATTGGTCGACTCCATTTTCACCGGGGAATAGTGGTTGCCCAAGTAGTAGTTCTGCCAATACACAACCAAGTGACCAAACATCAATCGAAGTTGTATAGTTTGTCGAGCCGAAAATCAACTCTGGGGCTCTATAATGCCTTGAGCAGATATATGAAACGTTTGCCTCTCCTTTGATTAAGATTTTTGCACTAAACAAATAAAAAAGAGAGAAAAAAAGTATTAGGCTTGATGTTCAAATCAATCTTTTTTTGATTATAAAAGTTTATCTTCTTCTTCTTCTTCTTCTTCTTCTTCTTCTTCTTACCTTCCAAAGTCACACAACTTTAAAATACTAGTATTGGTATCTAATAATAAATTTTGTGGTTTAATATCTCTATGGCAAATACCCAAAGAGTGAATGTAACTAATGGCTCGACATAATTGATAGATATATAACTATAAATAGATAGATAGATAGATAAATACATGTTAATATTTGTAGGACAAACATTGTCACTGTCTGTCTAACATACTTTAACGTAAATCAATGGAATGGGTTGTTTTGAAATGGTGTAATGTCTTGACACACGATAAACAGTGTCTGGTACATATTCTAAAACCAAGTTTAGATATACTTCATCATTCTAAATTAAAAATAAATAATATATATCAATTAATTAATTTTGATGTCTGTAATTTGTCTGTAATTTGTCTGTTATTTGTTGTTGTTGTTGTTTACTTACATCAGAAGTATAGAAACTGTTTTTTAATTGTACTATATTAATATGATTTAACATTTTCATTATTTGTAATTCACGATTCTAAATGTAATTATAGGTGGGTAAGGTAAGGGAAGAAATAGTTAGTATCGTTGTCCATCCATTTTATTTTATCTCTTTTCCTCTATTCTTCTTACCTTGTATCTTTGATCTTGTAATACTTTTTTGATTGCTACAACTTCTTTGGTGTCTGATACAATGGCTTGTGTAACTACACCAAATGAACCATTACCGATGATTCCTTCAGTTATATAGCATACTCCATTTGATTTAATAATGACCTTATCAAACTTGTTTCGAAGTTTGTTCTTGTTCTTTTCTTCTTCTTTTTTATCTATATTATCATCGTGAGTATTATTATTTATAGTATAAGAGACATGTTAGTTTCTTTCTGTCTGTTGTTGTTGTTGTTCCATTCATCCATTGACATTCATATTTCATTCCACTCAAATAATATCTTAATCTGTATATCATATGAATGTATGATATGTATATGTATGTATGCATGTATGTAAGAATCTATCACATCAACTTACCCATGTTTTGAGTTGGATCTTTTGTGCTCATCTAAGTAAGTTAACTACTACTACTACTACTGGTTGTTGGTTTGCTATTACTATTATTACTACTACTACTATACTATTAATACTACTATAACAACAAAAATAAATATAACAGAAAATGAAATGATATTGATATTACGTCAAACAAGCTTAAAATTAAAAAAATCTATACAAAAAGAATAGAATAGAATGGAGATTAATAGAAACAGTGTACAGGTGATTATGAGAGTGAGTGAGAGTGAGTGATGAGTTGTATATGATACGAATGAGTGTAAAATATCAAAAAAAAGAGGATAAGAGGATAACTAAAAAAAAACAACAACAACAACAACAATTTTTTTTTTTTTAATGTTGTTTGTTTGTTTGTTTGGTTGGCTTGTTATTATTATATATATATATATATAGAAAAGAAGATAATATACACTATATATATATATAGATAGACTAAAGCACTACTGAATGATGATAGATAGTCAAATCAAATCGATTTATTATTAATATTATATTGGTTGCAAGAAGAGGATATGAATGATGATGGAGGGTGATGAATGAAATTTACTACAAAGGAAGGAAGAGGCTGGACTGACTACTTAATATGTCATCGATAGTGATTGTGATTGATGATGATAGTGCTGTAGTGCTGTTCTGCTGCTCTCTCTCTCTCTATAAAAAAAAAAAAAAACAAATACTTTGATAATAAAAAAAATAAATAAAAAGAAATAATTTTGTCTGTATGGGTGTGGGAGGAGAGACTCTTCAACCGCTCAAGCAAAAATCCCTTTTTTTTGATTTTTTTTTTCTCATTCACAGAACTCTGTGTCACCCACTGATCAGATGAACGAAACCTTTCAAAGTAGATAATTAATAAATGAATGAATAGATTCAAGATAAAGATACAATCAACCAATCAATCAATCAATCTTATATCTTATATCTTATATCTATATGTTTGTATTACCAAGCCCACTACTCTAACTAATTTAGAGAACAAATATGTCATACATATGCTATGAATGATACATAGATGTGCATGGGGAGTGTCCCGACATTACATATTGTCAGTCGGGAGTATATATATATATATATATATACATTTACATATATTATAATATATTTCTAAACAACTCGAAATATTAGAACTTCAAAGATTCGAATTAAGAAGAAAGCTAACTAAAGAGTATATTCGTGGGAACCTATGGGCTACTCAAATAACATACATGCATAGAATGTATTATAGGAAGTGGAAAGTGAGGTGTGTCCACAATCAAGTTGAATTTTCTTATAATTCCAACGGTTGGCGGTAAAAAAGACCAAAAACCTACTGTTTTTCGACTGGTTTTTGGCTTATGGTGTTGATTATGTGTGTGTCCCCGCTTCTATTGCTTGGTCGAGTGGAGGTGACAACGTTTGTGTGTTGTGAGGGTCGCTTTTGGACAAAATAATATTGTATTTTATATTTATTTATAAATTCAAAGATCTTATTTTGTTACGACGTCGTTGTATACTCAGCGTTATTATTGTTGATCCTCCCATTCATTCATTCATTCATTCATTCATTCATTCATTCATTCATTCATTATTTATTACAACAGGACAGACAGACAGACAGAACTCAGATTTACTTTAAATCAAAGTTGGCGCGCAAAGGGAATTAAGTTTAAAGATTCAAAGAACACAACCACTCTTCAACTCACTCTTTGACAACTTAATATATACATACATATACATATATATTTAACTCTTTACATACGCACATCATAGAGTTAAGAAGAAATAGTAATACTACTTAAATCAAAACATACATATATATACATATAAAATAGAATAATAGAACATGAACTTTAATACAACTAGGTATTACACTCTTATGGGTGTTGATGTCAATGCAACTCAAGATGAAATCAAAAGGGCATATCGTTCATTAGCATTACAATATCATCCAGGTAACTAACTAACAAAACTAACAAAACTAATCAAACGACAAAACTAAATGAACTACTTCAAATCAAAGTACTGACTCTCTCTCTCTCTCTTTTACTTCACTTTCTTCTTCTTCCTTTCTTCTACTTACCCTCATTTCTACTAATCTATATCAGATAGAAATCGTGATCCAGAAGCACCTGAAATGGTATGTTATAACAATAATAATTTATATATTAAATTTAATATACTTATTTGTTGTATTTTAGTTTAAACAAATTCATGAAGCATATGAAGTACTGTCAGATGAAAAGAAAAGAAAGTTATACGATCAATATGGTGAAGAGGGATTAAAACTATTTGATAATGGTGTGTTGGGAGAAGAGGCAGAGATGTTGGCTCTGTTATTCTCTGGATCACTCAAGATATTTGCATGTTTATTTTTCTTGTTGGTGTGCGTTGCCATCCTATTCCCCATCTTTTTGGTGGTCAAGATCAACCATCGCGTCGATTGGTCTTGGGCCAAGGTGTTCTCACCGTTTTGGATTATATGGGGGTTGGTCGTCCTCGCCATGATCATTGTCGCCGCAGTGTCCCGTCGTATGCGATCGACGGTACTCATGAGCAAGTCGGTGGCCATACTGGTGTTTGGCGCTTTGATTGTGGCTAATCTCGACCACGCCATTCACATAGATTGGACAGTTGTCTTTATACCCGTCTATTTCCTGTTGGCAGTCAATATATGCTCGATCATCCCCAACACTATCTACTCGCGTTATCTCAAACGTTTGCAGGGTGAAAAGGAGTACTTTAACGCTGCCACAGATTATGGGTTGGGCTATGCCGGTTGGCTCTACCGTCGATACATATTCGAGGCCATGGAGGTATGGTTTATCGTCTTTCTCGTCATTCGTCTCGACCGTATCGTCACTTGGAGTTGGTGGATCAATGCTATTCCCATCCTCGTGTCAATGCTCATTCGTTTAATCACTATCGTCGCCGACAGCAAATACCTCGCCAAACATACCCAAGGTAGCGAGTCAGAGGAAGAGTCGTCGTTCAACACATTCTTGATCTGTTGTTACATTATCCTCATTATCCCAATCGTTATTTTCCTCGGTCTACTAGTATCTTATTTGAATGGTAAAGGTTTTGCTATTGCTTCTGTTTTCATTCCAATATTTATTATTGCTGGGTATGTATATATATTAAAAAATATATATTTTAATTAAATATTAATATAGTTTATTTTTCCATTTACTAATCCTTTTTCTATTTATTTATTTAATTTAATTTAGTATTCTATTTTGTGCATGTTGTTTATTAGTACCATGTTTGATTTGTTGTAGTCCATTTGGAAAGGATATGGAGGATGGTATGTTTAGCGGAATGCAACAAGATATGTTCACCGTTGTCAACAATCGTATGCAACGTCCTCAAAAATTCCTTGAAGCTGCTGGTAGCAATGTTTCAGTTTCTAATAATAATAATAATACTATGGAACCAACGCTATCGAATGTTTAAGTTTACTAAATAGCGTTGTATAATAATATACAACCAAACAAATTATTTATTTATTAATAAATTCTAATATTACACTTCAAACATGTTGTCAAGCCATTATGTTATGCCTGCAATTGGCGGGTTTTAGTGGGAACAATCGGTTAAAGAGTATTGTATTAATATAAAGAATCAAGTAGTAGTTTTTAGATGAAATCCTTTTCTTGGTCATGCCACACTTCAGATGGGAGATGACAATTTTTTGGTGGACATGGTGTTGGTGGTGGAGTTGGTGGAAGGTCATCCTCATCTTTGACACATTGAGCTGAGCCACAGGGCATTTTGACACAGGTGTATCCCTTTTTGCATCCTTCTGCCCTTCCATTAGCATGGATACGGCATTGGGGGAGACATAGTTGGAAATTGGATAGGCCAGAGGTAACACTGACGTCGGTTAGGGTTGATCCAGATGTAAATGGGCAATCTTCCCAATCGGTATCTGGGTTTGGAATGGTGAGACATCCAAGGATTGGGTGGCAGACTGAAATGTTACACGGGTTATCTGGTTGTTGACATACGACATCATGTGGTTCACATACCATGGTGATAGGGTCTAACAAATAGTATTCACACCCAGTGTCTAAATGACCACACCCAGTTGGAGGTGATGGGGTGGGGGGAGATGATCGTCCAACATTGACCATACAGGTTCCACCAACACAAACGGTACCTCGGGGGCAATGGATTGGGTAGTGGATACATTGTCCATTACTACAAACACTTGTAACACAAGGATCTGTTATATTACAATCTTTTGGACTGTAGACGCAGCCACTAGAAACAGAACAGGTTCCAACTACACATTTGTCGGTGTTGTTGTTACATGTGACCATAGTGTGTAAGCAAGTACCATTGGAACAGAGATCGTTGGTGCATGGATTGAGGTCGTTACAGTCCATGGGTGTCTCTACACATTGTCCAGTGGTTTCATCACAGGCAGATGTATTGCAACTACTCGAAGGCACACAGTTGATGGGTATGTGGGTAATCTCTCCAGTTCCTAAATTACAAGAGTCGATTGTGCAGCGAAGGCCATCGTCAATGGGTGTCAAGGTGACTTCACAACCTGTTCCATTTGAGAAACATTCGAAATCCTGGCATAGGTTGACTGGGCAAACGCAGGGGCAGACTGCCTTTTGGACGTTGACACATAATCCATTGACGCAAGTATCAGTGGTACAAATGTTTCCATCGTCACATAACCTTTTGACATTCATGCATCCAACAATAGGATCACAAGAGTCGACAGTGCAATCATCAGTGTCACTACAGTTTCTTTGGATTGGCTCCCCACATGTGCCAGTCTCGACATTACAGAGACTGGATGTACAAGGAGTGCTTGGACATACGATCGGTGAGTAAATACATCCAGCCGAAGGGTCACAGGTCACATTGAAGCATGGTGGGGCTGGGTCACATACCATCGGAACAGGAGTACATTGATTGTTTAAACATGAGCTACGACTACATTTGTCATTGGGATCGGTACATGAAATATCTTGGTGTGTACAGAATTCACCAAAGTTGGTAGAGTTGACTCCTGGTGTTCCCACAGCTGGGCATCTGTCTATGGTACATGGTTTCATGTCGTCACAGTGAATAGAAGGTGTACAACATTGGGTTCCATCACCTTGACAAATTCCACAATAATCATAAAACTGGCATTCCAAAGCGAAATTAGACTGAATTCTAATACTACTTCCCGAAGTATGTCTTTCACAATAAAAGAAATCAAATTTTAATGGAACCTAAATAAGAGATATTACAAGTAGATACATTTTGTATATAAATATAAAGATGATCATCTTTTTTTTAAAAAAAAGATACTTACACCTGGGGTATAACCAACAAGGGAGATGATTCCAGATTGTGGTGGATGCACTCCTCCAAGATCCAATGCTAGACTATTGTTTAAATATACCCATACATCATCATCTCCAGTGATTTGGAATACTTCACTACCCTATAAATATATATAAATATAAATATATAATTAACAAGATGTTTAGGATTACCAATACTTACAAAGGGTGGGTTATACTGATACATACGGTAAATTGGAGGGTTGATACGAAATGGAGACAGAAATGGAAGTTTTGACCTTGATATATTGGGTATCCTAGAGCATCCCATCCCATACCGTTGATTGGGAAGAATGCAGCGTTGATATAGGTGTACATTCCAGTTACTGGGTCTTGGACAAATACAAAATCAAAGGGGATAGGGATGTTGATACCTGGTGTAGACGTAAACCACTGTGAAAAGGTGGTTGCATTATGAATACCACCATCTAAATCATTGGCGGCAAAGTCAGGAACACCATTGGCATTGAGTGTTCGCGAAGCAAGTCCTCGTTGAACAGGTGATATAGGATTATATTCAAAATCTGGATTTAATGATGGATGGTGATCATAAATGATTACTCTAAACGTTCTAGCTATAATATTAAAAATAAAAATAAAAAAAGTAGAAGGAATGAATTATCATCATATTTGGTCAAATGCCCTTTCCATTTTATTGACCATTGAATGATCAAAGTATGCATACTTTGTTGAGCAGAAACCAATGATATATGTTGTTGAACCAGTATACTTATAAGTAGAGAAACATACAAATTGAAAAATTTCATATTATCTTCTTTTTCAATTCTTTTTCTTCTTCTTCTTGAGGAGAATAAAACTATAGAATTGTTTTAAAAGGATTTTAGTAAATGAAAACAATAGATTTATTTTTATTGATGACTGATTGTGGTCTCTACTCTTATGCTTATTCTCATTCCTCCAACACCCAACATTTCATTTATGTTGAAGGGTTAAAAGTAGAAATTTTAATGCACAAGCAATCAGTGCACTACTGACAATTTAAAGGGGGGGGACAATGAATTCATTCCTAATCAATTTTTAGCATATTGGGGAAGAGGGTTAAGAATATGATAGTTTTTGTTGTCATGATGTGGGTGTATGATATAACAATGGAAATTATGTGTGGTTTTACAATTCTATTATTGTGTTGTAATTATAAAAAATAAACAACCAAACAAATTATTTATATATTAATAAATTCTAATATTACATTTCAAACATGTTGTTTATTTATTCCTGCATTGTTGGTTTTAGTGGAATGAATCTTATATTCAAATATTGATCATCTTGATATACTTGATGAAGGTTGTCTTCATCCAATTCAAATAGTTTAGCCATATTTGGAAGTGGGTATTCAATGGCCGCTTTAAAGTCTAGCTGTTTGTTCAATGCTTCGAATTTGAGTTTATCGATTTGACAATATAAATGTGGATGAATTGATGCTTGAACATTTGATATCACTCCAACATCGGTTAAATCTATTGATATTTCGATATCATTATTCTTCCATGATACCATTTTGTTTTTTCTTTTGATAATTAATGTTAAAATTACGTGTTAATTATTAATTCATGATAATTTATCAGGCAACATCTAACATACATATTGGTTTTACCACTTCCATAACAATTTTCACCAATCGTTAAGATTGAATTGTATTTAATATTTTCATTTATAAATGAATCTGCAATATTGGGTATTCCAGATAAGTGATATGTGTTGACACTTTTTTGTTCTTCTAGATATTTTCTTTCGAGATCCCTAATTATTTCCGAACTAACACAGCTACTATCTATTGTTAGGTCGAGTATGCAGGTGTTTGGAATTTTTGATAGCACTGGCCAGTTGAATGATTTGCCAAGAACTAGTTTGTTTAGCGATCGAGGCAAATATTCGATTTTACAATTAAATGATGATCCAAATATTAATGTTTTAACTCCAAAGGGAATATCATCCTCTTTGATTGGTTGATTAAACTTTCCAAATAACTTTAATTTTAAAAGTATTGGTGGAAGTAACCCATTGAGAGGACTGTTGAATTCACCATCCAATATTAATGTTGTTGTGCTTGATAGAATTTGTTGTTGATTGATTAAAAATGATGTGATTCTTTGTGTGTGTTGGTTGACTATTTCTCCTGTTAAATCATCCAATGAAAGTCGATTTTGAGGTGTTGCGATTAATAGTTTCTTGACAAAATCAATTAAATGTTCAGTGTATCTATCAGTTGATATTTTAATATGATCTGCATCAAAGTTGTTTTTTTTGTGGTTCAAGATAAATTGTTTTCTATTTTCAATATCGACTGGATGACTATGAATTGGTTAGTTATTTGGTTCAATCTCCTTTAGCAAATAGTCATAAGTTATTAAACATTACCATGAAAGTAAATGAAATAGAGTTGATCCAACTGAATATATATCATTTGAAGAATAATATTTCTTATGTTTTGATTCCTTTAAAAAATATATTAATTAGATAATTGGGTGGGGTGGGTTATTTAAAGGATGTTACATACAGGTGAGTAATATCCATTTGTTCCACGAGAAGCAAGTGTTGTAGCTATTGCCATCATAATATTTGTATCTTGTGATTTTGTTTGATCATCCATGCGTTCTGGGTGAGTGTCGCAGGTTTTACCAATATCCGGAGATAGAATTGGTTGATCAATGAAATATTGACAACAACCAAAATCGCCAAGAACTATTTCACCGTCTGATCCAATAAATAGATTGAGTGGTTTGATATCAAGATGTGCAAGATTGTGTTGAGATAGTTTTTCAAGTATGAGGAATAATCGTCGAATATATCGCCATATTTCTGATTCGAGAATATACTTATATTTTGGGTACAGAGTTGCTTTTTGGGATTCATTCCTAAAAGATTTGTTAGTGTTTGATTAATGATCTAGAGATTTGAATATCATACCATTTATAGATTGATTGAAATAATTGTTCTAAATCACCACCTTCACAATAATGTGTCAAAAGATATATCTTTTTTGATTCGGTATCATCTTGGTGATCTTTATATTGAACAAACATTTCGTCACCGATGAATAGTTTCATTGTTGTGATTTCAAATTGTATTTTGTCATAGATCGATTGATTGAGAGAGTAATCTATTTCTTTATAAACTAGCTATTTAAATAATAAAGAAGTCATTAGAGTTTTTCGATTGTGCACAAGGCATCCTAGACTGAGCTGCAAATTTAGCAATGTTCTTACCAGTTCGTTGTATGATTCAGACATCACCAAAAATACTTTGTTGGCTGAATATGGAAAGGAGTGTAGTTTAAAATATTTGTTGGAGTTGACTGTTACAAAAGAAGATTGATCGATTGGGTATGTCATTAAATATTTGGTAGAATAATTGATAGAGTTGGGATTTGTGTTGAGTGATGTACTCTTTTGTTGTTTGGAATCATCATCGATGTTGGTGCCATTGTGTGGATCATCACCTTCAACAATTGGTGGAGGCCTGAATAAATGGGGATGGCAGTCTATAGATTCAAATGGTGTTGGAGCGTCGATGCTTTGATGTGCGAAAATGAGGGTCTTATTGTGATTAAACGGAAGTTTGATCACTCCGATTGATGGGTACTTGACAAATCCTTTGCTGATCCCTATTGATTGATCGAATGAGCATATATATCTGATTGCTGAATCTGCTAAGTTCCGACCAAACACCAATGATTGTAATGATGTTGGTAATACTCCAACTGATATTGCTTGATTATATTCATTACCAAACCCCAATGATTGTAATGATGATGGTAATACTCCAACTGATAGTGGTTGATCATAGTAATAACCAAACACCAATGATTGTAATGATGATGGTAATACACCAACTGATAGAGGTTGATTATATTCATCACCAAACACCAATGATTGTAATGATGGAGGTAATACTCCAACTGATATTGCTTGATTATATTCATTACCAAACACCAATGATTGTAATGATGATGGTAATACTCCAACTGATAGTGGTTGATCATAGTAATAACCAAACTCCAATGATTGTAATGATGATGGTAATACTCCAACTGATAGAGGTTGATTATAGTCTCTACCAAACACCAATGATTGTAATGATGATGGTAATACTCCAACTGATAGTCGTTGATTATAGTACCAACCAAACACCAATGATTGTAATGATGATGGTAATACTCCAACTGATAGTGGTTGATTAAATATATTACCAAACACCAATGATTGTAATGATGTTGGTAATACTCCAACTGATAGAGGTTGATTATATCTACCACCAAACCTCAATGATTGTAATGATGATGGTAATACTCCAACTGATAGTCGTTGATTATAGTACCAACCAAACACCAATGATTGTAATGATGATGGTAATACTCCAACTGATAGTGGTTGATCATAGTAATAACCAAACACCAATGATTGTAATGATGATGGTAATACTCCAACTGATAGTGGTTGATTATAGTAATAACCAAACACCAATGATTGTAATGATGATGGTAATACTCCAACTGATAGTGGTTGATTATAGTACCAACCAAACTCCAATGATTGTAATGATGATGGTAATACTCCAACTGATAGTGGTTGATTAAATATATTACCAAACTCCAATGATTGTAATGATGATGGTAATACTCCAACTGATAGTGGTTGATCATAGTAATAACCAAACACCAATGATTGTAATGATGATGGTAATACTCCAACTGATAGTGGTTGATTATAGTACCAACCAAACTCCAATGATTGTAATGATGATGGTAATACTCCAACTGATAGTGGTTGATCATAGTAATAACCAAACACCAATGATTGTAATGATGTTGGTAATACTCCAACTGATAGAGGTTGATCATAGTCCCAACCAAACTCCAATGATTGTAATGATGATGGTAATACTCCAACTGATAGTGCTTGATTATAGTCTCTACCAAACACCAACGATTGTAATGATGTTGGTAATACTCCAACTGGTATTGGTTGATTATATTCTTTACCAAACACCAATGATTGTAATGATGATGGTAATACACCAACTGATAGAGGTTGATTATATCTACCACCAAACCTCAATGATTGTAATGATGATGGTAATACTCCAACTGATATTGGTTGATTATCAACCCAAACTAATGAATCGATTGTCGCTGTAGTCATGAACGATATTTATAAGTAGTGATACCAAAGGTGTCCGTTTTAATTAATACTGATGCACTCTCGACTAGTTTGTTGCAAAGTGAGTAATATGATTAAAATATACTTCACGAAAAGTGTTCTGGACTCCCCACACTAATTATTGTATGAGACGGCTTTCCATGCAGAGCTGTTTTGCAAGCATATCGTCTTCAAAAAAACTTTTTTATTATTTCGCACAAGACAATTAGAATAATTAAATCTTATTCTTTTTAATCAACTGAGAGACCGATGAGGCTATATTCAAAGATGAAGATGGTTCAGTAGCCTTTCTCTTGAATTGGAATGGAGTTGGTTTGGTGAGTTTGTTGACTAGCGATACATTGTTGGTGTTGTTGGTTGCTTTAGGTGAATTGGTAATATCTTCTAATTGACTGGTTGGTTGTTGCTGTGATGGTTGAGGTGTAGTATTAGACGATGAAGACAATGAAGATGTTGATGATGAAAGAGACTCTTTTTCTTTTTCTCTTTCCTTTTCAATAGCATTTAACTTCTTTTCAATTTGTTTGTTAATTGCCAACAACTGTTCGATCTTGTTGAGATACTTGTCAATCTCTTCATCCTTTTCAGAGAGTTTATCTTCGAGTTCTTCGTTGGCCAATTTAGCTTGATCGAGTTCACTTGACAACGCCGATGTTTCTTGTATCTCTGACAGTCTTGTTTGTGTCTGATAATGTGCTTCACGTTCCTTGGACAGGTTATCTTCAACCTCTGCACGTTGCTTTTTAGACAATTCAAACATTTTGTTTAATCTATCATTCTCGTTACTGAGACGATTAATCGATTCCTTGTGTTCGAGTACACTACTTGACAACCGACTGATAGAGTGACGGTCTTCAGCTGCTTTAACAGACTCTTCTTTTGATACACTGTCTACAGAGTCACGAGCACGTTTTTCACTTTCAACCATCTCCTCTAATTCCATCTCTCTTGCACGGTACTCTAACTCTCTTCTTTGGTACAAACTAATTTGTTCGACCAAGTCAGCGTCACTCTTTTCTTTTCGCTTGTCAATATATCAACCGTCTTTTTAAGTGTATCCATTTCTTCATCCAATTTAACTCTTTGACTTGTACTTTGACTTTGAGTTGATTGTAATGTCTCCAAATCACATTCAAGTTGTTTGGTTTGTGTTACATAACCTTGGATATCCGATGTCATGGTCAACATTTCAAACTCGAGTTTATGAACTGTGCTTTGTGAATCATCCAATTTCTTTTTCAAATCGTCGTAATCTGCTTTCAACGATTCAACTATCTTTTCCATACTCTGACTGCTCTCTTCCAACCCGTTATTCTTTTCTCTAAGTTGGTCCAATTCCAAAGTCAATTGATTTGTCTTGGCATTGGCGAGATTGTTCATTTCCATGCACTCTTGTATTTTCACAACAAGTTTTGTATTTTCATCTTTTGATTCCTTGACAAGTAACTTTTGATCGTTGACCTCTTGATTTGATTCAATCAATTGAGTAGACATATCTTGTCGATCACATTCAACCGATTGAACACGACTGTTAAGCTGATCAATAGTCAATTGCATCTCTTCAATGATAGATTGATACTTTTTAATTTGGCCATTTGTATCTGTTGTCTTTTGTTCCAATTGGCAATGACTTTGTTCAACTTTACATTTAACACTTTCCAACTCTCCTTGTAAATGTTGGATTGTTTCATCATGTTGTTTCAACTGTTCGGTCATTTCATAGTTGATACTGTCACTCTGCTTCTTTTCTTCTTCCAATTGTTTGATCAATTCTAATTTACACTCTAGTGTTATCAAAACCTCTGTAGCATTCTTTTCCTTTTCCTTGATCAATTCATTTTGACATTCCATCTCTTTCATCAATGATCCAAGCTCGTACTCTACTTGTACAATCTTTTCCTTGTACACTTGGTCACGACTAACTGCGTCACTTTCAATTTGAGAGATGTGTTTTTGATGTACCAACTTTTCATCTTGCAACTCGGCCATCAACTCTTCCAGTCTTGATTGAAGTTGAGATTCATCCATTTCAACAGACTCTATTGTACGGGTGAGTTTAGCAATTCGATCAGCCTGTTCTCCAAGACTGACATTAGCTTGTGCAAGTTTAACATTGGTTTCATTCAACATTCCATCCTTTTCCAATGACTCTGATTGTACTTTCTCCATTTCCAATTGAGTTTTAACAAGAGTTTCTTTTTCACGAGTCAATTTCATTTCAAATTGTTCAAGTGTTTCCAATTTACCCTTTAACTCTCTTTCAACCGTCTCCTTTTCTAATCTTGATTTCTCCAAGTTTAATTTAACCTCCTCTAACTGGCTTGTTGATTGTTCCATCATACCATCCTTTTCAATTGATTCTTTTAAAAGTTGGTTGAATTGTAGTTGCAATGACTCGGTTTGTCGAGTATGTTGTTGGACGAGTGACTCTAGTGTTTTAATAGTCTGTTGATTGTCTTGAATGGTCATAGCAGCCTGCTCTAATCGCAAGGTGGTTTCAGTCATCTCTTCAGTCTTTTCCAAGTCGATAGAATGGTGTTTGTCGAGTTGACCTTGCAATTCGGCGAGTTCAGAGTCACGACGATTCATCTTTTCGGTCAACTTGTTGATTGTGTCTAGGTTGGTCTGTACAGCGTCATCGGCATGTGCAAGTTGAGCACGTAACTCGTCCATTTCAGCAGACTCTTGCTCTGATGCATTTTGGGTGTCTGCGACTGTCTTTTCCAACTCTCTTTCCAACTCGGACAACAAGTGTTGATGGTCATGAACACTCGACTCGAGGTGTCTGTTTTGTGCTTGCAAATGTTCGACTTGACTGTCATACTCTTCCACCATGGCACGCATCTCTTCAAGTTCCTTTTCACGGTCTCCAACAGTCTCTTGTAACCTTGACATCTCTTGTTCAAACTCGTGTATCAATTGTTCGCGTTCATGTATATCATTTTTAAATTGTTCTATTTGAGTGCTGTGTGATTCAGTGTCGTGTGCATACGAGTCGATCAACTCGGTCATCTCACGTTCCAACGACTCTTTTTCCAAAGTGGTCTGTTGGTTGGCCGCTGTGAGACGTTCGACAGCGCCGGCATACGATGCGAGCTCGGTGCGTGCCATGCCAAGCTCTTGATCCAATCGACCCATCTTGACAGTCAACTCGTCCTGCGAGTCTTGTTGACGTGCAACCAACTCATCCTTTTCCTCGGTTGCCAACTCTAGTTGTTTCAAAGTGTGCTCCAATTCACCCTTTAATTGATCCGTCTCTTTCTGTCCACTCTCTATTCTCTTTAATGCAACTGCCAACTCTTCCCTTCCAACTGCCAGTTGATCAGTGAGTACCTCAACATGTTGAGCAAGTTGGTCGTGTTGAATGGTCACAGTTTCCAAGTCCATCTTTAGTTTCTCCAAATCTTCATTCTTTCTTTCAACCTTTCTAACTGTCTCTTCCAACTCTACGGTCATCTTTTGTCTACTCTCAACCAATTCAAGTTGAGTTGTTGTCTTTTCAACATTCAACTCTTCTTGTAACCCTGCTATCTCCTCGGTCAACTCGACGACCCGTTTGGCAGATTGGGTGTGGTTGGAAACAGCCGCGGACAAGTCTGATTCAAGCGATGTGATCGTTGTCTGGAGCTGACTAATCTTGACAGTCTGCTCATCCCTCTCCTCTGCATTGGTTTCCAACTCTTGCTGCAACTGACCGAGTTCCTCTTGCAGCTCGGCAAATAGCTGGACATTGGCTTGGTACTTGGCGTCTGTGTCCTGGCCTGCCAACCGTTCCTCTTGCACCAATGTTTCAAGTGAAGTGATACGCTCTTGCTGCTCGTCACACACACTTTCAAACTCGGCAATCATCTTGTTTCGGATATCCAGCTCAGAGTCGAGCTCGGTGATACGGTGTGCGTCAAGCTCGCGAGCATCGATCGCTTCCTTGGCAACCATTTCAATCTCGTTGATGTATCTTTCAAACTCTTCTACTTTGTCTTGACCCTGTTGGACGGTCTCTTGGAGCCGTGTGATTTCCTCGAGACATGACTCAACCTCGCCGACACTCTCTTCGAGTCGTTTGGACAGTTGAGCAACCTGCTCGACACTCTCTTTCAACGAGACGGTTGCAGTGTCTAGGTCAGACTCGAGTGACTTGATGAGTGCAGAGGTACGTTCCTCCAACTCGGCCTGGCTGTCCTCTCCCATCTTGGTGACTTGCTCCAACTCCTCTCGCAACTCTTCAACTGTATTTAGGAGTTGTTGATTGTCACGATCCATCTCGTTGGCACGTACAGAGATCTCTTGCAACTCTTTGCGCATCTTGGCAGTTGTTTCTTGGTACTTTTCCTCGGCCACCAGCTCCACCTCGGTCTTTGCGTCTCTCAACTCTTGACATTCCTTTTGCGATACATCCAGTTGTTCCAGAGTGTCATCTACGCGCTTCTTCATCTCTTCCAGGTCACTGCCAACCTGTCCTCTCTGCACCTTGACAGCCTCCAATTGTTTGTTCAACAAATCAATCTTTTCAACCGACTTGGCCAACTGCTCCACACCGTCTCTATGTCTCTCGACGACAGTCACCAATTCATCTTGTACAGTTTCCAACTCTTTCTCTACAGTCTCGATTCTTTCCTTTCTCTCTTTGGCAACCACCTCTACATTTTCAAACTTTAATTTCCATTGTCCAATTGATTCCCTCAACTCTCTCATTTCCATCTCTTGGCTGTCCAATTGGTCATTGTATTTGTTTGAAGTGACCGACATCTCTTCTTGCAACGCTTGGATCTCCTTTTTACCCGCATCCAATTGTTCTTGCAACGATTGACACACCTCGATCTTTTTCTCTAATTGATTCTTGTATTCCGCCATCTTTTGTTCCAAACCATCAATCTTTTCATTTAATTCTTGGTTCAACTCTTGTCCAACATTTTGATGATTCAACATTTCTTTTTCAAAATTCTAAAGAAACCAAAAACAAAAATAATTAATAAAACATACTTGTATATACTTATTCATTCATTTGTTTGTTTTGATTGATACTTACCAATTTCAAAGTATTATTTAAATTTTCCAGTTGACGAATTGAAGATTTAAGATTATTCATTTCTAAAAGTGAAGATTCTTGTTCTTGTTTTAATTTTGATTCGTATTGATCGATGACATCTTGAAGTTCCAATGCCAATTGTTCGAGTTGTTCAATGGTCGATGACTTCTTTTCCAAGTCTTCATTGAATTGGCTAATTTGTTGTTCCAAGTGTGAAATGATTGAATTCGAGGTACTAACCTCTTCAGAATGAATATTCATCATTGAACTATGTTCACTTTCAATATTGGTAATTTCATCTAATTTTTGATATAATTCTTTTTCCAACTATAAAACAAAAATAAATGTAAGAAATATTAATATTTGTATTATATAAATATATATATGTATATGTATTTGATATATATATATATATATATATATATATATATATATACATACTCTTTCAACTTTTTCACGTAAATTGACTATTAAAGTTTGTTTGTTTTCCATTGCAATTTTATCATTCTTTGTAGTTGATTTTAAAAGAGTTACCTCATCTTCATATTTTGATTTCTCTTGTAACAATTGATTAAATTGTAATTGTAATGTATCTATATCTTTGGTTGATGAATTGGATTGCAACTATAGAAAATAAATTAAAATAGAAATCAAAGTTAATAAATCCATTTTTAATAATTAATTATTCTTGCATAATATTTGCATACCTCTAAAGATTGTATTTTCAATAATAAATTATCCTTTTCTAATAATAATTTTGATCTTTCAGATTCATAGGTAGAGATTTTAAGATTGAGTCGATCTATTTCCAATTCCATCTCTTTGGTTGAGTTATTATGTACATTATTATTACTATTATTTAATAGTTCCTTTTTAGATTGTTCCAATGATGCTTTGAGATTGTCTGCATTCAATTTCAACTTTCTTATATTATCTTGTGATGTATTTAATTCTCTTTGACATGTTTTATATTTATTATCTAATTGTTTCAACTACATTAAATATACAAATATTTTGAATTAGTACTACCTCCATTAATCAAACTAATTAATATTAATAATATCTATGCATACCTCTGAAATCAATTGATCTTTCTCTTGATTGATTGATTTAACTTCCTTTTGAGATTGATTCAAGTGTTCTAGCATATTATCCATTTGAATCTGTTTCTGTCTCTTTTGTTTCTTGTGTGATTCAATCTCTTCTTCTAAAGATTGAATCTTTATAATATGTTGATTGTCATCTGTATCCATTCTTTCTATCTTCTTTTGATTGTAATGTAAAAGTGTCGAGTTACTAATTAAAATACTCGATAAACTACCCTTTATTCCTACTATCTATCTCTCTATGAATATATAAAACCTTGACTCTTTGAAACTAGTACATTATGAACAATGTAGGGTGTTTCCAAAAAAAAAAAAAGGTTTTGGCGGCAATAGTGAACATACTTCAACGGACTCTGTTTCAAATTTGAATTATTTTATTTTTTGAAGTTCGAACCATGGTGGTTTTACTTGATCAACTTTAAATAAACATTAATGTTACACAGCAAATGTAATGTAATATTAAACTAGATAGAGATAGATATATGTATATAGATATAGAGGAATGAGTCATCACCATCAACATCATTCACATCATCAACAACATCATCCAGTTGTACAGACATACTATGGTAATGGAAGAATAGATGTAACTGAAAAGTATCAGTTTAGTTATGAAGTAGGTTCGGGTACCTATGGTATGGTCTACAAAGCAGAGGATAAAAAGAAACATAATAGAGTCGCTATCAAAAAGTTTAGAAGTACTAAAGAAGGTGAAGGTTTATCTTTGACTGCTTGTAGAGAGATTGGTGTAAGTAAAGTCATAGAACCATCAACAAGACACATAGTGTGTCTAAAGACACAACCATATGACTAATTCAATTTCTTATTATTATGATTATGATTATTATTGGTCATTAGTTATTAAGAGAATTAAGACATGAAAATATATTAACATTAATGGATATATGTTTAAACCCAAAAGATAAATCTTTAAACCTTGTATTTGATTATGCCGAATATGATTTATTTGTATGTTATCATCCATCATTTTATTTATATATATATAAATAATAGTATTATATTAACGTATTGTATTGTATTTATTTATATGTATTAGGGGATAATAAAATATCATAGAGAACATGGTACTTATTGTTCAGATTTAACAGTGAAATCATTGATTTGGCAAATATTGAATGGTATACATTACTTGCATAGTAATTGGGTGATACATCGTGACTTGAAACCATCGAATATCTTGGTGATGGGAGAGGGAAAGGAATTGGGGACTGTCAAGATTGGTGATTTTGGTTTGGCTAGAATCTTTCAATCTCCGTTACGACCGTTACACGATAATGGTGTGGTCGTTACTATTTGGTATCGGTCTCCCGAACTGTTACTCGGTTCAAAACATTATACGTGTGCAGTTGACATATGGGCTATTGGTTGTATATTTGCAGAGTTGTTGTCTACCAAACCTCTGTTCCCGGGTAAAGAAAAGGATCCGAAAATACCATCACTCTTTCAAGACGACCAAATCGAAAAAATAATTAGAATACTCGGTCAGCCTACTCTAGCAGATTGGCCTGATCTAAAGGCAATGCCAGAATACAGAAAAATACCTACCAACACTGAACAAAATCCAACTTCAAAACCAGAGTACATATGTTTTTTAAAAATCAAAAATAACTTAATAATTAATTATTTATTCTTTTTATTTAATAGTACAACACCATTAGCAGAAGCATCAAGATTAGAAGTAAATACAGCAGCTTATGATTTATTGGTTAAAATGATTGCATATGATCCATGCAAGAGAATCACTGCTCAAGAAGCACTTGATCATCCATATTTTAAAGAGGCACCCGTTCCAATTGCCAATGCGTTTGGTAAAAGTGCTAGTGTTGCTGGTTATCCAATTAGACAACAATTAAATACTAAAAAAATGCCTACCAATGTTAAAAAGGATCAGGGTGAACCTTAATATTATTAATTTTAATAAAAAAAAATGTGTATAAAAACCTTTTTCTGTGTGAAGAAATATAGCTAGCTATATCTTGTCTGTATTTTATTGTTCTTCAACCTTTAAAATAATCAATGGATACAGATACAGATATAGAAATAGATAATCATATGGTGTTTGATGATGATTATAATCAAGCACTATCAGTTGGAGTATTACCATCATCATTACGATCATTGGTGTTTGGTCGAAACTATAATCAACCTCTATCAGTTGGAGTATTACCATCATCATTACAATCATTGAAGTTTGGTCAGGGATATAATCAACCAATATCAGTTGGAGTATTACCATCAACATTACAATCATTGGAGTTGGGTTATTTCTACAATCAACCTCTATCAGTTGGAGTATTACCATCATCATTACAATCATTGGTGTTCGGTCATTGGTATGAAAAGCCTCTACCAGTTGGAGTATTACCGACATCATTACAATCATTAAAGTTGAGCTATGACTATAATCTACCGCTATCTGTTGGAGTATTACCATCATCGTTACAATCATTGGTGTTTGGTCTTAGATTTAATCAAGCACTATCAGTTGGAGTACTACCATCATCATTACAGTCATTGGTGTTGGTGATGAATATAAACAAGCACTATCAGTTGGAGTACTACCATCTTCATTACAATCATTGGTGTTTGGTCTTGGATTTAATCAACCTCTATCAGTTGGAGTAGTACCATCAACATTACAATCATTGGTGTTTGGTGGATGCTATAATCAACCTCTATCAGTTGGGGTATTGCCACCAACCCTACTATCATTGAAGTTTGGTAATGGTTTTAGCCAGCCACTATCTGTTAAAGTATTACCATCATCATTACAATCATTAGAGTTTGGTCCTTATTATAATCAACCTCTATCAGTTGGAGTATTACCATCATCATTACAATCATTGAGTTTGGTCAGGGATATAATCAACCTAGCTATCAGTTGGAGTATTACCAACATCATTACAAACATTGGCGCTTGGTTTTCAATTCAATCAACCTTTATCTTGTCTCATATTACCAACATCATTACAATCATTGGAGTTTGGTTATCGTTTTAATCAACTCATATCTCTGGGACTACTGCCATCAACAATACAAACATTGATTGTTGGTGGGAAATTTAATCAACCTCTATCAGTTGGAGTCCTACCATCATCATTAAAATCATTGGTGTTTGGTGATAGATTTAATCAACCTCTATCGGTTGGAGTATTACCGTCATCGTTACAATCATTGAAGTTTGGTGATTGATTTAATCAAGCAATATCAGTTGGAGTATTACCAACATCATTACAATCATTGGTGTTTGGTTATAAATATAATCAACCTCTATCAGTTGGAGTATTACCAACATCATTACAATCATTGAAGTTTGGGAGATACTATAATCAAACACTATCAGTTGGGGTATTACCAACATCAATTCAGTCGCTAACCTTTTAAAACAGTTTGGAATATTATGATGGTCATGATCCAATACCATTAACCTTCCAAAGTGATTTCAAGAAATCAATTCAAGTTTGGAGATACTATCTTAGAATAGGGCCCTATCAATTATTAAAGCTTCCATCAAAACCGGATGCAATCATCTTTACAAGTATTGGATCGAACAATATCGATATTTCCAAACAAAATCCTTGTCAATCATCGCCATTTTCGAACGCCTTATCCAATCCCAACTCCATCAATCTCGATCCAAAGTATTTAGTTGCGTACCCCATCAACCAAGAAGAATTTGTTACAGTCAACAACCACAAATATTTTAAACTGTACTCATTTCCATACACATCAAACCAAGTATTTTTAGTTTTATCAGCTTCTAATAGTGAATTGGTATGTTGACTAAAATCTAGACAAGTAGTACGGTAATTATAATTAACCCATTTTTATAATTCAATTTACAGTGCGTTTACAAGGAAAAAAATTACTCACGGGGTGAAACAATACGCTCTAGAGCACAATTTGAAGTAGAGTGCATGAAACTATTCATTGGTGACGAAATGTTTGTCCAATACAGAGACCATCAGGATAATAAAGTTGATCATACATTTTGTTTGGTGACTCTATATTGTCAAGGTGGTGATCTTGAACAATTATGCCAATCTAAAATTGAGTGGTAAGAAACCTTTTTAGACATGGATAAAGGAATTATTTTTCTTATTCAATTCTTCTTGACATTTTAGGAATAATTTGGAAATACAAAAAAACAAACAAAATGAAGATGATTTCAATTATATTCAAGAGGCGTATATATGGAATTATATTCAAAGATTATTCCAAATACTTGAAAAGCTAGCCAGCCATAATCTTGCACATCTCGATATCAAACCACTCAATCTATTTATTGGAAACGATGGTGAAATAGCTCTTGGTGATTTTGGTTGTTGTAGTTTTGTCACTAAAGCAAAACAAAATTGGAATGCCCAACAATCACTGTAGATCGCCCTAAAAACTTTCAAGAAGAGACAAGTATCGGACTAAATAGTTTGAAAAGTGGAATGCGTGGAACAAATGGGTACTACCCACCTGTAAGTTATCAAACTCGTTATATCAATTTCAAGATTACGAATGTATATAAATAATATCTAAATTTTAATAGGAATCAAAATTAAAAGAATATCACTCTACAAGTGATGCCTATTCAGTTGGCAGATTACTTTCATGGTAAAAAAATACAATTTTATTATTTGTGTTTAATTTTCATATTCTCCTTCTATTATTATTAACTCTACCCTTTTTTAATTCACAGTCATCCAGTGTCATGACACTGCCAACATGGTTGAATTTTTCTATAATCATAGAAATAACAACTTTAATCCAGATCTTGTTAAAATATCTCCAATCAGATACTCTTCAGCTTTAATTCAATTTGTCAAGAATCTATTAATTGCAACACCTCATGATCGTCTTTCATCTGATGATTTAACAGTTGAATCAATTGGACCAGGTAAACAGATAGTAACATCACCATTTTTAGTTGACAAAAGTAAATTCCTTCCAAATATCACTGAATTGAAATTCGATGGTGAATACAACTGCCCTCTAAGAGGACTACTTCCAGAATCTCTTCGAAAACTATCGTTACTTGGCAAGTTCAATCAACGAATAGTTGAATATGACATTCCCTTTAGAGTTGAAACTTTAATTTTAGGACCATCATTTAATAGTCCTATTCGTTTCGGGGATCCTTCACTAAAAGTGGTTTTTTTTGGTAAATCATTCAACCAACCAATCTATCCTGGCTGGTATTTTGATTCACCCTTCAAACCCCCTTTTAGTCCCACTATCAATATCACCACCGATATTTGGAATCATGAAAAAGAATCCAATATCTGTTCAGAAACCCGAAAGGAAGATTACAAAAGAATTAATCTTTACCATACTGGTGGTCTATTAAATATACATTCCATAGACACTATCAATTCATTTACCAAAGTTCATTTGGAATCTAAAATCATATTGATGATATGTGATAAATGTTTTGGCATTGGTCAAATTAAAAGGTATGCCTAAAAAGACTAGTGGCACTCTTTTAGAACCAATCAATTTACTAATATTATTTCAATGTCTGAAGAGAAAATAATGTAGTGTCTTGGAATAACAATAATGATATTTCATTGGCAATAGATTTAAAAGATGTTAGTGTCATATCATTTGTAGAGTCATCAATTTATCCTCATTTATATTATCAAATTGACAAGAAAATATTTCAAGAAACCAATCAACAATCAGTGGATTTAGATAATATCGACCATGTCATTGAATATCCATTAATTGATATGAATCAATTATTTGAATATTAGATTCATTCCCATTCCAAATTAATCTCTTTAATAAATATATTGTATCTCTGTATCTAGTAATTAAATTATGTGTAATAATAAAAAAAACAATTTTTTGAAACAAAAATCTGTACATGATTGTTTCGTCTTTCGTCATTTTTTTGTATACAAATCGAATACTTGTTCATATAAAACATATCTTTTTAAAAATGACAGATCAACAATTAAATAAGAATATGAGTAATCTATCAATAGATAATAGAAATCATAGTAATGATGATGATGATAATAATAATAATAATAATAATGGTAACCTTTCATTTCAATTATAATCCCGATTTCAATCTCTTTCTTATTCAATCTCTTTTTATATCTATACTTTATATTTATAGTACATTCAGGATATAATATAATTGATGATGCTTTAGGATATGCAAGATTATATGGTTATATTAAAAAAGATCAACAAGAGCTCGTTTCTCCTTTTTTAATTGGTAACTAAACACACAAACAAACAAACAAACAAACAATAATCATTTAATAATCATCGATTATTGTAAGAAGAAAAAGAAAGAAAGAAGAAAATAATATGAATAATAATAGAACAATATATAAATCTATAGAAAAGAAAAGAATCAAATTCTAATCTTTTCTTTTCTTTTTCTATTTAGAGAAATATGAAAAAGATGCAGATAAATATTGGGATAAATTCTACAAGAGAAATAACTCTAATTTCTTTAAAGATAGACATTGGTTAACAAGAGAATTTCAAGAGTTTCTAGAGAAACCTACGCAAGACGATAAAAAGATTAGAGTATTTGAAATTGGATGTGGTGTCGGCAATACGACACTGCCCCTCATGTCACTCAACGATCGTCTCGAGTTTGTGTCGTTTGACTTTTCGCAACACGCTGTCAAGCTACTCCAACAAGCAGTCGATCAAGACGACCAATACAAAGGTAGATGTACCACTTTTGTCTATAATGCAGTGGACGGTGTCGAAAAGCTGCCAGCATGCGTCGCCAAGGGCACTTTTGACTTGGTCGTCATTATATTTGTCTTGTCAGCTATGGACCCATCGACGTTTGCGGCAGTGGTTGACATGTGCGCACACGCACTCAGACCCGGTGGCAGAGTACTCATCAGAGACTATGCCCGCGAGGATATGGCCCAAAGTCGATTTGAAAAACACAGCTCCAAACTAGGCGACTCTTTTCACGTTCGTTTTGATGGTACTCGAGCCTACTACTTTACACTAGAGCACATGGAACAGCTCTACACGGCCAATGGCCAATTTGAAACTTTCCAAAATATTATCGTCGAAAAACAAGTCGTCAATCGTAGAGATAATAATCAGATGGATAGAAAATTTATTCAATCTAAATTTATTAGGAAATAAAATTAATTCATTTAAATCATTAAATTAATGGTATATTATATTTTAGTGAATTGATGATATCATACCATGTTTTTTAAAAAAAAAATTGTAATATTACAATATGTTTTAAAATCAATGTGTTTTGGTGATCCAGTTTTATTAGAAATCAATCAAACCTAGTTCATTCGATAGCCAACGATGAGTAGAACCAGAATAGAGCAAAAACATTGAAATCCCCTTAAAACACGGCAAAAAAGTGGGGACTTGGTAAACTGGCAAAAAAAAAAAAAAAAAAACCGGAATGGATTTTTTAAAATCAATGTTTTGGTGATCCAGTTTTGTTGGAAACCAATCAAACCTAGTTCATTCGATAGGCAACGACGAGTAGAACCAGAATACAGCAAAAACATTGAAATCCCCTTAATTTTTTTACACGGCAAAAAAGTGTGGACTAGAAGGGTATCGATCCCTTTACCTCTCGCATGCTAAGCGAGCGCTCTACCATCTGAGCTACAAGCCCGATTTTTTGGATAAGACCAAAAACAATTTTGCGGTATTTATACCGCCGGCCCCTATACTAACAGAAACTCTAACTATTTTAATTAAAATTAAAACAAATAAACCATAATTACTCTATTGTCCGACGACTAGAGTCCAGATTTATTAAAAAAAAAAAAATACCGCCGCAAAAAAATTGAATGATCCCCTTAACTCTTGTGTTACTTATTTCTCTCTGCATGGATGCAGAATTCTCTCATTAGTGCACTCGTGCGATAGTAGAGTCAAGTGAGCTTTAAAAATAAACAAGTCATTCACAAGACATGTAAAATATTTTAACAAGCGCGTCACGGCCTTATTTATCACTTTCGATCTTTTCAATCGTGGACAGTCTCCACTCTATTTACATCAATAACTCTAATTAGTATATTCATCAATCAACTCTCCATAACTTCTAATGGTACACCCTGCTCTATAATAATAAACACACATAAGAACATATTAGTTGTAGTTGATACTCTTTCTTTGATAATATATCTTCTTCTTTTAAAAACATACCATGTTGTAACATCTTTAACAACGGCAAAGATGATATATGAACGGTTTCAGCAGATATCTGGTAATGGAGTCCATCTGTGATCTTTTCCATTTTATCTAATTGTCTTATAAGTTCTCTATTCATATCTATCTATATATCTATCTATTTATCTTTATCTATATCTATATAATATTACTATTTTCTAAAAAATAAAACTATTTTAAATTCGGTGGCTATGCAAGGAGGAAGAAAAAAAAAAAAAATACAAAAATTAAATTAACTACCTTAAACAAATAACACCCACCCACTTAAAATATTCGATGATAGATAGTTTAATAAAGTTTATATTAAAGAACAAACAACTAAGAGTAATAATATTCCAACATGTAACTAGTATTCATCGACAATTAGGTATAAGGACTGTTAAATCAAAAGATATAATAACATTGTATGATTATATAAAGTATGGTCAAACTGATCTTTTCATCAAACATTTTGATCGTTTACATCAATTGATTCTATTGGTTGATAAACAATCAAGATATAAAAAGGTAAATTTACTTGTATTTTTTTCGAAAGTACTAGGATTTACATGTCATATTCACATTCATTCTCTTTATTTCTTTTCTGCATTTAAATTAGAACAATTATATAAAAAGATTGTATTGGATATTTAATATTATATTTGAAAAGAATAATCATGTTGCAATGAAATATTTAATTGATAGACTTGGTATAACCAAAAAAGACTTTCAATCATACAAAATACACTTTTCTTCAACTACAACAAAAGGCTTTCAATTCACAACTGAAATGTTCTACGTATTACGAGATGCAAACTTTTCAACACTTGTGCCATCTCTTCAGCATGGGATGATCAATGTATTGATTAGACTTGGTGACAGTGATCAATTGGAATCATATCTATCTACATTGGATAACCCGAATCCATCGAGTACTGATCGCCGTCCATTCAAAAGTTCATTTTCATATTTACTTGCCAACAACAACAACAACAAGGATATTATCTACACTACTATTAGGATAATAGAAATATTTAAAAGATATTCAATCAATGTTATTGGGGATGTATTGGTTGGAGCGGTGGAGAATAATCATTTGGAGATGGTAAAGTGGGTTGTGGAAAATGTACCAAATGAAGAGTTGGCAGACTCTTGTAAAACTATTGTTTGCACTGTTTTTGAAGTACATGGCAAAAAAGAGGTGTTGGAGATGTTGCCAATATCACATTATGCCAATGGTTGGCATATTGGCTCAAATGCTATTAAACAAGGAAATTTTGATTTCATCGAATATTATTTAAAGAAATCTCTCCAAGATGGTCATGTCATTAAAATATTAACAGAGTGTCTTGCACACGATCGAATGGATTGCTTTGAATTGATTGTTACAAAATATCAAAATCATTTACCACCAGGCCACCAAAAGGTCATCCATCTTTTTCATCCAAACTGTTTTTCAACAGAGTTGGTAGCAAGAGTAATCAAACTCGGATTCCATGTTCGCCTTTGTGTTGATATGTTTGAGCCTGCCATCCGAGACAACCAATTGGAGACCTTTATCGAATTGGACTATCCACACCTCCCATTGACAGTCGACAGCTTTACCAGACTACTCGGTTATGCAATTGAATGTAACAGTCTATCTTCAATTGACGTCCTACTCCACCATCCACGATTCCAAGAGGTTCAAGATCGCATCATTGACATTAGTTGTATCAAACCACAGACTATACCAACGATTGAATATATATTCGACAAGTCCAATCGAAATATACCGATTAGGTTCCAATCGATCGATAACTCTTATAACAAAGATTACACCTCTTCTTATTCTGTCGATTACGAGTCGGTTGCCAAGGTCATTCGTTTGGTTTATAGACCCAACATTATCGGCCGTTGTCAGTTGATTGCCATCTTTTTGTTGGCAAATGATATCGAATGGTTGTTTGACAATAATGTCATTGCAAAGGACTCTGTCAGCACTTTAGTAACGGGTCTCTTTAGCGACTACATTGCGGGTGGTGCTGCTACATATAGAGATCTATTCAAAACAGCCTGTCTCAAAGGACAGTACCCAGCTTTGGATTTTCTTTTTGACAATTGTCTACCCATTGTTAAAGACACATATTCATTGGTCATCTTGGTAGGCCTACTACCAGATGACCAACAATTTGAAAGATATTGGTCAAGGTTGGGCATAACAGACACAGCAATTGTCTCTGATATTGTTCAAAGGATTATATTTGCAGTAGAGATTCATAGACCAAAAAGAGTAAAGTCTATCGTTGACATTTATGGCACTCTATATACTACTAGTAGGACAAATGGAATAAAGATGAGCCCGATCAATTATCCTCCAATGAAATACATTAATAATCACCCCATTGCTCACTATTCAACTCTAATGGAGGTGTTTTGCAGTCAAAAAGTACCTTGGATTAAAAATTATTCCAAAGCAGATGAATTGATAATCTTTCAAAAAGCAATTAGTTTTGGTTATATCCTTCCTATCCCTTCATTTTTAGATAATAATAATAATGACGACCAATCTAATCAAAATTCTAAATGTAATTTAATGTAAAATAAATATAACCTTTTTTTAAATTATTTTTTTTGAAATAATATATTCATTATTGATGAATCTTCAACTGGATATAATACTATGCTTGACAAATCGTCAAACAATGTATCTGAAAGCTTTTCTATTGCTAAAAGATTACCCATGTTTTTGTTACTCCATTCAATGTCCTTGTCCAACATTTGCAAATGTTTTTTTTGTAAAGTATTTTTGAAATAGAGTAGTACTACTAGGTTTAATAGTAAGAAGAAAACAAGAAGATGCTATTTGTATTATTTGTTTAATAATATTTAAATAAATTAAGCTTTGAAAAATAATAAAATAAATTCAAATTAATGGGTCGGGTTATTAATAATCGGCAGTTTCGTCTCGTTCAGATTATTATTTATTATTTATTTATTAAATAATCAGAGATAATGTCAACAACACAAAGTTGGTTTAATCAATACACAGATGATGATAATGATGACGATAATGACGGAGACGAAGAGGTAGTCCAAGAAGAGATTACGACGACTCGGGAGACCAACAACAAAAATATAACAATCGAGCAAATAGGAGAACATCGTATCATTAGAGATAATGATACTGGTAATATTACAATAGATCTTCATTCTTTATCTTCTTCAAACGATAACAAGAGAAAGGCAATAGATCAAGATCAAGAGGACGACGAGACTAGTACAACAACTACAACTACGATAACCTCACTACAATTACAACCACCACCACCACAAGTACAACAACAAAAGATAGGAGTTGACAAATGTACAGTTTGTCAAGACAAGATTTCAAAGTATAGATGTCCAGGTTGCTTTATTTTGTTTTGTTCGATGATTTGTCTCGGCAAACATAAAACATCGACTGAATGCACAGGTGTCAGACGTGTCACCCAATTCATCCCTCTTGATCAAATGACTGATCGTGATATTGTAAATGGTATGTATAACATTAAACTACTAAATATAAGTATCAGATGACTAATTAGTTCTTTATTCTTCTTAGACTTTAACTTTTTAGAAAATATAAACCGTGTACATGAATCTGGAAAGAATCTAATCGACAGTTCAATGGTACAAACAAAATCAGTGTTTCTTCAGAAAGCTGCTTTTAAACGTATGATTAATCTTTACATTATGCCAAAACAAATGTCAAGACATAAAGATAATACTTCAAATTTTAGACAAAAGTAAGAAATAGAAAGAAACAAACAAATATTAATAATAATATTAATAATGTATGAATGAATGCTAATACTTTTCTTTTTTTTTTTGATACTTAGGGAAAATTTAATATATTGGAAAATGGAATGGAATTTTGTAAATGATTTATTTAAAATTGTAAATGATAATGTTTGTGAAACCGATAGTATCAAAGATATAATATTAAAACATATCAATGATCCAGTGAATCGATACGAACTAAAGAAATATTTCAAGAATAATCCAGATTCAAAAGACCCCATTTTATTGATGAAAAGAGAACGGTGTACTGCCAATCAATACTATCGTATCCCACTAGACTCTACACTTTCTAGTTGTCTTCAATACAAAGAGTTGATAGAGTTTCCATCGATTCTAGTCATCAACCAACACGAGTTGGTCAACTACCCAATCGTAGATGATCCACAACAATTGGAAGAAATTCAAAAAGAACAAAAGGAAATCATACAACGTTACAGTAAAGTAAAGTATGATCCAAATCTAGTCAATACTCATGATCAAATTAATAGTTTAGCAAAATCAAATCCAGTCAAGAAAAAAAAGAAATTACAACCTTTACCTCCTCTTAATAATCCTAGTACTAATAATCAAAATAATCAAAATAATAATCAAAATAATAGTAATCAAAAACAACAACAAAATAAAAAACAATCAACAAAATCAAATAATAATAATAATAATAATAAGGCACCAACAAAACAGCCGCCAACCATTCCAGTCCAAACACAAATACCTCCACCATTGGAACCAATCTCGAATATACCATCGGTGGGAACTGTTCAAGAGAATATTAATAAAGAAGAAGAAGAGGAAGAGAATAGTTTCTTTACCTTTTAGGCAATAATAATTTTTTTGATCAATCCAAAAAAAAAAACAAAAACAAATAACACTAATTATTATATTTATTATATTTATTTATTTATTTTAATCATCATCTTGTTCATCTTCACTATCACTAAAATCAGCTAGTAAAGAAGCCAATTTGTTTGAAGATTGAGTTGATGTTTCGGCAACTGCGGCTGTTGATTGGGAATTGGTATTTTTCTTATTATTATTATTATTTTTACCAGATGCATCAATTACAAATCCAGCAGTTTCCTCTTCTTCTTGTTCTTCTTCCTCTCCTTCTCCTTCTTCTTCATCTTCTTCTCCTTCTTGTTTAATACCTTCTTCATCTATTGATTTTCTCTTTTTAGAGTCTTCTTGATGTTGATTGATAATGGCAATGACCTTTTCGACGGTCAATTGTCTAATAGATTGAATGATATCATTTGGTTTGGTGGCGGCAGTGATACCTCCTCCAACAAGGGTTGGATTATTTGTCAAATATTGAACCAATTCAGTTGGTGGAGTGATCGAGACCAAAGCAATCTTGAGACGTGCAACGAGTTGATGTTGTGGAGCCTTGGCAGTGACATAGACAATACCACGTGAAAATATTAATCTTGCTTGTAAATAACTAACCAATTGAGTTGATGGTTTTAATAATGCCAAATCATAAAACTTGTTCAAAATTCTAATCATTATATCATTATTATTATTATCTTTGTTATTATTGTCCTTGTTGATAAAAGTTGAAATGGAAAAATCAAAAGATGAAATTAATCTTACAAGTTTACCAAGTAGTAAATCTTGTTGTTGGCCAAGTAGTAACATGATATAGGTATAATCACGTTCCTTGTTTAATCCAAGTACAATGGCAAACTTTAAGAGTGATGATGCAAGATCAACATATTCAACTGATTTCTTTTGATGCTTTAAAGCTGGTAAAATAGAAAGTACCAAGTATCTATTCAATTCATGATAAACCTTTTGTAAATATTCTAAATCCAATTTAACACTACCACTAAAATCAATCTTTGCCAATAATAAATTAACTTGAATTAAATATTTGTTTGTTGCCTAAAAATTAAAAAAAGAATTAGAATCTATTTCAATATTATTTATATTATTCTCTATTTCTTACACTTGATAAATGATTAATTGATTGAAGTGAAGATAAAATATCTTTTCCATTGTTTAGGTATTGAATGGTTTGTTTGGATGGATTACAAGTGAGACTGTCAGAAAAGAATGATTGAACAAAGAGTGGATTCTTTTCATTATTCTTTGATTTGTGTCCATTGATGATAATGTCCATCATATCTTCACCACCACGACAATTGACATAGAGATAATTGACAAAGTTCTTTTGCAAATTTTCATTGTTTCTATTCAATTCATAGGATTCTTCTTGTTTCTTTTGTAATTTTTCATTTGATTCTTCTTCTTTTGACAATGTTTTATTCTTGTTTGAAAGTTTAATTGTTAATCTAATAAAATAATATAAATTAATATTTAATAATAATGATTTAGATATATTGTATTTCTTTTGTCTTACAAAGAATAAAAATGATTAAAAGCAGGAGGAGTAAATAAATAATCACGAATTGGATGAGTAATATTTGAAATGGCTTCTAGGTATTTGGATTTGATATTGTTTCTTGATAACTTTTCAAAGAGGCTAGTGTCCATATTGGCAATCATCTTGGCCAAGAACTTTTGACCCAAACTAATGGTTTGAAGAATCTTTGATTTGTTTTCATTATATTCTTCAGTTTGACGTTGTAACTTGTTTAACTTTGTTTCAATTGATTTAAAATATTCACTATCTACATCTTCTTCTTCTTCCTCTCCGTCTTCCTCATTATCTTCATCTTCTTGTTTAACTTGAATCTCTTCTTGTTCTTCTTGTTCTTGATCCTCTTCTTCCTCTTCTTGTTGTGGTTCAATATCACTTTCTTCCTTTTCTTGTTTGACAATGATTACTGCTGCTGGTTGTTGTTTCTTTTGATTCTTTAAAGTTGCAGCTGCTGGTTGATGTGGTTGCTCTATACTATCAACATCAATCTCTTCTGATTGAGTTTTCTTTGGTTGTGTTTCCTTTCTCTTTGCCATTTCTTCTTTCTTCTCTCTCTAAATTAAAAGAGATATAGAAACTAGGTTGATGATTTCAAAGACGAACGACAGACACAGAGATGGTTCATTTTCGTTTTTTTTTTTTTTTTTTTTTGAAAGTCTATTTTTTCGAAATATAGAGAGATAATAACTACAAATATGAATAAACAAAAGAATAGAATAGAATAATGATGATTTAATAGAAGAAGAAGGGTGGTTACCAATGGTTATATTTTTTATTTTAATTTAATTTAATTTTTATTTTTTAATACCCTATTTTGCTGGATTGAATAAAACTCATCAAAAGGACACAGATTTTTTTTGAACAGCCACTCAGGTGACACTATTTTTAATTTATCTTTCAACTTTATTTATTTATTTAATTCATTTAGATAGATAGATATATATATATATATATAATGTATAATGGAATTGGATTAAGAACAGCTCGAGGATCGGGTACGAATGGGTACGTGCAGAGAAACTTGTCTCATGTCAATGCCAACAAGGATCTACAGAAACAACAGCAGCGTGACAAGTTGCACGGTAGCTTCAACAACATCTCACCGTCGATCAAACCCAACAAAGAGATATTAGAGCACATGGCAAGAAGAGCAATCGAAGTGAAACTCGAGGAATGGGCTGTCGACGAGGGTGTCTATGATCGCGGCTACAAGGACGACGAGCTCGATGCGATCCTCGACGAGAAGCGTCAGGAACTCATCCGCGACCAACAAGAGACTGAGCGCGAGCTGGCAGAGTTTAACGGTGGTGGCGGCAGCGGCAGCGAGGATGTCAACACTGCACTACGCAAATACAACCTGTTCGAGACACACCAGAGCGCACATGTCAAGGAGCTCGAGAACGAACGTTTTAGAAAGGCACTCAACTTGCCCGACGACTATGTGCCGGGCCAATCACTCGACAAAAAGGTGCAAGAAGAAAAGAAACAAAAGCGTATCCAAGAACGCGAGGAACGTGAACGACAAAAGCGCAAGCAAGAGCAACTCAGAATCAAAGAACAGAAAAAGGAGGAAAAGAAACAGAGAAAGGCAAACAAACTAGCTGCTCGTCAACAATCTTTGGAGGAAGAGGATGGTGACAACAATGAAAAAAAAAGAAGAAGAAGAAGAAAACAATTGGATAGCAGTGACAGTAGTGATAGTAGCGACGACGATACAGCAAGAAGAAGAAGAAGAAAACAAAAGGATAGCAGTGACAGTAGTGATAGTAGCGACGGTGATACAGCAAGAAGAAAAAAGAGAATGATGAAAAAGAGAGATCTTAGCGATGAAGAAGAAGAAGAAGAAAGAGAGGATAGAGACAAAGAGAGACAAAAAAAGTTAAAGAAAATTGAAGAAATGAAAAAGAAAATGACAATGACAATGACAATGACAATGAGAGATGATGGTGGCAACAGAGATGACAGTGATGGTGGAGACCGTTATTTCAAAAATAGACAACATGTACCAGAGGTTAAAGAGGAGGATATGCGTGATATTTCACCTCCAAGAACTTATACGGAATACTCTACCACGGACAAATCAACACCTCTAGTTGTCAAAGAGGAACCAATGACCCCACCAAGATCCAATATTGTAGAAAGAGATCATTCTGCATCACCTCCAAGAACTAGAGATGATGAACGTTCTCGTTCTCGTTCCCGTTCCCGTTCACCAATTAGAAATCGATCACCAATAAGAGAAGCAAGAAACAGATCACCTGTTAGAAATCGGTCACCGGCACCAGCAGCAGGAGGGGATCGATCACCAATAAGAAATCGTTCTCCTCCTCGTCGTGATAGAGATAGATCAAGAGATAGAAATAATAATAATAATAATAGAGATAATAGAGATAGATCAAAGGAAAGAGAAAGAGGAAGAGATTATCGTGACAATAGAGACAGAGATAGAGATAATAGAGATAGATCAAGAGACCGATATAGAGGAGGAGACAGATCTCCACCAAGATCATCTTCATATAGAAATTCATCTCCATCTAGAAAAGACAATAGGGATAGAGACAGAGAAAGAGAAAGAGGAAGATATCAAGGTAGATAGATAGATCATCATACCATATCAATACACCATATATGTTACATTATAAAGAATAGAATAAATAATTTATTATCCAAACAAAAACAACATATTTCCTCCCCAAACTGGAAATGATTCTCTATAATCAAAGGGACACTCCTCATATCAAATTGTATGGACCTTTTAAAATTGGCCTTTGGAAGTCCAAAAGGGTTTTGGAAAAAAAACAGGAGATCCAATATATATTTTTCTTTTTTTTGCCTTTTTTGGAATATTTTGGAAATACCAAAAAAATTGGTTAACCAAATGTTTCAACTTCCCATTTAATGGTTAAAATTACTTTTCCATAGCTTGTATCAAGTTTTTTATTTCTAAACCATTTCACACAAGTTTGTAGTACACGAACCAAATTCTACGGCTATGCTTGTTTTCAAAAAGACAGCTAGCTTTAAATGCTCGTTGGTTTCGGTTTTGATTCATTCACCCAATTATAAAGAAAAAAAAGGACTTTTTGCCTTTCATCAACATGTAGATAATTTAGAACCTTCCTTCCTTTAATAGATTTGTAAAGGTTTTTTTAATTCTTTCAATTGTAAATTTGTAAATTGGTAAATTGTTTATATTACTTTATTCCTTCCCTAGATTATTAGTTTATAATTTTTAAAATAGTGATTCATCATTAATAACATACACATAATAGTTGTTAATAACCAAAAGAAATCCAACAACAAATTAAATTAAATCTTCAAGATTAAAAAAAGGCGAAATAATAAATTGAAAAATAATAGATAGTAATATTTCAACAACAAACTAGAATAATAATAATTATAATATGGATTAAACAGTCATTCTTGACAAGAATTAAATAATTATTAAAAAAAGGAAAAAGAGCCGACGAGATTTATCTCTCTCTCTCCTCTCTTTCTGTTTTGCAAACTAATAATACGAGATATCAAAACAACTCGTATTCAATTCAGAATCATCCAAAAGATTTTCAAAAGAGAGAGCGAAAAATAATAATAAAATCACTACCGCACTCTAATTACAGCAACAACAAGTGCACTTGCAGTTAAAGAAGAAGAAGGATCAAATAATTATAAATTGCCCATTTATTTAAAATTTATAGTTTCAGATTATATCTTCTTTGACCTCTTGCAACAAACAAATAATATCTTTAATTTTTAAATATTCTACCAATACAATAGTATCTCTACCCTCTTTTTTAGTTTAATTAATATTCAAACACCAAGAAGGTAGAAATCTATTTATAATTATATATAATTTCCTTTTCCATTAAACTAGTATTTTATTTATTATTTTAGAAAGAAATTAAATTATCATTATTTCCATTTTCAACCAAAAGTTTTTTTTTAAATTTTTATTGTTTTGATCCATTGATCAAAAGTAGATATATTATGTCATTGTATCCATCCATAAATAATTAAACCTATATCATATCAATATCCCACACATTCCCACACTCACCAAAACACCAACCAAATTTAATCAAAGAATTACAATTATCATAATTTACAAACTTCAACTGACTTGAGTGGTGAATATATCTATATGTGTTTAAAAAAAAAATAACATATATATATGTGCTGAAATCAATCAATCTCATCGCAATATAAAATAAATAGAACATACAAAATAACAAGCAAACAAACAATAATCCATACATAACAACAATACAAGCAACAATAATAACAATCAATAGTTGGTCATTATCATCATCATCAAAACAAACATCAAGTTAGCATCCACCCAACAACAAAAATAATAATCATTGACTTTGGTGACAGTATTAGTATCAGTATCAATATCAGAATAGCAGTGACATAGTAGTACAAGAAATTGGCAACGAACAATACAATCCAGATACCTTTCAAATCGACCAATTGATAATACCAATATTTGTCAAATCATCCAGCCAGCCAGCTAGCATTGTGATTGGATTGCACCCCTAACCACACCATTTCATATTTTTTTGTTTCACTTTTGACCCACTCCTCATCATCCCTATCCATCCATCCATCTCGAATCGTGGTCATTATTCACTCATCCACTCATTCTTTGCTAAAGACACCAATCCTCCTCACCCTATCACCTAAACTCATTATCAATACCACCGTCCACAACCACTCACCATATGAGTGTATATTGAGTGATTTAATTTATATTCAAACATCCATTCTATCAATCTAGATAGATCATCATCCATCATCACATTTTATATAAATTTTATTCTAGTGTTTGATTTGTTTGTTTGTTGGTTTACTACTACTATTACTATTATAATCGTCTTCATATTATCTCACAAACTCACTTCTACCTCCTCACTCACCTCACTCTGACAGACCAATCATCAAACAAAACTATTCTATTTATACTCTATTTATTAGCTACTATTCCTTCAAGTGGTATACATAAATTTAATTTTATTATTTTCCCTCACCCTTGCCATTCGATCAATCTTTGTCCTTGTACAACAACAACAACAACAACAACAACAACCCTCACTACTAGTAGTATAAATATAAACTCTAGTTCAAATAATATAAATTCAAAAGATTCTAATAATAATTAATTAATTAATTCCATTGTTTCCCAAAAAAAATCAACATGTTATCAACAAACAATCATTTCCAATTTACAAATAATCCAAATACCACTATTCGATGTTCACCCTACACTCATAATACCAACAATGATTTGGTCCAAAAGATCAAGACCTATGCCACTGCCAATCAACAACGTGGTCGAAGAAATTCATCATATTTGTCGAGGTTCCCAGTTTTATCAAATAACCTTAGTGGCGAGGCCGTTGTATTAGTGGCCAAAAAGATATGTGACTGGGTTGTCCAAAGTAATATCAATGGAAAGAACCAACAACGAATTAACCTTTTGCCACTGGAAAAGATGGAAAAGGGTGTTTTGGAAATACTAGATACCATCATGAAGTGGATTCTTGATGATATGAATGAACCACCATTCATCCTTTTTGTCGGCATTTATTTGGCCGATAAATATGTAAATAGAGTTGGAGTTAGACAAAGCCAAGTTTTATGGTTAATTTTAACAAGGTAAATATAAATATAAAGGAATTTAAACAACATGTCTCCCCTTCCTTTATTAATTTTAATATTTTTATTTAATTTTAATTAGTTGTATAATAGCTATAAAGATGTACTCTGATTCCCAGAATATAAGTAATATTAATATTGCACATAAATTTCAAACAAGCACAAAGAATCTATTAAAGATGGAGTCTGAATTTTTAACCACCATTGGATATAATTGTTATGTTGAGGAATCGACAATTATTGCATTTCTCACATCAATCTACATGGAACATATTTGTAATATAACCGACAAATCATCAATGTTATTTTCATTGATTCAACAACAACAACAACAACAACTTCAGCAACAACAACAACAACAACAAAATTAATAATTGTAAAATAATAAAAATTTAAATTAAAATAGAAAGAAATCTTTTTGTAAAAGTTTTCTAAACAAACAAAAAAAAAAAAAATTTATAAATAATTTAATTAATTAATTATATAATTAAATATTTAAAGTCTTTGATTTTGGAATTACAAAAAAAAAAAAAAAGAGGGTAATAAATAAAATTTATTCTATAATATATTTTGTTATTATTGTTGTTAATATTATTATTTTTAATCATCACTAACCAACGTTTGTAAAAAAGAAGAGTTGGTTGGTGAGGATCCTGAAATATTAATATTACTACTGGGAGGAAGGCGAGTTGATGATGATGAAATACTACTAGGAGTAGTTGGGGGAAGAATTGGCGTATTAAAATTGGATTCATTGGTAGGTGACGATATATTACTACTCGAAGAAGAAGAAGAGGTATATACATTATTTACAGTGGATGAGGAGGAAGATGGATAATTATTATTATTATTGTTACTACTACTACTGCCTTGAAGAATCAAAGGAGATGAAGGAAGTGATGGAGAAGTATTGGCTGAACAAATGTTGGGAAGATTATTATTATTATTATTATTATTGTTGTTTTGACAGGAGAGTGTATGTATTTGTTGATAACTAATGGGAAGTGGACTATTTAGGGAAAATTTCTGGTTAAATACTTTGATATCTTTTGATTGTGAAGTAGACGTCGATGATGATGATGCCGAGGAGCAACAGTTGACCAATGGCGATGGGGTTGCCGATTTCAATATACTTGGTGATGATATTGTTGGCGTTTGGTGACGCGAATTGGGTGAGGTAAGTGGTGCTAAAAGGTTTGGCATACTCTGATGATGAGAGTGGATAAAATGGTTGTGTTGGTGACTATGATTACTGTTGTTATTATTATTATTGTTGCTATTTACAAGAGAGGTGCTTCCAGAGAGCTGGCCAAGATTAGATGATGACACTGATGACGATAATGTATTGCCAGATGAAGAAGAAGAAGAAGTAGATGAGGATGAAGAAGAAGAGCTAATGATAGGGTCGAGTGTATTACAACTATTGCTTTTACTATTGACTGATTTTAATTCACAAGATTTACTAAGAAACGATGAGATGACGCTATTTAATTGTTGGAATCGAGCGGGCTTGTGAAGGTGGTCGTCCATGCCCGCCTCGATACATTCGTTGCGATCGCTGGTGGTTAGGGCGATGATGGGGGTGCGGCGGCCTTGTTGCAGCTCAAACTCTCTGATTTTGGCCGTTGCCTCGAAACCCGTCATTTGGGGCATCTCCACGTCCATGAGAATGAGGTCAAACGAATGAGAGAGTGCAGCCTCGACAGCCTGTAACCCATCCTCGGCCATTGTCACCGAATGACCCAGCTTTCCTTGGAGAAAATGGAGAGCTATCTTTCGGTTGAATGGATCGTCCTCTGCCACTAATATATTTGCCTTTCTCAATAAATCGCCACCAATTATATTTGATAATTCTTTTTCCAATTTTGATACTTCATTTCCATTATCTGATGATGATGATTCATCTGATCCATTATCATCACTACTTGAAGAAGATGAAGATGATGATGATGAAGATGAAGATGAATTGTCTGAACCATTGTTACTATTATTTAATTGATATCTTTCATTATTATGATTATCATTAAGTGCAACGGTCATGATTGAATTTGGTTGTTGTTGTTGTTGTTGTTTAGAGATAGTATATGGATAGTTATTATAATAGTTGTTGTTATTATTATCATGATTCTTAAATTCATGAATAAAGTGGTTTTCTTGTTGTGGTTGTTGTTGTTGACCCTCTGTTGATGCTGTACCTTTATAAACCAAGTCATTGCTTTTCACTCTACGATGATTGTATGATAACTTCATTTCTCTCAATCTTGGTGAATCCCTGGTCAAAGGGTAGCCACTGACTGCAGCGCTGTTGGTTGATAAGGGTAGTAATAGACACTCTGCTAAATTCATGAATGGAACCTTTGGACAACGACGATGTGACTACGACACTATAAGTGACCCACGTCTGTCTCTCTCTTCTAAAAATAAAAACAATGAAAAAATAATGATAAATATCAAAAGTTTGATTGTTTGATTATAAATAATATAATATATGATAATTTGTTGTTTGTATGTATGTGTATGTGTTTGTGCGTCTATCTATCGATCTATCTATCTTTGCGGCAATGAATGGAATGGAGTGGATGTATATATATATATAAAAAATAAAAACAAGTTTATAGTAATTAGTAGTTGGGGTGGGTAGGTGAGTGGGTGGTGGCAACTGGTAATAGTTGGAGAGGGTGGTTAATGATGATGACAATGATTTCTTTTTTTTTATAAAATCCTATATATATATTTTAAAAGAAGTAAAAAGAATTAGATTAGTTGAAATTGATTGATAAAGAAAAGAAAAGAAAAGAAAATAAAAGAAAAGAAAATAAAAGATTCTTCTTCCCAAAAACAAAAACAAGGCAAGATGAAAGAATAAAATTATAATTATAATCCCAACTCTCTTTCTCTCAAACTCAACTCTCTCTCTCTCTCTCTCTCTTAAAGTATAACGTGTGGTATGTGTATATTGATGGGTGGTTTAGGTTGGTTGGTTATATTTAATGATGATGATGTGTGGTTAATTTATATAAAAGTGATTAATTTTAAAATCAATCAATGATGTCTTTTGTTCTTCTTCTTCTACTTTTGATGATAATGATGATGAATTTCTGCCATGTCATCCATCCAACTTTCTTTTAGAAAAAAAGGGGTAGATGGGTGTGTACTACCTATCTACCTACCGCCAACAGTAAGGGTGGTAGGGGTGGGTGTTGGTTTGACATGGATTATTACTAGATTGATAGATTAATTGGATGTTTTGAAATGGATGGACTGGAATGAAAATGACACTGTTCAACCACCCACCATTCTTCTGCTCATATATTTTAAAAAATACAAAAAAGAGTGTGATTGATTGATTGATTGTATTTTATGATGAATGGTGGTAATGGGGGTAGTTTGAATTTAAAAACAATAACAACAATGGGTAGTGATAAGTTTGGTTTGGTGTGTCAAAAAAAGGGGGGGTATATCATATAAAGAAGGAAAAGGAGGATTAATTATCCTGTCTCCTCTCTATGTATGTATGTATGTGTACGTGTAGGGGGTCATGTGTTTTTTTTTTTTTTTCTACTATTATTATGATGATGACGACAAGAGATAGGAGAAAAAAAAAAAAGGAGGGTAAGACTATTACACATACAGAAGATCATGATGATAATAATGATAATGATAATGGACATGTCCAAAGGCTGGGAAAAAGTGAAAGTGAAAAATAATATATATTTATATATATATATAATCGTGATTACTCTCTATGGGTAACTGCGAATTCATAAACCGTGATGCTTTTGGAATACAATCCCATTGGATGGTCCAAGAAAAAGTGGGGGTCGCGTGAGTGTGAGTGTGTGTGCATATACATTATGCGGGTGATGGATGGATGGATAGATATTGGTGGATTTTTAGGGACAAAGAAGAAGGAATATGAGCAAAGAGAACAGGGATATTATGACTATTATTACTCATTCTCCTCTACCCTTTTTTAAATGATTTTGTTGATGACAACGAATAATTAAATATTTAAAACTTTGAATTGAATTCAAAAGTTTGCCCAAATGTGATTATCCTATAATCTTCTGTCATTGTACAATGATTGTTTTTTTGATTTTCTGTTATTATTATTATTTTTACCTCTTTTGCTAAAATACTTTTTTTGGGACCTTTTGGAAAATAACTAAAAATATGTTACTACTATAGTAGTATCCAAATAAATATGTTGTCGACAACAAATAATAATAATAATAATAATAATTATTATTGACACAAGTTCCTAATTAAAATTGTGGTCTGGATGGATGGTTAGTGATGGATTGGAATGGAATTATTATTATTCATTCTCTGGAAAAAAAGAAAAAGAAATATAGGAAGCACAAAGAAGTTGTACGATCCAGACAATAGACAGAGACAGACAATAGACATACACGGTTGTCAGTCAGTCAGTCGGTCAGTCGGTCGGTCAGATTGGAGAAGTGCAAAAAGTCCAAAAACACAACAACATATATGATGTTTTGAAATTGTTGTTGTTTGTCTTGTGTTATGTTATGTGCACACAACATACCTCTGTTGGTTTAGATTCTTTGTAATTATATTAATGTTTCCCAAATAATATTATTGTTCCTCTCTCTCTCTGGTGTTTTTGTTTGAAATGAATCATCAAAAATATAATAATAATTTTTGAAAGTAGGACAACGACACTGTTGGCGGTGGTGGTAAGAGGTGGTAGCGGTGGCTGCTGCTGCTGCTGCTGCTGGTAATATGTGTATATGTGTGTGTGTGTCGGTGTGAGTGCGTGTTTAAACAATATTTGTTAAATGATGATCGTTATGTTGTTGTTTAATAATAATAATAATATTACAACTACCTTTTTATCACAATTTTAAAAAGTGTTAAGTTGGTTGAGTTATTATTAACACTGTGATGATGTTGTTTTGTACTTGTTGCCACTGTTATTATTGTTATTGGTGATATTGATTATTATTATTATTATTATTTGTTAATGTGTTGTGTTTATTGGTGTTTATGATAGTAGTACTGATACTCTGATGATGATGATGGATAATGATAAGTCACACACACACACACAACACAACACATATCAACACAAAAATGAATTATATAGATTGGATTTGACCGTCTCTCTATTATATTGATTCCATCCACTGACTGGATTTCCTTTCCACCCACTCTTTGCAAAGGTGGAGGTTTTCTTGTTGGCACAGACCAGAGGATGAGGAGGGAGGAAACAACAGTGGCAGCTGCAGTAGCGACACGCCACCCACACAGACACACACAATGCAAAGCAATCGCTTACTCGCTCACTCACTCTCCTCTGCCTGGCAAGAGGAAACATTCATTCAATCTTTGGTTTTGTTGCTGTTTTTTTCAAAGGTGTGTGTGTGTGTGTGTTGATTATACAATATATTTGTGTTGTGGGAGGGAGGGAGGGTGGATTCATTCACATCAACAACAATGGTGTGGTGGATGAAGATGGTGATGAGCCGTTGAGCAATAATTTTTATCCTACTCGATGCTAACTACACGGGTGTAGCAAAGGGGGGGGGGGGTGATTGTCGTTGTGTAGTCGTTGTTGATCTTGGCAATATGTGAGTAGTGGTTGGGTTTTGGTGTAGAGAGAGTGAAGGGAGAACAAAGATAAAGAGCCTCCCGTAGTTAATTAATTAAACAGTGTGTGGGTGTGTTTGTGTTTGTGATTGGAACCATCCTTGTGTGTGACAAAGGTGTATGATCTGATAAAAAACCACATATTCGAACCAAACAACACACCAATGACCAACAACAACAAAACCTTGATCCTTCTTGTTGGAACGACGTTAAACATGATACATGATGATGATGATGATGATGATGATGATGGTTGATCAATCAATCAAAGGGGATGGGATTGATTAAAATGTAAAGGAGGGAAGGGAAAGGAAAAGGTTTAAACAAAAGATGATGGGTGTGGATAGATGGGATAGATGGCATAGATGAAGTCAACCATGGGTGTTTGTTTGTTTGTTTCTTTCTTTCTCATACCGTACCTCGTGAATCCAGTTCAGTTAAGTTCAAATTAATAATATTCCAATATTTCAATCAATCTGTTCCTTTAAACCAACTGTTCTTGTTTTTGATCTGTTCTACTACTATCTGATTGATCTACTGTTGTTATTGTTGTTGTTTTGCTTGTCTTGATTGATGTTTCCAATTGTATACCAATAACAACAAGGTATTACTGTTTGGCCAAACTTTTTTGTGAATAAACTGTATTGATTGTTAAAAATAATTAATTATTAATTGTATAAATAAATAAATAAAATATATATATATATATATTTAAAGTATGATGATGGATGGGTGATTATTTTGGAGCTCCCAAGTTTTGGACTATGGTAGTGTTGATGGTCGATGAATTGACAATGGATAGATATAAAAATAAACAGAGACGGTATCTGACAATAATGATAAATAAAAATATGGTTTGAATTAAAATAGAGTACATGTAATAAGATATTCAAATAATGATCACAAATATAAAAAGGATAGAATGGGAATGGAATGGAATAGTTCTGGTGGTACTGTTGGTTGGTTGGGTTGAGTGTGAGACTGGTTGTGTGTTGAGTAGTACTATCAATATATTATATGTCTTGATGATGTGTTAATAGATAAGAATAGATTATTGATTGATTGATGAATTCTAAAAGACAAGCTGGAAAAGTAGGATGGATGATACTCACTCTCTCTCTCTCTCTCAGTATTTGTCACTCACTTTGTTTACTTTTGTGGTTGTCTGTATCTCCTGAATTAGATGATGAGCAGTATTTGATATTTGTTATAGTAGTTGTTGTTCCGCGGTGAATAGATGATGGATGGATTGGCAATTAAAACACAAATACATCTATTTATAACATCTTGGTGTGGGTGTGCTTACTGGGTGTGCGGGGATAGGTGGTTCGTTAAACGATCCAACTAATGGGTGTGTGTGTGAGTGAGTGTGTGGTTCAACGGGTTGACGAAAACAGGTGATGATGCATTTTTTCACACCTTTACTCTCACACACACACATTCAACTCTCTCTATGATTGATCGAGCATAAATGAAATTCGTTAATTCAATCAAATCGAATCGAATGAAATGAAATCGTATCGTATCGTGTGTGTTCCGAATAACTATTATTAGGAATATGTTTGTCTTTTTGTCTCCTCTATTCGTTTTTGATTTGTTGGTTGGTTGATTGATTGATTGATTGCGAACGATGGTACGATGTGCGATTTGCGATATGCGATGTTGATGATTAATCTAGGACTAATGATTGTCTTGTCTTGTGTTGCTTACCTGTTGTTGTAAGTATGTATGTATATATTGTATATTCGATTAATCTAAACAATGGGGGGTAAGCAATGAATGTGATGGGAGGGGTATCGTGTTGCTTGATGCACTAGCTTCGGTGTGTCGGTTAGGGTTACTAAGTGTGTGAATTCGCACGCGCAAAGAGAGAATGAAATGAAATGATTAATTAACTGACGTTGTGTGTTGTTCAATTAACTAACTAACTAGCTAACTAACTCATCAACCATGTTTACTTTACTTTACTTTACTTACATTTCTTTTAATTGACACATTCATATCTCATTTGATTGCTTGGCCTGGAAAGAAGGAAGGAAGGAGGCCATACTACTACTGCTCTCCTGCTACTTCATCGTGTTACGTTGAATGAATGTTAATTGGTCAACCCGTTAATCTTGCCGATGATGATGATGATGATATTCACGACCTAAAGGGAGGAAGGGAGTAGAGAGAAGTAGAGGGATCATGATTGATTGAGTGATGATGTTGAATAGATAAAACGTTAGAGCTTGCTACGCCTGTTCAATCTCTTTCCATTTCTTTGTTAATCGGATTCCATTCAACCAACAACCAATGTTGTTGTTTTGATTGGACGTGGTGAGGAGAGGGGGTGTTGTTGGGGGTAGAGCCCTAGATCCATCTAATTTTGATTGAAAACAAGAGAGATGGTTGGGTTCTTTGCAAAGAAACAACTGAATGTTTGAAAATCGAAACAAACACCAAGAGGTAGGTAGATATTTTTTTTGTTTTATTATTATTGAAAAGTTTGTAAGAAGGAAAGGTCTGTTGGTGTGTATGTATGTAAGTGTTATATTGGGGCGTTGTCCAACCCCGAAACCAAAGTATGTATGGGCGTGGATGGAATGACGATGATGATGAACTTTTCACCAACACACAAAGATTGTTTGTTGACTTCACCCATCCCTCCTACAACTAAATCCATGTGGGTAAAGTCAACTCAGGTCAATATCAAGAACAACAACTCATCACAGAGTATCTCTGTCTTGTCTTGATTTGTATTTAAAAAAAGATTTATTGATTTTGATTAATGATTTGTTTGTGTCTACTAGGCAAAGATGGGAACACCAAAAATACTGTCTGGATCACATGTACGTAGATTCTTGTTGAGATTGTTGAGTATACTCATATCTGATTCATCGATTTTAAAATCTAGTACCTTGAAATTATCCTTGATACGGTCGGGGTTGACACTCTTTGGGATGACGGTGAAACCTTGTTGAATAGCCCAACGACATAGAATATTGGCAACACTGCGATTATACTTTTTTGCCAATTCACATACAACCTTGTCGGTGATCAATTTACCGTGTCCTAGTGGAGAGTAGGCAGTTAATTGAATACCATTGAGATGACAGAAATACTTTAATCTCTGTTGAGTGTTGTAAGGATTCAACTCGACTTGATTCATTGCTGGACGAATTCTAGCATATGATAGGATATCGATAATCGTTTGAACGTTGCAATTGGCAACACCGATAGAACGTACTAATCCTTGATCGACCAATTTCTCCATTGCTTCCCAAGTTTGACGCATTGGAATTCTTGCCAATTTCGTATTACCATTTTCATCGACTGGGTTTATTTCCAAGCATTCACCTGTGTATTCAAATGCCAATGGCCAATGTACCAAATAAAGATCCAAATAATCTAATCCCAAGTCGGCAAGGGTAATCTTTAAATGTTTTTCAACGTTCTCCTTGGAGTGACAAGTACACCACAATTTACTTGTAATAAACAATTCCTCTCTTTTAATCAATCCACTATCAAATACCTCTTTTAAAGCAGCTCCAACTTCCTTTTCATTCTTGTAAATGGCAGCACAATCCAAATGACGGTATCCAGCTTTAATTGCTTGTTTAATTGATTCTCCAACTACATTTTTTGGTGATTTCCATGTTCCAAATCCTAAACAAATTAAAAAGAAAATTAATATTTGTAATAAGAAAATTAATATTTATAAAAAAAATAGATCAATATTATTATTTGTTTTGTTTCATACCAATAACTGGAATTTTCTTTCCATTATTCATAGATAGATAATTATTCTTATTTGTTGTCATTTTTAAAATTAATTGTTAATATATTAATTAATTTAAAATATTAAAATATATATATATATTTATAATTTTATAAATATTTTTTACAATTTTTTTTGAAAGATTAATATTATTATCGGAGAGACAGAATCTTGGGTGGTTGCCATCTCTCTTTAATCTTATCTACTCTTACCTACTCGTAAATAGTTGAATCTTTTATCGGTTTATTCAAAATACCAATGTATATTATAACCCACACCACTACATCAGGATCGATTTTCTTTTTAAAAAAACAATGTGTGAAAAGTTCAAACCACAAGAAGTACGAATAATATTTTTCTATCCTGGTTGAGATATTTATGGGGGTGGTTTCGAACAATGGTAGTGGTTGGATTGATTTTCGACCATTATATCTATCTTTCTTTCTCTATTGTTGTTGAATCATTTTGATTGAATTTAATACTTTCATTTGGGAAAAAAAAAAAAGTCCAATTTAATAATAATATTATTTCAATTACAAATATTTGTTTTTGTGTATTGGTGGTTGGTAATATCTTATCTTTATCTTTATCTTTATCTTCTTTCTTTTTAATCTATTTGGTTGGAGTTTTCTTAAATGCAACAGCAATCAAACCCTTTACTTGATCTGATGATACAGGCATTGATTGTTGATAACACTTTTGTGTCAACTCTAAAAAGTGATGATATTTGGCGAGGAATACTTCTTCCAAGTAATCCCAAATAACCAATATAAGTGGTGAATCTCTAGTTATATGTTTATAAATACTAGCCAATGCTTTAATAAATCCTTTTTCAATCTAAATATAAATAAATAAATAAATAAATATAAGTAAAAGAGGGTAGAGATTATTGTTTTCTTTTTTTGTTTTCTAATTTACATTTTCAGTTTTAAATTTCTCTACAATCTTTTTATATTGTTGTTTTGAATGAGATTGTTGGAATTGAATATCACTTGGTGGAAGTGTGAGTAACAATTCATCCATCTTTTGATAGAAATCAAATAATGGTTTAAACTTTAATCCTATCAAGAAATCGGTATAAATGAGAAGGTTGTCTCTATAACGATTGTCAGATTGCTCATAATATGGTTTGAGACAACTGATACCAATTTCGCCCATTCTACTACTCAAGTAGTAATAATTTTCTGTTCGAGCAATGAATTTGTATTTCTCGTCTGGTGATTTTTCAACCAATTGATCCATCCATGAATTCAATGCAACTACCACTTTATAATATGATGAATTAATCAATGATGTTATAGATTCCATTTCTTCAGTTGATCTATATTTCTCTAATGATTTTACAAATATCTAAAAGAAAAAGAAAGAGAGGAAAATTAGAATATTAAAGAATTTTCTATTTTCTTTTGTTTAATGACATACTGGGAAATGTTTAAAATGTGATAATACTCCACATTTCTTTAATGAAGATTGAGTTGATTTAATTGAATCAACTTGTAAATCCTAAATAATAAAAAAATAGATATATATTAGTTTCAAATCCTCATATATATTTTTGTTTTTTGAATTCTTACAATAAATTTGTTAAATAGTGTTTTCATTGTTTTTTGAACTTCTGATAATATTTTAATGATAAACGAACTATAGTCTGGACCCAATACAGAATGAGTAGCTATTTGTCTTTCAGTTTCAATCAACATTGTCAATAGATAGAATGGATTGATTTGATCAGCCTTTACTACCATATCCTTTAATTCATTGGACACTACCTTTTCAAACATCTTTGACAAGATGAAATCCAATGGATTTTCAATGACACCCAATGCTCCATCATCAATCAAACTCATCGACGATGGTGATATTGGTGGTGATATTGGATGTGGTGAAGATTTTGATGGTTGTAATCCTATTGAACTATTATTATTTTTTAAATCATTTGTTGTAGTTGAAGTTGTCGATGTCGATGTAGTACTTTGAGTACGACTATGATGATGATGTTGATGTCTACCTGATGAAGGTGGATCTGAAAATAAGAAAAATTCCATTAAAAATCTTTGTTCTGACATTATAGCATTATTAATACATGATAAACATAATTGAAATGCCTAAAACATTTAAATAAAATAATTAATATAATAATCTTTTCCTTTAATATGATTATTTACATACGGCATCAATTGAACGTTTTTTATGTGAAGATTTTGAAGGTGTTTGTGGAGTTGGTTGTAATTGTTGTTTTGAATTAGTTTCCAAAGCTTTTTTAACATGTGTAGAAAAAAAGTCTAAAAATAATCATAAAAAGATAATTAATTAATAAGTTGTAATAATATTATTATTTTTTTGATTTGTTTTTTCTTTTCTTTTCTTACCATTTTGATCTTTTGATTCTTTTAATATTGAATTTTGTACATTTGAAAAAAAAGGTTTAACATCATGTTTATAAGATGATTTGTAAGCTTTGACATAGAGAGGAACGAGTGGATGAAACTTGTCAATATCCATTTGTTTGAGCCAATGTGCAAGAGGACGATAACGATTGAGAGAATCAAAGAATGCGCTGTGAATGGGTAGTTTCTCATCATCTTTGACAGATGAAGAGTCTCTAAAGTCTTTATGATTCTCTGCAGTTATCTTGAACTCTTTTTCAATTAGAGTCGACACCTTTATGGAAAACGATAGTTTAAAAGTCTCGAATAATTTACGTTGGTCTCTTACAGCCACCATATTCTCCATACCCGATTTGAGTTTAGTGAGTAGTGCCTTTTTAAGGTCACCAGCTGCTTTGATGGCGTTGGCCAATCCGTCAGCCGATTGAAAGTCTGGTGTGTTGAGACACTTGATTGTCTTTTCGTCGAGTGTCAGCAGATTGAGTAGATACTCGAGTGACTTCATCAACTCTTTTTGATTGTTTGATACAATGTTCATCTTGTTGTTTTTACTCTCTATATGTTCAATGTATTTCTTCATGTCTTGCAGTTGTTTGTTGTAATAGTCTATCCATGCCGTCACACCAGTTAAATGTGTTTGATCTTTATCTCCCAATTGACTAACCACTTCATTTACTCCCATTCCACTTTCCAATATACCAACTATCATTTCCTAATTGGAAACAAAAGTAAAGTAAATTAATAAATTAATATTATATTCTCTCTATTCCTCATATACATACAGTTTCAAGAGTTGATAATTGTTTACTAAGTTTTTCAGTTAATAAATCAACATCAGTTTCTGATGATAGATAGTTTTGAAGGATTGCTTCAAGATCATCTTCAATCACAACTTGTTCTACTACTACATTACTATTATTATTATTATTGTTATTGTTTGGATCAGAGAAAGAAGCAGTACTTGCTAATATATTACTTCGTTGATTAGATGGTGATGAATGAGTCGATGAAGTTGCAGATGAAGGTGTTGCAATCGTCTGCTTTCTAGCTACTGCTGGTGATCCTTGTAAACTACCATTACTAGTATTTAATGGAGTTGTCGTAGAACTCATAATAATTCCCTCTCTATATCTATCTCTCTTATCTATCTCTACAATAATACAATGGTAATGAACAAACTACAGAAGTTAGAATGAATTTTTAATTAAAATCTATTTTTTGAAAGAGTAAAAAAAAAAGCAAAGTTTGAAACATTTTAAATTAGTCGTTAGTTTGGTTTAGTTTAGTTTGTATCTTTATCTTTATTTGTACATACATATGTATTGTGAAGATAGAGAGACAGATGGCAGAATTCCCAACACAGATCAATAATACTAGCAAGAAGAAAGTATGCTACTTTCACGATCATGACATTGGCAACTATTTCTATGGACCATATCATCCGATGAAACCACACAGACTGTGTCTTACAAACAGTCTCGTTCTCAACTATGGACTACACAAAAAGATGGATGTATACAAAGCTCGTCGTGCAGATGCTCAAGATCTACTCAAGTTTCATTCAAATGATTATATTGACTTTTTAGAAAGGTTTGTAATGACATACAAACAAATATACATACATACAAACAGACATTTTGTTTGTACTTCTTTTTTTTTTTTTTTTGAAAGAAACTAACAAACTTATTTTTTTTGTTTTTTTTGTTCTTTCTCTACACTTTATAGAGTAACACCAGGATCTATAAATGAATTTAAAGATTGTATAAAGAGATTTCATATTGGAGAGGATTGTCCGGTGTTCCCGGGCCTGTACGATTATTGTACAGTGTATAGTGGCGGGTCGATCGAGGGAGCACTCAAACTCAACCACAAAATGTATGATGTGGCCATCAATTGGAGTGGAGGATTGCATCATGCACGTAAAGATGAGGCATCTGGATTCTGTTATATAAACGATATTGTGTTGGCGATTGTCGAGTTGTTGAAATACCATGCACGTGTCCTATACATTGATATAGACATTCACCACGGTGACGGTGTACAAGAAGCATTTTATTTGACCGATCGTGTCATGACGGTATCTTTTCACAAGTATGGAGGCGATTTCTTCCCCGGTACAGGCGACCTCGACGAGATTGGTGTGCGTGGCGGCAAGCACTATTCCGTCAACGTGCCTTTACGTGATGGTATAGACGATCGATCATACCAGTCTATCTTTAAACCAGTCATACAAGGTGTGATGGATTACTATCGTCCGTCAGCTGTCGTCCTACAGTGTGGTGCAGACTCGTTGCGATTTGATCGGTTGGGATGCTTCAACCTCACGTTCAAGGGGCATGCCGAATGCGTACGTTTTGTCAAGTCGTTTAACCTGCCCACATTGGTACTCGGCGGTGGTGGATACACCGTAAGAAACGTCGCGAGATGTTGGACCTACGAGACATCGGTTCTGCTCGACACGGAAATCTCCAACGAGCTCCCCTTTAACGACTACATCCAATACTATGCGCCCGACTTTCAACTCCATCCCGACTATTCCGGCATCCCCTTTAGATACGAAAACCTCAACACCAAACAATACCTAGAGAACCTCAAAATCAAAATCCTCGAAAATCTCCGTCTCTTACAATGGGCTCCCTCTGTTCAAATTCAAGATATTCCTCCTGATATCATGAATCTTGATCTTGGTAATGAAGATAAGGTAAATATATCACACAAACACAAACACAAACAAATATACTAATTTCCAAATAATATTTATTTATAGCTTGATCCAGATAAAAGAAAACCATCCAAATCATCATTTGAAAGTATAGATACTTTATAAACCAATTAGCTAACTAGTTATAATTTATGAACAAACACTCTACCTGTAAATAATAATAATAATAATAATTTAATAAATTAGAGAGATTCTTTATTTAAATCAATTTGTCTTGGATCTTCTTGATTTTGTTCTTTTGGTGCATTGGTTGATGAAAAGTAACCTTCGTAACCTTTGCCATTGGCAAAGATGATGCGACCGAGACCAGCGTGTTCACCGTGATCCCATCCACCTTGGTAGATGCCGTCACCCCATCGGGACGTGCCAAAACCGTGTCTGTAACCATCGACAAAATCACCATTGTACATTGATCCATCGTCTTGTAGTTCTTGTCCGTGTCCCCAAGGACAGAGATTACGCAATTCTCCTTCATACACTCCAAATCCTTGTTTGACTACGAATCCCTTGACGCAATCACCGTCTTCCCAGTGACCTTCGACAAGCATATCATTTGAAAACCATCGACCATTACCTGTTGGCACGCCATCCACCCAAGTACACTCAAACACTTGCTTGGTACTGACTAATCTACCAGGTCCGTGACGCAGACCGTTTTTATGGACACCTTCAAATATAGTACCATCGGTATATGCGACACGACCCTTTCCATGCCAATCGTCACCTAGAAACTCTCCATTGTATTCGAGTTGAACGTCTTTACGTACTTCGTGTCCACGTACCAGATTGTCATTGACCCATTCACCACGAATTTCAAGTTCTTTGGTTAGATGCACACCGTAACCGTGACGTTTACCATTCTTCCATTCACCGTCATGTGACAGTCCGTCTCGACGTTGGTATACACCCAATCCTTCCATTTGGTCATTTGCCCAGAACCCATCGTAACTCGATCCATCAGCCCAAATGAATCTACCTGCCCCATGACGCTTTCCATCTACAAACTCGCCAACATACACCTCACCCGATGCAGTCTCGTATTCTCCAGGTCCCTGTGGTACACCAGTATCACTCAATCCACCTTTATACTTTGTTCCTCTTTTACTTGTCACTTCTCCATGTTTACCAGTAATCTCTACATATTCAGCTCTTCCACTATCGTTCGTCTCTTTTTCCTTTTCCTTTTCTTCTTCTTGTTTTTCTGATGGGATACCTCTTGAACTAGCAATATCTTGTGAAAGTTGTTTAAATTGTTCAGATGTTTGTTGAGCTAGTTTAAACATGTCTTTGAGGTGTGGCAAGTGTTCAAGGAATGCTTGGTTTCTAGCTTCCTTTTCCGCTTGGTATGTCGAAAGTATATCGTCTCGCATCTTTTCGACACTCGGTATCTTTATCTTGTACAATTCAACCAATCGATCAGATGGTTTCAATCCACGAAACTCTTCCAATGTTGTAATATTGAATCTCTTGTCACTCTTTTCAACTCTATATTTATATATTATCTCTGCTTCTTTTATATCTTCACTAGTAGTACCAGTAGTACTATAGTATCTAATAGTATTATTATTATTATTTACATTATTATTGATTATTCTATTGTTATTTTGAAAAGTACTATAGTAAAAAGGAGAAGATGAAGATGAAGAGGATGATGACGATAAACTACCTCCAATCAGAGGTAATGACAATGATGATGATGCACGTCTATACACTTGTCTAGCAACAGTATTAGTAGCTGCTGCAACACAAGTACTTCTACTAAACATCATTTGCATCATGATGATGATTATATGTATTTATTTATTATCTTTTTTTGAAAAGATAGGTAATTTTCGAAAATGAGAGTTCCCTCGTTTTTTTCATGTGTGGTTTGGGTTTTGCGAACTTGGTTCAAATCATTTAAGATCTTCATTCAGCTCACATCTTGTCTTGTTTATTTATTTATTTATTTATTTATTAATAATAGTAATCGATCGATCGATCACAAAGAAGAAGAAGAAGAGAAGAGGATGTTTCAAAATAATAGTACTTCGAGTCAGTTGTACTCTGGTGGGTCGTCGTTGGGTAGCTTGGGGTCGGGTGCAAACAACTCGTCGGCATCATTGTCATTATCAAGTCTTGGTGGATTAAATAATAATAATAATAATACTACACCTCTACAAAGATCACAGCAGCAACAACAACCTCAACAACAACAACCACAACAACAATTATTTCAAACACAACAACTATCAAATAGTAGTTTGAACTCTCAACAACAACAACAACAGCAATTACAACAACAACAACAACAACAACAACAAGAGAACAAACAATATATTCCAAGTAGATTCTTTGTACAAGAGAATAAGACATCTGATTTAATGTCATCGACAGATAAGAGAAAGACTGCTCCCGAGTCTATTATGACATCACCTCCATACGGTCAACAATCGTCTCCTTTGGCACCGTACGATCACTCTTTTAGAAGTGGTATCATGGCTCAAAGTCCTGCCGACTCTTTTAGATTCCGTGTTGGTGGTGGTCATGCTGCTGGTGGATATGGTGCATCTGGAGGAGGAGGAGGATACTATCCAGCAATGGTAATTAATACTTCGTCGGGTGCAACTACAACTATTGACAAGGACTATGTTCCCAAAGCATCTATATATGATGAGTCTCCAACACCGTCTGCTGCACCATCGCATTATGCCAGCAGCAGTAGTGGCAGCAATATCCAACCCTTTTCAAGTAGTCAACACCAACAACAATCGTCGTCATCAATGTCATTCCAACCAAACCTTTCATTTTACGATGCACCCGCTTCGAGTGGTGCACAAGCAGTGTCTAGTCAACAAGCTCAGATCCAGACACTTGCACATTCTCTCCAACACCAATTGGTCAATCTCCAACAACAATCGATCATCCAACCCAACACCCCATCCATTCAATCGCAAATCCAACAAACTCAATTACAATTGAGTCAACTTCAACAACAACAACAACAATTATACCAACAACAACAACAACCAAGCACATCAACATTTTCAACATCATCACAATTTAATAATAATAATAATAATTTACTAACTTCAACATCAAATAATAATAATAATCAAAATACATTGGGATTATTAACATCATCACAATTATATAATTCACAATCATCTCAACCACAACAACAATCACAACAACAATTAGTACTTTATAATTCAACATCACCATATTTATCACAACCAACTGCTGATACATCTGAATTGTATTCTGACAAGTATGATAAGAGATGGTTGACCATTTTTGGATTCCCATTGTCAGCATCTGATTTGGTATTGGATGAGATTGGATCGACAGCAACCATTGTAGAGACTAAATACCCAGCATCAAATGCCTCAAATTGGATGCACATTCAACTAGAAAACGAGTCTATAGCCAGTGACCTCTTGTCTAAAAATGGAACCATCATTGGTAATTATATGGTTGGTATCACTCCATACAAAGATATTACCAAATCTTCCACTCCATTACCTCCTCCAAAAGTTCAACCTCCATTTAAAGAATTGGAATCTTATGTTCCATCAAGAAGGTAAGAGAAACAAAACAAAAATAATATTGTCCCTTTTTTTTTGAATTTTAATATTAATATTTATTTATTTATTTATATGTATAATATTTATAGTCCATATGATCCATCAGAATTTTTAAATAATAGTTCATCAAATCCAACACAAGCAACCAGACCATCAATCATGTCAAAGATATCAGAATATGTTTTTGGTATTTAAAAAAATAATATCAAAATACAAAAGTACTGCTACAACTACCAAATTACACTGATACGAAGAGATAATCTATTGGTGTATATTATGATGTGTATAACGAACAACAACAAATGAATGGATGATAATGAAACGAAACGAAACGAATAAACCAAACGAATAAAAATTAATCTTTGCTTGATTGAGACATAACCCAGGACCATAGTAAACTGTCATCATCATTTTGGGGGTACCTAGTTTTTGACCAAGATATTTTTTGGCCCAATCCTTGAATTTTATGACGGATTCGTTGTGCTTTCTTTTTCTTTTCTTATGGTCATCCGAAAGGGTATCAAAGCAGGAAGATGGGAGGGTGCATCCAAGCTGCTTCATTCGATTCATCGAGTGATTAAATTTTTTTATTTCACAAACAAACAGTTGTACCAAACTGTTGCAATCTTACTGAGAGAAGGAGGAGGAGAGCTTAAAAGCTTTGAATCACCACTTTTATTCATTGTTTGTTGTTTGTTTGTTGTAACATTATTTTTATTATATATCTATATATCTATCATAAATCATAGAGATTAGTAATTAGTTAGTAGTTAATATGAGTCCAACACCAAGCAACGCATTACCAATCCCTGATTTCGCGGATGAAGCTTGTAATAATACAAGAAATGGTAAATATTATTATTATTATTATACTATCACATGACACATAGAGAGAGAGAGAGAGAGATATCTCGAAAGATAGTCTAGATTTGCTTTGATACCTCCCACACTAAAGTACAATAGGTGAGGAGAGAGCAAAGGTAGTGTCTTACGATTTGTTGGTTGATCGACCCTTTTTTTTTTTTTTAACCTCTACCCACGCGTCACTTTATTGCATACTCATACATATCTCCTTTAACTTTATATACATATATATATATATATATATATAGAGATTTTGGATGCAATCGACAAATATAAGATCAAGTATAATCCACAATTCATTGGTGGTATAACAGCCTATGTACCATTGTACTTTGATTTCAGTGCTGTCTTAAAGTACACCAATGAAAGAGCTGCTATTCTTCGTGCTGTAAAGACAAATATTGTCTCTATCTTGAAACAAGTTGATTCTTCTTTTGAAAAGGTATGATAGATATAGTATATAATATAGAATATAATATAATATAATCTACTTTATATTAATTTGTTAATTGTTAATTGTTTTTTAGATGGACAATTTAAATAAAGAGAATGTGAATAGATATTTATCAAGAGTTGTTGTTACCAATACAGCAGGTAAAGCATCAACATCTAAGAAATCTACATTCTATCCAGACGGTACATTGGAGGTAGTGTCTGTGTTTGAAGATTCAATCAATTGTAGTTACTATCTAGAGAAAAAGATCGTTCAAACTTTGAATGAATTCAGACCAACTGCTGCCAATGTTGCATCTGAAAAGATTGCTGCTTTTGTTGCTCCTGATGTTCAACAACAACCTGCAGCATCAGCAGCTGCTGTCGTTCCACAATCAAGTTCAATGTCAAGTTCAAGTTCAAGTGTTCCATCGGCATCGGCAGCAGCAGTTCCAGTTTCAACTACACCAATTAATAATGATTGTATCGTTGACCTTTCACAACCAAATTTCCCAACTGCATCAGCCGAGACTTTGAAATTGGAGATTTTGGCATTGGCCAAGCCACTCAAGGTAGAGCCAGCCGTGTTGGGGATGGCATTCGATATGCCCGTCTACATTGATTGGGGTAGCGTGTTGGTTGCATCAGGTGACGCTGTTCTCCGTTCCATCAAGACAAATTACGCCAATATCGTCAAACAAGTGTTGCCAGCCGTTGCCAAAGTCGATGCAGTCCGCAAACCAATGATTCGCGACTTCCTCGTGTCGTTTGTACTCCAACATACTCCAGGTAAAGCTGCTACCTCCAAACGTGCCTATTTGACTCATGAAGGGTGTCTTGTATTGGTCATTCCATTTGAAGATTCTGTCAATTGTTCCTACTACCTTGAAAAGAAGATTACTCAAGGTTTGAATGAATTCATTCCACCATCTGGATCACAACCATCTGCCAAGTTTGTTGCTGAGCAACCTGTAGCTGCTGCACCAGTTGCAGTTGCCGTTGCACCAGTCCAACCAGCTCAGCCATCATATGGTATTCCAGATTCATATAAACAACAACCACAACAACCTGCCTATGTACCAGTATACCAACCACAACCAGTTGTAGCCGCTCCAGTTGTCGTAGTCGCTCCACCCGCTCCAGTACCCATTGTCATTGAACCACCAAAAGAAAAGGGACGTCCCGAGATGGAATACAAACCACAATTTGACGATATCGTGAACCAATTTGCACTTCGAGAGATTGAGGCTAACCTGTCGGCATTCAAGATTTCAGATGACCGTGACGAAGTGATTGGTGCACCATTCTACTTGGACTGGAAGTCTGTCATGGTGTATCCATCGTCTGTCAAACAAAACACGGTCATTAGAAACATCAATATGGGTCTCTACCGTCTATGTCGTGAGCTCTACGTGTCGATCAAGTCGGCCTGTACCGACTATGCTCTCAAGGACAATATCAAGGGATACTTGAGATCTGTCACCATCCAACACGTCCAAGGTACCACTACATCCAACAAAAAGGTGGTCTATGAAGACGGACATTTGACTCTTCAAACCATCTTTGAAGATTTTGGTAATTGTGGTCTCTACTTTGACAGCAAGATTGTACAAGCCTTTTCAGCACGTCCATCTGTGCCCGTTAAAAAGACTGACCTCACTACTCTGATCAAAGAAGAGACTGCTGTTAGATTAAATGCTCATCGTCAATACAAGAATGCAAAGACTGGACAAGCACTTGGATTTGCGTGTCCTGTGGAACTTGACTTTGGCTTTTTAACGTCCAAGGGTTATGAAGGTACCAATATGGAGGGCAACGTCATTGCCATTGCACAGGCTATCCTCGCCGACTATTTCCTCGCCATTCAAACCTTTTCCAATGATCAAATCGATCTTTTGCTAAAGGAGATTGTAAAGGTCAATTTTGTACAGGCTGCCTATGGCAAGACCATCTTTGACAAGCGTACAGTCGTCTTGGCCGATAACGGCGTACTCACCGTCCAAACCATGTTTGAAGATAGAACTGAAGGTGGAAAGACATTCCGTGAACGTTTTATCAACTCTTTCCAAGCTCGTTTGTACAAGGTTGAAATTAGAGATGTTTTGGTGCCAGCCATCAAAGAAACGATTGACCGTGCAGTCAAACATACTGAATTGAAAAAGAACCGTCTCGATGTCATTGCTGTACCATCATCTGACAGTTACTCGTCACAAGTCATTTTCGATTGGCAATTGGTTGAAAAGGAGGCACCCGAGGTACAAGTAGCCACCTACAACAATATCGTCAAGAATCTAGGTGTAGATAATACATTTGTACGTGATATCAAGAGTGCTATCATTGATACCAATACCTATGATGTTGGTAGAATCGCATTCCTCAAGACACAAAGATTTGTCTTGCGTCATATTATGCGTTCCAAAGAAGAGAATTACAAATACTTTGCCGACAATGGATCGTATGAATTCTACGTCTCTTATCATGACCCAGCCAACATTCGTGCCAACAAGTACAACTTGACCACCTTTTTCAAGGAGAATCTAGTCGTTGCTTTTCCATGTGCCGTTCAAGACACATTCCCATTGGTCGACGAAATCCAAGCCAAGCTTGCCAAGGATTCAGGCAAGGATGTTGCCATCAAGATCGAGTATGACCACTTTAGACAATACAGTCGTTACACTACCGACTTTGCTGCATACAAGGCTATTCAAGGTATCGTTGTCGATGTACCAAATCACGGTCTAGAAGCTATTTCTAGATTATGCAAGGATGCCATTGTTGCTAGAGAATACAAACAAAAGGTTAACAAGATTGTCATTGCCTATGATACTACTGATAGCATTAAAAAGCAACGTAAAACAACTGAACCAAATGTCATTGCTAAACTTGACTCTACCTCTGGAACACTTACATTTACAATCAACTTTGATGAAGCACGTCGTAATGGAAAGATGTTACCATGGGAATACCAATTGGAATATGTATTGGGAACTCGTCCAATGAAGATTCAACGTGCTATTGAACGTGCTCAACCAGACCTTGATACAGCCAGCAAGACCCTATCTACCATGGTTGGCAAACCCGTCATTGTCCGTGTCGACTATGCCTCGTTTATCACTCACCCCGAGTACCTTGTCGAGCTCGAAGAGGCTGTCTATTGCAAGGTCATCGCTTCATTCTCTCATTTCATTTCAAGTGGATGGTTTAATCACGCTCCATCGGCTGAACTCTTTACCTATGAGACTGTCAAGCAGAGTATCCAAAAACAACTTGCTACCATCACTTTCAAGATTGACCCCATCTCTAACCAATCAGAGGCCTACAAATTCTCTGTTGCCAATGGTGACCTTGTAGTCAGCATCAATCTCAAGGCTGCTATTGCCGTCCAAGTTGTGCAATGGCGTATTGAACTCGAGCGTATCTTTAAGGTACGTGATCTCAAGGCTCGTGAAGAGATTGCCAAGCGTGTCGACCTCAAGAGCTACCAAGACGAGTTGTCCAAGGTCATTGGCAAGCAAGTTCAATTGGTTGTCGACTGGGAATCAGTCCTCGCCGACTCTTTCCTTGCTGCCAATATCGATGACTATATCATGTACCTCCATTTGGTGGGAGAAGATCTCGCCGGTGAATTGTCCACCACCTATGGTCTCGGAAACGTCGTAGAATACTCTGAAGTGCAAGCTCAACTCCAAAAGATGGTCACTCAAATCAAGATTTCTGCCAGTCGCAGCGACGGTCTTGCTATTCGCCACAATGGCACCACCCTCGAATGCGAGATTGGCGTCAGAAACATTAGAAAGTTCCTCAAGGAAGCTGAAGGTGACTTTGAAAAGTATGGTAGAAAGATTGAAAATGCACTCGGTCTCCGTCTATTGACTGTCCGTGGTTACATTAAACGTCACGAAAGCAAGTCGTTGGACGATGCCAAGACCCGTCTTGCCCAAGCCGTCGAGGTTCAAGTTGACATCAAGATTGATTGGGAGGGCGTCATCCAACAACGCAACTTTATGGCCATTGTCAACTACAAGCGTGTACTCCAAAACATGATCGATATGGCCGATGAGCTACACCCACTCATCCAGTTGTGTCGTGAAAACTTGCAAGCCAAAAAACTCTTGCAATCTGTCCGCAACTATACCATTCGTTACGAGGACAATGACCGTATCAATGAAAGTGAATTTGCTGAAAACAAGTTTGGTGTTGATTGGATTCGTGTAGGATACAATGCTCCACCTGTCAAGGACCATATCCTCATTCAATGTAACCTTGGGTCAATGTCCAACTCTCCCCATCGTGTTGGTATCGAAGAAAAGACCGAATTTTTGGTCACTCCCAATCTTGCTGAAGAAAGATATCAAAAGAAGTTGGCTCGTCAAGATCGTGAAGAAGATCTCGCCTATCGTAGACAAAGAGATGCTCGTGATGATAGACAACATGATCAAATGTTGAATGAATCTAGAGAACATAATAGACAATTGGATAGAATTAATCGTAGATTAAGATGGTAAAAAAAACAATTAATTAAAATTAAAAAATTAAATAAAATGTACATTTATAAATTATAAATTCTATTATGTTGGTCTATTAAGGTGATTTTATTTAACTCGGAATGTAATATTGTTTTTTTATTTTATTTCTTTTTAGAGGGGAGTTTTTGTTTGTTTTTTTTGGAAAAAAAAAATTGGTAAAACAAGGATTAAAATACATATGGAAAAAATGAAAATGAAGGAATTAGTGAATATATTAAAAAAACTCACGAGCGAAGCCATCTCGGGCAAAAAAAAGAACAATAAAGTGTACCTTTTTAAGTTGGATTTTTTTTTAATCCAATGGTTTTTCATCAGTAATAGGTTTTGCTAATCAGGATTTGATGGATTTTGATGAAAAATGGGTAAAAATGTAGGAAACAGTGAGTAGAACAAGAATATAATAAAAAAACTCACGAGCTAAGCCGGCTCGGGCAAAAAAACAGGCAATAAAGTCGCTCCTAGTTGGGATCGAACCAACGACCCTGCGGTTAACAGCCGCATGCTCTGCCTACTGAGCCATAGAAGCACGTTTTTGGATGTTGAAAAATGGCATTTATACCTATTTATACTCCCGCACCTCTCGTCAGAGTTGGAATTTTTCTGGAATAGAGAGAAAGAGATAGAAACAGAGAATTACGTATAGAGTACTATAGAACTTCACTCAATCATCAACTATCTTCAACTATCTTTTATCAACATTACTATTTCCTTTCACACTCACTAAAAGCCACAACTAATTGCCCTGGTGTGCCCCTTGTTCAATTATTTATATCATTATCATTATTATAAATAAGGGGCGCGAGCGAGCACAAGCACTGCCTATATCAAAGATCACCAACAAGAAAAAAAAAACAAAAAAAAAATATCTCGCTCCTTCCTCCATCTCCTTCTCTAATCAACACAATACAATAGTAAAACAGTATCGAAACAATAGGAATAATAATTAATAGGTGGAATTTAATTATTATTACAACAATTCAATACAGTTTGAAAACAGTATTCACATTACTATTACAATTGGAAATGAACATCATCAACATCCCATCAAAACATCAATCAACATAACAATAAGAACAACAGAACGATAAAAGATAGATAATCATGGTGTAGACATAACCACCAACCATTACTCGACACACATACATATGGATGGTGACACTGGGCACTCCCTCCAACAGTCACGATCTGGTCACTAACCTGACAAAAGAACTATGGATCGTAACTCACAGAACCGTTCAGCCCCCCTCGATTCAACAGGTAAAGAAGCTTCCCGTCGTATTGATGAACAAATAGAGCTAATAGCTCCCACCTCTCATCACTCGACAATATCACCTGATGAAAACGAAGATAAGATGGTCAGTGCAAGATTCAAAGGTAATCTACGTCGAACAGGCCAAACTGGTTAATCAAACCCAACAGCCTCGCCAACAGCCCTACTATCGAAATAATCAAGACCCAAACACATGCCTGACAATCCTTCGCCAGGTGCGCAAGAACATGGGGGAAACTTGCCACACCCCTCTCCCAATATCACCACCAACTATTAGCCAAAAAGCGATACATCAACAATAATCTAGTAATAATGCAATAATAATATAACAATATAATAATATAATAATAATAATATATTAATCATAATAATAATAATAAAATAATAAAATAATAATAATAATAATAATAAAAGAATTAATATCACCCAACAACGGGGCTACAAGCCCCTTTACTAACAGAACCCCTAACTAATTTAATACAAATAAACCATAATTACTCTATTGTCCGACGACTAGAGTCCAGATTTATTAAAAAAAAAAAAACTCCCGCGCAAAGCGAATTCTTGAGTTATTCTGAACTCTTGCTGGTATCTAAAGATTTAATTACTAAAACATCGTCATCACCGTGTAGTTCTCTTTCAGATAGGACTTAAAAAAAAATCCCGCACGAAGCGATCAAGATTGTAGTCATTGGAGTTTGATTGAGGTTGAGGAGGGTGATGTCCCAAACTGGTGGTGGAATGTTGTTGGCAGCAGAAACCTTCAGTATCTTTACTGGCAGCGTGGTCTCCTAGCATTGGAAGAATAAATGTTTGGAGGATTCATCTTTGCCACACGACACACAGATGGAGGCGATTATTAGATTTTCAAACCAGAATTTGCTTTTTATTTATTTTAATATTAAATAATGTTTTGATTTCTAATTTAAAAGTATCAATATCATCAGATTGAAGTTTATCCAAAGCATCCAATAACATCGGTGATCGATTTTTGTATAAAAGATTGCAAATATTATCAAAATGTAATTGATATTGTTGTTGCAATTGAGATTCTTTGTACAAAGAAAGTAAATTGACAATTTGCCACAATGATATCATCATTTCTTCATTTTGAAGCCAAACTTGGTGTTCATATTGATTATAAATCTTGAGTGGTTTTGATAATCTGTCAAATAGTAGTGGAATGATTTGTTGGTAGTATTCCACAGCAGCACTGGCTTTATCATTTTCATAGTCGCATAATAATTTCCATTTCCATATAATGGTTGGTACTATATGGTAGTTTGATGGGAGATCAGATGATGATACATCATACTTTAATATTTTCGATAATGATATTCGTATCGATGAAAGTGGTAACACCATTTCCTCTCTGTGTACTGCCAATAGGTGGTGTAACTTTGCATGGTTAGAAATAGACTCTTGTGTAATATATTTCCAATCTTGATATTTGTTATCTCGTTCAATGAATAAATTGGTTATTCTTAAAAGTTGATCGTATGTCCAAACGCCTCCTTGTATCATTTCAATCATCTTTGTTATTTCGCCAAATATTTTTTCAATGTTGCCAGTACCGGACGGATCCATCAATGAATCTATGAAAAGGTTAAATGTAGTGAAACTATTTTTACTGAATCCTTCTTTCGATACCAACAATGCCAACATATTCGACATGATATTGGTTGTACATTCTATACTACATATAGGTCCGACCAAGTGTTTCCAATATGGATATAAAATAGGTACCATTGTATTCAAGAAATCTATTGGTATTGATGGTGGATTGGATTGAGTCTGGATGATAGATTTCATGATTGGTGCAAGATAGATTGAAAAATAGTCAATATCAAAATCCAATTGCCAATCATTTGGCAGACATGGTTTACCGATAGAGTAGCTATAATTAATCAATTCAAATAGACATTTGAAAAAATGCTTTCCTAAAATACTAATCTTCATAAACTCTTGATCAATCGAGGAAGATGAACTTTTATATCTTTTCAACAATATTGGACCAATTCTATAGCTAACCTAAAAAGAAAGAGATTAGAAATAAAGAATATTATTTAAACAGATAGACATACATATTTGTATTGATTTTGATCAATATATTGAATGATTTGGATGACGGTTGAGATGAAATCATCATTTTTGTGATTTTCAATGATAATATCTATTCGATCAACCAAAGCTTGTACAACAGTATCGTGTGAAAATTTAAAGGTTGGAGATTGGAATTGACAGTTGTTTCTTAATAAATGTGCAACCGTAAAATTGGGTGCACATGTTGTCTTTTTCATTGGATGGATGATATTGAGTGCACGTAGTTGATATTGATGGTTACTATTATCTGTTAGAAAACTCGTCGCAATGTTGCAAAAAGTTGGTAACAAGTATTTTTTTGTGTTTGATCGGAGATACTTTTTTCTAAATGATTCTATTATCTTTAGTATTATCTCTCTAAATGGTTTATCTTTACCACTTTTAATAACATTTTCTATAAACTCTATAAATTCATCTCTAGCTAAATAAATAAATAAATGTAATCATATTAGTAAGGTAATTGGTATGTAAAAATGGTTTTAAATAATAAACAATTACATACCATATTTACTAGAACAATTGTTTTTAATCAAAAGAGTACGCAAGATTGATATAATTAAATTTAGTTCAGAGGATGACGACGATGCTATCGAAGATGAATAGAAGATATTCTTGACTATCTTTTGATTGTACTCCCATTCTTTGACTTTGATATATTTCTTTAATTCTCTATCAAGTAGATGGAGTGACATTCTTTTAACCTAAAAAGATTATTATTAATGTTTAATAATAAATGATTACAATCGATCATTACATACATTTGTAGAGGTAGATATAATAGTATCACCATTTAAAACAAGATACAATAACCATGATAGTATTAAATCATCACCTTGTTTTGATTTGTAATCATTTAAAAGTTGTTCGCTTTCGCTTTCTATTTGAATGTCATTATCGTTCAATTGATTATTTCTCCATCGTTCTCCTAGCTTTACAAACTTTAATATTAAATCTATAAACTCTGTTGGTGGTTCTATAGCTTTCTGCATCTAGCTAGATATTTATTATTATTATTACTACTATTCATAATACAACGAAAAAATTAAAAAATGTATGTTTGGGAGATTTTTTAGAATCAAAATATTGTTAAAAAAAACTCTTTGGTTTATTTAAATCTTGGAGAATACCCATTTCTTTTCAGGATCTTTGAAATATCACAAATACGATTACCAGAACCTTCACGATGGATATGAAAGACGTGTGTTGAAAATATTCCATGCAGTTATAATATCGAATGTCCAATCCAACCGATGTAAAGAGTTGTCTTGAAATAAAAGAGAATAATCTTTTGCATGTTATTACCAAGGAAAATCGATTTTGGTTTAATTGGGTCAGAGTCAATTCTTGATCCATTTTGAAAATTGATAGCTTAAAGGAGTAATTTCTGATTTGGTAAACTATGATTGACTAGATAATGTTACCAAAGAGGTTGGTATCACCTTAAGTTTCTAGTTTTAATTTCTCCTAGTCGACTCGATCACACATTATTTTGTTCCAACCAAGGTTGTAAAAATCAGGTGTCATAATACTATGCCAGCCAAGTTAGATGGACTTTAATGATTTGAATGGAGAAATGGACAGTCGAGATGTCTTTTTATGGTTCCAAAAGATAGTTCAATACTGATTAAATGGTTAGAGGAGAGGTATTGATTGATTCACTTTGATATGGTACAAGGTTGACATCTCCATTTGTTCTTTTGGAGATTGCAATATTGCTCGATATTTTGACATCATTTGCATGATGATACGTGTGCATTGGACAAGTCAATCTCTCTTGTTGATATTTATCCAATAAGTCTTGAGAGTAGAGCCAATCTCTGCATTTTCGATCTTCATTTTAAAATGAAGACTGCTGAATATTTGAAGATTCTTGGTATAGGAATTTAAAGATATTTTTTAATATAATACTCAAATAGCGAAAGAGTCTATGCTTTATTTATTTGTTATTCGCCATCAGTCTTGGAGAATACCCATTTCTTTATAACATCTTTAGGTATGGCAGTATTCATAGATTCATTAACGAAACAAAGACCACGGTTTATAAATATTCCATTGAATTTATAGAACCGACTGGAATCTACATCAACAGATCTTTGATAAATGTTTCTTAGTACCACTTTGGTAACATTGGGACAGGTTCCCATTTCTGTTAGAATACTTTTGTGTGTCGAAGCAATAAATGTTACTTGTTTGATCTGCGGATTAACCCTACATAAAGCAATATTTTTGTCACAACCAATTGATATTTTGTTGATGCCAAGAGGAAGAGATATTTACATTTGGTAAAGGGTTGCCATAGGCCAATATGATTCTAAAATGTTTTAATCTTGGAAATGGTTGCCAAAATGATAGAGGTTGATCCAAAACATCTGAACTATTAATTGAAACAGCCTCTAGAGATTTAGACATTCGACCACTAGCCATCTGCTTGATAAAATCGATATTTTTTGTTCTATTCGACTTGATATTATAGTAGAATTTGGAAAGTGGCATATCTTTTAACCTGTCCAAACCACTGTCATAGAGATATCCAAACAAGTGAGCGATTCCAATGAATAGACACGAGAAACTAGATCATTATTGAAATCTATCATCGTCTCTTTACGATGAATGATGGATAACCTTTGGATATCGAGATAGTTTTGATCTTGAAGATAGCCAAATCTTCAAGAGAAATTGAGAAACTTTTGATTGATTTACCAAATAAACAAAATGGATTTGAATAATGTCTATCTGTAAAAGTGGCCCAGTATCGAGTCCAGATACACCATCCAACCGATGTAAATAGTTGTTTTGAAATAAAAGAGAATAATCTCTTGCATATCATTGTCAAGGAAAATCGAAGTTGATTGATTCGGGCAATATGACTTGGTTGATTTGATTGGCCTTGTAAATCGGGAACAACGTCTCTATGAACTAGACACTTTGATTTGACATTTTTGTATTCACTACACAAAAAAGATAATGAGGATTCTCTCGGATCACATGGTTTATCGAAATGACAAGTACAGTAATACCCATTCCATGAATATTTGATAATCTTTTCAATCAAATGAAAAGGAAGTGTTGGAAGAAGAGGAGGAAGAGGAAATGGTAGAGGAGGAAGTGATTGTGGTTGCGATTGAGATATATGTACATTGGTTGAGATTGATTTTTCAACAACATCTTCTTGCAATATAAAATGAAATTGTGTTGCTCCTGATAAACTAAATGTTGACCCAGTATATCGGTATGTATTAGTTGGAAAATATTTTCCAAGTTGGAGTTTGAATGCAGAATGTGAGAGCTCCCAAATAATATTCTTGATTCCAAATTGAAAGAACTTTTAGTAATTGCGATCGTAACTTGTATCACTATTTACAATTTTCAAAGTATGAATGTTTGGTATAATAATGGAGAATATCTGTGGATCTATGTAATCTGTAGTGTGAATGATGAGCTTGGTGACTGATGGTAAAACATGATTAAAGATCATTGGCCTGGTCAAATGAAATGTACAAAGATTAGTCATTTGTTGGGGAGGACAAATATTACTGATCCTGAGGGAATTGGTAAGAGGTTGTTTGAGTGTATACTCTGCCGAAAATACTAGATCTGGAATAAGAAGTTTTACCATACCCTGTGGTAACGAATCCAGAACTGACTGAATTTCGCTGACGACCATACCATATCCATTTATAAAATTGATAGATACAAGATTCTTGAAAGGAGAAATGTTTGGTTTGATAAACTTTGCTCCACTAGTCAATGATCTAATGTTTCCAAAGAGTTTGGAAAATGGTTTGGTATCAAGTGGAGTGCCTAGTTTTAATTTCTGTACCCTATTAAAGATTACATTTTTAAACTCGACCAAACTGTCGGAACTATTCCGATAAAGATAAACATTCTTTAATGATTTGAATGGACAAAATGGATTGTCGAGATGGGCTTTTGCAGTTTCCCCTTGAAAAAAGATATCAAGTTGAAGACTTTTGAAATAGTTGGAGGAGAGGTATTGGTTGATTCTCTTTGATATGATTAGCAGTTGATATCTCCATTTGTTTTTATGTATATTGGTGTTTGATATCATTTGCATGGTGGTATGTATGCATTGGACAAGTCAATCTCTCTTGTTCATATTCTCGACATTTGTCCAACACACTTTGACAGTATAACCAAGTCTCTGGGTTATCATATAATTTTGGTGTGTTTTTTATATCTTCAACTTGTTGAATGGCTGCTTGACTATGATAGCATGTACACACTTGACTAGACGCCCAAACATAATCCAGTATCTTTGTTATAATTATCCATGGCAGTGCATACTCTAGTGTCCCTCTATTAAATTGATTCAATGGGTTATTTTGTTTCTCCATAATCTTGCGAATGATTATATCCTTTGTATCTCTTGTTGAACAAGCAACACCAAATCTTTGACCAATCTTTATCAATTCATCTTTATATTTTCTCTTTAATTCTATTTCTGTAAAAAATATAGTAGTAGTTGTATCAGACTCCAATGTTTGTTCCTCTTCTATTATAATCAAAGAATATTAATAAAAGGTTAGTTAGGTTGATTAATAATAATAAAGAGATAGTTGTTGTATGTCAACTATACCATGAATTCTTTCTTAGACATTATCTTCTTTCGAGTATATATTCTTTGGTTTGGTGTATGATTAGAGAACGAAGTTCAGACCAGACTTTACTTTGCTCCAAAAAAAACAAATTTTTTTTAATTTAATTCAACACGATCTTTGCTTCATCGCCTTTTGTGTCTCTTTGTTATTATAAAAGTTACAAAGAAGATATTTATAGATGGTGCACCAATCAAAGGGACAGACAGGGAGGGAACCACCCCATGTATGCCCACAATCGTTCCTCGCTCACCTTGTTATTCTTCATCGCGTGATAACAATTACAAATTAAAAGAGATAACATAGTGTATTGATTTAAATAATCATAGTCATAGCGTAATGAGATACAGAGATATTAATATGATGTTAATCAACTTTGTATTTGTAATACTTTGTTTAATAGTAAGTTCTATTAATGGTATGTAGTTTGTAATCATATAGTGGTACTACTTTGCATATTAATCAAACATTGTATTTGTGTGTGATATGTAGGACAAATAACATTACAAGTAGTTTCAACAACACAGAATAGTGCAACTGTATCATTCTCGACGCAATACCCTTCGGTATTATTTAGCGTGTCGGTTGCTAACAGTGGCATGGGAGCAGTGTCAAACTGTCAGAATGTACCTGCTGGAAACTGCTTGATTCAGGGGTTAGGTGCACCGGGCCAATACAACGTCACTGTCAACTCTACATCTGCTGGATTCGGAGTACCTTCATACACTGCATCGATCATGGTCACACTGTACAATGCACTTCAAAACCCAATTATCAGCTCAGTCTCTTATACTGACAGGATTGTATTGAACTTTTACTCGGGTGGCAGTATTGCCTTGACACGGTACACAGCCGAACGAAACGGTGTGGCTATATGCCAAGACATCCCAGATAATACATGTGAAAACACTGGGTTGAGTCCTGGCACTCCCTATCATTTCCAAGTACAGTCGAGGACTATCTACCCGACTGGAGGTGGTTCTGTATCGGCTGCTATCGACTACTTTGTATGGACAATGCCACCTGCACCATCTGGAACCAGTATCAACGCATCACGACCACAAGTCAATGCCATTACTGTCAACTGGGCAGAAAGCACACAAGGTGTACCAGGTGCCAACAAATACTTTATCCAACTGTACAACAGTCTCAGTCCCAACTCTCTCTACCAACCGGGTGAATGTCAAAATGTAACTGGTACAAGTTGCACCATCAACAATCTCATCTCTGGTGCTGTCTACAACATGACCATCATCACTCGTAACGCCAACTATACCCAAGTCAAATCCATCCCCTACTTGGTATCAACTCTTCCTCAACCAAATTTTACTTGTAATAATAATTGTTCATCAAATGGTGATTGTATTTTAGGAAGTATGTAAAAACAAACAAAAGAAAGAATTACATATTTAAAAATGGTATTTAAATATTAATATTTATTTATTAATTTATTTTTTTAAATTTATTTAGCATGTAATTGTTATCCAGGATGGAATGGAATTGAATGTCAAACAAATATGAATATTTCAAGTCAAGAACAAAAGAATACAACTGTTAATAGTACATGGATTCATATTGATTCGGATAGTGCAGCTTTTAGATTTGATCTTGGTGATTTGATTGAAAGGGATATTGACGGAAACGCTGTAAAGAGTATATCGTTGGCATCGCTCAATTGGACATTCTCACCAGTCAAGAAAACCAATGTAACTGAACCAATCCACCAAACACCATTCCAAATGAAACAATGGAGTTATGAAGCACCTACTGTCAACAATTATTTCTTTGGTATCAATATTACATTTACTCAAATTGCCTATTTGAACAATAGTAATCAATTATCAGATACCTTTCCAATTCCATTTATCAATGGTACAAATATTTCTCTTAAAGTTGGTTCAGTTAAATATTCAATTTCAATCTCGTATGTAAAAAATATATAACAAATATTTAAATATATAGATTTGATATTAATCACTTTATTTCTCTTTTAGACAATGGTTATTTGAAAATTTAATAAATACATTGGAATTATCGTCACAAGTTAAATTATCGAATCTAAATTCAACTACACCATTGTGTATTTCACCAATCAAGAATATAACATCAAACTCTGTTGGTGATATTGAGGCTGCTGTTTCAATATTTGATGATGGTAAGGTGGCCTATGCTAGAATGCCAAATCGTGCGATCATTGATAAATTCCCAATCGTTCTAAGAAACACATTGATTCAAAATACAATTTCAAATGGTACCATTCAAATCATCTCCTCTATTCCTCATTTCTTTTCAAATGCTTTAATTGATCCTGTATGTAAACATAAAAAAATAATAATAATAATATAAATATTTAAACAATCTATTTAATAATTTATTGTTTCATTTATATATTTAGGATTTTTCATTATTAATTAATGGTAAGGATGAATCATCAAGTCAGGATGATTGTAATAGTCAAGAGAATGGGGATGATGAGAAAAATGAAAATTGGAAAAAGATTACAATTGGAGTTGTAGTTGGTGTTGTTGGAGCTGCTGCAGTGGCGATTGTAGTTGCCATTATCATAAAAAAGAATGGTCATCAATTTAGACTTTACACTTATAAATTAAAAGGTCATGCAACTACATAATCCGACTCAAAAACAATTTTTTTTGACACCAAACATAATAATATTATTTTATATTTTTTCAACAATCAACCTTTTTTTTTTTATTCACTCTTCATTTTTAAAATGATAGATATCTCCTCCTCCTCCCCTATGTATAATATATATATAAATATTAATAATATTATTATTTTCTAAAAAAAAAATATATTTATTATTTATTTATTTACAATTCTCTTTTTTTTTTTTTTTTTTTTTTGATCAAGTATTAATTAAAACTTCTTATCTTTGTTTACTTCAGTTAAATATAAAGCAATAGCTCCACTTAGAACAATTGGTACGACAGAGACTGTAAAATTCCAACCAATTTCAAACCCAAAAGATGAATTGATTCCAACACCGTATGGATATTTATCGCAAGTATTATTAATACATAGAGAACAGATAAATGATGCAATATCATTTGTTTTATCATTTGGATAACTACAATCCTATAGATTTAATTAATTAAAAATGTAAGTATTTAATATATTATATTTTAACATTCATTTTAAAATACTTACTTCTTTAATGGCACCAGGTATTCTCATTACAACAAATGCACTAATGACAACCAATAGGAAAGCAACTGATAGTAAATATTTATGGATATAGGCAAATGTAAAATGTTTGAATCCAATGACACGATTGATAAAGATTGAAATAATGATGATAATGGAAATCACCCAAGCTACAATATTAAATGCCAACGATACACCCATCAGACTACTCAAATTCTTCATGTTGCTCTCGCGGAGTGTTGTTGCAGGTCCTTTTCTGGCACCGGTTGGGTACTCGTACAACTGTGCATTAGTATATGAGAATTGTAACCATTTTACTTGTGCATTGGTCTCATCATTTGGATCTTGTACTGTTCCAAGTATAGAATACCAATTCACTTTTTAAAAAAAGAAGTATATTAATAATATTTTCTAAATTATTATATTAGACTGACTACGGACTACATACTAATAAATGATGGAATTAAAACAGCAAATGTAGCAAATGAACATAGTAATATAAGTAATGATAATTTATCCGAAACGGTCAGTGATCTTAAATTCATTCCCATTTTTCACAAAAAAGCTCTGTCTATCTCTATCTAGATTTATATATATCTATAGGTATATTAATAGTAAAAAATAAAAATAATAACTCGTAAAAAGAATAATGTTGATTTTACTAATGGATGATGATTGATTGATTGATAGAAGAGGATGATGATGATATTATTATTTTATTTTATCCATCTCTCTCTTTTTTTTCTCTCACACACCAACCAACATCAAAACATAAACAATACCATTTTTGATCAAATTAAAAAATATCGACCACTATCACTATCACTATCAACCCCCACTCACTAGATATATAATACTACCTTGTCGACATCATCATCCCCAACAAAAATGATATTCATATTAATTGGGATACATGTACCCCTACAGAACGTTGAATAGAATAATTTAAAATACTCATACAACCTAAATGGTTTTATATTAAATTAATTATCTCTCTCCATTTATTTCCGACAGACTTGTTTGAATTCGAAGTTCACAAAAGGTTTCCGATCTCTTCGTTGTCATGACACTAATAAATTTATTTTTATCACATAAAAAAGGTTTTTAATACACATATTTATATACTCAAACAAGATTATAATGATTTAAACGACATACACACGCACACACACGCACAACGATTCATTCTTCTTTATAACTTTGTATATATTTTAAATAGATAGATATAACTAACTATAACACGACGATAAAACTTAACTAGTTTAGTATATTTATATATAAATTAATACTTTTGAACAATACAGCACAAGCAAGATCTTTGTAAATAGAACTTCACGAAGCATATAGTATAGATAGATAGATAGAAAAGAGATGTCAAAAGTAAATAAAGTTATCGCAAAGGTAAAGAAGTTTAGACCATCTCATCTTAGTCCTGTAAAGAAAGATAAGGAGGGGAAATATTTAGTATGCGGTTCTAAACCATCTGTATTTTGTATGTAAAAGGAGATAAAGAGAGAGATAAGGAAAGAGACAACGAAAAGATAATCAACAAAAGTTTATTAACTCTTTTTTTTTAAATTAAAACAAGTTAAATCATTTGGTGTAATTATTTTATTATGGATATTCATTGTTGGATTATTCTGTGCATTACTTTATGGTTTAATGGATGATGCTAAAAGATTAAGAGGACCACAACCAACATAAATATAAATATAAATCACAAACATTTAAATTATATATATATATATATACCTTTTTTTTTAAAACTAATACATACAATGTAACTCTCTATGACCATCCAATTTAATTTAATTTAATTTTTAATATTTATTTAATGATCATCGATTTGGGGAGTATTATATTAATTATTAATTATTACTATTGTTACTATTATTATTATTATTATTATTATTTGTTTGTTTGTTTGGTATTATTATTATTATTTGTTTGTTATTTGTTTTGTCTAATTAATATGAATTGAACTATAAATCTTTCTGACAAAGTAAAAACATGAATAATAACCAATAGCACCAGTCATGACAAAGAAACCAAGTGCCATAATAAATGAATAACCAAAGTATAACATGATGGAAACAAACTTTGATATTTCGAGTCTTCTAAAGAACAAGATGGAATACAAGAACATAAACAATGCAGAGGCACCAGATGTAAGGTAAGATCTCCACCACCAATGATAATCCTAAAATAAAAGAAGTATAAATAAATGATTGGTCTCTTTTCTTTTCTTTTTTTTCTATTTCTATTTCTATTTCTTACCTCAGCACAAAGTTGGAAGTAACACATGACGATAGTAATTTCAGCAGAGGTAACGATTAAAATGAGTAAAACGACAAATAGGAAACCAAAGATATAGTAAAAGGTATTGTCCCAGAGTGCGGAAAGGATAAAGTAGAGTTCGATAAAGATGGCACCAAATGGAAGGATACCACCCATAAGGATAGAGACGGTTGGCGACATGTACCAGATTTGGTCTGGAATTTGACGTGGGATTTGATTGGTACGGACTGGATCTTGTGGAGCTGGCTTCTTGAAAGCAAAATACGATCCGGCAAAGACAAGTGGAACGGAAATACCAAACCACATGGCAATCAATGAGAAAAGAGTCGAGACTGGTACAGCTGCCGATGAATGAGCTCCTCTCAAACACATATTAATAATAAAGAAAATACCAAATACTACACCTGGTAATGCAAATGCAGTCTAAAATAGAATAAGAAAAAGTAAATTAAATTAATAAATAAATAAATACTATTCTTTTTCTCTTTCTTTTTCTTTTTCTTTTTCTATTTCTTTTTTTTTTTTGTTTTTACTTACATAAACAGTATTTTTCTTCCAGTTGCGACATTTAAGAGTAACAAAAGTACGAGTAGAGAAATAACCAGCAAACATGGCCATGATGACGAAAAGGACGATGAGGGCGGTAGCAAGACCACCAATATTGCCTGGTGACATGAAACCGAGGATGGCAAAGATCATGGTGGTAAAACACATGGTAAACACCTGGACACCCGAACCAACCAACACTGACAACAACATTGGACGCGAGGGTGGACGGAAGACATCACCGTGGATCATCTTCCAACCAGTCTCTTCAGCCTCTTCAGAGGCGTCGATCGAGTTGTAACGACGGAAGTCAGCCTTTAAGGTACGCATCAAAATCATGGCAACCATGACTGTGAGGAAGAATACAATCATGAGAGAGTTGAGGATTGAGAAGAGATGGATCGAGTTTTGACCCGATGCCAAGTAACTGTCCCAACGTTTGTTCCAAGAGACATCACTCTTTTCAAAGGTGACGCTGTATGTCCAGAGAATGTACTCTGTGTCCTTGCTAGCATCGGTCACCGACACTGATTGACGTCCTCCAGTTGGTGCTGGACAACGGGTGGTTTCATCCCATTTGTCAGGTGCGTATGCTTTGCTTTCTGGTGTCACTTCAAATCCAACAATTTGATATGATGTATCCTCTTCAGCAAGTTTGTGATAGATTACCTTGATATTTATATGATTATAGATATAATTCTTGTTGGCTTCATTTCCCTATAGAAATCAATTAATAAAAACAAAAATATTAATATTTAATCATTTGTTTTTTTGATTTGATTTGGTTTGATGAGGTTACCTCTGAAATTCTATCTTTTCCTTTGTAACCCAATGGATAACCTGGTTCTGGGATACCAGCATTAACATCACTTGATTGTCTAACTGGTAAACCATCCAATAACCAATGCACCTTGTATTCGTTGTTGATCTTTTCACTCAAATCTTTCAAGGCTGATCCCTTGATGACTGGTGGACACTTATCGGTCATATTATAATTCAATACTTTGCAACTAGCTCCATCTTTCTTCCATTCATTGAAATTAATCTAGTAGTAATAACAGTAGTAGAGTGAATGAATGGTGTATGAGTATTCTCTATTCTCTATTCTCTTCTATTCTCTATATATGTATGTTATTCAAATGTTTATAAACATACTTGATAAAGTGAATTCTCTAATCTATCACCCAACAAGATTTCACCAAGGTTCTCTTGGTCATCTCTGACATCTCTTGGTTGACAGATGCCTGGAAGATCATAGTATTTGTATGGGATTTGAGTATGTTTAGATGTGATCTTGTTGACCTTTAATGGGACTGATTCGCTGTCATCATAGGTATGCAATTGCATACCAGGCAAGTAGGCATCTGTGGTGAGTGCTATACTCAACACTATCACTAGTATCGAAGTTAGGATTCTACTTTTATGATTACTACTGTACATCTCTTTCTATCTTTCTCTCTTCTTCTTTTACTATATTTTCTGTCTTCTCTCGTGTTTAGATAGACTACGTATATACGAATAGATAAGATAAGATAAAAATAATAATATTATATATACAAGTTTTATAAAGAAAAGTAATGGGGGTCCTCAACCCCTCACCAAATGGAATTTAGTTGAGAGAGCAAGGAAAGGAAAAGTTTTTTTAAAATTAATTTTTTGTTTTTTTCATGAGTCATTCATTGTACAGAATCTTAATTTCGCTAAACCTTTGAACCTCTAGACTAGTTTGTTTCTTTCAACCATGCATTACAACAATTATTGTGCGCACAATAAATATTTAGAGTTGATAGTTTAGTTGATAATAGTTTGGTTATATTTTTTGTAATAATCTTACCTCTCCAACATTAAGATAAAGAGATTTGACGACGGCTTGTAGCTTTAGATCTTTGAATTTGCAGAAGCATGAAGAGATTCGTTTGTTTGGTCACCATACATTAACAAATCGGAAAGTTCTTTGACGAATACAGGATGATAATTACCATTTATCAAAAGGCATACACAACTCATCGATCTTTTGTTCATTCAAAACTAACAAAAGATAAATCGAGTATACACGATTGTCATAATCAATCATTATTAATATTTTGCGTAGTCACCTTTTATGTATACATATAGAGAATGGATAAAAAGAGTACCCATTGTCTCTTTTTTTAGGGATTGTATTCCTTTACCACACAACTTTCAATCTTGTTTTTCTTTATGATTACTTTTAATCACTTGCAACCAGTATATACAAATGATAAAAAATGATCATAAAGAAAAATCAAATTGGTTGGTTGGTTGACTTGCAAGATAAAGAAAGAGGTATGTATGTAACTATAGTTTATATAGAAATATTATTTATTTATTTATTTATTTATTTATTTATTTATTTATTTATTTATTTTGATTACAATCTTTTTTTTTATTTATTTATTTTCTAATCTAGATTTCGAATCTTTATCATTGTAAAACACATGTTTTGGATTTCTCTTCATCAATCTTTGCAGCGGCAGCCTTGGCAGCGGCATCAGCAGCTCTTTTTTCATTATCAGCATCGATAAGCGACTGTCTTAGAATAGCTTCTTTTGGATAGAAAGGAACAATCTTTTCAGATTTGAGAAGAATATCGATCAACTGATTTGTCGAGTTGACCATCAACTTTTCAATGTGTTCCTCCATTTCGGGAATGACGACACGACGATTGAGGAAACATGCACCTATTAATAATATTATCAAATGAAGAGTTAAATAGGGATTGTTGTTGTTGCACAGTAGAGATATAGTTAGTACTTACGAAGGACAGGAGCTTTTCGAATGATATCTGGAATTTTTGCATCAGGGTGACTAAGCTTCTGGACATAGTTTTCCACCAATGACTCTATGAAAAAATCGCACTTGTTTAGAATAACCACTAGATTCTCCTCCTTCATTCCCCAATTGATAAGGAATTGGGTCATCATTGCAAGTTCCTCGAGAAGGCTCATCGAGAGACGGTCTAGTGGAAGTACAAATACAACAATGTGGACGGCTGCCAACTCTCTAGACACTAGCTTGTTCCATTGAGGTATCATCTGTACAAAAGACGATGTGCTGTCAGTAAGACCACGGGTGTCGACTATTCTCAGTGCAAAGTTGGTTCCGTTATGATTGGGGAAGTTTAGTGTCCCTACATCCCTGACTGCATCTTGGGTGACCGACTTTGGATCTAATCTCGATTCTACTTTTTCCGTGTCGCAGTAGTCATGGATTGCATTAATGATCTCGCTTTTCCCACTGCCGCTTGGTCCAACAAAGACGACTGTTCTCTCAATCAATGAGACTGGGAGTTGTCTACGTTGTGAGGATGTTGTTGTTGTTGGTTTAGGAATCATGATGATGATGAGATAATATTGTCAATATATTAATATTAATTAAAAAAATATTGTTTGGAGAAATTAATAAATAACAAAAATGGATGGTTCAGTCAGTCAGTCACTTGATCAAGAAGAATGTACCTATTTATTCAAGTTGAAACAAAAAATGATCCATTCCTTTGTTTTAACTTAAATAAATACGTAGATGCACTTATCATAACCATGGATACCACCACCATCCTACAACCACTCTCATCCCACCACTTTTCTCTATTGAATAATATTTTGATCCTACCAATAGTTTATTGTGTATTTGGTACCATCAATCTCTCTTTCTTTACTTGCTATGAATTAAATATTTTAAAGCAGAGATTATATTTCCATCATTTTCACGGAGTGCATTCTCTGCACGTAAAGTGTCCACCTCCAATTCTCTACAGATTATTTCAACATCTACTTTATTGATTTTCACTGCTTTCAATGCTTCTAATCTATTACATATATAAATACATATGTTAATAATAATTATAATCCATTTGTAAATTAACAAAATAAATAAATAGAGAGAGAGAGTAAATACTTTTTTTGATTTGATTCTTCGTCCTCTACAGAAAGTTTAACAGTTTCTGTAGCTGTTTTTGGTTTATTTTTGTTGTTGTTGTTGAGTGATGACATTGCTTCACTGATCATCTTGTTGTTATTGATCGTGTTGGATGAATCATCCTTTTCTAATGTCATTGTTTCTTTGTTTGACATGTTATTTGATCAGTGATTGTCTAGATTAATTATTTATATATATTAATTATTTATATATTAATTATTTATATTTGAACCTTTATTTTGAATATTGAAGCGAATTTGAAAAAAAGAAGAGGGGTGAGTAAAAAAAGTTGGAGGCGATAAAATAAATGTAAAGAACATACATGAGTCCCAGATGAACCAGTTCTTTCTACGCATGTATTTTTTCAAAATATTAATTACAATACAAGTGTATAAATTGTTTTTATACCCCTAGCAACGGAAATACCTTGTTGGACGGCGACCATTTTTCCAAACTTTTAATATACCAAGTAGCATAATCATATGACGTGTTGCATTGCCGTCCCAGTTGAAGATGTTTCCACAAGCAGTTCACAAAACACGACGCCATGGCATCGTCATTGGAAGGAACCCCAACGACTTTACGTAATCATCTGAAAGAGTGACTTGCTTTACGAGTGCAAAACGATGCTGGTGGTCACTGCATCGTAGGAAACTGTCACCATTGGCGTGTCGACAGTCATCGCGATAGGTGAGCAGCACTGGTGGACATTGGCTGGTTGGCTACCATCTTTTTCCAAACAGTATTCTGTCGTTTTTATAAACGAATACAATACCTCAAAAGTAAGTCTCTTCATTTTATTCTTTTTTCTTTCTTTTTCTCGTTTTATAACATGTTATTAATTACGTTCTATTATTCTTACTATTATTTTCTGGTGTTATACCTAAAATTTGCAGCACCAAAAAAAACTATTTGATTTTTTTAATTTATTTATTTTAATCGATTGGAACATACCAAACCTTTTCTATAACTATAGTTGATAAACTTTAAATGTTTAAACCTTGAACCATCTGAAGAAGAATTGGTTGGTGGTGGTGATTGATTTTCTTCTTCATCTTCATCTTCATCATCAGTTAAAAGACGGACGATAAAATATGAAAACGTGGGAGCAGTGATCATTTTGGCAAGCCAATCCTGGATCTTAATCACACCATGTAGTAGCTGACATATGTGTAAACTTAGCAGATGAGAGTGACATTCCAACATATGGAAACAACATACTACATTGAACAGTTGTTTGTTGACTGATGCCAAGTGTAAGACATACTACGACGGGCAGCGCTGTCGTCTTATGAAAATCGAAAGCAATTCAAAATAAATAAAAGTTCATTTCACCTTTTGATATGAAGCCACAAGTGAAGGTTGATATCATTATCTTTTATTCATCTTTATATATTCTAGTCTTGTTGAGCTGCTTGTAGTTTACAGCCAAGTACAATGCTGTGCTATACCTTTTTCTCTTTGAGTAGATTTGTTGTTTTAAAGATATGTCTACAAACAGACTCTTGTCTAATAACCCGTCCCAAACCAATCGGAATATCTTGATGATGAGATAGACTGGCAGTTCATATTTGACCTCTCCAGTACGAGAGAACTACGTACAATTAGTAAATAATATTTTTGAAGAGCAAAAACAAATAATAAATTGTAAATAAAACAGTGAGCAATAGTCGAGAGTTGATCAGTATTAATTATAACGGCCACCTCTGGGATCACTACTTATAAATATCGTTCATGACTACAGCGACTATCGATTCATTAGTTTGGGTTGATAATCAACCTCTATCAGCTGGAGCATTACCAACATCATTACAATCATTGAAGTTTGGTAAAGACTATACTCAACCAGTATCAGTTGGAGTATTACCATCATCATTACAATCATTGGTGTTTGGTTATTACTTTGATCAACCACTATCAGTTGGAGTATTACCATCATCATTACAATCATTGAAGTTTGGTGATGACTATAATCAACCTCTACCAGTTGGAGTATTACCATCATCATTACAATCATTGGTGTTTGGTTATGACTATAATCAACCTATACCAGTTGGAGTATTACCAACATCATTATTATCATTGGTGTTTGGTTCTGACTATAATCAACGTCTATCAGTTGGAGTATTACCATCATCATTACAATCATTGGTGTTTGGTGATAGATACAATCAACCACTGCCAGTTGGAGTATTACCATCAACATTACAATCATTGGTGTTTGGTGATGGATACAATCAACCACTATCAGTTGGAGTATTACCATCATCATTACAATCATTGGTGTTTGGTTATGACTATAATCAACCTATACCAGTTGGAGTATTACCATCATCATTACAATCATTGGTGTTTGGTTATGACTATAATCAACCTATACCAGTTGGAGTATTACCAACATCATTACAATCATTGAAATTTGGTTATTACTATAATCAACCTCTATCAGTTGGAGTATTACCAACATCATTACAATCATTGGTGTTTGGTGATAGATACAATCAACCACTGCCAGTTGGAGTATTACCATCAACATTACAATCATTGGTGTTTGGTTATTACTATGATCAAGCACTATCAGTTGGAGTATTTCCATCATCATTATTATCATTGGTGTTTGGTCATAGATATAATCAACCTCTATCGGTTGGAGTATTACCAACATCATTACAATCATTGGAGTTTGGTGATAGATATAATCAACCTCTACGAGTTGGAGTATTACCATCATCATTACAATCATTGGTGTTTGGTGATGGATACAATCAACCACTGCCAGTTGGAGTATTACCATCATTACAATCATTGAGGTTTGGTTGGGACTTACAATCAGCAATCAGATATATATGCCCATTTGATCAATCAATAGGGATCAGCAAAGGATTTGTCAAGTACCCATCAATCGGAGTGATCAAACTTCCGTTTGAGAATAATAAGACAGTCATTTTCGCACATCAAAGAATCAACGCTCCAACACCATTTGAATCTATAGACTGCCGTCCCCATTTATTCAGGCCTCCACCAATTGTTGAAGGTGATGATCCACACAATGGCACCAACATCGATGATGATTCCAAACAACAAAAGGGGACATCACTCAACACAAATCCCAACTCTATCAATTATTCTACCAAATATTTAATGACATACCCAATTGATCAATCTTCTTTTGTAACAGTCAACTCCAACAAATATTTTAAACTACACTCCTTTCCATATTCAGCCAACAAAGTATTTTTGGTGATGTCTGAATCATACGACGAACTGGTAAGAACATTAAATTTGAGCTCAGTCTAGGATTGTATTGCACAATCGAAAAATTCTAATGACTTCTTTATTATTTAAATAGCTTGTTTATAAAGAAATAGATTACTCTCTCAATCAATCGATCTATGACAAAATACAATTTGAAATCGAAACAATGAAACTATTCATCAACGACTCTATGTTTGTGCAATACAAAGATCACCAAGATGATACCGATTCAAAAAAGATATATATTTTGACACATTTCTGTGAAGGTGGTGATTTAGAACAATTATTTCAATCAATCTATAAATGGTATGATATTCAAATCTCTAGATCATTAATCAAACACTAACAAATCTTTTAGGAATGAATCCCAAAAAACTATTGATCAAAAAGAATATAAATATATTTTAGAATCAGATATATGGGTCTATATTCGACGATTATTCCTCATACTTGAAAAACTATCTCAACACAATCTTGCACATCTTGATATCAAACCACTCAATCTATTTATTGGATTAGACGGTGAAATAGTTCTTGGTGATTTTGGTTGTTGTCAATATTTCATTGATCAACCAGTTCTATCTCCGGATATTGGTAAAACCTGCGACACTCACCCAGAACGCATGGATGATCAAACAAAATCACAAGATACAAATATTATGATGGCAATAGCTACAACACTTGCTTCTCGTGGAACAAATGGATATTACTCACCTGTATGTAACATCCTTTAATAACCCACCCACCCAATTATCTAATTTATATTACTTTTTAAAGGAATCAAAACATAAGAAATATTATTCTTCAAATGATATATATTCAGTTGGATCAACTCTTTTTCATTTACTTTCATGGTAATGCTTAATAACTTATGACTATGTGCTAAAGGAGATTGAACCAAATAACTAACAAATTCATAGTCATCTAGATGATATTGAAAATAGAAAACAATTTATCTTGAATCACAAAAAGCACGACTTTAGTACAGATCATATTAAAATATCAACAGATAGATACTCCGAACATTTAATTAATTTTGTCAAGAAACTATTAATCGAAACACCTCACAATCGACTTTCATTGGATGATTTAACAGGAGAAATAGTCAACCAACACACACAAAGAATCAAATCATTTTTAATCGATCAACGACAAATTCTACCAAACACAACAACATTAATATTGGATGGTGAATTCAACAGTCCCCTCACTGGATTACTTCCACGAACACTTTTAAAATTAAAGTTATTGGGAAACTTTAATCAACCAATCAAATGGGGAGATATTCCCTATGGAGTTGAAACATTAATATTCGGATCATCATTTAATAGTGAAATCAAACATTTGCCTGGATCGCTAAAAAAACTGGTTCTTGGCAAATCATTCGACTGTCCAGTGCTATCAAACATTTCAAACACCTGCATACTCGACCTAACAATAGATAGTAGCTGTGTAAATTCAGAAATAATTAGGGAAAGAGAATATCTAGAACAAGTAAACAATATCAACACATATCATTTATCTGGAATACCCAATATTGCAGATTCATTTATAAACGACAATATTAAATACAATTCAATCTTAACGATTGGTGAAAATTGTTATGGAAGTGGTAAAACCAATATGTATGTTAGATGTTGCCTGATAAATTATCATGTATTAATAACTAGAATGTAATTCTAACAATATTAATTATCTATAGAAAAAACAAAATGGTATCTTTGGAGAACAATATTCTACAATGGAAGAATAATAATATCAAAATATCAATAGATTTAAACGATGTTGGAGTGATATCAAATGTTCAAGCATCAATTCATCCCCATTTATATTGTCAAATCGATAAACTCAAATTCGAAGCATTGAACAAACAGCTAGACTTTAAAGCCATTGAATACCCACTTCCAAATATGACTAAACTATTTGAATTGGATGAAGATAACCTTCATCAAGTATATCAAGATGATCAATACTTGAATATAAGATTCATTCCACTAAAACCAACAATGCGGGAATAAATAAACAACATGTTTGAAATGTAATAATATTAATAGAATTTAATAAATAAATAATTTGTTTGGTATCCTTGACATATCATCATGGGTAGCTTTTTGTTGTTGTTATTATCAGCCATTAGATTGACTGATGATTGTTCTTTATATTATTATTATTATTATTATCTGATGTATAGACAATTTCACTATTCCTTCTAAAGTACTTTCATCGTTTATACAAATAATTTATATTATTTATTTCCTTTTTTTTCTTACATGTGTATAGAGCTTGCTTTGATCCATTTGCCAAATATATTCATCGATCATTTAATATACCAAACCTTTTTATAATCAAACCTACAATTCCATTTCTCTTTTAGATATTTAAATTTTGAAGCAGTTGGAAGGGGAGGAAGAGGAAGAGGAGGATTGGTTGGTAATTCTACTATAGTAGTTGGTACTACTTGTTGATGATTGGTTTTGACTTGAATGAAAAGACAAGTAATATAACATGAAAACTTTGGATTGGTGATCATGTTTGCAAGATCTAAATTTAGTTGGCTGTGTCGATAGTCATTATATAAAGTTGTAAGGTTGGGGAACAGGTCGTTGATAACAGTTGTCCATCCGAGACGCATGTTTAGTTGATTGACTGATACTTGTAAATAGGTAATTCCTTGATAAAAGGAAACGCGTTGAAGTCTATTCTTTTGATTGAATATAGTTGCGTGTGTTGGGAATTCAAAGTCATAGCAAATGAATTTGGTAAGGTTGGTGTATGGCTGTCGGATTAAATCCACACCAAGTGTAGACAATGAATCTCTAACCTTTTCATTATCAATGTTAAACTTGGGTGGTAGTTTAATCTTGACCATCGTCTGTTTAACATTATTAAAGAATGTTTGTATACCTTTTTGTGATTCTGTATTCATATTTAGTTTCTCGAAATCACATTTAACCAATGTAGGTAAACTTTTAGCCAATACTTCAAAATGTATTACATCTAATTGAATAGCACCACCGATACCACCACCGATTACAAGAGAAACAATATTACACATTGCAGTACACATTTGTTCGAGTGATCTTTGACGAATGGTTGGTTTATCGTGACTGTAAGAGATTTTGAGTTTGGTTACTTTGGAAACAGACTCTATGAGCAAGTGGTGGAGAGCAGGTTCTGTATGAAACAGATTGTCGATTGCGTGATGTCCCATCTCCAGCCTGTCGGGTCGTTTCACAACACACCACGGTTCAGTTGCCATATGTGTAAATTGAACCGATGTCAATGACATGCAAACACTCGGAAACTGTGACACTACATTGAATAGTTGTTTGTTGACCGATGCCAAGTACAATGCCATCCTATACCTTGTATCTATCTTGTAAATAGGTTCAAGTGACGTGTCTACAGACAGACTCTTGTCTAATAACTCGTCCCAAACCAATCGGAATATCTTGATGATTAGATAGACCGGCAGAGCATAGTTGACCGTCCCAACATGATACTCTCTTGTTACTTTTGACATATCATCACATATCTCCTTTTGATATTGTCTCTTTAATATGATATCTATCATATCATCCTTTTTAATAGACTTTAAATAGAATATCTTTCGAGAGTCCAACCATCCTTTTAATTGATCAACTTGTAACAGTTGTAATTCATCCTTTGTATAACCACTCTTTTCTAAATCCATTTCAACCTGCTACTATACTACTACTACTTCTTTATTGTTTCATTGTCATGTCAATTTCTATTTAATGATAGAATGATCAAAAATAATAGAAATATAATAATAATAATAATCCCAACGAATAGAAGAACTTAAAAGTTACTATCAAAAAATTATTATTATTTAAATTATTGAATAATTTTTTGAAATGAGGTAGAGATTGTTATAATTCTATTTTATAGCGTTATGAGGATTTACTTTTAATTACAAATAATTCTTCTCTTGATTCTCTTACTACTTCTTTTATTATTCATTCTCTCACTTTAGATGCCCTTCAAGAATGAAAACCAACAACTACACTTCAAGAATCGAAATATTTCGAGAATCTTATTCCTGTCCATGAAGGGGAGGGTGTATCTTTTGTATTATACCATTGAATTTACAACTAGGAGCCAACAATGGATAAAATATTATTCATTGTGTCGACATTGTGAACTCTTTGAAATTTTAGAGAGGGTTCGAATTTATGTGTAAATTAAATTAATTTAATAAATATTATCTTTATACACATTATTATTATTCTACTAGTATTTACATTATTATTGTTATTTGTTATTTGTTATTTATGGATCATTAATAAACCAAACCTTTTTACATTCAAATGTACAATTCCATTGCTCTTTTAAATATTTAAATTTTGAAGCAGGAGGAAGGGGAGGAAGAGGAGGGGGATTGGTTGGTAATTCTGTAGTTGCAACTTGTTGTTGTTGTTGTTGTTGTTGAGGTTGTTGGTAATGATTATTTGTGATTGAAAAACAAGCAATATAACATGAAAACATGGGACTGGTGATAGCATCTGCAAGTTGTAAATTTAATATGTTGTGTGTTTGATCATTTTGCAAGGTTGTGAGGTTGGGAAACAGGTCATTGATGACAGTTGCCCATCTAGCAAAGGCCGATGAATCGACGCTTACCTGTAAATAGGTAATCCCATGGTAAAAGGCAACACATTGAGGATGCAATCGATTAAAATCGGTTACATGTTTTGGGAAATCAACTGTTGATCTGCATATGAGTTTGGTGAGGTTCTGGTGGTGGTGTCGGAGTAGGTCAACGCCTAGTGTACTAACGGACTGTCTAACCTTTTCATTTTCAATGTACCAAGAGATTGGTAGTTTGACCTTGACCATTGACTGTTTGACATTGTCAAAGAATACACACATACTTTTGAATTCAGTGTTGTACATGTCTATGAAATCAACTTTAACCAACGTAGGTATTCTAGCCAACACTTCAAAATGTTTGACCTCTAATTTGATCGAGGTAGCGACAAACGAAACCAAACTGCACATGGTAGCACTCATTTGTTCAAATGATCGTTTACGAATGATACCTCCACCATTACCATAGGTTATTTTGATCTTGGTCACACGAGACACCGAGTCAATGACTGAATGGTCAAGAGTATCTGAAAAGAATACATTGTCAATTGCGCGATGTCCCATTTCTAATTTGTCGGGTCTTTTAACAACACACCAAGCTGCAGTTGCTATATGTGTGAGTTGACCCGATGTCAATGACATTGACACGTATGAAAACAACGATACTACATTGAATAGTTGTTTGTTGACCGATGCCAAGTACAATGCCATCCTATACCGTTTTTTCATCGAGTAGATTGGTGGCACTTGAAGTGAAGTGTCTATCGACAGACTCTTGTCTAATAACTCGTCCCAAACCAATCGAAATATCTTGATGATTAGATAGACTGGTAGTGCATAGTTGACCGTCCCCATGATACTCTCTCAGTGGTTTTGACAATTCTTGGTATCTAGCCTTTTGTTGTTGTTTCTCCAAGATGAGGTTTATAATAGCTTCCTTTTGAATAGATTGTGTATGAAATATCTTTCTCTTGTCCAACAACTCTTTTAATTGGTCAACTTTAAACTTTCTCAATTCCTCTTTTATATATTCCTTTTCTAATTGAATTCCAACTATCTCTTTCTTTTTTACTATTCTTTTCTTCCTTGGTTGTTGTGTTTCGTCATTCAAAGTTGTAGTTGTAGTAGTTGTAGTTGTATCATTGTCACCTTCACCACCACCATCATCATTATTACTATTATCTGACATGATTGAATCTATCTATATTATTACATTACAGATACATGTGTGTATATTATATACACCATACTACTTTACTTGCTTGGGGTAATAAATAATAATGAATAAACAAAAAAATTTTGTTCATCAAAAACCTCATCTCCTCACATCATTCTTCTATTCACAAACATCATCCATTATCTTTCTTTCAATCTAGAAATAGATATTATATCATTAATAATGATCATAGAGAAGAGACGAGGGAAAGAGAGAGAGAGACGAGTGATAGAGAGAGAGAGAGAGAGAGAGAGTGTGTCCATTGAAATCCACATGAATTTCAGCGACTATATCAATAGGATAGCACTATAGTAGTATGACAAGATTACGTGTGTATATGCCTGTGTGTGTGCGTCCGATAATCTCTATCTACAACACCAACAAACAATTTCGATCATCGGATGTTGCGATGAATGCGAACTGTGTCAACACCCCAAACAAAGAGTTTTTGTAGTGTGACGTGAAGATTATTCAGAGTGCGACGGAGCTGGCTAATTCAAAATATCTTTGTGTTGTTTATAAATAATTCATTACTTTCATTCATTCATTATATTCATTCATTCATTCATTCTCTCCTCTCCTCTCCTCACAATAAATATAAATATATAATAATAATAATGTCCAATAATAATAATAATAACATTAATAGACCAATTTTACAAGAACGTTCTAAACATGCAGTCGATTTAACCAACAACTACTTTCCCGAAGTTATCAATGAAGTAGAACAAAATATAAAGGAGCACGATGTTGTTGTCGTCGGTATGGCATACAATCCATTTGTCAAGAACATTAGAAAGGAATTGACTGATGCCGGTGTACCCTTTAAATACCTTGAATACGGTTCCTATTTCTCTGCTTGGGGTATGTATTAAATCTAATCAAACAAAAACAACTCAACTGATTTACTTATATATATATTACTTTAGACAAGAGATTAGCAATCAAGATGTGGTCTGGGTATCCAACCTTCCCACAAGTTTTTAAGAGCGGTGAATTGTTGGGTGGATATGATGTAGCAAGTGCATCCATCAAAGACGGATCATTCAAGAATTCAACTCCAGAGAGTTCATCAAAATAAACTAATAAATAATCATCTTTGTAAATAACATATAAACATCAATCAAAAAAAGATCAATGGTTGGACAGATCTCGAGGGGGTTTTCATTGATAATTGAGTTCTTTTAAATTGCAGTACGAGACCTTGGAATTCCATATGTCCAATACCCAGAGACAACCCCGTTAAGAATTAAACATGGTTAACGATTATGGGTTGAGTGTTGCATGCGATCATCAGAACTGACAAACAAATTTGTCGACACGTATCACGCATTACGAAAAATTGTTGAAAATATCTTGGGACTTCGAACAGGTCGACTTGTTCAATTTCATTTGTTGTTGTAAAATAGATAGAGAGAGATAGAGAGATAGAGATAAGAGGATGCCATACAGTGACTACATTAATATTGATATGGGAGATGGATTGGTATGTGATACTTATGTATCATTACCAAAAGGATTGGAGGAAGGTAATAAGAAGAAGAGGGATGTACCAGCCATCTTATTCTTGATGGATGCTATTGGATTACGTCCACGTATTGAAGAGATGGTAGATGTTATTGCTAGTCAGGGGTATTATGTAATTGCACCTAATCTATTCTATCGAACTGGTAAACAACCAATGGTCGACAACTTACAAGAACTATTGGCACAAGGTCAGAGTGGTCGCGAGCAACTATTCACTCATCTACGTCCAATTATGATGAGTCTCAAACCAGAATCTATCATGGAAGATATTGGTAAGTGGATTGGCTATATTGACCGACAAACTGAACATGGAGTCGTACCAAATGCACCCATTGGTGTAGTTGGGTATTGTATGGGTGGTACCAATGCTTTCAGAGCATCTGCTATCTATCCCGATAGAATTGTTGCAGTTGCTAGTTTCCATGGTGGCAATCTTGTAACTGACCAAACCAACTCTCCCCATCTTTCAGCCTCCAAGGTCAAAGCTGAACTCTATTTCGGACATGCTGACAATGACCATTCTATCGGGCCACAACAAATAGCCACCCTTGAAAAGACACTTACCGATGCCAACATCAAATACACCTCTGAAGTATACCAAGGTGCTGCACACGGATACACCATGAAAGATACTGTCATGTACAACGAAGCAGGTGAAAAGAGACATTGGGTAGCTTTAACTGATTTATTAACTAGAGTATTTAAACAACCACAACAACAACAACAACAATCTCGTTCATAACATTTATATATCTAAATCAAATAAATACATACATAATATATATTGTACAAATATTGTATACTATCACATTACTTTGTTATCTTTGCAAAATGTACATAATATTAAAAAAAATATAAACGCGAACGAGTCTCAGAGATGTCCTGTCAGTTTGTGAAAGTACTACTTTCATTTTAATATTATTTGTAATAATAGCATAGCACTTCTTTTCAGAGGATAGAAGAGTGCATACATACATACATACATACATACATAGGATAGAAAGATGTTGACAGTCAGATCAGCATTGTTAAAGAGTTGTTGTACATCGATGGGTGGTGCAACAAGATATTATACAACCTCGATTCATCAAACATTATCTACTTCAACTTCTCCTTCTCCTTCTCCATCTCCATCTCCTTCAACGACAGCAACACCAACACAAATAGTAGTACAATCAAAAACTCAAAAAGAGAGTATAGTTATAGAATATGGGTTACCAGATAGATACGATATATTTAAAGAAAAGATGATGAAAGTTGCTAAAGAAGGCAAAAAGAAACGATCTGAAATCAAGGAATTATTTACAAGCCCTTTATTATCGGAACATTTACTATTGGAGCAAGGAAATACTCTATTCGATCATATTATAGAGAGACAATGGAAAAGAGAACATGGAGACAAAAAGAAACGACCAATGTTTGAATATGCAAAGATGAGTCCAAAGAAACACGATATCGTCGCTTGGTACAAGGATATATCACGATCAGTCCACTATGGCATCGTGATTGACGGATCACCGGGCTCATTCTCATTGGCAGTCGATTTACATCAAAGTCGTTTATCATTCAAAGAAGATGCCATCATCATGGTCTTTCCAACACACAATTCCCAATTCTTGGCTGAAATGAATGATAATTTAAAAAGAGTTCAATCAACTCTTGATTCACTTCAACAACAACAAAGAAGAGGAGGAAATCAACAACCAAAAGAAGAACAAAAAGAGGAACAAAAAGAAGAACAAAAGGATGACACTGGATCCAACAAACACTCATTAGAATACAAATTAGATTTACCAGCTGATTTGGTTGAAGCGTTAAGATTATTGAATGAATCAGGGTATAAACATGACTCACAACCAATGTTTAAATACGATAGATCATTGTATCAAGAATTTAGTCTACCTCAAATGACTGGACACACATTTTTCAGAGGTCAACCTTTGACCCATGACTTGGTGCATTTGGATTTAGTGCCTATTAAAAGTGCAGCTAAATTTTTAATGGAGTCTCCTAAATGTGACCGTATCATTAGCGAGGGGATCCAATCGAATATTTGGAATGAAGTATTGTATTATATAGGAATGAACTTTTATCTCGGTCGTGAAAGCACCCATTTTCTATTGACATCTGCTAAAGAGTTTACTTGTTACTCTCCCAATCGATGCAGCAAACTCACTCAAATCCAAAGCACGTTGACTGCCGTCTCGCTAGAGACTGACCGAAACATATTCATTGCTTATTGTCTTGAATACCTCGAACGCAGGTTCCCAAGTATCCGATCAAGACCCTCCACCAAACAACACAAGAGTGCCAAATTCCCACTCATACAGAATCACACCACTTTTACCGATGAGCACGGTGTCCCTCTCCCACCACAATTCAATCGATCTTTTATAACATTAAAAGAAACTCTCAAAGAATTCCTCATTATGCCACATTTCAATAACCTTTTCAACTCAATTGCAAAAAGATTATTAAAACCAATGCGACTCAGGTAAATACTAAATCAAAACAAATAATAAGAATACAACATTAATATTAATGTTTATTTTTAATTTATTTTTAGGAGTACAACTGATAATCCAAAAATACAGGCATTGTTGGAATTTTTGGACGATCCAAATCAATCATTGGAAACTATACCAAAACCAGAGATAGTTGAAGGAGTAGAGGGAGAGGAGGATGAAAAGGTAGTTGTTAAAGATCCAGTATATATCAATAGAAATTCTATTCATTCACATACAAGAAAAATGGAATCCTATTCAAATCATGGAGTATTGCCAAAATTATCTGGATTCAAACATAAACCAATCGTTGGAAATGAAGGTAGAAGAGTAATTAAAAGTCAATCATTTGCAATTGATAATGAAAGTACAAGGGATGTAGATGACGCAGTTGGTGTGATAAAGGTTGGTGATGACTATCATTTCCTTGTACATGTTTCTGATGTTTCTGACATTGTATTACCCGATACAAAAGTAGATAGAGTTGGTTTGCTTCGATCTAGTAGTATCTATCTCAAGGATAGAGTAGCTTGGATGTTACCAGAAGACATTACATTGCATGCTAGTTTGACACCTGGTAGACAAAACAAAGCAATGACATTCCAATTCAAGTTGAACAAAGAGACTGGAGCCATTGAAGAATACGATATCTACCCATCAATAGTAGAGAATGTCGTCAGAGCAACCTATGATCAAGTAGACGACTTTTTCGCCGGTGGTAACAACCACTCCATTACAAAAGAGCAAGGTGACCAACTCCACCTTCTACACAGTATATTGGAGAGAAAACAAAAAGAACGTATAAAGGATATTTATTGGGGTGTTGAAAGTTCAGATTTTACCTACAACTCACGACTTGGTAAATACGAATTTAAAGATCGTTCATCTGGACACGGTCAATTGTTAGTGTCAGAGATGGCCATCACTGCCAATAATGTAGCAGCACTTTATTGTCGTGTCAACAAAATACCAGTACCTAATCGGTACCAATCCGAGCCAGACATTAATCTCTTCCCCTATGAAGACTACTCCAACATCTATCATCCACAAGCAGTCAATTTTGCAATGATCAATTACGCCACCACATCTGAAATCACACCCTCTAAAAGAGGACATTTCTCACTAGGTCTACAAGACTATACTTGGGCAACCTCACCTATTCGTAGATACTCTGATATCATCACTCACAGACAAATCAAACATTTCATTACCCACAAATCACTTTTCTATCAATTACTTGAAGTTCAACACATGTCATCAATTATTAATTTAAATACAAAACAAATTAGTTCTATTGATAGTCAAAGGTAAATAGAAAATAGAAATATAGAAAATTAATATTAATATTAATATTTATTTTTCTTTTTTTGTAGAACAAGATTATTTGAAGCGGAGTATTTCTTACAAGAAGGAATCAATACATTTAATGGATTAATGTTACCACCTTTAAATGATAGTTATACTAAACAAAGATTCTTGTTACCAGAGTATGGAATCATGGCAGTGACCAAAGGTCTTCCAGAAGACCAATACATCCAAAATGATAAACCCTACAAAATCTATGGTTTCTATGAACATGGTCAAACTAAATTTGGTGTAATTGATCAAGAAACAAATAAAGTTTTGATGTAACCATAAATCAAAATAACTTATTAAATATTTTTAATTATTATTATTATTTTATTATTATTTTATTTCTATTTCTTTCCTTCTAATTCATTCATTTTTTTTGTTGCTTGTTCAGCTTCATCTTTACGACCAAGAGCTTCAAGAGCTTGAGCTCTTCTAAAGTAACCTTTTGGCCAAGATGGAGCCAATTCTATTGATTTATCGGCATCCATTAATGCTTCGACATAGTTTTTGAGGTTATAGTGACATGCTGATTTGTTACTGTATAAAATATGTGCTATAGATTCTGGTTGTTTAGAGGTTGATGATGCAGCCTTTACTTCTGCAGTTACATCTTCAACATCGATAGCCAATTGATACCAATTGAGTGCGATTTCATATTCACCACGTCTAAATGCTGTGTTTCCATTGTCTTTGAGTGCGTCTGGTGTTGCTTTGGAAGCAGCAGAGTTGAGCTTGTTGTTTCCACCCCTTACGGTTATTGCCAACTGCCGATGCGCTGTCTTTGCCAGCTTGGTATGGTGTTGCGTCCAACTTGCAACTGGCCAACATCTCTTCGAGTGTTTTGTTCTTTTTCTTGACTGCCATAACACGTGGTGTCTCACCATCAGCATCCATCTTGAGCACAACACCCTTGTCAACCATAGCTTTGATCAAAACAATATTTTCACTATCTACACAAATATGTAATGGAGTTACTCCCTCTCTTGCAACTGCATTTACATTTGCTCCCAATTTAATTAATTCTAATGCCAATAATGTATTTCCGTATGCTAAATCGAAAACAAACAAATAAAAGGAATATTAATTATCTTTTCTTTTTTTTTTTTTTGATGTATCTATTTATCTTTTTTACTTTCTTCCTACTTACCACAAGCAAGATGTAATGGAGTCATATCATTTTCATCTAAAGATTCTAATAACTTTGGTTCCTTTTTAACGAGGATATCGATGATTTGAAGTGACTCTTTGGAGACACCACAGGCACTGTGGAGGACAGAGCCGGCAACAGTCTTTTCAGTCGAGATTTTGCAATTGGCTTCGACCAAACGTTTGACAACTTGAGTGTCTTTCGAGAGCACTGCAAGATGTAGTGCGGTGAATCCTTCCTTGGAGACAACGTCGAGATTGCATTTTCTGGCAATCAACTCTAATGCCAAATGAGTGTGAGACAACTTGATGGCGAGCATCAATGGAGTGTACCCTGAAAAATCAATGGCATCAATGTTGGCACCATTCTCTAACAACAAGTTAAATGTAACTTGACTACCTGAATGACATGCAAAGTGTAATGCAGTACGTCCGTTGGCGTCGTGTTGGTTAATAAGACGTTCACGCTTTGTAGCGTCTTCCAATGTCTCTTTAATGTTGTTGGTCTTGCTGTTGGCACAGTCGTCCAAGAATTGTTGAACGTCATCGTCAATCTTTGATCTCTGTAGCTTGCCTTGAGCAATTGCCATCTTTAACTCTTCTTCGTCCATATCGTCAATCGACTTTTCGACTGGTTGAGCCTTGTTTGCTGATGCTGTTGTTCCTTTATTTGATTTTCCCATTCTTATCTTTGTATATCTATCTATCTTATCTACTTCTATACTAGTATTCCGACCGACAACAAACAAGTAAGAGATCTTCAAACCCCCACACATCCCATACTTCATTCGTTTCGTGCTCTATGAGAAAAAATTAAAAAAACAAAAATAAGCACTCTCAAAGCGAAACACACGAAATTTCATTGTGTACGTAAACACTGAATGAATAATAGAAGGAAGGGATAAAAAACATATATAGTATATTATAGTATATTATAGTATATTATATTATACTTTGAAGTAACCCAACCAACCAATCATATAATTTGAAATATTATTTCGGAATTTAACTTTAAAGTTTTAATTAAATTCATTTATCTCCTCTTTGTTTGAAAAGTAATATAACAACAATAAGTAGTATTGGTAAACATATTCATTCTTGGATCTTGTATTGAGAGAGAGGGAGGGAGTATATTTGAATATATATTTATTTATAGATATAGATATATATATATCCGTTTCATTCGGTTATTGCATAAAGAGAGAGAGACCTTAAGGTGAAGAACACGATATCTTCGTTTTGTGATCATGCAAACCCAAGGAAAAGTGAAATTTTGTTGGTGAATCACCCCCTCATCCCCACCTCCACTCTTACTCTCTGTCTGTCTCTCTCTGTTGTGATTCTTTTCATTCTTTATTTGCTAGAGCCGATATCCCCCAATCCTATTTATTCATTTAGTTTGTAGCAGCAGAGTTAAAGCTTTACTCATTTGTTATTTGTTGTTGTTGTAATTATCAACAATATAGTAGAGGAATTATAGACAAGACAAGATGTTGCAAGCAACTACCAAATCATTACTTCCAAATGCTGCAAGATATATGTTTAGATCATTTGCTTCTTCCAAAAAGCCATTTGTAAGCAAGAAAGAAAGAAAGAAAGAGAGAGAAAGAGAATAGAATGATAGAATGACTAACTTTCTTTAAATGAAATGTATCAATCATCGATAATGTAATGTTATAATTAGGGAATTACAACAATCAAAGAATCAGATCCACAAGTATACACTTTAATCAAAGAAGAAAAGGAAAGACAATTCCATGGATTAGAATTAATTGCTTCAGAAGTATGTCGACAAAAAGAGACAGATAACATACTCTATTATATTAAGCTTATCTATCTTTCTTCATTTTATTTCTCTAGAATTTCACATCAAGAGCAGTAATGGAAGCAATTGGATCATGTTTTACAAATAAATATGCAGAGGGATTACCAGGAGCAAGATATTATGGTGGTAATGAGGTTGTTGATAGATTAGAGAACCTTTGTATTGAACGTGCATTGGCAACCTATGGATTGGATCCAAAAGAGTGGGGTGTCAATGTACAACCATATTCAGGCAGTACAGCCAACTTTGCAGCATTCACGGGTCTGTTGCGTCCACACGACCGTATCATGGGTTTGGATCTGCCATCTGGAGGCCATTTGACACACGGTTACCAGACCGACAAGAAAAAGATCTCGGCGACATCGATCTTTTTCGAATCGATGCCATACCAAGTCGGCAGCAACGGCTACGTCGACTATGACCGTATGGAGGCCAACGCCGCACTCTTCCGTCCCAAGTTGTTGATTGCCGGTGCATCGGCATACCCCCGTGAATGGGACTATGAGCGTATGCGTAAGATTGCCGACAAGCACGGCGCATACTTGCTCTGCGATATGGCCCATATCTCTGGCTTGGTGGCTGGCGGTCAAGCCGTGTCGCCATTCACCTACTGCGACGTTGTCACCACCACCACCCACAAGACCTTGCGTGGTCCACGTGCAGGCCTCATCTTTTTCCGTAAGCGTGACGATCTCGACACCAAGATCAACTTTGCAGTCTTCCCATCGTGTCAAGGTGGCCCACACGAAAACACGATTGCCGGTATCGCCGTCGCACTCGGTGAAGCCAAGTCTTCAGAGTTCAAGAGCTACGCAGGCCAAGTGCGTCGCAACGCCGCTGCCATGGCCACCGCCCTCAAGCAACGTGGCTACTCGATGGTCACCGACGGCACCGACAACCATCTCGTACTCTGGGATCTCCGTCCACAAGGTATCACTGGCAGCAAGATTGAAAAGGCATGCGACGAAGCTGCCATCACTGTCAACAAGAACGCCGTCTATGGCGACACCAACGCCATTGCCCCAGGTGGCGTGCGTCTTGGCGCTCCAGCCCTCACCTCGCGTGGTCTCACTGAAAAGGATTTCGAAAAGGTCGTCGAATTCTTGGACCGTGTCGTCAAAATCTCAATCGCCATCCAAGACAAGGTTGGAAAGAAAATGCCAGACTTCCAAAGAGCTATTGCCGATTCAAACGAACTCAAGGAATTGAAAAAGGATGTTCAAGCCTTTTCAAAACAATTTAATATGCCAGGTATTGAGGATTTTTAAAAACCAAACACATAGCATAGCATAACATAACATAACATAATAACCTATACACCCTTCATTTTTAAAATATTATACAACTTTCGAATTATTAAATGATTAATTGTTTAAAAAAACATCGCGCATCAATCAAAACAAATATCAAAATCAATTCAAAAAAAAATATTTTTAATATCATTTATTATTATTATTATATAACAACCATTTCTTTTTTGTTTTAGATAGATAGATTAGTCCATTTAGATTGCCATTTATTAATAATAGAAAGAAAGAGAGAAAGTCCTGTGTATTATTATTATTTCCATTTGTTTTTTCACTAACATTCTTTTTCTATTTTGTTTTGTTTTGTTTTGTTTTGTTTGGGGATCAATCAATTTAAAATAATCTATTCTAACACTTATTAATTCTATAGAATATTATGAAGACGAGCCACAAGATCTTGCCAAGTAAGAAAAAAAGAAAATACCTGTAAAAGAAAAAAAGAAAACTAAAGATTATGTAAACTTAATGGATTGTATAGACAATACAATATTATATTTGGAATTGAATAGAGAGATGGATAGATAAAATAAATAAATAGATAGATGTAGATAATTTTATTATGATTTAAAACATGGTAGGGGAGGGGACCCTTTTGATCCCTCTTGAGGGTATTTTTACAAGTTTGTTGGTATTTTTTGGTTTGATTAAAAAAAAAATGATCATTTGTATCTTTTAAGCTCTAAGATAAATGAATATCCGCCATGGATACTAACTGATCAGTTGACATTTCTATGTTGTTGTCTTTGTTTTCATTATTATTAATATTACTGTTTTCGGTTTTCTTATTTGTTGTATGTGAAATATGATGATTATTATTGCTGGTTTGTTTCTTTTTGATGGTGTTGGAAGTGGTACCACTTTGGATTTTATAAACCTTTGATAGAGATTTAATGATTTTTCTATTTGATTCTGTAAGATCTAGTAATAGTCTATGATTCAATCGTTCATAATCACGATAGAACCATAACGCTAGAAATAGAGTTGAAACTGTATAGATGGCAAATATTTTTCTACATTTACCTATAAATTGAAATTTGGCTTGAATGATATCACTTGCTGTTGATGTGTTGATATATACAGATTCATCAACCCAACTAGTCGGCAGTATCATTGATAATATAAAATCGGGTACTATATCTATGATATAACTTGATGATGGTGACATACTATTATGATTTAATACAACTCTTTCTACAAATAGATTAACTACCAAACCAATATAAAGTGGTATTCTTGATGAACTTGTTCTTTTATGTGAAGTTATTAAAAATATCTAAAATAAATTAAATTAGAATAGATTAATAAATAAATGATTTTGATTATTAATATTATTCTTTTTATACATACAAAAAAGATTGTTACAAGATAATAAATTAAAGATTTTGCATCAATAAATTCAAATAATATTAAATTTGAAAGATTATGAATACCATCCAAGATATTAATAATCAATTTGTGTCCTTGAACAATGGTTTCTTGTGACTCTAGCAAATCTTTTTGTTTTGATATAAATGAATCTGTTAGTTCACCAAGTCCATTGAGATCTGAAATGGTGTCTTTTTGAAGTCCCAATAAATCCATTTGATTTTTAATTGATTCCAATGTATTTGTTGCTATTGAAGATGCACTATCTTTAATTCTCAATAATAAATCTAATGACTTGAAAAATAAAACAAAATAAATTAATTAAATATGATTTGTGATACCTAACATATGTGTTCATACCATTTTTGAATTTTGTTGATATTCTTCAGATAATTTCTTTTGTTCTTTTGATAATTCATCTTGTTTTACAGATGTTTCTCTCATTGAATCTTTTATATCCTCAGAGGTAGAGGTAATCTTGTTTAAATAATCCATTGATTGTTCTATTTGTAATTTCATTGATTGCTGAGTATTGGATAATTTTTGTTGTGCAATATTTGATTGATCCCTAGAATAGATTAGAAGAGAGAGGAGGTTTGTTAAATAAACTATAAATATATAGATTTTAAAATTAATTTTGATTTCATACATTGATTCTTCAAGTTGAAGAGAATGAAGATGAATTGATTTCATAGAGTTTAATGTTTCAACAGTTGAATGAACCAATTCATTGACAGCTTCTTCAGTTCTAGATTGAAACAATTCACTCATCAGATAATAACAAATGTTTTCGGTTGATATATAAAAGTTGGTGTATGTCATATAGGCAGTTTCACTCATCGATCTTGTACAATCTTGAACTGTCATTTCTTTTGAACATAAATAAGTCTTCATTCCAGATTTCTCCAAATGACTATAGGGTAAACACAAGAGGAAAATGAAAAGAGTCAGTTTGGGAGAGCTTGAACACAAGTATATTTATCATATATAAATAAACATACCAATTTGCCAATTGAACAGCCAGTTTACTTCTGGCATTATCATCCATTCCTTTACATCCATTTTGAAGTGACATCATACATTCTTCCCAACACCTATTTCTTTTTGAATTCTGAATGATTGTTTCCAATGCATCTAGATAGATACAAGATAGAGATATTAAAATAAAGTAAAAGTAAGTATATTGAATTCAAGTTGGTGTATTGTATATAATATTAATATTTACCTTTGCCTTTGATAGCTCTGTCATTCGATTTGTTATCAATTTCAAATGTTGGGAACAAAGAGAATGATTGTGATTGACCTACCAACAACAATAAAGACAACAATAAAGACAATAAAAGTAATGTCAAAGTTGATACACTGTTGGTGACCATCTCTTGTTATAAACTATTTGTTATTAATATTTGTATTACACATAAATATAATGATGAAAAATGATATATTACTTCTAAGAATTCGATCATGATTGTTTTTATTTATTTCATTTTGGAATGCTTGTTATGGTTGATTGATGAACTTTCTTTCAGTTTAACTCGCGAGCAATAATAATGCACTAGAAAGAGAGCGATCGTATTTACTGTACAAAGGAAACATATATATAGTGTGCAGGTCTTGGTGTGTGGAAGATGATAAGGAGAGAAAGGTCAAATTAATATTTAATTTAATTTTATTTTAACTATATATAGTTAAAGATTTAAATATAAAAGTATAACTAGTGGATGATAGTTATTGAATTTACAAGTTTAAGTTTGGTCTATAAATAATGGCCCAAACATCACTGGTGATGTACTACTACATTCATTAAAAATGTTTGATAAAGAAGAAGATAATATTAGACAAATAGAAATTCTATTACAACAAGTTGGTGTTGGATTCAAAGACAAGTTGGCTAAACTAGAAATAGAAAAGGAGAAGTTTGCAAAGGTTAAAAATGTTGTTGATCTATCTTTGATTACTGACCCAATCAAGTTAGAGGTTGGTGGAAAGATATTCAAAACATCAAAAGAAACTCTAACAAAGATCAAAGGATCTTATTTTGATGTCATGTTGTCGGGACAATGCCAGATCGATCCCTTTAAATTGTTTATTGATAGGTATGAAAAGATATATCTTACAATACTTTTATTATTTAATATTAATCTATTTATTTTAAAAAGGGATGGAAAACATTTTAGACATATTCTCAATTATCTTAGAACTATGGATTATTCAGTTATTCCAAAGCAATTTAGAGAGGAGATAGATCGAGAATTGGAGTTCTACAACCTCCGCTCTCTTTCAACACTAATCGATCACCAGAAGTTCCAAATCATTAAGGATTGGATTGGCATACCTGAGAAAAAGTTTGAGTTGATCCATAGAGGCACAAGAGATGGTTTCAGTTCAAGGGCATTTCACGACGCTTGTAATGGAAAAGGTGAAACTGTCACTTTGGTTAAATCATCCGATGGAAATGTGTTTGGAGGTTACAATAGTCAATCTTGGAATTCCGATAACAAGTATTATGGTGACAACAAATGTTTTATATTTACCATTATCAACAAACAAGGATTGCAACCGACAAAGTACCTAGCAGATAGTGATTTTGTGTTTGGACACCCAGATTCGGGAGCGGTATTTGGTGAATATGATTTGTGATAATTGTCAAATCAAACAAGAAAGTTCACAAGGTTTCACCTCCTACAAGGACACAACAGGCAAAGGAAATCAAACATTTGCATCCACTGAAGAATTTCAAGTTGATGAAATAGAGGTATTTGCTCTTTGCTAAAGAACCCAAAACATTTTGTCGTCTTTAGACCATTGCACAACTTTGGTACCAATTTAGGTAAAAATAAAAATATCTTTCCCAATTAGAAGTACTTAATTTAAAGCACACGTGATGTAGATTCAAAGTTCATTGCTTTGTCTAGTTCTCCACGTGCTCACATGTGTGTAGACAAATGTTAACGTTAAATATTTCGAATAGGTATCCACATCCCTCATCAATAAGATAAACTAGTACGTTTGTTTGAAATCAATTTCATTCAATATTTTCATACAAAAAACATTATAAATTATTAATATTCATTCTCATTTCAAATGTCTAACACTATTGATACACCAAAACAACAACAACAACAAACTACTAGTTCAAATAATAATAATAATAGACTAAACTTTAATCGAACAAAACACTTTCAACTTGCAAGAAATGCATCACCACATCAAAAAGCTAAACGTCAACTTGAACAAAGATCAATCAAACCAAAAGTAAAGGCACAAGGTGATCTATTTACCAATGATTGGGGCCAAATCATTGGAACCATCATTTCATTCACCCCAGGTACCTATCTTACAAGACCTACATGAAATCTTTCTCTATTCTCAACTAATATATTATTAATCTTTTCCTTTGTAGGCATAGGATCACTACTCAAAACAGGATTTGGGTTTGTTTGGGGCTCCATTTTCAAACAAAACAACAACTATGTCACACAAGATCAGTTCAACGATGAAATGTCGGAGCTCTATGAAAAGATTGAACAATTGATCAACGCAGAATTGGACCAAGCCGAAGTAAACAGATGTGGTTTAATCTTTGAAGACTGTCGTAATCGTGGAAACAACTTTAACGATTTGCTCACCCTCTTTACCGACAGACAACAAACAAAAAAAGGATTCAAGATTGACAGATCTGCCAAACATCGTGTCGAGCCACCATCACATTTACTCAATCTAGACGATGACAACCTATTACAAATGATCAGAAGTCAATTCATGGACTATCGTGACTCTCTTGAAGGTGCCATCATCAACATGTCCGATCCATCAAATGCAAAACTCTTGGATAATCTCTTGGCCATGACAATGGTACTCTATGCCGCTGTCTTGAGAGATTGTTGTCTCCAAGGAAAGGCTTGGGGATTCCCAGCTCAATACATTGATGGTGATGGAAATTCAGTCAAGAGTTTAAAACAAATTCTCCATGACCAGATTCAATTGTTCCACAAGAATATGGCCTATTGTGTATTCCAATACAATTTTGCTGTTAATAAGACCGAGTATTCATATCCTGCTATCGGTGAGTAATAGACAATTTATTTTTTCTTTTAATTATTTATTTATTCTTTTTTTTTTTTCTTTATTTTTAGATTTACCAGACAATGGGTACAAAGTTTATGGAATGATAAATGAACTTGATTTTATCGAGTATCCATATGTAGTTGAGAGAGTTGAAAGTTTTTCTCCAAAGCTATTCCTCGTTCCATATGATGGTACAGCTAAAACATTTAAACTCAACATTGGAGACTCTGCTGGTGTATTTCCATCAGTTGATAATCAACATGATACAGTATCAGGAAATCAAGCTGGTTTATTCTTTGCTAGTTGTAAGAAAAGATACATATCAATATAATATTTATGAAAAATCAATTACCTTTAATTAATTCCTTTTTTAATTTTATTTAGATAATGATCCAGAATCAGCATACTTTACATTAATACCACATGGAACCTTTTTTGGATACATGTCAATTAGAATTGCTACCTTTTCCAATTCAGACTTTGTAATGACCCTTAAATGTAATGCACCAGACTTTAATGATACCACATTTGATTCAAGTAATCCAAACAACAATGCAGTTCCAAGGGCTTGCTATTGGAATTTTACCAATGATGGTGATTACAAGTTCTCAAAGATATTTACGAGCCCCATTTTTAATGCAGGCGGAGCTCCTTTTGTGAGTTTCTCTTTAAGCTCTCCTTCAGCTAGTGTCGAAATCAATTCAATTGAAGTTAACATTTTGCCTTCTTTATCCAAGTTTTAGGAGATTAGGATCCTTAATTAATCTATACTAAATAAATAAAAAATTAATTTATATATTAATATTTTTTTAAAAATTCTCTTCACAAATGATTACCTTCAAAGGTTTTTTATTATTATCATCTTACAAACAGAAAGTAGTATTCAGTATAATAACAAAGGATTTGTAATTATAATCGATCATAATCATGTCTGAGATAGCAAATATGATCTCTGACACACATACCTCTAATACACCCGATAAATCATCGTTACAATCATTGAGGTTTAAAGATAACTATAATCAATCTCTTTCCCTTGGAGTATTACCATTATCATTACAATCATTGGAGTTTAATGATAGATATAATCAACCACTATCAGCTGGAGTATTACCATCATCGTTACTATCATTGAAGTTTGGTGTGAGATATAATCTACGTCTATCAATTGGAGTATTACCAACATCATTACAATCATTGGAGTTTGGTAATGACTATAATCAAACAATATCAATTGGAGTACTACCAACATCATTACAATCATTGGTGTTTGGTTATAGATATAATCAACTCCTATCAGTTGAAGTATTACCAACATCGTTACAATCATTAAAGTTTGGTAATGAATATAATCAACCTCTATCTGTTAGAGTGTTACCAACATCATTAAAATCATTAAAGTTTGGTAATGAATATAATCAACCACTACCAGTTGGAGTATTACCAACATCATTACTATCTTTAAAGTTTGGTAGGGACTATAATCAGGCAATATCTGTTGGAGTATTACCATCATCATTACAATCATTGAAGTTTGGTTACTACTTTAACCAACTTCTATCAATTGGAGTATTACCATCATCATTACAATCATTGGTGTTTGGTAGAGACTATAATCAACCTCTTTTAGTTGGAGTATTACCATCATCATTACAATCATTGATGTTTGATGGAGATTCAATAGATCCGATAAGATTTTTAGTTGATTTCAACCAATCCATTGGTGTAAGCAGAAGTTTTATTAAATTAGGATCATATGGAGTCATAAAGCTTCCAAGCACCAAGGTTTTTTTTATTCTTTCAAAAACCAAATCTTTACAAAACAAACATCATAACTCAACTCACACTTGGGCCAACAGACCGAGCAACACTCCAACATCCACAACACTCAACACAAATCCCAACTCTATCAATTACGACCTCAACTATTTAATGAAATATCCTATCAGCGAAACAGATTTTGTTATAGTCAACACCCACAAATATTTCAAATTACATTCTTTTCCATACTCTGCCAACCAAGTATTTTTAGTAATGTGCCAATCCTCTGGTGAATTGGTACGTAAATATAATTTATTGTTAGTATATGGTTTAGACAATTGGTATTATAATTAACTAACCTATCCTTTAGTATGTTTACAAAGAAATAGATTACTCCAACAAGAAAAATAAGCAGGAAATAGATCAATCGATCTATGACAAAGTACAATTTGAAATCAAAACGATGCAGCTATTCATCAACGACCCTATGTTTGTACAATACAAAGATCATCAAGATGACACTGATTCAAAAAAGATATATCTCTTGACATATTTCTGTGAAGGTGGTGATTTAGAACAATTGTGTCAATCAATTTATCAATGGTATGATACTAAAGCTCTTTGATCAAACAACAATATTAACACTGACAATCTTTTTAGGAATGAATTTCAAAAGGAAAACCCTCATCCAAAATATAAATATATTCTCGAAACAGAAATATGGCGATACATTCATCGATTATTCCTCATACTCGAAAAACTATCTCAACACAATCTTGCACATCTTGATATCAAACCACTCAATCTATTTATTGGATCAGACGGTGAAATAGTTCTTGGTGATTTTGGTTGTTGCCACTATTACTTTGGTACCCAGATTGATTTATAAAGCTACACAATCCACAAACAATAATCAAGAAAAAATTAGTGACTCTATCAACCAACCAACAGCACAAAATGCAAATATGATAGCTACACCACTTGCCTCTCGTGGAACAAGAGGGTATTATGCACCAGTCCGTATACACCTTTTAATTATAACATCTTTGAAACCAAAACTGACAGGTTTTTCATTACTTTGATGCCGATCATATTAAAATATCACCTGTTAAATATTCCGAGCTTTTGGTTAATTTTGTCAAGAAACTATTAATAGCAACACCTGATGATCGACTTTCATTGGATGATTTAATTGGAGAAATAGTCAACCAACACACACAAAGAATCACATCATTTTTAATCAATCAACGACAAATTCTATCAAGCACAACAACATTAATATTGGATGGTGAATTCAACAGTCCTCTCAAAGGATTACTTCCACCAACACTTTTAAAATTAAAGTTGTTGGGAAACTTTAATCAACCAATCGAATGGGGTGATATTCCAGATAGTGTTGAAACATTAATATTCGGATCATCATTTAATAGTCAAATACATTCATTTCCAAAGTCATTGAATAATTTAGCTTTAGGAATATCATTCAATCAACAGTTGTTCCTCATCGACAAAAAAGTTACAATCCACCTTAACAGAGATAATAATACTTCGTGGAATGAATGGTTCGATTGGGCTCTATCTCAAATGAAGCATGTCAATATCTACTACCGCCAAGACCTGGGGAAAAAAACTAATTCATTTATTAAAAACAATGATAGTGGATCCAATTTCTTCTTGACAATTGGTGAAAAATATTATGGAATTGGCGATATCAAGGGGTATGTAATCAGTAAAAATACAAACCAACAATTAAACAAATTGACACTAACCATTTTTTTAAAAAAAATAGGGACAATAATATAATAGAGTGGACGAATAACAACTTCGAGTGTAAAATCAAACTAAAAGATGTTAAAGTGATATCACATGTTCAAGCATCAATCTATCCACATTTGTTTTGTCAAATAGATAAATCAAAATTTGAAGAAGCCAACAGACGATTTGGAGAATTTCAACCCGACTCTGAATACAGTTCTTTGTATTCTGAACTATTTGAATTGGATCAAGACAATATTCATCAAGTGTTTGAACATAATCATCAATATCTAAATATTAGATTGATTTACACCCAAACACCAGATTCTGTGCTATCAAAATTGATAAATATGCTCTATAGTGCTATTTACTAAACATAAAAGAAAAGAAATTCAAATAATAATAATATCATATAAATAAAATAAATGGTTTTAGAATTATCAGTAGTTTATTAATAAATACAATTGTTTTGTTTTTTTTTTTGGTTTAGTTTGTTTTTCTTATAATATAACATGTGTTTTTTGTTTTGTGATTTGATTTCTTCCTAGCTATTAGTTTAATTATTATTATTATTATTATTATTGTTTATGAGTCAAAATACAAGTAATTAATTCTCCACAAGTTTTAACGATTGATTCATTGATTTGGCTAGATTGTCTATTAAAGCCAGCACCACAATCGGGAAGACCTTGGAAACCCAATTTCTTCAAGTGCGAGATACCAAGTTTGTTGTTGTTGGTGGCAGTCTCCATGGAAAAGGAAAACATATGTTCCATGATGAGTAGACCGGCTTGCATCATTTTTTCGATTTGAGAAGAGGTGATGACGGTCGACAACTTGGGAATGAATGTTTTGTAGATGACGGGGAAGGCGCGAGGAAGGAACTGGATGCCTTCCTTGAGGGCCTCGTATATAAACAATTGTTCGTGCTCACGGTCAGTGTGAGCAAGAATCGTGACGAGGAAGGTGAAGAGGAGCGCAGCAGAGTCTGAATCAGGCACCATGTGCTCGTTGAACAACAGCTGGTTTGGAGACGTGCGATTAGCCTCGCCGGTAAGCGCGGCAATCTGGTCGACGTTGGCCACCTCGCCCTCGGTGGCAAACAGAGCTGCCAAGTACCCAATAACCGACGCACCCGTTCCCTTTTTAGCAGTGATTGATAGATAGGTCGATAAGAGACGAGAGGTGGTGGTCTTGGTGCTGGGGTACTTGAGACCCTTGAGCAAGTGTGCAGCTACGGCAAACGAAAAGTTAAACTCGAATGATACGCCTGTGATGTTGTCGAGTTTGGACAGGATGGCTTGGTATGGCTCACGTGCCGACAAGTAGGTCTTGGCAACCGATTCTTTGAATTGGTCCCAGCGATCCATTGTCTTTAGCATCACTTCGAGTAGTGCAATGGCAGCGGTAAACACGCGAGGCTCGTACAGCTGCGTCAACGTGGTGGCTACCCAAAAGAGTGGTGTAATAAAGCGTGATGCCGGGTTGATGTATTCGAATAGCTTGGTGAGACAAACCAACACACCAACAATCAGGTCATTCTGTTCTTGCAAACATTTGGGGGTTGCGAGAACCGATTTGAGTGCGTTAAAGATGCTTTCGACGAGTTCGTCGTTGACATACTCTGAGCTACGTGCAATAATACCTAGTGTGATGAGAGAACGTGATTGTACGGCCGGGTTCCATGGACGGAGCGACGAGATGGTGGTGAATGACAACCAACGGTTGTGCCAGGCAGTGCCAAAACACTGACCATTGGCCGAACACGTGTTGAGCATGGAAAAGATGGAGCTGACGACTGGGTCGACATTGGTAATCGACATTTTCTCGAGTTCCTTTGCGTTTTGATCGGGTGTTGTAAAGTCGGCAGTTATATTACTACCACCAATACCGAATAGTAGACGGAATGAAGGTTGACCCATCTCGGACAAGAGGTATGGTAGACCTTGCAACTTGTTGTCGGCTGATACAAGGAAGGTATAGAGCGAATGGACAGTATTGATAAGTAGTCCATGTGTAGTGATACGAACATTGACATTACCAATTGAAAAGAGTGTACAAATGATATGTAATAATTCTGGCAGATACAATTGTGCACAGATAAGATTATCAAATGACAATAACAAGAGTAGACGGAGGTGGACAATGATGGTTGGCCAAAGTTTGTGTTCTGACAATTCAGAGTGTACAACATTCTCACTGGTACGTTCAATGAGACGGATCAACTTGCTAATGAGTTTACCTGCAATGAGTTGTGGTGATTCTCCAGCCATCGATGCAATCATTTCACCAATCAATTCGCAATTGTTTGAACCAAATCCAGAATCAACTGCCTTTTTAACACAACATTTGAGTGCCAAGTTGACAAGATCTGGTTTTTGACGGCCAAATGTTTCCCAAACCTTGGACAAGATGATAGACTTCATTTGTGTCTCACGAATTGACAAGTCGATGAGTGCGTTGATGACAGTGTTGGTTTTGGCCAACTTCTCGGCAGCTTCTGGGGTGGGACTAGGTTGAGTGAATAGTGCGAGGTTGGCAATCCACGGCGACACATAGTCGAGCACAAGATACTTGGCTACAGCAGATGCCTTGGTGATACCATGCAAACATTCAGCCAAAAACTCTAGTGTCAAGCCAGTCTCGGTACGACTGAGTTTCTCAGACACACGAATTACAAATTGTGTACTATTCTTGGGGATACACAATCCACTTGTCTCGAGCAACTGTAAATTGAGTGAAAAATTTGAGTTTCTACACAATGCAGACAACATGTTGTAGGCGGCAACACGCAATGCGTTCTTGGTACTACCGAGATTGAGAAGAGCGACATTGAGCAATGTACCTGGGATATCTTGAGGACGGAAAGATCTATTGGCCAACTTGCTATCTGGTTTACTCAATTTCCAACGTGCTTTACTTTGATTGACAGCTTGCAAGATTTGTTGACATTGTGGTGACTTTAGAACCATTGCTTTGGGACCATTCATATCATACTTTATAAAGAACTCTTGGTCGTCGTCGGAAAAGGTACGGTTGACCTCTAGAATGGTAGAAATGTGGTAGAGATCGACCAACGAAGACTGCTTACCTAGAATTGGGTGAAGCTTGATCGAGATGAGTTGCAACAGATCGGTTGTGATACGTAGTGTCACTGACTTTTCATGATACTGACCAGACAACTTGACAACTGGTGAGAAAGTCGACTTTACATCAGTCTCGACTGCCAATGAAGATTGTGGTAATCCACATTCAGCCTCTCCAATATAATCAAAGATACGAACTGGATTTTGAAGTAATACAATCTTTTTAGTGGCACGACCAACCAACTTTCCAACACGTTTGGTATACTTTTTAAAGTTGTGATTGGGATTGACGACAATGATTGATTTCAAATGCTCGGCAGCTTCATCTGGGAAATGACGTAACCAAGTTGTACACCAAGACAATGGGATTTGATGCTCTGGTGCAAACAATGTACAATCAATCACTATGACATAGGGTTGATGCATACTGTCCTGTACAGTCTTGAGCATGAGGTAGAGTAAATGTTCCATATCCATTGAACTCTCATATCTCTTTGCAATATAGTAAAAGACTGGATACTTTTCCTTGGTGACACCTTGTTTGTAAAAGATTTTCTTTTGTTTGAGTGGTTCGAGGTTGAGACTTTGGAAACGACGCATAAAATCTTCGTAATAGTTGGTTGCCTTGTTTTGACCTGTTCCACCGATATTACGTTGGATACCAGTACCAGCCTTTTTCTTTTCGAGGTCGGGTGGTGCACCGAGACGTTGCATGGTTTGAGTGAGACGGTCGGCCACATCACGTTGGTTGATGGCAGGTGAACCGAGCACCTTTACAATCTTTTCAAGTCCATTGTAAAAGTGGTGGTGGAGCATAATGACATCGTCGTCTTTATGTTCTTCAGCACCTGCAGATGCCTTGATATTGGGATAGTCGGGAGAGATGATGGTAAACGATTCAAACAAATCGTCAATAGCCTTCATATTCTCATTGACAAACGAGTTACAGTTGGCCATGTAATTCTCACGTACACCCATCTGTCCATTGGCCAAATTCTGGAGTACCTTTGTACAGAGGACCAATCCACGACGAGTCTCTTTGCTCAAAGCACCTGCCGAGACGATACCAAATATCTCGGGCGAGATAATGGCGGGACAGATAAAACGAAGAAACATGATACCACCAATCGCCATTTTCTCGTTGCCTGGGAATGTTTCATTGACCACTTTAGAGATATAATTACAAATCTCTCTAAATGGTAGTGGTAGATGAGGTACAGAGTCTTGAATTGCCTTTATAAACTTTTTGGTTAAATCCAACAGACGGTTGGTATTGGCGACGACATCTTCGCCCGATCCGACACGACTTGGATCGATTTCCATCGATTCAGAGTTATCTAGTAGTGTCTTCATGACTGGATACAATGCAACTTTGAGGTATGGTTGACCAATCAATTTGGTATAGGCTGCCAACATTTTAGTGGCAACACTGTTACGACGCAACAATGTATTGGCAGTCTCTGTACTCGAAACTTCGTGATGAATAACCTTTTTCAAGATGGGCATGGTCTTGTCATTTTGTTCACAAAAGTTGACCAATATACGTGCCACCTCATCGGCTTCAGTAATCTGTGTCACCTCTCCCAATGCAATAATCGAAAAGTAATCGGGTTCCAAAAGCAACTCTACAAACTTTTCATACTTGTCTGCACTTTCATCTTCAACTGCATCAAATCCAGTACCTTGATTTAGAATATTGGCAATGACTCGTAAGAAAGCTGATCTAGTCTCGTGATCTTCATGATAACCCATTGTTGCAAAATATTCATAATGAATATTTGCACTCAACATGTTACTTAAACTTCTAATTGCTCCATCTGCTAATTGTGGTGGACTTTCTACCCTAAAAAAAATTAAAAATAAATAAATAAATAAATAAATAAATATTTATCTTTTTTTTTTTTTTTCTATTTCTATTTTACATACTTGATCTTGTTTACTTCTATAATTTGTTAATAAAGTAGTAAAGAATGTAAAATATTTTCCAAATTTACTACCTTGAGCATCATCATCACTAGTTGGTAAAGTTAGACCACGTAATAAAGATGCAATAGTAGTAACACAAGCTACATCAACTTCCTTTGGTAATTTCTTCATCAACATCATTTCATTCTTTGCATTTACATCATTTTGAATATCAATTCTTGTTGAATCTGTTGAAATTGATACTGATGATTTCTATAAATAAAAATAAAATAAAGATTAATATTTTTTTCTATTTATCTTTTTTTTCTATTTTTATCTTTTCCTTACTCTTGTAGCAAGATTAAAATCTGAAGTCCATTCAATAATATTTTCGACGAGAGTATTACGGAATTCAGTTTCACGTGAAAAAGATATATATTGTCTCTTGATCATCATGACATCGAGGAGTGAACAGAAATTCTTTTTGATACGAAGTGAAGTGGTGGACGGAACGAGATGGTTGAGATAACGGATGATCAAGAGTGTGAGTGGTTCAAACGAGGTGATGATGGCCAGATCTTCAGCCGTCTGTGAGATATCGAGAATATGTTTGACGACACCAATCGTTTGGTCGACAAACAATGTGGAACGGTCAGACACGTCCAACTGACCGGCATCGCCAAAGAAGCCATTGATGACTCCTTGAAGATGTCTAAATAGTACGGCATACACTGATGGAGACATACCAGTACCCGAGAGTGACATGGTTGTCTCTCTAATAAATGCATTGTCAGACACTACCAAATCCATCAACTCTTCGACAAATGAATCGATTACCTTGATGGTACGTTCTTGGACATTCTTTTTGGCACCCAATAGTACACGACGATTATCCTTTTCAGGAGCTGCACGTACAGTTGTTTCTTTGTTTAATGTTACACCTGACAGAGCGACCAAGAAACCCATAGTATTATGCCATTCTTGTTTGATTTCTGCTGGTGACTTGTCGGTTATTGGCGATGATGTTTTGGTGATGTTTCCACTCGTTGTAATCTTGCGTTGCTTGTCCATGTCTTCAATACCCGTGGTCATGAGTACAGGTGTCAGTTGACACCAACGTGTATACACCTCTTCCCAGGCGGCAAAGTTACCAGTAGTAGGTGTCTCGATACGACGGAGCAATGTACGAATAACCTTTTGTTGATGTTGACGACCGGTTTGTAGTACACCAGCAGTCGACAGTTTCTTGTAGATACCATAGTTGGCAGCGATTGGGTTGTTGGCTTGAGCATCGTCGTCTCCCAATATCTCAATCTCTTCGCAGAGCAAACCAAAACAAGTAGCACACTTGCTACAAATATCAGGTTCTGGTGAACAAAGGTGAATGAGAAGTGCGATTTCCAATTTGGTCGAACCTTGTGAACGAACATCTCGAACTGATGCTTCAGGACGTAACGACTCTTTACTCTTTTCGAGGAATGCGTTACGACGCAATAGAATCTCTTCAAGCAATGTAACAAGCTTTTGAATCTGTTCATACTTTGCATCCTTCATATCAATGAGAGCGTTGGCTAGTGATATATTGACAGCTGAGCTAATCTCCCAGAACCCATTGATCATCTTTTTCTCGTACCATGCTTCAATGTAGACGGCATTGTGGAACTTGAGTAATGTCTCGGCAGCGACATCGGCAATCTCTGGCAATGCAAATTGTGACGAACAATAACACAAACCAGTAATAATACTACGAATGTCTTCTAGATCTTGTGCAGGTGTCTTTAACGCATAGAGTGATAGACGTGGATCGGCAAGGAACAGTTGGATCAAATACCCCATCACTTGAGTATCAAACTGAACCTTTTCAAATTGTTGTTTTGACTTTTTGTCTGTTGCACTCTTGAGTGCTGCATGAGAACGAATCGACTGAAGATAGTCTCCAAACATGGTTTTGAGTTGACCTGAAACGAGTGCATAGGCGTCCGAGATGGATGGCGACCATGGCAGAGTATTGGCAGCGTCTTCACGAGCAATACGCAACAAACTGCGTACCAACACCATTCTAAAGTGTGGTGGAGTGTCGGGATTGAGACAGTCGGGGATAAGAGTGGTGACCTTTCTCGGTGAGATTTTGAACGATGACACTAGACACTCGATCATCATGTCTAGGTCGTTGGGAGTCTCGAGTGTACGTTCCTTGTTGAAAAGACGTTCTTTGAGTTCCGTCTCGATGGCTGGCACGATATAACGTAGTGCAGACAACTCGCTCTTTGAGACATAAGTCGACGCTTTACAAATATCGACATAACAAGACGCAGCAACGTCGGCCAATTTAGGAACCTTGAGTGATTTTTTCAAATCGGCGAGGAAACGCTCCTTGGCACTATAGTCGGTTGCTTTATCCTGCTTGTAGATCTTGAGCATGATATCTGGACACAGGATCAGAAGCATTGTCTGTAGTGGCCAAAAGGCATTCTTGTGTGCCGTCTTTTTGGCCCAGCCGTCGAGAATGTCAAACAGCTGGTCGGGGTTGCCCGGCAGACGCTCGCACATCTTGCACAGCGTCACAAACTCCATGGGGTAGTTGTCGATCCAGTTCCACACGGCATTCTTGAGCACCTGTGAAAGAATAAATTGGTGGCGCTCCTTTTTGAACGAGTTGGCAGCGCGTGTCACGCGGTCCAACAACTCGGACAATCGCTTTGAGTTGAGGTTCAAGTGTTCGATGAGGTAGAACTGGTTGCTAAACTGGTCGTCGGGTTCCTTGCCGCTGACCACCACGTGCAATATCTCGGTGATCTTGCCCGACACAGACTCGTAGTTGGTGGCCGACAACTGAAAGATGACACGTCCAGAGTTTCGTCGCAACTCTTCTTCGTTGGACACGACCGATCGCATCAAACATGTCATCGATTGACCCAATATAACTCTTGCCAATGCCTCTTCAAGAGGTGGTGGTAATATTTGTTCCTCCTTTTCTTTTAATCTAATTGCTTCTTTTTCATCTAATCCTTGTACATTTCTAAATTGTGATTTCTAAAAAAACAAAATAAAAATAATTAAGTTAAGTTAGTAAATTTCAAGTCCAACTTGGACATTTATCTTTTTTTCTTAAACTTACAATATGATGCCATTGATGTTGCATACATTTAGCAAGTAAATTTAATATATATGATTGTGCCCATGAATTATGTTCATTTGTTTCATCTTTATCTTTCCTCTACAAAATTAATATTACAAATTAAATTAAATATTAATACATTATTTATACATATATCGCGTGATAATTAATCTAGATCAGATGGTGCAATGGTTTTTTTTTTTTTTTTTTTTCTTAAAGTAGATTTTTTCAAGCTCATAGGAGATATTGAAACAAACAAACATCTGCTTGCTGATCTCGGATGTCTTATACAGGTGACCTGTATCTATCTATCTATCTATCTATGATTCCTATTTACTTGATACTCTTTTCATTCATTGCATCATCTGATTTCTGATTTGTTATTAGTATTTACCTTTAATAAATTTTCTAAAGAATCTGATAAACCTGTTGCTATGATATTTAATTTACTTGAGCTGAGTTGGATGAGGGTGTCTTCGTTGTACTTTCGGATATGTTCTTGTTGTATTTGATCGGCGGTTTGGTAGCCACCTAGATTCTTGGTGAGCTTTATCTGTATGTTGATACGATTGATGAGATCGTGGATGAGTCTGTCTTCATTCTCTGCTGCCGACGACGATGACATCGATGACGATGATGTGTTTGAATTCATGTTGTTGGAGAGTGATGATAGGCTGCCCGTTGACGCCGACGCTGTCGACATGGGTTGCGATGGCGACGGTGCTCCTATATTGGATGATGATGCATTACTTGGTGTATTTGACATGATTGATTGACTATTTGTGATTTGTGATTTGTGATTGGTGATGATAATATATTTTTAAAAAAACTTATCTCTATATACAAAAAAATAAACAACTACTAAACTAAAAAAAAAGGTAGTGTAAAGAAGGGAGTGAGGAGGAGGAGGAGGTGAATGCTAATATAAATACTATTACAACAACAACAAAAAGGATTACTAAATAAATAATAAATAGATATAAAACAACCTAATACTATACTCTATCTAACTATCTATAAAACTAAATAAAAAAAGGCACTACTCTGCTCTGCTCTACTCTACTTACAAACTACAATCCTCTGATGCAGCTGATAGGAGTGTAGTAGTCAAGGTTTATCTCTTTTTTTTTTTTTTTTAAATAGATATTTGATTCTTGATCAATCAATCAATAAATAATATCAAAACTGGTAGTGGGATGATTGTAGTATTATTATGAAGGTGGGTTAGTGGGAAGATATCTTTTGTGTGTTGGTGTAGTACTAGTGTGGTGTGATAAATGTATGTGAATCTCTCTTATACTAGTAGTGAGTGTCCTGTCTGTCTTGTTTATCTATCTATCTATCTATCTATCTAATCTGATCTCGTTGTCCACCCTGATAAAGAGAGTCTCTTGAAGTTAGCTAGCTAGTTTTGCTGTAGTAACTAGCTCACTTTGCTTTGATCAGTCTATCTCTTATCAAAAAGTGGTTGAGTTGATTGATTGGTTGGGGATAGGAGTAAAAAGAAAGTGTGCACAAGAGCTGCAACAATAAAATCAAGAGCCCTCTAGATTTTTTAAAAATTTAATCAGGTGAAAGAGTCGATGTTCGATCTTTATTACTATAATTGCGGAGTTACCTTTGGCTCACTTCATTTTATCTTTGCTACGATATATTTTAATTAGAGATAACATATATGAATGAAAGAAACAATTAGAATTAAAACAACCTGTTTAAAATTGGAATTAGATTTGAAATACAAGACAACCAACAGTTGTTTTTATTTATAGAATTTGTATACATGTGAAAGTTGGTTTAAATCGAATGAACTATTTTAAACATTTAGTTGGTGAAATGATAGTGTCAAAGGCTTTGCTTTGTTTAAAACAACAATTAATAGAAATGTTTTGTGGTTGGCGAATAGTAAATAGAGTTGCCAAGGTTTCAGTTATGTTGCTGTTTTGTGCGTAATGTGAACATACATTTGTTCATAATTATAATGTGATTATTGTTTTGTGGACATGATTGTTTGACATTAATAGGCTAGGATAGCAACTACTATTGCTCTGTGATTAAATAATAAAGATACTATTACTAATCCCCAAGTAATGTTACTATAGTTTTTCCACTATGATCCTTGTTCTCGAGAACCTAAAAGTATTTTTTAAAATTCCAAATGCATTATGTTTCTAATATTAGAATGGTGGTTTAATTAATTAAAGATTGAAAGAAATTAGAAATATCTGTATTCATAACTCACAAGTGCTCTTTCTTTAAATTCGACATCTTGTTTTTAATAATATTATTTGATTTTTATTTCTTTGTTTTGCTTTTTGAAAGATTAACGAACACCTTTTTTATCTTTGATAGCACAGAGTCTGATGTTTTGACGTAAATCAATCTAATATTTAGAAATTGATGATTATGTTCAAACATTTGATGAATATTGTCTTCATCCAATTTAAATAATTTATCCATTTCCTTTAGGGGGTATTCAGAGTCGGGTTGGTATTCGACAAAGTGCTGATTGATTGATTCAAATGTTGATTTATCGATTTGACAAAATAAATGTGGATAGATTGATGCTTGAACATGTGATATCACTTTGACATCTTCTAGATTGACCAAACATTTGATATCATCATTCTTCATCCACTCTAGTATATTATTGCTCCTGTAAAAAAAAACATTTGGTTAGCGTCAATAAACATATGTTTTATTAGCATTATTGTGAATTTGTATTACCACCTGATTACGTACCTCTTAATATCACCAATTCCAAAAGATTGTTCACCGATCGTTAAGATGAAATTAGATCCCTTCATGTTGTCTTTTATAAAAGAATTGATGGCTGTCTGTTCCAAGTCTTGGCAGTGGTAGATATTGATACATTTCAAATTATCATCACTCCAATCGTTAAATACTGTAGACAGAGTATCTTTCCAATTGTCTGTGGTTATGTGTATTGTAGCATTTGTACCATATGATTGCAACTGTTGATTGAATGATTTTCCTAAAACTAAATGTTTTAATGTCCTTGGCAATGATCCAATTTGACTATTAAATGATGATCCGAATATTAGTGTTTCAACACTATCAGGAATATCACCCCTTTCGATTGGTTGATTAAAGTTTCCTAATAACTTTAATTTTAAAAGTGTTGGTGGAAGTAATCCTTTGAGAGGACTGTTGAATTCACCATCCAATATTAATGTTTTTTTGTTTGATAGAATTTGTCGTTGATTGATTAAAAATGATGTGATTCTTTGTGTGTGTTGGTTGACTATTTCTCCATTCAAATCATCCAATGAAAGACGATCAAGAGGTGTTGCTATTAATAGTTTCTTTACAAAATTAATTAAATGTTCAGAATATCTAACAGTTGATATTTTAATATGACCGGCATCAAAGTTGTTCTTTTTGTGATTCGAGATAAACTCTTTTCTATTGGCAATATCATCTGGGTGACTGTGAAATAATTAGTTACGGATAAAGTTTGATGATAAAATCTCATAATTACCATGAAAGTAAATGGAATAGAGTTGAACCAACTGAATATATATCACTTGATGGGTAATATTTCTTTTGTTTTGATTCCTATAAATAATGTAACGAAAAATGGGTGTTAGTTGGCTGACAATATGAAAATATGAATAAATAACATACAGGTGAGTAATATCCATTTGTTCCACGAGAGGCAAGTGTTGTGGCTATCATATTTGCATATTGTGCTGTTGTTTGGTTGTCACTATTTTCTTGATTATTGTGTGTTTTGGTGACAGCAGCTGAATGATTTTGATCAACGAAATAGTGACAGCAACCAAAATCACCAAGAACTATTTTGCCGTCTAATCCAATAAATAGATTGAGTGGTTTGATATCAAGATGTGCAAGATTGTGTTGTAATAGTTTTTCAAGTATGAGGAATAATCGTCGAATATAAAGCCATATTTCAGTTTCTGGAATATATTTATATTCTGGATGGGGTTGCTCATTCCTAAAATTCGAGAAAATGTTAGTGAACACTGGTATTTATTGTTGTTGTTGTTTAACAGTTATATGAATTTAGTATCATACCATTTATAAATTGATTGAAATAATTGTTCTAAATCACCACCTTCACAGAAATGTGTCAAAAGATACATCTTTTTTAAATCAGTGTCATCTTGGTGATCTTTGTATTGTACAAACATAGAGTCGTTGATGAATAGTTTCATCGTTGAGATTTCAAATTGGGCTTTGTCGTAGATCTTTTGATCTATTTCATAGTTATTTTTCTTATTTGAATAATCTATTTCTTTGTAAACAAACTAACAGATAGGTTAGCAATTGGGGTTATTATTAAGCTAAGTTTGTGATTTATATATATATATACCAATTCACCAGAGGATTCACACATAACAAAGATTACTTGATTGGCAGAATGTGGAAAAGAGTGTAATTTGAAATATTTGTGGTTGTTGACTAAAACATATTCCGTGGTATTGATGGGATATGCCATTAAATAGTTGGGGTCGTAATTGATAGAGTTGGGATTTGGGTTGCATGTTGTGGGCGTTCGAATGTTGTTCAGTCTCTTGTCCCATGATGATGTTATCGGTGAAAGAATTTTGATATTCGGAAGTTTGATTACTCCAAGTGGCCCTAATTTAATGAAGTTTCTTTTTATGAGCATTGAATCAAGTAAAATTCTTCTTTGTGATATATCAATATACAGGCGCTGACCAAGCTTCAATGATAGTAAAGTTGATGGTAATGCACCAACTGATAGAGTTTGATTAAAATTATTACCAACCACCAATGATCGTAACGATGTTGGTAATACTCCAACTGTTAGAGGTTGATTATAGTCGCCACCAAACTTCAATGATTGTAATGATGATGGTAATACTCCAACTGTTAGAGGTTGATTATATCCATCACCAAACGCCAATGATTGCAATGATGATGGTAATACTCCAACTAAAATTGCTTGATTATATCTATTTCCAAACTTCAATGATTTTAATGTTGATGGACCTCCAACTGATAGAGGTTGATCAGAGTAATAACCAAACACCAATGATTGTAGTGATGTTGGTAATACTCCAACTGGTAGAGGTTGATTATATTCATCGCTCAACCTCAATGATAGTAACGATGTTGGTAATACCCCAACTGATAGTGGTTGATTATAGTCTCTACCAAACAACAATGATTGTAATGATGCTGGTAATACTCCAACCGATAGTGGTTGATTATATCTATAGCCAAACTTCAATGATTGTAATGATGTTGGTAATACTCCATCAGTTAGTGCTTGATTAAAGTAATCACCAAACACCAATGATTGTAAAGATGTTGGTAATACTCCAACTGGTAGAGGTTGATTATAGTCATTACCGAACTTCAATGATTGTAATGATGTTGGTAATACTCTAAATAATATTGGTTGATTATACCTATAGCCAAACACCAACGATTGTAGTGTTAATGGTAATACTCCAGCTGATAGGCGTTGATTATAGTTCCAACCAAACACCAATGATTGTAATGATGATGGTAATACTCCAACTGATAGAGGTTGATTATAGTCGCCACCAAACTCCAATTCTAGTAATGATGTTGGTAATACTCCAACTGATAGACGTTGATTATAGTTATTACCAAACTTCAATGATCGCAATGATGATGGTAATACTCCAATTGATATTGATTGATTATATCTATAACCAAACTTCAGTGATTGTAAAGATGTTGGTAATACTCCAACTGTTAGAGGTTGATTATATTCATAACCAAACTCTAATGATTGTAATGATGTTGGAAACACCAACGATTTGTAATGATGTTGGTAGTACTCCAACTGATAGGCGTTGATTATAGTCCCGACCAAACTCCAATGATTGTAATGATGATGGTAATACTCCAACTGATATTGGTTGATTATAGTCGCCACCAAACTTCAATGATTGTAATGAATGTTGGTAATACTCCAACTGATATTGCTTGATTATAGTAATTACCAAACACCAATGATTGTAATGATGATGGTAATACTCCAACTGATAGGGTTTGATTATATCTATTACCAAACACCAATGATTGTAAATGATGATGGTAAAACTCCAACTGATAGTGGTTGATCATAGCCATCATCGAATGTCAGTGATTGTAGAGATGTTGCCGTTTGTTGGGTGTCAGAGTTGGTTGCTGCTGTCTCCGCCATTGATCAGTTATACTGATACGACCCTTTGTGTTACTTGATAATTCTAAACACTCCTTTTGAAGACCAACTCCGATTCTTGATGATTCCTCAATCGAAGGGAAATTTTTGAAAAATTAAAAAAGGTGGATACTTCTTAGATATTTAATTAAATCATCAGGGTTATAAAATAGAAATAAAGCAACCAATCGTTGTCACTATCAACACGCTAATTTATTTATAGGGGTGAAGGAGAGGGCTCTACTTTAGATCATTATTCATTCTCTTTGTTTGGACAAATAACAATTCATTTATTTGTTTTTAAAAAATTGGTGGTGTGATCAAAAATAACAAGCAACGATGAAAAGTTATATAAGTCTATTTATTTTATTTATCTCAACACTCATCATAGTTGCAGTATCACAACAGTCGCAGTCACAAACAATCTATGTCAATATAGCATCAACCAACACCAGTCAGACTTGTGGATCAGACAATACACCAATCAACGCATGTGCTGATTTGACGAGCGCGTTTGCGGCATTTGTCGGCAGCAACACGAGTGTTGACAGTAACGGTACATACGTCCCACTGACAATCATCATGTCACCAGGTACCTACACAGGCGACCGTAATGCCAACTTGACCATCTACAACCAAACAGTGACCATCACAACCGCCAGCACCACCGACAATGTCACCATCGATCTGACCAACAACAACGCACTCTACTTTATCTCGACAGATCTACCCGAGTCACTTGGCAATGTATCGCTGACCGACAAGACAGTAGTCACACTCAAAGGTCTCAATGTAGTCAATTTTTTCACGCCCAACGTGCAGACCACCGACACTGGTGTCATCATATCGGCCAACTCTAGCGCATCGACTGTCTTGACACTCGAGTCATGTTTATTCTCTAATATCACAACGGGCAAGGGTGCACTAGTCTACATGGAATCCGGGTACCAGGATTACAAGCTTCTCAACATCACTACATGCATCATCACCAACGTGACGGCTGGCAACACGATCATCTTTATGCAGAGCTCCGAATTAACGCTTACAGGATCCAATATAACGTACAATAGCGCACGTTATCTGCTCTACAAGACGTTTGGAGAGACTTCCATCACGGGTAACTACTTTTTCAAAAATGTCTTCCCCACCACATTTGACAATCAGCAGACGGGCGCGTTACTCTATTTCGGATACCACTCGCGTATCGCCCAAATCTATGACAACTCGTTCACGGGCAACTCGGTGTATGGCGGTATCATCATTGCGTACGCGTCACGTGTCAATGTCGAACAGTGCTACTTTACAGGAGGTCTAGGAACCAACGCGATCATCGTGACGGCCGGTAACGTCAATATCTCCAACACAGACATTACCCTCAACACGGTATCCAAGTATGGCCAGATCTACGCCACCGACGCGTCGATCGTCTACCTGTCCAATACTACCTTTGTCTCCAACATTGCTGCCAACGGCACATCCATCAGCTCGCTGTCAGGTTCGACCTTTTACATCGCCGATGTCATGTTTTGGAGCAATATTGCTCGTGACTCTGGCGGTGCAATCTATGCAACCGACCAATCAGTCTTCCACATCAACAATACCGATTTTGAATACAACAAGGCTGCCAACAATGGTGGAGCTATTTTCATGAGTGCCTGTGCATTCACAATGTCCAATGTCACATTCAACACCAATACTGCCAATAATGGTGGTATGGTATCTTGTACCAACGCGTCGACCATTCTCTTTGACAAGGTTATTACCAACGGACTCAACAATGACACTTCGACCAACAAGACCTCACACATTGTCGTTTGCGGACTCGGTGAATGCACAGTGGACGGTACCTCTAATACGGGAGGCACATGTCCCAGTGACGACGACTCTGGCAATGGTCTCTCCAACAAGGTCATTGCCGCCATCACCGTCGGTGTCGTCGCAGGTGTCGCTGTCCTCGGTTGCGTCATCTTTGTCTTTTACAAACGTCGCAAAAATCAATTAAAATATGGTGGTGGTAATTACCATTATTCAACTGTTAGATCTCCTCATTAGAAAAAATAAATAATTAATCAATGAATGAATTAAATAATTAAATAAATAATAAATAATAAATAACCTAAATAATAAATATTCTCCAAAAATCTCTGGGGACAATTTCTCAATAACAAAAAACTTGTGAACTCTAGAGCCAGGATAAATTTATCGCGTCGAAAATTCTTCGAGACATTTTTTGTTCATCGCTGGTCGTCATTTCATAAATGATAATATTTAAATTTAATTAAGATCACTAATGGTATAGTACACATCGTCATCATTGTTATTTATAATACATTTATATATTATTTATTTATTTATTAACATTTCTAAAAATGAAATTTTTTAATATTACATTTATTTTTTTATTATTATCAATTATAATTTCAGTATGTTTGGCTGGAGGAACAGTATATGTTGATCAATCTAGTACAAATACAGATGCAACATGTGGTAGCTCCGAAGAAGATGCTTGTCAAGATTTAGAGAGCGCCTTTGCAGTTTTAATGGCCGATGCAGACACTAGTTTGACCTCTATATTTGTTGCAAGTGGTACATATACGGGTGTAGCCAATGGAAACATTCAATTCTACAATCGTTCAGTTACCATTTATGGTAATGGTGAAACTGTATTTGACATGACTGGTGTAACCCCCTATTTCTTTAACTTGGCCCCTTCCTCTGACTCAATGATCACTGAAAATGATAATACAGAGTTAACCATTAACGAAATCACCATCATCAACTTTGACGGCTCTTTAACCAACGGCTCATTGTTTTACTCCTATTCAGAATCGGTCTATGTGACAATCAATATTCACAATAGCAACTTTACCAACATTACTGGTAGTATTGCCTATATCAACAATGTTGAAGGTTTTACAATGCTAGGTTCAGTCAACTTTGACGGATGTATATTCACCAATGTAACCTCTACTACTCAACCAGCCATTCAAACATTCCTTGTCCAGACTACCATCATTTATTGCACATTTACTCAAAATGATGCCAGATACCTAATCTATGTATCATTTGGTGCGCTCACAGTCACCAAGAATGTATTTACCAACAATAACTTTACCAATCTCAGTGTCGGTGCTTTAATCTGTGGTACATACATTAGATCGTATCCATTTGTTGTAACATCCAACATCTTTGACAATAACCAATTGTATGGGTCTGCCATCTTATCATATACCAGTTTAATGGTCAGTATCAAGAATAATGTATTTTCAAACTCCCAAAGCAATGCTGTCATTTGTGGTAGTAGTGATATCACGATCAACAACTGTACATTCACCAACAACACTGGAAATACATACGGTCAAGTTCATAGTACTGGATATTGTAACGTCGATGTACTCAGCTCTAATTTTACCTCCAACTCTGCCCAAAATGGTGCTGCCATCTCTTCACTCCCAACTGGAGCATCCACTACCATCTCTGCATCATCCTCCAACTTTATCAATAATACTGCAGTTAATGGTGGAGCCATCTATATGGGACAGACCGTTGCCACCCTTCTCAACGTTGTCCTCAACCAAAACAAAGCATCTGGTGGTGCCAGTACTGGTGGTGCTATCTACATTTACCAAAAAAGTGATATTTCTTTTATCAATGTTACTCTAAACAATAATGTTGCTATTAGTGCTCCTTCAATTGTATGTATATCTAGATAATTGTTATTATTCTCATTTATATATTAATTTAATTATTTGGGATGGTTTAGTATTGTGATGGTAATTCAAGATTATTTTTTGGTGAAAACGTAAATGGAACAGGAAATGTTGATCATAACAATCAACAATCACCACTAGTTGTTTGTGATGGAGTAGATGGAGGGTGTTCCGTTTCAGGTGATATTGAAGATGGAGTTTGTGGAAAGGAGTCTGGTTCATCTGCTCACAACAGCAATAGCGGTACCAATACCATTGCATCAATGATGGGTACTCTAATTAGTGTAATTACAATTGTCGGTATTACACAACATCTATTCATTTATATTTAGTTTAATAATAATAATAATAAATTATAATCTATTTTATTATACAAACTATTTAGAGTGGGTGATCTGTTGCTCTATGAATGAATGATCGTGTAATGATGAAATGACTCTTTGAAAGATCTTTTCAGAGAAGATATTACCTGATATCTTTCTTTGAGTAATTATCCCATTTGAATAGATTCTATCGCCCCAAGACTTTCGATTTCTTTGTTCTTTTCTCAGAGTCATTCCCTAATCAATAAGAGGGGCGTTGAAAATTCTCTGGGTTTCGAAAACCTTTGAGCTCATTAAACGAGCTCTTACCGCTATTTCCCGATTTTTTCAACCACTTGTAAAATTCCTTGGAGTTTTTTTTTAATCATAGCTCGTTTGGCTTAAATTAAACGAAAAGATGGTTCTGACCTCATCATGATATGATGGTTTAAACACCTCATTAGCCTCATTTATTGAGTCCAGAAGATTTTCTTAATCATTTCAATATTATATATATCATAACACAATACACATTACTTTCATTATATATTCGTATTTTGAAAAATGAAAATAATATTATTTATTAGTTTATTATTATCTATTATAACTCTATGTTTAGGAGGAGCAACAGTATTTGTTGATCAAGCTAGTACTAATACAGAAGCAACATGTGGTAGTACTATAGCTTTGGCTTGTCAGAATCTACAGACTGGTTTTGCAATGGTCATGGCTGACCCAGACACTAGTGCCACTTCAATGAACGTTGCAACTGGTACTTACAAGGGCGCAGTTAACGGAAACATTCAATTCTATAATCGTTCAGTCACTATCTATGGTAGCGTTGGTACTATTTTTGACTTGACTGGTGTAGCCCCCTATTTCTTTAATTTGGCTCCTGCCGCTGGTGTCGTCGTCACTGATGCCGACGTCACTCAATTGACCATCAATGAAATCGCAGTCATCAACTTTGACGGTACAGCAACCAACGGCTCGCTATTCTTCTCTGCTTCGGCGTCTATCAATGTCGGTATCGAAATTCGTAACAGTAACTTTACCAATATCCTCGGAACAACTGGTTCCATTGCCAATTTCGACAATGCTGATGGAAAGGTGAACGATGGTGCAGTCGTATTTGACGGATGTATATTCACCAATGTCAAATCTACCATGTCGGCCATTCAAACATTACTCGTCCCCGTAACCATCACTTTATGCACGTTCACTCAAAACGACGCCCGTTATATGATCTATGTATCATTTGGAGCACTTTCAATCACCAAGAACTCATTTGTCAATAACAACTTGACCACTCTTAGTGTCGGTTCATTGATCTATGGTGCCAACATTAGATCAGACCCATATGTTGTAACATCCAACGTATTTAACAATAACCAAGTGTACGGAGCTTCTATCCTCACACTCTCGGCTACGATGGTCAGTATCAAGAACAACGTATTTTCAAACTCCCAAAACAATGCTGTCATTTGCGGTAGAAGTGATATCACCATCAACAACTGTACATTCACCAACAATACTGGTAACAAATTCGGTCAAGTTTACGGTACCAGTTCTTGTAACGTCGATGTACTCAACTCTAATTTCACAGGCAACTCTGCTCTATATGGTGCCGCCATTTCATCAGTGCCAGCCGGCAATGTCATCGCTATCCAATCATCCAACTTTTACAATAACGCTGGTACCAATGGTGGAGCCATCTTCTTGAATCAAACAACTGCCACCCTCCTCAACCTTGTCATCAACGGAAACAAAGCCTCTGGTGCTGGTGCCGCAGTCTACTCTACTCAATCAAGTGATATTACATTTGAAAATGTTACTCTAAATAACAATTCTGCTTCTATTGCTCCTTCCATTGTAAGTAGTTTACAAACAAATAATATATATATTATTCATAATTATTAATTAATAATTTTATTCCCTTTCCCTTCCATTTATTTAGAGTTGTGATGGAAATTCAACACTTTTCTTTGGACCAAATGTAAGTGGTAGTGGAAATATTGATTACAACAAAAAAGAAACAGCACTTGTTGTTTGTGATAATACAGTATCAGGTGGTTGTAGCATTGACGGTGACATTGATGGTGTTTGTGGAAAGACCAATGGTAAATCAGGTAATAATGGTGGTGGATTAAGTAATGGAGCCATCGCAGGTATTGTCATTGGTGTTATTATCGGTCTTGCAATCCTCGTACTAGTCATTTACATTGTTTACAAGAGACATCATAATTCTATCAAATATCGTTCATTCTAAATTTAAATTAACAAAAAAAAAGAAATTAATTTAAATATATTAATAACAACAAATGGGTGGGAACAAAGGGTCAAAAATCAAACAAATAAACTTATAATCTATTTATTATAATATACATATTACATTTCTTATAAACCCGAATGTTAGAGATATTTTGTTCATACAAATCAGAGCGTAGTCTGAATTCGTTAGGTCGGCGACATCGAGCATATACGAGTTTTACAACTTTGTTTACGACTACACAAAAAAAAAAAAGACGACCTCTGATTTCTTGTTATTTATATTAATAATAACACCTCATACAATATTGTATCACAATAATGTAATCAATAGGTACTATATTTACATAACATACCAAAAATGAAATCATTTAAATTATTTATATGTTTATTATTATCATCAATTATAACTCTATGTTTAGGAGCAACAGTATTTGTTGATCAAGCTGGTACTAATACAGAAGCAACATGTGGAAGTACTATAGCTTTGGCTTGTCAGAATCTACAGACTGGTTTTGCAATGGTCATGGCTGACCCAGACACTAGTGCCACTTCAATGAACGTTGCAACTGGTACTTACAAGGGCGCAGTTAACGGAAACATTCAATTCTATAATCGTTCAGTCACTATCTATGGTAGCGTTGGTACTGTATTTGACTTGACTGGTGTAGCCCCCTATTTCTTTAATTTGGCTCCTGCCGCTGGTGTCGTCGTCACTGATGCCGACGTCACTCAATTGACCATCAACGACATTGCAGTCATCAACTTTGATGCATCTGTATCTGACGGTTCGTTGTTTTATTCGACTTCGGCATCGACCATGGTTGGTGTAGAGATTCATAACAGTAACTTTACCAATATCATCGGAACGACTGGTACCATCCTCTATTTCAACAATGGAGCTGAAACGTCGAACCAAGGTGCCGTTATCGTTGACGGATGTATTTTCACCAATGTCAATACTACCATGTCGGCTATTCAAGCATTACATGTTCAAACAACCATCTCGTATTGCACTTTTACCCAAAACGACGCCAGATACCTTATCATGGTATGGTACGGTGCACTCACAATCACCAAGAACTCATTTGTTAATAATAACTTTACAAATGTCCAACTTGGTGCATTGGTCTATGGTGGAGTCATCCAATCAGATCCATTTGTTGTGACATCCAACTTATTTGATAATAACCGATTGTACGGGTCGGCTATCCTCGCCTACACATCTACGATGGTCAGTATCAAGAACAACGTATTTTCAAACTCCCAAAGTATGGGTGTCATTTGCAGTGTCAGTGATATCACCATCAACAACAGTACATTCACCAACAACACTGCCAATACATACGGTCAAGTACATAGCAGCGGTGCTTGTAACGTCGACATTATCAACTCTAATTTCACATCCAACTATGCTCGTATGGGTTCAGCCATCTCATCAATCTCACCCAACAATGTCCTCTCTATCGCATCGTCCAACTTTATCGATAACTCTGCAATCGATGGTGGAGCCATTTACCTATCACAAACAACTGCCACCTTCCTCAACCTTGTCATCAACGGAAACAATGCCTCTTCTTCAGCTGGTGCCATCTACGCTACTCAACAAACTGATATTTCATTTGAAAATGTTACTCTAAATAATAATGTTGCCACTACTGCTCCTTCAATTGTAAGTAGATCAAACAGAGACTGAAATATTTATACTTATTTTATTTATTTAATCATTTAGGGTTGCGATGGAAATTCAACATTATTTTTTGGATCAAATGTAAATGGTAGTGGAAATATTGGTTACAGCGATCAAGAATTACCACTTGTTGTTTGTGATAATACAGTATCAGGTGGTTGCAATATTTCAGGTGAAATTGATGGATCCATTTGTGTTGGAAATACTCATAAATTGAGTAATGGAGCCATTGCAGGTATTGTCATTGGTGTTATTATCGGTCTTGCAATCCTCGTACTAGTCATTTACATTGTTTACAAGAGACATCAAAATTCTATCAAATACCGTACATTCTAAATTAATTACAAATTAAAAGAAAATTAAATTAAATTAAAATATTAATATTATTCCCAAAAAATCAAATCAATTTTAATCTCTTCGATTAAGCTTTGATTTGGGGAAAATTCCTTTGTTTTTAAAGCTGTTGTAAATTTCTCGTATTCTTGCGAAACTCGTTGTTTTCTGGTCTTTCGTCAAGAAAAGATCGCCCCATGTCCAACTGAAAAAAAAAAAATATGGGGATCTTTTCGAGATTGTCAAAGAGAAATCCTTCGACTGGTTAAAGGATTCTTCTGTTGCTGAGATGTCGTCGTTGCACCTCGACACATTTAAAAAGAGGAGGAGAGTACACATCATGATCTTGTTTACTCTTTTTATTTCACCTTAGTCGTCATTATACGTTTATTCAAAGATTTTAGTATCTCTTTGTTTTTATATCTATAGTTTTTTATATAAGATGATCAAATCATTATCATTCATCATTTTTATTTTATTTGTTGTTTTACAAGTAACACAAGCACAAAATCTTGTATATATATTTATTAATAATCAATCTCAAAACACAACTGTGGCATGTGGTAATGATGGCACACCACCCAATGCATGTCCAACTGTTGACTATGCCATAGCCTCGACACTGTTTACTCAAAATACTGCAACTAGTCCTATTAGAATCGTATTTTTGCCGGGAAGTTACGCAGCCTCGTCTACTGGTAACGACTTGTCAGTCTATAACCAGACCATTACCTTTGCTGGCTCGGTCGAAGACCCTACGTCGGTGGTGATTGATTTGTCCAATACTACCATGTACGCAGTCAAGGTGAAGCCCACTGGTCCCGTTCCAGCCACCACAACCATCACCTTTACAGGTTTGACTATTGCCAATCTGCAAATACCACAAGTTGGTGCCGGTGGTATCTTTTACTCGGACCAATCAACCAGCGATGTTGGTATAACATTCGACACTTGCATCTTTAACAATATCGCCTCTCCAGATGGCTCCATTGTTAATATTGTCGGTGGCAGTGCAAACACTCAATCTGTATTCTTTACACTGTGCTCATTCAACAAGGTGCAAGCTTATGATGGTGCTGTTATCCGTTCGTCATCGGTCGACGTAGTTCTCAACTCGTGCAACGTCACCAAATCGACAGCTGGCAACTTTATCAATGTCGTCAATGCCGACCATCTCATCGAAAACAATGCATTTGTCTACAACACCATTATCGATGGTGGCGACAACAACAATAACATCTCGGCATTGATCCATGTGTCGTCGAGTTTTGGACATGTCCAAGGCAACACATTCACCGGTAATGGTCTTACCACCCAAATCAACTATGGCTCCAACAGTGCACTCGTCTATCTACAAGACAGTAATACTACAGTCGGTCTCACCACCTTCCAAAACAACCAACAAATCAGTGCTATCGTAAGTACCTCTGATCAAAGTAGCTCTGGATCCCCCGTCAACACTATCAACGTCAACTCGTGCTCGTTTACTGGTAATGTCGCCGGTGTAAACGGACAAATCCAATTATACAATGCCAAAGCTTTCCTCACGGCCGTTAATTTCACCAGCAACACTGCCCCCAATTATGGTGGTGCCATCTTTGTTGCCAACGGTGCAACTCTCTCCTTGTCCAGTGTCACCCTAACCAACAATACCGCTCGTCAAGGTGGTGCCATCATGGCAACAGACTCTACGCTCAATGTTGACGGATCCGTCTTTAGCCAAAACAATGGTCAACAATCTGGTGGTAGTATTCTCCTCTATTACAATTCTAGCCTTACCCTTGTAAATTCTCAATTCTCTTTTAATCAAGCTGGTTTTGGTGCTTCTCTTGTAAGTAGAAAAAAACAAACAATTAATTAAAATAAGTAATTAAATAATAATATTTACCATTTTTTTTTTAAATAATAATATTATAGTTGTGTCAAGATTTATCAACTATTGCAATGTCAAATATATCATCAAATAATAATACTAATACCAATATTACTTATACTGGTGCCGTTGATTCGCCATTGGTTACTTGTCTTAAAATGTTTAATGATCAAGGTTGCAGAGTTGCAGGAACCGCAGACCAACCAGATGCTTATTGCTATGCACCCAACGCCAACAACAATAACAGTGGAAGTGGTGATGGACACAAAGGCACCAAATCATATGATCCTACCCCAGGTCAAATTGCAGGTATTGTCATTGGTGTATTGGTCGGTATTGCTATCATCGTCCTCGTCGTATTCATTGTTTACAAGAGACACCAAAATGCTAAAAAATATCGTTCCTTTTAAAAGATCCTAAATTTAACTCATTCAATTAATATAATTAAATAAATAAATAAATAAATAAATAAATAAATAAATAAATACTTACAATAATAATTAAATTAAATGTCATTCCATTCTCTGGTATGCGACGCTTGGGGACTCGAAAAAAAAGATATTTTCAGACTCGGTTTCATCAAACATATCGAGCTTTAAGGTCCTTAAGCTCGGTTTTTGCGAAATACTTGGTATAAAGGGTGTTGCAACCACCTTAATATAAATAGACACCATGGTGGAGAAACCGTTTCATATCAGATCAAAAAAAGAGAGAGATAAATTAAGATGAATAAATTATTCATTACAATTGTTTTTAGTATACTTGCATCGATTATTTGTAGTTGTGCTGCTGCAACTACACCAATCATATATGTAAGCAACGATTCAGTTAATAATAGTACAACATGTGGAGGTGATCAGACAGCTGAAAATGCATGCTCGGATATTCAGAGTGCTCTGGCTTCATTCCAAGCATCGTCGGGTCCAATGACCAATGGAAGTAGTTTGACGATCAGTATGTCACCGGGTAGATACTTTGGAGAGATGAATGCAAATCTAAAGGTGTACAATCAAACCGTCTTTATCACATGTACAGAGGCTGCAACTGGAGGCCACACAACCATCGACTTGACCAACGTGACATCATACTTTTTAGAGATTGATTCTTCGCTCGTTGATAACCCCAATCCCACTGACACGACCACACTGACTGTTTCTAGTGTCCACTTTACCAATTTAAACATATCGAAACCATCTACACCACTCACCGGTATCGTTACATCCGACTCTATGCCATCCAATGTTGACGTCACTTTTAATGAATGTACATTCAACAATATTTCGACACCTCAAGAAGGAACGATCGTCAGAATCACCCGTTTGGGTGGTACGCAGTCGCTCAACATTAATTCGTGTGTGTTTACCAACGTCGTGTCAATCGGTGCCGACATGTTCCACGTCGCTCATATCACGGTCAATATCAACGACACGTTGATCGAGTATTGTCAGGGTGTTTGGATAATCAACCAAATCTATGGTGAATTACATATTAGCAACTCGCAATTTGAAAATAATGTGTTTGAGCAGGCCCTCATCTTCCAAAACATGGTCAAGAGTCTGGGCAACACCAACTCGATCACCAACTCGACCTTCTCCAACAACCAATGTTTTAATAGAAGTTTGATCGTTGCAAGCGAGTCGAACCTCGTCCTTTCGACATCCACATTCCAGGGATCGGTCAATACCAGTGCCATCCAAATCGGACAACACAGTGATGTCTTGATCAACCAGACACTATTCACTGACAACAACAACACCATCGCCGGTCAGGTTGGTGGACAAGTTGTCGTTGTCGATGATTCCAACGTCAATATCACCAGTTGCACATTTAGCAAAAATATCGGTGTTAGCGGCTCGGCCATTTCAGTATTGGCATCTGATCCATTCAACACTGTCATCATCATTGACACTTTGTTTACCAACAACACTGCATTGGATTTCGGTGGTGCCATCTATACCAAAATGTCAGCCGTCTCTGTCAACGCATCACAATTCATTGGCAATAAGGCATACAGTGCTGCAGGTGCCATTTACTCGGTCAGCTACTCCAATGTCACTTTAAGCAATGTCAATATGACCGATAATATTGGTCAGGGAGGTGCTATTGTTTGCGGGTCTTACTCGTCGGTTATAATTAACGATGTACAGTCTTCAGGCAACTTTGATACCACCAACAACATTCAAAAGTCAACTTTGGTCACTTGTCTCAGTGGTAGTGGAGGTTGCACAGTATCAGGTACTTCATCTGATGGTATGTGTCCAGCCAACCACGATTCATCTTCAGACCGTCCCCGTCGCGGTTTAACATCTGGTCAAATTGCAGGTATTGTCATTGGTGTACTAGTAGGCGTTGCCATTCTAGTTTGTGTCATCTATATCTTTGTAAGAAGACATCATAATAGTAAAAAGTATCGTTCATTCTAAATATTAAATAATAATAATAATTAGAAACAAATAAAATAAAATGTATAAACCCAACAAACTTTATATTAAATAATAATAATAATTATTCGACTGAGGAGAGGGTGTATGTATCTTTGCAAAAAAAAAAAAAAAGTATTTTATAATTTATATTTTGAGCTGTCTATGTTTTAAATTATCTTAAATTAGTAGTTTAGTTTAGTTTAGTTGTTATATATACATGTAACAAGTAGAATGTTAAGTAATGAAGTTTTTAAAATAGTTGCTCAAGTATCATCTGTAGGTTTTCTTTCTTTTGTTTTAGTTTAGTTTGCAAAGATTATGATCATTAACTCACTTTCTTTCTTTCTCTTTTTCTCTTTAGAAAATTGATTATATAGATAAACAAAATATAGACAATTTAGATAATGAATCATATAAATTATTAGATCAATTGACAGAAACATTATTACATTTTGATACACCTTTGAAACAATGTCTGAGATATCGAGGGTACACTCTGACAGAGACCGAGTGTTGTAGTTTGATGGATATATTGATCGATTTGAATAATCGGTTGTATAGATTCTTTACATCACACCAAATCATAGTCGGTGCAATGCAATTGACACTGTTTGTCAGTCTCAAGGCATTTGGTGAAGTCAAAGACAATGTCAAACGAAACTATTATTTCACTGTTGTAATACCACCTTTAATATTTAAATTTAAACATATCTCTGGTAATTCAAGTGTAACTATAAATAATATAAATAATTAAGTTAATAATAATTAAAATATTAAATCTTTTTTTATTTTCTTCTTTTTAGATTAGATTAGATAAAATAGTTGATCATTTAAATTTAACATTGATTGATGAACAATTGGAAACATTTAAATTGGATACAAAGAATGGACATGAAGAATATTTAAAGGATAGAGATGCAAGAATTTCTGGGTGTTTGGGTGCGTGGATTGAAAATGTGATGCAGGGGAGACTGGTGTTGTTGTCATTGACGAGTATTAATGATGTGGTTACTTTTTACGCGATCAATGCACTCAAAGAACACGAGGCAGATCATGTCAAAGAGATTCTGCATATACACTTTACAAAGGCGTTTATTGATCGTCTCTATGCACTGTATAGGCATATAGACGGACCGATCATAGACAACTCGGTCAAGATTGTGGCGTCGGCGGTGCTGTCGTCGTCCATTTGCACGTCGATACGAAATCTCGAGTGTCCGGCAACCTTTTTGCCCATGCCAGAGACACGTGATTTCATAGGCGTGTTGATGCAGCATGGTCGACTACTCGAACAAGAGCACGAGGACGTGGTGTTTGACTCGTTGCTGATGCTGTCGAATTTGACGAGTGACGCGACCGATAAAGACGAGTATTTGGAGATTGCAGTGGAGTTGGGGTTGGTGCAGCTCGTATGTGATTTGACTCTACAACCGCTGTTTTCGCACGACGGTACGACTCGTGAACTGTCAGAGTATATCGTGTCGATGGTGTATAGTATATTGGACAGAAGCAGTAATACTTGGCAGACGTGTATCCCACTCTTGCAATGTTTGCAACACCTCTACGCCAACTTGCACCCCGATAAGAGTGAGCAAGAGTTTCTCAACATACTCTATGGGATAGACGTTATGTTGCGGACTGCCGATTTTGACTTTACGCATTTCCGTCAGTCTGGTTTCCCCAAGCTCATCGTCGACACGCTACACACGTGCACTAATGACGGTATCCGCGCACAGGTAGTGCACATTATATTCAATTATTGTGAGACACTCTTTTCCATGTCACCAGACACCCCTCTCTCGGCACCAGATGTATCCTGTATGCTGAATGCACAGGTCTACACCTTTATCAACCAGACTATCCCCACCACCCCACACCTCCACCTCATCAGCACGTCGCTCATGTTATTCTCTATCCTCGTCAACTATCATCCTCTTCAAATCACACCTCTCCTACTCGAAAATGGAGTTGTCGATTCTTTATTTTCAAGATTCTTGAAACCAATTCACTTTAATAATAATAATATTAATAATAATAATAATGATTCAACTATGGATACAACAGAAACAATGACACCAACAACAGAGATTAAGAATCCATTATCAAAAACAAATTATAAATGTTTGTTTATGATTGTAGAGTTGATATGTGTTCAACTACAAGGTACTGAAGGTTGGCAGCCATATGTTTTAGAGTTTATAAACAAAGGTTTGTTACAAGCTTTCCTCTCTGCCATTGTATTTGAACCACTTGCTCCGTCCGCCATCATTGCCAATTGGTCTTCTTTCTTCATGTCGCTGATCAATGGTCCTGACCCAGTTGAAAATCTGTTTTACAAGAAGCATTTCCTCGACCTTAATATTGTCGCTTATCTACAGAAATTGTCTCCCATCTTTTCTAATATTTATTGGGATTTATGTGATGTCGAGGATTACCAATAAAATATCCTAAAAGTTTTCGAAAATTTTTTACTTGAGAACCAGAATACTAGGTTCATATAAACCTTTGCACTTTTAGTTCATTACATGTTATCTTTGTACAACATTGCACAGCATATTATTGAAAAATACAAAAGAGATGCAAGCAAATAACAAAACAAATGAATTACAACAATCATTAATATTCGATAATGAATATAATCAACCAATATCAGTTGGAGGACTACCATCATCGTATCGATCATTGGTGTTTGGAAATAGATATAATCAACCTCTATCAGTTGGAGTATTACCATCAACATTAATTTCATTAGAGTTTGGTGATGACTATGACCAACCAATATCAGTTGGAGTATTACCATCGTCATTGCAATCATTGAAGTTTGGTAAAGACTATAATCAACATCTATCAGTTGGAGTATTACTATCATCATTACAATCATTGGTGTTTGGTTGTGACTATAATCAACCTCTATCAGTTGGTGTATTACCAACATCATTACAATCATTGGAGTTTGGTAGTCTATATAATCAACCTCTATCAGTTGGAGTATTACCATCATCATTACAATCATTGGTGTTTGGTGATGACTATAATCAACCTCTACCAGTTGGAGTATTACCATCATCATTACAATCATTGGTGTTTGCTTGGGGATATAATCAACGTCTATCAGTTGGAGTATTACCATCATCATTACAATCATTGAGTTTGTATGGTGACTATAATCAACGTCTATCAGTTGGAGTATTACCATCATCATTACTATCATTGAAGTTTGGTAGTGACTATAATCAACTTCTATCAGTTGGAGTATTACCATCATCATTACAATCATTGAAGTTTGGTAAAGACTATAATCAAGCAATATCAGTTGGAGTACTACCATCATCATTACAATCATTGGTGTTTGGTTTCGAATATAATCAAAGTCTATTCAGTTGAAGTATTACCAACATCGTTACAATCATTGGAGTTTGGTAATAACTATAATCAATCTCTATCAGTTGGAGTGTTACCATCATCATTGCAATCATTGGTGTTTGGTGAGAGATATAATCAACGTCTGTCTGTTGGAGTATTGCCATCATCGTTACAATCATTGGAGTTTGGTAGTGACTATAATCAACCACTATCAGTTGGAGTATTACCAGCATCATTAAAAAAACTAGAATTTCGCAAAAGGTATAATCAATCAATATCAGTTGGAGTACTGCCGTCATCATTACAATCATTGGTGTTTGGTCGTATATATAATCAACCGCTATCAGTTGGAGTACTACCAATATCGTTAACATCATTGATGTTTGGTAATGACTATAATCAACGTCTATCAGTTGGAGTATTACCATCATCATTACAATCATTGGTGTTTGGATTACTCTATAATCAACGTCTATCAGTTGAAGTATTACCAACATCATTACAATCATTGGTGTTTGGTAGGTTCTATAATCAACCGCTATCCGTTGGAGTGTTACCATCATCATTACAATCATTGGTGTTTGGCGATAGGTATAATCAACCAATACCAATTGGGGTATTACCAACATCGTTACAATCATTGGAGTTTGGTAATGACTATAATCAAAGTCTATCAATTGGAGTATTACCATCACCATTACAATCATTGGTGTTTGGTTGGGACTATAATCAACCTCTGTCAGTTGGAGTATTACCAACATCATTACAATCATTGACATTTGGTTGGAAATATAATCAACCACCTATCGGTTGAAGTATTACCATCATCATTACAATCATTGATGTTTGGTGATAGATATAATCAAGCATTATCAGTTGGAGTACTACCATCATCATTACAATCATTAACATTTGGTAGATACTATGATCAAACCATAACTCATGGAGTATTACCAACCCGATTACAGTCATTGATATTTGGACGACACTATAACGAGTCCCTATATCCTGGGGAATACCCAACAATTGAAGAGGATTCAGATCCACCTATCAGAATATCAGTTGATTTTAACCAATTAATTGAAGTAAACAGAACATTCCTTAAATTACAATTGTATGGAGTAATCAAACTTCCAAGTGTCAAAGTTCCGGATCTTATTCTTTCAGCCATATCATCATCGTCAGAGTATCATATCAATACCATTTTGAAGAACTACGGTAACCAAAACCCCAACTCTAATGCATACAGCCCCACGCGTACACTGGCATATCCCATCAAAGCCACAGATTATGTTACAGTCAACAATCACAAATATTTCAAATTGCACACGTTTCAATACTCTAAAAATCAAGTTATCTTAGTAATGTGCGAATCCTCTGATCAATTGGTATGTAATCAATAATTTTACGACATTATCCGTTAAAATTTAGATCATCTAAATCAAATTTCTAACCTATCCTTTAGTTTGTTTACAAAGAAATAGATTACTCCACCAATCAATCAATTTATGACAATGTGCAATTTGAAATCACAACGATGAAACTATTCATCGGTGACGATATGTTTGTACAATACAAAGATCACCAAGATGACACTGATTTAAAAAAGATGTATCTTTTGACACATTTCTATGAAGGTGGTGATTTAGAACATTTATGTCAATCAATCTATGGATGGTATGCTATTTAACCACAGTTAATGATCAACCTAGTTATAACACATACTCTCTTTTTAGGAACGGCTCTCAAAAACTAAAACCTCATACAGAAGATAAATATCTTCAAAAGCAACAACCTAGTCCAGATTATAAATATATTACAGAATCAGAAATATGGGTCTATATTCGACGATTATTCCTTATACTTGAAAAACTATCTCAACACAATCTTGCACATCTTGATATCAAACCACTCAATCTATTTATTCGACATGACGGTCAAATAGTTCTTGGTGATTTTGGATCTTGTCACTATTTCGTTGCTCAAGAAAATAATGATACTTTCAATATGAGAACTACAACACAAGCCTCCCGTGGAACAAACGGATATTATGCACCTGTATGTTTACATCATATATTTCAACTGACCCATTGACTAAATATTTCTCATTTTTCATTTAAATAATAATTATAGGAATCAAAACAAAAGAAATATTATCGGTCAAGCGATATATATTCAGTGGGATCTACTATTTTACATTTAATTTCATGGTAATTATTATTGATTACTGTGAGTTGACGAAAACTAATTAATTAATTCTAATTTAGTCACCCAGAAGATATTACTAATAGAAAAGAATTTATCTTGAATCACAAGAAAGATGACTTTAATGCAGATCATATTAAAATATCAACAGTTAGATATTCCCAATATTTAATTAATTTTGTAAAGAAACTATTAATTGCAACACCTGATGATCGCTTTTCATTGGATGATTTGAATGGAGAAATAGTCAACGAACATACACAGAGATTCACATCGTTTTTAATCAATCAACAACAAATTCTAACAAGCACAACAACATTAATATTAGATGGTGAATTCAACAGTCCTCTCACTGGATTACTTCCACCAACACTTTTAAAACTAAAGTTATTGGGAAACTTTAATCAACGAATCCAATTTGAAGATATTCCCTTTGAAGTCAAAGCAATAATATTTGGACCATCATTTGATTGTGAAATTCAAGGCTATTTATTGTACGGAAAACAAGTATTTCTTAGTAAATCATTCAATCAACCGCTGACAGATCTTCGATACCCCTCCACTGTTGTCAACATTACCAAAGACAATGGTGACTTTTATATCAATTTGCCAAATGTCAATATATATTAATGCACTGGACACAATAAGATTGCCCATTCATTCATAAATGACAACATTAGAAATGATTTAATCCTGGCAGTTGGTGAAAAATGTTATGGAACTGGAAGAATCACTCTTCTGTATGTATCAAATACTCACTCCAGACTACAATACTGACAAAAAAAATTTTTAAAGGGAATATGATATCATGGAGTGGAAGAACAATGATATTTCTATATCAATCGATATAAATCATATTGGAGTTATATCAGGTGTTAAAGTATCAATCTACCCACATTTATTTTGTCAAATCGATAAATCAAAATTTGAAGAGGCCAACCAACACTTTGGAGAATACCAAAACGTCGAATACCCTCTTGATAATATGGCCAAGCTATTTGAATTTGATGAAGACAATCCCCATCAAGTGTATAAAGGTGGCGAATATTCGAATATAAGATTCATCCAATGCCAAGACCAGGAAAAAAATAATTAACTAATAATGTTTGGATTTAAAAAATAACTAAAAAAAGAAAATAAATAAATGACTCAAAATATAATTGCAAAGTATCACAAACAAAGTAAATTAGATCAAAAGTGATGAATAGTAATATTATTAGTAGTAATAGTAAAATAGATGATATATTTAGATTAGTAGTAATTAAAAACAGTTATATATCAAGACTAATATTCGAATCTATCAGATGGATACACAGAGATGTGATCTGTACACGAGCATACAAACTATCAGATGCAAAGGTGGATAGCGAGTGGATATGTGCCTATCGACACTACCAACTACTCAGTTACTTGGTATCGAGTATGGGCACACTTGAACAAGAGATGCAGTTGATGGGTGGTACAGGCACATTCCTACATCCTGTTGCGATGACTTGGTTTTGTAAAGGAAACACTAACTATCGTATCTTTCGTCAAATGTACGATCGATACGGTCGCATACTATTCAATCGTAACAAAAAGGGATATATCATTGACCCATGTTGCGTTGCTGGTAACATGCAAATCATACAGTTTCTAGCAGACAATAACTTTGGGACCACGATCAACGCTATCATAAACGCTAGCGGTGCAGGACACTTGCACATTGTAAGATGGTTTACAGAGACTAGAAAGGAGAGAACAACTAGTGCCGCAATGGATGCAGCTGCTAAAGGCAACCATGGTGATGTTGCACGATACCTCAACGAGAACCGAACAGAAGGATGCACAGAAGCATGTCTCGATCTGTTTGCAGAACACGGTAACTTGGAGATGGTAAAGTACCTGCATCAACACAATAAACCTTGTACTTCAAAGGCAATGGACAAGGCAGCATCGAATGGATTCAAAGATGTTGTCGAATTCCTTCATTTGAACCGAACTGAGGGTTGCACATCGACAGCAGTTGACAGTGCCGCCCAGAACGGCCATCACCAACTACTCACCTTTTTATTAGAGAATAGATCGGAGAATGGTAGTCCTGCAACCCTCAGTTATTTGGCAGAGACTGGAAACCTCAAACTAGTTCAACTGTTTCACCAAAGAGGATGGAATATATCTGCTAGAGCTCTCGATGCAGCTAGTCAAGGTGGATTTTTAGAAATTGTTCAATTCCTTCATCAAAATAATTATCCTTGTACTACTGAAGCTATGGATAAAGTAAATATAGAAAACAAAAAAAAGAATATTTATTTATTTATTTATTAATGAATTATTTATTAATTTTAAAAAGGCAGCTGAAAATTCACACTTTGATGTATTATTATTCCTTCAAGAACATCGAACAGAAGGTTGTACTAAATCAGCTATGAATAATGGTAAATTTGAATAATTATATTATAATTATTATTATTTTTAAAACATTTATTAACTTTTAAATATTTACATTAGCTGCGGCAAACGGTCACTTGGAAGTAGTAAAATTCCTTCATGAATATAGAACTGAAGGATGCCATAAATATGCAATGAATCAAGGTAAATCAATCATTTAATTATTTAAAAAAATAGTTATTAATATTTTATTTATTATTATTGTTTAGCCGCGATTAACGGGTACTTAGAAGTAGTAAAGTTCCTACATTTTAATAGAACTGAAGGATGTTCTCCTTATACAATGAATAATGGTAACTGTTTGAATACAATTAATAGCCAAACTAAATTAAAATTAATTTATTTATTTTTTATTTTAAGCATATAACGAATCAAAATTTGATGTAGTTCAATTTCTATATGAAAATAGAACAGAAGGATTAACACCAGAAATTAGAAAGAATTGGTTACCATTGATAGAAAATTATAAACAAAAAGAGGAAGGAGTGGACCCGAGCTTTTACCTTTACAGCTATATACAATAATTTGTAATAATATTAGAAAATAGTACGATTAAACATTTTATTAATTTCAAGAGCCACATCTTGTTTTATATTTGGATTAAAACTTGGGTCACTATGATCGAATTGCATATTATAATAAATGTATCTCATTATATCGACCCGATAAAATTCCATTACCTGAGGGATGATATAATAAATATTATATTCTTCTTCGAGATGTTTTGACTCTTCCAATTTTATGAATTTGTCTAGGGCTTGTGTTTGATCGTACACATTGTTGTCACTGTCTATCGCATAAAACACGTCTCTAAAAGTTATATCTAGATAATCGTTTGGATCCACCTCTTGTATATCAATCTTGAATTGACCAACAAGATATTGGATAATTTGTTTAGTTTTTGGGTATCCTCTTGAATATTTGATAAAACTTAGAGGTGAAGAGTGACCAAGTAAATTTAACCCTTTGTCTCGAGTATAGATATATTTGACCATTTCCAAATCATTTGATTGGACAGCCAAAGAAAGATAGGAAATGGTGGGATTATCTAGACCACTTTCAACAATCCACTTTACAATCTCCATGTGATTACTAAAAATAGCCTTGTAAAGTGCTCTCTCGTAATAGGATGTATCGGTTTTGTTAAAATCGAGCTCCGACACTGCAAAGTAGAAAGCTTCGTAAAGACATCCATCTTGGTTATAATAATCTCCACTAGAAGAGGGTATCATTTCTGCAATGATATCAGCGATAATATCTGTTGAAATGGTCTGTCCAGAGCCCAGTATTTCTTTGAGTGCTCCAACATCTCCATTTCTCGCTGCCAACAAGATATAGTCATTTGACACTGGATAAGAAATCAATTCATGTGACACTAACCAATGAAAAGTATTGCATCCTCCGTACCAAGTATTACCAGATATTACACGTTGTCCTCTTTGTCTTGATGGCAAGTTGTCTAGAATGTACTCGGCAACATCCAAATGATGGTTTAATATTGCAATGTACAATAGATGTTCTATAAACTCTCCTCCTCTTCCTTTTGAATGAAGGTATATAACTGTTTCTAAACTTCCACCAGTAACAGCCGTTTCCATCGCAGATTCTGTGCATGTGACTCTGTCTGGATAGGTTTCATAAAGGTATCTTAATAACTCTATGTTTCCTTTGCTTGCAGCCTTTTCCAATAAAATAGAGTCTGCCAACAATAAATCAGTGTATCCACTTTGACATAGTAACCGAATAAAATCTACTGTAAATGTACCAATTGACCATTGTTTAATTGGTAATTGACAATGGTCATCTTCCACCTTTGTCTTTTGTTTATCCAATAGATATTCGACAAATTGTTGTCCAATTAAATGAGTTGCTTCTGAACCAACCAAATCAATTGCATAAGTTGGATCTATTGATTCAAACAATTGGAATATATTGAATCTATTATGTTTGATTGATGATCTGATGATATATAATAAAGTCTCTGGTTGAAATGTAGAGTATCTTTTATACAAATAATCAACTATATCCATTCTTTGATACTCTACTGCCAAATCTATATAAATAGATAGATTTGGTACAAAGTATGTGTCTGTACCTTGTTGACGGTCTGTCCATTTAAAATGACTATACTTTTCTTCTTGTCCTTTTAAATACCCAACCAATTCTTTTAAACTACCAAATCTAACCATAAGGATAGGTTCACCAATTATATCATTCCATCTAACCAATCTAATCTTTCTTCTAATACTAATCATTGAATCAACACTATGAATGACACTATTGATTGTTAAACGATTGATACTATAAACATGTTGAAATATCTTATCTTTTAAATAATGATTTGATATTACTATCTTTTTAAATAATTCTATATCCATCATTATATATATATATATCTCGCTCAACTGTACAATAGACTTTAAGCAATAATCATTTTGTACATAGTGAAACAAAGATTTAAAACTAGTTGGATTTGAAATTCTGGTAGTTTTTAAGAAAAGAAATTTAAATATAAATACAAAGAGAAATAGATTCATTTTATTAATTTAATTTAGAAATGACAGCAGGTTTAAGAACTCTTTTAATATCTCTTTGAGTATGAGCAGAATGTTGGATATTTGTTTGTTTCATTAATCTAAAGTCTACGTGGTATTGCCACATACCAGAGGAGACGGCACGGATATCGACATAGGGATTCTTGATCCAATCTTGATAGGCCTCTTCGACAATATCAGAGGCTGCTTGATCATAGTTTAACCAGTCACCATGTTTGTATTGCCATAATGGTACTTCCTTTGGCTTTTCAATGGTACCTTGAGCGGCAACACCAATTCTGAAACGATGGTCAAGCGATAGTAACCAGACACAAGCATTCTTGATATAACGTTCAACACCAGCACTATAATAGTTATCCATCAATTTGGTGAAACCACAGTCAATGACAACACGACCACAGTTGCCGTCGAGTTTATCGTTACTAATGACAATGACATTGTTACCTTCGGTAGACTCGGCCAAGACGTCCAATGGACCATCAAATGCACCTTTAACACTCGATACAGTGATACCTTCGTAGAGTGTGACGATACCAGAAGTGATGAGATGTGAAACAAATGTCTTTTTCTGTGGTTTTGGACCCATGGCAAGTGTCAAGTCGTTGGCGGCATATTCATTGCCATCGACCTTGTAACCATTACCAAATAACGAAGTAACTACAGCTTGACAGTGAGTTGTCCATGGACTATTATCAGCCCACAAGAACAATCCCTTTCCAGATTCATGGAAATCTTTTACCGATTGAGTAAAACTTTCCATTGTAGTAGTACTATCATTCTCCTTGCCAGAAATAATAATAGCAATATCTGCCTTTGGTAATTGTTCAATAAATTCCTTTTGTGTCTTTACTTGAATAACATTAAATCCTTTGTTTTTTAAATCTTTTTCACATTTTGGTCTAAATAAATAAATAAATAGAAATAAATAATTAATTAATAAATGATTCTTTTTTGAGATATATTATATTAGTTTTTACACATACGTTAGAGCAGTATAAAAAATACCAAAAAGAATGGTAAAAGAGGTGAAGGCACCTTCAACACCAAGATCAAATTCAACACCGATTGGATTGTTATACTTGTCGACTTGAGCATTGTTGACGGTATGGACACCAGCATTTTCAGTGTAAAATTGAACAATCGATGAATGTTTTTGAAGTGGTTGGAAGAATGATGGTTGTTTTGCAAGTGTCTTTTGTGGTGTTGAAGTTGTAGTAGTTGAAGCCTTTGTCTTTTTAGTTGAATCCTTCTTGGTTGTGGCAGTCTTTTTCTTTTTAATGATTGCACCTGCAGCTTTTTTCTTTGGTGTTTTAGAGTCATCTGATTCTTCATCAGTATCACCACCTTGGTCACCATCACTATCATCACTATCTTCATTGGTCAATGGTACCAAACCCATTAATTTAGCCTTTTCCAAAGCCTTCTTTTGCATATACTCTACAAACTCGTCCATTTCGATGGTACCGTTACGATTGGCATCACATTCGTTGAGAATCTTGTCGATACGTTTAGTCAATGGTCTCTTGCCCATCGATCTGAGGACAGCAGCCAATTCCTCTGCTCCAATCTGTCCCTTGCGATTACAAAACAAACGAAAGATCATTTGTAATTGTTGTTCGGTTGGACCAGTGTATTGATCACCCAAAAGATTAAATACAGATGCTTGACGTTGTTTGACACCCGAGATCAAATCAAATGCTTCACGTGCCTTTTTTCTTGCACGTGTCTCCATCGTCGTGGTCGTTGGTGAAGTAGTTGTTGCTGTCTTTGGTTCAGTTGTCTTTCTTTTCTTTTCATCTAAAGTTGTTGAAGTTGTTGATGTAGTTGAGGTAGTTGAAGTTGTTGAAGTGGTATCAGTAGCAGTTGAAGTAGTTTCAGCTGATGATGATTCAGCAGTAGCATTCTTGTCTTCAACTACTACTTTCTTCTTGGCTGCTGGTTTCTTTGGCATTATTATGTTGTTTTGTTATATATATACAGATAATTAATAAATCTAATATAGTATAGTATGCTATGATAGAATACTCATCGCTCATGATGGGTAGGTAACGGCTAAAAGCAGGTTTAGAGGAAAAAAACACCCCAGACAAGATATTTATTCGAAATCCTTGCGAAGTTCGCACACCAGACACAATTTTTTTTTCTGTAATTTTTTTTAACTCCATTTATGAACTTCAAAGGAAGTTTGGTTATTTCTTTTTCTTCTTTGTTTGGATATTTCAACTCCTCATGATTCGTTGCACCCCAACAACAAGATGGGTTGTAAGATGACCACATTTGATATTGATTGAATGACGACAAGAGCAGAAGAAGAAATAAATGTATTGGACAATTCAAAGTTTAGTTTCAAAGAGCGTTTTACGCCACGGCTAACATTTAGGTGCCAAATCAAAATGACAACCCACCAAAGTATGTTGTAGGGGGGTGGTGTAAATAGAGAGATAGATAGCTGATACATACCTCCACAAATAGGTTGTAGGTTAACACATTCTGAATGCATTAACACAATGAAATTGATTGAATAGATAAATCCTCTTCCACATGGTTTATGGTTTATGGTTTATCCACAAGATAAATTGGTGTTTCAAATTACAAATTTGTAATCAAGGAGGATCATTCAAAACCTTTAAATAGACATAGTTTTTTGGACTTTATTCAATATCACAAGTTGTTTTATTTAATCAAACAAATAACTATCTAAACAAATAATGTCTGTTACATTTTACACTGCAAAGAATTATGGAGGTGAATCCGTCAATTACGCACAAGGTACCAGTGTCGCCTTTTTACCAAACGACAAGTACAATGATAAGGTATATATAGATATAAATATAGATATATTATGTTCAAAATTATTGATTATTAATATTTTCTTTTTTTTTTTCATTTTCTTTTATTCTTTGTTTCTATTTCTTTAGTTTTTAAGCTGTAAGGTTACTAGTGGAACTTGGGTCAATGCATACGAACACAATGATGCATTCAACCCAGAAGCAGGAGCTCACGAAGAACTCCGTGGTGACAACCCCGATCTTTCATCTTTGAATGGTCTATCCATGTTCCAAGTATTGGCTGATTCATTTGGTTATGCTATTGACATCAAGTTGGTTTGTGGTGGTTCATTGTCCAGTGCTGCTGCTGGTTCCTACAAAATGACTTTTATTCCCTACCAAGTCAACCCAGTCACCACTATGAATGGTGATGCATACATCCAATGTCCAATTCCAAAGTTAACCCCACCAGACTCTGAAATTGTCTGCCAACTTTCCTGCCAGGAAACCGCATGGCCAGGAGCAACCGTTGCCAACGGATCTGTCTATTTCAAGTACACTCCAAACACTGGTGTCATCTCCTTCCGTAAAACTGAAGGTTTCCCAACCAACATGGATGTGACTCAAGATGGTAAAACCAACTTTATCTTTTCTCTCAACTCTAGACCATAAACTACTCAAACTTTTTAATAGTTTTTAGTTTGGTAGAGACAAGTATACAACTTTCCAATTTTTTTTAAATCAAAATAAATAAATCAAATAATTAAAATGATTATTTTTAAAATGTATATTTTTATTTATTTATTTATTTACACAAACATATTATTTATATTGTTTTGTTGTTGTTTAAAAAAATATTTATTATTATTTTGAATTGTTGGGATTTGTTGTTGTATTATTTATACTCTACTCAATTTCCATTTCAGTTCTATTATTTTGATGATTTGATTTTGTTGTTCCACTATGATTTGATCTCTTTACTTTTTTGGGAGAGGGTTCAGAGATTGGGGCAACTCTAAAGTCAAATTTACCCTTTGCTTCAGAGACTGTGACGAGACAGTTTTCATGCAATTCACCAGCGAGAATGAGCTTGGAGAGTTCAGTGACAATGTTCTTTTCGAGGAATCTCTTGAGTGGACGGGCACCATAGACGGGATCGTATGCTTGTTGGAGGATATAGTCGATGGCCTTTAGGTCAACCTTGATGGAGATGTTTTGTTGTTCGAGACGCTTGGTGACGCTACCCAACTGGAGTGTGACGATAGACTCGAGATTCTTTTTAGAGAGTGGACTAAAGATGACCATGTCGTCGAGACGATTGAGAAACTCTGGTCTGAAATGCTTGCGGACTTCACCCATGACACTGTCCTTGACGTGTTGCGAGATGGTCTCGAGTTGAGCTTCGGCCAACAGGTATTGCGAGCCGAGATTGGATGTCATGATAATGACGACGTTGCTAAAGTCGACAGTCTTGCCCTTGCCATCTGTCAAACGACCGTCGTCTAATACTTGGAGCAAAACGTTCCATACTTGGGGATGTGCCTTTTCAACTTCATCAAAGAGTACGACCGAGTAGGGTTTGCGACGGACTGCTTCCGATAATTGACCACCTTCGTCGTAGCCGACGTAGCCTGGTGGTGCACCAATGAGACGGGCAACACTGTGTTGTTCCATAAATTCAGACATATCGATACGGACCATATGCTTCTCGTCGTCAAACAGCTCATAGGCGAGTGCTTTGGCCAACTCGGTCTTTCCGACACCGGTTGGACCTAAAAAGAGGAATGAACCAAGTGGCTGGTTGAGACGGGCCAGTCCGGCCTTGGAACGCATGACTGCGTCGGCGACGGCGTCCACAGCTTCGTATTGACCGACCACACGTTGGTGGAGGTGGTCTGCGAGATGGAGTGTTCTCTGTCGCTCGGTTTGTGATAGTTTCGAGACTGGAATACCAGTCCAACGGGCAACCACTTCGGCAATGTTTTCCGGTGTAACAATTTCTGAGACCAAGTCATCCTTTTTAGCTTCTTTACGTTCCTTGTTTGTACTTTCAATTTGCTTTTCTAGGTCTGGAATGACATAGTAACGGAGATCGGCAACGAGTTGGAGATCATGGCGACGTTCAGCATCTTGAAGTTTGACACGCACATCTTCCAATTTCTTTCGGAGGTCGCGACTCTTGTCAACACGTGAACGTTCGGATTGGTAACGTGCCATGAGTGGTTGGAGTTCATCTTCAATCTTTGCGAGTTCTTCCTTGACTGTTTCGAGACGGTGCTTGCTGCCATCATCCTCTTCCTTTTCCAAGGCGGTTTGTTCGACTTGTAATTGTAACTTTCTACGCTCGAGTTGATCGATTGCTTCAGGTTGCGAGTTGAGTTGCACACGAATATTGGCACAGGCTTCATCGAGCAGATCAATTGCCTTGTCTGGCAAGAAACGATTGGTAATGTATCGGTTGGCGAGTTGAGCAGACACGACCAATGCAGTGTCGGTGATACGTACACCGTGATGTGTCTCGTAACGCTCCTTTAGACCTCTGAGGATAGAGATGGTGTCGTTGACGGTTGGCTCGTCGACTTGGACCTGTTGGAAACGACGCTCGAATGCTGGATCCTTTTCGACGTACTTGCGGTACTCGTCGAGTGTCGTAGCACCAATACAACGCAGTTCACCACGTGCCAACATGGGTTTGAGCAAATTGGCAGCGTCCATGGCACCGTCAGTCTTTCCAGCACCCAACACCAAATGGATCTCGTCGATAAAGAGGATGATACCGCCGTTGCTGTCCTTGACTTCCTTGAGCACCGCCTTTAAACGTTCTTCAAACTCTCCTCTATACTTGGCACCGGCAATCAATGCACCCATGTCCAATGAAATGACACGTGCATTCAAATTGTCTGGAATGTCCCCACGAACAATACGTTGGGCCAATCCCTCGACCACTGCCGTCTTTCCAACACCAGGCTCTCCAATCAACACGGGATTGTTCTTTGTACGACGCGACAATACACGAATGACTCTACGAATCTCATCGTCTCTTCCAATGACCGGGTCCAACTTGCCAGACTGTGCGTCAGCCACCAAATCATGACCATACTTGGACAACGCCTCATAAGTAGATTCAGCAGACTCTGACGTAATCTTCTTATTACCTCTAACCTCCTTGACAGCAGCCTTTACCTGTTCCTTGCCAGCTCCAGCGTCTCCCAAAATAGACAAAACCGTTGAATCTTCCAATAATGCAACAAGTAAATGATCCAATGCCAAATGAGAATCACCATTATTCTTTTGCAACTTGACAGCTGTTCTTAAAATATTTGCTAATGAATTGTTTGGTGAAATGTCACTAAAATGAGTAAATAGAAAGTAAATGTATATTAGTATTATGTTCTATATATAGAGTATGTATGTATGTATAGTTTGTTTGTTTATTACTTACTTTGGAGGAGGATGTTGAGTTGGGAATTGACTAAGTGCTCTAAGAGCAGCACGCTCAATCTTGTTGAAATCTCCACCAGCCTTTTCAAAGATTGTCTTTGCTAAAGCATCTTCATCTTGTATCAATGCAACGAATAGATGTATGGGAGTGAGTTGAGTATTCTCTTTTTCTCTTGCCAATTCTTGTGCTTTGAGCAAAATAGAATTGGTCTTTTGTGTGAATGTTTCTGGGTTCATAATGCAATGAAAATTATTATAAAAATTATATAAATGTGATGTGTACTTAAAATGAATTAATACTTTGTTTGTTGTTGTTGTGATGTAGTTGAAGTTGAAATTAATATCTATATATCTTATACAAAAATGAATGAATGAATGAATGAATGAAAATGGTATGTACAATATGAGTGAAGTGTTGCCTTTCTAGTTTGTTGTTGAAGTAGGTATCTATTATTGAACCTTGATAGGTTGAGTGAAATATTTTATCTATAATCTGTTGTTAGTGAACATGAATATTTAGAAAAAAAATAGTTTCCTTTTATATTTTATTTTTTTTATCTTGAGTATGTTTTAAATTTCTTTACTTTGGTTTTTCAAGTAGTCAATGAAATCGAAGCGAAAGGTTGCTTAAAAAAAAATGAAATTTCATTTGGTTTTTTCATAACCCCTACACACACAATACTCACATAAAAGAATACTTTATCCATTTTTATCGATAGTGATTGACCAACATAATTAGTTTAATTAATCTTTCTTTTCAAAGACTAGTTATCTTGAGGATCGAAGGTCTTGATGGTTTATTTGCAATATTTTCAAGAAAAGGTATATTTTCAACATCATTAGGTTAAACATATGAAGATCAATGACAAGTATATATTATATGATTTATAAATGTTTTATTCTATAATTTTTTAGGTCTATTTTGCATCGGTCAAGTATTTCTTCATAGTAAAAGTCTCAAGAATATCCTACGCTGAGACAATCTAAATGTTGTTCAATGGGTGTAACTATGAAAGGAAATGTATCTATCTTTCAAAGTACCATTGTACAACATTTTGATTGGACTCCACCACTGCCCGCCTTTGGTTTGCCCAATATTGTTAAACAAGACCCAACAATTCCTCCTCCTCCTCCTCCTCCTCTCCAACAATTTATTTAAATAAATACAAACACAAATATTATAAAATATTATAGAATTTAAAATTGTTACCAAAGTATTTGTCTTTGTTTTCCAGATCTGATTCTAAAACCCAAAAAAGGTTAAAATGGTTAAAACGAGTTTTTTTCCCTCATCTCCAATCATAATATAAAGAAAGAGGGCTTTCATTGTAAAGAGATCACAACCATCAAATTCAAAGTGTAGTGATGATCATTCTCCTCAAGATGATTGAAGATGATAATAGATTCAAAACAAACGGGTTGAACAACTAACGATTACCTCTCTGTTTTGTCAAGTCATCGCGATAGATGACCCCACAGACACAAAAAATATCGGTGGTTGTCGTGTCAAAGAAAAACGAAGTTTGGTATTGCCTCCTAAAAATTAAAAAAAATATTCAAAAAAATCGGTACTACTCTAGGTACCTCGAGGCTAAGTGTTGCATAAGGTCCACTGTTCAAATAGTTAGAAGTTTGTGTCGTTAAAAAACTTTAAACCTAAACTTTAGTATTTCTCGACCCCCTCCCTCCCTCTCACATCAACTTACAGGTTAGTAAAAAAAAGAAGAAGAAGAAGAAGAAAGTAAAAACATCAACATTGGTACACGACCGACCTCTTACCTACCTCTTGACCTTTTGGATATTACATATTCATTCATATTATATATATTACATTTACATTTACATTACATTATTGTTGTTTTTGTGTTTATTGTTTATTTGTTTTGGTTTTAACAATCAATCTATCTATTATATCAATACAATTAATTGTACCACCATACCATCTCATCCCATCTTTTTAATATATCTCTACATTTCATTTATACCATTCAATTCAGTGTGAAGAAGTATCAAAGAAAAGAAAAAAAAGGTAGTGTAGTAACAACCAACACCCTTCCCACTCACTGCAATATAACTCGGTCGACCGAGGGGGTTAGACAGAGAGAGAGAGAAAGAGAAAAAATAGATGTAAACGAATCAAACAACCCATTCATCCATCCATCCAACCTCTGTCTTTAACCTTTGAGAAAAAGATTAATTAAAATATCTTTCACATCCCCTCATTTCCTTTTATAATATATATCTAAAACTATGAACCAAGAAGGATAATCATTTCATTTCTCTAACTCAACTATTCATTTCATCATTTTTAGAGAGTTAACTAAAAAGAAAAAGAAAGAAGAAGAAGAAGAAAAGGGTTATTTAAATTATAATCTTTTTTTTGTTTGTAATAATTTCTATTTGTAATATAAAACAACTACTCAACATACGCGCAATAATATAATATTAAATAATAATCAAAATGATAGAAAGAAGAAGAGGAGAAGATAATTCTTCAAGTGAAGAAACATCACCAATATTAAATGGAAAGACATATGCAAAGGGTGCCAAGTACCCATCGAAATCGGGAGTACCACCATTGGCAGGTGTCGGACCAATGGAAGATTACATAACACGTGACGAACACATCAAGGTCGATACAGTGCAACAACATTGGGTACGCAGAAAACAAATTTCACAAAAGTACCCAGAGGTACTCAACCTTCCCACCACATACTTGCCATCGGCCTTTTGGGTGTTGACATTGGTCGGCTCGTTGATGGTGGCTGCCAAGCTACTCGAGAACGCGTCGGTATGGGTTATCTTTGCCGTTGCCTATATTTTCGGTGCCACAGCATCACACGCACTCTGGGTACTCATCCACGACCTTACACACGACTTGGTGTTCGAGTCGTCATCGATGAACAGCTTGTTTTTGTTGATTGCCGACTTGCCACATATTGTACCGGCCGGTATTTCATTCCGTCACTTTCACCGTCTCCACCACAGCTTCCTCAACGAAGCATACACCGATCCAGACGTTCCACTCAAGTATGAGAACTGGATCCTCGGACACTCGATCGTAGGCAAGGCTGTATGGTTCTGTTTCTACTCGATCGTCATTGCCGTGCGTTCTGCCTTTTACCCACTCAAGAACCAGTCGCCCGTCAGCGGTTGGATGGGACTCAACTATGTGTTCAACATCACATTCACCTATCTCATGTATCAATGGGTCGGTACCTATGGCATGCTCTTTATGGTCTTGTCCAGTCTCATGTCGGTCGGATTCATGTTGCATCCACTCGGAGCCCGTTGGATCGCCGAGCACTTTGCCGTCACCCAGTCCGAGCAAGAGACCTACTCGACCTACGGTCTCATCAACACACTCGGCTTCAACATTGGCTACCACAACGAACACCACGATTTCGTCCGTGTCCCATGGGTCTATCTCCCACGTCTCACCGAAATCGCCGACGAATTCTACAAGAAGGGTTTACGTTACCATACCTCTTACTGGCGTGTCCTCTATGAATTCCTTAACCAAGATACCTTTACTTTTGATACTAGAGTTACTCGTGATCCAAAGGTTTCAAATTAACAAATTTTAAATTAAAAAAACAAATATTTAATTAATACGAGCCAAAAAAGGATAGATATCTTTTTTTTTCACAAAACCAAATCAAATCAAACATTACCTTTTTTGTTTAAACCTACAAAATAATAATAAAAAAAAAAAAAAACATTTTTTAAAAAACAAACAAACAAATAATATTTACATTTTAATTATTTGTCAATTGAAAATGGAATAATGGAACCAAATAGAAAATGTTGAATGATTGGAACTTTGGTCATTACTTCAACATAGAATTTTTTCATCATTCCTTGATGTATCTTTGCCCAATTAGCAGCTCCACTTATATTATAAAGGTCTGGTGAATGTTCATGGAATGGTCCTTTTTTAACCTAAATTAAAAATATACAAAGAAATATTAAATATTTATATTAGTAATGTTTAATATTATTTATATTATTAATGTTAATGTGTTTATCAGAGATAGCTTACAGTATTAATAAATTTGATACAAGAGAAATAAAGATAAAATGGATAAAATTCATCAACTAGCTTTGGTTGAAGGATATCAGTTGGTTTTAGACGATCTTTGTTATCGGTGAGTTGAGCAGCACCCCATACAAATGGTATGAATTGATAATCATCCAAACTCCAAACACCATGTGTTCCAGCTGGTTCCAAACCATATACTCTTTGAAGTTTACGTACTAAATCCAAGTATCTAAATAAAGAAAAGGTCAATAAACAAACAAACAAACAAACATCATATGTCATTGATGATGTTCAAGCAAGACATACAAAGTAAATATTTTCAATACAGATGCAATTTCATCGGTTGATGTTAATACATCAATTTTACGTAGACAATATAACCAACAAACAAAGTGTAATTCGTGACCTGTACCATAGTCTAGACGAGTTTGATTACCCAATGAATCTAACAAGTAGGGTGATAGTTCTTGAATGGCATCGTGTTTGTCTTGTGGTACAATGTTGTTGTGAATATCTACTATATTGTCAACCACCTTTTGATAGAATGTTCTGTATGCTTTGTTACCATATCTCATCGGTTGTGCAAGTGGTGGTATCTCATCAATCCAATTACTCATCTTTGTTATTTCATTTATAATATTTTGTGTTGTCTAAGAATGATGATCAATTGATTGATTTAATGTTTAGTATCGTATTACAATCAATTGATTGATTGATCTATCTAGTTATCATACATTTGATATAATACATTCATCTCTACTTGATTTACCAATCACATTATCACCCATTCTCTGAATGAATGATAACAACTCTTTGGCAGTATCAGTGGCCAAGAATCGATTCAAATCATTCTGATTCGTTATTACTTTGCTTGGTACGACAAATGTTTGTGGTTGTTGTGTTTGTTGTTGTTGTTGTTGTTGTTGTTGTTCACTCATTATTATTATTAAGGTTCACTATTAATATATAGAATAATAATTTTTATTTTGGTCTGTCTTCAAAACTTTTTTTTAAAACTTTCAACAATCATGATAATATTGTTGGCCATTCAAATTAGTGATCCTCTTGTATTTTATTCATTCTTGTAATAGTAATAGTAATAGTAAATGGAACCAGAAATATCAATAGAACCACCACGCCCTTGCAAGAACAATACAGAGCAACACATTAATATCACAGTCGTAAACTACTTGTCTCAAGGAATCGTAGTGTTTTTGAAATCAGGAGCACCACCCTTGCATATTAATTATATCGATCGTATCACGACCTTCTCTGAAAATCCTATCAAGCAAAACATTATCTGTCGTGTTGATCAACAACCACCAACTTCTTCAAACCTCCCAGTCACAGGTGAAATCGGGTTCCTCATTATATTTGTGGCTGTCAATAAAAATGATGAAGAGGTTCCCAGATATGTGCGACTCTTAGACAGAAGAGTACAAAATGGGTCTACATTCAATGTTCTTCCAAGACATTATCTCGCAACCATGGATACCGATAGACGTCTGTTCGATCAACATTTTCAACCGGAATCCAATGATATTGGTGGTAACCCTGCTTCTGGTTTATATGTAATGACCTTCTCCGATCCTGATCAAGAAGAAACCAAGCAATTCGATCCTCTCTTCCCCATTGGGATGTAAATAAACTATTGTTCTCACCATCCTGATACAAGTATTTATTATTATTACTATATTATATTTTGATTATTATTATTTATTATATTTTTGTGCTGTTGCTGGATTACTGGTTGATGGTTTTTCCTTTGGTTTCTTGCAATAGTTATTTTTCTTTGGGTTTTGACCAGCGTTTGGTCTGGTATATCCAGCATCAATAATTTGACAGGGTAAATATTTAGCTGTTATTTTTGATGGTACAAATGGAAGAGAATCAATTACTTTTTGTTTAAATAATTCTTTTCCACTTGTTACTAATTCTCTTAATTGTTGTAATTGTTGTTTGTATTCTGGTGTCGTTGTTGTTGTTGATGATGATGTCTCTTCATCATCATCAAATATTGATGAAAGAAAAGCAACTGCTTGTGATGATTTTAAATTGATCGATGATTTAATTTCCTTGTATTGATCGGCTGTGAATTGTGCCAATGCTATTTGACGCATATAGGACATGAGTATCAAATGTTCGGTGATTTGACCTTTACCTATAAATACGAGTGCTATCGATTGATTGTTTGCATCACATTTCTCCAATGCTTTGGTCACTTCATTGACTCCAATCAACAAATGTTTATATATAGGTGGTGTCGTTGTAATATGATTATCAGTTCTTTCATCTTGTAATTTTTTAATCTCTTTTAATATTTGTTCTATTTTTTTTTCTCCCTCTTCATTTGTCGTAGTTGTCTTTTGTTGTTGTTGTTGTTTTCCTTTTTTGTTTGTTTGTTGTTGTTTGATTTGTTTCTTTAATTTATACAATTGAACACGTAGTGTTCTTATAGGTTTCCATGTTTGTTTTCTCATTACTTTGAGTTGATTCATTCTTTTTACATCATTTTCAAGTATACCTTTCAATTTGCCTATAAACATTGATAAATCATTCAAAGGTGGTGATACCGATGATGAAGTATCTTTTGAAGAAGAGGTATCTTGTTGTGATGGTATATTTGGTCTATTTTAAAAGATATTGTAAATAATCAAGTCTATCAATCAATCAATCATCTATGATACATACAAAGATTGTGTAATTAGAAATGGTGTTGATACAGTTTGCTTGTATTTTGGTTTAGGTTCAGATTTTTTCTTTCTATTTTGTTGTTGTTGTTGTTGTTTTTGTTTGTTTTGTTGTTGTTTGTTCTGTTGTTGTTGTTGATGTTGCTGAGGAGATGATTGTTGTTGAATCATTGCAGTTGGAGGTGATGCGATAAACTTGACTGCATTCATCCCCATAACAGTTTGTTGTATTTTCTTTTCTTGTGCATTCATTTTCACAATAATATATAATATATAAGTATGTCAGTATACTATATATATATATATTTATATATATTTATACTCGTCTACTAAATTAATGATTATTAGATTTCAAAAATGCATCATCATTTTTCAGGTCCAAAATTTTATATTTTAATTTTAATTTATTTGTTTGGGAGCTGACACAAAGACAACAACAACCACTTTCTTTCTTTACATTCAATCATTCATTCGCTTTACTTTCTTTTTATTATCCGTTCCCAATATTTCTACTTGTTCATCCCTCATTTTTATTTAGTAGGACCTTTTCCCAGATGGTATTTATCTTGGATTTTGTAACAATGTAGGATTTGGCTATCATACTCTATCTATTGCACACATCAAATGAAAGACTCCAAATGAATGTCTCCAATGATTTCTGATTAGCTGACTACCTGAAGGACCCACAATCAATTAGAGAGATCAGTATCCAGGACTTCCCTTTTTTAGTTCCTTTCACAGACAGGTAAAAGGTTGTTAGTCGAAAAGAACTAAAAAAGGGGAGGAGAAACTCGGTCATTTGTCCTTTATAACACCATCAATAAGCAATAAAGATAAAGATAATCTCGTTTACTTATTTAACATGTCATTTAAACTCACCTCCCTTTTTTTTTTCGATTACTTATTCATTCCCAGTAATACACGAAAGTTACTTATTAATATTTTTCACTCTTGCAAGAGCACCTCTTCATCAGAGGTATCCTCTCATCCCTTTTTTTTTTTTGTTCTTTTATTATCAGTTGTTATTCTTTCTTTCTTTTTGTGTATTACCATCAGTACTATTATATCTATCAAATCAATTTAATAGTTGTTTTCATAATTCAATACTCCTTTCTTACACAGATGAAATACTACACGTTATTATAATATTCCTCTTCCTCTTCCTCACTCCTTTTAAAAAAAAAGACAACTCTTCTTATAGTAGAAAGATAAGATTGATATCATAGATAGAAAAGTAGAATCAGAAGAATAATAGAATAGATATCATATCGATCATGTCTATTAAAGGCAAAATTCTAACTTTATTGTTTAAACTAAAATTCAATCATGAATTAAATGTAAATATAAATAGATAGGTGAAACGATCATTAACTAATAATATTGTTTATATCTACTTTCTTGTAGAAATGGAAATTACATAAACATCCATTAACATGGAGAGATTGGCAAGTTTACTTTATTTTCTTTTTAATGGCATTACCTACCATTATAATGGGTGTATTCCTACAAGTACTAAGGAATATTTGGGCATCGATTGCATTGTTTCATTTGACTTGTATCATTGGATCATTCCTCTATATCATCATCTACCAACAATTACTACTCAACAAGATTAAAAAAGGAGTACTCTTGGATCGTAGTCGAGACATTATTTCATTTGTTGTTGGAAGTATCAATGATTCTGAAGATGATTATCAGTATAGTCCAACATCACCTCTTTTATCACAATCTGGTTTCCTTAGCGATAATAATAATAATCATTCAAACACTTCATCTATATCTTCTTCCTCTTCAGTGTCATCTAATACTTCGACTTCCTTTTCTTCCTCACCACCATCAACGAATCAAATTGAAATTGTTAGTAGTAAATGGTACAGAATTATACGAAAAGCATTATCGGTACCACAACAATACATTGCCGGTGTTTTAATTCTAACATCTGGTATTGTATTTGGATTGTTACTCTATTACCTCGTATCGCAATACACACCAACCGTAGTCATCAATATGGAGCAATACGGTTTACTCCGTTACGTATCTCTTATCAATTTCTTTTTTATCTATTTTTGCATCGTCAATCCAATCGTTGAAGAATGGTTTTGGAGAATGTTTTTAGAAAATGTTTATGGTTCTCGTATAGTAGATAGATTAGTAATTAATTTCTTTTATGCTATTTATCATTTTGTAAGTAATATATTTATAAAAAAAAAAAAGAGTAGTTTGGTATTAACAATAATTTAATTTAATTATTATAGGTAGTATTGCTAGTATTTTTTGATATTTGGGTCTGCATTGGATTTGTATTTGTTGTTTTCATTGGAGGATTATTCTTTTCATTTGTTACACATTTTGTTGGACCTGTTGCAAGTATCTTTTGTCATGCAGCTGCCGACACTCTAATCATATTGTTTATCGCTTATGGTATAAAGTATCCTTATAATCATCTTGATGTTTAAAACAATCCGAATTGTTTGACCATCACTATATCCCCCAACAACAACAACAACAACAACAACAACAACAACAACAACAACAACAACAACAACAACAACAACAACAACAACAACAACAACACCCCCTTTTCTCTATCCTCCTCCTCCTCCTCCATGTTTACTTATAAATAATAATAAAAATGGAAACCACTTAAATTTTTAAATCAACATAACAACAAATCAATCAGATCCAAATATTTAGGATTAATCATTTCTTTTTTTTTTGGTTGAAAAAAAAAGATAGAAATGAAAAAGGATTTTATTTTTAATTACTATTCATTTTAAATTACAAATAACAACAATGTGTATAGGTAGGTAATTAATTATTATTATTTCTTAATTATTTTTTTTAATTATTTTTTTTTTTTTTTTCCCAAAGACAACCCATCATGTTCAGAGTCAGCTTTAAAGGACCAACAAATCATAGATTTACAAAATAGAATAACATCTATGTCGGAATGTTATTTCAATCAAGCTCAGGAATATGATAAAGAAACGACACGGCTAAAGGATGTTATTAAGAAACTAGTTGATGAGAATCAAAAAAACTTGGAACTTCTTCACCAGAGAGAACGACAAGCCCAAATAGACCGATTGGAGAAAATGAAACGAGAAATACTTTATGGTCCACCTCAAAAATGGTTTTATTCTCTAGTTTTAGGTCCATATACCTTTTGTATTCCCGTTTCTTGGTGCCCTTGGAATTGGTGGTATAACAAAAAAGAGATATAAATATGTTTGAAAAAATAAAAATTAGTTTTAGAAAAATAGTTCAAAAAACGAACGAGCGATCAAAGCAATGTAATTAAAACTTTAATTGTCCCAATTCAAACATATCTATCAAATCTATCTATACATATACTTTTTATAAAGAAGAAGAAGAGGATGACATTTAAAATACATAAGAAACAAACATGTAGTTTAGCAACTGCAGCATCGTTGACGGAAAAGTTTAACAAGACTAGAAAAGAGAATGACGCTAAAAAGATATATACATCGGGCACTGTTGTCATTGACCAATACAGCGATATTATCAATAACAACTTGAGCAACTTTGAAAGATACCTCAAGCAGACGATTGGATTAGAGGTTGAAGATTCGACCAACAATGTCGTCGCCGATCAAGAGAAGCTCGAGACTGCCGCTGCAGCCGAAGAAAATAACCAAACATCATCGATTGGCGTCGGCGGTGGCTTGGACACTATGCAAACACCACAAAAGTATAATACTCAAGCAGAGACTGACGATGGAGACATTAGCGAAAGAAACTCAGACTACAACTCTACACCATCGAGAAAGAACAAAAATAACTTGGCAAACAAATTAAAACAACAACAACAAGAGGAGAGTTCAAGTGATGAATCAGATAGTGAAAGATCAGTTGATGAATTAACAGCTGCAAAAGATAAAAAGAGAAAGTCTAAAGATGATTCAGATGATTCAGACGATTCATCAAGTGATGAAAAGAACAACAAAAAGAAATCAAAGAAATCCAACAAAGATTCTTCATCTGAATCATCTTCATCTTCTTCAGAGTCTGAATCAGATTCATCTTCATCCGAACAATCTTCATCTTCTTCTTCAGAGTCTGAATCAGATTCTTCCTCTTCCTCTGAATCATCATCATCTGAAGATGATAAGAAAAAGAAAAAGAAAAAATAATAATCTCTAAATATTAATAATAATAAATAATAAATAATAATAATTGTATAAAAAAAAAGAAACAGATAAAGGTACATGGAAATAATTAATATATTAATATTAATATTTAATTATAATATTTCTGGAAATAATTATTTTATTTTGATTTTTTTTACTTGGTTTCTTTCTAACTGACAGTACTTGACCAAAGGTCAAAACCTGGAATATAAAACAAATCAGGCATAAGAGCTACAACAACGATTACATAAGCCATGACCATGTTGATACAACTAATGTAAAAGTGGTTGAGAGGGAACCAATTGACAGAGACGAGATCAATGACCTTTTTGAGATCCAATGGTTTGATGATGTAGTTGAGGATGAGCCAAATGACAGAATAGGCAACTAAAAGGGAAATAAAACAAATGGAGAGATAGAGCAAAAAGACTTCAAAAGAGTCGGCATATGAAATACCCTTGGGTGCCGAGATGGAGGCGAATGGAAACATGGCATTATAATGTTCTTGGGTGGGACCATATCTACCTAGTGTATAGACGGTAAACGACATGATGACAGCCAAAAGATCGGAAAACATTGAGAACCAAAGGTCAGTAGCACTAGAATGCAACTTGCAATAAGAGTTGTCTTTTTCCAAGTACATCTTGTCAAACTCATTCTTTTCAGAGATCTTTTCGTCTTCATCATAGTCATCGTTTTTGTCGTCACTTTGGAACCGTTCTGCCCATGCCAAAAGTTTGGATGGGATCAATGATACGGCGAACCGTTCAATTGAAGGGAACACCATAAAGAGTGACATGAAAATATGTAGACCCAGTTTGGAAAAGACAATGGATGCGACAGAGACGGGATTACGAATAAAACTGAGTACGGCAAACGAGTAGTACGACGCAATGATACGTCCAATAAACTTGAAAAGGTTCGATGCGGAATGAGCACAACGCGTACAAATAATATCGAGGAACAGTTGGATACACTTCATGATGATGGTGTATGCTGGAGGCAACAGGATACGTCCAATATTGTTTGAATACTGGAACAGTCTGAAATAGACAAGTCCACTGACAAACGTGAGGTATGGCGCAATCAAAGAGGAAAAGGCGGCAATAGCACGCTTCTTATAACTCTTTTTCATACGGAGACTACGTGGAATGAGTAGACATAGGAGTACGAGTGATATACCTTCAAATGGGAACACACATGTAAACACACCGATGGGTGGTGGATACATGGCTTGATTGTATAGGATCTGCCACGTGATGGGTGCACCAACCCAATAAATGGTACTGGTAAAGATAATTAAAAAGGTGACTCTAAACTTCATCAACAATGCCACCCATGCAAAGGCAAAAGCTGCCGTCATACCACAACCAAGTGTCAAAACACCCCAAATAAATTGGGTTGGTAGTTTGGGGTTAAAGAGCATCAGGACAATCTGGCACACTAGTCCTGCGCCAACCGACAGCGCTATACGGAATAATAATACATGGGTTGGAGGTGGTGGTAAAAAGTGAACCATCTCATCGACCGATGTCTTGGTCGAGTAGTCTAGATAGGGTGTCGACGACGATATGTTGCTATTTTGTACTGCAGAGTGAAGTGAATCATTGGTGTCATAGTATAATCCATTCCTCATACTACTCATACTACTATTTATATTTATACTATTCGATGCTTGTCCTTGTTGTGTTCCCGATAATAATCCTTGTGTTGAATTATTTGTAGAGGCAGCATTGTTGGAAATTGCCGGTAAAAATAATTGATCTCCTTGTATTGTTGTGGTTGGTGATGTTATACTACTATTACTATTTTGTCCAACTACTACTGGTGAATCTTTTACAATAAATGACATTTGATTCTGATTTCCATTTTGATTTTGATTTCCAGCTCCATCTTCTATATAAAAAAAAAATAAGATTTATTAATTAATAAATCTTAGAGTTTTTGTTTTAATAATTAATTAATATACCATTATTTAAATTTTGTAGAGGGATCGCAGATTGATCCTCTGCCATTCTATTATATTATATTATTATATTTTATATTTTTAAAAAATACTAGAGTGAAAGTAAATAAATAAATTATTAATTAAAATAATTATTGAACTTGGAAATTAATTAAATGATAATAATAAACGATGATGATGATGATTATGATGATGATAAATACAAGTTATAAAATGATCAATGTGTTCAGTAAATAAGGAAATAATAATACAATACAATAATACAAATTTTATAAAATCTGAGAGTGGATGGTCTTTACAATCCCAACCTTGCTTGGTGTGTCACTACCACTACTATTACTACTACTACTACGTATTATAGTAGTAAAAGTAGGAAAAATATAGATTGAGATGGCTAGGTGTGGGTGGGTTGAAATTGGAACAAGCAAAAAAGAGAGAGAGAGAGACACGCAGATACAGATAAGATTAATAGGCAGGAAGCAGTAAGAGAGTAGTTGATGATGATGATGAAATAGTTATTTATAAATCTAATTAGATTAATTAATAAAGTGAGTTGTTGTTGTTGTTGTTGGTGATGTTGATTATATTATATTAATTGTTGTGTGCGTGGTCATGGATGTATGGATGGATGGATTGATGGTCATGGCCCACAAATGCATTTTCAAAAGGTGGATGGATCATCCAATACTATTTTTAAAATAAATCAAAAAAAGATGAACTAAAAGATTATCAGGCAGGATTATCATGATGATTGATAGTGGTAGTGGTGGGATGAACAGTGTAGTGGATAACGATAAATAAATAGATATTATGATATACCTAGAAAATGAACTAGTCGTCAAACAACCACTATTTACAGATGTGTCATGTGAGAAAATATCAATCACTATATATTATATTATATTATATCTTGGAGTGCGTCCACCCCAACCCATGTCAGTCAGATATTTGGATATCAAACAAACACACCACCACATACAAAAAACAATTGTGTGGGGTATATATATACAATACTAACTCGAGTTCACATGTGATTGATTACCTCTGTATGTGTGTATATTAATAATTTGGGCAATATTTTATAAAATACAACAAACAACAAACACAATCAATCTTAAAGATGCGTCTGCCTACCCAAATATCGTAAATAGTGAACTGCTACTACAAACAACTACTCCATAATATACTACTACCTACTCTACTATTATTATTTTTATGATTATGATGATTGATTGTGATGTAAGTGATGATGATGATGATGATTTACATACACTAACATTAATAATAATATGGATCTGCTACTTTAATGTACCAGATGGTAGGATTGATGAAGAGACGGTTGTGGTAGTGGTTGTTGTTTGTTGTTGGATCCAACCTACGGTGATATTTTACTAGCAATATTGATTGCAGACATTCGGTATCTACAACTAGCCAGCCAGATCTTGTTGTTGTTGGTATTCCATTCTTCTATGTTCCTCTTGTCTTTTGATGGTATTGTAGATGGGTAGAGGTAGAGTCTTTTTGTTCCTGTTGTTGTTGGTTCATTCAAGTCAACTGACTTTTGAATTGAGCTGATCGATGTTTCCCAAGCAGCTGACTTTTAGATCGAAATCAAAGCAAGATGAGGTGAATGAGTGAACTCCACTCCACTCCTGTTGTCAATCAACGAAACCAACTAACTATACTATTCCTACAACTATTAATTAATTGAATTCATTCTCTTGTTGTTGTTGTTGTTTTCAAGTAAATCTAATCTTGACATGAACAACAGTGAAGTTGATGATGAATGAGAGATCAAGAGATTTTGGTGATTTTAAAACAAATATAATTTTAGTAGTAGTGTGAATTCCCTTTTACAAGTTGGATGCACCCAACCAAACAAGGTATTAACCAACACAACTCTATTAAAATGAAATTACTTTATCTAGTAATTTCCGAAATGGCACCATCTATCTATTTGTTAAAGGATGGATTATTGGATGGATGGATGAGGATCCATTTCCATCTTTTAATACATAATTAAATAAAATGATAGTCCTATTTATTATTGTTATTATTGTTATTATTGTTATTGTTGCCGCTATTTATACAAATATGCCAGCTTTAAACTTTTAAAATTAGAGTGTACAATCTTTTGTTATTATTATTATTATTGACAATAATTATGTTGGTTAATTGGTTAATTGGTAGGTTGGTTGAATGTAAATAATTTATCTAATTATTTATCTATTTTGTTGTTGTTTTGCTAATAATAAATATTTATATTTATATTATTATTATTAATATTATTATTTAAATAGAGTTACAAGTAAAAGTAGTTTCTTGGGAACATGTAGTTGGATATTGTTTACTGGTACAACACTTTTCACCGGTACATCCAGAAGTACAGATACTTTCGACTGGTGATTGAGAAGAGTCACAACTAAAGGTGAGGTTATAGTCCATGTAAGTGTATTGGAATCCAGTGACAAAGTAATAGTAGTATTGGAGATTGGTACACTTGTCGTCGGTATAGTACGATGTGATAAAGGTGCTATTGGTGGTGATTGGTGTTGGTACAGGACTCTCAGAGATGTACATGATAGCCCATTGAGTAGGTAGATCCGATGCAAAGTCTGCCAATACACATGACCCATTCTTGTAGGAACCAACATCAAACTTGCCCTTACAATCGGTATTGTTATAGATCTTCCAACCAGCACGTAAAGCATCTACTATGAAATAATAGGATTTATCTTCAACAACGATACATTGGTTGATTGAAAAAGAGTATCCTACGCCAACTGCAGTATCACCTTTACAAGTCTCTTCAACTTGATTTGGAATAAAGTTGACATATAAATTGGTTGGTAATTGTGCACTTGTTGATGACAACAATGCAAGTATTCCTACTAATCCTATTAATAATATAATTGATTTCATCTTTTCTATCTCTCTATCTCTATCACACAACTAAACTACTGATATCTATATTTGCAAATACAACGATCAGGTGTTTGTTGATAATGCAAAAAGAAAGATCTTTGCAAAAAAAAAAAACAAAAAACATTCTGCAAAGAAGCCGATTCCATCAATGTGCTCTGTTCCATTGGCCCATTACAACGATTATTCTGATTATCGGGATTGATCAGTTGCGAAGATACATGTTTTAAATTAAACTCGCATTCGACGTCATATTTATAATTATATAAAAGTCAACAACAAAGTCTAAAATATCTTAGCTAATATATAATATTATATAATATTTGAGGAGGGGAAGATTGGAATAAATTATGTATGTATACCAATCATTTTTTATTTTTGATATAATGACAGTTTGCATCGGTTAACACAAAAGGTTATCGGTTTGATGATCAAACTGTCACATTCAGCCTGGTTATGAGAAGAATAAATTATTATTATTATTATTATTATTTTATAGTTGCGGTACTGTTAGTTGTACAACTATAAAAATTGGTTGAAAATTGCCTTGAGTATAATAATATTGTTTGAGGAGGGTTTTAGGAAATATTTCCTAAAGTATTGTAGATTGTTGTTGTTGTAGTTGTAATAGTTGTAGTGGTAGTATTGTCTAGTTGTTATAGAGGTAATATTGTCTAGTTGTGTAATTTGTAAAAAAAAAGAGTTGAATTTGTCGATGGTTGTTTAAATTATTATTATTTGTTATTATTTGTTATTGTTTAGCACCCAACATTCTTGGTGATTTTGCCTTTAGGGTGACACGGAATTGTTTGAGTGGTGAACCATTTTCATCGAGAATACGAATTGGTTTGAAATCCATGTCATCTTGGTCGAGTCTTAATAAAGGAAGCTCTCCTGCACCACAACCAACACTACTACTAGATCCTCCCAAGTCAAAGCTAGGGATTTCAGACAACGACGACGACGATGAGACAGTATCATTGATGTTCTTCTTGTTGTTTGAAGACGACGCAGACTGCGAGGAAGAGGAGGAATGGTTCAAATACATGTATTCAGGCATCTTCATGAGGATCTGATTGCAATACGAAAATGTGAATAGAATTAAGAACAAATAATAGGTGGTTGGTTGGTGTTGGTGTTGTTGTGTTTGTTGGTCGAAATAATGATTCAATAAATCAGTATTTTTGTATTCTTCTTCGTTGACGTAGATATTATTATTTTCCATATTCGCAGATTTTTGTTTTTTTTTTGTTGATGTGAAAGAAAGGATGGTGGTTTAGAAGGTAAGGTAGGGCGGGTAAGGTAGGTAGTTGTTTTTAGATTGTCCAAGACTTTGGTTGGGAAATCAATTGTTGGGGCAAATTAATAAAGTCAAAAAATGGTTGGAGAGAGGTGATCAGTCGGTGATAGGTGTGATATCGTAATAAAAGAAAGGTTGTACGTAGAGGAAGGCGAACAATTGGTTGTTTGCGGGGGGCTACGGACAATGTTAACTATCGGAATAATACGATAATAAGAATAAATAATAATTATTAATTAATTTGATTGATTTGTTGGGTTGGTTGATGTTGTGTAAGGATGGGTTGGGGTAGGTTGGTTGGTTCGTATGAATAAACAACAAAAAAGAAGAAGAAAACAATTAAATAAATGATTGTTGACGAACTTAAATAATGATTTTAGAAAACCTTTATAAAGGTTGTTCTTTCCTTTCTCCTCCCTCCTCTTGAGTAGTTTGGAAACTCAATGAAGAGCAAGGGAGGGAATTTGAGCTGACCAGTTTATTATTATATTGTAATCTCCTTAATGATAAGATGCAAGATCCATTCACTTGAAATCATCCCTTTCGGCTTGCTGTGGTGTGTGTAAGAGAAGAGTATGTTTGAAATAATTTCAAATTATGAGGGTCTCTGCAACAGTTCTGCCCTGTCCTTGACCATTTCAATCTCATATTAAAGGAGGATGGACATGATAGAGTGTGTGTGTGTTTTTTTCGAAAGTGGTTACAAGTACGTGCCACCACACCACACACATCGATACCACCATTTTTTTTTTTAAACTGTTGCATAGCCCTCCAGAGGCAACTCCTCCTCTCAATCGTATAAACATGGTAGCGCCCAAAACCAACAATATTGTTCAACTACGAGAGTTGATTGACAATGGATTATTGATGTTCATACCATTCTTGTACAATTGAAATGGGGGTCATGATAGCTGGCACCGCATCGACAACAACAACAACAAGTGTGGGCAGGGGGAGGGTTAAGGGTTAATCAATCAAATCATCGTAAACGTACATGTTTACTCTTTTCTTTACTCCCTGCCACCTCTCGCATCCTATCCATCGGCTGGGATTGATGATCAAATCCATTTCAAAAAAACTTTTTGTAAATTGCTTGTGGTTTGGTATCAAAGGTTTAAAATACGGGCGGTCGAGCAGTCAAACGCCAATGAAAGGAATCCTATTGACAGACAGATCTGCAAATGCATTACATTCATGGACACTTTTAAACGAGGTTTTGTAAAGATCCCATTCCCCCCCTTTCGCACATTGATTGGCATCATCCACTTTAAATTGGCGATTCTGTCTAATCTATCAAAGGCATGGTTACCTTTAATTAAACTTTGACCATTTTTTTTTGTTGTTGTTTATTTTAATTATACCATTTTGATTTAAAAATATGGATGGCTGGTTTTATTTTAATCTGATTTACCTATAATACAATTATAGATATTTATTTTAATATCTTTTTCTTTTTCCCCATTAATGTGTTTTGTTTTTGGTTTGGTTTTTTTTTTTTTTGTAATCGCTTCATTGCGTTATATTGTTGTTATAGCACCCCATTAAATATCTATCTATCTATCTTATCTATAAATATTTGATTATTTTGGTTTTGGAATATTCCATTCCTTTACTTGATCTGGTTGGATCTTGAGGACAAAATTGACATATTTGATTTCTTCATAACCTTCACTGGTGTGTGGCTCCACAAAGTTCTTTTTAAACATATTATAACCGATGCCTGGAACATGCTTTACACCTTGAGTTCTTTCTCTATAATAATTCAAATGTTGTGCCAATTCAAGTGGTGTTTGCATTCTAAAACATCTTACTGGTACTCCATCTAAATAGCAAATAGAATATATTGGTTAGTTCAACTACAAGAATATATTTTATATATTTGTTTGTTTGTTTTATATTTATATTTACATTGTTTTGCAAGTTTAATATAATCTAATCTATCAGTTTTGGCGGGATTTGTATTATCAATGACGACAGATAAACCTTGAGCCAATGATTCTTTACAAACTTTAATACATTTTTCTTTGGTTTTTAGAGTATCACGATTGACGTGGACATAGCCAGCTGGGACAAAGTGAGTTTTGGAAAAGGTACTCTTTCCAGAGGCAGGGAACCCACACATGAGAACCAACTCTTGCACCTTGGTCTTGGGAAGAATGTTACCTCCACCTTGGATGACATCACCGGTTGTTTCAACCTTTGGAATCTTATCGTTGGAAATAATACCAGTGGCACTGACAGCAGCAGACTTGTCAACAAATGGAGCTTCACCCAAAAAGAATTCTTCTGGTGTCTTGAATGCAATACCAGATGAAAGTGCAAATCCAAGATCAGATGAAGCAAAATCTTTTTTCTTTCCTGCTTTCCAATTATCTGGTCTAAAAAACAAAATAATAATAGTTAGTTATATTTTCTTATTTATATTAGTATTTTTTCTTCTTACCTTCCAGCAGCATCACCAACATATAAACAATCTTTTGAATTAATTGTAACTTTTCCATTGGTACAATCTTCAACGAGGAAATTCCACATTAATTTGTTTGGTTTACGCCATTTACCGTTGAGGTCACACGCCATGATGGCAATACATGGGATACCCCATTCCTTGAACAAGTCCTGAATCTTTCCACTGACATTACTAAACTTGGTACGGTCGTGCTGACTGCCGACGCCAATACCACCTTGGTTGGTGACAATGATGATTTGGTAACCCTTGGTATAGTACTCTTTCATCATGATGGGTACGCAATCAGCCCAATACACCCAATCGGTACGAGTCTTGGCAAACTTGGCACCAGACTTTGTATGGACAATAGTATCATCCATATCAAAGGCTACAATCTTTGAACGAGAGATTGGTTCCTCTAAATAATAATATGCTTCTCCTCCTTCCATTGTCCATTTCTTTAATGGACAAGATGTTGCTCCATTATTATTAAATACTACATTCGAGGTAGAAGTTGAAGTGGTTGAAGTAGTTGAAGTAGTAGTTGTGTTATCTTCTTCTTCTTCTTCTTCTTCTTCATCTTCATCATCAGATTCAACTACTTTTGATTTGGCAGCTGCCTTTGATGATTGTTTCTTTGGAGCGGCAGCAGCTGGTTTGGCAGGAGTTGGTCTCTTCTTGGCTCTCTTTGCTTCTTCATCGGATGATTCATCTGATTCTGGGTCAGATGCAACTTGTTTCTCTTCTTCCTCTTCTTCAGACTCTGAATCAGATGCATCCTTTGCCTTTGATGATCCTCTACCACGTTTAGGAGGTGCTGATTTGGTTGATGATGATGTATCAGGTGATGTTTTCTTGGCTGTAGTAGTAGTAGTACCGCTACCTCCTTCCTTTTGCTTTTCGAGGATCTTTTCAATCAACTCTACTTTTTTACCTCTTGCAGGGATACCCAACTTCTTTGCAATTTGTACTACATCCTTGTATAATTCATCTTCAAGTGATTCTTGTGTGTATGTCATGACTAATAATATATTGTTTTTTTTTTTTTATATCTTTCTTCTTTGTGAGACAGAGATACAATAAAATGAAAAGTTAAAAAGAAATAGTTATAATAAATTTATATATATATATATATGAAGAGATAATGATTATGTATTTGTTTGTGTTGGTAAAAGAGAGATGTATAGTTAGATGATAGAAATCAAAAGGCCAAATCGCTCTCCTTTTACCTCCAAAATTGGTGTTTCCTCTAAATTCGAATTTTGGTGGCAAAAAACAAAAAGATGCTTACATTGCATTTTGCTGTTTGAGATCGATTGTTGATGTTTGTAACGGTTGAACTAACTCAACACCACCCAATCACAGCAGAGGACAAATAGAGACCGGGACGGTCGGGCGGGAACTTTATCAATTGATCCACTGTGAATGATGACATTTTTGTGATAAATTAATCACATTTATTTCTATTTCTTTTTTCGATTTGTTGTTGTTGTTGTTGTTGGGGGTTTAAATAAATATTTGTTGATCTTCAATTTGATTTGGAGTTAATCTATTTGATTTTGATAAAAAGTAAGAAGAATCATTTTTGTTGGGCCATGATATGATGATGGTGCTACCTCGTAGTTTGGCAAGTGGATAGTATCGGTCTGTTATTCTCTCGAGTAATTCAAAATCCTTTGACTTCCAAAACGAGAATAGTATATTTGGTTTGGTGCCAAATCCAGTCTTTATAATCTGGGAACTGTAAACTAATCCACCATAGTTTACAGGTGTACCATCTTTATAGCCACAATAGATTGATGTTGTACTATCAGGTGTATCATGAACCGATATCATTTTAGTATATGAACTAATTAAAGTAACTAATACTATTCTAATTGTATCAATTGGTTGATCCTAAACAGAAAACCAAAAACATATTTTGATCAATATTTGGTCAAACTTATTTCCATTTTTATATATATAAATATATAAATATAAATATAAAGCTTACCTTGAATTCTTCTACAATGGTACCTCTAATTTCTTCATTTCCTACAAATTGATCTAATATTGTTCCATTCATTTTGTTTTTTCCCCTTTTCTAATCTATCTCTATCTAATTTCTAAAAATATTTATTACTGTACATGTAATGTAAAATTAACAAACTATAAATAAATAAATAAATAAATAACCTTTTTTAGTCTTGTTGTTTACTAGTTTAAATATATATTTATATAAATAAATATAGGTTGATGAAATAGATTGAAATATATATATATTAATTTAAATTAACACACACAAACCACACACACAGACACAGTCTACACTTCCTATTCCTTTTCTTTTTCTTTTTTGTTGTTGGTAGTAATAGATGATAGTTTTTTGTACCGTTATCATAATTCTGACTATTTTTTGTGGATTCCATTGTTGTACTACGATCCACGTCCGCTTTTTACCCCCTTCCTCACACACCACCAATTCTGTGTGTATTTGTTTTTTACAGTCTACACACACAACATTGCATTGCAATCAAAAAGAAAGATCTTTTTCATTTTGTTTTGTTTAGTTTTGATTTTAAAATAATTTTTAAATATTTTAAATTTTATATAATTGTTTGATTGATTATATGCGAATAGTGATTAGTTTGGTTTTAGTTTGGTTGTTGGATGGTTGGTTGATCTCTTTTTTTTTTGGATTTTATGGTTTATGTTTTTTTTTTTCCTTATTATTTATGATTATGATTATCCTCTTTTACGTGTATATTATTATTATTATTGTGATGGTGATGGTCTTTTTCATATCCATCATCTCTTCTACTATTATTACTGTAATTGTTGTTGTTACCCCCTCCTTCTCTTGAATATTGTTGGTGATGATCTCTATCCCTATTGTTGCCACCATGATAATCCTTGTCTCCTCGGTGTTCTCTTTCATTTCGGTTATTATTATTGTATCTACTATTGCTATCTCTATCTCTATCTCTATTGTTATTATCACCTCTACCTTGATCATGAATTTCACCAGTTTCTAGATTACTTGAACCTCTTGATGGTGGTGCAACGACATCTCGATGTGGAGATGGAGAACGAGAAGAGTCACCACGTCCCGATCTTCTTTCCTTTCCATAAGGAGAATATCTTGTTGCATTGTTGTTGTTGTTGTTGTTTGGTGACGGACCACGAGGTGATAAAACATTGGTACTACTTGACGTTGAACCATTAGTATTATTATTGTTATTACTATTTGGTGAAGTTGAAGATAGAGATGGTGATTTGTTTGGTGTCTTTAATTGAGGTAGTGGTGATGATGCTAGTCGATCATTTGGTCCAATATTATTACTACTACTACTATTATTATTATTATTATTACTATTGTTATTGTTATTATTATTATTGATAGGATTCGAATTAACGTTACTATCAATAACCATATCAATGACTGAATCGTTATTTTTTTGTTGTTCACTATTATTATTATTATTATTATTTTCTACTACTTTTATAGTTGGATTTTCGTTTGGTTGTTGATGGTTACTACTATTATTATTATTATTGCTATTATTATTGTTATTATTATTATTATTACTATTTTCATCTTTTGTTAAAGGATGTTTTTCATAGAGATCAAGAATATAACTTCCAATCTCTTCCAATACCTCCAATTTAACGTCGAGGATTTCCCACCATTGTTTTTTACCCTCAGAGGAAAGAGGATAATTTAAAAATTTCGTTGCCAAATAAACGGCTGCATATGATATCAATTGAGGTGGAAACTGTAAACATAGATTAGTTCGCAAACTATCATTTACAAAATTCCATGCCACTTGACATAATCTTTTACTTCCTATTTTGATTGTTTGGAAATAATAATAATAAATGGATTAGATAAGATCTTTACTTGCGATATTTCATTCTTTTCATTTTCTTTGCTTGAGTTGAATCAATTTACCTTGTATCATTTTCATATATTCTAATAAAAATTTATATGGATGATCTACAGTTAATTCAAAGGCTATTGTTGTCAATAATAAATGCTCGTGTTGAATAATTTTGTTTATAATTGATTGTATTTCCTAAAATTAATTAAGTTTCATTAAATAAATATTAATTAAGTTAATCCATACTTCTCTTCTATCTCTCAACGTATACATACTCCTTGATCAGGATTGGTTTGTTTTTTGTTTTTTGCTTTATAATAAATACTTGCAACATCAACCAACTTTCTTGGTGATTCTTCAACTTTGGTTGCCAAGAATAAACATGTAGTTGCTACAAGCTATTATATTATAAACAAGATATATCAATATTAATACATAATTATTGTGGCAATCATTTAAAAACAAACTTACAAATCTATCATAATCACGAAGTTGATGCCTAATATAGAATCTATGAAAATAGGTAGTTGCAGTTGCAATTATAAGTTGTGATCTATAGATAAATAAATAAATAGAGATGTGTGTGTAAGTGATAACAGGTATTCATTGCTTTGTTGTTGTTTTGGTTCAATTTACAATTTCAAAGTTATTCCAATGTCTTGTATAAAAGCACAACTAGCTCTTCTAGATGTTATTTCTTGTTTATCTTTTCCATAATGATTCATTACTTGTTCTTTTGTAAAGTACCAGTGACGACTCGGTCCTGTTTTTAACCATTCATAGGATAAAGATGATGATGAAGATGTTGTCGTTGTCGTAGACGAGGAAGAAGAAGAAGAGGTTGCTACTGCTGCAGTAGCAGCTGCTGATGGTGCATTGTTAGATAATATCGTTGTTGGTGTGTTTATTATTGTATTATTGTTGTTGTTTGTCAACGTTGAAGATGAAGAAGAAGAAGAAGTTGAATTTGGTGCAGATGTAATAGATGTCATACTATATGATATGAATAATATATAATTGTTCTTGTTTTATTGATATGTATGAAGATGTCTCTTCTCCTTTATAAACTATTTCTAATACTACTATTATTATTACTAATACTGATACTACTACTACTCGATTGATGTGAATGAATGAATGAAACGTTCACAAATATTCGTTGTCGTCGTTCTTTGAATGATGATGATTGTTGTTAAAATACTGTTTATATAATATTGAAAAGAAGGGAATGAGAAGAAGAAATACACAATAACCTAACTATACTATAATCCTCTTTCTTATTTGTTTGTAACTCTCGAGTATTCTTCTTCTTACTTCAATAAAAAAAAAAAAAAAAAGAAAAATTCAAAAAAAAAACCAACTATGGTCAATTCTTATTTTCTCTCTATGGAATTCCAAGGAATAATAGAATAATAATAATTGATCTATAAATAGTTTTATTTATTTTGATAACTATTTAAAAACCATGATTCATATCTGATGACGATGATGATGATGATGATGATGGTTTATATTGTTGTAGATTGGTTCGACGACTAAAATTATAGGTTGAGGTTGAAGTTGAAGTTGCAGGGGCTTGTTTTTTAATGGCTGATCCTAAATATTCGATTGGATCACTATCTTCATCCAAACTGATAACTTCTTGTGATGCTACTCTTTTTCCATTACTATTATAATTACTATTTGTATTATTATTATTATTATTATTATTATTATTATTATTATTAATATTATAATTTGTGTTATAACTATTATTAACATTATAACTATTTTTACTTATATTTAAAGAAACTGCTTTTTTTGGTGTTTGTTGGCAACTATTCGTTGATGTCGTTGATGTTGTTGAAGTAGTTGAAGTTGAATATTCATCTTTAACTTTTGCTATTGTTGGTGAAAATTTATTCTTTGTTGTCCATGATGATGAAGATGATGCAGATGATGGAGATGTTTGTTGTTGTTGTTGATGAGGTGGAGAATTATAAGAAGATCTTCTTTCATTATCTTTTGTTTGTTCTAAAAGTTTTCTTGAATCAAAAAATGATTTGAGTGAAGGCAGAGATCTATCGATTGAATTATTATTCTTTATACACATTCTTGCCCATCTTGAAAGATTCCTCCAAACACTCTCCTGAGTAAACCGACTATCAATCAATAAAATCGATCCATAATCATCTTTATGTCTAATACATCTACCAATTGCTTGATTTAATGCTCTATATCCTTGAAGTGTATACCATCTAAAAAAAATAAATTAAATTTGATCAAATTAATATTACTTTTTCTATTTCCATTATTTTTTCCTCTTCTTTTTCTATTCTTTACTCATTTCCATTAATTAAATTTTGAATAATTGAACAATTTGAATCATTATATTTCTTTTTAAGATCAACTCTGAGATCTTTAATATTTGGAAGAGGAATACCAACAATGATGACACCACGAGCATACTCGTCTGAAAAGTTGATACCTTCACTGACTTTACCACGACACACTGAAAAGAGGGTGGCACCTGTTTTGACGGCATCATTGTATCCTTCCAACACTCGTTTGAAATCCTTGGTTTGTTTTGGTTCGAAAAAGATTGGTTTGCATTGATCAATCTTGTTGTACATGCCAGTCATTTCCCAACGATTCTTTATCTTTTCCATAAATGCATAACTTGGGAAAAAGACCAATACTCCATTTGGAACGACTTGAAGGTGTTTGAGGATAGCATCGCCGAGTGCATCTTGAAATTGGAGATTCTCGGATCCCTTGAATGTGCAATCCATCTTGGTATTGTTGGTGCCTACGCCAAGCGTACCAATCCAAACACGTTTGGTGATGTCACCTAGATTACCGAGTTCGGCAGTCACTGGGAACGGCGATGACAATTCACTGGCAAATGAATTTAACGGTGCCAATGTACCAGATGTTAAAATGATGGTACGTGCCTTTTCACGAATCGATTTGAATGCCGATCTAGGATTCATACACCAAATACCATAACTATAGTATAGTTTGGTACCACGAGCCGCTGGAACATACACTTCCTGACGTTGGAAAAACATTCTAAAATCGGAAATGAATTGCAAGTTGCCAAATACAAAGTCATAGACTTGAGCAAGATTTGCTAAAATACCCAAGATCTTTGGACTCAGTAATTCATTGTCACGTTTTTCCATTTTAACTCTTTGCTTTGTTTTTGATTGGTGTTCGTCGGCAAGACCCTTTTCACCAGGTTTGTTTGGTGTTTCTGCAGAAACAGTACCACCACCTTCAGTATCATCCTTTTCCAATCGATCCAGAGATTCCCTCAACTTTCTATAATTTGCAGCTGTCAATCCAAAATCCTTTTCCAAAACCTCTAGAATCTTTCTACCAGACCATACATTGTTTTGATTCTTATAGTCTTGATCGGTCAGTACCTTTTCATTCCTTGACATCCATGTACCCATCTTATCAAACAATGAATATAAATACAACATTGTCTCTTTTTCATTTGGTGTTGCTTGATCCATAATCATTGAATTACTCATCGTATCTTTACATTGTGTTGTTGATTCATTAACCTCTTCTTTTGTTAATTCAAAACTTGCTGCTGACATTAATGAATCTTCTATATTACTAAAATAAAAAAGAATAAAAGTAAGTTAATAAATAAATAAATAAATAAATAAATAAATATTCTTTTCTTTTGTCTATTTTAACATACTGAGCTTCATCAAAAATAATAATTGAATTATCAAAATGTTCTTTAAAAATTTTACGGATACTTGGTTCAATGATATAATTGTAAGGACAAAAGATTAGATTTGCATGTTCGATGAAACCTTTTGAAGCATAGTATGGACATTCACCGAGATCTTTACCACCATCGATGAAATCTTCGATTGACCAAACCTCCTTTTCTCCACCCGGTAGGAACTTTGGTATCTGGGAGAGTGAGTATTGCTTGGTACGACGTTCGAATCGACAGTTTCTCTCTTTTCTTACTTTTCTGCACTTGTCCTTTTTACGATCATACCCAGCCAATTTCGGATTGATACAATAATGATCTCTTGATGCCAATACACACATACGTGGTCTATAAGGTGTCTTTAACAATTCAGAGGTCAATTGTGCAATTTGTGAATGAGTTCTTGAACAAAAGAATATCTTTGGTACTGATGCCACTTCTTCTTTTGCTTTTTCTAATAAATCTGGTGTTGATACGTTGGTTGTTGGTGATGTAGCTGCAGAACCACCATATGGTGTTGAAGGTGGTGTTGTACTTTGACTTTGACTTTGTGATTGTGATTGTTGTGATTGTTGTGAACTTTGTTGATGATGAGCTGACATTGTTCTTTGTCCATTACCATTAAGTGGTACATAATCAGATTGCAACTTTACACCAGTATCACTAAAATCATCGAGAAAGGACATATCACTCGATACAATCTTGGTATCTTCATCCTTTTTAGGTCGTTTTCTTCGTTCTTCCATTAGATACCGTTCCTTGTTTGCCTTTTCCCTTTCAGCGCGTGCCAATGCGTTAATGTTGGAGTCTCGTTCTGCCAACTTGCCCTTTTGCCACTCGAGTGTTGCACATAGCAAAGACAGTGTCTTTCCCGTACCAGTTGCAGACTCCAACAATGCATTCTGACCCTTTTCACAAGCCTCTAATATTCTATGCATCATAGTTGCCTGTGTATCATAAGGTTCATAAGGGAATTTAATATTATGACCATTGATCTTGTATGTTGTTCCATCTTCTGATTTACTCCATTCTACTGTATCTGGTTGTGTTGTAGAAGTATTAGATGTATTATTTGATGTTGTTGATGTTGTTGATGTTGTTGATGTATTTGACCATGATTTATTATAACCATTATAACCACCACCTTTATTATAGTTTGAATAAGGTGATTGTGTTGATGAAGCAGCATTATACTCTGATTTGATAGGTGTAACAGGTGCAAATGTACTCTTTTGATTGTAAATGCTATCGGTCGATGTTGAAGATGGCTTTGATGATATCTTTAACGAGATTACCTTCTTTTGTGGTTGTGATGATGGTTGTGACATGATCGTAAAAGATAGTATACAACCTACTTGCTTGAATACACAAACTTAATTGTTATTCAATAGATTATTTTAATAATAATAAAAATATTAATAATATTTTTTTTGTTTGTTTGGGCAAGCAGTGAAAGCTTTCACCACCAAAAAAGATTAGAGTATTCATTATTCATTTTTAGACAGACACCCCAATTATTATTTCTTGGAATTCTCAAGTTTGTATGAACTATTATCTCTCTATCTCTCTAACATCTCTCCCTTTTTTTGATCTTTTAAATTAAATCGCAAACATGATTCAAGATATGATATGATATCTCCTCAATGAAATAAATGGGTGAACTATATGACAAGTTCAAACTTTGAAATACTACTATGTATGTATGTGATAATCATAATTAATTAATTAATAAATCTAGAATAAACCCAAAAAAGTATTGTTATCACTCGTTTGTATGGTGCAATTTGACGATCGTCACCGAAATTTGGTTTTGAAATTTCTTTCAAACGTTGGTCTGTTTTTTTGTAGTTGGTGCAGAACTTGGTGCAAGTCTGCAACGCACACTCTCTCAGATCATAAGGTTTTTTTCTTCTCCTTTTTATCTTTATCTTTATCTTATTGTAGTACTATAACTAAAACAAACAGAAACATTACGCGCATATATTATTTATTTATTTTATATTTGTATTACCAATTTAAAAGATTAATTAGATTCAATCAAAAAATAATAACAAAAAAGGTATGAGAAAACCCAACCCCTAAACCTAGTATAGCACAACAACACTTTGAGAAAATCAATCACCCTCCCTGAACGCACATCACGCCCGTTCAACACGCACGATCACCCCCATCATCACTAACCAAACCACACCTCAAACAAACAAAAACAAAATTGGTTGTTGTTCCATTTCGCTTGATGTGAATTTGAACGCAGAATTTATCTCTGTATTTGTATAAATACTACTCTACTTTCTCTCTCTCTGTCTACGACGATCCAATTCATTCAGAACTACAAGTATTCTCTATCTCTTTCTTTTTAATATGTATGCTATACAATACAATACAATACAAACAATCGATCAACAACTGTAGCATTCCCTATCGATCATCGTTTATCATCATATGATGAATATAAATTATATTCATTACGCATATTATATTCTTTTATTCTTCCTACCTTTCCTCCTCATCCATCATCTATCATTCATCTATATCATTCAAAAAATTAATTAAACACAATAGTCAGTCTGACAGAATAATCATTTATTTATTTCTTACCCACACCACACTCTGTCTCTCTCTCTCTATATTTCTATTTCTCTCTATCTTACTCTTTCTTTAAATATTATTATTATTATTAAAAAACGATTTAATAAATCTAACATAATTTAATTTAATTAATATAGACACGAGACATAATTAATAATTATAACAATAATAACCCGATCATCATCATTTTCCATTAATATTTCTTTTAATATTTAAAACAAAAAAACAACAATTTCAAACCATTAATAATAATAATAATAATATATCATACGAATAGATATATTTACATACGCAATTATTATATTTATATACATCAACAAATCAAATCAAATCAAATCAAATCAAAATCCAACCAAAAATAATAATAATTATTGATAGAATATAGAATGTGTAGATTTATTTTTTATTTGGGATCACCAATTAAATTATCGGCCATTGTAACTGAACCAAGTCATGGTTTATTACATCAAAGTTTACATTCAATATGTCCAGGTGTTTCTTTAAATGCCGATGGTTTTGGTATTGCATGGTGGGTACCAGAGATTACTCCGATTCCATGTGTTTTCAAAGATATTACTCCTGCATGGTCAAATGTTAATCTTAGACAATTATCAAGAGTGGTAAAGAGTGGCTGTTTGATGAGCCATATAAGGGCTGCATCTGCCGGAGCCATCACAACTACCAATTGTCATCCATTCACCTATAGAAACCTCAGTTGGATGCATAATGGTACTCTATCTTATCATACTCAATTAAGAAGAGATGTTTTAAATCTTTTATCTCAATCTGTATGTAATACAAAATATAATATAAATAATATTTAATTAATTTATTAATTTATTTTTAATTTTAGGGATTTGAATTAATTAAAGGAACAACAGATACAGAATTATTATTTGCATTATTTATTACCAATTATGAAAGAGAGATTGGATATGTACCAAAACCAAAAGAAATATCGACCACTGCCATTTATTCGACACATCATAGTTTTCTTGAACCAGAGGAAGAAGCCTATCCAAAGAGACACGACAATGCTCAAATATTTGCAAAGGTATTGAAAGAGACGATACATCAAGTTCACGCACTCATATTAAAGTATGAGATTGACAATGGAATAGTGATGGACGAGGGTGATGCTGGTGCATCTGCGACACTACAGATAACAAAAACTTGCGCAAAACTTAATCTATGTGTGTCTGATGGTTCGTGTGTCGTTGCATCTCGTTATGTGACTGGTCCAACTACTTGCGCACATACATTGTTTTGGTCACGTGGTCAATCACTCGAATGTGACAAGGGTGCATGTCTCTTGTCGGGAAGCACCAACACTCTCAAACAATCGGTTATCATTAGTTCCGAACCTTTGGCTCTGGATTTCAAATGCAGTGAGGTCCCTGTCAACAATATGGTCGTTGCAAATGATGATGGCTATTTTGAAATCCTTCCAATAAATTAATATTAATTAATGTGATTTTAGTCAATCGCTGATACTAGAATAAAGTGAATGATTGTTTTTCTCTTTATTACTTGTTTTAATAATATATATTAATTAAAAATCCATTGATCAATCCACCAACTAGAGCCAAAAGAAATATCATCCACCAGCTATTGTCTGACCTTTCCTTGTTCATCTCTTTTTTCCTTTGCGATACGATCTTGTTCATCTCTTTTTTCCTTTGCGATACGATCTTGTTCATCTCTTTTTTCCTTGTCAATGCGATCTTGTTCATCTCTCTTTTCTTTTGCAATACGATCTTGCTCGTCTCTCTTTTCCTTTGCAATACGATCTAGCTCGTCGTTTGTAGCCTTTTCCTTTGCAATATGATCTTGTTCATCTCTCTTAGCCCTGGCAACACGATCTTGCTGTTCTATATCGGCCATTTCTTTGGTGAATGGAATAAATCTAATATTAAAGTATTGAGCATCCTGATACACTTGGTGAATATTATCTTCGTCCAATTCAATTAATTTGATCATATTTTTTAGTGGGTATTCAATACCTTTGGAGTTACTAAACTGATTGTTCAATGCTTCAAATTTAAGTTTATCTACTTGACAAAACAGATGTGGATAAATCGATTTTTGAACATGTGATACCACTCCAATATCCACCAAACCAATTGATATGAAAGTATCGTTGTTCTCCCATTGAAGAATATCCTTTTCCCTAAAAAGTAACAATGTTAATAATTGATCAAAAAAACAATATTATTGTGGTACATACGTCTTGGTTTTACCAACTCCATAACATTTTTCACCAAGCATCAAGATGAAATCGCAGACCTTGTTGTCTTCGATGAATGAATTGGTAATGTTGGTGTGTCCAGTGAGATGATAAATATTGATATCTTTTTCCAAATTTGACTTTATAGTATCCTTTGCTGTGGTTATGTGGATTGCACATCTAAAACCTAAAAATCCTTTGTGACCCTGCTTTAAATGGTTTAGTAACAGTGGCTGATTGAATGATTTACCAAGAACTAGTGTTTTAAGTGACTTTGGCAGCCCTTTCATTTCACTATTAAATGACGACCCTAGTATTAATGTTTCAACTCTACTAGGAATATCACCCCAATTGATCGGTTGATTGAACTTACCAAATAACTTTAATTTTAAAAGTGTTGGTGGAAGTAATCCAGTGAGGGGACTGTTGAATTCACCATCCAATATTAATGTTGTTGTGCTTGATAGGATTTGTCGTTGATCGATTAAAAACGATGTGATTCTTTGTGTGTGTTGGTTGACGTCTCCATTAAAATCATCCAATGAAAGACGATCACGAGGTGTTGCGATTAATAGTTTCGTGACAAAATTAATTAAATGTTCAGAATATCTAATAGTTGATATTTTAATATGTTCTGCATTAAAGTTGTTTTCTTTGTGGTTCTTGATAAATTTTCTTCTATTTTCAATATCATCTGGATGGCTAAAATAATAATAATATTATTCGAATATCATTATAAAAAAACTAAAAAGATCCAATTTAATCAAAAATAATTACCATGAAAGCAAATGTAAAAGAGTTGAACCAACCGAATATATATCACTTGAAGAGTAATATTTCTTTTGTCTTGATTCCTAAAATGAGATTTCAATTAGTTGGTAGAAGTTTTTAATTAAAAGATGTGTCTACATACCGGTGCATAATATCCATATGTTCCACGAGAGACAGGAAGATTCGAAGTGTCATTAATATTTATGGTTTTATCAACTGGTTGATTTTGAAAATGGCAACAACCAAAATCACCAAGAACTATTTCGCCATCTGTTCCAATAAATAGATTTAGTGGTTTGATATCAAGATGTAAAAGATTGTGTTGGGATAGTTTTTCAAGTATGAGGAATAATCGTCGAATATATCGCCATATTTCTGATTCTGTAATATATTGATATTCGGTGCTTTGTTTTTGCTTTTGAGATTCATTCCTAAAAAAAAGACAATTGTCAGCGCGAGTAATGGATTGTAAACGAAAATGACATACCATTGATAGATTGATTGAAATATTTGTTCTAAATCACCACCCTCACAGAAATGTGTCAAAAGATATATCTTCTTTTCCTTGATATCATCTTGGTGATCTTTGTATTGTACAAACATATCGTCGTTGATAAATAGTTTCATCGTTGCGATTTCAAATTGTACTTTGTCATAGAGATTTGGATCTTTTTGTTTCTTTGAGTAATCTATTTCTTTGTAAACAAACTAAAATGAAATGAAATAAGATAATTTAGGTTGGTATTATGAATTAAACTATGATACATACCAATTCACCTTGTGATTCAGACATGACCAAAAACACTTGGTTGGCGGAGTATGGAAAAGAGTGAAGCTTATAATATTTGTGCTTGTTGACTGTAACATAGGAAGAGTGGTTGATAGGGTATGTCATTAAATAGTTGGAATGAAATATCGAGTTGGGAGTATGTACAGAAGTTGAGCTTGGTTCTACCTCGAATTGATCAATGTTGCCGCATTGGTCTTTAGAAAAAATGAGGATTTGATCTTTGAAACTAGGAAGCTTCAATACTCCGTATGACGTTGTCTTGATGAAACGCTTGTTAATTCCAATTGGTTGTTGGAAATCACATAAAAATCTTAGGACCGATTTTGAACCTGGGCAATCAAACTTTAAAGTTTGTAATGATGTTGGTAATACTCCAATTGTTAGGGTGTGGTTATATCTTTTACCAAACACCAAAGATTGTAATGATGTAGGTAATACTCCATCTGATAGTGGTTGGGTAAATCTTTTACCAAACACCAATGATTGTAATGATGTTGGTAACACTCCAATCGAAAGTGCTTGATTATATTCATCACCAAACTCCAATGATTGTAATGATGGTGGTAATACTTTGGCTGATATTGATTGATCATACTCTCGACCAAACTTCAATGATTGTAATGATGATGGTAATACTCCAACTGATATGGTTTGGTTGTAGTAATCACCAAACTTCAAAGATATTAATGCAGATTTTAATGATGGTAATACTCCAACTGGTAGAGGTTGATTATATCTATTACCAAACACCAATGATTGTAATGATGTTGGTAATACTCCAACCGGTAGACGTTGATCATATCTATCACCAAACTCCAATGATTGTAACAATGGTAATACTCCAACCGGTAGAGGTTGATTATATCTATTGCCAAACCTCAATGATTGTAATGTTGGTAATACTTGATCTGACAGGCGTTGATTATAGTCATCACCAAACACCAATGATAGTAATTTTGTTGGTAATACTCCAACTGATAGAGGTTGATTATATCTATCACCAAACACCAATGATTGTAATGTTGATGGTAATACTCCAGCTGGTAGGCGTTGATTATATTCCCAACCAAACTTCAATGATGTTAATGATGGTGGTAATACTCCAACTGACAGAGGTTGATTATATTTATCACCCAAAATCAATGATTTTAATGATGATGGTAATACTCCAATTGATAGAGGTTGATTAAATCCATCACCAAGCGCCAGTGATTGTAGTGATGATGGTATCGATCTTTCTTGGTTGGGGAGATAGGTCGACATCGATTTATTCGATAGGATCTGTATATCAAAGTGAACATTGTATTCACTCTGTTGGAATTTAGGCTCAACAACCATGTCTTTTCCATTTGTAGACTTTTTGTTCATTTCAATTGGCAAGCAAAAAGATTGACCAAATATCAAAGTTTCTACTCCTTTAGGAATATCACCCTCTTTGATCGGTTGATTGAACTTTCCTCCCAATTTTAGTTCGGTAAGTGTTGGTGGAAGTAATCCTCTGAGAGGAGTGTTGAATTCACCATCCAATATTAATGTTGTTGTGCTTGATAGAATTTGTCGTCGGTCGATTAAAAATGATGAGATTCTTTGTGTGTGTTGGTTGACTATTTCTCCATTCAAATCATCCAATGAGAGACGACCGTCAGGTGTTGTGGTTAATAGTTTCATGACAAAATTAATTAAATGTTCAGAGTATCTATCGGTTGATATATTAATATGATAATCGAGTATGTATTGCTTGTGGTTGTTGATAAATTCTTTTCTATTGATAATATCATCTGGGTGACTGAGAAATAAAATTAGCACGTTGTAAGCAATAATTATCCGTTCAATCAAATAAATTAAAATAATTACCATGAAAGTAAATGTAAAAGAGTTGATCCAACCGAATATATATCACTTGAGGGGTAATATTTCTTTTCTTTTGTTTCCTATAAATGAAATATATTAGATAATTGGTTGGTCAGTTATTAAAGGTGTATACATACTGGTGAGTAATATCCGTTTGTTCCACGAGAGGGAAGTGTTGAAGATATCATAGAGGAGGCAGTCTTATCATCGGTCTCTCGTTTTGTGGATTTGATAGATCCAAAATCACCAAGAACTATTTTGCCGTCTGACCCAATAAATAGATTGAGTGGTTTAATATCAAGATGTGCAATTTTATGTTGATATAGTTTTTCAAGTATGAGGAATAATCTTCGAATATAGACCCATATTTCTGATTCTGTAATATATTTATATTTTGGAGGTTGTTGTTTTTGAGATTCATTCCTAAAAGAAAATGTTAGTGAACACTGTTGTTTACTGTGTGACCATAAATACTATAAATAACATACCATTTAGTCATTGATTGACACAAATGTTCTAAATCACCACCTTCACAGAAATGCGTCAAAATATATATTTTTTTTAAATCAGAGTCATCTTGGTGGTCTTTGTATTGCACAAACATAGAGTCTTTGATGAATAGTTTAATCGTTGTGATTTCCAATTGGGTTTTGTCATAGATTGATTGATTGGAGGAGTAATCTATTTCTTTGTAAACAAACTAAAATACAAATAATGAATTAGTTATAGGATAGAGGTGTATGAATTAAACTTTGATACATACAAGTTCACCTGATGATTCGCACATCACCAAAATAACTTTGTTGGTTGCGTGTGGAAAAGAGTGTAGCTTATAATATTTGTTAGAGTTGACTATGACATAATCTTCGACTTTGATTGGATATCTTATTAAATGGTTCGGGATTGAATTGGAATTGTTGGCCAAAATAGAAGCGACATCGATATTGTGTTCTGACGGTGATGTAGAAAGAATGAGAGAAGATTTGGTACCCGGGAGTTTTATGGCCCCATGCGATTTTAATTTAATAAAGTTTCTGCTTACACCAATGGATTGGTTGTTTTTTTGTTCGACAAATAATATTAAAGGAGTTGTTGGGTCCCCACCAAACACCAATGATTTTAATGATGTTGGTAATACTCCAACTGATAGAAGTTGATTATAGTTCCAACCAAACTTCAATTCTTCTAATGATTTTGGTAATACTCCAACTGATAGTGGTTGATTATATCTCCAACCAAACTCCAATGATCGTAATGATGTTGGTAATACTCCATCTGATAGAGGTTGATTATAGTCATTACCAAACACCAATGATTGTAATGTTGATGGTAATACTCCAACTGGCAGTGGTTGATTATATCTGTTACCAAACATCAATGTTTTAACACTATCAGGAATATCACCCTCTTTGATTGGTTGATTAAACTTTCCCAAAATCTTTAGTATTTTAAGTGTCTCTGGAAGTAATCCTTCATTGAGAGGAGTGTTGAAATCTCCATCCAATATCAACGTTGTCGTGCTTGATAGAATTTGATCGATTGAAAATGATGTGATTCTCTGTGTGTGTTGGTTGGATATTTGGGCAATAAAATAAGCCAATGTAAGACGATTTTCAGTTTCTTCGAATAGTTTCTTGACAAAATTAATTAAATTTGCAGAATATCTAACTGTTGATATTTTAATATGATCATTACTATCTCTGTGTTTGTCGATAAATTCGATTCTGTCTGCATGATCTTCTGGGTGGCTATTGAATCAAATATTTCATTGTCAATAAACCAAAATTAATTGAAATCAAATTAATAAATAAATTACTTACCATGAAAGTAAATGGAAAAGAGTTGATCCAACTGAATATATATCATTTGAAGGGTCATATTTCTTTTGTTGTTTTGATTCGAAATATATTAGAAATTGGGTTGTCGGTTCTTAAAAGATGTATACATACCGATGCGAATGATCCTTTTGTTCCAAGAGAGACAAGCCCCATAGATATCATATCTGAATGTGAAGTGTCAACGTAATCTTGATTATTTGTGGTTTTATCAATCGTTGGCACTGATCGGTTTGGTTGTGTTAATTTGCGACCACAACCAAACCCACCAAGAACTATTTGGCCGTCTTGCAGAATGAATAGATTGAGTGGTTTGATATCAAGGTGCACAAGATTGTGTTGATATAGTTTTACAAGCATTTGGAATAATCGTCGAATATAGACCCATATTTCTGATTCTGTAATATATTTATATTCTGGGTAAGGTTTCCCCTTATTCCTAAATAGATGTGTTAATAGTTAATTGGTAAATAATGAGCTGGTAATATCTTACCATTGATGCACTGATTGACATAATTGTTCTAAATCACCACCTTCACAGAAATGTGTCAAAAGATTTATCTTTTTTGAATCTCTGTTATCTTGATGGTCTTTGTATTGCACAAACATAGAGTCTTGGATGAATAGTTTCATCGTTGTGATTTCAAATTGTACTTTGTTGTAGATTGATTGATTGGAGGAGTAATCTATTTCTTTGTAAACAAACTAAAATACAAATAATGAATTAGTTATAGGATAGAGGTGTATGAATTAAACTTTGATACATACAAGTTCACCTGATGATTCGCACATCACCAAAATAACTTTGTTGGTTGCGTGTGGAAAAGAGTGTAGCTTATAATATTTGTTAGAGTTGACTATGACATAATCCTCGACTTTGATGGGATATCGTATTAAATGGTTGGTATTATTGATAGAGTTGGGATTTGTGTCGAAAGTTGAACTTGATTCTGTCTCGAATTGATCATTGGGAACGTTTGATAAAATTAGGGTTCTGTCTTTGCAATTTGGAAGCTTCGATAATCCATATGAATGCGAATTAATGAAGCGTGTGCTGATTTCAATTGGTTGTTGGAAATCACAGAAAAATGTTAGAACTGACTTTCCTGGGCAGTCAAACTTTAAAGTTTGTAAAGTTGGTAATACTCCGATTGATATTGGTTGATCATATCTATTACCCAACGTCAATGATTTCAATGATAATGGTAATATTCCAACTGGTAAACGTTGATTATAGTGAATACCAAACACCAATGATCGTAATGATGATGGTAATACTCCAACTGGTAGAGGTTGATTATATCTACTACCAAACACCAATGATTGTAATGATGTTGGTAATACTCCAACTGATAGAGGTTGATTATATCTATTACCAAACACCAATGATTGTAATGATGTTGGTAATACTCCAACTGATAGAGGTTGATTATATCTATCACTAAACTTCAATGATAGTAATGATGATGGTAATACTTCAACTGGTAGTGCTTGATTATATCTATCACCAAACATCAACGATTGTAATGATGTTGGTAATACTTCAACTGATAGACGTTGATTATAGTCAACACCAAACACCAATGATTGTAATGATGTTGGTAATACTCCAACTGATAGAGGTTGATCATAGTCATAACCAAACACCAATGATTGTAATGATGTTGGTAATACTCCAACCGATATTTCTTGATTATATCTATCACCAAACTTCAATGATTGTAATGATGATGGTAATACTCTAACTGGTAGAGGTTGATTATAGTCGTAACCAAACTCCAATGATTGTAATGATGATGGTAATACTCCAACTGATAGAGGTTGATTATATCTATTACCAAACACCAATGATTGTAATGATGTTGGTAATATTCCAACTGATAGAGGTTGATCATAGTCATAACCAAACACCAATGATTGTAATGATGATGGTAATACTCCAACTGATAGCGGTTGGTTATAGTCTTTATCAAACGACAATGTTTCAACTCCAAAGGGAATATCACCCTCATATATTGGTTGATTAAAGTTTCCTCCCAATTTTAATTCCAAAAGTGTTGGTGGAAGTAATCCTCTGAGAGGACTGTTGAATTCACCATCCAATATTAATGTTGTTGTGTTTGTTAGAATTTGTCGTTGGTTGATTAAAAATGATGTGATTCTCTGTGTGTGTTCGTTGATTATCTCTCCATTCAAATCATCCAATGAGAGACGATCATGAGGTGTTGCGATTAATAGTTTCTTGACAAAATTAATTAAATGTTCGGAGTATCTATCAGTTGATATTTTAATATGGTCCATATCAAAGTTGTTATTTTTGTGGTTCATGATAAATTGTTTTCTATTTTCAATATCGTCTGGGTGACTGAGAAATAAAATTAGGCATAGTCATTTGGACATAACGTTCAATCAAATTAAATTACTTACCATGAAAGTAAATGAAACAGAGTTGAACCAACCGAATATATATCACTTGATGCGTAATATTTCTTATGTTTTGATTCCTATAAATGAAATATATTAGATAATTGGTTGGTCAGTTATTAAAGGTGTATACATACCGGTGCATAATATCCTCTTGTTCCACGAGTTACAAGTGTTGTAGCTATCATATTTGCATATTGTGTTATTTCCCCATGATCTTCTTGATTATCGATCTTGTGATCATAGATGATTGAACGATTTTGATCAACGAAATAGTGACAACAACCAAACCCACCAAGAACTATTTGACCATCATTTCGAATGAATAGATTGAGTGGTTTGATATCAAGATGTGCAAGATTGTGTCGAGATAGTTTTTCAAGTATGAGGAATAATCGTCGAATATAGACCCATATTTCTGATTCTGAGATATATTTATATTGTGGACTTGGCTTTCTTTTTTCAGCTTCATTGCTAAAAAATGTTTTTAGTGTTAATTGGTCATTAATGAGATGTAAATAAATAAATACCATACCATTTATAGATTGATTGAAATAATTGTTCTAAATCACCACCTTCACAGAAATGTGTCAAAAGATATATCTTTTTTGAATCTATGTCATCTTGGTGATCTTTGTATTGAACAAACATATCGTCGTTGGCGAATAGTTTCATCGTTGTGATTTCAAATTGGGCTTTGTCATAGATCGATTGATTGGAGGAGTAATCTATTTCTTTGCAAGCAAACTAAAATACAAGAATAAAATAAGATATTTGTGTTTTCATAATCAAATACTGCATACCAATTCACCTGATGATTCGCACATTACTAAAAATACTTTGTTGACAGAGTATGGAAAAGAGTGAAGCTTATAATATTTGTTAGAGTTGACTGTAACATAGGAAGAGTGGTCGATAGGGTATCTTATTAAATAGTTCTCATCGTAATTGATTGAGTTGGGATTTGGGTTGCGAGTTGAATTTGATTCTAAATTTAATTGCTCATTCGTGTTGCCATTCAATAGAACGAGTACTTGATCTTTGAAACTCGGAAGCTTCAATACTCCGTATGACAATGACTTTATGAAGTGTTTACTAATTCCTATTGGCTGTTGGAAATCACAGAAAAATCTTAAGGCTGATTTTGTACCTCCCAGGGTGCCAAACTCCAATGATTGCAATGATGTTGGTAATACTCCAAATGATAGACGTTGATTATATCCACTACCAAACTTCAATGATTGTAATGATGATGGTAATACTCCAACCGATATTGCTTGATTATAGTCTCTACCAAACACCAATGATTGTAATGATGTTGGTAATACTCCAACTGATAGAGGTTGATTATAGTCATCACCAAACACCAATGATTGTAATGATGTTGGTAATACTCCAACTGATAGTGGTTGATTATAGTCATCACCAAACTTGATGGTCTGTGTGTGTTGGTTGACTATCTCTCCATGCGAAACTTCCAAATCTTCACTGGATATTCCTAAAGTTAATTGTGAATCTATTTCTTCAGAGTTCATTCTGATATGACTCTTTCTTGGCTTGATCCTTTGAAACAAATGAGAATGTTAGCTTCACTTTACCGAACATAGAGAGCAAAGAAAAAATCAACCCATCAAAAAAAAAAAAAAATTGGTTCGCGTGGCAAATAGATATTTTAAATTTGATCAAACAATTTTAAAAAACAATTGATTATGGCAAGCTATTATTACAATAATAATTATAATTATAACTAGTCAGTTAAAAGAGTAATAATAGTAAAACAGGTAGTTACAAATGGAGCCTGAAGTATCAATTAACCCAAATGATAGTCAAATAAAAGACCACATCACCGTTGTCAACTATATGAGTAGAGCAATAGTGGTGTTTATGAAATCAGGCTCACAACCCGTACAAATCGATAATACGAAATACCTCACTACCATCTTCCCAGGTGGCACTAAACAAAGTATCGCAAAGCGTATTGCTGATGGTCAACCGATTTCTACAAACCTCCTCGTCACAGGTGAAATCGGATACCTCTTTATATTTGTAGCGGTCAATGAAGAGGGTAAAGTACCGAGATATATGCAATTGGTCGACAGAAGAGTAGTAGTTGGATCAAGATTCAATGTTCTAACAAAACATTATTATGCAGCCATACAGACCGATACTCGTCAGTTTGATGAACACTTTCAACTGATCAGAAATGATGTTCAACCAGCACCACTCTTTTATGAATTGTCTTACCCAAGCCCCACCGATCAAGAAGAACAACAAGAAGACTATGAAGATATAAAATAAATTCAATTGTAGTTATTTTTTTGTTGACAAAAATAGATTCAAAAAAAAAATATCTCTATTTTTGTTTGACACATCCACATCCTCAGAGAGTTATCATCATAGATAATAAATAGTATTATTAACCCTTAATTAATTGTTGTTTAAACACAAAGAGTAGTATATAATTATGATAGAACCAGATGTATCGATTGAACCAGGCAAGGGAGAGAGTGAGAGCCCTATATACCCAGTTATCACAGTTGTCAACCACTTGTCGCACCGCATCGTAGTGTTTGTCAAATCAGGTGTACCACCCTCTAATATAAAGTTAACTCCACAGATGCTTTTCGATGCCATCATCGTTAAAGGTCCCAGAAATTCCAGAAAAAGCATTGACGGTCGTGTTGGTCAACAACCACCAACATCTGCAAACTTTGATGTCGTAGGCCAACTAGGATACCTCATTATATTTGTAGCTATCAACGAAGACAATCAACCTCTTAGATACATTCAAATGCTCAGCAGAAGAATACAGAATGAATCAAGATTCAATGTTCTCCCAAGGCATTATGAAGCAGCCATTCAAACTGAAACCAATCGTTTCAATGAACACTTTCAACTGGTCGCCAATAATGATGCTGTTCAACCATTAATTAATGAATTAAACTACACAAGTCCCGATCAAGAAGAACAAGAAGATATAAAATAAACTATATATGTCTAATATTATATTATCTATTATTTTTGCGAAAAGCAGGTAAATTATGTACAGAAGAATTTATTTATTATTTATAAATATATATTATAAATATATTTTTGGGAGAGTTGATACAGGTGTATTTATTATTACTATTATTATATATATTATAGTTATTAATTGGTTGTTGAAAAAGATACTATATTGAGGACATCCCTACTACAGGATGAACTGTTATGATGACAATTGAATCTTTTGTTTGTTGTTTGGTTGGTTGTCGTTTTTTTGTGATTGATTAGAAAACTACTTAAACTAAAAGAATACTCTCCCTACCCATATTATTATTATTATTATTATTGTGTTGAAAACAACAGTCAGTTGGTTATAATGATTACAGTGTTAATGTGTTTTTTTTAAAATGGAGGCCAGCTCATAAATAATATTGCTTGGCAATGGTGATGTTGATAGTGATGATGGTGATATGACATGTGATGATGGATTAAACAATAATTGCTGTAATTGTTGTTGTAGTTGTTATTGTTGGTAGGATGAAGCATGTGTGACTCGGTTGTTATTAATATTATTATTATTATTATTATTTGATTATTTTGATTATTATTTGATTATTTTTGATTTTGATTATTTTTTTGATTATTATTAGGCAGCGATAGAATCATTTGTTTGTTGTGAACGAAATGAACCTTGATCGCAACTTCCTCTCCTGGGGTAGTATGGCGAGTTATTTCTACGTGGAGAGTTGGAGGCGGGTGGGGTGATGTTGCCAACGGGCACTCTGATGAGTTGTGGCATTCGATAGGCGGTGAATCGATTCTTGGTCTCTTGAATGCAATTCGAGTATTCGGCAAAGACCTGGTCGTCGCACACAGCATTAAACTTTACAAGATTAAGGAAATCCAATTCCAACTTGTTCATTTCTTTTAAATTAATTCCTCCAACTTGTGAATAAAATTCATTATTATAAAATCTAAAAAGTAAAGTAAAGTAAACAAAAGTAAATAAATAAATAAATAATTAATATTCAATTCTATTTTGTTTTGATTTTGTTTTAATTTTGACTTACATATCATCAAGATATTTAGTTGAAATGACCAAAGTGGTAATTAAGATTCTATGGATATTATATGAATTTACAAGGAGATGACATTCTTTGGAGAGACGGTCGATATAGATGAGCGAAGCGATAAAACATTCGGATGAACATGGCGAGTATTTGATGAGTCTTTGGAGATAGTCTCTGATCGAGATGGAGGGGAGCTTGTTGTTGGGTGGGTAGAATTGTTCGTGGGTTTGCTTGTCAATCTTGTCGCCATAGTTGACTATATTGGATATGCAAGAGGTATATACATCCAGTAGGATCTCTGATTCGACGGCATTGTGATATTCTTTGGTTGGATGAACCGTCTTTAAAATATCAAACAATGATACTGGTAATAATAATGGTGTTGATATTGTCATTTTTTTACAAATATATAAAAAAAAAAAAAAAGTATACAAGTTTTTAAAAAAGTTGGAAAAAAAAAACTATAATTATTATTATTATTATATATTATATAAATATAGTTTAGGGAAATAAATAAATTAAAATTAAATGAATGAAATTATATATACAAAAAAAATAGTTGAATGAGAATTTATATATTTATATGAGTGGAGTGTGTGATGGTGATGATGATGATGATGATGTTAGTGTTGTATGATGATTGATCGTTGTTGGTTGGTTAGTTGAGTTGGTATTTATATATATACAAATTTGGAAAATATAATATATCTTTTAAAAAAAAGAGGGTGGGATATTATTACTATTATTATTATTGGTGTTTGGTTAGTTGATGTTGTGTTGTTCGATAATAAACAATTCGTGTTTTTTAAAACAACTATTAGTAAAATAATAATAATAAGGGAAAGAGGAATAATGAGAATGGTTAGTTAGTAAAGCATGTCTGGCAGTCAATCGGTCAACACAAGTATAGCTGTTGTCGCAGCTGCTCTTTTGTACAAAAGAAGTAGGAATACACTCTCCTCTCTCTCGAGAGAGAGACATGTCAAGTTGTTATATTTAAATATCGACTAACCAAATTCAACCAATTCAATTGGTTAGATGTTTGAGATGGTGTGATCCATATTTCATTTTATAATAATTAATAAAATCATCATCATTTGGCATCGACATCATCCCCAAAAGTAAAACATATAGGTGGATGACGATAATAATATAATATAATCTATTGTTAGATTATCGAGTATAGGAGAATTGGAAATATAGAGAGAAGGAAGAAGGAGTGGTAGGTTATATTTTGGAATAGATCCAATTGCACACACAACAGATAAAATGGAATTGTGTGTGTGTGTTTTGATGAAATGCTATCTGTAAGCATATGTGTGTGAGTGAGAGTGCGTATAGTTGTTGTTTGATGTTTGATGTTTGAGTTGGCTTGAGTGTTAGCTTGCACACGCAACAGACAGATTTGTCTCTGGTTAGTTTGGTTGCAGATGCGCTGCTGCTGCTTTTGATTCTGCTACTGCTGCTACCGAGCTAGCAGCTGAAAATACATTTCTTGGCATGATCAATTGACGGGATATTTATGGATGGAAGGGGATTGAAGAAGAAGAGTTGGGACGCTTTTGGAATTAAGATGATGGGGAAGATAGGATAGAGAATGATGGATTGATTGATTGGATTTACCCAAGTACAATCAATCAATGAATTTGAATATGAATATGAATATGAATTTGATGAATTTGATCAGATGATCAATGGGCAACAACAACAACTACTTGAAAATACAAAAATGATTTAATTCTAATAAAACTACCTACTTGTTTTGTTTGGTTTTTGGGAAGAGCTGGAAAATTAAATATTACAATCTAAGAAAAAAAAAAAGAAATGGATAATTAATATTAATTATTATTATTATTATTATTATTATTATTATTATTATTGTTTTGATTGTAACAATCAATTTTGAAATAGAATAGAATAGAATATCAAAATAGAATAGTTTTAAGAGTTTGCTTTCTCAGCTTGTTTTCAAACAGTCAAGTCAGTTGGTGATGGATGAATGGATTGATGGATTGATTGATTGATGTAAAGGTTTGATTTGGGTTGTTTGGTTGGTTAATGATAGTTAGTGTAGGGCACCAAAAACACAAGTTCTCAATATCCTTGAATAAAAGAAGAGGAAGAGAAGGAGTAAAGGGAAATGAGAGGGCATCCCAACAACACCAACAACAAAGAATGGGTTTAGCATAGTGTTGATGATAGACTGTTTGATGGGTTAAAGAAAAAAAAAAAAAAAAAGGTTAGATCCATCAATCAATCAACCCCCACCATCACTATCACCACCAAAGTGTCAAATGAAATTGACCTATCAAACACTACCCATGTCATTGTTTGCCATATTTCACCCTTTGCACGCACACAAATAATTTGCCAATATTGCAAAAGGAAGAAAAGAAATTGTGTAGAAAAGATTAAAAGGAGGAGGAGGGTCTATTTGCAGAAAACTATAACAACAATAATCTGATCCAATTTGTTTTCGATCATTGTTGAGACATAGAGAGAGAGATGAAATCATGTCATGAGCCAAAAATAAAAAGTTTGTTGAAAAGCAAACAAACAAAGTCAAAATGTGTACTTTTTGTTTGTGGATAATTACATTTGTAGGATTTACTGTTTTAATGATAAAACATGGATAAATAAAAAAAGAACAAAAAGTGTCAATATAATGTTTGTTTGGGGATGATTGATTGTGATTGTGATTTTTTCCCCAATTGTTGATCAATTAATTAATATTGATAATCAGTTTTAACTGATTGATGCATGGGGGAAAGCTCCTCATACAACATACCACACACGCTCACTACAACAGTGATCAGTGGGTTTTCACAGACACACATTCCAAAAAACAAATGAAAGGTTATTGGTTCAAAAGATTGGTTTGGTTTGGTTTGATTGGTCAATGATATATAGAGAGTGAAGGAGTGAGTGGTAGAAAAGTAGGAGGATTGGTCTTACCAAAGGAGAGTTTCTTATGGTTTGGTTAGAAAAAAATATTTGGGGTTGCCTTGGTTGGGGGGTCTTCTGAACAAATAAATTATATGTACAAAAAAGTCAGAGAGACGGAAGGAAGGAAGGAAATATAAGAAAGATATAGATAACTTTTTATATATATTTATATTTATATATCTATTTATCTTAAGAGTTGAAGAGATAAAATAATGTAATGATGTCAAGATTTGTGAGAATGTGATCACATGATTAGTGAAAGTACTTTTGGTTGCATCATGATGGACAAGCACGAAACGCTTGGCACTTTACATCAATATTATTATGAACACCCCTCCACCCATCACATGATGCGCACACTTTGATTTCCTCAATGAACATGATGATTAGGTCAGGTACACGCGTTGAACAATGAATTCATTGATTGAGTTAATTTAAGTCTATGCATCGGTTGAAGGCGAAGAAAGGGACAAGGTCGGGGGTATAGTTGTGTAAAAATAGTGCGATCTTGACAACGAGATAATTTCCTTAGATGTGATTCACACACACACACACACACACACACACTGTTTTGATGGAACATTGGCAATGGAATCCATTACGTCGATCTGAGAGAATGGGTACTGTGTTTCCATTACAAAAAAAAAATAAAAAATGAACAAAGGGGGTGTTGTTTTGATGTTGTATCTGTCCTTTGCTGGTTTGGTTTTCATCTGTCACCCCACACCACCAATCAAAAAAAAAACCACACAATGGCAATGACAATGAGGGAGGTGAGGTTGATACGGAATCATCAATCAGATCGACAGACTCGATCAACCTCCACCTCATTCATCTGTACACCTCCCCCAGCACCACCAACCTTGAAAGTGTCTGGAGAATCAAATGATGAATTTAGATCTAAGCGTATTATTAGGGTTTAGGGGTTGCCATTGACAATCATGCAGAGCTCATCTGCTGGTGGTGATGGTTTTTTAAATAGTGATGTGTGAGGGCGATAAACCGACAAAAGTTGGTTGGTTGCTTGTCATTGTACCTTTTGGAAATGAAAGAAAAAAGTCTGGATGGATTCATCCAAAAAAGAAAACGATTGGTTCCACGGTTTGGTTTTTTCAAAAAAGAGTAAAAGTACAAGATAAAATAGAAACAAAAGGTAGGGTGATTATACTAACTACCTAAAACTTAATTGACCTGTTTGGACAGTGCATGCGCGGTCGACAGGTACACACAAATTCAAGAAAATGTAGGTAGATATCTACTTATTCTACTCTCTTTAGATGGATTTAACGAATGGGTGATAAAGGTTGATTTTGATGATGATGATGATGATGATGAGAGTGATTATTACCTGAACAACCAAAAAAAGAAAAAGATTTACTATAATTAAAAAAAAAGATGATAAAAATAAAAAAGGGGATGTATTTGGTTTGGTTTGGTTTGATTTAAGAATCGAAACATTAATTAATTAAGGCATCGCACACTCTCACACACAATGTGCGAGAATCTATTTATATCTTTTTTTTTTTTTTGAAAACAATAAGTAATACTTTACTTTACTTTTTACAAAAACAGATATATCTGTTATTATTATATTTACAAAAAAGGTTGTTGTTGATCTTGATGATGTGAAAATAAAGATAAAGAGAGATGATTTTTTGTTTTACATTTAAATAGGATGGGACCTGTCTCCTATAACAATTCGAAGGTATTCTAAGCTATTTAGATCAAGTCAACACTGAAATCTAATATCTATCGGTGCTTGTGATTGAACTTGAAAAAGAGACTTGTGTCACTCGCTACATGTAACTACTGCTACTACTATTAACTGCTAGTTTCTATTTCCTACTATTAATATATTTCTATCTTCTTTTTTGTTGTTGATCATAAAGAGTATCCACCGCGCATCGCATCGATGCAGCCTCGGTCACCGGCCTAGAAAAGGCAAGAGCCAATAGATACCCCTAACCCTGACCACGACACACGCATCTACCCATTTACGTTTTAGATGGGTACTTGTAGGGGTGGTGATTACAAAATTGATGGCTATAAAATGTGTGAGTGGGTGTGTTTATCGAGAGAGAGGTCCTCTGACACTTCATCAAAAAACTTGATGAGTCTGCTTTTATGAAAAAAATAAATTAAAAAAATCCAAAACCATGTTTTTGCCTTTTTGACTCTTTTTCTTTTTACAGACTCCAACCTTTTCTGGAACGGGCTTTGTTCTTTACAGAAATTAAAATCAATCAATCGATTGATCATCAAACCATCATGATGATTGATTTTTTTTTGGTGTTTGATGAATTTAAGAATGAAACTTTTTTAAACAAACAAAAAGATGAAGATGAAGATGAAATCTAAAGGAGTAATTGTGTAAAATTTAAAATGTGTATAGTTTTTTTTTAAGAGGAGCATACCTGTTTTTTAGATTAAGAGTTTTTTAATTTAGTTTAGAGAGTTTGTTTTTTTTTAATTAAAGGATAGAAATAGAAATAGAAATAGAATATGATGAATGTGTCAATCAATCTTGTCTATTCAATTGGACAATTCGTGAAAGGGTTTTTAAAGAAAAAACCTGTTCCAAGTTGTAAACGGGTTCTAGATTTTTTTTGGTTTAGTGCAACATCTGATTGTTTTTTTGGTGACGATTTCAGGTACACGCCATCTAATTGGTTGTCCATCTGAACTACCCAAAGTGTGGTTAATTAATCAAAAAGGGGTGGATTATCCCTCCAAGGTACCATTAGTAGAGATTTATTTTATAGGAATGGGTTTAGAGAGACAGCTGGTGGTTGAGGTGATGCAGGGGTAGCATTACTGGACGAGAAATCGTTGTAAGGATATGAAGATTGTTGTTGTTGGAAACCCTTAGAGGATGATTGTTGTGAAGATTGGTCGTTTACGAGTGGGGTGGTTTCTTGTTCCTCACTATCGTGGTGATGGTGGTGGTGGTGGTGGCCCTCAATATTATGACGGTTCTTGATAACGATGATGGGTGCTGCGATCTATAGATATATAAAAATAGTCAAAAAGGGGAAGAGGAAGAGATATGTTATTAATGTGTTGTGTTGGGAACAAGCCCAAGATTAAGTTTTTGTTGTTTGTTGAGTTATATAAACCGTGCGAGATTGGATACTATAAGATGGAGGAAGGAAAGTGATTTGGATTGGTGGTGGTTTCATCCAATTGGTTAATTTACCAAAAATGTATCTATTCCGATTTTGGCGTTTAACCAGAAACCACTAACCAACCAAATCTAATCGAATTTAATCCTCCACCACATCTCCTATTCCTTATCCACATCTTTGTAAATTCATTCTCGTCGTTTATCCATTCTTTCTTTCTTTCTTTCTCAATTGTTTAAAAGAATATAATATATATCTTTTCTTTTTTCGATTTCGTTTCATTTCTTCTTACCATTAAAATAATAGCAACAATATTTAAACCAATTACCAAAATATAATTATTGTAAAGACAAACCAAACCTTGGCCAGTGGCCATACCAGGTCCATCATCAAGACACCATGCTCTTGAAGTCTTTACTGCAGTTGCATCCAAATAAACAGAATATATAGTTAAACATGATAATACAAATATAATTATTGATGACTACAAAATATATATAATGGGTTAGTTTAATGTATCTTCTTTCCTTCTTTTTCTTTTTCTTTGACATACAATAATTGATTTAATTTTACGACCTTTCATTAGGAAAATATAGGTAATGATTGAAATGACGACTACTGCTAAACCCAACAAGATACGAACAGTACTATTTTTAGTATCCCATTTACAAGTGATGACATGGTTGGTATCATTCTTGAATGAAAACTTGGAGGGATTGTATGCAATTTTAGATTCACAAAACTTATTTCCATACGATTCTGATGATCCATTGCCTGTCGTCTCTTTATCTGTCACTTGTGTAAATGAAAATAACATTACTGTTACTGTTGCTGCCTAGAATAAAATAATAAATATAAATAGAGAGAGTGAGTAGATTGATTTAGATTGAGGAGGAAAGATGATCGAGTGACTCTACTTACAACTATCAACAACAATAGAGTAGTGAATAGTATTTTATGTGAAACTGCCATTATTATTTATTATTATTATTATTATTTATTATATTATGATGATGGTGATGTTAAAGACAATGATGATACATGTACTTCTTGTTTACTACTCTGTCTATCTATCTATCTATCAATTCGGTTTTCTCTCTTTTTTTGTTTTCGTTGTGTTTGTTTTAAAAAGTACTACTACTACTACAACAACAACAATGACGATAACAACAAAAAGAATCTCTGTTATCTCCAAACTACTATTAGCACAAAAAGACAAAGACAAAGGGTTGGGTGTGAAAAGCTGTTTTCCTACTAATCCAAGCGGGGGAGAGTAAGCGTTTGATTCATTCAATTTTTTTTGATTTTTTGTTCAAACGAAACGTCACATGAAATCTTGAGATCAAATGTGGACAAGCAGCAAACCATGTTTATTTGTGTGAATAACAACAAATAAAGAGAGAGAGAGAGAATCATTAAACGAGTATAATGTCTGTCTACCTCTACCTCTCTACCTCACACTCACACTCTCTTTCAAATTAAGAGATTTCAAAGTGGTGAGTGATGGTGGTTACTTTTTTGGATAGTGATTCATGAATATTACCATTAATGGTAATAATCTCAATCACATTTTAAATCAATCAAAGGATGATGGCAACGGATAATATATAACATATATAAAGGTGTATCAACATTGAATCAAAACAACCACACTTACACAACCAAACAAACAGACGTACCTCTACTCTACTCTGCACTGCTCCTACTCTACTCTACTACTATGCTCACTTTTTTAAATCATTCATGATTAATCATTTAACAATTTTTAAATTATTCATAATTTATCCTCTTCCATTGAAATAATAATAATCAATAATAATCAATAATAGTTAATAATAGTTAATAATACTTGATAATTAATATAGTAAGAGTAGTACCTTTGTTGATACTTTTTTTTTTAAAATTTTACAAGTCATGATAATAAATCAACCAATTGTTGAAATTATTAAACAAGGAGCAGTGGCAGTAGAGGATGTAAGGATAGCACCAAACAAAAACCAAAGTAAAAGATTCCTCCCCACCTTTTACCACCCACCTCCTGCTGCGATGGCGGGTATGCATCCATTGCATCTGGCTGCACACCATGCCCATCAGTACCACCAACAATCGTTGATCAAGCAGGTACATGTCATTGTCAAGAACACTCCGTTTGGCATCACACTCAAGAGTAATGATCTGTCGTTGGTCAACTTTCACAGCTATGTTGTCAAGGCCACACTGCTCTATGACTGCGACCCACCCAAGCCAGTTGACTTTATACACCAACAACCACTACAATATGTTGCTACAGTGTCTGAAGATGGAAATGAGGTGGTGGTCGACATTAAAATGTCTATCCTATCCTCTCAACACCAAGGATCACTCTTTATCGTAGTACTTCATGTCAGTCATACAAGTGCACCAACACCGGCCAACAATGAACCACTTTCCACCATTTCAGCACATCTAAATAATAATGTTTTGACTGGTAGTACCAATTTGAACCAACTGTGTGTCATTTCACATCCAATTCGTATAGTTTCCAAAGTAGACCATGTTAAAAAGGAGGGTATCCCCATTTTGAAAAAGAAGACCTTTCACGAGATCCTAACAGACAAGTTGAAAAGATTACAAAAATGTCAAGATGGTCAAAGTAAATGGATCAAAAATCTATTTGATCAACATCATTGTCAATTTGATTATCGTCCATTTATCGATCCAGAATGTAATAATAATAGTAGTAATAATAATAATAGTAATAATTCAAATCATTCAACTCCACAACAACATTTTATAAATCATTTAAATTCAGAAGATGATGAAGATCAAATTGAAAAAGATAATGAAAATGATGATGATCAAGATGATGATGACAATTGTAATAATAATAATAATATTGATGAAGCAAATATAAATCAAATTAAACAACAACAAAAAGTAGTAAATCCAACAACAATATTAAATGGAGAAATATATTTTCAAAATAGTTTTAATAGAGTTGTTGAATCTTATAAATGTATAGTATCGATTGATGATAGAAAAGAGGAAATTAAGAAAATGGTTAAAATCCTACACAGTGAGGATTTGGAACAATTGGTAAATGTCTTTATTGAAGAATTACATGATAAAGAAATTCCCCATGTTCAACAACAACATCAACAACAATCAACAACAAGTAGTCATTATCATCAACTTTATCCTCCCATCCACCCTAATCATCATCCACATCATATGCATCAACAACACCAACAATATAACCAACAAGAAATATCACAAAACTTTTTAATTAATAGTAATCCATTAGCATCACCAAATTTAAATCATCATATGATTATGATTGATCCAAGACATAATGATTCATCATCATCATTATTTTATTCACAATTTAATTAAAAATAAATAAATAATTAAATAAATAATTATTATTTTCTATTTCTATTTCTATTTTGTTTGGTTTTTAAAATTGTAAACTTTTTTTATAAACAATTTCTAAATGATTATATAATTGTTGTAAACTTTGTTTACTTGATACTAGGTCATCAGGTTTTACACGTAGATTGATTTGATCGATTGTATGTTTGATGACATCTAAATTCTTTCGTACAAGTGATCCCAAAAACTCTTTACTCGGGTGATTTGATAATAGTAGAAATGATTTCTCGTTACCACAAATCGTATCATCTACCAATCCTTTATGGGTTTCCCAATTCTCTCCACATTTTACAGTTGCATTGAATAAATCTCTTCGACATACCGATATGGTATCTTGAAATTGATTTTGAAATTGATTCCAAAACTCTTTATGTAATTTGTTATCTAATGTTATTCCACATAAAATGGTATAAATATTAGTTGCTACATTCATTTCTAAATGTAATATTTGCTACAAACATAAAAATAAAATAAAATAAATCATAATTAATACAAAATAATAATATTATTATTATCTCTATTTACATACATTTTGAATAGTTTTAAATTTTGGTAAATGTTGTTGAAGAAAAAATACATAGACATGTTTCATATTTGATCTAACAGATTCTTGTTTTGATCCCAATTGATTTGAATTTAATGATATCAATAATTTTAATTGTTTATCAAATTCTTTAAATAATACTGATAATTCATTTTGTATATTTAATACTTCCTACAATTAATTAAAAAACAATAATTAATATATTATAATATTCTTTTCTTTCTTTTCTTTGTATTCTTACATTATAGACTTGTAAAAAAGTTTCTCTATTTTTTGGAGAAGATCTTGTGAAATCGACAATTGATGATGCAAGGTATTCAAAGTTTGGAATAGATGCTACAATTGCTTTACGGAGGAGTGTTTGTTCGTTGTAGATGAGGTAGAGGGGATTTGATTCTTTTGATTGTTTGACGTGTTCGTAGTATCTTCGATTTGATTCTTCGGCCATTGCAACAATGACACATGCCTCACAATAATTGATTACTTGTCCTTCTCTCAATACTCCTGTTATATCATTACTCGATAGTTTGGTTACACATTTGTTACAGAAATTGATTTTACATAGTCCGCATACAACCATGTTGGTAAAGATTCCAAATTTTATTCTAAACAAAAAGAGAGAGAGATTAAAAGAAGTAAGTATAAAGGTATTATCATTTACTATAGTCTACTTCTTGTACATACCCACAATGACCACAATAAGGTTTATTGATTAATAATTCTGTTGCTGGTGGTTGTTGTTGTTGTTGTTGGTGATGATGTGATGGAGGAGGAGTAGTTGGTGGACTAATCAACTTTTTATTTACAAATACATTTGGGAATGATAATTGATCGATTAATCCTCCCCCACCACCTCTATTATTATTATCTACTGTATTATTTGATAATCTTAATGATCTTTCAAGTTTAAAAGATAAGAATTGGTTCTTGTCAAACAGCTTTTTCTCTTGTCTGTGTACATCTCTAAATTTAAAGAATTGTTCTGATTTATCTTTTATAATTGGTTTGTTCATTCACTGTTTGTAGTAGTAGTTGTTGTTGCTGTATTGGTATCTTTTGGTCTTGTTGTTGTTGTTTGATTAGTCTACACTATAATGAAACATAACTAATGATTAGATTTTTGATCAAAATTGATTACATAATTATTTAAAAAGATTCTCTAAAAACAAAGCAATTTGTTTTAAAAATTTGGGAAGATAGATTCTTCTTCATTTTTCTTGCTTCACTATTCGGTAATAAACTTATTAATAATACGAGCTGTACACAAAGAATATTCAAAAGAACTAAAGTTCTCGAAGAATAGCCTCACCAAAACGAACTGCAGTCCTCAGGACTCAAACAAAGATTATTTGCTTCAAGTAAAAGAGAATTGTTATTGTTATATGACTTGGCATTTCAAAAACCATTACTTGTACAATTTAGCAAAGTATCATGGATGAAAGTACTTCACATACCAAAACTTTACAATCATTGGAGTTTGGTGATGAATATAATCAACCTCTATCAGTTGGAGTATTACCATCGCCATTACAATCATTGGTGTTTGGTGATAAATATAATCAACCAATAGCAGTTGGAGTATTACCATCATCATTACAATCATTGGTGTTTGGTAATAGATATGATCAACCACTATCAGTTGGAGTATTACCATCATCATTACAATCATTGGAGTTTGGTTGGCACTATAATCAACCTCTATCAGTTGGAGTATTACCACCATCATTACAATCATTGGTGTTTGGTTGGAGCTATAATCAACCTCTATCAGTTGGAGTATTACCAACATCATTACAATCATTGGTGTTTGGTATTAGATATGATCAACCACTATCAGTTGGAGTATTACCACCATCATTACAATCATTGGTGTTTGGTTGGAGCTATAATCAACGTCTATCAGTTGGAGTATTACCATCATCATTACAATCATTGGTGTTTGGTGATAGATATAATCAACCAATATCAGTTGGAGTATTACCATCGTCATTGCAATCACTAAAGTTTGATTTTACGTACCCTGAATTATTATTATTATTTTTAGTTGATTTCAAGCAACCAATTGGAGTAAGCAGAAACTTTATTACGTCCAAATCACATGGAGTAATCAAACTTCCAAATACCATAAAATATCACCTCACTCTTTCAACAACCTTATCTCCAAAAGAACAAGGTATCGATATTATTTCTGTTTTAACAAACAGTGAACAACCAATTACACTCGACTCCAATCCCAACTCAATCCATTACGACCGCAATTATTCAATGGCATATCCTATCGACCACTCTTCCTATGTTACAGTCAACAGCCACAAATACTATAAGCTACACCCTTTTCCATATTCTGTCAACAAAGTAATTTTAGTAATCTCTGAATCATCAGGTGAAATGGTATGTAAATTGGTTGATCATTGTAAACGATTACATCAATCAGATCACCACCAACTACTAATTTATCTTTTAGTTTGTTTACAAAGAAATAGATTACTCCTCCAATCAATCGATCTATGACAAAACACTATTTGAAATCACAACAATGAAATTATTCATCAACGACTCTATGTTTGTGCAATACAAAGATCACCAAGACGACAGTGATTTAAAAAAGATATATATTTTGGCACATTTCTGTGAAGGTGGTGATTTGGAACAATTATTTCAATCAATGACTAAATGGTATGTTATTACCAGATTTCCCAACGAGGTTTTATTAATGACCAAATTAACACTAACAACACTCTATTTAGGAATGAATCCCAAAAACAACAACCTCATCCAGAATATAAAAATATCCCCGAAACAGAAATATGGCGACACATTCGGCGATTATTCCTCATACTTGAAAAACTATCTCAACACAATATTGCACATCTTGATATTAAACCACTCAATCTATTTATTCGTTATGACGGTGAAATAGCTCTTGGTGATTTTGGTTGCTGTCACACTTACGTTGATCAAAATAATTTGTTAGATGATAACGTAAATATTGGTGAAGACACAAATAATAATCAAGAAACAACAGAATATGCAAATATGATAGCCACAACTCTCGTAACTCGCGGAACAAAGGGATATTATGCACCGGTATGTTTGCAACGCCCTTTAATTAAGCTCTGCGACTGATGACTAACATTTACATTTATAGGAATCAAAACAAAAGAAATATTACGCTACAAGTGATATTTATTCTGTTGGTTCAACTCTTTTACATTTACTCTCATGGTAATTATTATTATTGATCAAGTATTGCATAATCATATCCTTGATAACTAATTTATTTATAGTCATCCAGATGATATTGGAAATAGAATTGAATTTGTCAAGAACCACAAAAATAACAACTTTGATGCAGATCATATTAAAATATCAACAGATAGATATTCTGAACATTTAATTAATTTTGTCAAGAATCTATTAATCTCAACACCCTATGATCGTCTTTCATTGGATGATCTAAATGGAGAAATAGTCAACCAACACACACAAAGAATCACATCATTTTTAATCGATCAACGACAAATTCTACCAAACACAACAACATTAATATTGGATGGTGAATTCAACAGTCCTCTCAGAGGATTACTTCCACCAACACTTTTAAAATTAAAGTTATTGGGAAACTTTAATCAACCAATCGAATGGAATGATATTCCCAATGGACTTGAAACATTAATATTTGGACCATCATTTAATAGTGAAATTAATTCCCTTCCATGGTCATTAAATAATTTAGCTTTAGGAAAATCATTCGATCAACCATCGGCTCTAAAATTTGATACAAATACCACAATACACATAACCACTTTTAAGAAAAAAGAAATTTTGTTCAAATGGACAGATAGATTGAAACGTATAAATACCTACTACTGCCAAGATTCAGAGCAGGTAACCATCAATTCATTTATTAAAAACAAGATTGTTGAATCGAATCTGATCATGACCATCGGTGAACAATGCTATGGTATTGGTAAAATCGAGAGGTATGTAAATCTGGCAAGTCTAATAATAAAACAATGATACTGACCAATATTTTGAATAGGATCAATAATATACTAGAGTGGAAGAAGAATGATGAAATCAAATTCATTATCAATCTAGAAGATGTCAAAGTGATATCACATGTTCAAGCATCAATCTATCCACATTTATTCTGTCAAATAGATAAATCAAAATTTGAATCAATCAATCAACACTTTGTCGAATACCAACCCGACTCTGAATACCCCCTAAAGGAAATGGAGCAACTATTTGAATTGGATGAAGACAACATTCATCAAGTGTTTGAAAATAATGATCAATATCTAAATATTAGATTGATTATCAACCTACCTAAAGAGCAACAATAATATTAAACAAATAAATAAAAATTATTTAGTGAAACACTGTTTATCGATACCCTGCTCTCGAGGTAATAGGTGCCACCAACAGTGAAAGGTACCATAGATGGTTTACCAATAATCAAGCTGTTGGTGTGGAGATGTCATATATAACTAGAGTACTGACAAGATATTTTGATTGTTGTTGCAACACCACTTTTTCCAAGCAATAGGGAATCTCTCTCTCTTGCACTTGTACGACTTTTGCAAAAGAGAATCTTAAGAGGAATTGCATGTATTGGATTACGTTGCTGGGGATGTGCCAGTTTGTAAAAGATTAAACATCAACACACTTTAGTCTTGATGATATTGTGTCTTTCTTTAGATACTTAATTATTTGTTTCATTATTATTATTATGTTCAGCTTTGAAATACAAAAATGTTTTAGGTGGGAAATGTAAGTCGATGGTGCAATTGATTTGATTTTTTCTTATTTTTTAGATATTTTTATGAATTCATTCACACTGGGATTTTCGTGGTTTTCAGCCCTCGTTTTACTTGACCATGTCTTGCTACACTTTTTTTTTTTCTTTAATCACTAGATATTTACTTTAGTAAAGTTAAAGACAGATAGAGATAATAGATAAATAGATAGAGATGATGAAAACAATCATTGTATTTCTAACAATTATTGTTGGTTTGGTTGTTTCTCAAAGTAGTAGTAGTGCTAGCGGTAGTGGATCAGTAGTTGAATTTACATCTGATCTTTCTGTATGTTATTTTAATAAATATATTAAAACGCAAACCTTATAGATCTAAAGTACTAATATATCTATTTCTATCTATTTATATCTCTATTTCTATTTAGATTTCATCAGAATGGGATCATTATTGGGAAAGATGTGTTGGTAGTGGACATGCATGGTTGGGAACCAGAAGAGATTGGCAAGATGCGCTCAAGATTGCACATGACAAGTTGGGTTTTGAACGCGTCAGATTCCACGGTATTTTCGATAACGATATGAACGTCTATCAACAAGGTGCCAACGGTGAAGCCATCTACTCGTGGTACAATGTCGATGTTGTCTATGACTATTTAGTGTCGATTGGCATGAGTCCATTTGTCGAACTCAGCTTTATGCCCAACGACATGGCATCGGGCGACGAGACCATCTTTCACTATATGGGCAACATTACACCACCCAAAAACTTTACCACTTGGAACAACCTCGTCGTTGCCTTTTTAGAGCACGTTATCGATCGTTATGGTATCACCGAAGTGAGCAAATGGCACTTTGAAATTTGGAACGAGCCAAACTGTGGGTTCCTCTATGTGCCAGGTTACGCCAACCAAACCACCGAGGTACTCCAAACCGCCTACTTTGAAATCCTCAATGAAACCTTCTCGGCTGTCAAGTCGGTCAATGCTGACCTGTCTGTTGGTGGACCCGCCACATGCCAGTCGCAATGGATCCCCGAGACACTCCAATACTGCAAGGACAATGGTATCGAGCTCGACTTTGTATCGACACACGAGTACCCAACCGACATTGTCCCTTTGCAACGTAACATTATGTACCAAGTACTCAGCAAGTCGAGAGAGATTGTCGGCGACGACATGCAACTCTTTTACTCGGAATACAACGATGGCTTGTTTAACCGTCACGACACTACCTATGCCTCGGCCTTTGCCATCTTTAACATTATCGATGTCTATGGCTTGAGTGACATTTTCTCTTGGTGGACCTTTTCCGATGTCTTTGAAGAACAAGGACAACAATCGGTCCCATTCAACGAAGGCTTTGGTCTCCAAACCATTTACAATATCGCCAAACCATCATTCAAGGCTTTTGAATTGCTTCATGAAACTGGTAACCTTCGTTACAATACTACTGGTTCTCATCCAACTGCCGGTATCCTCGTCACCAACTCTTGGAATAAAAACGAGGTCCTCGTTTTGGTCTACAACCACAATATCCCAGACGCACCTATGGACACTGAAACACTCGCCATCACCCTCGAAAACATCCCATCCGACGTTAAAAAGGCTACCATTCGTCGTATCGATGAAGACAATTGCAACCCAATCGCTTTGTGGACCGAAATGGGATCACCATCTTACCCATCGACCTCAGAGATTGAACAATTATTAAAGTCGACCGAATTTAATGAAGTATCCATCCCAATTACTAAACTCGATAAACATACCATTCAAGTTCAACTTGATATCCCTCCTCAAGGTGTTGCTGCTATTAAATTACATTTTTAAATAAATAAAAAAGAAAAGACAAATTAATTAATATGATGAAAAAAAAACGGGCAAATAAATATAAATAGTAGATCAAAGAATTTTATTTGATTTTTCAATCGATTTTTTTTTTTGAACAACCTCGAGAATAAAACTTTGAGCAAAAAGGGAATGACTCATTGCTTATTTTATTTGTTTCAAACAGTTATCTTATTTGTTTTATACTTCTTGAAAGACAGAGCATCACTAGTCCACAGCTATACTTCTTCCTCTTTGACCTTCAATAGGTTGTAGGTATACACGACTTACACAACAGCTGAAATAGTTTTATTTTCGAGCGACTTGTCTTGCCGGTTGCTCGTTGTTGGCAAAAAGAGTCAAAAAGTTGGACAAGTTGGGTATCGATCCCAACACCTACCCGAAATTCGAACAAAATGCGAACAGGTCGCTCTGCCATCTGAGCTACAAGCCCACCAATAAAGGACGAAAATGCAGAATTTGCTCCCCGTGGGCATCGATCTCGCCGCTCGATCTATGAAATCAATTTATGCTCAAAAAAAAAGAAACCTTGATTCCTTTTATTTCTTTCCACGCTCCTTTATTCATTGAGCTTTAATCGATTTGTCAAAAAAAAAATCAAAGATTTTGTCTCCAATTATTTCTTTTTTTTCTGCCAAGTCAAAAAGGTTAGACAAGTTGTCTATCAATCTCAACACCTACCCGAAATTCGAATCTATGGTTAACCTGTCAGTTTTACATTTTATATGAAATACAACAAAACATATTTTTATATCATTCTAAAAAAATATCTAAATAAATCAAATTATATCTTTTTTTTATCTAACTATTTTTTTTTTTAACCTTTTATTTCTTCTCTTCCAAATATTTCATTAAATTCTTGATACATAATCTTGTTAAATAGATGAAATGGGGATCCTTCTTTTTCAATCTTCAACAATCTAGAAATAGTTGTGATACCTCCAAAAAAGTAGTTTTGACCAATAAAAACGACAGTGTCATCATCTTGATTTATGAATCTAAAATCAATCTTTTCATTTTTGACATTCCAATTGATCGAGAATGATCTTTTGTTTCTAACAATCCATTCCAAATTATGTGAATAACCAAACATATTACTTGATATCAATTTGCATGACCTAGGCAGTACATCTGCCGAAATATCCTTTTGCAATAACCAACAAGAATCTATAAAAGTAAAACTTTCTAAACTCTCTGGAAATAATCCAACGTAAACTGGAATATCAAATCTAAATACACTTAGATTTTTTAAGTTATTTGGGAATCTAATATTTGGATTATTCATTTTTTCATCTAAAAAAAAAGAAAATGGATGTTAGATTAAAAATATTATTATTATTATGATTATTTATATTTACAAAGAATTTTTAAATGAGTAAGAGTTGAGGGTAAACTATTCATATGATGTTCATAATTGTAAACTTTTAAATGAGTGATTTGAGTAGTGACAATCATTTGTTTCCATTGTTGGGTTGGTTCTGTTTGCCATTGTGAAATGTCGAGATGAGTGAGTGAATTGGGAAAGGATGGGATATGAACAAAATGTTCAGAGTTGTTGACTAGTCTCTCCAAGTTTGGTGGGTATTCATCTAGATGATCCAAATCGATACCTTGAATGACACGTACAGTGTCTGGTACCACGCCATCAGGTATTGGTTTACTATAGTTGCTTCGAAGAAACTTTAGTGATTCTAGTTTGGATGGGATTGACCCTGGTTCCAATTCATGGTAGAATCTAGGTCCAAATGTGAGAGAGGTAACACTTGATGGAATGGCACCAGGTGACACTATAGAGTTTGAAAGAATCAAATCGGTCACCGAAGATGGTACGAGTAAAGGATCATTGATTTCCTTGTTATGATGGGTACCAAATTCAAGTGTTTTAATCGTAGATGGTATCGATCCAACCACTATAGGTCTATTACAATCATACACCAAGTTATTGGTCATTGGTGGTAGAAATGATAAATTAATCGGATTGTTGTTCTCTACTTCTTCCACTGACCTTACTATAACCCTTGTAATATCATTATTTTCTATTTTATCCAATTCAATATTAAATATTACAATCAATTCTAATGAAAAAAAAAAAGAATAAGAAGAGATCATCATCATCATCATTATAATAGTTTACATACCATTGTGAATAAAAGGTAATTGATTTTCAAGTGATTTGATGATACTATTATTGAATGATTTTAGATTGAATTGTTTAAACGCATCTCTTTTGATCATTGTGATCAGATGAGAGATAGAGTTTTGATTGCAACCATGAATCTTGATAAACTTGCTTTCAGGTAGAAATGCTTTTGCGAATAACTGTTCTCTCTTGAAGTAAAAGAATTTACTAGTCAATGATAAGCATATACTATCAATAGGTTTCAAGAATGATATGATATGTATAACTATGATATTTGATAATTGTGTGATGTTCATTTAAATTTAATTTAATATTATTTCATTCGAAAAGGTCGCTTGTTTTTTCACAGCATTTGCTTATTCTTTTTCTTTTTCTTCCTCCTCTTAATCCCACCGATCAATAAATGTCCATGTCTCTAAAAATCAATGAAATAAATAAATTGATATTCTAAATATAGACAACTCTTATATTATTAATAAATTACAGATTTTTTATATTTTAATAAAAATTCATTATCTACTTTATTTAATTTAATATATTTGTCTTGTTGTTTTTTGTGTTTTTTAAGAGGTAATAACCATATTATCCAATTCTCTTGAAATTTCTTCTTTGTAATCCATAAAGTCACCATCATATTTGGTGACGGTACCATCCTTTTTAACGACCCAAATTTCATTGGCAACCATATTGATAAGATGTTGATTGTGAGAGATGAGGACGACACCACCTTGGAAGGCGTTGATACCTATCGCAAGGGCCTCGATGGCATCGATATCCAAATGATTGGTAGGTTCGTCGAGTAGGAGGACATGTGGTTGAGCCCAAGCAAGTTCTGCTAAAATGACACGAGACTTTTGACCACCGGAAAGGGTAGTGATCTTGTGGAGTGGCAAGTTGCCGCAGATACCAAAACGACCAAGATGGTTACGAATCTCTTGTACTGGGGGATTGCTAAATTTGGTTTGGAAGTATTCGATCGGGGTTTGGTCAGTGTTGAGTTGATCGACAAAATGTTGAGAGAAACGAGCGATACGCATCTTTCTCGAACGTTCAATGTAACCTTCGGTTTCGAGGAGATCGCCCATCATGAGCTTCATCAAAGTACTCTTGCCTACACCGTTCATTCCGACCAGGGCAATCTTGCTGTCCATGTCAACACCAGTCTCTAGATTTCTAAACATGGTTGGACGTCCTGGATAACCAAACGATACATTGTCAAAACGTAAAAGAGGAGGGGTGAGCTTTTCAGGATCGGGGAACGAGACAACCAACGACTTGTCTTCCTTTTCAGCAACGACCACTTCAATCTTGTCAAGCTTTTTCTGACGTGACGATGCACTCTTGGCCTGAGTATTGTTTTTGTTCTTTTGAATAAACTCTTTTTCCTTTTTAATCTTTCTCTCCATCTTGTCAATGGCCTTGTCCTTGGTTCTGACCATCACCTCTCTTTGCTTGAGGAAAGCGTCATAATTGCCACGGTATTGGTCAAGACGTTGGTCGTGAATGTGAATGATATTGTCGACAACTTCATTTAAAAAGGTGGCTTCGTGAGATACGACCAACAAGGTACGATCCCAAGCATAGAGATACTTTTCCAACCACACACAAGCATGAAGATCCAAATGATTCGATGGTTCATCCAACAATAATACTTCAGGCTTACAAAACAATGCTCTCGCCAATGCAATTCTCATTCTCCATCCTCCTGAGTAATCTTTACTTGGTTTAGTTGCAATTTCTTCAGTTGTAAATCCTAAACCTACTAAAATGGTTGATGCTCTAAAATAAAATAAATTAATTAATAAATTATTATTATTATTATTATTTTCTATTTTCTTTCTTTTCTTTTTTTCTTACCTATGAGCAGCTTTATCAGATTCAATTTCACGTAATCTATCATAAATATCACGAAGATTATAATTTCTTTTTTCTCTTGGTTCATATGGCCAATTTGGATTGGTTCTATCCAATTCGGTGAGAATCTTTTCTTCTTCGAGCAACCATGCACGTTCAGAGTCTGCCTTTAGTACACATTGGAGTGGAGTGTTTTCATCACCAACGACTTCCTGTTCGACATAGAGTACTCTGAGATGTGGGGCAATGGTGATTTCATCACGAGAGGCAATCTTTTTGACAAGACATGATTTACCAATACCATTTCTACCAACAAAACCATACTTTTTACCATAGGCCAAGGTGAGTGAAGCGTCTTGGAGAAGGATCTTGCCTGGTACGGAAAGAGTCAACTTGTCAAACTTGATATCATTACCAATGTTGCTACGAAGACCGGCAGAGGTTCTTAAATGTACATAGGCGGGTGGTTCACGACCTGGTACATCGTCAATGTCTACATTGTCATAATCAATCTCTTGAGTTGGTACATTACCAATGATTGGATCTTCATCTTGTTGTCTCTTTTTAATTGCCTTTTCTTTCTTTTTCTCCAATTTGGCTTTCTTTTTGGCTAATTTGGCTGCTTTTGCTTCTGCAATTGTTAATACTTTTGGTTCATCTTCAAGTTCCTCTTCTTCTTCAAGTTCTTCCTCTTCTTCTTCTTCTTCTTGAATTTCCAATTTTGACAACTTTGATGATAATTTATCCTTTTTAGATGATTTTTTGGTTGGTTTGACTTCCTCCTCTTCTTCTTCAAGTTCTTCTTCTACGACTTGTTTCTTTCCACCCTTTTTGTTGTCTTTCTTTCCACCCTTTTTGACTGGTTGTGGAATCTCCTCTTCCTCTTCTTCTTCTTCTTCTACAACTTGTTTCTTTCCACCTTTCTTGTTGTCTTTCTTTCCACCTTTTTTAACTGGTTGTGGGATTTCTTCTTCTTCCTCTTCTTCTTCTTCTTCTTCAGATTCGACTACAACTTGTTTCTTTCCACCTTTCTTGTTATCTTTCTTTCCACCTTTCTTGACTGGTTGTGGAATATCCTCTTCCTCTTCTTCCTCTTGTTCATCTTCAGATTCTTGTTTCTTTGGTGTTGGTTTCTTGTTGTCCTTCTTTCCACCCTTCTTGACTGGTTGTGGGATTTCTTCTTCCTCTTCTTCTTCAGATTCTACAACGACGGCAGCTGGTTTCTTTTGAGCAGCTTGTTTGTTACCACCCTTTTTAGCTGGTTGTGGAATACCATCATCTTCATCTTCTGATTCATGTTGTTGTTGTTTCTTTCCACCCTTTTTGTTGTCTTTCTTTCCACCCTTTTTAGCTGGTTGAGGAATACCGTCGTCTTCTTCTTCAGACTCTACTACAACTGGTTTCTTTTGAGCAGCTGCTTGTTTGTTACCACCCTTTTTAGCTGGTTGTGGAATACCATCGTCTTCATCTTCAGACTCGTCTTGTTGTTGTTGTTGTTTCTTTCCACCTTTCTTGTTGTCTTTCTTTCCACCCTTTTTAGCTGGTTGAGGAATACCGTCGTCTTGTTCGTCTTCACTCTCTTGCTTCTTTGGTGGTGTTGTCTTTTGAGCAGCTGCTTGTTTGTTGCCACCCTTCTTAGCTGGTTGAGGAATGTTGTCTTCGTCAGAGTCAGCTGCCGCAGCCTTCTTTCCCTTGGCTCCTCCTTTAGCTCCACCTGCTTTCATGGCTGCTTCGATTGGGTCAACAAAGTCGTCGTCACTATCTTGTTGATGTTTTCCTCCTTTCTTTTTTGCCATCTCTATCTATCTACTTTAATATTAATATAAATATTTTAAATAAAACGATTGAAAGTATTAATAGTAATAGGATGAGAAAATCAGTAGAAAGCAGAGATAGCTACGTGTTTGAACTCAACGCTCCTCGTTTTTTTTTTTTAATTTTTAAAATTTGTTTTTTTTTTTTTTAATTGTAAACTTAAACTTTACCCAATTTATTTGGATTGCCTTTTCGGGATAAGAAATTATTTGAATTGGATGAAGATATCTGGTTTAGAATTATTATTATTAGTTTGGTTGGGTCGTCGTTTATTGTTGTTTGGGAAAGGTAGGGACTAAACAGAGGGAGGTTTGAATCTTTCTCTTGGTTCATTGATCACCATATTATTGATACGCAAAATCATTTGAGAGGCTCGTGTTGCCAACGTTAAAATATTGACGAGCAAGCATGATGGTTCGACCACTTTTAATTGATTGACCATATCTACTATCTCACCATTATCCAAATTAATACCTTTCCATTTATTGATTCCATCATCTAATCTATGTAAATCTTTTAATTTTGATATTAATTCAATATTATCGTATCCAGCTAAAATAAATAATTAAAATAAATAACTTGTAAATATTAAATAAATAAATATTTTATTGATCAAACATACCATTTTGAATTAAAATAAAAGGAATGGATTCCAAAGAATCAATAAATATTTGAATTGATAATTTGATTTTTTGGTTCATATCTACTTGTTCATTTAACCAATTCTTTAATTGATTCATTAAATATAAATATATACATCCACCTCCACTAAATAATAATAATAACAAATACACATACAAATATAAATATATAAATAAATAAATATAATTAATAAATAATATTTTCTTTTTTTTTCTTTTTTTTTTTTAGATATTCTATTACATACCCAATAATAAAAGGATTATTAATTGAAGATGATAAGATACTCAACATATCTCTAAAAGATCTAATACATTCTTGTGAGATGGTGTCTGTTGGTGACCGAATGATGATTGTTGGAAGACTGATTTCATTGGTTGCATTTTGAATTTGCATAAATAATTTGTTGGTTGTCGTCGTGTTGTCACCAATCACAACGGTTGTGATCTTTTTCAATCCAGATACTACTTGTGAGTTGATAGAATATAAACTATTCACCAGTTTACATCCAAGATTGAGTGCAATCGTTGATAGATCACGATCATCTTGAACATTAAAATGAAATATTCCATTGTCTTGCATCATCGATTCAATCGGTGGTGGTAGATATCCACTATCACTAAATACAACCGATATATCATTTGTCAATAACAACTCTTTGAATCTATTGACTACTACCGATACATCCTTTATATTTTGTAGTTGTAGTTTACCAACCAACACTCTACTCCCTCCTACTCCTCCTTCTCCTTCTCCTTCTCCTTCTCCTTCCTTTTGTTGTTGTTGTTGTTGTCTTTGTAATAGTCTATCTAATATCTGTGATTTATTCCATCCACTTGGTATCTCCATCAATACACCATCCAATAATTCAGAATCCAACATAGTCGGACCGTTCACAGCAATCACTCTCACCAAATCTAAATTCTTATTATCTTTTAATCGAATGATAGATTCTACTCCAAGTTTAATAAAATGTTTTAAATATTTTCCTAGTATCTTTTAATATACAATAAAATAAAAATAAATTAAAAGAAGAAGAACAAGTTAATAAATACATTCATCTTTATCTTTTTGTATATTAGTAATAGTAATAATAATAATAATAATAATAATATATGTATATACCTTTGATGATAATGAAGTAGATGCAATTTGATACAACTTTTCTATAAATTCAGTGTTATTGTATTTATGATCTAGATCATCTCGTTGTTGTTTGGTTGTTGTTATAATAGGTAATTGTATCTTTTCAATCTCTTTTAGACATTGATCAAGTGATAATTGAAATCCCTTTATAATGTTGATAATATATTATATTAGTTAACTATAGTAGATAGATATAGTAAGTGTAATATATTACATACATCAACAATAGTAATAGGATGAATTGAAGAATCGGATAGATATTTTAGACAGTTTCGAAGTAATGAACAAGTCAATAGGACGACACTAGTTGTACCATCACCAATGGTTCTATCTTGTGCTTTAGACAACTCTATGAGTAGTCTGGGTATAGGATGTTTGATTTCTAGATGCTCTAGAATGGTGGCTCCATCATTTGTTACAATGTAATCACCAGTGCCTCTTTGGTCGACAATTAGTTTATCGCTACCATAGGGTCCTAGTGTTGTCTTTAAACTGTAATATAGTGATTCTAAACTATTGATATTGTTTATAATATTGGTGTTCTTGTCATTGCTATTTATCATTATTTATTAAGCCTGATAGGAATTTATTCATAGATATTTTTCAAAGTTAAATATTATCTCCACCTCAAAAGGGTGCAAAAATATTCTTAAATATCTAGTGATATGGCACCAAACCCAATTCTCAACGACTACACCCTTCCCTTCTCCACAGACCTTTAAGGGTTAATTGTTATAAATTTCATCTTTCTATCAAAAATGAATGAACAACAAAAGTTACAACTCCTCCAAGAATCAATTCCCACTATAGAGCCATTACAATCATTGACATTTAGTTATAACTACAATCAACCTCTATCTCCTGGAGTATTACCAACATCATTACAATCATTGGTGTTTGGTGATAGATATAATCAACCTCTATCAGTTGGAGTATTACCATCATCATTACAATCATTGGTGTTTGGTTATTACTATGATCAACCTCTATCTATTGGAGTATTACCATCATCATTACAATCATTGGTGTTTGGTGGTTACGAAAATCAACTATCAGTTGGTGTATTACCATCATCATTACAATCATTGGTGTTTGGTTATCACTATAATCAACCTCTATCTATTTGTGTATTACCATCATCATTACAATCATTGGAGTTTGGTGATGAATATAATCAACGTTTGGTAATGTCACAAATAATAATCAAGAAAATAATGAAACTGTTAATCAAACAACACAACCTTCAGACAAGGTATCCATGGCACCTGCCTCTCGTGGAACAAAGGGATATTACTCACCGGTATGTTGATGTCTTTTTATTAATAGTTAACTACCAACTTTAATTTAGATTTTTTTTATAGGAATCAATACAAAAGATATACTACCCGTCAAGTGATATATATTCAGTTGGTTCAACTCTTTTCCATTTACTTTCATGGTAATTATTTAGCCGATCTTATCATTCAATGAGAGTTGATTTTATTATTGATTTTTTTATTTTTAGTCACCCAGATGATATTGGAAATAGAAAAGAATTTGTTAAGAACCACAAAGAAAACAACTTTGGTGCTGGCCATATTAAAATATCAACTATTAGATACTCTGAACACTTAATTAATTTTGTCAAGAAACTATTAATCGAAAAACATCAAGATCGACTTTCATTGGGTCATTTAAATGGAAAAAAAATCAGACAACACACACAGAGATTCACATCATTTTTTATCGATCAACGACAAATTCTATCAAGCACAACAACATTAATATTGGATGGTGAATTCAACCGTCCTCTCAAAGGATTACTTCCACCAACACTTTTAAAGTTATCTTTATTTGGAAAGTTTAATCAACCAATCAAACAGCTTGATATTCCCAAAAGCGTTGAAATACTAATATTTGGATCATCATTTAATAGCTAAATAGAAAATTTTTCATTGCCAGAGTCACTCGAAATACTAGTTCTTGGTAAATCATTCAATCAACCATTACATTCATACGTCGCACTCGACCCTATGATTTTATATCGATCCACAATCCACTTGATCAGAGATAATTTTAGTGATTCAATGATTTCAAATTTATATCATTTTTATGAAAGGAATCTCAATATATATTACTGCTCTGTACACGACAATAATATAATTGCCTATTCATTCCTCAAGGAGAACATGAAAATTGACTCTTTTATCCTGACCGTTGGTCAAGAATGTTTTGGAATTGGTCAAATCAAAGGGTATGCTTTTTTTTACACCTTCTTATCATTGCTACGATTTGATCATTAATATTATTATACTATTTAGAGATAACAATATGATACAATGGAAGAACAATGATATTTCAATATCAATAGATTTAATGGATTTTGGTGTGATATCACATGTTAAACAATCAATTCATCCACATTTATTTTGTCAAGTAGATAAAAGTAAATTTGAAGCATTGAATAAGCAGTTTGGTGACTCTCATGGTATTGAATACTCACTTATATATGTGGCCAAATTATTTGAATTGGATGAAGATAATATTCATCAAGTGTATCAAGATGGTCAATATCTGAATATTAGATTAATTCCATGGAAGTTCCGAAACAAATAAATCCATGTGTTCATTTTTTATCTCTTGGTATATTTTATTATTTTATTTACAATGGTATATGAATCTTTTATTCAGTTGACTGTTCTTTACCGACCTCTACAATATCAGGTTGATTAAAATTATTATTATTATTATTATTTGAAAGATCAACAGGATTAGAGGGACGATTATCCTTGTCGGCCTTTTGAATGATTGATTTTAATTTTGCGAGACCAAACTGTTTCTTTAAAATATAATCTGAAAGCCAAGTCGGAAGATAGGATAGGAACCTTAGAATGACCGAGCCAGGACCAAATGCAGCATTAGCTGGTATACGACGAGAAAAGATGGTTGATAGCACAAAATCTGCAAATGATTGAACGGGTACTTGACGTGATTTAGACATTTGAGGACGATTATTTATGTCACTAGCAATAGCACGATACACTGATCGCTCCATGATGTGATCGAGTAGTGGAGTAGCCTTTTCAATGATCCCGGTTGAAATGGGACCCGGTGCAATGGTGATCACCTTGATATTGAAAGGATCCAACTCCATACGAAGTGCATCTGACCAATTATGAAGAGCTGCCTTTGAACTACTATACGACGATCCAAATGGCATACCATTCCAAGCAGCGACACTACCGATATTGATAATGATCCCTTTTCTAGCGTTGATCATGTGAGGTGCCACTTGATTGGTAGTAGCAATAAGACCAAAGAAATTAACTTCAAATAGAGTTCTGAGATCGATCATGGGTACCTCGATCGCCGGACCAAACATAGTGATACCTGCATTATTGATCAGTATATCTATTCGACCTTCTACCTCTACTATACCCTTGATTGTCTGTTCAATACTATCTTGACTTGTCACATCCAACTCCAACACTTTAATACCCATCTCCAACATATCATTCATCCTCTCTATGTTTCTTGATGTTGCGAATACCTTAAACCCATAGTTATGAAATGTCAAAGCTAATGATCTACCAATCCCACTTGATGCTCCTAACAATCATACAAGTACAAATTATAAGTTAATATCTCTATCTCTATATGTATCTATCTATTCATTACCTTACCTGTAATAACTACAACTTTATTCATTTTTTAATCTATATTAAAGTTCATTTTCATTCCCAAAGTGTCTTCACTTTGTAATCATTTGTTTTTTTTTTTAAAATTAATTAATTCTATTTTATTTATTAATTTATTTTCTATTATTACTTTTATATTTATATATATATATATGTATTAGATAATTCATTATCTATTTCTTTATCTATTTCTTTATAATATTATTTGTTCTTTTCTTTTTTGTTTGTTTTTTGTTGTTTGATTTAAAGTTGTCTTGAAACCAATTTAGTATAATAACCATTCATTTCTAATAATTCTTGATGACTACCTTGTTCGACGATACGACCACCCTTGAATACAGCGATAATGTCTGCGTTGATGATAGTACTGAGTCTGTGAGCAATGACGACGACGGTACGACCCTTCATTACATTGTCTAGGGCAATTTGTACTTCCTTTTCACTGACTGTATCCAAAGCACTGGTAGCTTCATCCAACAATAGAATCTTGGGGTTACGAATGATAGCACGGGCAATGGCAACACGTTGTTTCTGACCACCAGACAATTGAGTAAACTTGTCACCGAGTTGGGTGTCATATTGGTTTGGAAGTGCAGAGATAAAGTCGTGAGCATTGGCAGCCTTGGCACAATCGATCACTTCTTCAAGAGTAGCATCTGGTTTACCATAACGAATGTTTTCAAGAATAGTTCCTGAAAAGAGGAATGGTTCTTGTCCAACCAAACCATACACTGCACGTAATTGAAGTAAATTGATATCTTTAATTTCGATACCGTCCAATGTAATGCTACCGGCACTTGGATCATAGAAACGTTCCAGAAGAGAGATGACAGTTGACTTGCCACCTCCACTGTCACCGACTAGAGCAACCTTTTTACCAGCTGGAATGTCGAGTGTAAAGTCGGCAAAGATTTGACGGTTGGGACGTGATGGATAGGCGAATTGAACGTTGGCAAATTTGATGTCACCCTTGACGTCGGCCGGACTGATGGGTTGGCCCGACTTGGCGAATGGGTCGATCTTGGAGACACGGTCAATGAGTGCAAAGATGGCGTTGGTGGCAGTGGTAGCCTTGGCCATATCGGGTGCAAAGGCGCTGGCATTACCAATACCCATGGCTGAGAGGACAATGGCGAAAAAGACACGTTGCATCTGTCCGAAACCCTCAATAGTGTCCCAGACCTCTTCGCAACGGTCGCCAAAAATGTTGCCGGGTTGGCAGTACTCGTCGAGTGTGCTTTGCTTGGCCTTCCACTCGCCGTCGTTGACGAGCTTGCCTCCGTACCAGTATCCGAGTGCCCAGACGAGGAACATGACTGCTTGAGTAAACCCAAAGACGACACCGGCGACATTACCCTTGCGGATCGAGAGACGGATGGGGTCGGCGAGCGCATACTCGAATTTACCATAGATCTTTTCCTCGGCATTGAATGCAGCGACGGTACGAATACCCGAGATGGCTTCAGTGGCGATTTGACTCGACTTGCCGTACGACTCTTTACCTTCTTTGCTAAACCCACCCATAAAGTCCATTTCAACCTTGGCCGAAAAACCAATGACTGGGACACAAGCTAAAATGACTAGAGTCAACTTCCAACCTGCGACAAATGCAATGATGAGACCGACAATGGTAGTGACTAAATTTTGGAGCAATAGACCGAGACGCTGACTAGTCATACCTTGGACATGAGTAGCTTCGGTAGCCAAGTCATTTGTGAGAATACCAGTTGCATTTTCGGGCAAGTCAAACCACCCGACATCTTGACGAATGATGGAACGGAACGATTGATGACGTAGACGATGAGTAAGCTTCTCACCGATATAAGTAAACGAAGCAATTTGAAGGAAGTTGGCAACACCCGATCCAATGGCCAAAATGACAAACCACATGGCAAGTAGAGCAGCACGACGTTTCATATCTTCAATGTCGGGTGTTTGGAATACCTTTAGAATCTCGGAAAAGATGATAGCAAAGATTGGCATAATAGTACCGTTAATCAGTGCACCAACACTACCAGTTACAAAGTATGGCCATTCGACTCTATTCATTCTAGCAATACGCATAATTGGTACTTTACTCTTTTCTTCTTTCTTTTTACCACCCTTTTTTCCCTTTCCTTTTCCACCTCTTCTCTTTCTCTTTCCTTTTCCACCGGCTGTTAGGTTTTCATCTGATTCACCTTCGACCGATGATGATGAAGCGGAATCTGAAGTCTCCCTTTCCTCTTCCTTTTCAATTTCCTTGACTCCCGATTTCTTTTGTTCTTTCTTGTCACCACCACTTTGTTGACGACGTACCAAACTAGTGTAGACACCTTCTTTGGCCAATAATTCGTCGTGGGTACCTTGTTCGATGATTTGACCCTTTCTAACAACTGCAATGATATCAGAGTTTTCAATGGTACTGAGTCTGTGAGCAATGACAATGACGGTACGACCCTTCATGACATTATCCAGTGCGACTTGTACTTCCTTTTCGCTGGCACTGTCCAAAGCACTGGTAGCTTCGTCAAGTAGGAGAATCTTGGGGTTCTTGATGATAGCACGGGCAATAGCAATACGTTGTTTCTGACCACCAGACATTTGCACACCCTTTTCACCAACTTGGGTTTTGTAGCCCTCTGGCAACGCCGAAATAAAGTCGTGAGCATTGGCAGCACGAGAAGCATCGATAATCTGCTCCATCGTAGCATTTTCATTACCATATCTAATATTGTCCTCTATACTCACACCAAACAACACTGGTTCCTGACTAACCAAACCAATATTCAAACGTAGCGATGATACATTGATTTCTCTAATATCAACACCATCCAAAAGAATTTGTCCGTCCTCTGGATCATAAAATCTTTCCAATAATGCAATTGCTGATGATTTACCTCCTCCACTATCTCCAACCAATGCACTAAAGTAAATTAGAAAGAATGAAAAAGAAAGATTAATAAATATATTTCTATTTTTGATTTTGATTTTGATTTTTTTTTTTTAACATACACAGTTTGACCTTGTTTAATTGATAAATTAAAACCATTAAAGATTTTAACATCTGGACGTGATGGATAAGAGAATGATACATTGTTGAAATCAATGTTACCTTGAGCAGCGATTTCAATACCCTTTTTGGAGAATGGGTCGATTTTGGATTGACGATCAATGACACCAAAGATTTTGTGGGCGGCACCACGACCGTTGGCAAAGTTGGTGACTGATGGAGCAGCTTGGCCTAATGCCATAGCACCCATAATCACACTGAAAAAGACTGTGAGCACATCACCACCGGTCCATGCATGATCCTTGACTGGATTCCATGAGCCGTCGGCAATCAACTTGCTTCCATACCAAAAGGCTAGCGAATAACTACCAAAGAGAATGAAAAAGACGAGACCGATACCAATACCATTCATGACACCCTTCTTTTTACCGACTACCATAGCCTCTGCAAGACGATCGTAGTAACGTTGAGACTCACGTTCCTCACCTGAAAAGGTGACCACCGTTCTAATACTACCAATCTTTTCCTCGGCAACAGCACCAGCCTTGGCATAAGAGTCTTGACCCTTCTTGGTCAAATCAGTCATCATCTTGGTCATAAATGCTCCAGCAGCTGCCAATAAAGGTGTCAAAGCTAAAATAACTAAAGCCAATTGCCAACCATTAATCAAACCAATAACAAACCCAGAAATAAATGTTGATGTGAAATGAAGAAAACTTCCAACCTAAATTGAATCAAAAATATAAGTATGATATATTATATTTGTTTGTTTTGTGTTTGTTTGTTACCTTTTCACCAATAGCTTCTTGAAATAATTGAGTATCTGAAGCGATACGAGTTGAAAGTTCAGATGCTTTTGTGATATCGTACCAACCAATTTCTTGTGAAAGGATGGCTCTAAAGTAGAGCTTGCGACAACGAACCGATTGACGTTCACCAGCCATGGTCCAAAAGGCGACTTCGGCATAACAGAGTACAAACATACCGGCGGCAATGTACAAAAAGTAGACAGAGATTTTAGAGACGTCGTCGTAGAGACTGTACGACTCGTCGAGGAACTTGGATGGCGCAAAGGCGTCCATCACCTGACCCAATACAATGGACAAGGCTGGCATGGCAACACCAGCACCAACGGCACTGATCGAACCAATAATCATAAACAACATGTCCAATGGCTCGGCAAATCTAAACAATTGAAAGAATCCAACCATTGGTCCTACTTCTTCCTTTTTATCTTTGTCATCTTTATCTTTACCGTCCTTGTCATCCTTTTTAGTATTGAAATCAGTATATTGAGTACCAGTTTCTGAAAATACTAAACTATCACTACGATCTCTTGGATCAATCTTTATCTCTCCTCCTCCTTCAACACCTGGTGTTAAAATTGGTGATAATGATCCTTCTCCTCCACCATTTTGATTTTGATTATTTTGATTATTATTATTATTATTATTTAAATCTTGAAGAGGTACACCCTCTCCTTCTCCTTCCATTTGTTATTAATAAAAGAGAGAGAGAAATATATAAAGATTTAAATGAATGTGTGAATGAATGAATGAAAAACTATAAAAAAAGATCTTTGTTTTAAAAGAATCTAAAAATACTGTTACTTGGGGAAAATTAAAAAAAAAAAAAACGAAAACGGAAATTGAAACGTCGTTGTCGAATTTAATATAATAGTTATTAATTGTTGTACAACAATGATTAAAATAAAACGTTAATCAATTATATAAATAAATAAATACTATTGATTGATTGATTGATTGATTGATTGATTGCGGATTGTGATTAACTTCTCTTAGTTGTGAAGTTAACTTAACTCTTTTTTTAAAAAAAAATATATAAATGATGTAATTTATATGTGTGTATTTGTGTGTTGATGTTGTGGGTTATATTATGTGTATGTGTATGATGTGATATGTATATCTTTTTTTTTTTTTTTTAGAAAGTAAATAAAAGAAAAGAAAAAAAGTAGACTTTAGTTTATTAGTTTTATTATCTTTATCTTTAGTAAAGGAATAAACAAACAAATGAATGAATGATTCGTTTTACGTTTGTCCTCCTTTGCTTTGTTAGACCCAATAAAAAATCTTTTATTTAATCTAAGGGCAGATCTGTCTGAGTCTGATTGTTGCCAATACAAATAGAAATAGATAACTATAAAAAACTAAATTAATGACTGGGTTTGGTAAAGGTGTCGAACAGTCTTTTAAACTTCTAGGAAATGTAGAGGAATGGAGGAGAGGATGGTCTACTCTTATATTGTAATTACGATGATGCTCAGCCCGCCCGCCGGCGATAATATTAATAATATATTTATTTTTAATCTAAGCATTGCGTTGTTGGTTTTATCCTGGTGACAAAAAACAAACGTCACAGCTCTCATCGCACCCTTAGATCATCAAAGTGACTCAACGATTGTGTGTGTTATTTTTAAATGGGTTGACGAGCCGATTGCAAGGTTGATGGGGTGCAGTATGTTTCGGTTGTGATCTCACCTCATCAATTGATTTATCTTAACCGTGCTATAAGATATTACCTTCTAAATTTGATCAACTTGATTTTTACCGCCAAATTTCGACCACCCACGCACCTCATATCATATCGTTATCACCCACTTGTTGGCGGTCAATACAAACCTTGTCTCGATGATAACTCATCGCATACTCCTTAAAACACATCGAGTCGACTAAAATGGAAGTTATTTAGCAAAACTTTGCAACATCATCATGACGATCAGATGATCACATACACTTTAATTATTGTACTGTCTATTTTAATTTACCTACAACCCTTTTATCTCTCTATTTTTATTTTATAAATAAATCATAACAATCTACGAAACCAACTTGAACTAAAGAAGAAATTGAAGAGACAAAGCAAAAGACTTTTCTTTTTATTTTTCTTTGAGAGGGCCTTCTAGCTCGTATCACATGATGATATACTTTTTTTTATTCATTGCCAAGTACTCACTTTCCAACTGGAATACAAAACCATTTTTTTATTTATTTATTTATTTATTTCTATTTTTTCAATAAAAAAAGAATGAATGGATGACTTGGCTTACTATATTTTATTATATAAATCACTATGTGGAAATTTCTTCTTTGGTTCAAAGAACTACTTTTTTTAATTTTTAAAAATATTAGCATTATTTTTGAATATTAGGATTGCCAATGAATGATGTTTTATTGAATTTTATTTATATCTTTTATTAATATAATATAATAATAATGTCTTTGTCGCTAGTTCAAAAAGAAGAAGAGGTGGGTTGGGTTCATTGTCTCATGTATTTTTTTTTAATTCATTTTATTAATTTAATTTATTCAATTTATTTGTTTGTTTATCTATCTAGATAAAGACAGCAACAACAATAGATATTAATGAAGAGACAATTAAAAGAGTATTGACAAACAAGATACTATTTAGAAAGATTATTCAAGTTGGAAGAAAGACAACACAGAATCTACTACAATGTTATAGTTATAATCAGATTATTAGTGTAGAGTGGATGATTGTACATGGTCATTTGGGTCTACTAGAGTACAAGTTGAAAAGAGATGATCCGTTACATTTTACATTGGTATCGATAGAGTTGGTATGCAAGTGTATTGGTGGTGGTGGTGATAGTAGTAGTATGTCACTGTTTACTCGCATCTATGAAAAAAAGAGATCAATGTTTTATGCAAATACATTGTTAGAGTATGCTGCTTCATCTGGTAACATGAAAGTATTTAAGCTCTTGTTGGCACAGACTTATCCCACTCAACTACACTTGCGTGACCAACCGAGTGTGTCACTGACCAAAGCCATCAACGGGTGTCATGTAGAGCTGTTTGAGCTGCTCGTCGTAGAGCTTGGTATGCAGCCATCCAACCCTGCCAAGATATTCAATCATGGTGTTAAAAGTACTCAATTACTAGAATCGCTGTATCGTCATATTGTTGGAACTGAAAGTAATCACACTGCGGGTGTCGTCGCCCATGCCAAACGGTACATCCTCTTACTGTACTATTCATTGTTAAAGACCAATAATCTGGAGTTGATCAAACAGTATTCCCAGTGTGACAGAGCCATCTTTGTACTAGATGATTTTGTCCGATGGTTTCAAGATTTAGCGTCACTATCACCCGTGGAACTTGGTAGAGTTGGTGCATTGGAGATAGTTGAATGGGTGTTGGAGACGTTTATAGGAGACCAGCCAAGCATAATACTGGTGCGAGATGCAAGAGAGTTGACTGCTCTATTCGGACGGTTGAGTCGAATCGAGCAAGAGTATCTATGTTTTGTACAGTACTCTACAAATTATACCAGTTATTGTGTAATAGACTATAAACACCACATTTTAACAATGTATTCGAAATACTATCAATTGGAGACAGAGTCTGTAGTAGAGACACTCAACACTGAACAATTGGCATTTATTACACATATTTTTAGTGTGTGTAATGTTGGTGATATTATCCAGTATGGGTCGGTTCCATTACTACGTTGTGCGTGGGCGATTAAAGGACAAGGATATTTTGCAAGTGTAATGCATCGATTCACATCGAGTGATAGTCTAGAAGCACTAGAATACATACATGAAAAGATACCAAATTGTCTAGGTCGCAAAGACCTGCAGTATGCAATCACCAACCATCATGCCGACATTGTCCAATTCATCGCACACCATTATCCAAACTTAATGGTCGATCTTGGAAACGACAGTTTAATCTTGGATGCATACACTAGTCTATATGACCCACACGTTGCCAAAGTACTCATTGACAATGATGCAACATCTCATCCAGTATTCGATCAAGTCAGTATCCTACCACTCGCCACTACATTCCCCAGTCTTGACGCACTCATCTTTTACCTTACCTACATTGACCATACACTCGAGAGTATTACTGTCAATTTCAATTCTGAAGACGAATTGCCAATTCTAAAGTACCTTGTCCAACACTATGGGGCAACATTAGATATGAACAGTATTATGAAAAAAGCATGTGAAAGTGGATACCTATCATTTGTACAATATCTTGTAGAAATACATTATGAAAAGTCAAATACCGGTATTGCATCGACCTTTGTAGACACTGCATTTGTCCGTGGTCATCGATCAATTGTACACTACCTAGTCACTGAAAAACAGAATCATTTTGGTCAATCATCTTGGCAAAAGGCTGGTAGTCTTGGAGACGCCGATCTATTCGAATTTGTCATTTCACATACCATTCCTTCTCAACTACAATCTGCAATCAAAACTTCAATGTTACAAGCTTGTAAAAATGGAATGTTTAATCTTATTCAATATATTCATAATAATTATTTAATTAATAATATAAATAATAATAATAGTAATAATAGTAATAATAGTAATAATGTAGATAGTATAGATAATAATAATAGTGAAGAAGAAGAAGAATTTTTATTTTTATCAAGATTAATGATTGAAGCAGTTGGATATGATCAATCAAGAATATTAAAATATTTAATTGATAATACAAAAGTTAGAGATGACGGTAGTGATAAAGATAAAGATGTAAAATTGAAAGTTTTTAAAAGTAAATCAACAAGAACAGAGTTACTTGAAACATTGATGGTATCAATTATTAATGGATGTCAATTGGAATGTTTCAAGTTACTTGTTGATAGTAATCAATACAACTATCAAATCAATAAGGGGCATACTATGGTGTTGGCAAAACATAGTGCCAGTTTTCCACTACTACTCCATCTTATCGAGAGCGATAAAGATATCATGTATCATATTTACACGGTCAGTCCAACACCTTTAAATCTAAAACTTCAAAGAATCATAACTGACAAACAAAGAATAACAAATAATATTAATGAAATGCTCAATAATAATAATGATGATGATTTTGATTAACAATATAAAATAAAAAAATATGAGGCATATCAATATAATATAATAATATCATCAATAATAATAGTGATGATTTTGATTAACAATAATTAATAGCCGGCCCTATAGGGTTTTTATTTAAATGATGATTAAGCATGATTGTAAGGTGGAGTACAAGTAACTGGGAACCATCCGTTATTGTTGCAATATGCGACGTTGCTACCGTAGCCTTGATCGGCAAACTTGATAGAACAGCCATTTTGTGGTTCAGAACTAGATCCACCACCAGAGCCTGTACCAGAAGCAGTGATAAATGGTTGACCATATGGATCACCCGGTGAGTACTTGCCTGTTGACAAGGAACTACCAGCTGAATTTTGGTAGTTTCCATTGTAATAGGTAAAATAGGAATTGTATTTTTCGTTGAAACGGAGTGAAGTGACTTGATTAAACTATTGATTATTTAATAACAACCATCTTGATTATCATTGCAACAAAAGTGGTCATTTCCGAGCTAAACCTTGCATAAACTTGGTAGAATCAATCGAATGACTTTCTGAAGAGAGCATAAGTTCTCCATATTGCAAGTTCCAATTTCGAAAAATATCTAAAAAAACAAATAATATTGATCAATAATTTTCATCTTCTTTAGTGGGCTAATAATATTATTTATTGTTTTTATTTATTTAACTCGTACATACGAGTAAAATGTATGCCCTCCCAACTGTCAAAGTTGAAGAAGAGATACAGAAATTAACAACAAACCAACAACTATCTACAGTCAATCAACCTATAAACGAAATTGCAAAACAACTTTCAGCATCCGAATCAAATAACAATAAGATCATCTTGTTGAATGAACTGACTGAACAACAAAAAGAATACACTTGTTGTTTGCAAGAGTATAGTGGTGTTTCAAAAACCTTGGTTGCTGCCTTTATAGATCAATCGTCACTTGCAAACACTATAGTGTTTGAAAATGTATCACAAGAAATCGTACAAGTAGAGTTAAATCTCTCTAGGTTGTTGGAAAAAAGAATTAGTATTCTCAAAGGGTTGATCCAAAATCAACAGTCACAACCACAAGACGAGGAAAAGGAAAAAGGTAAAAAGATTAGTGGAGGAATACAACAACAAGTTCAAGAACCGGTTTGGGATCTATACGCACCTCCAACGTTTCAGTCTGTGGAGATGTTGGTTCCTACACCAACTGGTTCAAATCCAAAAAAGAAAAAGCAAACCATGCAAGTAGTTAAAATGATTGGAGAAGCACAAGTGTACATCAAATCCACTCAAGACCACCCCAAAGTCACCAATGAATTGGAGGAGAAGGAGAAGGAGAAAGAAAAGGAGAGGGAGGATCACGAAGCAAGTTTAATTATAAATTATATCAGACAGATAGATTATATTCAATCTACACAAAAGACTGTATGTATCATGGTGCATACAACAAAAACCATTCTTTTTTTAAACCTAACCCAATATTAATATTATCTTTTAGTATGATGAAATAGTTGAAATCTTTTTAAAATGTAGACCTCAAAGATTAACAAAGTTGGGATGTCATATCGATCAAATATCTGAATTGCCAGTAGATATAACACATGATCAGTACAGCAGTATGGTGATGTCGTCAATGTTTGAAGGGTTGAGACAACAGATGGTTGTCAATATCTTGGACAGTGGTGGAAAGATTGACTATAAACTCACCGACGGTCTGTTGAGCTTTAAAAGAATCCAAGGAGATCCTGCCAAAGCAAATTCTCTCACCGCCACCAATAATGGAATGTTGCTAGATTTTGAATACAAGACTAAAACAAGAGCCAATGATCTACACAAACAAGATCTAGTCTTGATTCAAATCAAACCAATGGTAAAGTGGGTGTTTGCTCTGGTCATCTCTACACAACTACCCACTACTGGAAAGTTAGATCAATCGTGTAGAGTCTATATCATCGACGGACAGACATTGGCACCTCACACAACAGAGTTTATAGAAGCTCTACCGACCGTACTCAAACGCCAAATAGAGTTTGACGTATTAAGGGTGGCCAACTTCATCACATTTAAAAGAGAATTGGAAGTTAGAAAGAATCAACCAATGGATATTAATGGTTTGGCTTTATTTAGTGGTATGTTTAATATTAATATATATATATATATATAAATATAAAGAGGTTATATTAATTAATATTATTGTTTTTTAAAAAAAAAAGAATCCAAAGTATCGAAAGAGACACATCTACTCTAGTCATCAAAAATATGATGAACAATTGGAGAGACTATTTTCTAATTTTGGAGACCATGATGACGATAGTGATGATAGTGATGATGAAGAAGAGGATGAATGCGAAATGGTCAACAATAGTATTTCAAATTTATCTATCGATCCAAACGCCGTCGACTATGTTGAATCATTGATAAAACAAGTGGAAATTGATATTAGTCAATACAACAAGATTAAAGCAGATAGAAACTCTGAAACAAAGGTACAAGCTAAAAGTGCCTATTCAAGAGTTAAAAATAATCTTGATCAATTGGTTATCATCAATCAAAAGGTCAATATTATTTCATCCCCTCAACCACCACTTGGAGATATCGCCGATAATCGAGTGATTAATGATTTATTGGTAACTGCATTTACCGATAAAAAGTGTAGTCAACAAATAATGACAGCCAAGAAATCTAGTTGGAATGATCTTTTAGAGTTGTTAAAGATTAATTTCCCAAGAGACGGTTTCGAGCCATACGGGTCATTTGTAAATGGTATTCAATTGGAATCAAGTGACGACATTGATGTTTGTTTCAAGACCTCGTTTGATACATCTAATGCCATACGTCTAAAGATTCTAATGAAGAGTGTGGTTAGATGTCTTAAAAAGCGTAAGGGTGGTCGCAGGGGTAACAAACTCAAAGGACCGTATTCAGTGGAGCGAATTTTCGATTCTATCAAAGAGGTAGGAATCATTCGATTCAGAGATTATAAGCACCGTGTGTCGTTTAACATGTCCTTTAACAATCGTTTGGCAATTGGTAACTCGCTGTTGGTAAAGTCGTATGCTGAAATTGACGAGAGAGCCAAACAACTCATGTTACTAGTCAAGTATTGGGCATCGAGAAAGGATATCAATGATGCTAGCGGTGGCACCCTTTCATCATACGCTTGGTTGAATATGGTTATATTCTATCTTCAAACTGTTCAACCTCCCGTACTCCCATCGTTGCACTCGAATGTCTCTTCAAACTGTCCAACCAATCAACCAGTACAAAAAGATGATTGGAGTATTAAAGAGGATGAGTGGAAGTTTGTTGATCATCGTCACACTGGATTTGTCAGCCAAAACAACAAAACATTATTCCAACTATTCTATGGTTTCTTTGACTTTTATTGCAAGTTTGATTTTACGAATCAATTGATTTGCATTCGTTTGGGTAAATCAACTACAAACAAGATTGGAATGGATCAAAACAATCATAGCCAAATTTGTATAGAAGATCCATTCGATACATCTTCTAATCTTGGTGCATCTGTTAAATCAACCTCATTTAATATTATTATTTTTGAATTCATGTCAATGCAATCAAAGTTATTAGAACTAGTATCAAACAATCAAAAGATTATTCGTCAACAAGATTTTGATCTTCTCTTTGCACAATCCTTAAAATTGAATCAACTGTATAAAAAATCAAAATAAATAAAATAAATAAATAAATAAATACAAAAATAAATATCCTGTTTTGGGGCAAATCGAAAACTCGCTTGGATTTAATTTAGATCTTGGTGAAACCCTCAAAAAGATGACTCAGCAACTTCTTTGATCAGATATTTTTTATTTTCTTTTAGGCAACTTCACTTTAATTAGGGCAATATTGTTCTTTTTCAACTTGTTTAATTATTTATCTATTTTAAATATCCCATCCCATTAGTAATAGTAGTAAAAATGGATACAACAATCTCACCTCTTCTGGACTAGAGCTTGAGCGAGTGCTGGAGCTTGAACAGGTGCCTGAACTTGAACTGGTGGACGACTGACTTGATCTGGTGATTGTGGTTGTGACACAAGAGATGGTTTTTGGATGACCTGAATCTTCTTCTTTGATTCGAGGGTACTTTTGACAAGCTCACTCGATCTGACCAACTCTTGAATAATGGCTATCCTTATTTCCAACTTTGTAATTTTTGATTGGTTATAACGACTTGGGACATTTGAGATTAAAGACTTGACTTTGTTCCTTAATACCTTTATTTCACCTCCAACCTGATTATTATAACCAACCTTGGAAAATGGTGATTGGTCGATAAAGGCAACCAAGGTTTTAGATAAACGATTATATTCTCTCAAACATAGGTTGTACTCTGCTTGTTTGTCAATCAATTGATCCAAGATCAAGGTATATTTCCTGATTAATTGTTTTCTGTTGGGCGTGCCAGGAGGATATTTTGTTGTAATATCCTTTACAGACTCTCTTTGTTGATTGATTTGTATCTCAACACTTGACAGTTGACTTGTTAATTTCTTTATCTCTTCCCCGACTTTGATAGGACATTCGCTCAAAATTCAAATCAAGAAAAGGAGAAGGAAAAGGAAAGGGAAATATCGAAAAAGATTGGAGAAATGGAAGAGTCTATCAAATCTACTAAAGCCGATTTCAAAGCCACCAAAGCATACATCACCCCAATGGATCGACCAAAGATTTTAAAAGAACACTCAGCCAAAATTAATTTCATAAAAAATGAGCTGAAAAAATTACAAGGAGAGTTGTTGGTGCTTGTGCTTCATGAAACTAGTGCACTTGAAAATGTAATCAGACGGATTACCAATGATTATGTTCAATCATCTACACAAAAGACTGTATGTATCAACTTAAAACATTAAAACAAACTATTCTTAAGTATCTTTAGGTAAGATTTAGTGACTAACAAGTAGTCTCTCTCTCTTTGTTTCATGTTGATCAGTATGATGAAATAGTTCAAGTCATTTTAAGATGTAGACCACAAATATTAACAAAGTTGGGACGTCATATTGAATTGTCTGAACTAGTCTTGCCGACAACAAGTTCAACAAACGATCAGTACAACAGCAGTTTAGTTGTGTCTTTGGTGTTTGAAAAGCTGAGACAGGAGATCGTTGGCAATATCATAGACAGTGGTGGAAAGATTGATGTCAAAGACGGTGGTCTATTGACAGCTAATTATATTAAATCGGTTGCAATAGTTACAAAGGCACAGTCTCTCACTGCCGCCACCAACAAGAATGGCATGATACTAGATTTTAAATTCAAGTCTAAAACAAGAGTAACTGATCTACACAAACACGATCTAGTCTTGCTTCAAAACAAGGCAAGGTCAACGTTGTGTGTGCTTGCTCAAGTCATCTCGGCACCACAACCTACTACTGGAAAGTCAGATCAATTATGTAAAGTCTACATCATCGATGAACAGATATTGGCACCTCACACTACAGAGTTTATTGACTCTTTGTCTACCGTCTCCAAAAACAAAACAGAGTTCCATGTATTAAGGGTGGTTAGAAAGAACAAACAAACAATGAATATGAATGTCTCAGATTTAATTGATGGTATGTATTTTTAAAAATACAATTAGTACTATTTAATTTATATATATATATATATATTCCTCGTGTATTAATATTAATATTATCCCCATTGTTATTAAAAGATCTAAAGAATCCAAAGAAGTTTATCAGTCCCAATTTCAAAACCTTTGGCCAAGAGTTTGAGGAATTATGTTCGCCATCATTTGTTGAGAATGATCAAGATAGTGATGATGATGATGACGATGACCAGGCAGACAAGGTGGTCAATAGTAATAGTACTGTTGAATCATTGATAAAACAGGTGGAAATTGATGTTATCGAACGTAACAAGATTAAAGCAGATAGAAAACCTGAAACCAAGGTTCAAGCTCAAAATGCAATTTCGCGAGTTAAAAAGAATCTTAATCAATTGTTCAACTATCAAAAAGCCAATACTATTTCTTCTCCCTCTCAATCTTCACCACTTGGAGATATCACCGATCGTCAAGAGATCAATGGTTTATTGGTAACTGCATACACTGTTAAAAAGTGTAGCGATAAAACATTGTCAGCCAAGGAGTCTAGTCGTAATGACCTTTTCAGTTTGTTAAAGTCCCAATTCCCAAAAGACAGTTTCGAGGCATACGGGTCATTTGTAAATGGTATTCAATTGGAATCAAGTGACATTGATGTTTGTTTCAAGACCGACATTAATACATCTGACCCAGTCCTTCGTAAGGATCTAATGAAGAGTATAGTCACACGTCTTTATAATCGTAAGAGCAAGAGATCCAAGCTCAGAGGGCCGTATCAAGTAGAGCGAGTACTAGACTCTATCAAAGTACCAATTATTAAATTCAGAGATCTAAGGTACAATGTGTCGTATGACATGTGCTTTAACAATCGTTTGGCAATTGGTAACTCTTTATTGGTAAAATCGTACGCTGAAATTGACGAGAGAGCCAAACAACTCATGTTACTCGTCAAGTATTGGGCATCGAGAAAGGATATCAATGATGCTAGCGGTGGCACCCTTTCATCATACGCTTGGTTGAATATGGTTATATTCTATCTTCAAACTGTTCAACCTCCAGTACTCCCATCATTGCATGCCAACATCTCTTCAAAACCAACCAATCAATTAGTACAAAAAGATGACTGGAAGTTTGTTGATCATCGTCACACTGGATTCGTCAGACAAAACAAAAAGACATTATTCCAACTATTCTATGGTTTCTTTAATTTCTATTGCAAGTTTGATTTCACCAATCAATTGATTTGTATTCGTTTAGGTAAACCAACCAGCTATAGTTTGGCATCAAAATCCTACAAGGATAACAACAATCAAAGTCTCATTCGCATTGAAGATCCATTCGATACATCTGCTAATCCAGGTGCATCTGTTAAATTATCATCTTCATTCAAGATTATCATCTTTGAATTCACGTCGATGCAATCAAAATTATTACAACTATCCAACAAAAAAGATATTATTTATCATCAAGATTTTGATCATCTATTTTCAAAATCATTAAAATTAAATCAACTTTATAAAAAATCAAAATAAATAAAGATAAATAAATAATTAAATATAAAGAATTAAATATATAAATCTTTTTTTGATGTCTAATTTAATTGAAAACTCGCTTAGATTTAATTTGAATCTTGGGTTGGCCCGCTAAGATGATCAAGATCTTTTTCAAGATCCATATTTTAATTTATTAATTTTTTTATTTGGATTAAGAGAAGGCTTCCCCTCACTTTGAAAAGGGACCCTTGAAGTCACTATACTAAAAGTATATATTCAAATAACGATATTATTTATCTATCTCTATATATTTATATTTATATTTTTAATACTACTATTAATATTATGACAAACCCAGCTGTAAAAGTTGTTGGGGAAGGGATCAAGAAACAGACCTTTTACCTATTGGAATTTGATAGACATATCAAAGAACAAGAGGAAGCTATAGTCAATCTTCAAACAAAATTTCCTCTCAACTCACAAGGTAGAAGACAAAATATCATCCAAGCTCGGAATGAGATTCAAGTCACCTTGAAGAAACTGAATGTAGGACGAAAAGGGATCTCTTTGTGTTTGCAAGAATATACTCGTATTTCAAAAGCCTTGGCTTCCTTTATCGACCATTCACCTATCTCGAATGTCACATTTAACGATGTAGCCAAAGAAATCAAACTATTAGAGGAAAGACTTAGAAATTTTGCCCGTGGTAGAGATGGTTGTAAAGATCAACAAAAGAAAATATATCTAAGTGCTAGGATTGCTATTATCACCCAATTGCTCAAATCTATTGATCTTGCTAAAAGATCCAGAGAGACCATCCCTAATCCATCTCCTTTATCCAAACCACCAGTTCACCAGTCACCAGACCTCAGTCGTACACAGCCACCATCAGTAGTTCAAGTTCCAGCACCTGTCCAAGTTCCAGTCCAAGTGCAATTTACTCCTCGACCAATTTCAAATCAAGAAAAGGAAAAAGAAATAGTTAAAAAGATTGGAGACCTAGAGTTTTTTATGAAATCCACTAGAGATCATTTCAACTCTACCAAACAATCCATCAGTCAAGAGGATAGACCACAGATTCTAAAAGAGTACTCTACCAAACTTTCTGTCAAAACAAATGAAGTGAAAAAATTACAAGCAGAGTTGTTGGTGCTTCGTGAAACTAGTTCACTTGTTAACAGCGAAGAGATAGATTATGTTAAATGTACACATAAAACTGTATGTATCAACTTACTTGCATAGTTTACAAACTATTCTGAAACTAACAATATATCTTATTTATAATAGTATGGTCAAATAGTTGATATCTTTTTAAAATGTCGACCACAAAGATTAACAAAATTGGCACATCATATTGATCATCAATCATCAATTATTGATAATAATGATAGAACACACGATCAGTATAATAGTTTTATTGTACCTTTGATGTTTGAAGAATTGAAAGAACAGATTGTTAGCAAGATTACTGATAGTGGTGCTACTGTGAATGGTCATGACGGTCTATTGAACCTATTCAAGATTCAGTCAGTTGCTACTAAAGTAAAATCACTTACTGCTGACAGTACTGGTATGTTACTAGATTTTAATTACAAGGCTGAATCAAGAGACAAGGATCTGTACAAAGAAGATTTAGTATTGCTTCAAATCAATGCAAAGCCAACACCGTTGTATGTATTTGCTAAAGTCATTTCGGCACCTCTACCAACCGGTAAATCAGATCAATCTTGTAGAGTCTACATCATCGATGAAGAGACATTGGCACCTCACACTACAGAGTTTATCGAAGCTCTAGCCAACCTACGTAAAACTAAAACAGAGTTTTATGTATCAAAGGTTGCCAACCTCATCACATTTGAAAGAGAATTAAAATCAATTAAACAATTTACATCACATCGATTATCAAAACTAGTTCTATCACCAAGAACTTTTATAGAAGATAGAAAGAATATGATTGTTAAAAAACAATCATTTATTATTCCATCTCATCTCGACCTTGGTAATCTCAATCCATCACAATTATCTGCAATTCAAAAATCAATGATTCAAGATGAATTAACTTTAATTCAAGGTAAATATATATTTATAGAAATATAGAAATATTTATTTATAATTATTATTTGTATTAATTATTTCTCTTTATTTTAATTATTTTTAAAAGGACCACCTGGAACAGGTAAAACAACTATTATATTAAATTTATTAAGAATATTTCATTCAATACTCGGAGAAAAGGAAACTATTTTAGTTTGTGCACCAAGTAATACAGCAGTTGATGAAGTTGGGTTGAGATTGTTGGATGATGGATTGGGTCTTGGGTCAGAGACACCTGACATTGTTCGTATTGGAAGATTAGAGGCAGTCAACAAAAAGGTTCATTCTATTTGTATCAACAAACACTCTAAATTCAAAGAAAAGAAGAGAATGATTAGAGAGGCTAGAATATTGCTTACAACATTGTCTGGAGCTGCGTCAAAGATTTTAGATGCTAGTCCATCGGTCATTATTATCGACGAGTCTACTCAATCGTGTGAACCATCAACATTGATCCCATTGTTGCTCAACCCAAACTCTAAAGTCATTTTAATTGGTGATCCAAAACAACTTCCACCAACTGTATTTTCAAAGATTTCGAGTAGACATGGATACAATGTATCATTGTTTGAAAGATTATCAAACTATCTACCAGTTCATATGCTCGATACTCAATATCGTATGCATCCATCCATTTCAAAGTTCCCTTCACAACGTTTCTATCAATCGAAATTAAAGGATGGTGAAAATGTTGTCAAATACACCAACTCATTTTATAATAATGCAAAGTATGGACCAATCAATTTTTATAATATTCCAGAGTCTCAAGAAGTATCAGAAAATGGTAATTCTTTAAAAAATATTTTAGAATCTAAATATGTTTTTGTTTTATTAAAAAAATTGGTAAGACATATCAAAAACAAACAAATAATTTAATTAAATATTTATTTATTTATTTATTTATTAATTTATTTATTTTATTTCTTAGGTACAAGAATATCCAGAAGTTAAAAAAATGATTGTTGGTATTATTACACCATATAAATTACAAAAGAAAGAATTGTTGGAAGCAAGAGGAGCATTTAATGAAAAGATGGATGTAGTTGTGAATACCGTCGATGGGTTCCAAGGTGCTGAAAAGGATATTATTATATTTTCGTGTGTTAGAAACAAGAGAATCGGATTCCTTAGTGATATTCGTCGTATCAATGTCGGTATTACTCGTGCAAGAAAAGCAATCTATGTAATTGGAAATCGTACGCTATTGGGTCAAGATCCAACTTGGAATCAGTGATTGAAAAGGTTGTTGGTAAACAATTTATTATCAATTCTGGTGGCATCGATATTCTTCAAGAAGAAATTAGACAACACGATCTTAGACATCCAAATGGTTTAATCGTTAGTAATGGTAAATCAGATGAAGAAGAACTGGAAGTATTCTTTTCATCATCAAAAGATCAACCATTTGGTCATGGTGATGAAGATGATGAAAGTGATGGTGACGACAATGAAACCGAAGCAGACAAGTTGGTTAATAGTATTTCAAATTTATCTATTAATCCAACCGCCGCCAACTATGTCGAATTATTGATAAAACAAGTGGAAATTGATATTAGTCATTACAACAAGATTAAAGCAGATAGAAACTCTGAAACAAAGGTACAAGCTAAAAGTGCCTATTCAAGAGTTAAAAATAATCTTGGACAATTGGTTGGTCATCAAAAGATCAATATTTCATCCTCTCAGCCACAACTAGATATCACCGATAATACAATCAATGGTTTATTGTCAACTGCATTTACCGATAAAAAGTGTAGTGGTGAAACATTGTCAACAAAGAAATCTAGTTGGAATGATCTTTTAGAGTTGTTAAAGATTAATTTCCCAAAAGACAGTTTCGAGGCATACGGGTCATTTGTAAATGGCATTCAATTGGAATCAAGTGACATTGATGTTTGTTTCAAGACCTCGTTTGATACCTCTGACCCTGTCCGTCGAGTAGATCTAATGAAGAGTGTGGCTAGATGTCTTTTGGCTAAAAGGGATGATCAAGGTAACCGTGATTATCAATTGGTTCGATTATTAGATTCAATCAAAGTACCAATCATTAAATTCACAGATTTGAAGCACCGTGTTTCGTATGACATGTGCTTTAACAATCGTTTGGCAATTGGTAACTCTTTATTGGTAAAATCGTACGCTGAAATTGACGAGAGAGCCAAACAACTCATGTTACTCGTCAAGTATTGGGCATCGAGAAAGGATATCAATGATGCTAGCGGTGGCACCCTTTCATCATATGCTTGGTTGAATATGGTTATATTCTATCTTCAAACTGTTCAACCTCCCGTACTCCCATCGTTGCACTCTAATGTCTATTCAAAATCAGATGGTCAGTTGGTACAAAGTAAAGTGGATGGTTGGAAGTTTGTTGATCATCGTCACACTGGATTCGTCAGCCAAAACAACAAAACATTATTCCAACTATTCTATGGTTTCTTTAATTTCTATTGCAAGTTTGATTTTAAGGATCAATTGATTTGCATTCGTTTAGGTAAACCAACGAGCAATCGAATGGCATCACAATCCTATATGGAACAAAACGATCAAAGTAAAATTTGCATTGAAGATCCATTCAACACTTCCTCCAACCCAGGTTCATCTGTTCAATCAACCTCATTTAATATTATTATTTTTGAATTCATGTCAATGAAATCAAAATTACAACAACTAGCAGTATCAACCAATAATCAAAAGATTATTCATCAACAAGATTTTGATCATCTCTTTTCAAAATCCTTAAAATTAAATGAACTTTATAAAAAATCAAAATAAAAAGTAAATGGAACAATACTACGTAAGTATTGTTGGAGAGAGAACAGATCAAATAATAAAAGAGTTTAATTCCAACAATAACACGTATGGAGAAATGAAACAAAAATGTTCATTCCATTTGGTTAACCACACACACACACATAATTGTGACACTATCTTCACGAGCTGTGTCGATATGGTTTAGCTCAATGAGTGGTAAAAAATATATATACCTGCATACATACCGACTGTATGGGAGTCTATTGGTCAATAGGTCTATTGTTAATGGTGTTGCTATTCAAAATAGTTATAACCCCCCTTGGTTGGATGAATCCGTCACCAGAATATGACAGGTTAAATTGATTTAAAAGTTAGAATTGTTAAATTTTAATCAATCAATTAATATTAAAAAGAAAAAGGAGACAGAGAGAGAGGAAAAGAATAAATAGATTATATTAATAGTCATACTTCTTCTCAACATTCAACTTCACATTTATTTATTTATTTATTTATTTATTTATTTTAAAAAAATTATGAAAATATTAAACACTCATAATTTAATCCTACTATTGTTGGGATTAATATTATTTATTAATCAATCTTTGTCACTTGAATGTGATTATGATTGGAAATGTCCAGGTCTACCAAATAGTTTTTGTAAGAATCGTATTGCCATTTATCAAGGTTTAGTTTTGGATCCTGAAACTCACAAATTATCGTTGACTGGTCGTTACAATACAAGTGTTGGAAGAACTCAAGGAAATGCATTCTTGATTGAAATCGATACTCAAGGACCATTGGGATTCGTTGAAAAGTTGGAGTTTTTTGGAGAGAACCGTACACATCTACAGTTCAATATCAAGTATGTTAATGGTCTGGCTGGTATTGCTCCAGGTGGTCGTCCAGTAGTCGTCATGCCACGTTTCAGAGCCAATCCAACTGTCTCTCTGTATGACCCATCCACCAAAACTTACACTGATTTAATTCAAGAGTATTCTGCTCAATTCAAGGGATTTGTAAATGGTAACAATCCAAATGAATTCTTTGGTTGTGGGTATCAAGGTATTAAAAAGTACAGTCCTCTTACACCCGGGGTCATCCCAACCTCTGTACCCGTCATGTCGTTCCTTCCATGGGGAGATTGTGCAGCTCTGTCCAAACAAGGCAATACATTGTACTTTGTACACTACGAGTATTTGTTGGGTGTCACCAAATCACATGTCATGACAGTACCTGATAATTGCAATAACTGTACTTCTGCAACCACCCTATTCACCGTTGATTTCCAGATCCAAGGCTTTGCAACACATAAAGCAGGTAATAGAGTATTCGTCTATTACTCTAGCCAAGATGCCATGTATCGTGTGCCATTGGACAATGTAGCTCAACCATTTGTCCTTGTTCAAGAACAATGGATTCAATCGATTGTTGCAGATGACCAATTTGTCTATTACACCACCTCGGACCAGGTCAAAAAGGTCAGTCAACAGACCACTGTCACCAGCACTCTCTACGACCCCTCCAACCAACAATACCTCAAAACGTCAACTTGCAACTGTGTCAATGGTTTCACAGGATCGGATTGTCAAACTTGTGCTGGAGGTACCGTTCAATGGAACTACGGTGAACCATTCTGTGTACCATTCCTCGCCGACGGATCAGTATCTTCTTGTACCGAGACATACCATTGTCTCAGTGGTCCATATGCCTACTGTTATTACAATTCTTGTATCTGCAAGTCATCCTTTTCTGGTCCACGTTGTGACCAATGTGTAAATGGTACTGTGTCATGGGATCAATTTGGTCCAAGTTGTATAAAACATTAAACCTTCATACAAATTACCTTTCCAACAACATCAAATAATAAATATTATAAATTATATTATTCTACCAACAACAACAACATTAATATTGGATGGTGAATTCAACAGTCCTCTCAGAGGATTAATTCCACCAACACTTTTAAAATTAAAGCTATTGGGAAACTTTAATCAACCAATCACATGGGGTGATATTCCAGATAGTGTTGAAACATTGATATTCGGATCATCATTTAATAGTGACATCGAATCATTTCCAAGGTCATTAAAACATTTAGTTTTAGGAAAATCATTCAATCAATCGTTGAGATCATTTTCTATGCCTATAAATGCTACAATACATATAACCACCTCTAATTGGAACCATACTCTTTCCAATGTATTTGTCAATTGGAGTGATCAAGCATTGAAAAGGATGAATGTCTACCAGTACTGCCAAGATTCCAAACAGACTACCATCAACTCATTTATAAAAAAACAAACCTATTTTCATCTTAACAATCGGTGAGCAATCTTATGGAATTGGTAGAGGTATGGTATCTGGTCAAACAAATTTGTAACAATGATTCTAACCGGAAGAGTTTTAATATTTTTTCAAATATAGGAGCGATAATATATTACAGTGGAAGAATAATAACATCAAATTATCAATCAATCTAGAAGTTGTCAAGTGATATCATATGTTAAAGCATCAATCTATCCACATTTATTTTGTCAAATAGATAAATCAAAATTTGAATCAATCAATCAACACTTTGTCGAATACCAACCCGACTCTAAATACCCCCTAAAGGAAATGGAGAAACTATTTGAATTGGATGAAGACAATATTCATCAAGTGTTTGAACATAATGATCAATATCTAAATATTAGATTGATTTACACCAAAACATCTGTGCTGTCAAAGAAGAAAAAGGTTTTCTCTCGTCTTTCAAAAAGCAATAACAATAAAACAAAGAAATAAATGGCTGATATATTAAACAGGTTTCGTGTTCAGAACACCACCTAAATGATAAGTACATGATGATCAAATACTAAATTCTAAAGTACATTTAAATGTTTTTATATTATTGTATATTTAATAATTCATTTCAATAAATTAATTAATTACACTTTTAAAAAGATTTGTTGTTTAAACAATGACGAGTCGTCACCAGTCTTGTTTTATTATTAAACAATTTAGTAGACACCAGAAGTTGGTGAATGATAAACCCAAACTTATCAATATGGATATATTATCTTGGTGGCACAGTCAGAAAGAAAGTATGCCCGTCCTCTATGACTTGGTACAAAAGTATATGTGCATTCCATCGTCATCAGCTCCTTGTGAGCGTATATTTTCAAAAGCAGGTACAATGTGCACATCATTACGTAACAGAATGTCCCGTTATTGCAGTCGAAGATGTCATGTACGTAGACGTCAATCACTCATATATTTCTTCTGAGAAGAAAAATCAACAAAAACGTTCTGATAATAATTAAATAAATAAATGTAATAAATGGTCTAGTTTTCCTTATGATTAATTTAATTGTTTGTAGCTGACTTTTTAATTGTTTCGACAAGCTTTTGACCCGCTAAAAACGAGCTTTCAGCCAAAGCTGAAAACACTGGTTTATTACAATTTTTGAATCAAAAATTGTAATAAACAGTTTATTATCAATATTAATTTGTATTGACTGTTAAAGAATTGACAAAGTCATTATAATGGCTGATACAGCAAACGATATCTCTGACACCCAACAAACTTCCTCAGATACAATCGAGGACAAAATCAATCCAATATTACTATCATTGACTTTTGCTAATGATTATAATCAATTTCTAACAGTTGGAGTATTATCATCATCATTACAATCATTGGTGTTTGGTGATGAATATAATCAACCGCTAACAGTTGGAGTATTACCATCATCATTACAATCATTGGTGTTTGGTGATGAATATAATCAACGTCTATCAGTTGGAGTATTACCATCATCATTACAATCATTGGTGTTTGGTGTTGGATATAATCAACGTCTATCAGTTGGAGTATTACCATCATCATTACAATCATTGAGGTTTGGTAGTTACTATAATCAACCACTATCAGTTGGAGTATTACCAACATCATTACAATCATTGATGTTTGGTCATTATTATAATCAACCACTATCAGTTGGAGTATTACCATCATCATTACAATCATTGGTGTTTGGTGATGATTACAATCAACCACTATCAGTTGGAGAATTACCATCATCATTACAATCATTGGTGTTTGGTGATGAATATAATCAACCACTATCAGTTGGAGTATTACCATCATCATTACAATCATTGGTGTTTGGTTGGAACTATTACCAACCTCTATCAGTTGGAGTATTACCATCATCATTACAATCATTGGTGTTTGGTGATGATTACAATCAACCACTATCAGTTGGAGTATTACCATCATCATTACAATCATTGAAGTTTGGTTTGGAATATAATCAACCACTATCAGTTGGAGTATTACCAACATCATTACAATCATTGGAGTTTGGTTGGAACTATTACCAACCTCTATCAGTTGGAGTATTACCATCATCATTAAAATCATTGAGTTTTAGTGGTAAATATAATCAACCACTACCAATTAGAGTATTACCACCATCGTTACAATCATTGGGATTTAGTTGGAGATATAATCAACCTCTATCAGTTGGAGAATTACCATCATCATTACAATCATTGGTGTTTGGTTGGAACTATTACCAACCTCTATCAGTTGGAGAATTACCATCATCATTACAATCATTGGTGTTTGGTTATAAATATAATCAACCTCTATCAGTTGGAGTATTACCATCATCATTACAATCATTGATGTTTGGTCATGATTATAATCAACCACTATCAGTTGGAGTATTACCATCATCATTACAATCATTGGTGTTTGGTTACTACTATAATCAACATATATCAGTTGGAGTATTACCATCATCATTACAATCATTGGTGTTTGGTGATGATTACAATCAACCACTATCAGTTGGAGTATTACCTTCATCATTACAATCATTGGTGTTTGGTTATAAATATAATCAACCTATATCAGTTGGAGTATTACCATCATCATTACAATCATTGGTGTTTGGTGATGATTACAATCAACCACTATCAGTTGGAGTATTACCATCATCATTACAATCATTGGTGTTTGGTGATGATTATAATCAACCTCTATCAGTTGGAGTATTACCAACATCATTACAATCATTGGTGTTTGGTTATAAATATAATCAACCTCTATCAGTTGGAGTATTACCAACATCACTACAATCATTAGAGTTTGGTAGTTCCTATAATCAACGCCTATCAGTTGGAGTATTACCAACATCACTACAATCATTGTTATTTGGTCACATAAATATCGAAATTTCGCCAACAAGAGTTTTAGTTGATTTCAAACAAACGATTGCCAACAGAAACTTTATTAAACTAGGGTCGCTTGGAGTAATCAAACTGCCAAATATCAAAATTCTTCCAAAAATAACGTCATGGTACAATGGGCAGAACAACATTCTAACACTCACAACATTCAACCCAAATCCCAACTCTATCAATTACGACCCCAACTATTTAATGGTATATCCCATCAAATCCACAGATTATGTTACAGTCAACAACCACAAATATTTCAAATTACACCCTTTTCCATACTCTGACAACCAAGTAATCTTTGTTATGAGCGAATCCGGTGTATTAGTATGTATTAAAAATCCGAAACAAAAATATAATAATTACTTTGATGTTTAACCTATCTTTTAGTTTGTTTACAAAGAAATAGATTACTCCTCCAATCAATCAATCTACAACAAAGTACAATTTGAAATCACAACGATGAAATTATTCATCAGTGACTCTATGTTTGTACAATACAAAGATCACCAAGATGACAGTGATTTAAAAAAGATATATATTTTGACACATTTCTGTGAAGGTGGTGATTTAGAACAATTATTTCAATCAATGACTAAATGGTATGTCATTCTAATTATTAGAAGTTTACCATTGATTGACCATATTTAACACGAACAACTCTTTTTAGGAATATCTCTCAAAAACAACAACCTCTTCCAGAATATAAATATATTCCAGAATCAGAAATATGGGTCTATATTCGACGATTATTCCTCATACTTGAAAAACTATCACAACACAATCTTGCACATCTTGATATTAAACCACTCAATCTTTTCATTGGAAATGATGGTGAAATCGTTCTTGGTGATTTTGGTTGTTGTCACACTTACGTTGATCATAATACATCAGTTTCTAATGCCAAGATTGATAAAGTCACAAATAATAATCAAGAAAATAATGACTCCAATCAAACAACAGCACAATATGCTATTAAGATAGCCAAAACACTTGCCTCTCGTGGAACAAAAGGATATTACTCACCAGTATGTACATATTTTTATGTTTATAGATTAATCATGCTAGAATAACATTTTTTTTTAAATGATAACTGTATAATAGGAATCAAAACAAAAGAAATATTACCCCTCAAGTGATATATATTCAGTTGGTTCAACTATTTTACATTTACTTTCTTGGTAAGATTTTTTATTTGACAAACAACTTTATTGACAACCAACTTACCATTTCACAGTCACCCAGATGATATCGGTCATAGAATTGAATTTGTCAACAACCACAAAAATAACAACTTTGATACGAACCATATTAAAATATCAACAGATAGATACTCTGAATATTTAATTAATTTTGTCAAGAATCTATTAATCGAAACACCTGATGATCGTCTTTCATTGGATGATTTGGTTGGAGAAATAGTCAACGAACACACACAAAGAATCACATCATTTTTAATCGATCGACGACAAATTCTAACAAACACAACAACATTAATATTGGATGGTGAATTCAACAGTCCCCTCGAAGGATTACTTCCACCAACACTGTTAAAATTAAAGTTGTTGGGAAACTTTAATCAACCAATCACATGGGGTGATATTCCAGATAGTGTTGAAACATTGATATTCGGATCATCATTTAATAGTGACATTGTATCATTTCCAAGGTCATTAAAACATTTAGTTTTAGGAAAATCATTCAATCAATCGTTGGGATCATTTTCTATGCCTACAATACATATAACCACCTCTAATTGGAACCATACTCTGTCCAATGTATTTGTCAATTGGAGTGATCAAGCATTGAAAAGTATAAATGTCTACCACTGCCAAGATTCCGAACAGACTACCATCAACTCATTTATAAAAAACAAACCTAATTTCATCTTAACAATCGGTGAGCAATCTTATGGAATTGGTGATATCAAGAGGTATGTTATCTGGTCATACAAAATCAACAATGATGCTAACCGGAAGAATTATAATATTTTTTTCAAATATAGGAGCGATAATATACTAGAGTGGAAGAATAATAACATCAAATTATCAATCAATCTAGAAGATGTCAAAGTGATATCATATGTTCAAGCATCAATCTATCCACATTTATTTTGTCAAATCGGTAGAACAGAATTTGAATCAATCAACCAACACTTTGTCGAATGCCAACCCGACTCTGAATACCCCCTAAAGAAAATGGAGAAACTATTTGAATTGGATGAAGATGATATTCATCAAGTGTTTGAACATAATCAATATCTAAATATTAGATTGATTTACAACAAAACATCTGTTGATTGAATTCAAAGATGAAAAAGGTTTTCTCTCATCTTTCAAAAAGCAATAACAATAAAACAAAGAAATAAATGGCTGATATATTAAACAGGTTAACACATGTTTGGTAGACACCCGGTTTACCAAATAGTTTTTGTCAAGAATCGTATTGATTCATTCTTACTTTTCTCAAGAGGATCCAAATATCAGATTGGTGTGTCCTATAACTTATACATTTAATAATTAATTTCAATAAATTGATTAATTACACGATTTGTTGTTTAAACAATGACCGAGTCGTCACCAGTCTTGTTTTATTATTAAACAATTTAGTAGACACCAGAAGTTGGTGAATGAATATCTACTTGTCCTTGAACTTGAGACTGGGAGACAATTTGGTTGGAGTTGAGATCGATGGTGGTCAAGTAGTATTGGTTGTCCGACGATGACAATGAAAGATAGACAAAGTAATTGTCAACAAACCAGAGATTGAGAGAGAATGGGAGACCGGTATCAGCGTCACTGTAGGTGAGGGTGGCAGTAGCTTGGACGGTATCGATTAGGTACAATGACAATGCATTGGGAGAGTTACGGGTAACGGCATAGATTTGTTTGTTGGCAGAGAAAAGATAAGTGTCAAGGTTGGGAGCAATACCAGTCACATTGACAATACTCGATTGTTGGTAGGTGGCCAATGAATAGTATGACAATACAAATATACTATTGTCATTGTCAGAGACATCCATGAAATAGTAATTGTTTTGACCGTCGAAACAACCAGATGGAATACTGTACCCTTCTGGCATGGCGAGTGTGATGACCTTGGTGGCTGAATGACCAAAGTCATAGACAAACAATTGGGGACCTGTTTCTGGACCACCTTCAATAAGATAGACCGAATTACGATTACTATCATATTGGTATGAAGTCAAGTACCATGTAAAGTCTGGTTTAACAGAACCAACATATGGAGTTGAACTAATCAAATTACCAGATGGTGAAACAGTCATAATACTATAAGCAAAACTAGTATTCTCTACTAAAATCAAAAACTAAAAAAAATATAAAACAAACAATAATATTATTAGTTATAATGATCACAGATACGTAAAAATATATATATTATATAGTTGTTGTTGAATACATACATTTCCATTGGTATCAACACCCAAGAATCTTTGAAACCATGAACCATTTTGTAAGGTATTGACAGATAGTGTAGTATTCTTGACAGTTCCACTAGCAATGTTGATCGTACTCAAATCAATAGAGTGATCAGAGTAGTTGTTTGTATAGATGTATAGGTTGCTTGGTGGTGTTGCTGCTACATAGTAGATACTCTAATAATAATTAAATTAAATATAAAAGATAAATATGTATGTTAATTCATCTTTTATCTCTTTTAATGATTTCTGCGCGATCTTTGTTGTTTGAACGAATGAATACTCACACATAAAATTAGTGAAAATAAAAAAGAATATTTTAAATACATTTTTAATTGTGGTGTGTTTGTGGTTGCTTTGAAAGAAAGACGAATAAAAAGAATGATCAACCGAGGAACCAAGAGTCGTCACAATCAGTGGTGCCTCTCGTTTTTAACATTAAAATTAAAATTTAATATTATATTATATAATATAATATAAAAGTTTGAAACCCAGTGGTTTACAGGATATTTAAATTTATCTTTGAAAAAATCGGAAAACTTTTCTTTCACCTTCGAGACAAAAGGAAAAGATGGTATCCGCGCTCATCATACTCTCAGCTCTCTAAAAACAATCAAATAAATCTTTTAAATACGATTAACCAACATCAATCATCTTTCATTCTAAAGATTGTTGTTGTTTGTTTGTTTGCGTATTTATTTATTAAAAGACACCAGAAGCTTGTGAATAGAGATCAAAAGTATTTGCTTGGACGAGTGTAGTGGAGACAACTTGTTTGATGTTGAGATCGACAGTGGTCAAATAGAATTCTTGGGTGTCTGACGACAAGGTAAGCAATACAAAGTAGTTGTCGATGAACCATAGATTGAGAGAGTTCATTAGACCGGTATCAACGTTACTGTAGATTGGAGTGGCGGTGGCTTGGGAGGTATCTAAAAGATATAATGTCAAGTTTGTAGGGTTGATAGTATTATAGGCAAGAACATAGACTTGTTTGTTGGCACAGTAAAGGTAGGTATCTGAATTGGGTGAAATACCAGTAACGTTGACATTGTTGGATTGTTGTTGACTGGCAAACGAGTAGGATGATAGTTGGAAGGCACTAAAGTTATCGTCAATGATATTCATGAAATAGTAGTTATCAACACCGTCAAAACAACCACTTGGAATATTGTATAGTTCAGACATGGAAAGTTGGACAATATTGGTCGATGAATCGGCCAAGTTATACTCCAACAAACGTGGCGCTCCAGCACCCGTGACAATAAGGTATACTGCATTACGACCACTATCATATTGATAGGAAGTGTCGTACCATTCATAAGTTGTAGATATCGGACCTGCATAGGAAGGTGTATTTAATAATTCCCCAGATTGTGGTGAAACCGTCAATACTCCAAATCCACCTGAATGATTCATTGCTAAAAGTTTAAACTACAAACCAAAAAAAAAAAAAAAAAAATCAATTAATTATTTATATATTTATATTTAGTTTGTTTGTTAGTTTGTTTGTTTGTTTGTTTGGATACATACATTATCATTGGCATCAACACCTAAAAATCTTTGTAACCAAATATCATCTTGGAACATGGGAAGTGTGGTAGAGTTGACGGCTCCAGTTTCAAGATTGATCTTTGTCAATCCAACAAGAATGAGTAATCGGTCAACTGAATACATGTAGAGATTGCTTGGTGGTGTTGCAGTCACAACCATAGAGCTATAAATCTATAGATAGTTGTTAATTGGAATAAAAATATGTAAATATATTAATCAGAAAAATAAATAAATATTATTCTTTTATACTTACACTACATACTGCTGCAACTAGAAATAAAAGATAAGGAGAGAGTTTAAAATTCATTTTCATTCTAATTACAAATGAAAGTGATGCTCCTCTAGATGACGTATAGTATTACAATTCTGGATCATTAATTATAATTAAAATTTATACAGTCGACAAAAAATATCTTTGTCGTTGTAAATTTCAAGGTCCATCTTGGGTTTTCAAAAAACGGCACCGTAAAACCGAGCCCCACCTTGGTCCGATCTGCCTGTCGACGTCATTTCCGGCTCCGACCCTCTTGTTTGTTGCGAGTGATGATTTTTATTGTTTGTTAAAAAGAAATCTCTTTGAACTTGAATAAGTAATTGGCCAATTACTTATTAATTATTTATTTATTAATTTTATTTAATTTTTTAAAAGACACCTGATGCATTTGAACGAATATCTACTTGACCTTGGACATGGATCTTGGAGACAACATGGTTAAGGTTAAGATCGAATGTGGTTAAATAGAATTGACCGTCAGAATCGGTAGAGAGCAAGACAAAGTATTTGTCAATGAATCAAACATTGAGAGTTCATGAGACCGGTCGACATTGTAGGCGAGAGTGGCTCAATCTTGATTGGTATCGATTAGGTATAACGACATATTGGTAGGATTGATGGTATCATAGGCAAGAGCATAGACTTGTTTGTTGGAACAGTAAAGGTAGGTATCAGAGTTGGCTGAAATACCAGTAACGTTGACATTGTCGGATTGTTGTTCATCTGCAAACGAATAGGATGATAATGTGAATTGACTATAATCATCATCATTGATTTCCATGAAATAGTAGTTATTGTGACCATCAAAACAACCACTTGGGATATTGTATCGGCCGTTCATGGAAAGATCGAGATCATCAGTCTTGGAATTCTCGAAATCATAGACAAATATTTGTGGACCCGATACTACAAGATAGACAGAGTCACGACCACTTTCATATTGGTATGAAGTAGTGTACCATTCATAAGTTGTACCGATTGGACCAACATAGTAAGGATCCTTTACTAATTGACCAGTCTTTGAAACGGTTGCAATTCCTAATGAACCAGTACCTCCCATCGTTCTCTACTAAAATGAGAAACTATAATCAAACATTCTTGACTTTCTAGATTATCATCCACAGACCCTCAAGTGATCTATAGATCACTAAACTGAGCTGTCATGTGATTGAATGATGAGGAGAGGTGAATTAAACAACCTGTCTGTAGTGGGTGGGGTTTGAAAAATAATCAATACAAAAAAAAAAAAAAAAAAAAAAAGGTGATACTTCAAGTAGTTGTGTTCTGTAGTCCATAGATAGGTAGATATATAGATAGATATTTAGAAAGGCAAAATGTTAGGAAGGGGTTTTATTCAAACAATCGAGATCAGGTCACAAGATGAGATGATCGGCGACTTGTCGGTTTTGGACATCCATCCTATATTTTTCTCTTTTTTTCGTTTGTCGTCAAATGAGGTTTGCTGCCTTTTGATCATTTATTGTACTACTACAACGACAAACAAGCAATCATTCAAACATCCTTCCATCCCTCTTCTTTTCCTCTTCTACTTGAATCCATTCAAAAATGGCGTCGGTAGTGGACAAAGAAATAGATCGTCTTGGTCAGGTGATGCACAGTTGCCAAACTCGGATCAGAGACATTAGAGCTCAATACAACGATGCCATCAGAAAAGCACAGAAACAACAACCACAGACCTCTGCAACAACCAAGCTCGTTCAAGATCTAGAGATTAGAAAGAAAGCTTTGTTAGATGCTGAAACATTAAAGAACAGAGAATGCATTAGACAAAGAAATATATTGATCAACACTCCTGTTAAGAAAACAACTCCTCCTCCTCCTCCTCCTCCTCTTGTTAAGAAACCAACTCCTCCTGTTGTAAAAGCTGTTCCACTTCCACCGGTGGTTCAACCTCCACCACCACAACATAGTAACCTTCAAACACTATTATCAAGATCTCAGACGATTGAAGCAAAGATATTGCAATTAAAGTCGGAAAGAAAGAAAATTCCATCCAAGAGTCCAAGTGATACGGATGAAAAGAAGGCAATGCTCAAAAGCAAGAGAAAGGCTGTTTCAAAACAACTGAGAAACCATAGAGCTGATTTAAGGGATTTAACAGTTCAAATTGAAAAGTTAAAATCAACTACCATTGTCCAGTCACCTGTTGCTGCTGCTAAACCTGCACCGGCACCGGCAACAGCTCTCAAACACATGCCAACATTACCACCTGCCAAGCCAGCAGCAGCAGCAGTCGTCACAGTGGCCAAACCCATACCAACATTACCACCTTCCAAACCAGCAGCAGCAGCAGCAGCCGTCACAGTTGTTGCTCCTCTTCCACTCACAACTCAACTTCAAAAAGTAAACAATGAAATGAGAAATATCTATCAACAGATTAGAACGGCTCAACTGGCATCGGCCAATGCAATCGCTCAACTCAAAACAAATTTGGCCAATGTACCTCAATCCGATCCAAACCGAAACAAACTCAGAAGAGATTTGGAGGAAAGGATAAGGGTAATCCGTCGTGATACACAAGACCAACTTTCCAAATTATATGATGAAAAGAACTACCTCAAAAAAACAAAAGCAATTTTAAAAAGAGGTCCAAGTTCTGTTGGAGGATCAACCCCTACTAGTGTTCCACTTGCTCCTTATAGACCATCACAAAAACAAATAGATTATATTAATTGTATTGGTAAAAATGTATGTATATTTTTCAAAAAAAACAAACAAATATCTCTATCAATTATTTTTTTTTTTCTTAACTCTCTCTCTCTCTCTTTGTCTCTTGATTTATTTAATTATTTAGGCAGGACAAATTATAGATTTAATTTTATTATGCCAACCAAAGAGAATAGGATTTTTGTCACATTATCTTGTACCTTTTAGTTACAAGGATGAAAGAACACATGGAGAATATATACAAGATATGGTACCTTTGATGTTTGAAGAATTACGTACTCAAATCACACAGGAATGTGAAGAAAATGGTGTAGAGATTAGAGATAATGGTGAGATGGATTATATAAGAATTAAGACAATGCCAATCTCTATTGACATTTTGGCTGAAACACGTGACAATGTTGAAGGAGTTTGTTTAAAATTTTGTCAACGACTCAACGATCCCGATCAGGCATTGTTTCAATCGGATCTCATGTTACTTGTAATTAAAGAAGGTGTAAAGAGACCAGTTCATGTGTTTGGGTTGGTGGACAGTGCAGTCACTGATAGAAAGAACCCATCCTTAAAGAGATACTCTATACGTATCTTGGAGGATCAAACCAACTACCCTCATACAACCGAGTTTATCGATGCATTGTATGACATTAAAAAGAGTAAAGGAAAGGTACATATTGCTCGTATATCCAACCTTACAACCTTTCAAAGAGAATACAATGCCATTCAAAGGTTTATATCACATTCATTGGGTCCCCTTATCCTCACACCCGAACAATACCTTGAAAACAAAAAACCTTCACCTAGTTATGCAATCCCAAAACGATTACAAGATAAATTACCTTTAAATCCTTCTCAAATGATTGCAATCAAACAATGTATGATTCAAGATGAATTAACTTTAATTCAAGGTATGTCAAACAAAAAAAAAAAAGATAGTTATTAAATATTAATATTATTTTTTATTTATTTTAATAGGACCACCTGGAACAGGTAAAACAACAACTATTCTTAGTTTACTTGGTATATATCATAGTATATTGCCTCCACAATGCCAAATATTGGTTTGTGCGCCAAGTAATACTGCAGTTGATGAAATTGGTATTAGATTTTTGCGCGATGGATTAGTTTCTGAAGAAGAGGAAAATGAAAGACCTGGTGCAGTTCGTTTGGGAAGTAGATTGGAAGTGATCAATGAAAAGTTACATCCAATTTGTACAAGCAGGATTGATGATCTAAAGAGAAGAATCATGATGATTCGAAGTGCCAGAATCGTCCTTTCAACATTATCTGGATCTGCATCAACCATGCTAGCAAAGGCTGGGTGTAGACCATCGATCATTATTGTAGACGAGTCTACTCAATCGTGTGAACCATCAACTTTGATTCCACTGCTCAGAAATTTCAGATCAAAGGTTATTTTAATTGGTGATCCAAAACAACTTCCACCAACTGTATTCTCTGATATTTCTAGTAGATTCAATTATGATGTGTCGTTGTTTGAAAGATTATCAAATTATCTTCCCGTTCATATGCTCGATACACAATATCGTATGCATCCATCCATTTCAAAGTTCCCATCCGATCAATTCTATCAAGCAAAATTAAAGGATGGTGAAAATGTAGTCAAATACAGTAATTCATTTTACAATGATAAAAAGTATGGACCAATTAATTTTTATCATATTCCAGATTCTCAAGAAGATACAACTATTGGTAAATCTATCAAAAATAATTTGGAAATTAAATTGGTTTATGTTTTATTAAAAAAATTGGTATGCAAACAAAATCAAACAAACAAACAACAAAGTTAAATATTTAATTATTTATTTATTTATTTATTTATTTTTATTTTGATTTCTTAGGTACAAGAATATCCAGAAGTTAAAAAAATGAGTGTTGGTATTATTACACCATATAAATTACAAAAGAAAGAATTGTTGGAAGCAAAAGGAGCATTTAATGAAAAGATGGATGTTGTTGTAAATACCGTCGATGGCTTCCAAGGTGCTGAAAAGGATATTATTATATTCTCTTGTGTAAGAAACAAAAAGATTGGATTCCTTCGTGATACTCGTCGTATCAATGTCGGTATTACTCGTGCGAGAAGAGCTATCTATGTGGTTGGTTATTCTTCACTTTTGGAACAAGATCCAAATTGGGGTGCCTACCTTCGTTTTATCAAGGACAGGATTGGAAAATATGTTACAATCGATTCCAAAGGTATCGAGGTACTCCAAGAACAAGTTAGACAACATGATCTTAGACATCCAGAAGGTCTAATCGTTGCCACTAAAGAGGAATTTGAAGAAATTAAAGAATTTTATGATTCCAACGATGATAGAATATTCCATGATATTAGTGATGGTGAAGATGATCACGATGATGATGAAGATGATGAAGATGAAAAAGATGAAGAGGACCAACAACAAACCACCATTCAAGAATCTTCACTCTTTGCATCATTGTTAAGTTCATTCAAATCATTGACATTATTTGCAAGTAATAGTGATGATGACAACTCTATTTCGACACGTAATGCAGAGATGGTTAAAGTGGTTGAAGAAAATCTTATAAAGTATCATGGATTACAAGATATTAGATTGACACCAGAGACCAAACTTCAATTAAAGGAAACCAGAAGAAACATTTGGAAAAAGTTAAGAGAGTTGATCAAGAAGCAAAATCTAGACACTACCAAAACAAATTCAACATTTAATCCTTTCCTTGGTGTTGAAGATCATAGACATATGAATCATTACTTGGTAATGTTGTGTCACGAAAAGAGATGTAAAAATGTTTTTGTCAAGAATACCAGTTGGATGGCTCTCCAACTTTATTGTGCCGCCTCATTCCCAGAATGTAATGTCAAACCATACGGATCATTTGTCAATGGTATTCAATTGGAATCAAGTGATCTTGATGTTTGCTTCTCTACAAGAGAAGATATGAAAACAGCTCAAGGTATTAAATTAATGTTAAGAGTTGCTATTTGTATTAAAAGATGTAAGTAAAAGTAAAAGTCAAACAAATGAAATAATATATTAACTTTCCATTCTTTTTCTTTTTTTTTTTTTAAGTCAAAACATTTTAAATTGGAGAAAATTATACAATTTTCAAGAGTACCAATTTTAAAGTTTACAGATACATTACATAATATATCATATGATATGTGTTTTAATAATAGATTAGCTATTGGTAATTCATTATTAATTCAATCCTATGCGAATATGGATCCAAGAGCCAAACAACTCATGTTGCTTGTCAAGTATTGGTCATCGCAAAAGGATATCAATGATGCAAGTGTTGGTACACTTTCATCATACAGTTGGTTGAATATGGTTGTTTTCTATTTACAAACCATTCAACCACCTGTTCTCCCATCGTTGCAACAAATAGACTCATCTACTCCACCCAATAGGTTGGTTAGAAGTGTTGTTGATGGATGGAAATTTTTGGATCCAAAAATGACAGGATTCGACTCAAAGAATACAATGACAGTGTTTCAATTGTTGTATGGATTCTTTAGTTTTTATTCCAAGTTTAATTTCTCCAATTTGCTCATCTCTATTCGTTTGGGTAAACCAACCAACATTAGAATGGCATCAAAGGAATACTTGGATCATCATCATAAACGTCATATTTGCATCGAAGATCCATTTGAAACTAGTCATAATCCAGCAGCATCTGTTGGTCGGGTTGCATTTGATGTCATTGTCTATGAAATCATTGCAATGGAAACAAGATTAAAATCAATGTTGGGTCGTACTCCAATTAAAATTGAATATGATCATTTATTCTCCCAATCATCTTTGATGAAATTTTGTTCAAACAATAAGAAATAACCGTAATCTTAATAATTTATGGTCATTATTATTATTTCTTGGTTGACCGATTTTTTTTTTTTTTTTCAAAAAATAAATAAATAAATAAACAAATAATAATAATCTTTTAAAATCTAATATAATAATTTCTTTCGTTCGTTTTTTATTTATAATTTTAAATAATAGTATAAATTAAATTTTGGTTTGGGGAATTAATTTTTCTTTTTTAAATTAATTGTCTATAAACTTTTTGTTTTGGGCTAGATGAATAGCTTTTTGAAATGACCTTTGATGAATTACTACATTGGTGTGATACTTGTAATTGAATGTGATGTTGTTGTGGTTGTCTTTTTCTTTTGTGTTGCAAGGTGTTTACCAGATAGAGTTGGACCAATTTCTTGCAAGATGAACATGAATTTTTGTTTTGGATGGTATGCGAGGCTTTGTTTGAACAAACAGTTGATGGTTCAGATGAAATGACCGATGGTGCGGCAATACATGATGATGGAATATCGATAAAATCAAAATGTAAATCTCCAGAAATATCCAATGGTGGAGGGTAAAATACATTATTATTGTCGGTAGTAGTATTATTATTATTTTCGGACATGATTGATAATTTTGTAAAGATTTGTTGACAGACTTTAGACATTTTTTCTAATTTATATAAATATTATTATTTTGATTATTATTATATATAATTATTATTTTTACAATCCGAATATATAGATATATAAATATATATTGAGTAAAGGGAGGGAAATAGTTAAAAAAAAATTTTGTTTTGTTGGGGAAGGAGAAAATAGAAAGAAGAATGATTGATAGATTTATATAATATAGTAGTAGTAGTAGTAGTAGGTATATTATATATAAATATATTTAATTTCCTTTGTTTTAAATTGGAAAGCAGTAGGTTGCCTGATTGTGTATATATATATAAATATTATAATAAAAAAAAGAATATATATGTATGTATGAAGTGGCGGTGGTGGTAGGGGTACTTTCAAAGAGAGTATGTGTGTGGAAAAACCCTATTTAATGATAAGTATGGTTCGTAGGAGGGTGAGTGGGTATGGTTTGGTTTATTTTATGTTGAATTATTGATCAAGGTGGTGTATAGTGAGAGTAAGAGGAGGATGGGTTTAGAGTAGTGGTGCAACTGGGGGGTGATGGAGAAGAAAAAGATGGTACGGTAGGGAGTAGACCAAAAAAGTGTTATATAGAATGTTGACTTGATAAAAATAGAAACTAGTCAGGGTTTGGTTCCTTAATGAATGATGTGATACTTGATTGTTATATCGACAACTTGATGGTGGGTTGTATATATAAATGTGTATGTGGTTATTATTGATGATGAAATGATGATAGTAGTAGTTGTTGTTGTTGTTGTTGTTGTTGTTGTTGTTGTTGTTGTTGTTGTTGTTGTTGTTGTTGTTGTTGTTGTTGTTGTTGTGTTGTTGTTGTTGTTGTTGTAGTAGGTTCTCTTTAAAGACAGGAGGGGTGGTTGGAATGAAACAAATAAATATATTAAATATTTGGAATTTGTTAATAATATTATTTTGGTTGTTGCTGAGAGATGATTATTTTATATGATTGATGTTACAATTGTAGTAGTAGTAATAGTTGTAATAGTAGTAGTAGTTGTAATAAGTTGTAGAATGTATTCAAATGATTTGATTTACAATTAAAATCTAAAATGTTAATGCTCTATTTATATTCATGTGTTATGAATTGATGGATTTCGTATGTGTATATTAAATTACTCATCACCATTTCCAGTATGTGATATATGTCTTTGGATGAATGTGTGGTGGTGGTGGTGTTGGTGTGTGTGTTGTTTAAACGGTCAACCTTTATCCAACAATCCATCAAAAAAACAAAACATCCATCAAATAATTGATGTTGGTTGCTCGTCGTGCACACACACAGAGGTTCAATCCCAATATTATTTGGTCTGAGAAAACGAGTGTACAAGAGTGGATATGGAGGATGTATGATAGATTGACAAGAAGAAGATGAATGACAACCGACAACAGTGTCACGACTGTCCATCTACCATCTAGTATCGTCGATTATTATCATCTACCAAAGTTGTTGTTGTTGTTAAAAACAGTTGTTTTTGTGCTCATCAACAACAACATGTTGATTATGAGAATGTAGTGAGTAAAAGAAAGAAAGTAGATTTGAATAATAAAGATTTGTAAAACAACGGTTGAGTATAATAATACTAATTTGTAAAAAGCACATTCACTCCTCCTCTGTACAAACATATTATTGGATAATAGATGGTGGGAGATGACCTACTATTACATTGAGATGGGGGGTATGTAGCACAAGTTGAACAAAAACAATACAACAAGATGTTCCATTTTACAATTACTATCTATCCACTTTTTTTTTTTCTTTTCATCCCATCCCATCCTATCCTATCCATCCTATCCCATTCTTTTATCATTTTACCACAACGAATACCGCCATCTGTTTACCATTTGTCCTATCAATTTTGGTAGTACAAAGAGAGAGATGGGAATTAATTAGATACGAATTACCCAAAATTGATCCGAGCAAAAAAATTGCTGCTACCACCGTTGTTGAAGACTACCACGGATTCTCCCCTGTTTGTTAACTAATTTTTACTTGTAAAATCTACATTCCCATGTTTTATCGTTTCCCAACCGTTATTCCTGTTTATGTCAAGGTAGATAGAGATGAAAATTATAATTTGACTATGGAAAAAAAAAATGGTACTACCTTTTTTTTTTTGGATGAATAATTGATTGATCCATATAATATTATAATATTATTATTTTGCTTTATTTGTTGTTGATGTGTGTGGGTGGAGTGGTTGGTTAGTTTGTCTGCTATTGGTGATTGATGGGCTTACGAAACCCATCAACTTTTTATATTATTATTATTATTTTAATCCTTCAATATCTCATCTAATCCCATGCTGCCATGAATATTCATTTCATTGTGTGCGATGTGTGCATTGGCATTGATGATGATGATGATGATGATGAAGAAAACTTAAGATTTTTTGATTGTAAAAAATGAATCAAGAGTTGATTGCTTGGTGGCAGTTGTTGAAATGGTTGGTTTTGGTTTGGAGAGTTGAGATGATTTCCATTCATCGTATTGTTGATCTTTTTGTCTTTTAATTAATTTTTTCTCTTCTTCTATACTCATTTTACCATCTTTGTTTATGATTGGTAATTGTTGACTTTGGGATGTTGTTGTTGTTGTTTCTTTATCATTGTCAATATCAATTACAAATGAATCTTGGTTTGAATGAGTTGTTGTCGTTGTTTGGTCGATTGGTTGTTGTTGTTGTTGTTGTTGTTGTTCATTATTATTTGTCAATTCTGGTGAAATTTGATTAGAAATTGAAAATGGTGGTAGATTGATACTATTATTCTCATCATTATTATTATTATTATTATTATTAAATGTTATTGATTTGTTGGTAGGTGATCTAGGTGATACTTTTGTTGGTGATTGTGGTGATACTTTGGTTGGCGATTTAGACACACCTACACCTATTCCAACTCCAGCTCCAACTCCAACTCTTTTTGGTGATTTCTTTCCAGAGTTTAGAGACAATTTAACTGTTTTTGGCACTTTGATGGGAGCTTCACTGCCTTGATAACAAGTGCTTGTAATGCTATTGACAATGTTTTGGAATTGTTGTTGCGATATCTTGCTAAAAGATGCCAACTTTGGTACATCTATTGTAATGTCGTTTTGTTGGGTCATGACGTAAAAGGCGGCCGATGTATACTCTGCGTTCTCAAAATCAACGTATTGTCTTTGTAACTCTTCAATGCCTGCCAACAACTTTTGCCTGTACAGACCTAATAGATTCTCTGTCTGTTCAATCAATTCTGGTAATTTAAATTCATTTGCAATATCTGTCACAGATAAATGTCTCCTATAATATTAAATAAATACACATTAGTACAAGTGCACTCGGACAATGAATATTAATAATCACTTCTATGTCGACATACTTTATATCTAATGCATTTTGAACAGATCTAACAGCACCAAAAAAGAATGTTTCATTCGATCCTGTTGAATCTATCAATGCCTTGACAAGATCATCATTTACTAATTGTGTTTTTCTAATAATAATAATAATAATAGTGATGGTTCATTCAACCATTATTGTTGTGTTAATCAACCCAATCATCATTCTCTCTCATCTCTCTCTCTCTCTCTCTCTCTCTTTCTATCTATCTATCTAATATATCTCTCTTACGATTGAAGGGATAATAATAAACATGCAGCAGGCCTACAAACCTCACCTTGTCCAAGATTTCTAATCTTTAATACACTCTTTCTGTACAACTCCTTTGCATAGCTGATTACTTTGTTTTGATGACCTAAATGGAGGTTATCTGCTATTGTATCTATTTGATTTTGCATATACTTATACTACTAGTAGTGTTGGGGGTGGATATATAGTGTATTGGGATTGATGAAGATTCACCAATCAATCAATGTTTCATCAATCCATCAGACAGATTGGGTGAATGCTTGCAAAATTGAATCGTCCTCCAACTGCAAACTCATAAGAAACAGATTTATCATCACACGACTGTGAACTAACCCATAAAGCAAAAGAGTATAGTCACACGCAAGGGTGAGCTCTTTTAATTGGTTTCGGGCAGCAGTTAGTGATTCTTCACTCAATTTGCTCGATACGGAGGGATATGCAGTCGCAAGTTCTTATCGCCTTTTACTATGAGAACCCGTGTTTATCCCTCATTAACGTGTCTATCTCATTTTTGTGAGGAGTTGATACTCCTAACCCCCCAAAACCCCCTAATATTAATTTAAATGACAAAATACAAACTATCTGATTTAATCATAAGACTTCATTTCATGTCTTGATGTTCACTTGCACAGACATTTCTTTACATTCTTGTTCTTGAAATAATGCGGATATGGTTGATATAGATAATAGAAATCAACAATTACAAAAGTTATTATTACAAGATGAAAGAAGTGAAGATAGCATCAATAACGATGATTCGTCGTCAAATAGAATGATCACATGGTCGTGGGTTGCCAAACAACTAGTCAAAGTGTTATTGAATCATTCAGAAGGGATCATGGTCATGTATCTGAATTGAAAAGATAGTATGTTGTACATTAAATTTTTATAATTTATAATTTATATAAAGATTTAGTACTAAAGTTTTATGGTTTTATTATTATAGATAAACAACTTATTATAATATTTTCAAGTCTTAATTATTAATATTTATTGGTAGGTACAGTCATTTCATTTCATTTCATTCCATTCTTTGACAAAGAATATTATAAATATACATTTATAAAAAAATGATAGACAAAACTATATTAAAAACTACAAATATTTTAACAGAGTTGGAAGAATTGAAACAAACTTTTCAAAATGATTTAAAAGAATTAAAGGAAGAGATTGATGAATTGGAGAAAAGAAAAAGGGAAATGGTCGATTTCCAATCGGTTCTTGATACGAGTTTAATTGCTGATCCAATCACACTCAATATCGGTGGTGCATCATTTCAAACCTCAAAGGCTACTTTAACCAAAGTTAAAGGATCCTATTTTGATGCAATGTTCTCCGGTTTCAATAATATTAAATCTTTGGAACCAAATTCTTTTTTCATCGATAGGTATGTAATTATACTTTTCTTCTTTTTTTTTTTTTTTTTTTGATTTATTAAAAATAATTAATTAATTATCTTTCTTTTTAAATCACTTGTTTAAAGAGATGGAACCAATTTTAGACACATTTTAAATTTTCTAAGAGATGAAGACTATGGTAGAATCCCAGTAAAGGTTAGAAGTGATGTCGATATTGAAATGAAATTCTATGGATTGACAAAGACATCGGAATGCTCTTTTTTAGATTCAGTTCAATTTAAGATCATCAGGGAATGGCTACCAAAGAAGAAATTTAAATTATTATATTCTGTAAGTATTTAAATTCCCTTTTGAACTACCTTTTTATCCTATTAATATCGATCTATTAACATGTTAACAATTAGGGTTCTAGAGATGGTTTTGAAAGCAAAACCTTTCACAACAAGTGTGATGGTAAAGGTCCAACATTGTCAATTATAATGAACGATGATGGAGATGTTTTTGGTGGATTTAAAAAGGAGAATTGGACAGGTAATTCCATTAAAACGGGTCCATCATCTTTTCTTTTTAGTATTGTCAGCCAAAACCAAACAAAACCATCTATGTTTAGTCCAAAAGATATGAAAGAAACCTCTGAGTTTACTATTCTCCCATTAGATAATGTTGGTATCATTTTTGGTGATGATGGTTGGGGTATCGATCTTTACATTGCCGACAAGTCCAACACCAACAAAGATAGTTTTATTGACCTTGGAAAGACATTCAATTCTAGTCCCCTCTTCAATTCAAAAAAGATTAACTTTAAAGTTTCAGATATCCAAGTATTTAGTGCTACAAAGAATTAGAGGCCCTAGGGATTTTACATTTTATTATATATATTTATAAATAAATTGTAAAAAAGTTAATATTTATATATTTATTTTTTGTTGTATTAGATTAAATTGTATGAATCTTTTTACATAAACTAGTATGACAATCAAATACAACATTGTAACCATAGTTGAGATGTAGTTTTACAAAAGTCTTTCCAAACTTTGAAAAAGTGATACAACAAGATAAAATCAAACATCTGACAATCACATGAACCAATAGTTATGACGAGACAGCAAAGATCAAATCAAGTAAATCACTGATCAGTCTCAAAATTGATGGTAAGTAGTGGCAATATTCAATTCGGGAATCCAATATTCAATATTTATTATCCAACTTTCATTTTTTATTCAATTTATAGCTAACAATAAGGATCTTTTAAAGCAATCTATACAGCATTGATAGAATGTCACAGTTATACAAAACTTAAATATCTTTATTCAAATATTGGAGACAATGGATGTTTACAACCATCCTCAAACAGTTACGTATATATTTTAGACAAGCAACGACAAAAAGGTTGAGAGGAATTTTTTATCTTTTGGGTATCATAGATTGATGCTGGTAGTATCATCATATATCAAGACTATCAAATTGGAAGAATGCAACAAAATTATTTAGATGCCGAGTCTCTTGACAGCTCTGTTTAAAGGTTAATGTATTAGATTGGTAAACTGTTATTTTGAAGAATTATTCCCTCTATTTATTATTGATTTTTAATAACCAGGTTTAGCAGTTTCTCTAATGACAGCGCCCAATTCATTGTGGAGTACCAAGATTGACATTTTAGAAACATCATTAATGTTTGGACCAGTAGAGACTGTGCTATAGTCAAAGTAACCAGCGATATCAGTGTAACCATCCTTGAAGAATTCATCCTTGCCTCCTGATGTGGTCTTGGCATACACCTTGACGTAGGCCTTGCTTACAGGTCTCTTGTTTGATTTCTGTACGACTTGGAGTTGACCAGCCTTTGAACTGATAATGACAGAGAGGTTGTTGGAATAGACAGAGAGATTGTGGTGGACACCTCCAGATTCAATGTCAACGACAATGTTAGAGTTGGAAAACTCGGCTGGTATCTTGATGCCAAAGGTACCCGATTTCTCCTTTAATGGGAACGACTCTTTTTTGTTTGGTTGAATGTAGAGGAACTGACCCAACGATTGTTGAACAAATGGATTGGTAGAGAACAACAATTCAATGTCCATGATAAAGTAGGATACTGTGATATCACCAAGATTACTATAGTTTACCAGAATGGTACGATCACTCTCCAAACTAATATCAAATGATGGTTGAGTTGATGCGAGTTTGGAGTGATGTCTGTCACGATCCATTGGATCACTTTGGTCTGTGCTGTCGGCTGCTTGCTCTGCTTGAACTTGTTCTGGTTGATCGTGACTGTCGATTTGCTTCAACTTGTTGTACAGATCCTTGAATAGACCAGCCCAACGTTGAACTGGATAAGACTTGTACTTTTCAGCCAACTCTCTAGCCTTGACAGGCGTACCATTGAAAAAGTCCAAATAAGAAATCAAATAATCATATTGGATTTGTAATTCTGGTAAACATGATGGTGGATTAAATGCGAGTACATCAATACATTCATCTTCTTCGTGCAAGTGAATAGAGACTGGTGCAGTCGAAGAAGAAGTTGGTTGAATGTTGGCAGATAAAGATTGAGTAGTTGGATTTGAAAGAATTGCTCCAACTGTTGTTGTGGTACTGGTACTGGTGTTGGGATCAGTCTTTTTCAATTTCTTTAGACGTTTCTCTTCATCCTTTTTCTTTCTAAGTTCTTCTTTTTCCTCCTTTTCTTTTTTCTTTCGGTCTTCTTTTTCCTTTTTCTTGATTTCCTTTTCTTCAGCCTTCTTTCTCTTTTTATCTTCCTTGTCAGAGACAGCTGGGACGGTACTAGACTGACCTTGGAGAACCATTGGAGAAGAGTCGAGTGAAGGAAGGTTGATGTGGATGTTGGGAATGTTGGCATCGTGACCGATACGCTTCATGATCTTGACAGCTTCGTCGAAACGATCCTGTGCCAAGAGGTAGTAGACCAACGACAACAACTCCTTGTCAGAGGGATATGCCTTGTAGAGCAAGAGATTGATAAACTTTTTGTACTTTTCGTTGAGCTTGTCGTTGAGGATCTTGCGCTCGACACCGAGTTGGTGAGTACGGCTGTTTACGAGTGGGTAGTACTCGAGGTACTGGAAGGAACCCTTGTCGAGTGGATCGCTACTCAACAACTGGCAGTTGATCGATGGTCCATAGTCGAGCTTGACTTCGGACAAGTAGTCGTTGCAGTGGGATGCATCCTTGTGGTAGATGGCAAATGACCAGACTGTCAAGTCGTATGCACCCTTTGAACGGAGCACATTGATGACATTCTTCCAAAATTCGTGGTCGACCAGCTTGGCATAGATATAGGACAACTTTAATCGCTTCAAATTCTCCTTGCCCAAATACTCAATGATTGACTTGTTGGTGCCGTTCGATGCAACATACTCCCACGACAATTGGTTGACAATGGTGGGACGTTTGACTACATTAAATGTGTGTGGTGCAATCGATGCAATGATACGATCCTTTTCAGAGACGTGGGCTGGGAAGTGAGTGTACGATCCAATCTCTGGGAAATAGAAATAGAATTCATTGCGAGAGGTAGAGTAGGGAGAGATTTCAATTGACTTTCCTCTAGTGTAGAATGGGTAGGGTCCAACTGGTACTGCTCCCTTTGGAATTTGGAGCAACACATCAATCTTGCGTTGCTTGCTTGAAAAGTTGGCCAAGACGACCAATGCACCGTACACCTTGTTGACAATAAACTCGTCCGACACGTAAATCTCGTTACCTTCACCACTCTCGTACGAGTAACGGTTGTCGGGATCGAAAAAGTGTTGGCTCACCAACACGTTGTGGTCCACTTCGAGGGCAGCTTCGACCAACTCTTCGTGGAAGACAATGATGGGTGATGTTGGAGTGTGTGCAACACGTCCATTGACATTACGTGGTTCCTTGTCCTTGGAAGAGAATGGTAGATCCAATACAGCCAATCCAAACAAAACCGATGTAAAACTACCTGCCAACAGACCAATATAACGCGAAACAAATTGAAGGTTCTTGGATTGTTCATTGGCAATGACAAACTTGATATAATCTCTCCAAAATTCATTGGGACGGATCAATTCAGACGATGTGTACTGTTGTTGATAATAGTTGGTTTCAGCATACTCTTCAGTCTTTTCAATGGGTTGGTAGAATTGAGCTGGTGCATCACGTTCCTTGCGTGCCATACTCTTTTTCTTGGACATCATGTCGATACCATAGGATTGTGATGCTGATGCTGGTGGTGGTGGGGGTGCAGCCCCAAATGCCATCATCATGGGTGCTGGTGCAGCCATTGCCATGCTCATCATGGGGGCTGCTCTGCCCAATAGTTGCATACCACCGGGTCCACCTCCGCCAGCCGACATGGTAGGCATGGCAACCGATTCACATGCATAGTCTTGTGAAGCGTTTGTGTTGAAATCCATTTCACACTCGTCTTCAGCCATCTTTTCGTCCATTTCAAGCTCGACACCGTCTTCGTCTGGTGCACCGCCATCACCCGATGGTTTGGGGTCGTCCATGTCGAGTGACAATGCCGACTTGAACAACTTGTCGTAACGAATGGCGGATAAGGGACGGTGACTGACCTCCTCGCTAATGAGCGTGTCGACAACACTAGCATACTGTGGTAACACTTCAACCAAGAGAATCTTTTCAACCGTGTTGAGTGACTTTAACTTGGCACTGCTGGTTGCATAGTTTGTGAGTTGCTCGGTATCACGTACGAGGTAATAGTCGATAAACGTCTTGTACATCTTGCACTGTACAAATGGCAGGACAACTGTGTCAAAGAATTCCTTATCCTTTTTAAAGATAAACAAGGCAAGTTCGTGACAATAGTACTTTGAAAACTTTTCCCTCTTTTGTTCAATTGATAGCTTGTGCCAGTCTCCCACAAACCCAAAGTCATTCAATGTGTCCAACGGAGCGATTGTCTTTGACAGCGACAATACCTTGTCGATGGTATCGTAGATCTTGTACACCGAACTATCGGCATTTTGGATGGTAAAGGCTTGACCGGGTTGCACGTCAGTGATCAACTTCTTTTCGGTAAAGTGTTTGGATGGTTCCAACGATCTGACAAGACGAGTGTCTTTGAATGGGAGTGTCTTGGGTTCTTCGAGCAACACGTGTGTGCTGACGACACTGTCAATGTCGACTGCTGCAATTTGCACGTATGGTCCCGACTCGCTCAACTGCGACAATGGAACCACAACGGTACCATCGTCCTTGTTTGGCACCAAATTCAACAATAGTGTCGAAGGATTCTTGAGGAATTCAAAGTAACTGCTATAGTCTGACGAGTAGGTTTGAGCTCTTGTGATGGGAGCAGCCATGTTTCTTGCTCTTCTGCTCATTTCCGATGCTCCATAGTCACTACCACTACTCAATACCTCGTCCTTGGTGGTTGTCTTGCCAACACTCCATGGTTGCAACAAGTTGCTTGGTTTCTTTAATGAATTGCCTGGCAACAAGTTCTTGGCATGCTTTCTATTGAGAATGTAGGCAATCTCATCACCCAACTCTCTACCACTAAAGTATTCAGTCTTGTCCTTTGAGAATCCTTGAGTCATTGTTGGTGTATTACCAATTGCCAATTTATCCAATTGAATTCCATAAAAATAACTTGATAATAAATGTACTCTACAATTATTTGTTGGATTCTAGAAGAAAATAAAAATTAAATTAATAAATGATTATAAATTTATATTTTTTTCTTTTTCTTTTATACCTTTAATTTAATGATTAAATTTTGTTTATCAATTTTAGCATTAATATTTAAACCATTTACAAGATTATGATGATAACTAAGAGCTCTTGAATCACCAATAATAAATCCTTCACGAACATTACCATTACAAACATTGATTGTAATTACGACTGAAATATCAGTATTGATAACAAATTTAAATTGTCCTGGTGGTAATTTAAATGAAATCTCATTATTTGTTTTCTATAATTTTAAAAAAAAAGAAGAAAAAGTTAATAAAATATTCATAATATTTAATATTTAATTTTGATTTACTACATACATCAAATTGAATTGATTTAAAATAATCTGAAGAAAATGAATTATTTGGTAAAACTTCAAATAAACCAAAGAATGATTTTGATAGTGTTTGTTCTCTACCATGATATGGAATAGTAACAAGTTGATCACTTTGTGCATTAATAATTAATGGATAATTATAATGATTATTTTCAATTAAAAATGTATAATGATGATCATCATAAATTTCAAATGATAATATCTAAAATAAATTAAATTAATAAAATAAATAAATCGATTAATAAATAAATATTATTATTATTATTATTATTCTTTTTTCAATTTCTTACATTTGATAAATTTCCTAAATGAATAATACCATTATTGTCAGTTGAAAGATTAGTAGTAATGGTATCATTTAACATCCAATGTTTAAAATTAAATGTAATTTGTTTGTTTGTGAGTGGTTCACCACCTTTTCCAAGGACATGGAATGTATAACCCTTGGCAGTGAGACGAAGGTAGCAATTGGAGATTTGACCAGATTGATTGATCGAGTTGATGGGGAGGGATTGGTTAAACGAGAGGTCTTGGGTGATATTGTTTTTAGAGAGCACTTTGATCTTGGCGCGGAGGGTGACATCGATCGAGGCAATATTGTCGGGTGTGTTGAACAAGTAGACCGAGTCTTGACTGTCAGACAATGTAAACGACTTGATCTCCTTGTTGGTGGTGATGGCATGCTCACTATTGTCGGTGGTTGTAATGGACAAGACAATGTCTTCAAGGTTGGCAAGTGGAATCTGTGTGTTGCCAAGATAGAGACGTGCACGTACTACAATGGGTGCCTTTTCTCCTTGGAGCAGAGTTGAATTGTCCATAAACACAGTACCAACCAACAAATAGTCTTCAGAGGCATGTGAGAATGACAACTTGTACGATGCAAAACCATCGTCACCGGCTACCAAAACAATGGGTTTGTCCTTGGGACTAGTAGTGAATGGAATGATCACATCACCATGCTCGTCACTTGTGAAACGGTTGCCGTCAAGATAGACCGATGATTTGAGCAATTTGACATTGTCTTCGTCGAGTACTTTGATGACTTGACCTACTTGGTTGATACCAACGGTGTAGTTGAGCTCACCCTTGCGAACAAGTGCACGACTTGATTTACCACCACCAATCAATTCAATTACAAACACTCCTCTCTTGCCCTTGAGTTGTGGGAATGCAAAGTGACGAACTACACTTTGGATGGATGGTTCAGTGTAGGTATGAGATTCCTCCCAATTTGCAACCAAACCATCCAAATTAATCTTTGAATCGATCAACTTTTTCTCTTCACGGTAATAGTTTAATGTAGAGATTTCAAACACCTTTACCAAAAGATGTTGTACATTTTTAACTGCACATTCAATGACTACATCATCGTCTGGATTGTAATAGGTTGGATTACCAACACTAAAATCAATATCGACACGATCCTTTAGTGCTTGAACCTTGGCATGATCATCAACCATTTGATACCATTTATCCATATCTCCACTATTACTTAATAATTTAACTTCTGAAAATATTGACTTTAAAAAGGTCTGAGTAAAATATGATGTAAACTTATCATAATTTGTTTCCTTTTCAAATAGTTTCTTTAATATTTTCTTAATCTAAAAACAAAACAAAAAAAGATTTAATTTAGTAAATGATATTCATAATTATTATTATCCTTTTTCCTTTTTTTTTTTTTTTTTTACTATACTAAATGTTCATCATCAGATTGAGAAACTTGAGTAAATTTAATTGAAAGATATTCATTAAAACGAATGATAGAGGTTGGTTCTGATTTGGATTGTGGGGTGACATAATGATTTCCATGTAGGTCACGTGGCAATTGAATGTAATCATTGAATTTATCCTTGTCATAGACATTGTATTGGATTTGGTGAGAGAGGTAGTGATATAATACAACCATCTTGTACGAGTTGAAAGATGATGGGAGTGTTTTTACAAAGTTGTAGGCACTCGAGTAGTAGTGTTCGGCAACGTCATGCTCGGCCTCCCAATTGGTATGATCGGCCGATGGCAACAACTTTTCGAGGTATACTTGGATAAAACGAGTGTCAATGGTGGTTGGCTTCTTGTCGGCCAATTCTTGCATCTGACCGATTGTGAGCATGTTGTAGAGACGGGCGCCACTACTAAAGTTGGTTTGTGACTGGATCAACAAATCGACTGGTTTCTCTACGAGTGGATACTCTACGGTTTGAATGAGTGATTTGATTTGGTTGGCATTCAATGTGAAACCCTTGTTGACGAGATAGGGAAGTGCGCGACTCTTAAATGCACTAATATCATATTGACGATCTGATAATGCCTTTTTAATAATTGCATCAGTATCCAATGTACTATCCTCTAATACTGATGGAACAGAGGAAGAAGATGGAGCAGAACTATCATCTTGATTGCTCGATGAAACCGATGTAAAAGATGGATAGTAAAATGAAAGATTCAACTTTGATTTTAAAGCATCAAATGATTTTTGTCCATCACTTCCGGCAACACCATCATGATAAGCAAGTAGATTGTAACGAGTGTCAATACGTTCAAACAATGTAGAGTCGTATGCAATTATATCATCAGCCCATTCTTTCTTTAGCTTTGTAAACTTGGTACGATTGCCAGCGTCAGCCAACTGTGGATCGATGTTTAAGAGATGCAATAAATTGAAAAAGTAGTAGTCTGGACTACCAGCAATCAATGCAACCAACAACTTTTCCTTTTCATCTACATCTGATGCTAAACTATACAATTCTTCAAATTTAAAATTATTACTCATCCTAGTATACTAATATAATATAAATATAATATAATATAATATATAAATAATTAATTTAAAATCTTAAAAGATATTTATTCTTATTTTGTGTATATGTGTATGTATCTATCTATTTATATGTATAAATAAAAATGAATGAATGAATGAAGGAATGAGTTTGAAAGGGGTATTTATAAATATTATTAATAAAAAGAAATTTGATAATGAAAGTAGGAGCCTTCTACTCTGGGATCTTCACTGTGGGGGTCACAACATCAGACACTGAAACCCCTTCTCCAATGAAGAGGTGGGTCAGATTTTTTTTAATTTATTTTTTACATTATTATTTTTTAGCTTGTCCAAATGCGGGTTGTCTTCAGCGAACTTGAATCAGATAATTTGGACAAACCTTACCTCAAAAGTAATATATTTAAAGAGGGTAGAGGGACAAGAGACATAGTTTGTAGTCAATTTATGCGTTGAGAAGAATACGAGATTATCATTCAAACAATCATTCATTCGCTTCATTTCATTCGGTTTATTATAACTTTAGTTTTCAAGTTAAGGTATGTACATATAAAGATAAGAAGATCTCTATCTCTCATTCTCTCTTGTCATTTTAGGACAGAGAAGAATATTAGAAGGAATAGAATAGAAGGTATCTATAGATCTGTTGGTGGATAGAAGGATGTACTGTTGTCGGGTTGTACAACCAACTGATTGTCAACAAGATATGAGATTACATCAGTGTGTTTGTTAAACTCTGCTTCTCGATATGCTAGTAGTGACCATGATTTGGCGTGCTGGTGTATACCACTATTTAGATGTATATACTTGACTATACTTAAACAACCATTTGATACTGCATGGTATGACATTAAACTCCATGGTATTGTGTCATCATCGTAGTGCTTTGTAGTTGTAGTTGTAGTTGTTGTAAGTGTTATAGTTGAACGACGACACAGATAATCGACCATTTCAACATCACTATTGAGACATGCATGTTTAAAGATGGCATCTTCAATACCATGTTCGGGATAGGTTTCTAGGAGATAGTATACGATGTCTCGGTGACCGAATTGAATGGCTTGTTTGACTGCTTCCCTCGTCACGGCGTATCCAAGTGACAACAAATACTTTGTCATACCAAATCGACCGTATCTAGATGCCAGTTGAACCAAGTCACCTGCTCGACCATACTCTTCTTTGTAGTTTGATTGATCAATCAACAATTTCAATATAGGGTAGTCTGGATGATCGTCACAACGTATTGCCTCGTGTAAATAGTTTACAGTCAATCTCAATGGAAATGTGTCGACTATAAACCGAACCAATTGAACGTTGACCTTTGAATTATCGTTTGACTGCAGTCCACATACACCCAACAAACAATACAACGACTCGTATATAAATTGTATATTTGGTGGTGTCATTTTGTTTGTGGCGATGCAAGACAAGTGTTCCAACTTGGTGACCATTCTATCTTTAAAGTTGTACTGCAGTAATAGAGTAGGTGACTGTTCCAAATCACAGTATCTATACAATCGAACAATACAATATTGTTGTTTATCTTTACTACTCTGTTTCTTGTATGCCTTTTGTATGCGTCGATTGATTGCATACACATCATTTATCACTCGACAATACAAGTATCTATTTCTAATTATACTATAAAATAATTGATCGTTCATCTTGTATATCTCTATCTATATCTATAATACATCATTATTATTGTTATTAACAATTACATCATTAATATTATAAAGATCACACTGCACAACAAGCAATTGTGTGTGTCTTGAATCTTAAACAACAATCCGGAAAACGATCAGAAAGTTTAATTAATTTTTAAAGATAAACTGATAATTCAGAAGATACATACTTATACATATAATATACATATATAATACAAGTGATGAGTCAACCACAACAACAACAATCACAAACACAAACAGGACCTGTTGATATTAGTAAATTGACAGCTGAGGAAAGAACCAAATATTCATTGCTTAGAGCACCTGACTACCAAGGTACAGAGTCTAGTGTATTAAATACATCACGTAAAGCTTGTTGGTTGTCTAGAGACCAATACTTTGAATGCTTGGACAAGAATAATGAAAATAAGGACAAGTGTAAAGAAGAGTTTGAAAAGTTTAATAATTCTTGTTTAGATAGTTGGGTATGCACATCATGTCACATCTTGTATTTGACTATTAATACTAACACCATCTGTTTATTCATCAAGACACATTACTTTATAAAGAAAAGATTCATTGATAATCAAAAGAATAAGTTAATGGCTGGATCAACATCATCTAATTTATAATAATAATAATAACAATAATAATATAGGCAAACAATACAATACTCGATTATTTATATGTACAAACATTTTGGTATAGAGTGATTATTCTATTCTTTTACTTCTTGTTGATATCACTCTTGCCACCCAATTTATTGATTAGTTTAGTTTCTTTTATGATGATATCATGTGATAATGCTTTACACATGTCATAGATGGTTAGACTTGCAACCGATGCACCTGTCAATGCTTCCATCTCCACTCCAGTCTTTCCACTACAAGACACTGTACAATCGACTTGAACGTGAGTCTTGTCGACAATGTTAATGTCAAATGTACACGATTCAATGGCGATGGGATGACAGAATGGTATAAGATCCCAACACTTTTTAGCTGCCATTGTTCCTGCAACTATACTAGTTGCAAATACTGGTCCTTTCTTTGATACTATATCTTTAACTTTACCGCCATCTGAAGTAATATTGCCTTGTAACTGCTCTAAAACATGTGATGGAAACTCTATAGTTGATCTTGCAATAGCAGTTCTTTTAGTCACTGATTTATCGGATACATCTACCATTGTAGGTTGTTGTTTATCAGCATCGATATGTGTAAATGTTGAATAAGAATAACCATAGTAGTTACCAAATCTACATAATATACTACTACTATTCAATGTACTAGTCAATGATCTACCAACCAAAAGATTCTTTATCATCTTTAACAATTATAAATAATTTAAGAAGTGAGAAGTAATTTGAATCGAGATAAAGATGGGAATGGGGTGGTTTCTCCAAAAAATAGGATGTTCAAAATGGCGCAAAGAAATGTCTTTAAAATCAAAGCGTAATAAATGTCAATAAATAGAGTGAGTACTCAATCATTATTCATTCATATTACAAACAATAATAGTATAACAAATAATTTAATTATAATTCAACAACAACAACAATGAGAATTCAACAACAAGAAGAAAACAACAATAACAACCAACAAGACAATTCAATTCTATTAAATAGAATTAAAGAACTTGAAGGTCAATTGGGTGCCATTCAAAACTTATTAACTACAATGGTCGTAGCACAAAAGGGTGGTGAGCAACAAGCTGTTCCAAATGTAAACAACGATGGAGAAGTCTTTTCAACTGATGTGCAGTCATCCACTACTGTAGGTGCACCATCACAGCTCTATCCAGTAGTCGGTCATGAAGATGAAGAAGAAAGATGAAGTAGAATCCAATGATGAATTGGAGGAAGAACAACCAAATCAAGATGGAAAGAAGAAAGGATTGACCAAAGAAGAAAGAATCAGTATGAGAAACCAAAGAAAACAACATAAATTGGCATCCAAGCAAACTAGACATTTGGAACGTCTCCAAAAAAAGGAGGAAAAGGTATTGGTCAAGTATGAAAGAAAGAGTCATCGTATTGCTCCAAAACCAGTCGCAGTTGCAGTTGCACCTGTCGTCGAACCAGTCCAAGTAGTCGTAGCAAAACCAGCAGAGCCAGCTGTCATTGTCAATGTCAAAGTTGACCCAATTCAAGAAAAGAAGATGGCCAAGTTAAATCAAATCTACTCTAGATACGTTGCCAAAGTAAACAAGAAAAACTCAAAGCAAAGAGATGGATTTGTCTCTGTTAGAACCCCAATCTTATCATTTGACGATTGGATGAATACCAGAAAGATTCATTGTCAAAAGGTACCAAGAACCGAAAGACAAAGATCTTCCTGTAGATCAACCAAAATCAATCCATCTGCTTAACTTTATCAACCATCCATCTTTTTTTTAAAAAAGTGATAACTTTTTTTTTAATTTTGTATTAATACCCTATAGATATATATATATAATAATTATTATTAGTATAACTATCTATAACAATTTAATACTTTTCTTTTTTTTTAAACTAAACACTTTTACTTTTTTTTTTTTTTTTTTTCTAAAACAAACCAAAAATACAAATAATCAAATAACAACAATTAATCATTTAAATCAATCAATACAAATAAAATATTAAAAAATCTTTTTTTTTTTTTTAATAATATATTAAATACTAGTTGTTTATCCACCAATCAAAATCATTGGTCTATTTTTATTTTGAGATATTTCATGCATATTATTATTACCTCCAAGGGAAGCTTTCTTTTTTAGGACTGCTTGATTGATGATTAAGAGTAGATCGTCATCTGAAACACCATGTCTCATTAAATCTCTTAGACTAACTTCATCGTTGCCAAATAGACAAACCTTTAGATTACCGTCGGCTGTTAGGCGCAAACGATTACAACTACCACAAAAATGTTCACTCATCGATGTGATGAATCCAACTTTGCCTCTAAACCCTGGTACTTGATAGGTTTTACTTGTATTGTTTGGATGATCCTCTGGTATTTTCTCGATCGTTTCATACTTGGTTTTAATGATGTCCAACATCTCCTTGTACGATACAAATTTCTGATCACTCCATCTATTACCATCAAATGGCATATATTCTATAAATCTAACTTCAATTGGTTTATCTCTTGTCATTTCAACAAAATCATTAATCTAAAACAAATAAATAAAAAGATTAAATAAATTAATTAAACATAATATTAATATTTATCTTTCTTTCTTTCTTTCTACATACTTCATAATGATTAATATTTTTCATAACAACACAATTAATTTTAACAGGATTAAAACCAAGTGATAATGCTTTGTCTATTGATTCTTTGACCTTGTCCCATCCAAGTCGACGTGTGATGATTGTGAATTTGTTGGCGTCTAGTGTATCGAGACTAATGTTGAGTAGGTTGAGACCAGCCTTTTGTAATCGTTCCAATTTACGACCAAGAGCAATTGCATTGGTCGTCATTGCAATGGTTTCTAGTCCTTTGATCTTACCAATCTCTTCAATCATTGACTCTATGTTTTTTCGTACCAATGGTTCACCGCCTGTGAATCTTATCTTGGTGACACCAGCCGACACAAACAATCGTGACAGTTTGATAATCTCTTGATCGGTCATTATATTCTCTGAAGGTTGTAACTGTACACCTTCCTCTGGCATACAATATTGACATCTAAGATTACATCTTTCAGTCAATGATATACGTAAATATGTATGTTTTCTTCCAAATGTATCTGTCAATAATTCATCTTTCTTATTTAATATCATCGTCGACGATGATGATTGTTTCTCTTTTAATTGTTTTAATAATTGTAATGATGATTCTAATAATCTATTCCTTTCTTCATTAACCGTACTACTACTACCATTACTAGCAGTTGATGATGAACATGTTGATGATGTTGATGTTTTTGAATAATATCTATAACTACTACTACAAGTAGGTAATATTGTACTTGCACCACTTTTAAATATCTGTAAAGTTGAAGATGACAATGAAGATAATAGATATCTATCCATCCAATGTTTGGTGGTTATACATTTCATTATTATTGTTTGTCCGATATACGTATTTCATTTAAACTAACTACACTAACTACAACTAAACTAACTAAACAAAGTGAGTCAGATGCAACTATTCTACAATTAATTAATTTATCTTTAGAATCTTCTTCTTTTGTTTGGCTGGTTGTGAAGAAGTTCCCAGAGTTGTCTTTGCATTTTTCAAAACCCATAAAGCAAAAGAGTATAGTCACACGCAAGGGTGAGCTCTTTTCATTGGTTTCGAGCAGCTGTTAGTGATTCTTCACTCAATTTGCTCGATACGGAGGGATATGCAGTCGCAAGTTCTTATCGCCTTTTACTATGAGAACCCGTGTTTATCCCTCATTAACGTGTCTATCTCATTTTTGTGAGGAGTTGATACTCCTAACCCCCCCAAAACCCCCTAATATTAATTTAAATGACAAAATACAAACTATCTGATTAAATCATAAGACTTCATTTCATGTCTTGATGTTCACTTGCAAAGACATTTCATTTCTTATTGTTCTTGAAATAATGCAATATGGTTGATATAGATAATAGAATTCAACAATTACAAAAGTTATTATTACAAGATGAAAGAAGTGAAGATAGCATCAATAACGATGATTCGTCGTCAAATAGAATGATCACATGGTCGTGGGTTGCCAAACAACTCGTCAAAGTGTTATTGAATCATTCAGAAGGAATCACATTCTCAATCATTGTATCTGAATTGAAAAGAATAGTATGTTTGTTGTACATAGAAGGTTAAATACCTATTTCTTATCATTCATATCTATCAATAATTAGAAAGAAACTGAAAGTAAAGATTTAATATCAAAACAATTAAAAGAACAATTTGTATCACGTGATAATCTACCTAGTACTGGTTCATACTTTCAAAGGAATGATATTCCTTTTGATATTATCATTGATAGTATTGTTATATCTACCTCTGAATTGTCACTAAAACCACAACAACAAAAGAACAATAGTAATGACACTGATAATAGTCAAAGTCAATATATTTTAATATTATCAAATCACAAAGACACCAAGAAAACCATACCTGTATATCTTCATCCAAAATATAATTATTATTATCAAACCTTAATTAAAGATGTATGTAAATGATTTAAACTATCAATAATGATTAATTTATTAATTATTAATTATTTAGGGAACTAGAATTAAACTTACAGGGATAAAAGTACATTTCCCAACAAATCCACAAGACAAGTTATTTGGTAAATTGGTTATATTGTCACCAGAGAATATGTGTATAGTTTATGATGATCAGGAACAAGATTTACCAATCAAGGTGATGTGTTCAGACAATTATTATAATGTTGATAGATATAGGGATCCAGATCCTTTAAAATCAAAACATTTAGAAGAAGATACAAATATGATGTTGGATAATAATCATAGTCATCAAAATGATCATACAAGTACAACCACAACAACTACTACAACTACTACTATGACTACTACCAATCCATCATATTCATCATTATTTATTTTAAAAGTTGATTCAATTGATGAAAATGCAGTTAAAGTTACAACAGAATCAAAATGGAATAATCTGGTACCATATGATAGACAATCAATTGATCCATTTTTATTAAAACAATCAGTATATCTATCGGATCCAAATAGTGTTCAATTCTCTCAACTCGGTTCAAATCAATCAAGACAACCATTATGTATTCAACTTGTATTTTGGGATAGTTTATGTCAAACTACAAAGTTGATCAACCCCAAGGACATATTAATCCTCCAAAACCTATTTTTTAATCAACAAAAAAGTGATTTAAATAGAATGGTTTTTGAATTTACTTTGGAATCTACAATTATTATTATTCCAAATTTATCAAAAGAAAATTTAAATGTAAAGTAGAAAAAAAAAAAGAAAAGAAAACTTATTATTTATTTTTATATTTTTATTTTAGAATAATAGATATTTTAGTAAAATTGAACAATCAAATTTAGATATGATTTATTATAGTAAACAATTAAAATTATTTGATTTGGTGATTGGAATGGTGAATATAACATTGGTGGCAAGGATTGTACATGTTGGTAAAAATACAAATATGAGAATACCAATTATATTAATGGATGATACAGAGGTACCAGTATTATTATTACTCATCGATGAAATGGTTGGATTAATTCAAAATCTTCGTATTGGACAATTATGTTATTTTGAAAATCTCTATCTTTTAGAGATTGATGGTAAAAAGAGATTATGTACACATCCAAATAGTTTTATTCAACCACTTTCTAGTATGCAAGGTGTCATCAATTCCTATTTCCTTCATGGTCCACCTCTCCAATCATCAGAGCAACTTGAAACACGTACCAATACCATTGTCAAGGCATCTATTACAGAGTGTATACTCTATGATGAACTGCCTCTCTATGCATATCACAAACCTTGCAAGAGACTATTGGCCAATAGTAAAGTGGCACCTGGACAATTGGAATGTGCTCATTGTCAAAGTATAGTTCAACCAATTGAAACCGAAAAATTATTTCATCTTAGTTTTCAACTTGAATTGGTACTTGACAAAGATAGGGATAGAGATAGGGATGGAAAGAAAGAAGTTTGTTCAATCGTAGCATCTGCATCACATCCAATATTAAATAGACAAATTTTACAAATTGATGAAGAATCATTTTCAAAATTATCTCCAACCTCCAAATCACAATGTTTAAACAAAATTTTAAATACTTTTTATTTATTTTCAATTTCAACTGTAAAGTAAAAAAAAAAAAAAAAAGATAGATAAATTTAAAGAAAGGATTTATATATATTAAATATTAATATATTTATATTTTTTTTTATACATAAAAGATAAAAGAAAAAAATAATAATATTTATTTTAGAATCGATGGAATTTCACAATCAATATAAATTTGACATTTGTCTTGTTTGTTTTAGACAATATATAACTGCTGTTCTGCTTGTTTTAATTCTTTTTTTGTTTCTTTTTAGTTTTCTTTTCTTCTTCAGATGAGGATTCCGAGGATGATTCAGCAGCATCATCATCATCTGATGATTCTTCATCTTCATCTGGTTCATAATCATCATCATCAGAGTCATCTTCATCAACAAGCATACGCATAGGTGCTGCTTGTTCTTGTTTGGCAACCTTGATTCCTTTTGATTGAATAAAGTTGTGTAAATTTTCATATTCCTCCCTAAAAAATAATTAATAAGTTAGTTTCTTTTTCATTTCTCCTATTCTCCTATTTCTTTATATTTTTTTCCATCATACTTTAAGATATTTGTAAATTGAATATTTGTTTGATTTTTAAGAGTGATACCAAGATCAAAGTTACGACTACTTGGAGCATTTCTACCAGTGACCGAAGTTGGAGCACGAGAGAATTCAATAAAGTCAATATCGGTAAACTTGATATAGGTTGGTGGTTTGTAGATGAAAAAGAATGATCTTTCCAATGGATATAAATCACCTTCATTTGCCTTGAGTGAACATTTAATACTGTTGAATTGATTGGCAGATTGGAAGTTTCCAGGCACAATAATGTTCTTTCCTGTCAAAGATGTCAAGATTCTACGAACAATTACATAAAATGTACCATCCATAGTTGGTGATAATTTATCTTTATATTTTTCTTGTGCTTCACTATAAAAATGAAATAGATTGTTAGTTTGTAAATTAATATTTATCATTTTTTTCTTCAAATTTACTCTGTTAAATTTAATTCAACTGATGCTTCTTGATTCTTTGGTAATTGAATAACCAAATGATCATATTTAGTTTTACCTTGTCTAACAGGTGGATCTAAACTTATCTATAAATTAAAAAGATATTAATATCCATTTCTATATATATCTTTTTTTTGTTCTATTCTTTTTTACATACAACAAAATACATATTAGCTTGATCTTGTTTTGGTAATTGGAATAATTTTGAAATGGTATTATAGATGACTTTGTAATCATGAGTTTTACCATGAAGACGAAGAAAGGTTGGGTACATTTCAACATCACATCTACCTCTTGGTGTGACGAGTTGAATATTTTCGAGAACAGCAATTCTCTTTCCAACTTGAGAAATGTCTGATTTTCTGAGGAGGGCATCTTGAAAGTCCTTGACTGGATCCTCAGTGTTGTCTTCATCCTCTTTGAGAGATTTTGAGAATGGATTATAAAGTCTAACCTCTACCAATGATTCATCCTCTTCGTCCAATGTAGAGTCGTGATGAAACTCCATAGTCAATTCATTTTTGTTGCTGAGGTTAATGATCGATTGTGAAATCTCTGAAATGGGGAATTCAAAGAGTGTCTTTTGATTGGATCCTGTAAATGATACAATACTACCATTCACTTTGACCATTGAAAAGTTTACTCCTCTTGTTGATAATTCAATATTATCCAATTCAATATCATAGTTTTCTTTAAAGAATTGTTTTAATGTTTCATTGTCCTAAAAAATAGTAAATAGTCAGAGATTAGATTATAAATGAATCTATCTATTGTTCATATGTTCTTCTTTTTGTTTGTGTTTTACATACAGGTTCTCTAAAACCATCAAACTTTACAGAAGCACCTCCTTTCATCTTAAGATTCAATTGATATATCTTTGGTGTCATTCTTGTCCAACCAGCTGCTTCAATTTCGCTACTTTGTATAGTTTCACTTCTACCTGCTTCAGACTTCCATGCTAAACCTACATTATTCATCTTTAATACTCCTCTCGTCTAAATAGTAATAATAATAAAAAGAAGAAGAAGAAAGTGAGAATAGAGGGAAGAGATAGAGTTATTAGTACTCATATATATAAGCTCTCAACAGATTGCTTTAATCTTTTTCTAACATACACCTCCTATTCTACCACCCAATGATATATTGTTAAAGGAGAATGCTCCTGTTGAACCATTATTTGCTGTAGACATTCTTTCTATCTCTCTCTCTTTCTTTTATTAGTAAAATGTCTACTTGTTGAAATCAAATTAATGATAGTCAATAACAAACGTTGCTCCTCCTCGTTGCAAAAATTGAAGTTCTTGAAAAAAAAAAAAAAAAAGAGAGGGAAAAACCAAGAATTCAAAAAAAATATCAAAGAAGTACAGTACTACTTTACTTTCTTTTATATATATATTATTATTACATTTTATTGGAACCATTCCAGAAACCAAAGAAATTTGAAATAAAAGATTTTGGTGATACTTGGGGTTTAGAATTTTGATCATTATTGTTTGATGAGCCACCTTGAAATAAATTCAAACTTTTTAAATAATATCTTAATTCTGGTGTAACATTTTTATCTAGTTTTTGAGGTACTGTTTTTAACAAAGCTGATGAGACAAGAGAATCCATAATACTTTGAGCTACTTCTCGATTGGTTGTATTATATAATGGTAAATATTCTGGTACTTGATCATTTAAATTATTATTATTAAATTCCCAATTCCAACAAGTAGTGGAGTCACCATCATCATCACTATCATTTGTATCTTCTTCTTTTTGTTGTTCATTTTTTGTTTCTTCTTCTTCTTCTTCTTCTTTTACCTTTACATTTTGTCTAATTACACAAGTATGATATTTTTTACATAAATATTGTAATGTTGATAAATTACAACCATTAAATATAGATACATTTGCAAGTGACCAAATAAATGCTTGTTTGGTCTCTCTAAACTCTATATAATAATCCAATAAATTTAAATGATTATATAAAATAATATTATTTTGTATATGAAATGATGTTTGACCATATACTTCATAATTGGTACTAAAAAAAAAAGTAAAAAGTATAAGTAAATATTAATATTAATATTTGTTTTTTTGATTTGTATTTTTTGTACACTTACCATAAATATTTAAATAAATCAAATCTACCATGTTTAGTAGCTAAACCCCATACCAAAGGTAATTGATGTAATTTTGGATCTGAGTGATTGTTTTTTACACATTTGTATAGATCCACATTACCAGTTTCGCCAGCCAACTTGTACCCTAATTCAGTCTTGAACTGGAGTTTTACTATTGAGGTGGTGTTATCATCTTCATTGTAATGATAAATCTCGTCTCTATTAATTACATGTTTAATCAGTCGAACAGATCCACTTTTGACAACATGATCCAAAAAACTTTCAATGTAATAGTTGTTTAAATAAAACTCTGCATATTTCCTAAAGAATACATCTTGAGCTGAAAGGTATGGGATTGTTTGTTGTTGATGAGTATCGCTATACAATACATTTAAAAGAGTTGGTCCAACACCACGTCTAACAGTTCCCAATTTATATTGGCTACGTATAGTTGTCCAATCGGTAATCATTTTCTTTATCTTTACCAATGTTTGGTAATAAGTATCTAAAAGGTTGGTATCACCAATTTGACAAAACAACATTATAATTCTTATCGGGTCGAATAATAAGAATGTATTTCTTTTAGACATGATTGGATATTTTTCAAAATGAAACTCTTCCTCTTTTGATGAGAATTGGGTAGTTGGATTGATATAAGGTGATAGCATTAAAAGTTGGTATAATGCATAATCAGTCAGATGACAATCAAATATTTTATAGAAATGTTTGGAGTCGTTGCGTGAATCCAAGTATTTAACAACTGAATCACTCATCCTTGTCGATTTATATGTTATATTGTCGGCCATCTGTGGTGACACTGTTAATATGAAATGCATCATACCAATCTTTTCACGTTCCACCAATACTCTCCAATCAACATATTCAATCATCCATTTCAAATTTGTAAATTCATGTAAATCCAATCTACTCGATTTCAAATATTCTAAATGTTCCAATTCTCCATATCTACATATCATTCCTAATAATTCCCCTTTTTTCTCTAGAACCAATAAAATAAATATAAATATAAATATTAATATATTAATTCTTTTTTCTTTTTTAGAAATATTAATTAATTTACCAATAGTTGAATTTAAAGATAATAATTGTTTAAATGTTAAAAAATAAATAAAAGAATTTAAACCAGATTCAATTGATTCTTTTAATAGACTACGTTCGATGAGTTGGATGGGAGTACCACCTGACATGACGATAATATTTTGAATGGAGTGCATTTTGATTTGTTCGGTCGAAAGGATGAGTCCTTTAAGAGCGGCAGCTTCAGTGACGGTTTGGGTAATGGCTGACAGATCAAAACTACCCAAACAAGAAGCATATCCTTGCATTTTGGTCAATACGTGTAGTTGTCGGTCATAGGTCGACTTGTGACGGTAGATGAGAAAATAAGATTGGAGTATTTGGTCTTGTAAATTGGGTGCTATTGGTATATTACGTATAAAGTCAATGTCACCATTCACCATACACCTTCCAGTTACTTTGACACTACCACCTACACCAGCTCCACCAGCTCCAAACAATCGACAATATTCATCGTACACTAAATGACTATCATGGTTGATAGCACAATCTAAAATATATTCATCATGTTGAATGGTAGAGGTTGTGGTAGTTGCCAACAATTGAAGAATATCTATACGACCATGACCAATAGCAGCTTCAAGTACACCAGTTCTTGGTAATTGAGTTGGTACAGTTTGTTCAAAAAGTGTTTTGAATATGTGTATTGATTCTTCTTTTCCTTCTTCTTTTCCTCCTCTATTTCCACCTTCAACAGCCCATAATAATAGATCCTCGTATGCAAATACCGATTGATAGTGTTGATAAAGTAAATCAAATATAGAGTTATCAGTACACTTTTTAATGAATACTGATAGACCTCTATTATCTATAAATAATTGTCTTTTACTCTTGATACGATCTTTGATGAGTCCCCAATGACCATGATAAACAATCATCTCCAAAGCATAATAGTCCCAATAGTTTTCTCTGATACCCAATTCAAATTGCAATATTGGACTACTATTACCTGTAAACTTCTTCCTTGTACCCTCACAATCATATTGTGTCATAGAGTCCGTAATCTTTCTAGATCTCTTGCATTTTGATAGAATTAATTTAAATAACCATTTGTTCTTTATAACCAATTCTATTAATCTTTGATCTTTTATATCAATACTATTATTATTATTATTATTACTATTCATTATATTACATATATATAAATAATTGTAAAGTATGTTGTGAATAAGTACATGATTGTTTCAAAAAAAAAAAAAAGTAAAGTGTCACTCGCCACGCTTGTTCAAAATAATATTATATTATATTATATTGTTATTTTGATATCCCTTTGGGGAGGGAGGGACAGATAGATCGGTGGATTTATTTATTATTATTTAATCATCACCTTTGGTATTGTTGTCATTAGGATTACTACTACCACGATTATCAATGATTCTATTATTGAAAAAGTATTGATCGATAAAGTCATAGGTGTATTGGGTGATGGGTTGTGGCTTTTGGTTGACAATGACAAAGTTGTTGATGAGTGTGGTGACTTGATCGTCTTGAATCTCAGAGTTGCAGTGGATGATGAGTTTGGCAAAATGTTCGTCGATGACTTGGGGTAGTTGAAGGAGCTTGATGAGTGATATGAGGTTGGCGTCGTATCGAGAGGGTGGGACGGTCGAGACGACAGAGTAGAAAGTGTTGAGATTCCAGTGACTCTTGATACACTCTAACAGGTGGTTTCGGATGAATAGACCGATGGGATGACCACACTCTCCCAACTCTTTGAGTAGTGCTAGGTAGAAGAGTTCCTTGTTCTTGGTGATCCCCGGTAGTTTGGATTCCCACCAATCCATATTACCAATTGGACGAGCTTCAGCACGTGTAAGACCATGTGTACAAATCTTTATACCCATATAATAGTAAAATAGTATGTTGTCGTTATCATTGTGATCTTGTTGATGTTGATGATGCTTGCCTGTCAATGATGCCGACACACTTTCTAAATTCTTTGTCCAGAGTTTAGATGCTTGTTTTAAATCACCCTTTTGTAAATGGTATCTAATAAGACTACATTCTAAAAGGATGGTTGGGTGTTTAATCTTTGTGACAAATTCGATCAACTCGGTGACTGTTGATAATGGGAAGTTTTCAACTTGAACATCTCTATCAAACAAAAGTTTAGAGAATTCTTGAACGGTTGATAAAAGCATGGTAAAGTTGTGGTCGAGCATGAGACGGAGTAGACGTAGCGTTAGATCCAACTCTCCCAATTTAATGAGTCCTTGAATAGTGCAGTTAAAGATGGGAACGGTAGAGACAAACACTTCTGGTTTAGTTGTCTCTAAAAAGCGTAGTGTCTCTTCCAACGACAGTATCAATTGATTTTGTAGTGTACGTGGGTTAAAGACAACTAATTTCCAGTCGTCTGGCAACCCCTTTAATACATGTAACGTCTGTGACTCTGACACACCAATCTTGCACATTGCATCGAGTAACAATGTATGTGCTGGCATTGTAACAGGACACCTAGACAGGTATTTTTCAATAACATTCTCTATTCTTTCAAAGTCACTCGACTGTGTAGCTTGTTGTAATTCAACGTCCAATTCACCAAACGGAGGTCGTTCCATTCTACTTTTCGTCTTTTGACCAACAACAGGCTTCTTTTCAGTGTTGGTGGTGGTGGTTGGTGTTATTGCCATCATATCATCCTCTCCAATGTACGTATCAATATCTTGAATATCTTGTACAATACTTTGATGAGAGTTCCATTCTCTCAGCGCACTCGCTTCGTATGCTTTGGGGATACCAAAATCTCCTCTTAACTTGTTCCAATGTTGAATGAGATTGGTTTGTTTGTTGGTCAAATGATAGTGCATAAAACCAAATACAATATTCGAGTTGGGTGCACATCCAGCTTTTAAACGCTTGATATAATATTCCAATGCAAGGTGATACATATCCATCTGTAGACAATACCTAATCACAACACTCGATATAAACGAGTATTGATGTAAATCATTTAATCCAACTCCCATTAACAATGATTCAAACTTGGTTGATATTATTGAATTTACATTATTTTGATTATTATTTTGATTATTATTATTTGTATTTGTTGAGTTTGCAGCTGCTAAAGCACGATTATAAAATATAATCTTTGCAAAATGTTTCTTTCTTTTGTCTTGGTCAACCAATGTATTGATTAGTCGCTCGATGGTTGGGTGTTGTTCGTTTTGGTGTTTGGGACTGCCGTAATAGAGTTCGAGTAAACTTTGCATTGCTGGAAAGTATAGTATTGGACTGTCTACTAAATTGGCGTCTGCCCATTCGAGAGCTTGTCCAACATCCTTGTTGATGATTGCGTATCTCAGGAACCGCTGTCTTGCAACCGGTCCATGCTCTGGTTCTTGACAGAGATGCTCCTTGTATATCTTTGTAGCATCGTCCATCTTGCCGGCATGTAAATACGCCAATACTATTCTTGCCCACATATGTGGACTGGGTCGATTAGGGTGGGTCGTACCACGACCACTACCCATAGCATCGACAATTAACTCAACTACATAAGTTAACTCGACATGTTGTTGATGTAGTGTACCGAGATAGAGTGCAAAATAATTATCCTCTAAAAACAATTGACAATGTTTGATACTGTCTATGAGGAATGTTGCCGAGTCAATAGATCTACCTTGTCGTACCAAGTATGTCAGATACGTATACAACGGTAGAGATTGATAGTTTTCACCTTGTTTACTAATCTCTGTAAACATTGACACTACTTTTTGTTCATTATCCAATTTCAAATAGACACTTGTCAATTGTTGTATACCACCACCTCCACCATCGCGACCCATGCCAGTCAACGTCTCTACAAATGTAATATATTTAGCAATTTGTTCTCTCTTTCCATAATCCACCATGTAGACACTGATCGATTCAACCAATGCAGCTCTTGTTTTCGTATCCTTTTCAGCTTTGATAAATGCAGTCAATCGGTCAAATTGATCAGACTTTACATAGTATCGTAACAATGCATAGAATATAGAATGTGGTAAATCTTTGCTGAGTTTCATATCAATAAACGAAATCAATGTCTTCATTTTACGATTTGTTCTACCAAAATCATCAACCGAATCAATGTATTGTGTTATCCTAATAAAGTAAAGTATAAGTATTTGTGTTATTCCATCTCACTACCACTACTACTATAATATAATATAATATAATATACTTACAAATTAATTGCAGATGTTCGATTTGATATGAAATGGTTATCTAGATTTTCAATAACAGAGCCTATTTCATCTGTATTATGTGAAGAAAGAGTACTAGGTTTTCTTTGTTGTTGTTGTTGTGATGATGGTTGTTGTAATGATGGTTGTTGTTTTTGTTCGACAACTATTGGTTTATATGTTGATGTTGATGTTGATGATGGTGATGGTGATGATGAAGATGAAGAAGATTTTGAATGCGTAGAGTTATTATTATTATTATTTGATTGATATGATTTGTGTTGATGATGATGATAGGTTGACTCTCTATTCTTTCTATATTGAGGTGGAGATGAAAACCCTTCTAAACCAGTACTTGTATTATTACTTGTATCATTGTTGTTGCTATTGTTGTTGCTGTCGTTGCTGCTATTTGTTGAATAATATTGAAAAGTACTACTAGCAGTACGTGATACGATCGGTGTTGAATATGATATCGATGAATTGATTACTCTCAAGAGACTGATCGTATTCTTTTTTGTAATATTAAACATATTGGTTGCTGGTGTTGGTGGCTATCTAGCAATCATGCATATAATATGATCTGAGATCCACAGTGATTACTACAACAACTACACAATCAATCAATGAATCAATCAATCAATAGGAACAACTATGAATAATTAACACTTTCGTTCGTTTTTTTTCAATTTTAATAACCTAATTTTTTTTTTTTGTATATAATATTAATTTAATTATTAATTATTTGTTGTTGTTGTTGTTGTTGTTATTAATAAATATATATATTTGTATTTAAATAGAGAGAGATTTGGTTTAGATTAGATTAGTTTTGTTTTGCTTTTCCTTGGTTGGCAACAGCTTGTTGAGCAGCCTTTAAGTGTGACTCGTCGGCGAGGTAACGGTGGCTGATTGGCTTTAGGTTTTCATCCAATTCGTAGACCAATGGAATACCGGTTGGAATCTCGACACCAACAATCTCATCATCTGAAACATTGTCTAAAAGTTTGACCAAAGCTCTAATACTATTACCATGTGCTGCAATAATAACCTTTTTGTTATTCCTTTAAATAAATAAATAATTAAATAAATAAATAAAAGAAAAGAATGTTAGAGATATATATATGTATATATATATATATATATATGAGGATGAATCATATGATTAATTGATTAGTGTCATACTTGATAGCAGGAGCAACAGTTTCATTCCAGAATGGAAGGAATCTTTCTACAGTGTCTTTGAGACATTCGGTGAGTGGGAGGAGTGATGGATCGACACCTTTGTAGAGTGGATCGTTGATTGGTGCACGAGGATCATCCTTTTCGAGGGCTGGTGGTGGGGTGTCGTATGAACGACGCCATACGAGTACTTGAGCATCACCATACTTTTGAGCAGTCTCTGACTTGTTGAGACCTTGGAGTGCACCGTACATACGCTCGTTGAGTCTCCACGACTTGACAGTCTCGACCTTGCCGACGAGATGCATCTCCTCCAAGATAAAGTCGAGGGTGTTGTTTGCACGCTTCAAGAATGAAGTGTAGGCAATATCAAAGTTAAACTTGTCAGCAAGCAACTTCTTGCCTGCTTCATGTGCTTCTGTTACACCTTGTTCAGAGAGTTCTACATCTGTCCATCCTGTAAACTTATTCTCCTTGTTCCATGTGCTTTCACCGTGTCTAACTAATACTAATGTGTATACCATTCTATTTTATTCTATCTTAAGATTGTAAAAAATGTACTTGTCACTAATAATGATAAGATCATCCTAACTTCTCAAAAAAATGAATTAATTAAATTTTAAAGAACTTCACCAAAGCTATCCAATTGTTCATATTTATCGAAGATATATTATATTATTTATAAATGTATCAAAGATTATGAGCTCTATAAAAAAAATCAGCAACTATGATAAACTTGGAGTATTACCATCATCATTACAATCATTAGAGTTTGGTGATTGGTATAATGAACCTCTACCAGTTGGAGTATTACCATCAACATTACAATCATTGGTGTTTGGTCATTTATTTGATCAACGTCTATCAGTTGGAGTATTACCATCATTATTACAATCATTGAAGTTTGGTGACAGATATAATGAACCGCTATCAATTGGAGTATTACCAACAACATTACTATCATTGGTGTTTGGTGATAGATATAATCAACCTCTATCAGTTGGAGTATTACCAACATCATTACAATCATTGGAGTTTGGTTATAGATATAATCAACCTCTATCAATTGGAGTATTACCAACATCATTACAATCATTGGTGTTTGGCGGTGGATATAATCAACCAATACCAGTTGGAGTATTACCAATAACACTAAAATCATTGATGTTTGGTAATGACTATAACCAACCAATACCAGTTGGAGTATTACCAACATCATTACAATCATTGGTGTTTGGTATAGTCTATAATCAACCTCTATCAGATGGAGTATTACCAACATCATTACAATCATTGGTGTTTAGTTATGAATATAATCAACCTCTATCAGTTGGAGTATTACCAACATCGTTACGATCATTGGTGTTTCGTAATAGGTATAATCAACCTCTATCAGTTGGAGTATTACCATCATCATTACAATCATTGGTGTTTGGTAATGAATATAATCAACCACTATCAGTTGGAGTATTACCAACATCATTACAATCATTGACATTTGGTAATGACTATAACCAGCCTCTATTGGTTGGAGTATTACCACCAACTTTACAATCATTGAAGTTTGGTGATAGATATAACCAACCTCCATCAGTTGGAGTATTACCATCATCATTACAATCATTGGTGTTTGGTCATTTATTTGATCAACCACTATCAGTTGGAGTATTACCAACATCATTACAATCATTGGTGTTTGGTGATGACTATAATCAGCCACTATCGGTTGGAGTATTACCAACAACACTACAATCATTGGTGTTTGGTGGTGGATATAATCAACCTCTGTCAGTTGGAGTATTACCATCATCATTACAATCATTGGTGTTTGGTGATGAGGATTTGGCACCCCCCATAAGATTATTAGTTGATTTCAAGCAATCAATCGGTGCAAGCAGAAAATTTATTAAATTAAGATCGCAAGGAGTCTTTAAACTTCCAAGTATCCAAGTTAAAATAGTTCTTTCGACTCCATCAGAACAACATGCTGGTCTCGATATCACGTCGATGTTGAACAACATTGAACACCAATCTACTATTTCCAACTCCAATCCCAACTCAATCAATTACGACCCTAACTATTTAATTGCATATCCTATCAAGAATACAGAGTTCATTTCTGTCAACAACAACAAATATTTCAAATTGCACAGTTTTCCATACTCTAAAAACAAAGTAATTTTAGTAATATGTGAATCCTCTGGTGAGTTGGTATGTAAACCAATCACATTTTGTCATTCATCAATTATTGCTAATACATATCTTTTAGTTTGTTTACAAAGAAATAGACTACTCCCACGATCCAAAGATCAAGGACAAAGTGCAATTTGAAATCACAACGATGCAACTATTCATCGGCGACTCAATGTTTGTGCAATACAAAGACCACCAAGATGACTCTGATTTAAAAAAAATATATATTTTGACGCATTTCTGTGAAGGTGGCGATTTGGAACAATTATTTCAATCAATCTATAAATGGTATGTTATTCATAATATATTCAACCTATTAACACTAACAAATATATTATCTATTAGGAATCTCTCTCGAAATCAAGGGACTTATTATTTTAAATATAAATATATTCCAGAATCAGAAATATGGATCTATATTCGTCGATTATTCCAAATACTTGAAAAACTATCCAACCACAATCTTGCACACCTTGATATCAAACCACTCAATCTATTTATTGGATATGACGGTAAAATAGTCCTTGGTGATTTTGGTTGTTGCCACTTTGTCCTAGATCAAAATCATTCCAGTCTGATCAAATTGATAAAGCAACTAGTAATAATCAAGAAAATGACCGAACAGAAGAATATGCAAATATGATAACTACAACACTTGCCTCTCGAGGAACATTTGGATATTACTCACCTGTATGTTTACATATATTTATCTTGTTTCTTTGACACTGATTTAAAAATATCGTTATAGGAATCAAAACAAAAAATATACTATCCATCAAGTGATGTATACTCAGTTGGCTCCACTCTTTTACATTTACTCTCATGGTAATTATATACTATAAGAGGACTGCAAACTTAAACTAATTATTTCTATACCAGTCATCCCGATGATATTGAAAATAGAAAAGAATTTATCTCCAATCACAAAAATAACAACTTTGATCCCAATCATATTAAAATATCAACAAATAGATACTCTGACCATTTGATTAATTTTGTCAAGAAACTATTAATCGCAACACCTCAGAATCGACTTTCATTGGATGATTTAATTGGAGAAACAGTCAATCAGCACACACAGAGAATCACATCATTTTTAATCGACCGACGACAAATTCTATCAAGCACCACAACATTAATATTGGATGGTGAATTTAACAGTCCTCTCAAAGGATTACTTCCACCAACACTTTTAAAATTAAAGCTGTTTGGAAAGTTTAATCAACCGATCAAACAAGGTGATATTCCGAATAGTGTTGAAACATTAATATTTGGGTCATCATTTAATCGTGAAATCTATTCGTCCCTCAGACAATTAAAAGTATTATATTTTAGCAAATCATTCGATAGACGCTTGCCAGAACTCGACCTATTCGGAAGCAGAACTTTTGTCAACATAACCAGCTATTATTCTTCTCCACAAAGAAATGCCAATGTTTATCACTTTAATGTACATGGCGAGATTGCCCACTTATTCAAAAATGGTAAGCCCAAAACCAACATAATCTTGGCAATTAACCAAAAATACTATGGTATTGGAGTCCTCACTAGGTATGTATCCGATTGATTGATTTCTCTAATTATGGAAACTAACAAATTGCTTTTATTCAGAGAAAAAAATATCATTAAGTGGCAGAACAATGATATCTCAATATCAATAGATCAAACGAATATTGGTGTGGTATCTAATGTTCAAGCATCAATTTATCCACATTTATTTTGCCAAACTGATAAATCAAAATTTGAAGAATTTAACAAACAGTATGGAAGTAATATCAATGATGTTGACTACCCTCTTGATAATATGGCAGACCTATTTGAATTGGATGAAGACAATCTTCATCAAGTGTTTAAAGATGGTCAATATTTGAATATAAGATTCATTCCAATGCCACAAATCGAACAAGAAAAAGAAGTGATCGACGATTCATAAAATTGAAATACTACTAGACTATTTATTTAATTTTTTGAAAGCCATCCATGTATTAATAAATAAACGAATTATTTTAATCTAATGATTTCAATTTTGAAAGAGCAGAAATCAAATTGGTAGTTTGACTCTTGATATTGTTTGCAAGTCCGACGAGTTTGTCACGACTGTCTAGAATTTCAATGCTGAGGGTGTATGGGTTGTAACGGAGAGAGAATGGCTTTTCCAAACTCTCTGCAAATTGTTTCATCTTGTCTTTGGCAGATTGGAAACTATCGGCAACATAATAGATTGGTTGGTATGTAGTGATTGGATAACTTTGTTTACAGGTTTCAAATGGATCAAATGGTCTTTTTTCATTCTTGTCACTTATACAATATTCCAATTCTCCAAATGATGAAAGTAATCCTGCTCCAAATGCTTTAATCTCTCCTCCTTCCTTACATAATCCAAATTCAACTGTAAACCAATAACACTAAAATAAAATAAATAAATAAATAAATAAATATAATTAGTATCGACTATTAAAATATATATATATTATATTTTTGACTTACAGTTGATAATCTTTCAATATCTTCATCACTAGCACCAAGAGAAGCCAACCCAATTTCTTGACTGAAATCAGCAAAGTCTGGATCGGCAAATAGAGGTACGTGACCCAAGAGTTCATGACAAATATCTGGTTCGGGAGTGTATAATGGTACGGTGTGATGTCTAATGTATTGAGTGGCATGGAATACTCTAAATGCCAAACCATTCAAAAAGTCTCTGGAAGAGAGGAGACCTTGGACAGGACGTAATCTAAAACCGGTGCATTCAGTCAAAAAGTCAGATATGTCTTGGAGTTGAGGAATGTTGGTCTCTGAGAATCCACAGTTTTGTTCCAACAATGGAAGAATGTATGCATGTTGTTTACATGCGTGAGTCTTTAACAAATCCTTTAAATTCTTGTAAATAATTCCCCAAGTTTCAACTTCCTCTTTTGAATAATCAACTCTTGGTATCTTTTCTCCACTAAAAATTAAAATTAAATTAAATTAAATTAAATAAATAAATATTATTATTGTTATTTGCTTACTATTTATAGACAGAAGCAATTCTAGCAATTTCTCTTCTTCTTTCCAAGTATTTTTGATCAGTGGCACCTGGATGATCTGAACTTAATTCAGAACCCATTTCCAAACATCTGTTGGCATATAAATCCAAGTCTGAAATCTTTCTTGGGAACCATGGAGCTTTTAATTTTAACAACGATGATTGTTCAGAGTATAATGGAAATTTTGGATAAGTAAAAATGTAAATGAAATAAATAATTATTTGAGAGAAAAAGAAAAAGAAAAAGAGAGATATTACTCGAATAAAAAAATAAAACATCATCGATCCCCAATGAGTTCATTGTTTCAAATCTATGTCTATTTTCCATTTTAGGTAAAGTCAAGCCGATCATCCTCTCTCTCCTCTCTCTGCATAAAGAGAGAGAGTGAAGAGTATACCCGTACAACTATTATATATCTCTTTTGTTGTTTATGACTTGATCTCTTTCTTTTCTCTTTTCTCTTTTCTCTTTTCTATTGAATTGAATACATACTAGTTGAACCTGTTTGCTTTTGTTCAGTGAGAACTGTAACATCTACACCTTTAGACTTTAACTCTTTGAGGATAGTGTCTACTTCTGTGGTTGAGGTTTCTTCCTTTGAATCGAGGTCCAAGAAGAAGTCGTAATCACTCTTCTCGGTCTTTGATGGTCTCGACTCGATTCTGCTAATGTTGACATTGTGCTTCTTGATGATACTCAAGTAATCATTCAACACTCCAACACCATCCTTGATGGAGAAGAGAATTGATGTCTTGAATGTCTCCTTTGGTGAGAATAATGAATCTTTTGGGTATGGTGATTGCATTGAACTGAATTATTAAAATAAAATATAATGAATAGAATATAGTAGTAGTAATTGATAATTATGTATATACAAAATAATAATAACTGTGTGTTGCTTTTGTTGTTAACTTCTGACAAAACAATTCAATTTGCTTAAGCCGATCGAAATGAAATTTAACGTTGATGCGGAAGTTGGGGACAAAGAAACAAAAAAATTAAAATGAAAATAATAAAACGGATTTTGTTGTTGTTGTAATGTAGTAATTAGATAGATATTTTGGTTGAATGAATATAACCTAAATATATGTACAATATACAATATAATTATAAAATGAAATTTTCTATTAGTTTTGGGGTGGTTGTTTGTTGAAAGTTTGGAGTGAATAAATAAATAAATAAATAAGGTTTGTTTTGTTTGTTTGTTTGTATGTATGTTTGTTTATGACTATTAAATAAATAAAATTAAAGAATGTAGAATGAGAAATTATTGTAGTATGAGAAAATTTATTCCTAACCTAAAAAACTGGTGATATCAATATTTAATATTCAAAAGAATTTAAATCAAAATAATCATCGATTGGTTAATTTTTTAATTTTGTTTTTTTTTTTCCCAACTTCACAACAAAAAACAAAAAAATAAACTTTAGTTTTTCCCAGACTCCAAAATAAATAATTAATTATTATTATTATTATACCTATTATTATTTTTATTAATAATTATTTTAATTTTTAATTCTTTTCACAACAATTTGAAATAGCTTTAATCCATTCTTCCAATTCGGAAGCACTGGTTGCACAGATGAGGAATTCACGTTCCTCACGGTCGACGAGTGATTTGATGGCCATACAATTTGGTTTATAGAATGATTTGACCGCTCCGACATTGACCAATTGGATGATACCCTTTGGCTTCTTGTCCCGTGATGTTTTGAAATAAAAGAGATAGTTTTGTTTGAGAACGAACCAACGCTTGGTCCAGTTTCTTCTCATAGCACCCTTTTTGGTGAGATATCCTTGTTTGACAATCTCACCGAGTTGGATAGTGATAGATGCCTGTTTGGAAATATTGGCACTAAATGGGAATCCTCCTTCGTCATCGTCGTCTTCTTCACCCTCGCTGTCGCTGGTAGGTTGGTGTTTGACGATGGGTTTGGCAGTTGAGATGGAACCGCCATAGCCACCAGTCGGACTATTATTCTTGATGTGGAGTGTAGCCATGTCTGGTGCTGATGGACCCTGACCAATACCAGGTGCTTGTGGAAGTGGTTTCATAACCATGACAGACTTGCGTTTAAGGTGTAATTGTTGTTCTTGATAATCGTTGAATTGCTTTTCAACATCGGAAAAGATATAGGTGAATCCAGTCATGAAACATTCGACAACACCAAAGATCGTGTTGAATGACGTGCAGTCGAGTGGAGAAGCATCCTTTTTCTTGAGGAGTAGTGTGGCAAAGACAATTGATATGTTGTTGGGGGTCATCTTGTTGGTGGCAGAGTTGTCGGCAACCTTGGTCAGTAGACGCATCAAATAGTACATACAGAAACGATTCTCGAGTGGTAATCTGTCAACCAGCTGCTTGATAGTTTGGAAACGTTGTTGTTTAGAGTCAAGGTCTGCGACGGCGACAAACGCATCAAACGCCTTCCAAGTGAGCAATGGTTCGGGTAAATTACGTACCCACAACTTGAGCAAACATGCTACGACATGTGTATCGAGTTCTGAATAATCGAGTTCAATACCAGTCTCTATCTCTTCTTTCGATGCATCGAGTACACGTTGGTTGGCTGATAGACGGAAAATACCTTCTTCATTATACCCACTCTCAAAGAGATGGTCAACAATACGCTGCAAGAATGATGGTACTGGACGACCAACTTCGGTTGGACGCTGGTACAAATGTTCGAGTGCGATGGCAAACAGTTTGTTTTGGTTGGCTTTGGAGATGTATTTGCTGAGCACACTCCACCACTCTTCCTTTTGCTGTTTCGATTCAAAGCAGTAGGTGACTGCGTTGTTTGGACCTGTGCTTGCAATGATACTCGTGTCGTCTCTATTTTTCACATCCATGCTCTTGAGCTCGAACTTGCCGACGTATTTGTATCGAGTTGTTGCCGATGAAGATGCTCCGCTGTTGGGGATGGGCACCAAACTCATCACATCACTCGTGATGGATGCTGGGAACAACGCATTGTGCTTTTTACAGTATATGAGTACATCGCTAAGCAAGATAAAGTAATAGTTGCTTGGCGGCATATTGCCAATCGTGATACCGACCGTTCCCTCCTTTACGAGGAACCGACCCTCTTCGATCAAAGTCGAGTCATATCCAATGAGCGATTGCTCAATCTTCATGAGTTGAATGATGTTTTGACTCTGTCCAACCAAATCGCACAACGATTGAATCTTTTCAATCGACACCATAATGTTATTGTGTTCGTTGGCGTCTTGACCGCTCTGTGTGGGGTTGTACGCGTCCTTTAACTCTTGGAGGAGGATGAGGTAGTTGGGGAGACGACTGAGGGGCAGTGAAATAAGACTGTTGAGGTCGGACCCATCAGCCTTTTCTTCGCACGTCTTTAGATAGGACTGGAAGTTTTTCGATTGTTTGCAGCGATTGATTGTGACGAGTGCACGACGGAAATTGTTGATATAGGTAGAATACAGTTGCACAAATTTAGGTGATGCCTTGGCAAACGCGGTGGCCAGGCTGATAGCGCCCGGCTCGCCAAATTGCTGCAAGCAGTTGCTGTCGAGTTCCTCGAGGAACTTGTTTTGGTGTGCCATGAGCGGCTCGATATTGGAAAAGATGGCAATCTCATCCTCTTTAAACACCTTGCTAAAGAGACGATCATCTGTACGCAATCCCACCAAATAGACACTCACTAAATGTGACAATCCATGTATATAATTACGCTCCGATGACACCAAACGTCTTATACGACTCTTTCTTGGGTCTTCTCCAGGTACATCTCTCTCTGCCTTTGGTACTCCAATCATCTTTGGTCCACTTCCCTTTGATGTTGATAAATTACCACTACTGTTATTATTATTATTACCACTACTATCATTTGAAAAGATATTAACTGATGTTTGTTGTTGTTGTTGTTGTTGGAGTTGTTGACTTTTTTGTACTTCAATTTTGTTTTCCAAATCTTGACGACGACGTTGTGACTCTTTTTTATAGACTTGATAAGATGGTTGAATCGCTTCGATTTGCTTGTTTAGCTCTTGTACTGCCAACTGGACGTTCTCCACATATTCTACAATTTGCTCCATCAACTCGACAGCATTACTCTCTGATGCCAAACGAATGGTGCTGTCAGACTCTGCGCCGACAGTAGCCACACGGTGACGTAAAAAGTCACGTTCTTGCTGCAATTCGGCTTGTTTGACCAAATTGACACCCTTTCCTTTAGATGCATTGGCTACGACCTTGGCTTCAACCGAGTCGTACATGGTACGAATCTTGTCATAATTTTTCTTGTTTGCACGAACCACCTTCATATCACGATTGACGTATTGATCAACCGTTCCTCTTACTCCACTCAATGCTTGATTGTCTACCTTGTTTCTAAATGATTCATAGTCTCTTTGGAAATCACCAATCTTAAACATACATTGTCCCAATGTATTATCCGATTGAGCTATCAACATGGTACCATAATTTTTAAATGCTTCTGCCAAACTATTACCTTCTCTAACACATGATACACTTGATTGTGATCTTTTTGTAATCTTGTTATAAATATCTTTTAAATAATTAAAATTTTCTTCTGCAATCTAAAAATATAAAAAGAAAAATAAAAAGAAAAAGAAAAGTATTATTAATAAGATAAAATCATTTAATCTTTTCTTTTTTTTACATACTCTTGCTTGAGAAGAAATTTCTGGAAAATTATCTGATGATAGTGGAGTGAGAGCATCGGTACTATTTCTAAATTGTGAAGATTCAGTACTATTTCTAAATTGTGTTGATGGATTAATAAATTCTGACAATGATTCTTTGGATTGGTGAGTTGGAAGTGGAGGTTTTGGTGTCTGATGAATGGGTGGTGGAGTAGATAGGGGTGGTGGAGGTGATGAAAGGGGAGGTGGAGTTGATAGGGATGGAGGTGGATTGGAAAGAGGAGGAGGTGGAGTAAACATGCTAGGTGGTGGAGGAAGGATGGTTGGTGGGAGTGAAGATAGATGTGGTGGAAGTGACTCTCTTGTAGTTGGTGGTGGAGGACGAGTCATCATTGGTGGAGGTGGTAATACCAAATCATCTGTAATGGGTGGAGGTGGAGGTGGCAAACTAACACCTACCATCATTGGTGGAGGTGGTAATGCCGTCGTTGGTATTGAGTTTCCAGATGAATTTGGTCTCTGCTGTTGTTGTTGTTGTAAAGGTGGTGGCCCCATACCAGTACTTCCAGATAGATTGGGTGGAGGTGGGAGAGCAGTATTTGGTATTGCGCCGCCAGACGAATTTGGTCGTTGTGGAGGTGGTTTATTTGGTATTGGTATATTGTTTGCACTGGTAGTTGTTTGTGTCCCCGAGTGTAGTTGTGATGGGGGTTGTGGAGGTCTCTTTACAATAGGTGGGAGAGGATGTTGGGGTGGTACAGACCCCGATGATGTGTTGACAGGTGGTGGTTGTTGTTGTCCAATACCAGTACTTCCAGACAAAGGTGGTGGAGGTGGCAAAGCCGTTGTCGGGATTGCATTTCCAGACGAGTTTGGACGTGGTGGTGCCGGTGATGTTGGTTGTTGTGGTGGTGGTGCACTTCCAGGTGGTTTGGCCACTTGAGGAGGCAACTTCATCAAATGAGGTGGTAATTTGGACGACAATGGTGGAGGTGGTTGTGCATTGATTGCAGGTAACGGTTGCACCTGTGGATTGGGTGGTGGACGTGCCGGTGGTGGTGAATTTGGTGCAAATGGTTTCCTTTGGTCCATTCTTCTTTAATAATACAACAAATAAATATATATATATATATATATATAACTAACTAACTAATATAAATAATAATAATGAATGTATGAATGAATGGATGATTATTATGAGATACTCTAAAGAGAGTGAAGAGGAAGTATGAGGAAAAGAAAGAAAGCAAGGTAGTGGGGGTGTCGAAATCCAATATCCAAAGAGAAGGGTGCGTTATTAATAAAATGGTTACAAAAGCCAATAAAATAGTATCGATTGATTGATTGATTGATTGGGATAGTAGTATGCAAGTAGGTAGAGTAGGTAGAGCAGGTAGGTAGGTAGGTAGGTAGTAATGAGTGAGTTAGTTTGTTATCATAAATGTATTGGGTTCAAAGAGTGTCAAGAATAAAAAACATACCTTGATATTAAACTGTAATGCTATAGGATGATAAATTGATGATTGATGAGTGAGTGAGTGAGTTGAGTGTGGTGTATCTATCAGCAGCGAATTGGTTGCCTTTGCCTTTGTGTACGACTAATGTGGGTGTGGTGGTATGTTGGTGGTGTCGTGTTAAAAAAGAGATTTAAACTTTTTCAAATCTACTATCTATACTATACTATGCTCTCTATACCCTTTTAAAAACAAACACAAGAACCTTTTTGGTTTGTGTACACAACAACTTGACTTGTATAAGTTAACTTGTTTTAACAATACAATGAATTCTTGTGATAGAGTACCTTCAAAAAAAATGAATTATTATTATTAAAAATATCCGTGGATGGATCTCGAGGATGGGCGATGCGGTTGTCACCCAAAATGAGAACTCTGGTGTGCCAAAAAACAAACTTTTTGACCTCTGACATCATCTTCATCGTGAGTCAAAGGACCGTGAATGTTCATGTCCTACTTGAGTAGCCGACCTTTAAATAAATATCTTTCTACGACCCGACCCATTATGCTCATCTTTTATTATCTAAGGATAGTATTTATAATTTAGTTATAAATTCTTTTAATAGATCCACAACAATGTAAGAAAAAAAAAAAGAAAAAATATTTTTTAGTTTTTTAGAAATTTTGGTAATTAATTAATATGTAATGTATATTTTAAAAAGTTTGTTTAGTTGTTATAAATTGTTTTGTGTTTTGTGTTTTGTTTTTTCCATTTATCGTTTTATGAAATTGATTGGATTGGGTGGGAACTACTAAGAATGAACAGGACAGACTCTGTTTATTGTCTTGAACTGAGAGCAGAACCGATTTGGTTGGAGAGGTTCTTTCTCTTTTCTTGTTCAGAGGCACCGGTTGCAGAACGGAGTTCGTTGACGACTTGCTTGGTCTTGCCAAAGTAGATGGTTTCGAGGGTTTGTCTGAGCTTGGATTCCATTTCTTCGACCATCTTACCAATGTTGGTGACGTGAGTGTCGACGTCGTTGACTGGAGATTCCTTTTCCTCTTGACGGGTCAATGAACCGGCCAAGTTGACCTTTCCAGTTTGGTCATTCTCAGTTTCGATCGAAAGCATAATGGTAGAGGTTAATTTATAACGAGCATTCTTCTTCATATCCTTTACTTCAACAACGTGAATAGAGTCCCAAGTACCTCTCATTGGTTGACCCTTCTTTGATTGATCTTGAGCTAAATAAAAAAAAGAAAAGAAAATAATAACAAATTAACAAACTGTTGAGTCACAATTGCCAACCAAATAACATCTTTGTCTAGACTGTTTAGCAAGTACTTACTCTTCTTGATTAAAACAACGGCAGCAAAACCACCATCGAGATCCCAACAATATACAGATGAAACACCACCTTCGAAATACAATTCACGGTAGATATCGAATACTTCGTTGGCTTGTACTTCAATCTCTCTCAATTTTGGTGATGGGAGAGCACAATCATCAAGTGGTGGGTCATATTTGTTGGACCATGGAGATCTAATTATAATTTAATTAAATTTGAACATGTTAATAACAATATTCTACTATCTATCTATCTACTAATCATCTATCTATTATCTATTCTATATCTATATTTCTCTCTCTCTCTCTCTCTCTCTTACCTGTAAGAATCACCATCTCTGTTGTAATCACACAAGAGATAATCTCTCTTGGCGTGTGAATCGTAGGCAACCTTGAGTGGTTGATCGATGGTTGATAACAAGTCTTCAGTGAGATCTGGAACCATATCGATCAAACCAGCAAGATTGTCTTCAATTTGAGAAGGTGGCAATCTTCTCATCAAATCCAAAGCAGCATCTAATTGTTTCTCTGACATTTTTCTTTCTTTAAAGATATTATATTATATATTACAAGTTGAGAGGAGGAGTTAAGGGGTATAATGAGATTGAAAGTGAATACAAATAAAAATACACAATATAGTAGAGATGATAGTTAAACTAAACTAATAATCGCAAAGAGACTCACAGAAAAACAGTAATTGGCTGAGCTGAGGGGAGGTGCATGAAGAACAGAAAATCTTCAGCCACCCATTTTTTTTGGATTTTTTTTATTTTTTTTTATTATTTTTTTCACCCCTAGCGCTGTGGGCTTGTCCTTTCTCGTAACAATCTTTGACTTTTAAGTATTTCCAGGTGTGTGGATCCTGGAAATGAACTCATTTAATTTGTATAATATTTAATAAGTATTGTATTGTATTTATTTAATTTGATTTCTTTTTCTTTTTCTTTTGGTCATCATCTTTATCAACTTTAGATTTCTTTAATTTTCTTTTCTTTTTGTCGTCTTCTGATTCTGACTCTGAACTGCTGTCTTGTTGCTTTTTCTTGTTTTTTCCATTATTATTATTATTATTATTATTATTATTATTATTCTTATTATTATTTGATTTCTTTTTCTTTTTATCATCTTCTGATTCTGATGATGACTCTGACTCTGATGATGATTCCGATGACGATGATTCAGATTCCGATGAAGATTCATCCTTCTTATTCTTTCCATTGGATTTCTTCTTCTTATCATCATCACTTGATTCAGATTCAGAAGATGAACTATCACTATCACTACTGCTACTGCTTTCACTATCAGATGAAGAAGAATCAGAGTTATCCTTTTTCTTTTCTTCTTCTTCTTGATTATCAATTTCCATCTTTCCATTCTCTTGTTTTCCATTTTCAGCCTTTTCAACGTTGGTGACACCATGGTTTCCATTCAACTCTTTCTTTTTGTTCTTTTGGTGTTTTGGATTATCACCCTCTTTAATCTCTTCATGACCACTGATATAACATCCCTCTTCAGTCATATCACCAGTTACATGTACATATGCACGTGATTTATCGATACTAAAAAACAAATAAATTGTAATAAACAATATTAGTCTCTATTTCCATTCATTTCAATCAAATGATTTAAATATATTGTCGACATACCCTTTAATCTTGAATACCAATTTAGTACCAGATGATATAGTTTCATTATTTTCATTTACAAATGTATTTGAACTATGATTGTAGACGAATCCAGTTGGAGCGTCAGCCTTGTGAATGATGCATGACAAAACACCAAATACAACTACTGATATATGTGTTGCTGATACTCTTTTAACTGTACCCTCTGTGAGATATTAGAAATATCATAATAATAATAATAAGAGTAAGAAATGAATTGGTTAATATATATATATATATATGATTAATATAGTTGTCGGTGTACACTTACGAACAAAATGACCCTTTGTAGGTACAAATACTAATAAATCTACATTGATTGGAATATGAATATGTGGAGCATCGTTAAAGAGTGGAACTTCTCTAGTCTTGAATGAAACGTTAAAGTAAGAGATGACGATGGCCTCCAACTCTCTGTTGTATCTGAATATAGATCTATCGAGATAACGCTTGATACCACTCTCTATAGATCCCATCTCTGTTGGTAATAGACTGACTGAAGTCGATACCTTATATACTTTGAATGATGATTGATTTGGATCATCCTTAATCGTTGCTAAATAATTGTTATTTTCTACCATCTTTTATCCCTCCTCTGTTATTATTATTATTATTATTACTAATATATAATAGTAAGTATTATCTATCTAATCTATATCTTTGATTAATATAAATGCAACCTCTCTAGCAATGAATGGTGGGTGATAAATATTTATTATTATTATTCAATGTTTGTTGCAAAAAGACGAACGACACACAGAGCATCGATTTTTTTTTTAATTTTCTTTTTTTCGAATTTTTGATTGCTGCAAGAGTACTTTACAAAAAAGACAATGGAAACACAAAGACAGAGAGATATATATTATATTTTTAGATTTTTATTTTATAATTTATAACAGAGTATTAGGGGTTTGTTGTATAGAGGGTAGGGTGGTAGGTATAGAGTTTGAGTATTTTGGGTATTATTATTAAATGATGTGATTATTATTATGATTTTGATTAAAAGAGATTCTTCTTTTTTCTTAATTCATATTATTATTATTGGATTCCAAGTTAAAAAATCAATATTATATATGAGATTATAGTTGGTTGGTTTAGAGAATCTTTTGCTTTGGAGCTTCATAACGATCTGGGACTTGGAGATCGCCAATGCAACAAATACCGGTGAATAAAATAGCAAGTAAAATCATGACAACGAGGTAGGTTTCGAGGACTGGACCGGTAAAGTAGTTAAAGTAGTCGTCACCACCACCAGTCTTGCCACCAGAGGATGATGAAGAGGATGAGGCGGAGGAGTTGCTGCCCGAGGACGAGTTGGCATTGACAACTGGGTCAAAGGCTCTTGAGCCAAATGAAGAGACAACTTCGTTTTCTTGGTCGAGGTTAAAAGACAATGGAGTGATGTTTTCAGCGGTAAAGAAGGTTACAGTGTCCTTTGATTCAACAATCTTTGATACTTGTTTGATATGTTCGTCTAAATAGATTTAAAATAGAATTAGATTAGTTGAATGAATGCTATGATATGTGGGATGAATGCATTGATTGACATACTGTGTTGAGCATATGATTCAGTCTTTGGTAAAACAACGACTAAAATGTCGGCGACTTGATTCGAGAAAATAGAGGATGGTAATGACTTTTTGATGTTGGTTAATTCAATGTGTGAGGCACCGGCAATCTTGAAAGATGATGCAGATTCAGAGGCAACATAGATTTGACCTTGGAAATCAGATGCCAAAGAGTTGAGGATCGATGAAACAAAGTTACCAGAGGTGGTGGCGTATGGGATAAAGACTGATGAACCAGCACTTTCCATGTTGCTCTTGATGGCTGACAAATCTCCTCCATCAGAGTTTTGCTTGTATGATCCTAAAATGGTTGATAATTCATCAGTACGTAACTAAAATAAGATAATAAGATAGATAATAGATAAGATATATATTGGTTAATAAAAAGGTGTCAAATATGGTAATGATACTATGATTCTATTCTATTGATTGGGAATGGTAGAGTAAATAGATTGAATATAATCTTTGTTATATTCTATTCTATTCTATTCAATATAAGTGATCTTTTTCCAACCAATAGTAATAGTATATATATATATAACTCATCATTATTCGCAACAAGTTAAATATATATATATATATCAATCAATGTAATAGTATTTGTATTTGATATGTTTTGATGACCTACAGTATCTTCAACAAAGATGGTAATCAATTCTGGCATATGCTTTTTGATGAGTGGTGTTGATTGACCCTTGATCATAGAGTTTAACATTGACTCGAATTGACTAGCTTCGAATGTATTTATGACTTCATTTTGTAAGAATATTCTAATAGGTAATAAAGATAGAGGAATAGAGTTGTTAGATTCCGGACGCGTTCATTATTCTAATTATAATTTGTTGTTGAGGGATATAGTTATATCTTTCGGTTTTCATCCTGCTCTCTACACTCTATCGTTTTTAACTCTTTCTTTCTTTCTTTCTTTCTTATGTATTCTCTCCTCTTTCATTCATTCATTGTTACCTACTTTTCATTAGACCAACCGATGATTGGAATATTGAGTGAAGCAGCAAAAGCTACGCTGCAGCAGATGGCAGATAAAATGATTAATGATAATGCAAACTTCATTCTTCTTTTTAGAGTCTCTCTATCTATCTTCTATCTTTTTATATATTATATCGTCGACTGTCTCTGTCTGTCTCTCTTTTCTCTCTCTCTTAATAAGATAGGTAGGTAGGTTACTATCTTTCACGCGCAAAAAAAAGGGTATAAAAATAAAAGAAATTTTTTTGGTGATATGTTAATTTTTTTTGTTTTTTCATTTTTCAAGGGGATTTTGCAATCGAAGCTTCAACCAGGGGATGCCTAGATACGAGACGCGTCTCACTGTTTAACCAGTTGAAACGAATGATGAAAATAAACAACCCCCTGTAGAGATGATCAATTAATTTAATTTAACTCTATTTTTTTGAAATCAGGATTAAAGATATCTTTCTTTATTCCAGTTATATTTATAATATTTTATTCCCAAGAGGGAGAGGATAGGATGGGTGTATGTCTAGATAATTATTTAAATATTATTATTATTATTATTATCCCATATGAGAGAAATGGATTGGTTGATTGTTTAATAATGATTAATTTAATAATATTATTATTTGTTTGGTTGTTTGGTTGTTTGGTTGTTTGGTTGTTTGGCGGGGGATAATCGGTTGGGTTTGGTTTATACATGATTGATTATTATTATAGTTTTGATTATTTGTTGTTTGTTATATTTGTTTGTTTGTTTGTTTGTTTGTTGTGTTTGAGAGTTAAAAGAAAATTGAATGATATGGTTTCTTTGCAGTTAATTTAGTTGAACATACAGGACATACTTTACGTCTAGTCAAAGCCGCTTGAATACAATCGGTACAAAATACATGTCCACAAGTTGTAGATGACATCTTTTCCATCTTTTCAAAACAGATTGGACATGATATCTTTTTCTTTTTTTCTTTTGGTCCAGTTGTGGAAGTGGTAGATCCACCATTCGCTGCCGATTCCTTTGTTTTGTCACTCTCTTCCTCTTCATCATCATCATCCTCTTCATCATCACTCTTTTCATTGAGGATTGATTTATATTCTGAACTATTTACAAAGCTAAAAGGATTACTTGATTTTAAATTGGGTTGTTGTAATGGAACAAATGGAGTAAATGGTTTCTGTGCAACGGCCACAACCGACGGCCCATCCACACTCTGTGGAGCATAGTGATGGTAGTGGTGGTGGTTATGCACCCGAGTCACTGACGGTGACGCCGGTGTACGACCAGGAGAAGGTCGAACATTTGCCAAATGTATCACATCGTCTTGCGACGAATTATTATCATCTTCTGCCTTTCTCTTTATAATCATTCTAACTAAATCTCCAACTGCCGCATACGTTATCATCGGCCTTGAACCATTATTATTATTATTATTTGTAGTTGTAGTAGGTGGATGAAATACTACAGAGTCGTCTGTCAAATCTACAACACTAAAAATAAATAGAACAAAGTCAATATATATTATAATAATTGTTAGAGAATGTATACATACTCATTATTTCTCATTGGGATAGTTGAAGTAGTCGAAGAAATGATTGATAAATCATCGTCAATATCAACAGCACCTCCTGTAATCATAGTTGATGTTGTACTGGTCGTTGAAGTTGGTTGTTGAGGTTGAGATGAACTTTCATCTATATCAATTAATACAATTGGATTGTTGCTATTACTATTACTATTTGCAGGGAGAGGTATCCTGCTGTTTAATGCTCCAATGGATCTTAAATTTCTTTGTATTGTTACCCTTTCTTCATCTTCATCATCGTCGTCGTCGTCTTCGTCTTCCGTATTATCATCGTCTTCATCTATTCCTCGTTGTTGTTGAAAGAAGAACCCTGAATCAGAGTTGTCACTATCATCCTCATCATCGTATTCATCTTCACTACTCCACATATCTCTCTCTCTCTCTCTCTCTCTCTGTCCCGCTTTTTAATATATATATATATAGTATATTGAGTTTATGAATAAAGGTGACTTAGTGTTTGATGAATATGTATGTATGTATGTATGTATGTATATATATATAAAATAGAAAGGTATATATATAATATGTATAACTATATCTATATTATTCTAAATTATTATTTGTTGAATATATAGTTAAAGTTTTAGTATAAATAATAAATGAAATGAATAATAAATACAAAAATCAAATGAGGGTGGATAGACTTGAAAATTTCATAACTTTTTTCTAGGTTGCATTTTGTGTCGTCTATCTGTTTGCTTTATTTATTTGTTTGTTTGTTTGTTGTATCTGTAGAGTAGATAGATAGATGAATTTTTATAAACTACATGTCGATCAAGTATTGTCATCTGTCAAGTATGACAATCAATTCAAATACCAGTCTCTAGAGTATCAAGGTGTATGGATTCAAGGTATCATAAGTGATGTCAAAGGTAGTGGAAATGGAACAAACAGCAGCAACTCTATGTCTGTTGACGATGATGACATTGTAGATAACAAAAGTAATGTTTCTGGTACACTATCAACAGGATCATTGTCTAGTGATCTAACAATGTCAAACTTTCAATTGGATGATGGTACTGCCGATGGTGTCTTTATCCTCATTCCCGATGATATCATGAACCAAATTCCTTTTAATCTTTCAAATGGTCAATATGTTATAGTCTTGGGTAAATATATAAAAGATAAAAAGAAAAAGTATAGTCGTACTTGAGAGTAAACTAACAATTCAAATTATATATATATATATGTATGTATGTATAGGTTCATTGGAAGAAGAATCAGGTCAAGAAAAGTTTGTAGTTGCAAATAATATTATCAATCTATCACATAATACTCGGACAAGAAAGAAAATATGGGATCTTCAATTAAAACATATACATCAAACTGTTTATGGATTCACCACCAATGACACTGATAATAATAATAATAATGATAATCTAAAACAACAACAACAACAAAATGGAGATGACATTGATGAGATTAATTTCGATTACAATGATGATCCATTAAATGGTTCAAGTATAATGGTTGGTGGTAATGACATTGATAGTGACCAACAAGATGAAGAAGAAGATGTTGAATCAATTCAAGAACGTTATTTTAGTCAAAATAATGATGAAAAAGATAATGATCAAAAAGAACAAGAAGATGAACAACAAGATGAAGACGAAGAAGAGGAGGAGGAGGAGGAGGAAGTTACAGTATCAAAGAAAAGAGTTGATAAAACTAAAAAGAAAACTATTAATTTGGATGATGAAGAAGAAGAAGAAAAAGTTAACAAATCCGAATCAATAACAACACCATCAAAAGATGATAACCAAACAAGTTTTTCATTTACATTTGGAGATACTAGTGTCATTGAGAATAATGAACCAGAAGAACAAATGGAGGAAGAAGATATTTGGGAATAACAAAAAAATAGTATGTTGTTTAATATATATCAATCATCATCCAATATTGAATAATATATTTTTTTAATAGGAATAATTTAATTTAATTTAATTTAGTTTAATTTATTTTTGTTTAATTTGAAATTGGTTGAGCTACCAATTTTCTAATTTTAACATGATGAACTTGGTTTCCGTTTCCAGCAGCCAACTTTTCCTTTGCAGCCAACTTTTCTTTTGCCTTTTGGTTTATAGCTGATGGCATATTTGTATGTTCTTGTGTAATATTTTTAGCTTTTGAATATTGTCCCAACTATAAAGATAGAATAATAATATTTTTGTAAGTACCATAATTATAATTTATAAAATGATTGATTAATATATATTTATATTGATATAATTTACCTTTACCATCATATAGCCCATTGATGGTTTCAAAAGATTAAAATAGGCGAAATTTAATAATGGAATATTTTCAATAATACTTTCATTATCAATCAATTCTTCAAACTATAAAAAGAAAAAAAGAAAAAGAGATTAATATTTAGAAATATATATATATATGGTCTATATTCTTATCTTACCCGAATAATTTTATCTTCATGATTTTTAACAATAGTAAGAATAAAACGGAGTTTGACAGTTCTCCAAGGGAAAATATTAAATACAACGGAAAGATTGGTATCGATGGAAATGGTACGTTGGGAATTATTGGCCATATACTTGTCGACGGTAAGAGAACGGGCATAAACTGGAATTGCCTTGAATACATTGACAATCTCTTCTTTGCCAACCACTCCAAATCCTGGACCTGTAAACTCTGCATTTTCATCAAAGTTTTCTCTAATCCATTCCAATGATGGATTTACATTATATAAACTTAAAATATCATGATGATCCATTTTCTTTCTTTTTAAACTTTTTAAAACTATAAAAGTATAATTATAAATAATTAATAATTAATATTTGAACTATTTTGAAAATTCATATTCTATAAATAGGTATCAAAAAACTATGCGATTGGTTTGTTGGTTTGTTGGGTTGGTTGTCAATGACCATTGAACTTGGTTGACATTGCGCTATTAGATTAAGATTGACCAACAAACACAAAATAATAATATTATTTATAGTTGTGTTGTTGATGGTCAAAATCTAAAAGATTAAAAAAGCACACTGTCCTTTTAGATATTATTAATTATTATTATTATTTTACACAAAATAATTTACCTTTTAGTAAGTATGACTATTGACAATATTGTAGTTGTGAAAAATATAAAGATATTTATGAAATCTTCTGTTGAAGAAAAGATAAGAGACTTTTGTCAATTCAATTGTCTGTTGGGTTTGGTTGGTGAGGGAATATATAATCTGGTTATCTTGATTAACATTAACCATTCCCCACCACCACCACCAACAACAAAACAACCACACTATCATATATATCGCATGTACAAGCAATGAATTTATTAGTTTTTTTTATTTGTTTGATAAGGTCATACATGAATGACATCACACATATGCATGGTATTAACAAATTTTAAAAGAGTTTGCAATGTAAAAATACAACAATAGCAACAACCAGGTGTATTTATATTTATCTCACACTCCTTTTTCCTACCACACCCACTCTACCAAATTTAATATCTCTCGATTCTACAATGACCAAGAATTGGGTGGTGAGTTGGAATCAATTAAAAAAAAAAACAAATAATAATTATAATTATTTATTTCCACCCTTTAACATATTTTATCATTTTAATATAGATATAATGATTCCTTTCTTCTTGTTTTTTAAAAACAATTGGAATTCTATTTTTAAATTTTTTTGAATATATTTATTTATTTCCAAAATTGATGAATTTTATAATAATAAATGGAGGAGATCGTCCCTCCAATTTTAAGTAATGCATACAATACAATCGATTGATCTTCTCACACTTTTGTATTTTATACAATCTTTTGGCATTTATGATGATGATGATGATGATGATTGATAGTTCATCATCTCATCTTTTTTCCCCCTCTATATCAAAATTAAGGGGGGTGGTATTCAATTCGAAATGGAGGGTATAAATGTGTGGTTTATGATGATGAAGAAGATGACGATTGATTGCTGTTTGCATGGGTATATATCAATTGAATTGTGTGTGAGTGTGAGATTTGGTTGATGATGGTGATGGGGTATGTATTAATATAATTAGAAAGAAAATAAATATCGGTATTGCCAGCCCATACCGCCCTCCCTATTTTCATACAAGATATACCAACCACCAACCACTATATATTTAATAATCACTATTTGATGATGATCATCCTCTCCTCCAACCAATTTGGTAAAGTTAAGCACTAGAGTAGAGTTGTTCAACAACCATTTTCTAGCTATCAAACAGTTGTAACAGGTAGGTATAGTTCACTCTACGAATGGTTGTAATAGAAACCATCACCCACCTCTTCCCTTTTCACAATAATAACAATATTAACAATAACAATAATAACAATTAACATTATCAAACCAAAATAGATTTGTTGACTTGTTTATTCAATCATATAAATATTATTGTTTTAAAACATCATATAAATAATATTAATTAATTGATTAATTATTTCAACAGCCAGTAATAACAATAACAATAACAACAACAACAACAACAAATTTAATTCTTCTGTCTTTTGGTTCCAATAATATTAAGAAAAATAAAAAGAGAAGAGATAGTTTATAAAATTTAAATTTAATAATAAAAAAAAACTGATGATGAGTGAAGATGACTTATTCATCAATGATGATGATTCACCTGTTTTGGTAAGAGATTTAAAGATTAAATGTCTAAAAAGACTGATGAATTTAAAAAATATTTTACTTAATTTTTTATTTTTTAATTTTTCTAGGGAGATTCAACAAACAGACCACAACCATCAGTTGTAGAGAATACACATTTTATTTTATTGCCAGGTGAGATACTATTACTATCTTCACCAAATGTAGTTTTATTATGTGTTGGTAGTAATGAAGATCATCGTATTGGTACATTGTACCAAACAAACTTTCAATTATTCTTTGTTGAAGATTCTAAAAAGGTAACTATTCACATTATTAAACACTTTAACCAATGATCATTTGTACTAATCTTTCTTTTCTGATTTCTTAAAGGAAATATCAATGTCATTACCAAATGGATTAGTAATGGAGATTAAGAAATTAAAAGGTCAAGTTACTGTAAAGTATAAAGATCCAAATGCTGCTGCTTCTGCAGCTGATAAACTTCAATCAAATGATGGTGCTACTACTAGTACTAGTAATACTATTCTTTCTTCTTCTACTTCTACTTCTACTTCTACCTCTACTACAACAACAAATAATCAAATTGAAACAATACCAAAATCAACATCAAATTCAATATCATTATCAGATGTAAATGGAATATCTGAAAAGGCATTGATTTTGGAGATTAGATCAAAAGATTTTAATATCATTCGAATTTGTTTACCAACCAATGAAAAGGGTCTGGAAGCATACAATATCCTTTGTAGAATGTCATTTATTGATAATCCTTGTTCCTTTTTTGCTCAAAGTTTTTCACCATTTAAACCAACTTTACCAATTAATGGTTGGACTATATATGATCCAATTGAAGAGTATGGAAAATAGAAAAAAAAGAATATTTATAACATTTAATCTAATCTATATTTTCTATCTTTTTTTATTTTTTAGATATATAAGACAAGGATTATTAAATTCAGATGGACAACCAGGAGAATGGAGATTAACAAAGATTAATAGTAAATATGAATTATGTTCAACCTATCCTCAACATGTGGTGATTCCATTTTCCATTTCAGATTATATCATTCAAAAATCTGCAGAATTTAGAGGTAAATCTAGATTCCCAGTTTGTACTTGGAGACACAAGTATACTCGTGCATCACTTTCAAGATCAAGTCAACCTATTAGTTTGTCTGGAAAGAATACAAGATGTGAAGAAGATGAATTATTAATTCAAGGTATTAGAAAATCTACACCTCTTTCTAATGTTTCAACCAATCCAGTACAAACAACACCTACTACTCCAACTTCTACATCTACAACACAACCAATTTCAGGATCAACATCTACATCTTCTTCATCATTGAATCCAAATTCCTCCTCTCAAGGAGTACCACTTGTTATTTTTGATGTAAGACCAAAATCTACAGTTGCATCAACATTTAAAAATAGTGCAGTTGAAGATATGAACAACTATTCAAATTGTATTTTGGATTATGGTGGATTACCAAATATCCATGAATTACGAGAATCTTCAAACAAACTATTCAAAACTATTCGTAATTGGGATGATAAAAAGAGTTGGCACGATGTAAATACTAGTTCATGGTTGAATCAAGTTGGAAAATTATTATCTGCCTCTAAAAAAATATTGACCTATCTTCATAATGATGGTAGTTCAGTTTTAATTCATTGTACTGATGGTTGGGATAGAACTTGTCAATTAATGAGGTAAAAAAATAGAAATCAAAACAAATAGATAATAATGAATCAATATTAATTTTTTATTTTAATTTTATAGTCTTGTACAATTATTGGCAGATCCATATTATAGAACAATAAAAGGATTTATAGTATTAATTTGTAAAGAATGGTTATCATTTGGTCATAAATTTATGACACGTACAGGATCACTGTCATCATTGTCTGCCAAACAAACATCACCAGTATTTTTACAATTTATAGATTGTGTTTGGCAATTACTTAGACAATTCCCTACTAGTTTTGAATTTACTGATCAATTTTTACATTTATTACTTCATCATGTAAATTCAAATTTATTTGGTACTTTTTTATATGATTCAGATAGAGGTAAAAAAAAAAAAAAGAAAAAAAAAGAAAAAAGAAAAAAAAAGAAAAAAGAAAAAAAAAGACTAATCTTTTTTTATTTTCCTCTTTAGATCGAACAATTCAAAAGATTCAACAAGAAACTATATCATTATGGTCATTTTTATTAAATTGTGTAAAGGAAGGAAATATGTTTTTAAATAATCTTTATGTTTCAACAACTGAAGAGATTGTTCAACAAAATACTAGTTTATTAATGAATGAAGAAACAAATTTGGAAATGGATGGTGAAGTCAATACTACTACTACAACAACAACAACTCCAACAACCATACCATTTATTGTTAGAAAAGGATATGATAGTGCAAATGTATTATTTCCAAATATTCTTGGTGTTCAATTGTGGACCGATTATTATCTAAAATGGAGAATCCCACAAAAACTAACAAGAAAACCATATGCTCTTATCGATAGAGCTCTAGGTATCCATGGATTCAATGGTGACTTGTTACACATTTCCAAAAAGAAAAAACAATCTCGTCGTCTATCAAAATATCATTCATCATCGGTCTCTGCTGCTACTTCATCCGCCTCTGCAGCCAAAAGTCTCTCTTCTGATAATTTATTACGTTCTCAATCAACACTATCTGAAAAGAGAAAAAAGAAAAAGAAAAGAGAAAATCAAACCGATGGTGGTTCAAATATTGATATTAATCATTCAACTCCAAGATTAACTATTATTCAACCTATAGTTGAAACAAATCCAACTATTACAACAACAGATGTAAATGAAGAATTAACAATTGTTGATCTTGATAATAATAATAATAACGTTAATAACGGTAATATTGAAATATTAGAAGAATCAACATTATTATCATCAATGATTAAACCAATAGTATTGGAAGAACAAAGAGTTGGTCAATTAAGAAGACATAGTACATCCAATTCTTCTCCTATATTTGCGGCTGTTGTATTCAAGGAAAGTGATTCTCCAAATCTAAAAGCTATTGAACAACAAAAAAATGTTCAGGTACCTCCACCAGAACAATTGGAACCATCAATTGAACAAGTTCAAGATCCATTATTAGTACAACAAGAAAGTAATAATACTTCTACTACTACAACTACTACAACTACAACAGTTTCAAATGAAAAACAAAGAAGAAAAGAAAAAAAAGCACGCAAGGAAAGAGAAAGACAAGAAAGAAGAGAGAGAAAGGAAAGAAAGAGATTGGAAAAGAAAGAAAAGGAAGTGGAAAAGGAGAAAAAGGCACCTATTATTACTGTGGTATTGTCAAACAATAAGAAATCAAAACCAATCAATGGAGCATCGACCATGCCAATCAGAGGTAGCAAGAGTAGAATTTCAATCTTTTCCATTTCCTCATCTCCTCCTCCTCCACTCCAACAAGGAGCTCAACCACTCTCACCAACCATGCTTTCTCCCATCCAATCCCCTTCTACAGATGCAATGGCAAACAATGACTCGGCTGCTGCTCCAGCAGTTCAACACCAACCCATTTCAGAACCACCTCCTAAAAATTCATTCTCTAGAATGTTTAAAACTTTGGCTATTAGAGGTCAAAAATCTTCTTCTTAAGAAAATAAATAATAAAATTTTAAATCAATCAATTAATTAAATAATATAATAATCATAATAATAAATATGAGGGTATTTAAATTCCTGTTTGGGATGGAGTGAGGGTCAAAAAAAAAAAAAAAACATGAAAAATGACAAAAACTCGGTTTTGATTGTATGGTTTTGTCCAAAATCAATGAAACCTTGACCAAACGATAGATAAAAGAGAGTAGAATACGTAGAGTCCAAAAATTTTGTAATGAGAATGGACCATTTTTACAAAATCCCAATTCTCACGCACCTACAAACGAGCAACAGCTCTCATCATTCATTATTATTACATTTTATATAACACTATACAATCTATAAGACTAACCATAGTTTATATAAGGTAACTAAATAATAAAGATTATTACATTTTATATAATACTATACAATCTATAAGACTAACCATAGTTTATAAAAGATCTTGATTATTACTATCTATATCGTAGGGCCCTCGACAAGATAGAGCATAGTTTAGTAAAATTTTCTGCTCCCCCAAGAAACAAAAAAGTACTCCCTTGCCGGGAATCGAACCCGGGGTGTCAGTGTGAAAGACTAAAGTGTTACCGACTACACCACAAAGGAATTGAGTTGTTGTGTTGCCAGAGGGCCTTTGGGCCTATTTATAGGCCTTGTTTGGCACCCAATCTTTGTTGTCCAACCGCTAGAGATACCCTCTTCCGATTCTTTGCTAGGATCATGAAGCGCACTCCAGCAGACAATAGGCCGTTTTATTAAATTTATTTTTAGAACAAGCAACAATCCAAAACAATCCAACATTCTTGTTATTTCAAACAAAAAGATATATGATCAACGTCCATATAACATGTATCATAGACATGGACAAACCCCCCAGAACAAATTAACTTTAATTCTTCTTGAGATAAATAATCTTTCAAGTTTTAATAATTGTTTTTTTTTTGTGCCACACTTCATTTTATTGAGTTGAATTTTCATCATTCTTATTATTCCCTCTCTCTCTCTCTCTCTCTTTGAAACAAAATGAATGGAAGTAGAAGAAATCAACTATGTACCCAATGGATTTATAGAATTAGTTGTCACTTTAGAAAAAGCAGATGAGAAACAAAACAACAAACAAGCAAAACATCAATTCAAAGAATATTCTTTATTGGTAGCACAGTTGGTAGAGCGATAGAAGAGTAATAGAATCAGAAAAAGACAACGGTGAATAGATTCGGATATGTAGGGAAAGAGATATTATGAGTATTTATCGTAAGCACAGTATAACAATAAGAGTGTTTTAGGATCTTAAATAGCCAATTCGAGACAGAGTATAAGACCAGATTTATTATATGATGATAGTATCATGGTTACTCTTTTTGATGATAAAGTAAACCTATCCAACTGTATAAACATGAAATAATGCAAAAACAAAGATGGTTAATTGACTGATAAATTGACTGATAAATTTACCTATACTTTTTTTTAAGAAATCAATACAATTGCTTTATGTACTATTTATCAAAGAAGGACAACCGTTTATTATTAAATATTATTCAAATCATTGTCTCATAGGTTTGTTATAATTATATTGTTTTTGTAGCCACCCATTAAACTACAAACCTCAATATCTTAAAGTTTGAATGTAGTACTGTTAGTAAATGCTCGATATCCCCATCTTTGTAAAAGGGAAACCAATCATAATGGATAGGATTGACAGAGATTAAAATATCACTCATATTACAAAAATGTAATCGGTTCCTTCTCGAACAATGTTTGTTCCCTTCTACTTGGCCAGTGATAATGAATAAACAACTCAATAATAATAAATAATGGATATTGTATATTATCCAAGAATAGATAACCAGAGTAATATTCAAATCTTTGAATAAAAATAGTGCCTGATCAAAACATTCGTTAAATCCATCGGATGATAAGAATGCGCATATTTGTTCGGAGGGTCTGACACCGATCATTTTATTTTATCTTCACAATGGGTGACCTCATCTTTCAAAGAGATATTTTTTTTATAAAAAATTTGACCAGGCAATATCCCCCTAAGAATGATATCATAGAAGACCTGGTGTTTTGATATTGATTCTAAACCCAACCCGCATGCTATTTAAGATGCTCATATTCAATCGTTTTATTTATATTTAGATTATACAAAAATATAAAACTAATATAAATATATATATATAAAAATGTTTATTTCAAGAATTGCTATTTTACTCTCTGTTGCATTTGCAATGATGATTGGTGTACAAGCCCAAAACTGTTTAAAGAGTAATGGTTACACTGCAGGCTTCACAGTAACATCATTCAACACTTATTACCCAGCTGGTGGTGCAATTGAACCACTTTCTTTCTTTGAAGGTATGTTTAACAAACATTAATATAATACTTACTTTTTTATACTAATTTATTTTTATTATTATCAGTTGGTGATACATCTGTTGATTATGATGGACTAAGAATGCGTGTAAACTATGAGTTTACAATGGCTGGACAACCAGTCGCCAATGGTAGTCTCTGGGGATTCGGTACCATCAACAAGATGTACATTCTTTCACAAGGAGTCTGTACCATTGCCCCACTCTCATTCCCAATCCAAACATTGTTAAATGGGTCTGTCGTTGGAATGACCAAGCTTGGTCAACTCGATGTCCAAGTATGGAAGATTGCAGCTGGTGGACTTCCAACCAACCAAGAACTCTTCTACGATAATGTCAATTGTGCTGGAGTTTCGAGTTTGATTTCCAACGCCGATCCATCAACTCCAGGTTACAGCACCATGTTATTCTTTGATTTTGTTGACCAATACACTGAATCCTACTTTGACCTCCCATCACAATGCACTCAACCAGATCAAATTGCTACATTCACCAATGGGTACCAAGAAAAAGAAACATTCCCACATATTCCAAAGTCTCTACACCATTTACTTCGTAGTGGTAACTAAATAATTATAATATTACATTATAATTATCAACTCCTTCCTCATTTCTACACACACATGTTAAACTATAATACAAACTTGATAAGTTATAAAAGGTTTAATAGTTATTTTAAATAAATAAATAAATAAAATCTAATCACAGATTAATAATTATTTATTTTAGTTTAGTTTAGACTTTAAAAACTTCGATATCTTCAACTATGAATGTAGTGCTGCTGGTAAATGTTTGACTACCCAATCCAGTGGTATCAGTGTAGCTACGTGGGAAGCCAATAGTATTGGTTGGCGTTGTAGGGTTGCCAGAGACTACTATATCACTAACTCCAAATATGGGTCCTGCGTGAGCTGATCCTCGAACATATTGGTATACTCCAAATCCCATCTGTCTTCCTAAATATCTTGTAGGAGCCAATCCTTGCTTGTTGACGATTGTGAAAATAAAACATGATGAGTCTCCATAATAGCTTCCATTTAAATTCCAATCCTGACTATTGTAACCACCAAATACATTACCATCATGTGCTTTGATCAATGTAATGGTCTTACCTTTTCCATTACAACATCTGTGGAAAGCTGGCGAATCAAATCCATCTCTTGAACCCTAATGAATCAAATTATTTTATATTAATATTAATAGTATTTATCTTCACTTTTTGGATCCGCATACCTTGTACAATAAAGTATAGTTTTGTTTTGATCCAATCCAATCATTGATCAATTCAAAATGTGACAGTTCAATCAATGTAGATGGTGAGGGTGGCAGAGGTAAATCGATTTTATAGAATTTCATTTCTCTTTCAACCTCTGATTTGACCTCCTTTGGAATGACATTAATATCACCATCACGAAGATAATTTAAAATGTACTTGAAATTTGATCCATCTCTAAAAAAAAAGAATAAATAATAAAAATAATAAAATAGAATGATTTAAATAATCTATATTTACAATCAATCTTTCTTTTAAATACTATACAAACATACCTATCAATAAAGAATGTATTTGTGGTATCAGTCATTGGTTTAATATCAGCTTCACCAGACAACATTACATCAAAATAAGTTCCTTTGATACGTGTTAGAGTTGCTTTGGTCGTTTGGAATTTCTTTCCTCCAATATTGAGTGTGATTGGATCTGAAATCATGGTAGCATCAATAATCTTTTTAATTTCATTGATTTTTGTTCTTGTTGCCTCTAAATTACCAATCTCCTCATTTAATTGATTTTGTTCATCTTTGAAATATCCTTCTAAATCCTTTAATAAGGATACAATCTGTTTTGCTGTTGTTTGTGTTTTATCTAACATTTTACTTTATCTCTATCTATCTCTAGTCAGTGAGTAAATATTAATATTATGAAAAATTTGAAAAAGAATAATTTTGAGTTCAAACAACCATCACACTCTCTCTCTCTCCAACCCCCACATTTAATCTCTCAGATTAGTAATAATTAATTTTGTTATAATATTATACATTTTGGTTATTTTATTTATTAATATGGGTGGCTACAAAAACTTCAATCTCTTCAACTTTGAATGTAGTAGTGCTGGTAAATGCTCGGTATCCCAATCCAGTTGTATCTGAATAGTTACGAGGGAAGCCAATCATATTGCTTAGTGTTGTAGGGTTGCCAGATATAATAATATCATTAGTTCCAAATATTGGCCCTGCTTGTGCTGATCCTTGAATATTTTGGAATCCAAAGTGAGCTGGAAACTTTGTAGAAGCCAAACCTTCTTGTTTGTTGATTATTGTGAATAGAAAACATGATCCGTCACCATAATATTGTCCATTGGAATTCCAAGACTGACTATTGTAACCACCAAATATATTGCCATCACCTGATTTAATCAATGTAATGGTTTTACCCTTTCCATCACACTTTTGATGGAAATTTGATGCTTCAAATCCATCTCTTGAACCCTTAATTGTGAATGAAATCATATTAGAATAATAGTGTTTAGTTATCAATATTATTATGCTCTCTTGATTAATTGTTTCATACCTTGTATAATAAAGCAAAACTATGTTTAATTCCAATCCAATTATTGATCAGTTCAAAATGTGATTCTTCAATCAAAGTAGATGGTGAAGGTGGTATAGGTGGCAGAGGTAAATCGATTTTATAGAATTTCATTTCTCTTTCAACCTCTGATTTGACCTCCTTTGGAATGACATTGATATCACCATCACGAAGATAATTTAATATGTATTTGAAATTTGATCCATCTCTAAATAAGAAAGAATATGAATAAAATGATCGTTTAATATTAATGATGATCATTAAAACGACTATACAACAAACATACCTATCAATAAAGAATGTATTTGTGGTATCGGCTATTGGTTTGATATTAACTTCACCAGACAACATTACATCAAAGTAGGTTCCTTTGATACGTGTTAGAGTTGCTTTGGAGGTTTGAAATTTCTTTCCTCCAATGTTTAGTGTGATTGGATCTGCAATCATTGTATCATCTATAATCTTTTTAATTTCATTGACCTTGGTTCTTCTTACTTCTAAACCATCAATCTCTTCTTTTAATTGATTTTGTTCATCATTGAAATATCCTTCTAAATCCTTTAATAAGGATACAATCTGTTTTGCTGTTGTTTGTGTTTTATCTAACATTTTACTCTATCTATCTATCTATCTGTCTATTAAAGTATTGTTAGCTCTCTCTCTGGTCACAATGAAATGAATAAATTTGTTGATGGAAAAATCTCAGATCCAAAAAAAAATGGGTATATTAGTATTTATTAATAATTATTATAATTATTATTATTAATATTTATTTGTTTGTAATCATATATATAAAAGTAAAAAAAAAATCAAGTTTTGATACATGTTTATTATCAGTTTTGGTATCAATGTACAAATAAATTGGCAGCATAAACTTCAATATCTACAACTTTGAATGGAGTAGAGCTGGTAAATGTTCGATTACCCAATCTAGTGGTATCTGAATAGCTATAAGGGAAACTAATAATATTGGATAGGGTGGTAGGGGCGCCGGAGATGATAATGTCACCGTCCCCAAATATGGGACCCTGTGCTGCTCGAGTATGATTGGCTACTCTTGGAAACTTTTTCTTGTGGAGATAGGTAGCTGGATACTTTGTAGGCGTCAATCCTTGTTTGTTGATGATTGTGAAAAGGAAACCTGAGCCAACAAAGTTATTTTTTGAGTATGGATTTACAGACAGATCATTATCGTAACCACCAAATACATTACCATCATCTGATTTGATCAATGTAACGGTTGGACCCTTTCCATCACACTTTTGATGGAAATGTAATGGCTCAAATCCATCTATTGAACCCTTTGAGTTAACTCGGTATTAATAGTCAATAATAATAATAATAATAATATTTTTTGAATAATAAATAATATTTACCTTGTACAATAAAGTATAGTTTTGTTTTGATCCAATCCAATTATCGATCAATTCAAAATGAGATGATTCAATCAATGTTGATGACGAAGGTGGTAGAGGTAAATCAATATTATAGAATTTCATTTCTCTTTCAACCTCTAATTTGACCTCTTTTGGTATGACATTGATATCACCGTCACGAAGATAATTTAAAATGTATTTGAAATTTGATCCATCTCTAAATTTAAATAATGATGATAATCATTCATTAATTAAAAGATATAGATATAGAGGGATAACAATTATGTAACATACCTATCAATAAAGAATGTGTTTGGTTCACCTGTCATTGGTTTGATATTAACTTCACCAGACAACATTATATCAAAGTAGGTTCCTTTGATACGTGTTAGAGTTGCTTTGGAGGTTTGAAATTTCTTTCCTCCAATATTGAGTGTGATTGGATCTGTAATCATAGACACATCAAAGACCTTTTTAATTTCATTGATCTTAGATCTTGCTTCTTCTAAATCACCAATCTCTTCTTTTAATTGATTTTGTTCATCATTGAAATATCCTTCTAAATCTTTTAATAAAGATACAATCTGTCTTGTTGTTGTTTGTGTTTTATCTAACATTTCAACTATCTATCTATTTATCTATCTATCTATCTATCACTATAGTCAATGAATAAATAATAGGTACTACCTCTAGATGATTAAGAAGTACAACAAAAATGAATGAATCAACAAACAACCTCTGCTTCTCCAATCCCAATAATTAAAGTGGCAAAAATAAATCTTAGGTATTGAAAACAATTAATTAATTGACGACTATTTATTTATTTTACAGTTTAGTTTGTAGTGACTTCAAAAACCTCTATATCTTCAACTATGAATGTATCATCGCCCGTAAATGTACGACTACCCAATCCAGTGGTATCTGTGTAGGTAGAAGGGAAACTAATACTATTGTCTTGAAGGGTAGGGTTGTTTGCGATTATAATATCACTAATTCCAAATATGGGTCCAAAAGTTGATGATCCCTGGACATAGTGGTACGGTCCATACCTATCATCATGGTTGCTAGGGAGGTCGATAGCTGGATACTTTGTAGGTTTCAATCCTTGTTTGTTGATGATTGTGAAAAGGAAACATTTAGGGTCACCACAAGTTTGTCCATTTGAATCCCAATCTTGACTATTGTAACCACCAAATACATTACCATCACTAGATTTAATCAGTGTAATAGATTTACCCTTTTCATCACAATGTTTATGGAAACTTGTTGCATCAAGTCCATCTCTTGAACCCTTGTACAATAAAGTATAATTTTGTTTTGATCCAATCCAATTATCGACCAATTCAAAATGTGATAGTTCAATCAATGTTGATGGTGAAGATGGTGGTATATGTAAATCTATTTTATAGAACTTCATTTCTCTTTCAACCTCTGATTTGACCTCCTCACATTTTGGAATGACATTAATATCACCATCACGAAGATAATTTAAAATGTATTTGAAATTTGATCCATCTCTAAAAATTAATAATAATGATAATCATTCATTAATTAAAAGATATAGAGGTATAACAATTATATAACATACCTATCAATAAAGAATGTATTTGGGGCACCAGTCATTGGTTTAATATTAGCTTCACCAGACAACATTATATCAAAGTAAGTTCCTTTGATACGTGTTAGAGTTGCTTTGGAGGTTTGAAATATTGTTCCTCCAATATTGAGTGTGATTGGATCTGTAATCATAGAGACATCTATAATCTTTTTAATATCATTGATTTTAGATCTTGTTACTTCAAAACCATCAATCTCTTCTTTTAATTGATTTTGCTCATCAATATAACAACCCTCCAATTCTTTAATTAAAGATAATATCTGTCTTGTTATTGTTTGTGTTTTATCTAACATTTTTATCAACTATGTACTGTAACTTGTTGTACAATGAAACTAGATAAACATAAAAGTAATTGAAGATCAAAGAGATATTTGTTTTTTTGTTTTAAAAAGGAATCTATTTTATTTTATTTTATTTTATAGACCAGGCGATGATATTATTAGCAAAAAAAATGGTATGTTGCATTGTATGTTATTAATTATTATTATTATTTATTACTATTATTATTATTATTATTATTATTATTATTCGAGTTTTTAGAATGGAGATTGTTTCTTGGTCGCTTGGAAGCTATGGATTCTTGCCTCTACTTCTGGACGGAAATGACGAAGTAAACCTTGGATTGGCCAAGCAGCTAAAATTAAATAAAAAAAAACAATAAATTATAAATATTTATCTCTTTTTCAAAAAGTCTATGTATACTATTATTATTATTTTATATGTTACATACCAGCATCACCAAGAGCACAAATAGTATGACCTTCAACTTGACGAGTAATTTCTTCCAACATATCAATTTCATCGAGTTTGGCATCACCAGTGACGAGTCTTTCCATGACATCCCACATCCAACCAGTACCTTCACGACATGGAGTGCATTGTCCACAACTCTCATGCTTATAGAACTTTGATAAACGTGCAATAGCACCAACAATATCTGTTGATTTGTCCATAACTGTAACAGCTGCTGTTCCAAGACCTGATCTAACTCTTCTCAAATCATCAAAGTCCATTCTAAAAAATAAATAATAATTAATATTTGTTTGTCTTTTTTTATCTTTTTCTTTTGTCTTTTTGTTTTTCTTTGTCTTACAAAACTTCATTACAAATATCCTTTGGAAGGACAGGGACAGAAGAACCACCTGGAATGATACCAAGTAAATTATCCCAACCACCAATGACACCACCGCAATGCTTATCGATTAATTCACGAAGTGGAATACTCATCTCCTCTTCAACTGTGCAAGGATTATTAACATGACCAGAAATACAGAATAATTTAGTACCAGAATTCTTTGGTCTACCAAAACCAGCAAACCATGCTCCTCCACTAAAACAAATTAAAATAATAATATAAATTGATTAATACAATACTCTGTTTGTTTTTGTTTGTTTTTGATTTAATTTTACCGTCTAAGAATAGTTGGAGCAACAGCAACAGTTTCAACATTGGTAACAGTGGTAGGACAACCATAGAGACCAGCCATAGCTGGGAAGGGTGGTTTAAGACGTGGCTTTCCTTGCTTGCCTTCTAAACTTTCAATGAGGGCAGTTTCTTCACCACAAATGTAGGCACCGGCACCACGGTGAACGTAGCAATCAAACTTGTAACCGGTTCCACAGGCATTCTCACCGAGATAGCCAGCCTTGTAAGCCTCTGCGATGGCCTGTTCCATGACCTTGGCTTCGAGATGGAATTCACCTCTAATATAAATGTAAGCTGCGCATGCACGCATGGCAAAACCAGCAACCAAACAACCTTCGATCAACTTGTGTGGGTCGTGACGCATAATCTCTCTGTCCTTGCAAGTGCCTGGTTCACCCTCATCGGCATTGATCACCAAATATTGTGGACGTCCAGTCGATTGCTTTGGCATAAACGACCATTTCAAACCTGATGGGAAACCTGCTCCTCCTCTACCTCTTAATCCAGATGCCATCATCTCTTTAATAATCCAATCTTTTCCTTTACCAATAAGATCTTTTGTTCTATACCAATCTCCCTAAATAATAGTAATAGTAAAAAGTAAAAGTAAAAGTAGATACATATATATGTTAGATTGTGTGTTTAACGTGTACAACATGTGATATATAATATATCGTATTCTTTCTTTCTTTCTTTCATACTCTTGCAATAGCACCTTTCAAGTAAACATCATGTTCACCATAGAGATTAGTAAAGATACGATCTTTATCTTTGAGACCACCGTATGAACGAACGGTAGCATCTGAAACTTGTTGTTGAACGGTCGAGTAGTTGGCTACACCAATCAATGAACTGATGCCACTGACCGTTGATTGTTTTGGTACTAATTTACAAAGTTGATTGACTAACATAGTTCTTCTCTATCTCTATATGATGCTCTATATCTAATCTAATCTATGAAAAGAAACAGATGATGATGAAGCAAACAATGAACAGAGTACTCTTAATTCAGTCGAGAACTATCTATGAAAAATGTTGGTAGAAAGTGAATGATCACAGCTCACTCAACAAAAAAAAAAAAAATGAAAAAAAAAAGGTGGGGGTCTATACGTTCAAAGTACCGCCATGTCTGTTTTCATTCTACCAGAATACTATAATCCCCTTTTTCATTAATAACCTTATTTATATCTTCAAGAAGATTATGAATATTGTTATTGTTTGTTTTTATTATTTATTATTTCCTTTCTTTTTCAAAAAAATAAACATATGTATTATTATCCCTTGTCCTGGGTGATGGTTGGTCTCTCTCTCTCTCCCATGATCCCCCATCATTCTATCCTTCCTTCTTTTCATTCTAAACTATTATCTTTTGAGTGAGGGATGGTTAAATGTGACGAATGTTTACTACTTTAACTTTCGTGTTTGTGTTTTAAAAAAATATCAAAAAAGAGGGTGGTGGAAGCCTAAAGGTGGCTTTCGTAGATGATTGGTAGCCAACCACCGATCAACGTTGGTGGCGTTGTTTGTGGTTGGCACGAAAAAAGGATTTTTTGACGTTTTTTCTTTTTTTTTTTTTTTGGTCTCCGAATCGAAGAATATAAAATATCATCCACTCTCATTTCATAATCTCATCATTATTTATTTTATTACTTTTAGTTTAAAAGACAGATACACAATTATATCATCATGTACATGAAATCAATCATTGTTTTCCTTTTCGCCGCTTTTGCTCTTGCAACTGCCGCCAATTGTAAGTAACAACAATCACAAAAAACAAAAAAGAGAATCACAACACACAAATTATTGTTATTGTTTTGTGATATATGTGATATATGATATTATTTCGATCGATTGTATTTAGATAGGGATATTTATTCTAATATTAATTAATTATCCTCTTTTATTTTTATTTTTATTAGCATACACCAACTTTGCAGGAACATTTGAAGTTGCATCACTTCCAACTGACGCACAAGCATCAGCTCAAGCTTTGAGTGGAGGAGCTACTGCCACTTTTGAAGATGATGGATCATCTTATACAATCTCTTACAAGATCTCTTTCAACACTACCACTGCCGACTTTACCGCTGCCAATATTACTGGCATCTCTGTATTCAATCCATCTGCCCCAGGTACCGTTCCATCCGGTGTAACTGGCACTGCCATCCCACTCGCCATGAACGGTACTGGTATCACAGTCAACGGTCTTAACTTCCAAGCTGTCGGTAGTTTCGTTGTTGGTAACCCAACCTACTCTGTCGTCAAGCAACAAGTCCAAAAAGTTGCCAACGCCGACTCTACTGCTCAATTCTTTGTTGTCGTCTACTATGGTGGTAATGCTACCTCTGATCCAGTCCCAGCCTCCCGTTCCCAACTCAAATGGGAAAACAATGATGCTCCAGCTGGTTCCGACTCTGGTGACTCTTCCAAGGTTGCCATCTCTTTCGGTCTTGTATTATTATCATCAGTCTTTGCTTTATTATTCTAAATCAACAAATCAATAAATCAAACAAACAAAACAAATATCTATAAATATCCACCTTTTTTTTTATATTTAATATATAAATATATCCCCTTAATTTTATTCGATGCATTGCATTGGATATGGATATCCCAAAGTTTAAATTAAAAATTAATTAATGTTCCCAAAGAAGACAAACATGGTATATTTTTTTTAAAAGAGAGTGTTGGGAATTTTGAAGTCTGACCTTCTTTTTTTTTTTTTTTTTTGTATCTCTCTCACTCAATCATTTTGTAGAAGCAAAGAGAGATGGATGTATAATATTAATATTTTTTATTCAATGTTGGATAAAAAAGGAAGGTAGTGACGTTTGAGATCACAAACAAAAAAAAACGTAAACTCTAGTCCTTTTAGATATTTTTGTGAATGCTTGAATTCCCGTCAATGGTGAGAGATCTGTCCTGACTTGAAACCTCCTTGACTTTTTGTTTTTTTAATTTCGCTTTTTTTTTTTTTACTAGCTCCCCCAATTCAGCCCTCTCTGTCGATGGCTGTTGCCGAGAGCCCCACTCTACTGTCTGCTGAAATTCAATGCTTGAACTAGTATTTTAGTTATTATTGTTTTCGATAAAGAATATTATATAAATATTTATATATTATACAAGGTTTTTTATTGTTTGTTTAAATCTTTTTTTTGTTTTTTCACACTAGTTCACTCTTTTTAATACAAATACTACTATAACTTATTTTTAGTTGTACCATTACATTAATAACGAGAAAAAACATCAAAACCTCTATTTAAACATCTATATATTACCATTGTTTATTCCTTTTCACCTAGTACACTCTTCTTTTTAAACATATATATAAAAACAATATTTCACAACCATGTCTACTCAGAAAACAAAGCAATATTCATGGTCTGAATTGGCCAAGCACAACACTGCTGAAGATTGTTGGGTTGCCGTAGATGGCAAAGTATATGATGTTACCAAGTAAGTAAATATATATATATCACATTCATTGCACAATTACACAGAGATACAGAGATACAGATATATAGTGTGCTAATGGGGCCACACACTAGATATTAAAAAAAACGAAAAAGTATCTTTGCACATCCCCCTTTCATCTTTCATTTTTTTTTTTTAAAATAGAGTACTCAAACATTAATTTCTCTCTTTTTAATTTTCTATTTCTATTTTTTTAGATGGGTAAATCAACATCCAGGAGGATCAGATATTATTTTATATTCATCAGGTAGAGATGTAACCAATTTGTTTGAATCATATCATCCAATGTCTGACAAGCCAGCAGCCATTCTTGAAAAGTATCACATTGGTACCGTGTCATCGCTCGAGTTCCCCAAGTATGTCGTCAAGAGCAAGTTTTATGACACTCTCAAGGCACGTGTACGCAAGCACTTTATCGACACTGCCCAAGACCCACAACAATCGGTCGGTGTCGTCAACCGTATCATTTTGGCCTATGTCATTGTCATTTCCGGTTACGTCTTGTCTCACTATGTTTTCCAAAATTTCTACCTCAACTTTTTATTGGCCATTGTATTTGGTGTCTGTGAAGCCTTGTTTGCCATGCATTTGTTGCATGACGCCTCTCATTGTGCCGTCGGTCACAACCCAAAGGTCTGGAAGTGGTTGGGTGCCAGCTTTGACTTTGTCATTGGTGGTTCCTTCTTTGCCTGGATCCATCAACACGTCCTCGGTCATCACCTCTACACCAACGTCCGTGGTGCCGATCCAGACGTTGGAGACGGTGAAATCGACTTCCGTGTCATCACTCCATACCAACAACGTCTCTGGTATCACAAGTATCAACATATCTATGCCCCTTTACTTTATGGTTTATATCCATTCAAAACTAGAATTCAAGTAAATAGAAAAAAAACAAAAAAAAACAAAAAAATCTAAAGTACTCATTATTTTTTTTTCTTTTATTTATTTCTTTATTTTCTTTTTTAGGATTCAGAATCATTTATTAAAAAGATTAATGGTAGAATTAGAGTTTCAGCACCATCAACATTTGATCTTGTAGCTTATATTGTTGGAAAGATTTCATTTATCTTTTTCCGTTTCATTTTGCCACTCCAATACATTCCATACGCCAACTTGATTCCATGTTTTATTATTGCCGAGCTTACCTTTGGTTGGTACTTGACCATCAACTTCCAAGTCAGTCATGTTGCCGAGGACCTCAAGTTCTTTGCCACTGAAAGCCGTCCCAACGAGCCAACCAACGTCGACGAAGACTGGGCCATCTCTCAAGTAAAGACCACCCAAGACTATGCCAACGGAAGCCTTTTGGCCAACTATTTCTCTGGTGCTTTGAACCACCAAGTTGTCCACCATCTCTTCCCATCCATCCAACAAGAGTTCCTTCCACAAATCGTCCCAATCCTCAAGCAAGTCTGCTCAGAGTACAACCTCAAATACAACCATTACGATACTTTTACCGAAGCCATTGGCTCGCACATTAAATACCTTTACAAGATGGGTAATGATCCAGATTATGTTCAAATCCCAGTTGGAAATGGTAAAAAGTCAAATTAAACAGAGTAATAGATAATAGTTGGTTACAGTCGTCATACCCCCAATAATAATAATAATAATAAGAATATTAAAATTAATTTTAAAATTGTTCTCAAAACTCTTTTAAAAAAAAGAAAAAGAAAAGGAATAAAAGAAAAAAAAACATTTTTAAAAAAAATATATATATATATATAATTCATTCAATTACTCTTTCGAGTTTAATAATCTAATCTGATCATTATATTGATGGATATGATATGGGGTTTCTTTTATTATAGTATAAATCAATTCCATCTTTTCTTGGTCAACGACAATATATATTCATTACATTGCCGACGTTTTCACATCCCCCACCCTATCCAATATCTAAATTTAGTTAAGTTAATATTATGATCACAATGTTTTTTCGTTTCGTTTCACCACACATTCTTTGGAGAAGTGATTTTAATTTAACCCTTTTGGATCAAAGTGTTTGGTGATTGGTGGGGTATTTATATATCAAATACACGAGTGGGAATTAAATTGATATTAGTGAGTGTTCCAAAAAAAAAAAATAGAAAATGGTGAAGATGAAGATATTAATCAGTTGAATACCCCCACTTGATTTTGGTGGATGATCCAGTCGACTTGGTTGTTTATGTGTATGTACTGTACCACTGAGGAAATGGGGGTACGGTAATATATACAATAATTTTAAAACTACTATTACTGGTACCAATATCAATCACCGACTGACTGACAGACTGACCGAATGCTGGTTCCAACAACAACATCAGAAGATGCTGGCTGTTGTTTGGATAGATACATATTGTTGAGAAGAATATTTAAATGTGTATTTATATATTTATTAATCAAGGTGATGGATAGTGAACAGCCATCTCCATTCAACCCCCTTTCATTTCCCACCATCCCATCATTCCATCCTTGTGTTATTGTGGTTGCTGCAGCTGCTGTAGTTGGTTTTTCCTTCCTTTTAATCATCATCATAAAAAAATAAATTTAATTAATTTATTGTCTTTTTTTATTCATTCATTTAATTTAAACTACAATTACTAATTACTTTTTAGTAATATTACAATAACAACAACAACAACAATCATCCATCATCATCACCAAAATAATCAATCATCAACAAAATTTAAAATAGCATTAAAAAATAGAAAGAAAGAGAAAGCAGGAAAAAGAAAAAGAAAAAATAGTTTCTAAATCAAGATAATTTGAATTTCAATCATTCAAATTAAATGATTGATATCAATTTTATACTCATTGTATAATAACTTTGGTACGGATGATGAAAAGAAAGAAAGAAAGAGTGTTTACATTGTCATCAGTCGACTTTTAGTTATATTTATACAATTTATTAATTAATTAGAGAATTATAATCAATCATCATTTGGTTTAAATAATAATATTTATAATGGATCAAGATTTAGACCCAAGATTAGTTACAGCACAAAATGTAGTACTGTTGTTTGCTGATTTTACAAGTATTATAGGATGTTTTTGTGTGTTGATGGGATTTTGGCGACTAAAACTCCTCAGAAATCACATCACTAGAATTATTAGTTGTTTTTGTATCACTTCGTTTTTCAAGGACCTCATATCATGTATCTTGACTCTAACACAATCGCATCGATATAACGATTTCTCATGTTACTTGTTCGCTATTGCCATCAATTATGGTAGTTTAAGTTGTTGGCTATGGACTTTATGTTTAGGTAAAATAAAAAAACAAACAAATACAAATAATCAAAATTAACAAACTATTTTTTTTTAGCAATTTCAATTTATTTATTAATTGTAAAAAGATTCCAAGATCCAGAAAGATTGGAGAAATATTATTATGGAATATGTTGGGGATTGCCAATGATAAGTACTATTATCATGTTGGCAAAGAATTTGGTGGAACCGGTGGTTGGTTGGTGCTGGATTGGCGGGGATTATACGGCGTATAGATTTGGTATATTCTACGTACCATTCTTTATCATATTTGCAACGTCGGCTGTGTTGGTCGGTCTGACATGTCAGTACACTTACAAGGTCATACATAATGGTGTATCGGATAACAAGGAGCGTCATATTAAATATCAGTTTAAACTGGTTAATTATATCATTGTGTTTTTGGTGTGCTGGATATTCGCTGTTATTAATCGTATCATAAACTCACTAGATATCTTTGATTACACATGTAATATGTTACACACGTATTTGTCAATATCACATGGGTTTTATGCATCGATTGTATTCATCTACAATAATCCACTCATGTGGCGATACTTTGGTGCAAAGATATTGGGATTATTTACTCCGTTTGGGTTCTGTGTGGAACGTGCCAAGCAGTTGGACCGCAACAAAAACAATAATAATCCGTCGCCGTATTCGTCGAGTCGAGGTGTGTTGGCGTCCAACAAGTCGGGTGGAGCAGGAGGTGTCACCTCGACAGCACGTGGCACATCGACCGGCGCCGGCATCGACTTTGACACCGAGGAACCAATCGAAATGATCCAAATCACAGGTGCAGATATCATCCCATCCAATTCTCCAACCATCATTGTTCCACCCGACCTCCAACTAGAACAACAGTCCGATCAACCAGATGTCATTTCACAATTACCTCCAATTGGACAACCGCCTCACCACCACAATCATGGACGATCACAACATCATCAACAACAAATAAGAGGAGGCGGTAGAGGTATTATTGGTGAAAATGAAAATAATAATAATGATTATTATTACGATGATAATAACTATGACGATAATACTAATAATAATAATAATAATGAAAATAATAATAATGATTATGACTATGAATATTCACCTCCACCTCCTCCATCAACATTTAATGTATAATGAACATCACCAAAATATAATAAATAAATCTCAATTGTATAGTACTATTCACCCCAATATGTATCATTTTGATCTGATAATACATACTTGAATATAGATGCATGGTTCAGGTGGTGTGGTTTCAATAGTTGTAGATGATGATGATGATGATGATAAGTGAGTACAGTGTCGTTGTTGAAAGCAATTTTGTATGAGAGATAGAATAAAGTATAAACATAAATTCAAGGAATATATATATATACACTACTTGTAGGTATGATGAATATTTTTGGTAGAATAATATTTTTTTATAATATTTTATTTTTACTCTACTCACAGGAAAAGTTTCGTCTTGTACTATTCATACTTGGAGATTTTTAAAAGTTTTTCAGCTCAGAAAGTCACCTCAAATAATGAATGAATAAAGACTATAGTTTGTTTAATAATATTAATTCTTTTTAATTTATTTCATTATATTTAACAAGTGTTGCTATTGAATAGATAGATAAGATATAAGTGTTAGATACATTAGGGAAGGAGGCATCGAAACGATTAGCTCAAGGTGTACCAGTCTTTAAACTCAACAACGAATCATTGTCAATTAAAGATTGGTGTAACATCATCGAAAACACCACCAATCTCGAAGAGTATCGTCACGCTCTTGCCATCACTCAACTCGACAGTCGCATCCTCCAAACCATCAAAGATCGTATGGGCAAGAATGAATTGAAGTCTGAAGGGTCATCTCATCACTTTTTATCACTCTGAACTCGGGCCGGGTCACTACTATGGCAAATTCAAGGCTCTTGAATATCGATTGTCAAGCACCAACAACGTCATGAAATACATTACTCATTTCTACAACACTGCGTCTAAAGCTGGAGTGTCATCGGACAAGATCTCGATACACTTCTATCTCTCTACAATAGGTAGAAATAGACATGCCGAGGCTTGGTGATCCAATAGGTTTCTCGATCAGATTGGTAATACGAGCGTAGAGTAATAGCCAAAGTACAATCAAATCAAGAGATATCTATTAATGGATAGTGCCATCTTTTGATTGCGATATTTTTGTTTGTGAACACATCTATATATATATATATATATATATATATATATCGACAACCAAAAGATGGCACTATCCCATAAAAATATGAAATCAAATGTAAGTATATCATCACAACAAAGACAATATTGTCTATCTATCTATCTTTCTTTCTTTCTTTAGTTAAAACTATATTGTAGGGAAATTATAAATAAATAAAAAATCATCGTGTTGTTTGTTTTCCCTCCTTTTTTTCATTTTTGTTTACGATGATCATTCAGCACTCACCCTTTTGAGTCATTAATTCTCTTCTCTCATCTCATCTCATCTCATTTGTGTCTATATCTATATCTATTTCTATTATTAATATCTCAGAGGATATGGATCAATACAACAACCACCACCACAACCAACAACAACAACAACAAAGTGACCAATATTTAAAGTTATTCTCATCGATTCTACCAGTGTCACCTTTGAATACAGATGCGTTCCTCGGGCAATACAACCAAGCGTTGGCACAAGACTTGGATCTAGACGGATACGGATTGGTCAATGACACTACAATCGATCATGGTAATATCACAAATGCTGATTTGGATATGCGTGATGTATTCATTCCTCCTAATCAACAAAATCAACAACAACAACAACAACGTCATCAACAACAATATTATAATAATCATCAATCAGATAATAGTATGATTCAAAGTGAAAGAGGAGGAGGAGTAGGAGCAAGTACAACTTCTAGAATTGATGATTCAGTACTCTATAGAGGAGGGGGAGGAGGGGGAGGAGGGGTAGGACAATCATCAAGAATGAATCCTATCAATCATTCATCAACCACTGTCATTCCCCAATCATCGGTCATTTACCAACCTACTCAAAGACCAACTACTAGTACTACCTCTAACAATGATAATGATACAAGTCATTACATCCCTTCGTATCCAGAGGCAAGTAGACCTAGTGTGAGTGAATATCGAGGTTACCAAGACCAAGTTTCAAGAGTTCAAAATCATCAACATCAAATTCAACAACAACAACAACAACAACAACAGCATCAATACAATCAACATCAACTTAGTAGATCAATGGGATCTGATTTTAATAATACTGTTATTTATAATCAACCACCACATGCCGCCACTACTACTACTGGTGTTGCAATGGTTCCAAACACCAATTCGACTGTATTCTCTGCCACTGCTTCAACCAAACATGATCATCGACTTCAAGGGGAATTTGATAATCCTCTTGATTTTGATCCTTCCATTTCTGTAAACTCTTTAGATACTGGTAAAACTAGTAAGTTATATTTATTATATATTATATATATTACATATTGATTAATCTATCTATTATATTTAGATTTCAACATTGATAATAATGCATTTTATGGAAATTACCAACAACAACCTCAAAATCATCATCAACAACTTCCAAAATTTGTTTATGGAAATATACCAACAAATAGTATTGTTAGTAATTATCCAGATGATTCATTAATTTATACACCAGATACTTTTGATCCAAACGCAAGTACAACTCCACCTTTACCACATCCAACATCGTCATCATCATCACAAGGTCAATATTATCAAAGACCGACAACACAACAACAACAACAACAACAACAACCAATTCAATATATTGATCAATTGACACCATCTACATTGTTTGGAGAAAAGTCAGAGGCATTGGGAACATTGAGTGGTAATGGTGCACCACCCAAATTTGAAGATTCTTTGGTGAATCCTTCACCAGGTGCATCGATGATTAATGGTAATAATGTTAGTGCAACCAGTAACATGAACTCACCTTTTGTAACTGGTTACCAAATCGATCAACATCATCAAAATCAACAACATCAACAACAACAACAACAGTCGAATGAAAGTTTTGGAGTTGGACCAAATTATTCAAGAAATACAGTACTACAATATACACCAAAGTCTACTGATCTTGAACGTTCCAACTATCAACATTTAATGGAAAAATATCGTGGACTTGTTTTAATGGATGATACAACCATGAGTAGAGATATTAGTTCTTTAAATATTACAAATACAAATCAACCAATTAATCATAATAATAATGGTGGTAGTAATCAAAGTAGAACTGCTTCATTTAATGTTTCAAATCTTTCACAACAACAACAACCAACTATAGTTAATACTGCTAGTATTCATCATTATCAACAACCTCAACCTCAACCACACCAATCATTACAACAATCACAACAATCAAGATCACAAAATAATAATAATAATTTTAATAATAGTAATAATGGATATACAATGATACAACCACATCCATCATCATCATCATCCTCGTCACCTTTAAGAAATAATAATCAAAATAATAATGAACAAGATTATTCTTATCCAGGTGAATTAAGAATAGAAAAAGTATTAGATTTTGGACCATGTGATAAAGATTGGATGATAACAAGGGATTTAGTGATTAATAATCCAAATGATTATCCTATTTCCATTTTATCATTTTCCATTCATGGACCATCAAGAGATTGTTTCAAGGTGCTCAATACCAATATGATCGATGTTCCAACGCTACTCGAGATTAAGCCATACTCTAGATTGACACTTGGACTTGAATACGCACCCACTCTGCCAACCAGACAAGAAAAAGATATTAGTAGTGCTACACTTCAAATCTTTTGTTCTTCTACTCAACAACAACAACAAGTGTCTACCAATTACTCTGTTTCACTTTATGGTGCCTGTATACATAGCCGTCCAACACAAAAACCACCTACCAATCTACACAACTACAATATCTATGATTTGGGTATTTGTTCACCCGGTCAAACACTCGAGTCTCGATTGTTGAACAATCACAATGGCCATCCACTGCAAATCCAATCGATTGGAGAGGGATTCTCTTGTCAGGAGCTACCCAACCATCAAGTATTGCTTCGTTATACTCCACCTAAAAGTTTAAAAGCCGAAGGTCAAGTCATCATTGTCGATACGGTCACTAGACAAAAGAAAATTGTAAAATTAACTGCAACTATAAATCAACCGTCGTTGAATGATCAACAATATCAATATACTCAATCTCAGCCAACTCATCCAAATCAACAATCTCAACCACAACCACAACCAATTATTCATTTTGATAGAAAAGATGTTCAAGGACAAGATTTGAAAATTGGATTACCAAAAGAGGTTTACAAGAATGGTGGTATTGAATTCCAGCCAAATGAAACAATTTATCAATTGCCACTTAAATATTTTGGTGAATCACGTATTAGAATTGATATCATTTCAATCAATACTCAATTATATCATATATCACCAACTCAATTCACTTTGGATAGTAATAATGATTCAATTACCCTTGTCATTCGTTATATTGGAAAGATTACATCTCCACCTCCATTTTCAACATTTATAATATCTTCTCCAAATTCAAATGATGCAATTAAAATTAATATTAATCATGATAAAGATGGAGATGAAGATGAACAAGAAGATCAAGAGGAACAGGAGGAAGAAAAAGGTATTGGAAAAAGTCAAAGAAGAAATGGTGGTCTATTTAATGGTCAAGGGCAAGATGATTTTGAACCATCAGATGCATCAACACCATCACCAAATTCTTCACCAAATATAAATTCTACAAATCAACAACCACTATCAGTAATATTTCAAGATGAAAATAACAAGAAACAAGATCTTCAACAACAATCAGAGAAATTAATGTTATATTGTAGTAAAAGAATTGTATCATTTGGAGGAGTTAGATTGGGTGAAAACAAATATCAATTGATCAAATTATCAAGTAACAGTAAAAAGGCATTACATATAAATGTTGGATTAGTAAAACATGACAATCAAATTCATTTGAATGCCGATTCTATGATTATTGCTCCGGGATCGTCGAGTGATTTGATGGTTCAATACTCGCCACTACAAGCAACCACGCATTCCAATATTCTCCATGTCCAAATGCATGATGGGTCGTGGTTTAATATCCCCATCCGTTCGTATGGTGGTAGAGCCATGATGCGTGTCCTCTCACCATGCTCGATTGATCATATGGGCAGATCGGTTGTCCACGTCACCACCAAGCTCCCCTACACTGACCAAGGTGTAGGATACCACACTGTCTTGTCGGTAAAGAACGAGGGTCAACGTCCAGGTTTTATCCGTGCCATCTCTTCATTTACCAATGGAAACATCAAGATTCAACCAGATAGTGCTGTCATTGGTATTGGCAAGACGCTAGAGTTCAAGGTCACCATCACACCCGACCTCTCTAGTTCCATCGTTGCTTTGGACCCTTTGATGAGTCAAAAGGGAACCATCAAATTCTACTATGGTGATGAAATAGCCAGAAAGAGAAGACGTGCCGCCAAACATTTGGTTGGGCTTCCCGACACCACCCCTCTCAAAGGTCAATCAAATTATCAATCATTTCAAATTTTTGATCAAGATTTTCTTTATGAACATTTATTTAATGAATCAGAAAATGAACAAAATGATGATGAAGAGGATGAGAATAATAATAATAGTATTATAAATGATCAATCATTTAATCAAATGGAAATGGAATTATTTGATGAAAATATTTCAAGTATTATTTTAATACCATATGTTGGAGCTATGGAACAATTAAAAACACCTGCTCCAGCTCCTCAACCTCAATTCTCTGCTCCATCTACTAGTGCAACCCCATCAACAATTGGTAGAAAGTTGGATACAACTCTGCAACAACCACCACCTAGCACAAATACAAATACTCCATCTACCATTTCAACCATGAACAATTCAACAATGAATACAAGTGCCGTTACAAATAATACACCATATCAAATTCCTTCTCGTTCAACTATGAATAGACAACATCAACAGTCCCAATCTCAACCATTACAACAATCTCAACATCAACATTTACAACAACATTTACAACAAACTCAACCATTACAACAATCTACACAATATACTATACCACAAACACCTTTACCTACTGAATTGAATACAAAGGATCTTCAAAAAGGTGATTCTACTGTTGTTAGAATGAATCATATTTCAACTTCAACACCACCAGTAACAGTCATCAAACAGAATCAACAACAACAACAACAAGTTCCTCCATCAATATTAAAGGAAACTCAACCAACCAATTTCAATCATTTTAATCCTTCTATTTTTGGATCAGCTGCCAAAAAGTATGATTTTGGTCTTTCTTCTGTCCATCCTCCACAATCAATTCTTAAGCAATCACAACAACAACAAGGAGGAGCAAGTCAATATCAAGATGAACCAAGTCAATTATTTGCAAATTCATTCTTTAATACATCAAGACCAATAGATGATGATGAACAAGTAAATCAACAAGAAGAAGAAGAGATTAGAGGAGGACAAGAGGATATTCATGAATATTCAAATGTTCAAGAGGATGATAGTAGATTATTTGAAACTCAAATTAGAGATCATGAATATGATGATTTATTTATTGATGAAGCAAATCAATCATTACAACAACATCAACATCAACAATCTGTATATACTGATGATGAACAAGAAGAAGAAGAAGAAGATTTTAATAATGGTATGGGTGATGGTTCATTGGGTTTGTCACCTTCATCATCACTTATATCGACTCCAACCACCTCACCAAAATCCATTCAACAACAACAACATTTATTCTCAACAACCACCAGAACTCCTGGTTTGGCAAGTATGATGCATACATCTGCCATTAAACATCGTCCACCACAACAACACCACCAACAACAACATTCTTCGACTTCTACAAGACCAACACCATTTAATCAAGCATTATTTAGATCTACCAATCCAATAACATCAACTACATCCACATCTTCTACTGCAACACCACCATCAACAACAACTGGAAATAGATTATTTAGATCAGAATATCAATTACCACAACCAATGATACCAGAAGAACCACAGCAAGAGGAACAAGAAGAGGAAACCATTTTATTCCCACAAGAACCAAGTGTAGCCTTTGGTAATGTCGCATTGAATGAAAGATCAGCCACTAAAATTGGAGTATCCAATGCATCCAATGAACCACTTGAAGTGATGTTATCACCTTTGGTAGCTCCATTTGACACCAACTATCAACATGTAACACTCAAACCACAATGCACCACGAGAATCCCAGTTTACTTTTCACCAACCTCCCAAGGTGAACATATTCAATATATTACCATCTCTACCATTCCTTCTAGTCAAAATGATCAAATTCTAAATTGTACAATTCAATTAAAAGGTCAATGTCAATAAACAAACATTAGGTTGAATCAATTTTTCAAGTCTTAAAAAAGTAAATTTTTTCCCAATCTTTTGTTCAACTTTTCTGAGCAACTTTTAAGTTCACTTTACTATTATTTATTTATTTATTTTGTACAATGGATAAACAGATAGATGAATATTTAGAATCAGTAGAACCTCCTCTGTCGATTGGGGAATTACCACCATCATCACTATCATTAAAGTATAGTGATTACTATAATCAATTAAAAATATCTCATAATGATGCGGTTGATGGGGATGAGGAACTGCCATCATCATTAGAAGAAGAAGAATCATTAAAGTTTGGTGGTTGGAGTTATATTCAACAAATATCGGAAGGAGTATCATTACCATCATCATTAAAATCATCATTTGAATCATTGGAATTTGATGATGATGAATATAATTATGAATATAGTTATAATCAACCACTACCAGCTGGAGAATTACCAACATCATTACTATCATTGATGTTTGGTGGTGGATATAATCAACCACTATCAGCTGGAGTTTTACCATCATTACTATCATTGGAGTTTGGTAGTGGATATAATCACCCAATATATCAAATATCTAATGGAGTATTACCAACATCATTACAATCATTGGTGTTTGGTGAATATGGTCACTATCATCTACCTAGATCAGTTGGATTAAAAAGATCATCAATATCTTTAAAACAAACTAAATAAAAGAAAATTAATTTTTTTGAAAACTTGTGTTTTAATTTAACTCATTCTGAATTTTAATCTTACATGTTGTAGAGAGATATAGATATAGATGGATACTAAAGCAGAAAAAGAGATTGAAAAGTATATATTAAATCAACAAACATGGGAACAGTTACCTAGTCATGCAAAGTCGATACTAGACAATTCACCTGCAAAGTGGAAGCAATACATTATAAAGTATAGTGTCAAACATCAGTTACGTTGGAAGACAACTTTGATTAGAGAATATGTTTCAGATGAAAGATTATATTATCAAGAGATTGTTAGATCTTCTATATCAAATTTAGTTGTATTGTATCAAATCAAAGAGAAAGAATGAAAGATTCAACTTTTACTCATTCACTTGATTCATTCTACTCTTATATAGTTATATCCTTATCATATTATTGATAAATTAATAGGAATGTTAAATATTACACCTTTTAAATACTATTTAGTTATGATGATTGAAACAATGGTTAATTGTATGTAATAATTGTACTATTATTATTAAAACTATTATTTACTCTTTCTCTTTTTTTGTAGCAAAATCATATGATGAATTACCAAACTTTACAGCAGTAGATTGTCTAAGATTATTGAATATTGGTAGAAATCAATACATTGATATTATGAATCGATGTAGATCAACTGGTAAAGGATTCCTATTTAAAAAGAAAAAGGATATTATCAAGAGTTTGTTACCAAGTAAAAGTTTGGAGGGTAAAGCAATCGATTATTGGTGGCAATTAAATATTGGACATCCAATACCAGAAGAGGAAAAATCATGTACACAAGAAGAATTGGAGGTTTTAGAGGAATTGAGACGTGGTCCCAAACAAGCTGGTGTGTTTAATCGAGAGTCTGTCCTCTCTCTTATCTCCAAAGGTCTTATTTTTGTTGATATCCCTATTGCCAATTCAGACTATTTATCAATGCCTCCTCTAGAGGGATTTGTCATGAATAGAGTGTCTGGCGATTATTTTGAAAACCTACTCTACAAGATTTTCGTCACTATCGATGAAAGAACCAATATTCAACAACTATCTGAATTACTTCAAATCGATGTTGAACCAGTCAAACAAGCTGCTTCACTTTATTGTAGATTAGGTTTTGCTAAAAAGAAAAATGTTGAACCTCTAATTGTAAGAAAGAAACAAAAGAAACAAAAGAAAGAATAATAATTAACTTTCTTTTATTTATTTTTCTTTAGAATGAAGAACAACAAAATGATAATTTATTAATTAAAACAAAATGGCATCAAAGTTGGATAGATTATCAACAAACACCAAATGTTCAATCAAATCAAAATACTTCTTCTTCTTCTTCTTTAGCTGCTGCTGAACCAAATATATTAGATGATATTGAAAAGACAAGAGTTGGATTAGTATTTGATAGTTCGATAACAGCCTTTTTAATGATGGGTAATTTGGGATATGGATTAAAGAGTCATGCGGTTACAATGTTTGAAGTTGGTAAATTGCCCAATGAAGCGTTGGATGATTTTATACAGGAATTGAACAAGGTCAATGTAGACGAGTTTATAGATGGCGAGGCAAAGAGATATGCTGCGAGTGCGGTCGCTCTCAAAGACACGATCAAATACCTACGTTACAATGAAACCATTTCTGCCACGCTGAATGGGTTGGACCTTGTCAGCTGTGAGAGAATGAACAGTCTTGAAGAGACGACTAGAATGCGTGTATTGGCCAAAAACTACTCGATCCTCATTAGCATGTCTCCCTTTTCAACCGACTCGAGTCCTGTCATTAGCAGCTTTTCACCCGTTCACTTTGGTGCACCCATCTATGAAGCTCACAGTTTTTGGTTCAAGCTCTACATGTATAGTTTAATTGGAGCCGGTCCAGACTCTATCCTCTTGCCCAAAGGCACTCGAATCAAACGTATCCCACCCGTCTTTAGAGATTGTGAAAAGGTTCGCGTCTGCTCTATCGATCATGACTCTATCAATGTAAATCTCTCTCAACTCTTACCAACCATCAATGAACTCTTGCTATCGTCTCCTGTCCTCTTGCAAGCTTTCTCCTATGTAAAACATGACCCCCTCGCCAAACCTCGTCAAGCCAATAGAGAACAACAAACCATTAGAGAAAAATTGTCAATTATTGATGTTCCTTTTCCTTTAGAAGAAAATTTAGATAATCAAAAAGAGGAAATAATAGAAGAATATACAACTGAAAATATGCATAGACATCCTTTGGTTTTACAAATTGTAAAATCTTTAAATTTACAAAATAGTATTGGTTATATTTCAATGTTACGTAAAGATATTGATTTAAATATTGATATTTTAAAACAACAAATTAATAATCAAAATAATAATCAAAATAATAATAATACTTCTTCAATTAAAACAACATGGGAACCATATAATGTATATTTTGGAATACCTATATTTGACTTGTCACTCAATCAACAGGTTTGTCTAAAGATTCAGAAAATGGATCTCTTGTCTGATAGCAATGTCGCCCGTCACAATCATAATTCGAGAATACTTTCACTCAACTTGCTACGCTTCATCTCTTCAACCTGTCCAACAGTTCATCCAGATTTGGAAAATATCGATGCTAAAATTAACATGCTCCCATCCGTTCAAAATTTACCCCTTCCCACTCAAACCATTTCTTTTATAAATAATGTCTTGGAAATTTAAATAAATAGTATAATTTAATATAATATATAATTTCATATAATTGTAATAATAGTTGATTTGATGGAGTTTAGAGGGTGAAAAAGAGGACACTTATGTGAAAATAAATGTTTATTATGTAGAATTAAATAAACTCCTTTGGTTATAAAATAAATTATTGATTTTTACTTGATTATTGGAACATTACTTTATTTGATCAAAACAAGGAATTTAGACCTCCTTAAAGTTAAAAAAGTATAAAAATTTTTTTTTTTAAAGTAATTCTTTTCTTGTTCTCTCCTATCGGGAAGAGTAGTACTCAGAAGTTACAAAGTTTTATTAATTATACATTTTAATTGACCAGCAAGAAATAAAGATTATCTCGAGAAGAATTAAAGTTAATTTGTTCTGGGGGTTTGTCCATGTCTATGATACATGTTATATGGACGTTGATCATGTATCTTATTGTATAGTATCAAGCATGTTGGATTGTTGCTTGTTCAAAAAATGTAAAAGTAGAAAGATTGGCGTCAAAACGCGAGAATGTTAAGTGAGAATCATCTAAAAATTGCTCGTTTAGCTCAGTCGGTAGAGCACGGTGCTAATAACGCCGCGGTCGCAGGTTCGATCCCTGCAATGAGCAATCTTATTGCCCCTTTCCATGATCAGGTTTTGTTCATTTGGCTTTTTTTAGCCATCACTGCATTCTCCACAACAAGGGCTACATTTCTATCCAATTTTCATCAATTTCCATCAAATTCTGATCATCAACATACCAAAAGATTCATCCATAAAAACCCAGTTTTTTTTTGTCCTGCAATGAGCAATCTTATTGCCCTTTCCATGATCAGGTTTTGTTCATTTGGCTTTTTTTAGCTATCTCCTCTCCAATTCCTAAATTTATATTAAGTTTCACCAATTAAATTTTGATCATTCCAAATCTAAAAAAAACAGGTACCTTTTCCAGATCCAACAAATCAGTGTAGTTGAAAAAAACTGCGTACATTTGAGACTTGTATTGAAAGAAGATAGGAAGGTTGGGCACGAAGTGAAGGAGTTGATGTTCAATATATTCACAGGTTGCACAATTTGTTTAAAAAGTAAATCTATAATTGGGACCATCCAATAGCCAATAGTTGGGGGTTGTCTCACAGCGTTGTGAGTAGTTAAATATATCTATAATGTTGTATAGTCGATCGATTTTCTATCCATTTTAAGAGTCGAGTAATGCAACCACTGTGTGGTATAGAGTTTCATGGTTGGTGTATTATTTTTAAACCATATGATCCAAAAGGTACCTTTTATCAGTCTCAAAACAACTGATATAGTACATTGGTTCAACCAACTATAAAAGGAGTGATCATGACTTGTAAACGAGTCAATCGCGATGTTTGGGGGCCAATTTTTGTTATCAATGAAATTCATTCCATCACCTCTTTATCTTTGAAAAGAACTATTACTCGTTTCATTCATTATTTTCATTATTATTATGTTGATTTGTTGCATCATATAATAATTATCATTATTATTATTATGAATAAAGATTTTTTCAAAAAAAAAGTGTTTATTAATTGAATGATCGCAGTGTTGAGGAGGGGTATTAAAATCGATCAAAAATATATTTTAAAACAATTGTTTTTCAAAAAATGATAATTTTATTATTGATCCCTGTTTGGATCAATGAATAAAGATCCATTACATTATTTTTATTATGCCCCTCCTCTCTCTCTCCACCCATAACCCACACTAAAATACTGTCTATCACCCATTCTACAATGATCCACCACCTCACTCCCACCACAACGTGCCTATACAATAAAATAGGATTTTTGCGTAGAAAGTGAGGGGGTGTAAAACACATCCTCTCCTACTGTTTACATGTGGTGGGTTAATTTCACGGTCGAAAGATAAGATATGATTTACAATAATTATCAATCTATCTCTCACTCACTCACCCTAACCACTGTTGTTTATTTTACAAACTGGTGAATGAAAATATTAACGAAAAGTATTCATAATTCATGAAAAGAATAACCAGACTTTTGAATGTATTGTATTGTATGGAGACGTGAAATCATCTTTCAATGTTGTGTTTTGTCGTCGCTCGCTGTTGTTGACAACAATACTACTAAATGATAGAATGAATGAATTGATTTTAATAGAATAAATTTATAATCCAATAATAATCCACCTCTCTTGTCTATTTTTTAAATAAAGTTTAATTTTAGAATTTTAGTTTGTATTTTTTTAATTTATTTTTTTTTGTCAGAGCAAAGGCAAAAGCCAACCCAAACCCAAGGAATCAAAAAGGTAAGGAACAAAATTAAATTGGGCAATTGAATGATTAGTCATCCAAACCATCCAAACCGTACCATTCCACATTCACTTTTAACATATATAGAGAGAGAGAGATTTATTTACAACACAACAAAAAAACAAACAATATCATTGGGAAAAGAATTTTAAAATTTTTATAGATCCAACTTTTTGTTTCAAATTAGTAAAACTACTTGATTCGTAATCAAAGGTTTTACAAAAACAAACAAAAAAAGACGAGTCTCAAAAAGAGAGCGATAACAGCAGAGAAAGAGACTAGACTAGACTGTGACCAACAACAACCATTTTTATATTTCATTGTTGTTGTTTTGTTAAAATCATTTTACAATTTTTAATCCTTTGCTAGCTATTATTATATTATTAATAATATCTTTATATGCATTTTAATATATACACTATATTATTTATTATTATGATTTATAAAATTAAATTTAAATATTTATCAATTTAACATTACCATATTGTATAATTAACTTTTTTAATTTGAATTAAAAACAAATACTACCTATATATTCCTATATTTAAATATATTTATATAAATATTTATACCATACACTTTTATTTATATAAATACAAACAAAAACAAAATCAAAAAATGAATTTCAGGAGCAGGTAATTAATCATTGTTTAATATTATTATTATAAATATTTAAATATTTTTTGATCTACTCTTTTTAAAATTTATAATTTGAATTAAATAATTAATAATATCCAACCCCCATTCCATTTCCATTTAATTAAAATTATATGTATAATAATAAATTATTAATCTCACTTTTTCTTTCTTTTATTCTAATTATTATAGGTTTAGTAAAATATTAAAAAAGGTGTTTCCACCTCAACATCATCAACAACAGCAACAACAACAGAGTCAACAACTAGATCAACATTTACAATTTGAAAAGTTAAATAATTCAACAACTACAATGGAATTATTTAATTCAATGGAATTAAATTTACCTTATGAAGTTATACTTTATATTTTTTCTTATTTAAAGTGTAAGTTTTTGAAAAAAACAAAAATTATAAAAGACAAAATTTATTGATTCATTCTATTCTTTTATTTTCTTTTTTATTTAGTAAATGATATATGTGAATTAAGATTAGTATCAAAAACTTTTAACAAGATATGTTCAGAGTATTCATTATGGAGAACATTTATAATCAAGCTATCAACAGCCACCAAACCACCACCTAGAGTATGTCATACAGCCGTCGTTTACAATCATAATATGTATGTCTATGGTGGTCATCTTCCAGATAGTCATACATTTATTAAAGATGTTAAAAGTGATTTACATGAATTCAATTTTGGTAAGAAAAAAGATATATAAAAAAAACAATATAAAGTACTAGTTGAACTAATTTAATTAATTCATCTATCTTTTTTAGATAAAAGAAAATGGGTAAAAAAGATAACCAAAGGTACACCATTACCAGAAAAGACTGAACATAGTTCAGTAGTATACAAAGATTCAATGTATATATTTGGAGGTTATTCTGGACCACAAACCTATTTGGATGTATCCATTTACAAATTAAATCTCGATTCTCTCGAAGGCAGTATCATTGAAACCAAAGGAGATATATTACCACAAGGTAGATCTGCACATTGTTCCATCGTTTGGGAACACTATATGTATATTTTTGGTGGTTGGGATGGTACTGAAAGTAATAATTCTTTCTTTAGATTTAATTTTTGTAAGTAATTTAAAAAAAAACAAAAATATATATTATATTATATTTGTATTAACTTTTTTATTTAATTCTCCTCTTTTTTAGTGAATAGTGAATGGCAAAGAGTACCATCAAGAGGAACACCACCACCATGTATTAGAAGTCATAGTTGTGTATTGTATGATCACTTTATGTATATAATTGGAGGTTATGGACCAGAGGGTCACACTCAGTATCCCTATTGTTACGATTTGTTGAGTGACGAGTGGATATCGATGGCACACAACAAGGATGGTCCATGTTCGAGATCTAGACTACGTAGTGTAGTCTATGACAATCACATTTGGTGTCTTGGAGGTTGGGACCGATCCAACTATTACAACGATCTGTGGAAGTTTAATTTAGAGACACGTACCTGGAGCAAGATCTATTCAGACTTTGAACTCAGTGGTATCGGACAATACTCGCTCGTCACCCACAAGAACAATCTCTACATTTACGGTGGCTACAATCCAAACACTTGTTCACCACAACCAAACCTCTACACCTATATGGTTGGTCATCCACAATTACACGATAATGAGATTATGAGTCTAGAAAAGATTTATGATGATAATGATGAAATGATCATCGATGATGAAGAAAATGAAGATGAAATCGAAATTGAAATGGAAAAACAAGAAGAAGAAGAAAAACAATTACAACCTTCACAACAACCATCATCATCCACATTATTTGATATTGAAATGTCAGACAGTACTAATAATAATAATTCAAATAATAATGAAATTAAAAATAATAATATTCAAGTCGAACAACAAGAAATCATTTTACCTTCGACAAGTTAAAGGAGGAAAAAAAATAAAATAAAAAAAAAAACAATTATTTATTTTAAAAATAGATTTACCATCCAACTTGTGTAGTAGTATAGTTTCTGACCTTTAGTTTCAAAAATAGTTTTGTGGGGGTATTGACCTAGGAATTTCCTACGACCCTCCTTGTTTTCGAAACAGCGCTTTGAGGTAAACTTAAAACCGTCGTCAACTGAAACCACTCGTTTTTGAAAAACCAATTTTTCAACTGGCTCTGTCGTACTGTCCTACTGTTGGCCCCAATGCCATTGCAAGTATCTTGTTTTGGCAAAGGTTTTGGCTTCTTGAAAGGGCATCTTCAGCCATCTTGTCACAAATATCAAACTGCCGTTTATTTCAAGAAATTGAACATGTACCGAAAATCGGTCATTATCTTCTCCTCTCTCACTAAGGATCTCTTTGCACAATGCTCGTATCTATGGTACACCACAACAACAACAAAAATAAAAAAATATCCTCATTGTGGGGTGGTAGTTAAAATATCAAACTCGAAACAAAAGAATCAGGGGGTGGAAAACAGAGCAATGAAAGTCTTGTTGGTCAGAACTGATAACAAACACATTCCTCATTACAAATCTTATAAATAGATTAGAGAACAAAAGAAAAGAAGATTATTTAAATTTTTAAAATTTAAACAACAACGAAATAGTAGAGAGATAAATAGATCACACAAAACAGAGATTTAATAGATACATAGAGAGATAGATAGATAGAATGAAAAGAGGAGCAATATTCTTTTTTGCCGAAGGGATGGCATATATTGTTATATTTTTTGTTTTTGGTATACAATTACTAAAAGAGATATCTTATAGTAAAAAGATAAACAAAACAAAATACTATAAATCAATTCCTCTTGTAGTATTCTTTTTTAATCAAATAGCATTTTTTTGTATGTGTGAAAAATAACAACCCACAAAAAAATAATCCTATTATCTCTTTATTAATTTATCTCTCTACTCTATTTTTATAGTACGTATTCCTTATGGTATACTTTGTTATGTTTATGATATTGATGAACCATATGAAAATCCAACTGTATTTATGTTGTACATTGTTGCCATTCATTTTTATACTGTAAGCATAAAAGAAAAAGCAAAGTAGGAAAATATTATAAATAATAATATTAATATTTTTCTATTTCTTTCTATTTTTTAAGATATCATGGTACTTTATATTACTTTGTTGGGTAAAGTTGGTAGTAACGTTTTTCTCAAAAGATAAAAAGGTTGATTTTAGAAGAAGTAGAGTTGTGGAATATATAATTACGGTGGTCATCATTTTAACTTCGATATTCCATGTGGTCATTATAGCACTCTACTACAAATACCCCAATAATGACTATGATGTATGTTGGCGTTGGTTCTTTGGTATGATTGCTGCCATCATCTTTATCTCTTTTACCTTTTACGGATCGAATCTTATTAGACAACTGTCTGGTTCCAACAAGGATATCGATGTTGTCATTTTAAGAAAGATGTACTTTTTACTTGGACTATTGGCCTTTATGGGTCCGGTATTGGCAGTTTTAAATCCAACCTATTATTACTATGCTAGAAGCAAGGCTCCTCAAGATTGGTATAATCTAGTGTTTTACGGTATTGAAATCATCAATTCCTTTGCAGTATTGACTCTTTTAGGTCGTAATCCACTCCTTTTCAAGATTAGAGAGATGGTTGGTATATCAGAGATTTACCACGGTCTCCAAAAATCAACCATCAAGTTGGGATCCATGACACGAACCAATAGTGACCAATCGGGTGGTCACTCACTTGACAAGATGTCATCTTCTCAAGGCAACAGTTATTCCATGACTCCTTCCATCTCTTCACCTGTTGCAGACTCTACTTTGCAAACTAATAATAGTACTATAGAAACAAAGAATATTATTATTGTTGATGGTGCTGATATTGATTCATCACCTGACAATAATAATGATGAACAACCTTAAAAAAAAACCTAAAGAAAAAGAATAAGAAGAAGAAGAAGAGAAAGAAAAAAAAGAATAAGAACTATTGTGTAAATATATTAACAAACAAAACAAACAACTATTACAATTACAATTAATTTTTTTATAAATAATAATAAATTAATAAATTTCAATCAAAGAGAGAGGGTTAATGTAATCTTTACTTTATCTCCCCTATAAATTATAAATTAATCAATTTTTATCATACTTATTCTTTTACTTTGATTTTTGACCCAAGTATAAATACAAGGTATATAATATCTGTTTTGTGAAATAAAAAAAAAAATGAAATTAATTAAAAAAATTGAGTTGTGACAGTGCAAACATTCCGTCACCTTCTGTTGAACGCTCTCTCTCGTTCAATCAAACTTTTAATTTACTCATTACAAATATAATATATAGTTATAAAGTAGTTGTATTACTAGTACAAGTATTACTTTTTTTTTTTAAACAAATAGAATGGGAGTAGAAATCACTCAAACCACATCATATCAACCAGTACCAACTCAAGAGGACGATGTTTCCTCTATACCAGCCCCAATCACAATCGACCAAGAGGTTCATGTTGAAGAGGGAGTAAATGACTTGGCTCAAGCACCCAAGGAAGGCTTTGGTGAGAAATTTAAATTGTTCCGTTACAAATTATGTATTGTTATGGTTATCTTGTTACAAGTAAGAAATGAATAGAGAGAGAAAGAGAGAGAGAGAGAATAGAGGGAAGTGATTCATTGTATACTAATAATATATATATAATATCTTTTTTTTATTACTTTTATTTTCTTTTTTTTTAGGCATTACCATTAACCAATTCATTATATGGTCCATTGTTTATTGCACCAATCTTTGGCGCTATTGTATTATTCACACGTAGCACTCTTCTCAGTTCAATTCATTTCATCACAGCACTCGTTTATTATGCCTTTTATGGTTACACTTTCATCATTACCATCTATTTGGCCGTTGCAAACTCTAGTTATGCAGTTACTACTGTAACTTGTGGAATTTTCTTTGTTGTCTTTGTAAGTATAAAGAAGATAGAAATGAGAATAGAATGAATCAATCAATCATTTATTAATTAATTAATTTATTACTTTTTTAAAGTCACTTTTAATTAAAGCCTATGTTAGATATTTGATTTTCATTCATAAATTAAACAAGACAAAGTCATGTCAATCATCATCACATGAAGCCAATGTTATCATTGTAAATCATGAAGAAATCAATAATGCCCAACAACACCCATCATCAAGCTTTGTTGTTCCAGACCACGTATACCCAGGACACCAATTCCAACAACAAAACTATGTCCCACCTCCACAACACCCAGTCTTCCACTACTATGGAGGATATCCACAAAACTTCCCACCACAACCAAATCAACAAGCTGGACAAGTTCAACAACAACATCCATCCATTCCAGCTGGTTATTATTTGGTTCCAATCCCACAAAATCATATTCAACAACAACAACAACAACAACAAAACTAAACTAGACCCAAGTTTTGTTTATGTTGAAATGAAAACAGACCATTTTTTGTATTTTTGTATCATTTACCCTTCATCCATCCATCCATCCATGTTTATTCTTCTTTCTCTAAATTTCTCTCTTTTTTTTGACAATAACAACAACCCCTTTACACATATTTTTTTTGTCCAATAACAATTAATTTGCAATAAAATCAATCCCCACTTTTAATTCAACGGAAAAACAGATTCAATTAAAAACTAATATTAATGATAATAATAATAATTTATGGTTGGTTGATTGATCATTCCCCCTTTTTTTTTTTTCCATCGATGTGTTAGCTAAAAGGGGGTGGTGAATCTATACAAGAATGGTATTTTTAATCACACCCATCACCCACGCGCCAACTTGACCTAGTGTGTGTTGGTTTGGTTCATTGATCATTCTTGAAAATTATTGATCCCATCCCTGTCCTACCCCTATCTCTTTATTGTCAACAAATTCATCCCTCCAAAATATTTAAAATAATATTATTGGTATTATTACTTCTCCTCTCTCTGCTGATGCTTGGTTGATTTTCAAATTAATTGACGACGATCCATCATCATCATCATCATTAAATATAAATTAATATTTCCTTTAATTTCAAAATATATCTATCTTTTTTTTTTTTTTATGTTTTAATAATAATAATAATAATAATCAAAAGAGTTCTCTCAATTCCAATCACACCGTTTTTACTTAATACAAAAAGTTACACCATAGTTTTAGTACTTTTCTACTTTAATAACAACAGTAAAATAGTTTGAATCCAAATTATTTGAAACAATTTTTCTTGCCGTTTTTTTTTGCAATTTTTTAAACAGTTCCTCCACACATCTATCATTGCGTAAAATCAGTGTTCTATTACTCATTCCCCACAAAACATTGTCGTTTAATTTATTTATTTTTATTTATTTGTAATATCAACAACATATATACTTACTTTTCGAAAAATGCAAGGAGAAGATTTAGAATCACGTGAAGAGCAAAGATTAAGCAGAGCTTTGCAAGGAAAGGTTGGGGCCAACAAGAGAGCTTCGATTTGGGCACCAGTCCAAACCAAGCCCACCACTCAGGTGCCCGTCAACTTTACCGGCACACAAAGCTTGACCGCGGTCGACACGGCCAGCCCATACGCCAACACAAGTGCATTGGCCGACGAAAAGATGCGACAGGAACAGGCCCGTCTCAAGAAATGGGGTCTCGACACAAATGGACAAACACAAGAAACCTCAGAGACATCCTCGACCGCGTCCACTCCAGGTCTCCAATCATCACAATCTTTTGAACAACAATTTGACGACAAGGCCGTACTCGAGGAACGTCGTCTCACCAAAATGGGTCTAAGTTCCACAAACTTATTGGATGATTATGTTGTCCCTGCCAGCAAGAGCACAACAACTGCCGCCTCCTCAAATGTTGACGAATCATCAGTTGACAATTCATCGATTCTTTCACATGTAGATGGTACACCATCCGAAGAAAAGATGCGTCAAGAACAAAAACGTTTGGAACGTTGGGGTCTTACTATTGGAGGTGTGTCCCCTCCATCGGCATCTGCCACCAGTACCCCAGTTGTCAGCTCTCAACCATCTAGCCATATCCAACAACCACCCACTCCAACTTCGTCGGCCACCCCATCCTCCCCCTTTGCAGTTGGACAAGCTCAAACTGTCGCCTCGCAATACAACTTATCGGTCGACTCTGTCAAACCATTCCTCGACAAGATCATATATGCTGCCAAGTCTGTCAAATTAATTCTCCACAAAAAATCATCCAACCACGAAGTCACTATTGCCATCCTCATGGATCTCGTCCAACAATCGGCCTCTTTTGCCGTCAACCTCTCTGCCGATCTCCCCATCTCTTTTGACATCTCTCAATCGGCCGGTAAACTTGCCGGTGCCGTCAACGAACTCGTCAAAGGTGCTCCAGATCGTGAACCAGTCCAAACTATTAAAATCTATGAAGAAATTCAATCTCTTCTTGGTTTATTATATTTGGGTGTTGTTGCTCATTAAAAATGGAAATCAAATCAAAATTAAAAAATTCATTCCTCCGTCATCAAATCATCAAATCATCAATCATTATTATTATTTATTAAATAAACTTTGTACAAAAATAAATTTAAACTATACTCTCAAACTAAACAAACTAAAATAATACAAAGCTACTACTTTAACCTTCATTTCTTTTTCTCAAAATCACCTGACTTGACACTTTTTGACACAGACAGACCGAGAGAGAAAACTGTCGTTTTTTAGTTTATAAATACATTAATACTCATACTACTACGACGTTTGTTTGAAAGAGAGAAAGATAGGAGAGATAGATAGGAGAGAGATAGAGATGGAGGAAATAGAAATAAAAAGAAAATATGAAGGAGTTGTAATGGATTATTATAACAAGACAATTATGGCACCAATGGTTAGAGTATCGACTCTACCAATGAGATTACTTGCATTACGTCAAGGTTGTGATATTGCCTATAGTGAAGAATTGATCGATGTAAAGTTATCTTCAACAAAACGAGTTGTAAATGGTAAAAAAGAAAGAAAAGGATAGATAGAAAGATAGATGGATAGATTGAATGATATACTAATCTTATCTTTGTCTTTTTGTAGAAAAATTAAATACAATTGATTATATTAGTAAAGATAGAGCAGTTGTTTATAGAACATGTGAACAAGATAGAAATAATGTTTTACAATTAGGTACTGCTTCATCTGTATCTGCTTTAAAAGCTGCTCAACATGTGTATGTAAAATGATTGATTGATTATCATGTGATTAATTACTAATTAAATATCTTTTTATTTTATGGTTTTTAGAGTAAATGATATATGTGCAATTGATATAAATATGGGATGTCCTAAATTCTTTTCAGTTCAAGGTGGAATGGGATCAGCATTATTATCAAAACCAGAGACGATCAAGGATATATTGACAACGTTGATTCGAAATTTACCGGTTCCAGTCACTTGTAAAATTAGATTATTAAAGACTGATCAAGAGACTATAGATTTGTTAAAGATCATCGAGTCGACTGGTGTCAGTGCGATTGGTGTTCACATGAGAGAGATTCCTGAACGACCAAAGGATCCTGCTCATTGGGATCGTTTGGCTACTATTCTTGCCAATTCATCCTACTCTGTACCAATTATTGCCAATGGCGACATCTATACTCACCAAGACATTGATAATGTTTTAAATCAAACAAAGGCAAATTCTGTCATGATTGCTAGAGGTGCCATTAGAAATGTTTCAGTCTTTTCAAAAGATAAATCTTTAAAATCTTTTCATCAAATTATTCAAGATTATATTCAAATTGTAAAGAATAGAAGAAAATAGAAAATAGAAAATAGAAAATAGAAAGAGAAAGAGAAAAGAAATATAGATATACTAACTTTTTATTTATTTTCTCTCTTTTCTAGGCATATGAAAAAGATAATTTATTTCCAAATACAAAATATGTTGTTAATCAAATATTAAATGAAAATGATGAAACCAAGACAGAAAAAGCAAGACAAACATCTGTTGTAAAGTCAATGAAAGATTTATGTACTATTTGGGAGATGACAAATCAATATGAACAATTTTTAAATCCTCCTACTATACCTATATTAATGGAAAATCAAGAAGAAAATGATCAAACAAAATCAGAAGAATCTTCATCAACAACAACAAAAAAACATACAATTGATGAAACGATTCAAGAAAATATTAAAACAAAGGAACCATCTATAAAAAGATTTAAATCAAAAGAAGAAGATCAAGAACCTCCTCTTCCATCCATCTCGTAGATTTTAGAATAAACCAACATGTTTAAAGAATAAGAATTTATTATATCAAAGAACAACTCTTCAAAGTTCATTTATTATTTTTGTAATCAAAAAAGAACTGGAATGCAACAATCAACAGTGACAGTTCAACAACTCTTGTCAAATATCAACTTGTTGTTGGTGGATTTCGAATGGCAGCTTGTGTGTTTCCTGTAATACTAATTAAAGAGAATAGACAAGATACAACACCGCACGCCATCACAAAAAATGGAGAAATCTCATAGAAGATCCGAAGCTTCAAAAGATCATGATTTTTATTTATTTTTGCGATTGATTGGTTGGCGGGGACCCTCCCTTTTGTTGGTTGTTGACTAATTCGATAACATTCTCAATCGATCAAACAAATACACCAACAATCGTGTGTACAAAGAGAGAGAGAAATAGAATATGAAAGTAGTAGTTCAGATTATACTCATTGCGTTCATCTTTTGCATTCAAAGTCTAAATGCTCAGATATTATCTCCAGCAGCGCGTAAGAAAGAAAGAAAGAAAGAAGTGATAAACCCATTTTGAAAATTTAACTCCAACTCACACATAGTTTATTTCTATTCTATTTCATTGTCTATTCTAGTTGATTCAGCGATATGGATCATTCGTCAATACGGTAGCACCATAGGACAAAATGCAGCGAGTATATGTGCATCTCCAGCATTCATATGTTCAAGTGGTCAATTGATTAATGTGTGAGTAGTAGTAGTAGAATAATATTAATAATCAAATCATATGATCAAACTATGAACTAACTATCAGTGATGTTATCATATCTATATCTATCTATATGTAGTAAGATAAGTAAAGAAACCACTACTTTTACTTCAACTGGATTAGTTCCAGATTCATCATTGACTAGTCTAACGCTGCCAGAGTGTACTCAATTCGATATCCTCCCGATCAGTCTTTACAGAGGTGACCCTAATCAATCGATATTGACCAGATTAACCAATGTCCCAAAGGTTGCATCTCTAAAGTATGTTGGATGATATATTAAAAAAACATATCAATCAATCAAACTAACTTTAGAACTACCCTACCCTTAACCTTACCCTTAGCATGGAAGATGATGTAATTTCAAATATTCCAATTGGGTTCCTCAAACCCTTTACTCAATTGATGAGCATGGTATTAAGCTTTGGTAATGTTACATCGATACAAGAAGCTTCATTTGAAGTGACCTCTACAACACCACAAAATGCTTATTTGACCTTTATTGCTTTGAAAAGCTACCCATGGTTCAGCAATAGCTCTGCATCGTTGGTATGGAGAACATTGAACCTGTTGAGTATGAACATTAATTCAAGTGCAGCTGACGCACCCATTTCTCTCACCTTCTCTCCAACTGTTTTCCCAAAATTGCAATTGCTGCAACTTACCAACCTAGAAGCCCCGACTATCACAGTTACTGCAAGTTTCCTAAATATGTATGTTTGACTTTGTGTGACTGCTATCTGCAGCTTCTGATTATTTCTAACGACTCTAATATTTATTTAAACAACATAGACTTCTTTTAGCAAAGTATACCAATGGCTTTGCATTGACTGTTCCAAATCCTGGTAAAGTAGCTTTTTTGTAAGTAATAGTTTGTAGTCTCTATATGTTTTTTTTGATTATTTATCAAACAACTAATTAAACTATTATATTATTATATAGGAGAATGGATGGTAAAACAACAGTCTCACCTCCATTGGAGCAATTTGTAAATTTAACAGGTTTGACCGCTGCTTTTTTCGATTCCAATATCTACCCTTTTACAACATTCCCTCCAAAATTGGCAAAATTGTATGTTACCTTTTATGTAGATGTAATCTAGCCTAGTTTAAAAATGCTAACAATATTATTATTATTATTTGGTTGATTCATTTAGTTCCAAACTAAACTCGGTTATGACTACACTTCCAACATCACCACCTCCACCTGCATCATTTAAAGAGTGGATATATCAATCGATAATAGGACCTGTAGTAATTCCATGGGAGGCATTGACACCTGATAATACATCAAGATTACTTGATATTAGTAATAATCCATCACTTGGTGGATCAGTTCCAGATAGTTTCTGTATCAACAGGATCAACATTATCAATACTAATATCGGTAGTATTCCAAGTATGTTGTGTACAATTTTGAAAAATAACTATTTATTTATTTATTTAATTATTTATTTATATTAGATTGTTATTGGTGTTATTATAATGATGTATCTGTTATTAGAACAGATTTACCATTGCCCGCTGGATTTACATGTCAACCAACAATCGATCAAACTACAGTTTACACAAAGGGGTTCAAAACTAATATAACTGGTAATTTACTCGGTTATGGTATTAATCAAACAAGTTATACTCTAACTCCTGTAGTTCCACATAAAATTTTAACGTAACTATTTATTATTTATTAAAATGATTTATTTTATTAATTAATATTCTATATCTATCTATCTCTATCTATATTTAGATTATTTTATCCAACAAATGGTCAAGAACAAATATTATCATTTAAATTAAATGAGAATCAAGGTTATACTGTAACCCTTAGCGTTCTAGAAGTTGGAATTATTTTAACATCGGTCACTGCTGACCAACAACCAAACCAAAAGGTATTGTTCACTTGGTCATTTTTATTCTACAATAATAATCTTCAACACCAATTCATTGCATCTGGACGTAATTGTGCAATAGTCAGAACCCAATACAACTCTGTCACTGGAAGCTCATCAGTCACTTGTGAATTGGATATCAATCAGTTAAATACTGCAACTTATACTTTTATGGTATCAAATGCTCATAATCAAGAAACATTCATTGTTCCTTTTAAATGTATGTTATAGTAGTAGTAGTAGTTTATAAAAAATGGACTAACACAGCTATGTTACAATATTACAGATTATCCTAGATTGTTTTCAGGACAAGTTGATTCAAACAATCAAAGTTTGATTTACTTGTTTGGTGATTTTAGACAAAATCATTCTTTGGTAAATATTACAATCAACAGTAAAATACAATGTAGTGTTGTATCATCGACTGTGGATTCAATCAATTGTACATTATCAGAGAGTGCTGGTTATGGTCTTGCTAGTGTCAGTATAGGAGTTGATGGGTATCCATTTGAAGCAAAAGACTTTTTATATTTTACAGCTCCAAATAATAATAATAATGGTTCAACAACTACCACAACAACAGGTGGAGGCTCAACAACACCTCAATCACAATGCCAATCATCGACATCAAATTGTTATGGACATGGATCATGTGATGTAAAGGGTCATTGTCAATGTGACAGTGGTTATAATCCACTTGATAATTGTTTGACTAAGTGTATGTAGAAAAAAAATATTTATTAAAAATTAAAAACAACAAACTAATTATTATTTTTATTTAATCCAATAATAGTTACCAACACAACACCTACTACCAATTCAACAGCACCAACATCATCATTTGAAATTGATGGAACTAAATTTGATTTTGAATTGGTTGCTATTCAAGAAATTGATAATGATGGTAATGTAGTTGCAGAGTTGATGACAAACAGTTGGAATGCAACAATCAACAGTGACAGCTCAACAACTCTAGTAAACTATCAACTTGTCAATATTAGTAATGTATTGTACATTGACACTATAGTTGAAGCAATGATATCATTCTCATCACAAGCAAGAGATATCCAATTTGGAGATCAACTGCTCCACATCAACCCAAACTCAATCAAATTAGCATTGAATATCACCAATTGGCAATACAGCAATCTAATATCAACACTTCGAGTTGTATTTAGAACCGATGTCAATATGAATCAAACGATTGAATATGACTGCAAACAACAATCGATATCGACATTTTCATATGATCAACTATCATCAACCATTCAATATCTTAGAGTAATCAAAGATAACGTCCAATACAATGGTCGATTCATTGATTATGTATTATCAGATGGTAGACCAACATTCTCTAAAACAACATTAATCAATCAAACAACCAGTCAACAGTCATCAACAACAATGTCAACATTGATTGGAGTATCACTACCTCAATGTCAATCATGTCTTCTTGACCCTGATTTCACACCACTTTTCATCGACAACTCTCAAAGTGAATGTGATTCAACCAACAGTAAAACATGGAAGATTATTGTTGGTGTTGTTGTTGGTGGAAGTGTCTTGCTAGCAGCCATAGTTGGATGTGCTATCTATCTCAAAAATTCAAATTTCAAATACTCTAAACCTATCATATTTATGAAAGCACTTAAAAACAAGGTGTGAACAGTAGACATACAAATAACCTGACTACTTGTACAATAAAAATTAATCACTCCTTTTTTTTTTTTAAATACATTAGCAAATTCCAATCCTTCTAATGTTGTTGTATACCTTCATTCTTATTTATTGTTATTTGTTACTACTAACTAGTAGATCGATAGTCCATCCTTTGGTAATATTTAAAAAAAGGAAAAAAAACCTGGGCGGCACCAACAAAATTTTTAGTGATTCTGTTCTATGATAGTTTGTATTCACGCGTGATATGATACAGATATCTAGATCTTTGTTGTGTTGCGGTGTGACAATGAAGAAGCGAGCGACCATGGTCATGTTCATTGCATTCGGTCGAAATGGAGAAGGATGGATGGACAATTTCTTTTCTAATCATCAACAATGAAAGATAGAATCAAACAGATAACAACAACATTTGTTATTCTATTTTATTTATTATTTATCAGTCAGAGTACAACAATCACCACAGCCCAGGGTATCCCTGCCTCTGAATGTAAGTTTTTTTGTTCAACTGGGCAATAAATATAATATGATTATAGTTTCTAACAATGATTATTTGTGATGGTCTTTCTTTTAATATTTATTCTTTAGTAAACTCTGCAATATGGATCATTCGACAATACGGTAGCACCATTGTACAAGAAGAAGCGATCATATGTGCATCTCCAGCATTCATATGTTCAGGTGGTCATATCGTTAATGTGTGAGTATTTATTCTTTGTACAAAATTTGATTGAATCATTATTATTATTATTATTATACATATTTTGAGTTTGTTTGTTTGATATTAAAACTACTATCTATCTTTGTTCACTATATAGTTTAGTGAATGCCGCAACCACTACATATTCTGCATCTGGAGGGACGGGAATGCCTGACCCACTCTTGACGGTCATTGATTTACCGCAATGCACTAGATTCGACGTTCAACAAACCATCCCTTATATCGCTGATCGTAAGCAATCCCTTCTCGATAAATTAACTGGCCTTCCAAACCTTGCTACTTCATCGTACGTTATTATAATAATTTTATAGACTCTTATATTTTAATTTTTGTTAACAGTTGGTTGACCACTCCTATCATTTCCCATTTCACATATCCAGAATATATGAACAATCAATTCCAAATATTCCAGTTGGTTACCTTAGATACTTTCCTAAAATGACATCTATGACTTTGATCCTTCCAAACGTGACTGCATTCCACGAGAGTTCATTTGAAATAACAAGTCCTTCAATCGCTTCAATGACTCTCCAACTTTCCAATTTAAAAAATTTTCCATCGTTTACCAACAGTTCTACATCGTTGGTTTGGAGTTCATTAAAGACCTTTGTGTGGGGCATTAACCCTTCATTTGCCGTTGCCCCCATTTCATTGGATATGCCACCAACCGTTTTCGCACAATTGCAAACCCTTCAAATTGATATGATCACCGCCGGATTAGTTACCATCGCTGTCAGTTGTAAAACAATGTATGTCATTGATTGAATACATTATTATTATTATTATTATTAATATTTTGGTTTATTTATTAATTCATCCATCATCATATAGGAATTTTAATGGACTTGCAACTAATCGATATAATCTTACTGTTCAAAGACCAGAGGTTGTTGAAACACTGTATGTATTCTTTTTAAAAGTAAATTAAATTACTAATTAATTAATCTACAACCTATCTACTCTTCATTCTATAGAATATTGAGTGGTATTTCTACAGTTTCACCTCCGTTACACCTTTTTACAAATTTATTGACTCTGACCACCAATTATCCAAATACCATCACTTACCCTTTTTCAATATTTCCTCCAAAATTACAAAAAATGTTTGTATACATCATTTAGTTTGTTCTAATATTAATATCAAATCACTAACCATAAATTACTAGTACCAAATTCGATGACTTTATGACGACACTTCCAACTACTCCATTACCAACCTCTAATTTTAAATGGTGGCAATATCGTTCCTTGACAGAACTGACTATCATTCCATGGGAGGGATTGGCACCAGACAATACAACAAGATTACTCGATATAAACTACAACAATAAGGTTGCTGGTTCAGTTCCAGATAGTTTTTGTGTCAACAAACTCTGGATAACATCAACTAATATATCTAGTGTTCCAAGTAAGCAAGACAAGTTTAGTTTATTAATGACTATAATTATAACATTTGTTTAAACAAATATTTAATTCAATTTTTTTTTATTAGATTGTTTCTGGTGTTATAGGCAAGATACAACTATATTCCAAACAAGTTTGTCACTGCCTACTGGATTTACATGTACACCTACTATTGACCAAACAATCGTTTATACAAAGAAATATAGGGGAATTTTAACAGGTAACCTTCTAGGCTGGGGGAATGGTATCGATAGTCCTGCTCTTATTCCTATCATTCCACACAAAATGTTTGAGTAACTATTAATAGTAGATTCATAGTATTTTTTGAAAATATTATTAATATTAATTCATTTATTTAATTATTTTATTTAGATTGTATTATCCTACAAATGGGTTTATAACCAATACAACTATTCAATTGAACTCCAAGGCTCCTTATTTGGTCAATGTCAATGTTTTAGAGGTTGGAATTACAGTGTCGACTGCCAATGTCACTCAACTATTAAATCAAAAGGTTCAATTTATTTGGTTGTTTTATTATTACAATAGCCAGCTTGTTCACCAATTCCAATCGGTATCTGGGTTGTTGAATAGTACTTGTGTTATTGTTGCTTCACAATACACCCCCATTGAATTGATTCAAGCAACTATTACTTGTCAAATGGATTTCAATCCATCTATACATTCTGGTTCATCTTTTGGATTTGAAATATCAAATGATCACAACAAAGAATTTTACTCTATTCCTTTTACATGTATGTTAACTTTAATTCTATACCGATTTACAAAATTGTAATTATTAATTCCCTTTATGAATTCTAAGACTATCCAAGATTATTATCAGGACAAGTTGATTCGAATAATCAAAGCTTGATTTATTTATTTGGTGATTTCAGACAAAACCATTCTTTGGCAAATATTACAATCAACGATAAAATACAATGTAGTGTTTTATCATCGACCGTGGATTCAATTAATTGTACATTATCAGAGAATGCTAATTATGGTCCTGCAAGTGTTAGAATCTTGGTAGATGGGTATCCATTTGAAGCAAAAGACTTTTTATATTTTAAAAATAATAACAATAATGGTTCAACAACTACTGGTTCAACAACTACAACTACTGGAACAACAACAAGTGGAGGTGGACCAACACCTCAATCACAATGTCAAGTATCGACATCAAATTGTTATGGACATGGATCATGTGATGTAAACGGCCATTGTCAATGTGACAGTGGTTATAATCCACTTGATAATTGTTTGACTAAATGTATGTTTGAAAAATATTAGAGAATAATTATAAAGTTTGTGATTCTTTGCTAATTTATTTTTATTTTTGTCTAATAGTTACCAATTCAACACCTACTACCAATTCAACAGCACCAACATCATCATTTGAAATTGATGGAACTAAATTTGATTTTGAATTGGTTGCTATTCAGGAATTGGATACTGATGGTATGGTCATTGCAGAGTTGATGACAAACAGTTGGAATACAACAATCAACAGTGACAGCTCAACAACTCTAGTAAACTATCAACTTGTCAATATTAGTAATGTATTGTACATTGATACGATAGTTGAAGCAATGATATCATTCTCATCACAAGCAAGAGATATCCAATTTGGAGATCAACTGCTCCACATCAACCCAAACTCAATCAAATTATCATTGAATATCACCAACTGGCAATACAGCAATCTAATATCAACACTTCGAGTTGTATTTAGGACTGATGTCAATATGAATCAAACGATTGAATATGACTGCAAACAACAATCGATATCAACATTTTCATATGATCAACTATCATCAACCATTCAATATCTTAGAGTAATCAAAGATAACGTCCAATACAATGGTCGATTCATTGATTATGTATTATCAGATGGCAGACCAACATTCTCTAAAACAACATTAATCAACCAAACAACCAGTCAACAGTCATCAACAACAATGTCAACATTGATTGGAGTATCACTACCTCAATGTCAATCATGTCTTCTTGACCCTGATTTCACACCACTTTTAATCGATAAATCCGAAAGTGATTGTGGTTCCAGCAGCAGTAATAGTACAACATGGAAGATTATTGTTGGTGTTGTTGTTGGTGGATTCGCAGCCATTGCCATTGCTCTTGGTACTGTAATGCTCATTAAAAAGAATAGAATCATCTCTCGTCAAAACAAAAAAATGCAAAACAAATTAAAGAATATGGATATGTAACAGAAAGAAATAAAAGGGACAAGATACAAACAAGAATAAAATTATTTATTCTTTTGTTTTTAAAAAAAATTAACCTTTTTTTATAAAATGGTAAATTTATTTGAAGTAGCAGTTACAGATTCACCATGAACAATACGTCTAATAGCTTCAGCAAACATTGGAGCAACATTGATTACTTTAATCTTTGGACATTGTTTTACTTTATCATTGGTTGGAATGGAATTGGTAATGACCAACTCTTTCAACTCTGATTGATTTAAAGTTTCAATGGCTGATCCACTCAATTCTCCATGTGATACCAATGCATAAACTTCCAAAGCTCCTCTTTTCTTTAAAACTTTTGCTCCCAATGCCAATGTTTCTAAAAAAAAAAAAAGGAAAATAATAATAAGTAAAAGACTCTTTCTTACTTTCTTTTTTGTTTTTTTACATACCACAAGTATCAGCAATACTACCAATGATAATAGCAACTTTGTTTGAAACATCACCAACAAGAACCATATCATCAAGAGATTCTTTAGATTGTCTATCTAAAATGGCTAGATCACAATTTAATTTATCTGAAACCAATTTGGCTCTCTTTACCCCATCGACTGCTGGACTGACTACGACACGTTCACCTTTTATATGTTTTTCAATATACTTTACAATCAATGGTTCAGCATATAAATTATCAACTGGGATTGAAAAGAAACCTGATATTTGTGGTGCCTCTAAATCCATTGATATTACACGTTGTACTCCACATTTTTCTAAAAAGTTTGCTAAACCAAAATAAAACAAAACAATAATTAATTAAAATGTATATATATATTATTTGTTATTTATAATTTTACCAATTAATTTACTAACGATTGGTTGACGACCAGCCTCTTTTTTACATTGTTTACCATATGACCAAAATGGAATGACGGCTGTAATATGTTTTGCTGAAGCACGTCTAACAGCATCGACAATCACCAACAACTCCATTATATTGTCATTTATATTATTACAAGTTGGTTGAACAATATATACATCTTTTGATCTTATAGATTCATCAACTATTACTCTTGTCTCTCCATTTGAAAATTTACCTAAAACAAAAAAGAAAGAGATAGAGAATTAATCTCGAGCTATCATTATTGTTATGTACATAACAACAATCACATACCACAATCACATTTTCCTAATTCTATATTCAACTGTTTACATAATTGTTCTGCAAATTCTTTATGAGCTGTACCACTCAATACTTTAACTTGATCTATCATTATTATTATGTATTTAAAAAAAAAAAAGAAAACGAGAAATAAAAAGAAGAAGAAAGAGATTGATTGTATGTATGTATTTAGTTTATATATATATTTATGTACAAAAAGGAGAAAGAAAAAGAATAATGTTAATTAGTTTTAGTAGCACCAGGGGTGGTTATGCAAAATGGTAAAACGAATGAAAATGGTGGTGAAAATTTTGTTGTTCACCTCATGATCATGCAAAGACATTATTCAATTTCCCGTTGATCGGGTCGGGTATTTGGTCTCTATTTGATATTTTTAGTAACTACTTTTTTATTATTTTATTTATCTATCTATTTATTTACTATAATCAATTCTTTCTACTATTTAGAATAAAATACTAATAACAATAAAGATGATAGCAAAAGTTGGTAAGATGATTGATGAGGCAGCAGAATCAACTGGGAAAGTGATGGAAGCGCATTGTGGGGTAGTTTCAAAGTTGATGTTGGCAGGGGTAGCGAAATAGTCGGTTGGTTGCTTGGTGTTTGGTACGTAACCAATGACACATTGACCGATTCTATCACCAAAAGAGTTGGCAGTACCATTATCACGGAGGGCGTGGACAACGACAGAGTGACCTACAAACGAGGATGGGGCAGCAGTGCTGGTTGAGTTGATTTCACCAAAGTTACCAAAATAGTTGGTAGTCCAGTTGTAATAGGCGTTGCCAGAGGCGTCGTAGGCACAAATGTTACCCAAATCACCCAATTCACGAGAGGCGTCGTTGGGGAGGTTGTGAGTTTGGGTGGTGAGCTTCCAGTGACCACCGGTTTGAGAGGCAACGGTTGGGTTAATATCACCATAGGTGTGGATATGGAGACCGTGAGCAATGGTGGCGTTGAGACCTTCAATCTTGGAGGTGATACGGATAGAACCATCGGTTTGTTGTTGGAAAAAGACGGATCCGCTGACATTGTTGGTACCAATGGCAGAGAGTTGGCAAACACCAGTCAATCCAGTCAAGAGTGAGTTGGCAACATTGGTGACGAGTGATGCGTTGTAACCGGCAGTCGATGGGTTACCGATACCCAAAACACATTGTGATACAATAGCTCCAGATGAACCCTCAGTGCAAGTATCTTCGGCATTATGGATGGCAAAGCTATGACCAATAAGAGAGTTGTTACCAGTCAAAACAAATTGACCACCAGCAATGGTAGTTGAATAGTTTCCAGATGCATCAGTGGCATCAATATTACCAAGGGCACCATCAAAAATTGATGCTGTTGGTGGACATCCATAAGACTTTCCTGTTCCAGTTGAAAAAATACCTCCTGTTGATGTTGCACTTGAAATGTCTGCAAACTAAAAATGAATAAATTTGATTAAATTTGATAAATTAATTTCTTCTTATTTGATTTTTCTTCTTTTTTCTTTTCTTTTTGATTATTTACTTGTTGAACTGAAATACCATGCTTTCCAGTAAGTCCAGTAGCATTTACAACTACAATAAAAGTTCCCTTTATTTTGAGAAGAAAAAAAAAAAAAAAAATTAAAATTAAAAAAAAAAAGAGTTAGCATTTTTGATGATGTTCACACAATCAAAGATTGTCTATCTATTTATCTATATATCTTTTTTTTTAGAGTATTTGTTGTTATTTTTACCTCTGTTTCAGTTGAAATAATGCGAACATAACCAGAGACGGTTGAACCGGCGAGTGGTTTCAAAGCACATGAAGCAAGTTGAATGGTAGTTTGAGCTGATACAAAGCCTAACAAGGCAATCAATAAAAGAATTGAATTGATAATCTTCATTTTTAATTTATATATATATATGTAATATAAATGTGTATATATGTCTTGTTTGAACAATGAATCAAACAAGAGTGATATCGAGGGTATGTGGTTTGTTGGGAGGGAGATGGCCTTTTGAAAATAAAAAAATAAAAATAAAAAATTAATCATGATGCAAACTATTGGGGGGGGGTACCAAAATTCACATAACCCAACGGTTGCCCATTTGTGATTGGGGGTTGTACCGATAAAAGATATGTGGTGGTTTCACAAAGTAAAGAAGTTCTACTTTTAGGTCTGACGTTTAAAAAAATTTTTTTTATAACCAACTAAAAAACAAAAACCCATCAAACAATGAAATGAGAAGTTCACATCATAATAATTTGTTATACTAGTATCTAGATATCATGACAAGTAAAATCGAACAACTAAGAACAGAAGGAAACAAGGTAAAGAAGATCTTCTTTAATATTCTCTCTCTTTATAGTTTTTTGTTTTAACACATAACTACTTTCTTTTACTTTACTACTACTTAGAGATATAGTTTAAAAAAATTTAATGAAGCAATTGAAATATATAAAGAAGCAATTGAATTGGTAAAGGATGATGCAACCTTTCCATCAAACATGTCTGCATGTTGTTTTGAATTGGGTCAATATGATAGATCAATGGAACTGTCAAAACAAGTGATAGAAATGATTAGACTAGGAGGAGGAGATGATCCAAAACAATTGAGGAAAAAGAATCTTGCTCGTATTGCAAGAATCGTTCATTTACAAGGTTCAAAAGAAGATTTACCGATTGACGAGTCAATTTACAGAGGAAGATTTAAAAGATAAATCATTTGATTTTGAAAAGATTAAAAATCAACTAGTAGAAAATAATAATATTAAAGAGGAAGATTGGAAAAATAGAAAAGACCAAGTCATTGATGTTTTGAAATTACCAACTATATTGCCATCACGAGTATCAAATGTATTTGAATATTATGTTGTTGGACATGATTTTGCAAAGAGTGCAATCTATCCAAACAAGGATGGAGAAGAAGAGGAACCGGTAGATGAAACATTGATGATTGGTAGAATCAAAGAAATTGAAGAGGATCGTATCTTTTTGGACAAGCATCCTCAACTATCTTACTTTTATGGTGGTGTTGGAGATTGTCGTCATCCCATTTTTACATTGGCCGATTTAAATAGACAACTTGGTGGTAATGGTATACCTCCTCCTAATTGCAAGATACATTTTACATTGAATGATATTGTATCATCGGCACTTGCTAGAGCAACTATTGTCTATTTATTATTGGAAGAGGTTGGAAGATTTGATACGATTGAACAATTGTATAGTAACCCAACTGCTGCCAATGCAGCTGCTCTACTTTATTATGTGTATATTGGTACTGCCATCCCAACACCATTACACAGTATGTTGGTACAAAGATTAAAACAACTCGTTAAACTTGGTGATAGTGGTCAATTGCCAGAATGGTTATCGATTGACAAGAAAATATCATGGCCAAAGATTAGAGATGCTTTGGTTTATTGGTGTCAAGAAATGCCAGCTTCACTAGCCAACATTATTCCAATATCTAATCGTGACGCCTCAATGGATGATATTGATACTGGTAATGAAACTGTAACCAATTTACCACATGGTTTGACATCTCTATCATTACCAAAGAAAAATCTGCAACTAGAAGAACAAGTTAAAAAGGCATTGATGGATCCAGCCATGTTGGAACAGTTTGGTATCACCAATGAACAACAGAAAAATGAAATGTTGGATATGTTGATGAATAGTGGTCTTATTGGTGATGCATCTGCTGCTGCTGAAAGTCAAAGAACACTTTTACAACTAGTTCACGAGACTCAATGGTTTTTCGTCCTTGGGAATTTACCATTTCCACGCGTTGCAGCCGATTATGGTAATGAATTGTCACTTGAAATGGCTATAAAGTGTCAAGATATTTTACACACAATTGCTAAAAGGACTAAAGAGGACAGTGAACTTGTTCAAAAGTTTAATGTCACTATTCGAGACGAGGAAAATCCACATTTCAAGATTAATCCAACCTTTTTCGATGTTGAATTTGGTAAAACGGGTGCAGAAACTTCTAGTTTGGAATTTAAAGCATTGGATGTTGTAGCAAGTTTTTATCGTTATCAATGGATTGGTTTACCATCAACGACAACAACAACAAACAAAAATACCCTTTCATCATTTGATTATTTTATTCATGTATTTTATCAAGCTGCTCGTGGTTTTAATCTTTTGGCTTGCAACAATTCTTTGATGATTGAAATGTGTGGAGGAGATTATCAATCAGTTCTAGACAATGTACGTGACAATAAGGAAAAGAGAAAAGAATCTGGTATGGCTGTTGAATATGATGGTATCTATCTTAGTAATGTACCAGATTATACTGGTTATTTGGGTATATTTTCAGATGCCATTGAAATGTTAAAACCACTGGTTCAACATTCATATATTGGATTCAATATTCTTTTAAATACTGGACTGTGGAAATCATTGGATGATGTATTTTATACCTATCTTGGTATACCTAGCCTCGAAGATTTACCTCGTTATATTGGTGCGAGATCAGTTGGTAGTAATAGTGTTTGGGATGTAGTATGCGTTTCTCTGGAATGAATCTACCAATTCCTTTGGAGCAGCTTCTAACTCGTGATGAATTCATTGCTTGGTTGTCAAGATTATTTATTTTCATTGTCACTCCATCGGCAATTGATTCTAATCAACTATGTGTCATCAATTATCCAAATACATTGGCAACCTATTTCAAGTTTTTAGGTAGATTACTAAGAGTTGGGTATCCTGCACATTGGATTTCTGGTATGATTGAACTATTACTTGGTGGATCATTGTTTGCTCCAGAACCACCAAAAAACAAACGTGTCATCCCATCTGAAAAAAATCCAACCACCAAAAAAATGTCCATCACTCCTTGGTTGATTGAAATTCGTACACAAGCTGCATTATGGTTGGATAAATATCAAATTAGATTGTTGGATTATAAATTACCAAGTGTGGTCAGTGTCAAAAAATACAATTTTACTGTGGCACCTTATGATCTCCTCAACCTACCAAAATTGCATTGCGAATCTGGCTCGGTATTTACAAATGTACTCATGGTGGCCATAGAGTTTCCTCCCTATCAAGTTCACATTCCTAGAGCCATGGACAAGATAAATGATAACTTTAGACTCTCACTATTACATCCAGGCTATAACAAGATTGTCATTGTCACCTCGATTTTGTTTAATAGTACAACCAATGTTTTGTCTTTTTGGATGGCTGAATCGGATTATAATCATCTCAAAGCTCAAAATGCTACATTGTCAATATTTAGAAGTGATAATTGGAAAACTTTGACTCCAATTAATAAACTTTAAAGTTAATATTAAATAATTAAAAATAATTAAATAAAAAGAAAATAAAATAATTATTTTTAAATTTTTGGGCTGGCGTTTTTTTTTTTTTTAAGCATCTCATTTCGTGGCATCTACCTGTAGGGTGGAGCACTACTCTTTCGATTGCGAAGTTTTATTGATTGAAGTCTTTGTTTGACCAGCAATGGGAACTGAGTTTCCAAAGAAGAAACAAGTCCAATCTGTTTTTTGGGGTGCCAAATGTCTGTTCTATTTCCATCCAAGCAAAAATGGCAAGTCTTGGTGGGAGCTATTAGTTCTATCTGTTCATCAATACGACGGGAAGCTTCTTTACCTGTTGAATCGAGGGGGGGCTGAACGGTTCTGTGAGTTACGATCCATAGTTCTTTTGTCAGATTAGTGACCAGATCGTGACTGTTGGGGGGAGTGCCCAGTGTCACCATCCATATGTATGTGTGTGTCGGGTAATGGTTGGTGGTTGTGTCTACACCATGATTATCTATCTTGTATCGTTCTGTTGTTCGTATTGTTATGTTGTTGATTGATGTTTTGATGGGATGTTGATGATGTTCATTTCCAATTGTAATAGTAATGTGAATACTGTTTTCAAACTGTATTGACTTGTTGTATAGATAATTAAATTCCACCTAAATTATTATTCCTATTGTTTCGATACTGTTTTACTGTTGTATTGTGTTGATTAGAGAAGGAGATGGAGGAAGGAGCGAGATATTTTTTTTTTTTTATTTTTTGTTTTTTTTTTCTTGTTGGTGATCTTTGATATAGGCACTGCTTGTGCTCGCTCGCGCCCCTTATTTATAATAATGATAATGATATAAATAATTGAACAAGGGGGCACACTCGGGCAATTAGTTGTGGCTTTTAGTGAGTGTGAAAAGAAATAGTAATGTTGATAAAAGATAGTTGATGATTGAGTGAAGTTCTATAGTACTCTATACGTAATTCTCTGTTTCTATCTTTCTCTCTATTACAGAAAAATTCCAAACTCTTTTTGGGCTGGGGGCAGGGGTATTTTTGCGCTGCGCGGGTAATTGAGAACATCTTAAAGTCAGGATGGTGTAGTTGGTTATCACAAAACCTTAACACGGTTTGGGTCATGGGTTCGATTCCCATTCTTGATAAACCTTTTTGTTTTTTTTTGCTGCGGCTAGATCGAGTTTTATCTCGGTTTCTTCGATTTTGAACAAAACTGTACCAACAATAAACACGAGCCCATTAAATCTCTTTCTCTCTTCATCAACCTTCTCCTCCTCCTCATCCTCTTCACTCCTACTCTACCATATCTCATACAATGTATGCACAAACTTTGTAGGATGGTTGACAGGTGTCACGATTCATGGTTAACAAATCTATCTATCTTTTATGAATAGATTTTTGTCTATAGAGGGATAATAATAATAATATTATTATTATTATCCAATCATTTTTATGATCCATTTAAAATGATTGGTTAATACGATAGATACCTCATTTACCTTTTATCATGTGAATTGGAAAAATAAATAAAAGGTTTATTTATATAAACCTCCATCTCCTTTAGTTTACAACTATTTAAATATTATTTATATTCTATTTATTTATTCTATTTTAGTTGGTAACACCTAAAAGTACCAAAAGTGAAGGTGATTTGGAACCTTCTTCGATCCATTCCTTCTTGGTAATCGTTTTGCTGTGATCCTTGTCAATCTTTTCGAAAAAAAAAAAGATCTCCTAATTGATATTTAAAGTTCCTAAATTTTCATACATTAATTCCCATTATTAAAAATAAAACTGACCATTTGATTTTTTTGAGTTACCAAGATCTGAATTCATTTGAATGTATTTTAATAGATTGGTCCTACTAAAAAAAAAAGAGAGAGCCCTTTTAGTTTTAGGTGGTAAGGTATATTTTGATAAAAATGAGAATAGCCCTATTTTGTACAGGATAAATTTTTTTTCTTGGGCATGATCTTTTTTTTTTCAATTTCTCAATGTGGTTTTGATGGAAATCTATAAAAATTGTGTTGAAATATAGCCAATAGTCTCCAATATAAGAATATCATGAAAAAATACCTCTTCTTGTCGGCATCAGCAAAAAGTTAAGGCCCTTATTTTTTTTACAGTAATTGTATTTTCTCGACGATGTTTTGATGGCGTTATTTTACTGAAAATCAAGAAAATATGGATGGGAATGTAGAAAATAACGAGTGATATAAGAATATCTTGAAAAAATTCCACCTGATGGTTAAAATAGGCAAAAAAGCTCATACCGGATCTTTTTGTCCAAATGATTGTTTGTCCCAATGATGTTTTGGTGGTGCGGTTATGATGGAAATGAATAAAAAGTGGTTATAAATGTAGAGAATAACGAGTACTATAAGAATATGATAAAAAAACTCGGATCGGAGCCAGCCGCAGCAAAAAAATACAAAAGATATCCGGTTTGCCAGGATTGAACTAGCGACCAGCTGATGACTTTTTAATACTACAGTCAGCTGCTCTACCACTGAGCTAAAACCGGAATGGATGCCCCCTGCTAAAGCAAAATCCAAAAGATATTTTAAAAGTAAAAATAAATTAAATATTTATTATGATCTCGACCTTTTTGTTTTTGATATAAATCACACGTCATGTGCAAAGGTTTAAACTATTATTATTAAATTTGTCTTGAAACAAATGGAGGATGTAGTTGGACCAATGCAAGCAATTGGGAAGGAGGATATGCACCAGACCCCAATGATATTATCGACTTTTCAAACAATGAATTTGAAGGTCCACAATTAATCTCTTCAGACGTTGACTCGCCCACATTCTACCTATACCCACACACACTTGATCCGTCCATCACTCGCAGGCTCGCTTTGGGAATTTATTGAAGCATTGGATCGGATTCCGCTTCGCGTCCTCCTATGAGTGATTTAATTCTTATATTTATTACAACATTTATTCTCTCATTTATTTCTTTCCAATTATTCCTTATTATATTATATTATTCTTTCTTTCAAAAAAGTAGAGAAATAGAGTAGTAGAATAAAAATAAAATAAATAAAATAATAAATGTAATAATAAAAGTAATGTTTAATGAAAATATCTATTGTTCAATTAATCAAGGAAAACGGATAAGCATCATATCTTTGGGACTGTTGACCGATCAAATGGTGTAGCAACTTAGAAACGGATAAGCATAAGATATTTGTGTATTGTTGACGGATCTAATGTAACTAACTGATAAACGGTGTGTTTATCTTATTTGTCATGAAAAAATCAGAGAATGAAAATAATAAAAGTGGAAATGTTTAATGAAAACATCTATTGTTCAATTAATCGAGGAAAACAGATAAACATCAGATCTTTGGGGAATGTTGACGGATCAAATGTGTAATTAACTAAGAAATGGTGGAAGAGATTTTATTGATGCAAAGGAAATATATTATTGGTTGGAAGCTAAAGTAAAGAGGAGAACATATTGTGTAACAGTTTGAACTTGTTTGGAAAGTTTTGTTGCAGATTGTTTAAAATCCGAGTACATGTCTTCAGGAACAACAAAATAGAGATCAACATTGGGTGGATTGCCGAGTTGATCGACAATGTTTGACAGCTCTTGCATCAATGGAGGATGAGTTGAGGAAACTGTAACTTGAAACAATTGTGTTGGTTTGATCAAGCTGTCGACCACTGGGAAGTTGGAGTAGGTTGGGAGGAGATAGGCACCAGTCGCAGAAGATGGTTTTGAAATATCGTTGATGGATTTGATATCTACAGAAGGGAGAGGCTTGGGGATAACAACATCGCTCTCTTTGCCAGTATTGTTGTTGTTCAGTAGTCTTCTTTTGAAAGTGCCGCCTACTTGAAGCTTTCGATGCACAACACCTTCAAAGAAAGATCCGCCAAGTGGAGAATGAAGAAAGCGTGGGACCGTCAGCTCTTTTGTGATTCTGTCCATGTGCAGCTTCTCTGTCTCACGCACTACAATTCGAGCCACGTACTTTGATGAGAACCGCAACTCCATCTGAGAGTATTTGGCAAACCCTGGTACATCTCGTGGAATGATTTGGATGACCTTGTGGCTACCTGGTGCCTGTGTATCCTCTTGACCTACACTCTTGACGCACAAGTCCAAATCCAATGTTGGTATGACTTGGTCAAGTGTTCTTTGGAACTCTTGATCATGTGCTTTCTCCAAAACGAAACGGGGGATTCCGCCCCACTTGTTCCAAAGCTGATCAAGCTCAACCTACAAAATTGTGGTGTGAGAAAAACAAAGATATTGAAATGAGAACTGAACATACCTGTGTTACCGATGGGTATAACAATGGTCTGACAGTATCAAGTTCACGCTTCTTCCAAGGAGGGAGATATCTTCTTGTTGAGTCGGCATCCTTGAGGAATTCTTTGTACTTGCTTGGATCTGGTGACGAGACAACGATAGTTTTGGCAGCATGGTTTGACACATCGAGACTATCGACCAAGTAAAAAGTCTTTTTGTCCTTGAGGTGGGGAAGAACGTCACTGTGCGAGAGAGTTCTCAAGACCACAGGCTTCACATGTTGGTCGTAAGTGTAAACATAGTATGCATCCTTGGTGTCAGAATGATACGAGCGAACTACGATTGTGGCCTTCATTTGCGAGATGACCCACATCATATAGTAGATGAATACCGACTTGCCGATACCAGGGTTTCCTGTAACAACAAATGCACTGTTGATTGAGCTTGTAGCAGGGGGTGAGGTTGGTGTTGATGGTGTTGTAGAAGGAGATAAAGTGGATTCATATCTTGTAAAGTCAGCAAATATAAGTTCCTTTAACTTTACATAACATTTTCGAATAAACAATGACGATCTCTTCTTCTCATTACCCAAAAAATGAACACCACTGGGAAGTCGAAGAATCGAGTTGGGATCAACTTTTAAAGTTTGAAGGTGCTCCCAGAATACCTGTGCAGATGGCTCGGCTCGTTGGAAGACACTATAAATATATAAAAGAAAAGAAAAGAAAAAAAGAAACAATAAATGATTAGTAAATGAACATTTTGTAAATTACTATGTGAGTGAGTGTTGTGTCATACCTTGTTGAGCGGGTTGGGGTTGTTGTTGATTGGGTTGTTTAAAGTAGTCTTTGAGCTTAGTAATATCGGCGGGGGCAAATCCAATTTGTATGAGCAGATTAATCAAACTGGCATCATTTACAGCACTATTAATAGAAGCTATAGTATTATAACCACTGTTTAACAGAGATGTGGCTGTAATAGAGGTGCAGCCAGCCTTGGACAGTATTAAAGCAAGTGATTGTTCTGTTTCTATTACGAGTTGGTCTGTTGGTGCAGAGGATGACATTATTGCTCTTCTATCTCTATAACTAACAACAAATAATAATAACAAATAAAAAATAACAAGAACATGAACTTAAATGATATAAAAATTAAATTCTTTTGTATTAATATAATTAAAATGTCTAATAAGCATCAGATGTCAAAGGTTGAGCAGTTAAAGATACAACTATTTGAAGCACAAAGAGAAGAATCAATGAAAAAAGCAGCAGAAATATCGCAATTAGGTTCCTGTGGGTCATCAAACGACAACTTTTCATGCCGTTTATTAAACAAATGATGAGTAAGTGCAACTCACAGCACGCTATAAATGATATCAAGAAATATATTCTAACCTACTTCCTCAAGTTAGCTGATTCACAATGTGTATTGATGTGGGATCCAATGAGCAAGAAACACAAGTCATTTAAGTACAACGAGATTCAATCAATGTATTTCATCAAATCTTTGGTTGTAAAATATGAAGGTAATACATTTAATATCAGAAAATGGTTCTTTGAAGACTATGACTATTTCTTCTACACCACAATGGAACGAATGGGATGCTGCTGCGACACCAACTACATATTATCCATTGTCAAAGATACTCGAACGGTCTCAACAGGATGGTGGGTATGCTCAATGGAGTACAACAATGGTGCAAGCTGCTTTCAATGCCGGTTCATTACCATGTGCAACTCTACTTTTTAATAGATGGATCAACTTTGCTGCACTGTGGTGTTGATCCTCTCTATCGTCATCCAAGCCATCAAATCATTTGCAGCTTGTAAACGATCGTCAGAGATGTTAATGAATATAACTGTACCATCTCTACCACAAAGGATATCCTTCGTAGTGCTCATTTCAACCTCTTTGTTGATTTGTTTACTACTCTATTCAACACCAATAACATCTCTTCCAACTCTTCATCCTCCTCCTCTTCGGACCATCAAAGATATTTCATGGATCAATATTTAGAATGGTTAAATACAATTGAAATGATTGATTTTATTGAATCAAAAATTAGTACACAACAACAACAACAACAACAAGATAATAATAATAATAATAATAATAATAATATTAAACAATTTCTTTTACCCAATTCCTCTTCATCCTCATCCTCTTCTTCGTCCTCTTATCAATGGATTTATTTAAAATGGATTTATTTAAAATGGATTTTAAAATCAAATAGGATCAATCGAATATCTTTTGATAAGGGACATTCATACAACATTTTAAAGGAGTTTATAATCAATTGACATCTATCACCAACTAGACACAAAAGTTATAATGATTTCTATATGTTAAATTATATATTGAATATTGTACTAGTTAACAACAATACAAGAGCATTGACATTTATGAGCAAATTTAGATGATGATGCTCATAAATGTCTAAATTGATTTTGTTAAACTTTCAAATAGTACTTCACCAACGTCGACGACAACATTGAGTATAGATTGTACTTTACAAAAATATGGTCGAGTATATAGTACCAATCCATCATACTCTTTAGCATGCTATTCTTCCATCATCCCAATTTGATCCATTTTCATCTAATTGGAAATCTAAAAAAGAAAAAATAAATTAAATAAATTTAAATTAATCCATTAGTTGATTTGTAATTTGTTGATTTGATTTGTTTTGTTTTTTTTGGTTAAAATAAATTTTTGTTTTTTATGAATTTGTCTTCAAAGGAAAATTTGACTAGTTGTTGACACATTTTATAAAATGTTCTTCGCACTCTCCTTTCGACATGGTTAATCAAACATAAACAATCATTTTCCTCTACCCGTCATGCACACAGAGATGCACATCTCTCACCATGGATAGTGACCCAGCGGTCATCCCTCTCTCTCTATCATCAATCCCAATCACCGACAACTTTGATTGCCTACCAAAATACTATTATAAATATAGCTCAAGAGGATGATCACTATTTATCAAATATCATTAATTTAAAAAATTATCTCACCAACCAAAGATAACTACATTAATTGATAATATTATCTCTCCATCTACTCTAATTTATAATTACTATCTGTCTATACCATTAATATTATCACTCCATCTACAATTTATTCAATCAACAATATATAATTAACAAAAATATTATTATCTCTACCATTCTACATCAATCCAATCAACAACAATGGTGAGACCATACTTTTCTAGCTATAGAAGAAAAAAAGGTTATGTTCCTTCGTCTCTAGCTCTTCCCCCTCCCCCTCTACCTCTACCTCCATCGCCACCTCCATCGCCACCTCCACCGCCATCTCCATCACCATCTAGTCGCCGTCGTGTAGCCTTGAGTTCACAAGACAAACATTTGAACAAGCTACTCCATTCTTCACGTGGACGATCCTCGAAAGCAAGTTTTACAAAGAAAAAGACTGGAGACAATGAATTGGACCTCCCCTTTTTGGTCGCAACCACTCAAAACCAAAAAGAATTGTGTCTAATCCTCGGTGTTAGACTACGTTTTGAACCCAAGACCAACTTTAAGAGTAGTGCCGACAGAAGAGCCGACTCTGTCAGCTATGAAAAGACCAACACTCATCTGGTTTGCCTGGAAGTGAACACTGCCGCCAAATGGCGTCCATCTGACATTAGCCGCTTGATCCAAGAGTTTCATGAACCAGACCATCCAACGGAACAACTCGAATCTCTCTTTTATCGTAATGGAATGCAATTCCAATTGGATAGAATATTTATGTCTACAAAAAGCATAAAGGATAGAAAGAGTGACAAAAGAGTATTGTTAGGAGAGCACGAAGTCAGTTACAACTTTTTTGTACTCCTCTTTTACTTCCAACGTGGTCGTAGTTGGTACACTCGTGCTATTCTCGGACCAAATCGAAAATGGTCCAGCAGATGTCTATACCCAACCATCGGGAGTATCACCTGAGAGACTCAACGTCCTCCACAACTACACGCTTGAGAACACTGTCTTGATCGACAGTCGTTGCCAATCGACCAATTGCCGCTCCATTTATAGTGATCCAGAGGATTACACTTGTGGAGACGGCAATTGGACAAAGCTCAAGTTTTACTATGTCATCTATTGTCAACGTTGTCTCAAATCAAGTCCACCAACCATTCCAATGTATTACGAAGACTGGCTCAATGTCAACCAAAAGTTGGAAGACAAGGTTCTTCAAGAAGAGGCAACCCGTATCAGGTTTGTAAATTATGCCAGAGTACTCTTGGAGGAGATCAGAGTTGGTCGTATCACATTGAAACAAGCTATCAGATTGGTCATCAAAAACATTGAATCAATGTCCTTTTATCAAGATAATGAATAATTTGGTATATTAAAAGTAGAAGAGTTGGTTTTTAAAATAAATAAATTATAAATATTTTTTAAATGTACCAAAGTTTTGTTTAATTTATTTCAATATCTTTTTATTTTATTTAATTTTTACAAATTTAATATTTAATATTCATTCTTTATTAAATAAACATCTCTATAAAATCATTGATCTTGACTAGTTCTCATTTATCTATTTTTCTTTAGCTAAGAGGATTAAAATAGATATTTATTTATAACGCAAGAAGGTCTTTGCCCAACAAGCGAATTAATACCGAAAAAGTTAAAATCAATGAGATATTTAAAGCAAAATCCAAAAGATATTTTAAAAGTAAAAATAAATTAAATATTTATTATGATCTCGACCTTTTTGTTTTTGATATAAATCACACGTCATGTACAAAGGTTTAAATTATTATTATTAAACAAATCTTATCACACTTTTATACAAGAATGAAATTAATATCAAATTTATTTATTATTTATCTATTTGTAATCTTTAAAGTTTCAAGTCAAACCATAGTAAGATTCAAAGAAAATATCAATTGTCTTGAAACAAATGGAGGATGTAGTTGGACCAATGCAAGCAATTGGGAAGGAGGATATGCACCAGACCCCAATGATATTGTCATTATCGACTTTTCAAACAATGAATTTGAAGGTCCACAATTAATCTCTTCAGACGTTGACTCGCCCACATTCTACCTATACCAACTCAACATGACCTGTGCATTTGGTCAGACCAACGGACTCACCCTAGCCCTCTACAACCAAGACATTCAATTTACCAATGTTGTATCACTCATCCAAGGAGCTTCCATTCATTTCAAACAAAACACAGTCGTTCGTTTTTTGGATGATCTCTCTGTCGATGGAAGATTACAAGCCGATCAAAATGTCTCCATCTCTTTGTTTAATCTAGATTCAACCTATAGATCTACCTTTTACTTGGGTTGGGATACATCTCTGACTGCAGCTGGTTATGTCAATTTGGCAGGTAACTTTAAAGCCTCTGGAAGTACCATTTCATTTGGTTCTGGTATTGTTTTCTTGTCTGGTGCCGTTGTTTTTACTGGTGGCAACTTTGTGGCCAATGGAACCATCAATATCGAGCAAGGATCAACCGTCGAAGTGGAAGGAGACTTTAGCGTACCAGTTGGTTTGGTTAGTCTCTTGTCTGGATCCCAACTATTGATTGAAGGAAGCGTCCTAGTTGATAGAATGGAGATTGAAACCTTGTCAACGTTTGATGCAACTGCCGATTCTAGACCCATCATGGTATTCAATAGTATAGAGTCTGCTCCAGGTTCAAGTATCTACATTTCAGAGTATCGTTTGATCAATGCCAAATCATGTGACATTCAAGGAGCCATCAACATTTTTGGTTCATCTGCCATATTCTCTCAAGGTAGAATATCGGATCTGACAGTTACCAATCCAGTCAGCTACGTAGTCCTAACATCGATATCACTCGATTCATTCTCTGCCAACAAGACCTATGCCACCAAAGACCTCTATACCCTATTCATCGAGGGTAGCTCCAGACTTGGCGCCATCAATGCAACCAATGGTATCATTCAAGTCAATAGTGCCAGTCTAGACTTGTACAATGCCGAAATCATTGCAACTTCAATCTCTATTGGTGCAGGTACCAATGTCTCCCTTGGCAATACCTATATTGAATCCAATGATATTTCATTTTCAGGTGCATCCATTCTCCTAACCCAAGATTCAACATTGGTCGGTACAGTTGATATTTCCACCTCTCTCCTAAGTATTGGTACTAGTAATCAATTAGAGGTTCGTGGTGATTTACTTTTTGGTCCACAATCCATTGTAGATATTGTCGTAACAGCTCCCAATACCAATCCATCACTCTCTTCCATCAATGTTCAAGGCAACTTTGAATTTACTGGTACTAGTTTTAATATTCAAAGTTTATCTGCTGTCAGTAGATTACAAACTATCAATTATGCCATTCAAGCTACTGGTGATATCTCTATTGACCCTACCATCTGTACTTTTAAACCAACAGATAGTGATTATAAATCTTATTTCTCTTTAAAATCAATTCAACTTTTAAATTATTTAACTTATACTTTAAAATAAAAAAGAGTAAATAAAAATGATTACATAGAATAATATATGGTATTTACATTTGTTTATTATTATTTTGGAGTTTGAATTGATTTTGATGAACCAATAATAGGTTGACCTAATTTTCTTTCCAATGTTGGTCTACTTGGTGGGAATGAAGAGGTAGAAATAAATGATGTTGATTGGTTATTATTATTTAAAGATGATTTTGGTGATACTGCTGGTGATCCACCACTACCACCATTTCCGCTACCACCAGTCTTTAAACTAATTTCTTCATATTTTCTAATAATATCTCTAGCTGATGAAATTAATGATCCACTACCATTTGTACCAGTACTTCTACCATTTGGTGATGTTGGAGGTGAAGATACACCTACTAAATTACTTGATTGATGTCCATTACCAATAGAGGACGAAGAGGAAATGGATAAATCTGATTGTGTTGTTTTTTTTTTACTATCTACATTGTTGTTATTTTGTTGTTGTTGTTGAATTACACTTTTTCTACGACTAATAGTTGGTGATTCCTTTTTCACTTCAATTCTATTATTTTGATGTAATAATTTTTTGATTCTATCTTGTAATGTTTTTGGTGGTGGTGAATTTGAAATGTCTTGTACAATATTTGTTGTTGATGTTGATGATGACGTCGTGGTTGGTATTGAAACAGATAAAGTTGCACATAATTTTGTTGGTTTTTTATCAACTATAGTTGTTGTAGTTGATGATACTATAAACTTGTCTTGTCTTGATAGATTAGGTGATTTTGGTTTATATGGTTTTTCCTCTTCTATTATTATTAGTGTTGTTGTTGTTGTTGTTGTTGGTTCATTATTGGTTGTTGCTTTTAATTTATCCTGTACATTTGAATCTTTAAAATTACTTAGATTACCATCGATTTCAGGATTCCAAGGTCTTGGAAAACTATAATCTGTTTGTAAAAGTAATTTTTTTGGTTCTCCCATTTGCCTATGTCTTTCAATTTCCTCTTCCGATTGATATGGTCTTGGAAAGGAAAGTAATTCAGAATCTTGGAAATTTACAATTGAATTTATAAAATTATCAGGTTCTTGATCTATTTGTAATTCTTGATATGGAGTTGGGAATGATAAATTTGATATTGATTCATTATTATTATTATTATTATCTATATGTGTATCTATTTCTATTTCATCATCATCACCTTGATATGGACGTGGGAATGAAAAATTTGATACCTTGTTATTATTTATATTATTATTATTATCTTGATCATTTTCAGGAATGTATGGTCTTGGAAAAGAAAATTTATCTGAATTATTATTACTATTATTATTACTGTTATTATTATTACTGTTATTATTAATACTTTCAACATAAGGTCTTGGAAATGAAAATTTATCTGAATTATTATTACTATTATTATTATTATTATTTAATTGATTATTTTTAATGACAGTAGCAACATAAGGTCTTGGAAAAGAAAATTGACCATTTTCTGATAGATGATGAAGAGTTAATTCTGGTGGTTTAAAAGTTCGGAGAGGTGGTAGATCAGGTTCACCCAAATCTGGTAAATGATCCAATAAATAATTTAAAAGTTGTTCTACCTGTGAAAAGGTTGGTCTTAGAGAAGGTTTGGTTCGACAACAATGAAATACCAAATCCAAAAAATCATTTGGACAATCTCGTGGTACCTTTGTTTTGATAAATGCTTGATCAATACCTAGATTTTCATCACGTATACGTGGTGACAAACTAATTCTTGTAATTAATTCAATCAATACTACTCCAAATGAAAATACATCACATGATTTATCATATTCTTCTCCAATTAATACTTCTGGTGCCTAAAAAAACAAATAAATAAATAAATAAATAATATTTTCTTTTTTTTTTTTTGTTTAAAGTTTCATTTACCATCCAATCATCAGTACCACAAATAGTCATTTTACTTTTACTTTTTGTCATTTTTCTAGCCAAACCAAAATCACAAACTTTGATTGTCCAATTTTCAGAGACCAAAAGATTGGTAGATTTTAGGTCACGATGAATGACATTATTGGCATGTAAATAATCCATTGCCGATGCAATATCACGTGCAACCAATAATTTTAATCTCCATGTCATTTGAATGGATTGATTCTTTATATACCAATGTAAATCACCTCCATTTACCAATTCAGTAAGTAGAAATAATGATCTCTCCTTTTCTGCAATTCCATAAAATTGTATTACATTTGGATGTGAAAACCTAGAGAAAAAAAAAAAAAAAAAAGTAAATTATTATTATTATTATTATTATTAATTTGATACTCTATCATTTCTCTCTCTCTCTCTTTCTACTTACATTTTTAAAGTATAAATCTCTCTTTCAATAAATTTTAATAATTTATCCTTATTTGGATCATTTTCATGAATGGTCATTTTCTTGATACCAATCTTTTTGCCATTGAGGAATCCAGCAAATACTTTACCAAAGCCACCACTACCAACTTGATCATGATCATCAAACTTTAATTCTGAATAATCAATCGTTCTTGATAGTCTCTTTCCATCTTTACTTGATAAAAGTAATGACATTCTTTTGTAAAAGTAAAAAAAAAAGAAAGAAGTTTATTTAACTAAATGAATGAATGAAATGTTAGTGTAAGTATATATATTGAATTGAATTGAATGATGATTAATAATGATGATGTTGATTAATGATGATGATGATGTTGAATCATAATTCTAATTATAGGTTCAAAGATTTTCACTCTCTATCTTCTTCTTCTTCTTCTTCTTTGCTTGCTCACACGCATATAACACACATAGTGTATGTAATGAATGAATGTAATGTATTATCTATCTATTTATCAATACACTCAAGTGTATATGCTCGTTTTTAAAAAAAAAACAATCTACAACCTGTTTGCTAGCTAACCTAATTATTGTATGAATATATAAAGTAATATGATCATACCTATTATTCTCTCTAACTGTATTGTCTTCTTATTATTATTATTATTTAATAAAGTATGAGGTATGATTAATGAATTGTGAACTCCCTCCAAAGTTCTAAAATTCTTTGTTTGTGTCTATTTTTTATTTGTTTGTTTGTTTTTAAATCTAAAGAATGGTGAAGGGCGGGCAGCTGGTGTAAATCGGTGGTTTTTTTTGCAATGCAGTGTTTTTTGTTGTTTTTTGAGCACAAACACGTGATTGATCGTGACAATGATCGATCGCAAGAGTAGTTATATTATATTTGTGTTTATTGATTTTGAGATTGATCTTTTGATAATTGTAATCTACAATATTTCAATGATTCGATTGCAATGGAGAGATCGGTAGATTGAGTCATCCAATTGACAAATGCTGCACGGATACCGGGTTGCCCATTATACATGGTTGGTGTACAACGAACTTTACCGTGTCGGTCGAGAAGCTCGAGGAATCTATTTCTAAAGTGTACTAGTTGTTTGGTGTCATAATGCTCTCCCAATCCATCCAATGCAAAACATACAACATTGAGATGTACAGGTGATAATAGTTTAAATAATATCTGACTTGGTGATGACGATGATGATATATTACTACTACTAGAGTCACTAACCCATTTACCAAGAGATTGAGCAAGTTCAACATTTCTTTCAACTATATTGACCATTCCACGACGACCATATGCTTTGAGTGCCATCCATAAAGGGAGAGCTCTGAAGCGACGTGAATTCTCGGGTGTCAGATGAAGATAGTTGTCGGGTCGACAGATGGGATCGGCGAGGTAGGGAGACTGGTTCTTGAATACTTGTATTTGGAGTGGGAGATGTTTTCGTTTGACAATTTGACATGCACTGTCGTACGGTGTGTTTAGGTATTTGTGACAATCGATAGTGATAGAGTCAGAGAGATCCCAGCAATCTAGGTAATGTCTGAATCGCGGTGAGCATGCTGCCACGCCACCAAATGCCGCGTCCAAGTGCACCCAAAACCCAAATCTCTCACGCAGTCTAAACAACTCGCGTAAATTGTCAAAGCAGACCGTGTTGACTGTGCCAGCCGACGCTAGTACAATGGTCGGTGTGGAGGGATCGCGTAACAACGCCTGTTCGAGTTGCACCATATCAAGCTCTTCAGAGTCATGTTTGGTTGGTATGGTCTCTAATTTATTTCTTCCAATACCGAGCATACTCAATGCTTTGACACTACTACTGTGGGCGTTGGCAGTCAACAGACGTATCTTGACACCGTCCATTCCATTCTCTGCTACATCGATCGACTGTTTCTCGCCAACCCATTGACGTGCAATAGCCAACCCAACAAAATTAGCCATCGTAGCGCCACTGACAAAGCTGCCTGTAAAAGATTCATTGTCACTCTCTTGTAAACGATGGTCTTGTAACCCTAGCAATTCCAGTAACTGTCGAATGGTTAGATGCTCGATGGCAGCAGACACAGTGTCACCCGATAACTGTGCATTCTGATCGATTGTACTGCATGTCCAATCTCCAACCAATGAAGCAGGTGTCACACCACCCACTACAAACCCAAGGTACCGCGGACCAGCACTTCCCGACACACCATCACCAAATCTCTTCCAAAAGTATTCCAATGCCCTCGTTGCTCCTATTCCCTCTTCCGATAATGATAAAGAGGAGGAGTCATGATTATCATCAGCAGTATTTATCTGTTGTTTGTCATAAGGTGCACAAACAGGTCTATCACCAATCGTCTCTATAAAATGTTGATTCAACTCTTTTGCTCTTTCCAATATCGATCCTATATTATCTAAATCTTCTTTTAATTGTTTATCTAAAAATGATATCATCCTATTACTCTACAACTAAATATACTAAATATAATTCAACTAGTTCATCTTTTCATCATAATAATGATGATGAACATTCAAAAAGTTTCATTAATGAAAAAAAATAAATATTAATATTAATTCACACCTTTTGATATTTAATTTCTTTGGATTTATTGTATCCTACATCTCTAGAAAACAAGAAATCAAATCATTATCATAAGGATAAAAGTCAAGGACTTTTGTTGCAGTACGAGTATTGATGATAATATCTTTTTTTGGCTACCGTGCAAGGTCGCTCCTATGCCCAAATCGGTGAAAGACGCACCTCCAAATCTTGTCACGACACGTTTTTTGGTCTGATTTTTCGATGATCGGAGTATCAATACTGTCACTGATTGATTCATTCACATGCTAGTGGCCACCCTGTTTATTTTTATCCAACCCATTCAACGAAGAACACCTCCTCAGGTGCCTCTAAACACCACTCAACAAACATAAAGAAGATTCTTCTTATCTATTACTTTTATTTAATCTCTTTCACACATAGCATAGCCTTCAACTAGATAATCCCTCTAAGATTTTATCTATTCTATTTATTTATTTGAAAAAAAGGTAAAGAGATCTCTCGAGTAAAACAAACAAACAAACAAACAATAATAACAATAATAACAAATAGTCAGATGTATCTGTGTTGTGTTCAAAAAAAACACTCTGTTCGTAACACATATATTGATATGTGTATCTCACCACCCACCCACCCCTCCTCTACACTCTCTTGAATTACCACACCATAAAAAGACAGATAGATATATAGATAGATTGGATGGATGTTTGATATTTTGTACTCACACCACATGATGTGTATCGTCGCCGACGAACTACAACTTGTCATTATTGTTATTTACACTCTTTTCTTTCTTTTTGTTCACTTTTTATTATTAATGTTGGTTGCTGGTTTGGTGTTTGTATTCCAATAGAAGGTTTTGTATTTTTAGAATATATATATTCATATATATAAAGAAGAAGTAAACAACACCAACAACATATAATAATAAGGAGGGAGAGAGAGTTTATATATATAACAAACAGGTTGTGACGTATGTACTTTACTTTACTTTTTGTGCAATTTTAAAGTGTCTATTGTTTTTTTTTTTATTTTCCCCTTCATACACACGCACACACACTCACACTTTGGATAGTTAGTTCAACATGTTGAAGATAGATGTATATATAGAGGTAGAGGATGGACAGATTTATAACACAGTGGTCAAAGAAGGGTTGGTAACAACATCATCATCATCATCATCAACAACATCACTATTAATCAATCAATCAATCATTTAAAAGATTGAAAGAAAGAGGAGGGATTGGATTAACAAGGTGGTGTAGTTGATGATGATGATGATGATGATGATAATAATGGATGGATGATGATTATTGGATATTAAGAGATTGGAAAAAGATGTAAAGATGGAATAGATAGTATTTTAATTCATGCATCAAGTCATTTATCTCTCTCTTGGACACAATGTGAAGAGAACAGAACAGTGGTCTACTACAATCTACCCGCATATTTACAACATTCAATTGACATGATGGATGATTGGGTTTGGATTTGGAAGATCATAACATAACATCACCAGAACCTATTATTTATTTCCTTGGAAATTTATTGTATTCTACATCTCTAGCCAACAAGGAATCATTATCATTAATTGAACCATTTTAAAATATTATTATTATTGTTATTATTATTGTGTTGTTGTTCCTTATTATTACACACTCTCATTTGATATTTATCTATCTATATTCATTATAATATATTTCTAACTTTTTATTATTATTATTATTTCTCCAAAAACTCTAAAATGTTTGTCCAAAAGTCCCCAAACTTTTTTTATAACCAACAACAACAACAACAACAACAATCGCCATTGTTTTTTGGAGCAAGTAACTCGACGACCAGTAGCAACCACAGTACTCCGCCAAGTCTCAAACAAGGATTCCAGCCGCCCAGTAACAGTAGCAGTCCAACCTACCAACTCAAACCACATCCAAGACAAGTCCAACAAGAACAACAAGAACAAATCCAACAATTACAACAACAAAAATTACAACAACAACAAAAACAACAGCAACAACAACAAAGACATTCACAAAGCTTCCAAGCATACCAACCACCACCAACACCACCACAACAATACTATAGTAACTCTTTGAAAAGTAGTTCTGGAAGTAATAGTAGTAAAAGTAGTAGTAGAAGTAACGTTTCCAGTAGTTCACTTGCCGATAATAGTTACCGTGTAAATAATAATAGTAATAGTAGTAGTCGTGGTAATAGTAGACCTGTTAGTCAAACTTATCAACAAAAACAAATCAATCAATACTTTAATCAACAACAACGATCACAATCTCAAATCCAACTTCCTGTTCATCAACAACAACCCAAAAGGTTCCAAAGATACAGTAATCAATTTGAATTTGTTTACGACTCTGATCATCAAGATTATCAACAACCACAATACTCTTATTATCAACCAAGACAACAAAAACAACATCAATCATCTTTAAAGTTAACTCAAACTTTATCTCCTCCTCAACAACAACAACAACAAACATTTAAACAACAATCATCTTTAAAACAAACTCAATATCTATCTCCTCCTCAACAACAATATCGTCAAGAAGAAGAAGAAGAGGAATATTATCAACAAGAGGAAGAAGAAGAATTTGAACAAGAATTTGAGGAAGAAGAAGAAGAAGAAGATTTTGAACAAGAGGATTTTGAGATAGTACAATCAAATCAATATCGTCAAAATCAACAAGACTTTGAACAAGAAGAAGAGTTTGAAGAACAAGAAGAGTATCAACAAGATCAAGAATTTGAAGAGGAAGAGGAAAGAGAATATTACGACGACGACGAAGAAGATAGAGAATATTACGACGAAGACGAAGATATGGAACCAACAATAGTAGAAGTTATTGCACCAAAGATTAATCACAAGGAGGTATCTTTGATTAATACACAAGCAGAAGATGGTAGTGTTCATAAATATTCTGAAGAAGAAAAAGGTAAATTCATTCATTTTTTAAACTCATTCATTATTTTCCAAGTTTATGTCAAATTATTAACAATACAAATCTTTCTTTTATTTTTTTTTTTCTTCATATTTTTAGTTGCTTATTCTAAATTTATATCTGAAAGATTAAGTGATAAAATTGTAGAATTAAAGAATTATATCCCAATTGATCCAACATCTGATCAATTATTTACAAATTGTAATGATGGTGTTTTATTAAAGTAAGGAAAATATAATATATAATATAATATATAATATAATATATAATATATATTAATTATTAATATCTATTTAATTTATTTATTATTTTCATACCTATTAGTAAATTGATGGAATCATTATTCCCAAGTCAAGTAGAATTAAAAGGATTAGTTATAAAGATTAAAATGAATCCATTTGAAAAAGTACAAAATCAAAATATTGTTATCAAGAATGCAACCAAGGTTGGATGTATTATTGTTAATATTGGTGCTGAAGATTTAGTCAATGCAACACCCTACCTTGTACTTGGTATCATTTGGCAAATTATTAAATCTGGTCTACTTTCACAGGTCAATCAAAATGCCAATGAAATTTTAGAGATTCTTTTCGATGAAGAGGAACAGACCGATCACACTGACGGTGAGAATGACCAAAAGGTTGAATTACACGCCAAAGAGGAGCACTCGGCCGAACAAATTCTCATTCGTTGGGTCAATTATCATTTGGAAAAGGCTGGTATCGAGAGAAGAATTTCCAACTTTTCAGAAGACATTCAAGACAGTATTGTATATTCACATTTGTTTTCACAATTGGTACCAACCGACTTTCAAGATTTGGTTCAACGTGCTCAAAATGAACCAAACCTTTTTGTTCGTGCTGAATTAATCACCTCTGCTTGTGAAAAAATTGGTGTCAAATGTTTCCTTACTCCTTCTGATATTGCTCTTGTAAGAATGAATACAAATAAGGATAAGAAAAAGAAAAAAGAATATATTTATTAACTTTTTGATTTATTTTTTATTTATTTTGTTAGGGACATCCAAAATTAAATTTAGCATTAGTAGCATCATTATTTAATTCTGAAGCAGCTATTACCAATTTAAGAAAGGAAAGAGAGGATAAACAAAGATCGGAACAAGAAAGAGCTGAAAAGGAAAGATTGGAACGTGAAAGATTGGAGCGTGAAAAAGATGAAGCCGAAAGAGTTGAACGTGAAAGAATGGAACGTGAAAGACTGGATCGTGAACATGAAGAGATGTTAAGAGTGGAGAGAGAGATTGCAGAACGTGAACGTGTGGAACGTGAACGTATTGAACGTGAACATGAAGAAGCTGAAAGAGCCGAACATGAACGTTTGGAACGTGAACGTTTGGAACGCGAACACGAAGAAGCTGAAAGAGCCGAGCGTGAACGTATTGATCGTGAACGTTTGGAAAGAGAATTGGCAGAACGTGAAATGGCCGAACGCGAACGTTTGGAAAACCAAAAAGAGTATCGTATTGCCACTAGAATCCAAAAGATCGTCGTCGACAATCCAGACATGACACCAACCGAAAATGTCAAGCTCGTCGGTGATATCCAAGAACTCAAGAGAAACATTGTCGGTGAACTACGTAACACTCGTCATCTTCAATCTGAACTCTCCAAAATCACAAAATCGATCGATCGTGTCTTGGAAAACAAAAATGAAGGAAAGAAATTAAAGAAATCCTCTTCCATCAAAAAGAAAATTAAACCTGTCAAAGGTGCTCCAAATGGTTTAAATCCAACTAAAATGAAGGTAAACATAAAACAAACAAAAACAACAAATATTATATTTAATTATTTTATTAATTTCTACTTTTTTCCTTTTACTTTTTTTATAGAATTATCAATGTTTATTTTATTATTTACAAAATCAACCACAAGTATTTGGTAAATTAATGTATTTGATGGTACCAAGTCAATTGTCAAAGACATTTAACAATTTGATTTTGAGTATTTTCCCATACGAGATTTCACCAAGAGAAGAGGACTTGTTCTTGCGTGCTATATCGATGGCATTGGAGTACCAGATGAACGACGTTGCTACATTGACCGAGTTTATGACATTGGACTCTGTACCCAACAAATTGTTGAATGACTATTTCAAAAAGAAGGGTCTCAAGTATTTACAAGAAGTTGTACGTCCCATGGTATTGCAGGTACTCGACAACAAGGATTTAAATCTAAATATTGACCCTGTTTGGATTCACAAACAAATCCAAAATGAAAAGGCAATCAAAGAAGGTAAAAAGTCGGAAAAGAATAGTCTTACCCCACAACAATGTCTCGAGAATGCTCAAGTCAAGGAGCTGTACGAGTCACGTCTTGCATCACTACTCGATATTGGAAATGACTTTGTTAATCGTATTGCTCGTTCCATTGACCATATTCCAGTTCAACTGCGTTTCTTGACCCGTGTCATTATTGAAAAGTCAGAGGCTGGTGGTGTACGTCGTGGTGCAGAGGACCCCAAGAGCTACGTACCTTATTTCCTCATTGTCTACCGTTACATTGTGTCGGTGATTGCTTCACCCGACCTTTTGCACGAGCTAGTGTTGTTGCAACACCCTCTCATCTCGCGTGACCAACGTACCAACCTGTCAATGATTGCACGTCTCTTGCAAGCCACCTTTACCAACAAGATGTGGGAGCAACCGGTCGCAAGTACCAAGTTGGCTGCCTGGATCGAGCAACACCACATTGTCGCCAACAAGTTTGTCACCTCGCTTCCCCAAGTCGGCGAGCTCGACGATCTCATCCACTACCGCGACTATAACGAGGTCATGACCGAGAATGCAATTGGTTTTAGCACTGTCATTAATCTTAGTGAGGTTATTTGGTTGCACGACACTTTACTCGACTCTTATTTCGGTCTTGAAGATGTTGGTCGTATCCCAGGTTATGAATTCCAAAAATCACTCAACAGCGCACACAATAACAATCGTTTGTCGATGCAAGTTGGGTCGTCACCCTTTGGTCATGGTGATCGTCGTCGCTACCAAGCACACACCAACCACAACAACAGTGGTCCCAACAAGGGATGGTGGATGTCATGGTGTTTGGATCTTTTAGAAGCACCACTCGAGTTGCCCGAGCAAGGAGACCGTTCCATCCAACTCACCTTTATCAACCGTATCGAGAACCCAGACGACGGTCTCTACGCACCCGACCTTTTCCGTGAGGCCAAGCTTTGGATGATTGAAATCCTGGCCAAGATCCCACCACCCAAAAAGGACATCAACTCGATTCAAATCCTTCGCGACGCCATCCAATTTTGCAAGACCTCTAATCACAACCACGAAAACATGGCCATTATCGCAAAGTGTGACCAACTCATCGAACGTATCAAATCGTTCCGTGCCGAGCAAGTATCGAGTCAACCCGAAGTCTATGACTTGTTCTTACTCGAATGTGAAAAGGAAGTTGAAACTGTACTCCGCAAGAACCGTCTCATGCGTACTGAACTCAACCGTCTCCACGCTCTTCTCAAGCAGATCCGTATCGACGCTGCCCCACTCTCCAAGCTCGTTCAACTTCAAAGTGAACAACTTTCAAAGGCCATTGCCAAAAAGGAACTCAAAAACGTTGTCAAAAAACTCAAAGACACCAAATTGGACAACAACAAACCAGTCAAGTTTGCATTCTCTGACCTCGTTAAAAAGGGTATGATTGTCAATTCTGAACTACCAGAAACATCCTTTTCAAAGACCACCGTCGTCATTAAACCAATTGGAGGTGGTGTCTATGAAATTGAAGCCAAGATTGGTCCCATCTCTAAAACTGTCACTCTCGAACTTGACAGTCTATTGGAATTCTCAAAGAATCATGTTGATGAATATCCACTTGAAGGTATTACTCTTGATGTAAATTTAACTATTCATACTTTAATGAAAACTTTTAATCTTTAAAAAAAACAAAACTTAAATCAAAATCAAATTAAATAAATAATATTAAATCTTTTTTTAAATATAATAATAATAATAATAGTTTGTTATCTTTTTAATTGAATAATTTTTTAAATCTATCTGTAAAAGTTTGGAAATCATCGATTGCAGGACGAACATCTAAATAGATACCGATTGGCTTATTATTTTCCTTGTCTGCCTTGCCTTCGTAAAAGTCGATAACATAACGTACTTGTTTACCACAACGATCAATGATCCAATCATGACGATCAAATGGTAAAGTATATCCAAAAAAGTTTAAGATTCTTGCCTTTGGACTAAAATCTTTTGCTCTTCCTCTAAATTTTACTAATTTTGGTTTATCACATCTAAAACAATAGAAAATTAGAAATTAGATTTTAGATTTGCTTGTTACTTTTCTTTCTTTCTTTCTTTCTCTTTACATACTCTGAGGAATATTCTTTTTCCCAATCTAAAACATGTTCCCAACACTTTTCATTGACAGTATTGTGAATGGCTACTACCATGTCCATATCCTTTTCGCTTGGTTGATATTGTTTTCTCTTCATTGCATTGAAAAACATCTGTGGTGAAGGGTATTCCCATTGATCTTGTTCGGTTCTAGGGATTGATGATTTTACTCTACTTGTATCTAGTGGTAATGTTTGATCTACATGTGGCTTTTGATTTGGTCTATACATATTGTTGTTTGGGTTAATATCTTTTGGTGTAGCTGTAGTAGGTTCATGTGCAACAGGACATCCACCTGCTAATGCATTCTTTCTTGTTTCTTCATCCATCTCCTTTTTGTTTGTTTGTAGTAAACGAATAATGATAACAAACTACTAACTAAATAACTAAAAATGATCAAAAGGAAAAAAGACGACGAATCATGATCTCAGAGACACTTTAGTTTTACAAAACATTTTCATCAGTATATTAATACTAAATATATATTGATAATCATGATTAGATCAATCATTTCTAAATCACTAAAGAGTGGCCATTTCATATATTCACCAAGATATTATAGTTCAACTATATCTTCAACTTTATCCTCTACTACTACTAGTAGTAGTAGTACTACTACCGCTGCTGCTGCTTCACCATTACCAACAACAACAACACCAGATATAATAGGAGTAGAAGATTTCTTTAAAGTTGATTTACGTATAGCTCGTGTCATCAATGCAGAACATGTTAAAGGAGCTAAAAAATTAATTAAACTAACTTTGGATCTTGGTGAAAAGAAACAGAAACCAACTCTAGTCATTGATCAACCAACTACAACTACAACTACTATAAACGAACCAATAATTGAAAATCAAGAACCAATATCTCCTCCTCCTCCTCCACCTTCTCCTGCTCCTGCTACTAGAGATATTAGAACAGTATTTAGTGGAGTTAAAGCATATTATGAACCAGAACAATTATTAAACAAGAATGTTATAGTGGTTGCCAACTTGGCACCAAAGAAAACTAAATTTGGTGTATCAGAGGCAATGGTATTATTTGCATCCGACGATGATTCCAAAAATGTCATTTACTCTACATTGGACCCGACTGTCGCATCGGATGCCATCCAACCTGGTTGGAGAGTTTTATAAATTAAATATATAAAATATAAAAAACAAACTCTATTTCAAATAATATGATAATAATAATACCTCTAAAATAAGAGTAGAGAGTAGAGTACTCTTCTATTATAATAAAACTTTTAGAAATTTAATTTAATTTAATTTTTTTTTTCTCTCTCTTTCTCTCTCATCCAAACCCTCGGGTTAGTTATTTATTATCTCTTTCATTTTTGATTTTTTAGTATTAATTACTATCTATTCTTTTTATTATACTCTTTTACAAGACAGTATTCTATTGTATTTAAATCATGGTTACTAGAGTTAAAAAATCATCTTCACCATCATCAAACACTTCTTCTTCTTCTTCTTCTTCTTCTGCAAATACCAATACTACAACAATCACTCGATCAAGAAGAAATGGTAAATTATTGGATGAGTCGGCACAAAGAGAAGTTGACTCTTTACCAAATGTAGTTATTATAATCCCTGTATTTAGAACAGACGATGAAATGTATAGATATTATTCTCGTCTTTCAAATACTACTCAGAGATATTCTATTACTGTAAATATTGAGAGAGAAAAAAAATTAATACATAACATAAAATCATCATGACTAACACTTTTTTGATTTATTTATATATTTCTATAGAAAAGTGGAAGAAGAGTTAAATATTTTCATCGTTAGATACATTTATTATTATTATTTATTTATCTAAAAAGGAGGAGCGAGGTGATGTTACCATTAATTGGAGCAAAAGGTACAACAAAACAATTTTTTTTTTAATTTCTTTTTTTTTTTTAATTTTCGCGGGTTAACTTTGCAAGTTCACAGTTGTCTTTACACCCAATTAATTTAACAAAAGAGACATACAACAAATATATATATATCTATAGTCAAGATGATCAAGAGATTCGCAACAGCATTATGGAAGGGCAGCATTAAAGATGGATCAGGTGTGATTACTACTCAAAGCAAGGTCATTTCATCCTTGCCATACAACGTACCATCAAGATTTGGTGGTGATCAAGGTATGTATTATGTAGTAACAGCGCAGTATATGTATAAATATATTTAATATTAATTATATCATTTCTATTTTAGTTGATAAACATACCAACCCAGAAGAATTGATTGCTTCAGCTCATGCTGGATGTTATTCTATGGCCTTGTCTGCTCAACTCAGTGGAGCAGAACTCACTCCAACCTCGATCAACACTACCGCCACACTCTCAATGCTCAAGGATGATAAGGGTTGGACAATTACCCAAGTCGACCTCAAGTGTGAAGCAGTCGTTCCAAATGCCACCAAGGAATTGTTCCTTGAAAAGGCAAAGGCTGCCAAGGAAGGTTGTCCAGTCTCAAAGGTCTTAAATTGCAAGATCACTTTGGATGCTACACTTAAAAATTAAATTGCAAGATCACTTTGGATGCTACACTTTAAAATTTTTTTTTTTTAAAATGTCAATCAACAATAAGTATTTACTCTTTATTTCATGTTTAGTAGTTTTATATTTCTTTCTTTTATATGAATACAGTCAGGATTCAACTCTGCATGCAGTGAGAGGTTGGTGCAGTGGTATATATATTTTAAATATATATAGATCTTGGTGGTGATGGTTTAATTAATAGAATAGAGGACGAATATCTTGGATGATCATTGGTTGAAAATTGATATTCAATCTCGTATCACTAGATATATATATATATATATATATATATATATATATATATATATATATATATATATATATATATATATACTATATAAAAATAGACAAAATGTGGCTTTATCTTGGTAAAGATAGATTTCTGACAACAGGGTCATCAAATATCACCAAGGACGATGCTAAAAGCGTGGGTAACAAATGATCTCTGATTTTTGCTTTATTTCTCTTTGCTTGAGCATATTGTGAGACTCCAACACTAACTGGCTAGGCGACCTATGCCGTTTCTTGTCATGCTGGTTCAGTCTGTCTTCTAGTGGTTGACGATAACCGATGGACACAAATATTTCTATAATTCACAAACTAAAAGACAGAGTATCTTTACTGAATATCATCATTACAAAAGCAAGAGTCTAGTTGTGTATATCTAAACTGTGTTTTCAAAAACAAAAACAATTAAAACTTTGTAACTTCTGTGTGTTAGTAATATAATAATTTACTAAATAATAATAACACAGCAATTATATCAACACAATATTATAGCCTATTGTGCTAGCGAGACAAAAAAAATAACTTAAAATAAGAAAATAGCGATATCTTTAACCAATTTATTTTTAGAACAAGCAACAATCCAACATGCTTATTACTATATACAAAATGATACATGATCAAAGTCCATTTAACATATAGACATCGACAACCTCGAGATAATCTTTATTTCTTGCTATAATGAATAAAACTGAAACCCTCATTTAATTCAATATTCCAGCGACAATATCGATGGTTAATTTTAGAGATGTGTTATTGATAGGTAATATTGAATAAAGATATAGCTCCTCTATTACTTAAAATTATGCGTGCCGCTTTTTTTTTAAAGTAATTCTTTTCCTGTTCTCTCCCATCGGGATGAGTAGTACTCAGAAGTTACAAAGTTTAATTAATTATACTTTTTAATTGACCAACAAGAAATAAAGATAATCTCGAGAAGAATTATAGGTAATTTGTTTGTGTAAAATTAGGCGGGCGGTTTTTTTTTTTAAAGTAATTCTTTCCCTGTTCTCTCCTATCGGGAAGAGTACTCAGAAGTTACAAAGTTTTATTAATTATACTTTTTAATTGACCAGCAAGAAATAAAGATTATCTCAAGAAGAATTAAAGTTAATTTGTTCTGGGGGTTTGTCCATGTCTATGATACATGTTTTATGGACGTTGATCATGTATCTTATTGTATAGTATCAAGCATGTTGGATTGTTTTAGATTGTTGCTTGTTCTAAAAATAAATTGGTTAAAGATATCGCTAATTTTTTTTTTTTTTTCTCACTAGCACAAAAGGCTATAATATCTTGTAGTATAATTATTATTGTTATTATTATATAGTAAATTATTATATTATTAATATTATTATTGATAGATGAAGAGAGAGTAGAGGGAGATGAAGGTGTTGAGGAGGATAAGAAGAATGAGGTTGAGGTGATCGAAATTAGGCGTGCGGTTTTTTTTTTTTAAGCATCTCATTTCGTGGCATCCACCTGTAGGGTGGAGCACTACTCTTTCGATTGCGAAGTTTTATTGATTGAAGTCTTTGTTTGACCAGCAATGGGAACTGAGTTTCCAAAGAAGAAACAAGTCCAATCTGTTTTTTGGGGTGCCAAATGTCTGTTCTATTTCCATCCAAGCAAAAATGGCAAGTCTTGGTGGGAGCTATTAGTTCTATTTGTTCATCAATACGACGGGAAGCTTGTTTACCTGTTGAATCGAGGGGGGCTGAACGGTTCTGTGAGTTGCGATCCATAGTTCTTTTGTCAGATTAGTGACCAGATCGTGACTGTTGGAGGGAGTGCCCAGTGTCACCATCCATATGTATGTGTGTGTCGAGTAATGGTTGGTGGTTGTGTCTACACCATGATTATCTATCTTATATCGTTCTGTTGTTCGTATTGTTATGTTGTTGATTGATGTTTTGATGAGATGTTGATGATGTTCATTTCCAATTGTAATAGTAATGTGAATACTGTTTTCAAACTGTATTGACTTGTTGTAATGATAATTAAATTCCACCTAAATTATTATTCCTATTGTTCGATACTGTTCTACTATTGTATTGTGTTGATTAGAGAAGGAGATGGAGGAAGGAGCGAGATATTTTTTTTTTATTATTTTTTTTATTTTTTGTTTTTTTTCTTGTTGGTGATCTTTGATATAGGCAGTGCTTGTGCTCGCTCACGCCCCTTATTTATAATAATGATAATGATATAAATAATTGAACAAGGGGGCACACTAGGGCAATTAGTTGTGGCTTTTAGTGAGTGTGAAAAGAAATAGTAATGTTGATAAAAGATAGTTGATGATTGAGTGAAGTTCTATAGTACTCTATACGTAATTCTCTGTTTCTATCTCTTTCTCTCTATTACAGAAAAATTCCAAACTCAAAGTAGGCGTGCGGTAGGGGTATTTTTGCGCCGAGCGGGAAATTCAGCACATCTTAAAGTCAGGATGGTGTAGTTGGTTATCACAAAACCTTAACACGGTTTGGGTCATGGGTTCGATTCCCATTCTTGATAAACCTTTTTGTTTTTTTTTTGCTGCGGCTGGCTCGATCGGAGTTTTTTTTATCATATTCTTGTAGTACTCTCTAATTCCTACATTTTTATCTCGGTTTCATAAATTTTGAACAAAACCATACCAACAAAACATTTACTAAAAAAAAAAAAAAAAATTGACATCCCCAAAATATTGTACATAAAAAGTTGAAAATTATAATCCAAAATAATCCCCAATGAATATTTATATTAAATTTATTTAGAACGATCAAATCCCTTCTTTTTATTATCTTATTTTTATTAGTTTTCATTAAAACTACAATGAAAAAAAAAACAGTCCAAAAATAAAGGTATTGATGGAATTTTATTTCCTACCCATTCCAAATTCTAGCCCCCTGAAAATTAAAATCGGTAAAATCTTAAAGAATGGTATAGTTAACCAAAAAAAAAAAAGAGAAAATTTTATCCTTTTATCTCACAAAAAATATAGTTCTTGAAAATAGTGGATTTCATTCATTTTTTTCGTGTGTATTGTGAAGAGGCAGCTCTCCAAAAATACAACAGTCCAAAGAGAAATCAATATTGAAAAAGATTTTCTTTTTTGTCTCACAACTTAAAACAACACATATATGTTGAGAGTTTTTCATTGAACTGTTTGTTGAGGATCAATTGAGGAGTCCCATGTTTAAGTGTGTCCAATGTTGCATTTTGATGTACATAGTATCGAGAGATTGTTTATCAGCACCATCAAAATTCTGGGGTGGTGGAAGATAATGTCCATGGCATTGATAATCTTGAAATCATTTCAAATCGAGTTAACTTTAAGATATCCTTTCCATTTAACGATATATTGATTATACTTTTATTGTTTTATTAAACGAGGTTATTCCCTTTTAAATGACAACAATGCCATTTTCAGAATTCGGGCGATACCATAAATCAATTTTTCGCCAAAAATTTTCGATAAAGTAGTCGATTTTGAAATGTCATCGTCTTACGGATTTATATTGGTGGGAACAATTAAAAAAGTTGTTTTATCAATAGATAATATAATACATCAAAATAGAGGTACAACAGTTTTAATACATACACATAGAATATCACCATTTTCAATTAAACATTGTTATTTGCGTCAACCCTGAAAACAATTTAGGATGTTGATCAATTTTTTTTTTATGCTTTAAGATCCCAAATTTCTCAAGCCTGCATTGATTGCCTGTATGTACAAACTGTTGAGATTATAGAAATAACATTTATCAAAAAATAAGTAGGCTTTTTCGGAATTGGGGACATCAGTGGATTCTTTGGTCGAGGGGTCTAAGATGTCAGTTATAGGAACTGATCCTCCGGGACGGACCAATATATATTGGTTTAGAGACTGATGTTTGTCATTATCTATGCTATTAAAGTCAGTAAAAACACATTTCATCCAAAATAGAGGCAAATTTTTTTTTTAAAGTAATTCTTTTCCTGTTCTCTCCTATCGGGAAGAGTAGTACTCAGAAGTTACAAAGTTTTATTAATTTTACTTTTTAATTGACCAGCAAGAAATAAAGATTATCTCAAGAAGAATTAAAGTTAATTTGTTCTGGGGGTTTGTCCATGTCTATGATACA